GAAATATCATTGGACAGCTTCATGAACTCATGGCGCGTTGGTTGTGCTGCTCTACAAAGAGATTCCGGGCGACTGGGGTCAGGTTTAAAAGGATCGAGAATGAGGGTTCGCATGGTTGCTGTCAGTTTAGAATCGCAACATTTTAGGTCTTTTAGTTGCGCCAAGAGGCGTTCGTATGCTGCTGTCATGTTAATAAGAGAAACTAAAGAGAGCTAAAATAATAATAATTATAATAAAAAGGGTGGGGATGGGGATATAATAAAGAAAAGAAAAAAGAAAAAGAAAGAAAGGAAAAGAAAGACTGGCTGGGTGGTTTTATGCGCTGTCTACTGCGTCGAGTGTTTTATGAAGGACGTGACAGGTTTTTATAGTGATAATGAAGTTGATACCAGCCATTTATTCAAAAGAACGTAAAATATTAGATAAAAATATTTCAAATAACTGGTTACAAGTTATGATACAGTGTACGGACATATATACATATACATATGCATTTGTTTATTAATTCATCTATTGGTTTAGGTCGCTTTTATTAGTGTTATCTTTTTGTTCTACTGTAAAGTTATTTGTATATTTAGGTAATGTATATTCATTGGTAAAGCTGGACATGGTTTTTTAATGACACCAGCCTTGCTAAGAGCCATCATATTTTATGGCATGTTCTTAATTTTCAAAGCATATAAAGCAATTGATGGTATTTCTAGGGACATACATTTAATTACTTTTAGCGCCAAATGTTTATAAAATGGCTTATTTGAAAAGGATATACTATGAGATCAAAAAGGCATTTGTGTATCTCAGAATATACTCACTAATGAAAGAGAGAGAGAAGTATATATATATATATACATTGCTTGTTTATATGGAGTTGTGACAGGCTCAGTTTTATCAAGATTCTCTAAATGAATAGGATAAAAAAGGATAATACAATATTTGTTTGAGAGTTATATGGGTTATTTGGTGTTTATGGTCGCATTTACATTAAGATATATTGCTTTAACAGCTTAATTATCAGCCCAAAAAAAAACTATATATTCAATTCACCTTCAAAGAAGGTATAGCCTTCATGTAGTGAGAAAACCAACTTAATATATTACAATCAAAATACAGAAACAACTGGTTTAATATATATTATTTCTACTTATAAAATACATTTGGAAACAATCATAGAAGAACTGGCAAGAAAAAAAATGCTAAATTGTGTAGGTCGTGTAAGATTCTATAAGATTATTTTCTTCTCTTAATCGAGGTATATTAATGCTGATACTCCAAGACAACAGTAGAATACTTTGAATACTGAGAGAGGTATTTTTTGAAGGTTGTTAATTTATGAATATAAAATCAAAAGTGTACAGTTGAAAGCTTATAAAGCTGCCAAGTTTAAATATTGAATTGGTAATAAAAGCATCCTAACATTAATTCAACAATAAATAACTTCTTGGGAAGTCAAATTAACTATAGGTTTTGTAGGTGACCGAAAAATAAGCTGGCAAGTTTCATACATATTGAGGTGTAATAAATTTGATTCAATAAACTTGATTAGATACACTTATTTTTTTTTATCTTATGGTATGGATTGGTAATGGGTTATGTTTATCATCCTTTATTTCATTAAACACATTTCTAGTTTTCATGGCAGTTGGGTTTTTTTATCTTATTATACAAAGTCATACAATTTAATGCTCTTCTTCACTATCTTCTTCGCTATCTTCCTTTTTTTCATCCTCATCTTCCTCTCCACTCTCGACTTCTTCTTCTTCTTCTTCTTCTTCGTCATCTTCATCATCATCTTCCTCTTCGTCATCTTCCTCTTCTTCATTTTCACTTTCAATATCAAGCATTTCAATATCACTTTCCTCGGCTGAGCTCATCAAATCATCTTCATTTACACTATCTTCAGCCTCATTGTCTGAGTCTTCTTCAACATAGACATTTAATGGCATATGTGCCTCTTCGGCCTGCTTATTGTCCACTGCATGCCGTGACCGGGTATCAATTTGGCTTTGAACCATATCGAGGCGACCACGTAATGAAAGCAGTTTTGGGAAAACACCAACACGAGAATCAAGTGCCTGATAAAATCCGGAAAGTTTGTTGACAAGATCAGGTACAGTCATCAAATAAGCAGTGTGGAGAGTCAGGACAGCGTTAATCCAGATTAACATATTTCGTCCTCTGTTTGGTTTTTCTTGGAATCTGCTGATCAACTGAAACAGGAGCGGGATCACATGGTTAGCAGGTAGGCGTTGAACGGTACGATGGACAATGTCGATACGGGTGTGGCTCAAACAAGCCTCGAGGAGCTGAACATCGTTGGAGTGTAGTGCCTGAATAAGGACGTTTTGAAGCGTACCAGCAGAGGGTGCTACGATCTTACGTGTGGTGGTCTTTTTGGGTCTAGTAGTTGTCTGTTCTTCCTCGACGTTCATCTGCTGTAATTTCTGTTCAATCGAAGGTTCCTCGGTGTTATCCAAAGAAACTTCCTCAATTGTATTTTTGGCTGATGCTTCATTAGAAACATGCATCTTAGGACCACGAACGGAAAAATCTGTATTGCCAACAACCATGACAGAGGCTTCGTCGTATGTTTTTCGGGTTGTTTTCTATTACAACAGTCAATATTTTCTCTAGTTTCAACCAGAAGTCCAATCACATTCAATTTTCTATATATATATTTGGCTTACCAAGTTATTAGCTGCAATAGATGCATCTTCCATTAAGAAATTGTTGATAACTTGTCGGCTCAGAACAATATCGTCCAACAAAGCACCGGTCTCCTCATTTACATAGGGAACCACCTCAAATACGGGCTTTATGCTTGATCCTCGTGCAATCATTACAGATTTTCCATTAGCGTCTGATACATAACGAGCAGCAATAATAGGGATGATGACATCTTCTTTTTGGCTCGAGACGACCTTAATATTAGCGTCTGCTGGTCTAGTCATAGATCTAATGGTCTTTCGTCGAGGACCACTTGAAGCAGATGCTGATGTGGGTGAATCTGCGTTTTGCCAGATGCCAACTATACCATCTTCAGATACTGCAAGGACAGAGGTCTCTGTTTCTGAAAAGTCTATGTGTGCTACGTTGTTTTCGAGTGTCAAGGAGGTCAAGTTGTTGGTATTATCGTTTTTCAATTGTGCGTCCCAAACGTTTACGTAGCGATCGTCTTCTGCGCTTGATACCAGTACATCGTCTTGGTGAGAAAATGCGAGTTGAGTGACACCACTGGCATGTCCAGTGTATTTCTACAGTTTCATTTTGTTTTTAAGTTCATCAAATCTCTTTTGCGTTGATAGTTCTCGTTTACATACACACCTGCAAAGGTACAATCATAAAAAAAAATCAGATATTTACCTTCAACACCTTCATGGAAGCCAAATCCCACAAGCTGATAGTGTGTCCTGCTGTAGCAAGTCTAGTTTCGTCGTGACTTAATTTCAATTTACGTGCGTTCTTCACATCTGCTTTCCATTTTCTAAAGCAAAATAGAATCACAAAGTGGTTATTAACGACTGTGTAAACTTTTTTTCTTCTTTTTTTTTTTAAACAAAAAAGTCTAAATTAAAGTGAATTTAGCCGGTATGCGACTTACTTTACTTCCTTCTCCTGTTCAATATCCCATTCTACTATGTAGTTATCTTCTGCCAATGAATATCCCTTTGTACCATTCTTGTTGAGAATAAAATCGAGAATGGCCATGGTGTGTGCTCCAGCAAGACGTTTGACAATAGCACCATGAATAAGAGAGTATATCACGACTGTACCATTATTAGTGCCGAGCGCAACAACTTTGTTTAAATTTGCCAATCCTCTTCTTCTCTTATTAGCTTTGGATTCAGTGGTCTGGTCCGAGGGGTTAAGCAATTAATTACAGGCAACGTGATGTTATCCCTTTATTACTTATGCTTACCTGTCCCAAGTCGCCATCGTCTCTTACATGTCCCCATGTTAAGCTGGTAAATTTCTCTTTTTTATCACCAGTGTGGTCGTTGTTAACTGTGCCGGATCGTACATTAAAAATTCGAAGACGGTGGCGATCGATGCCATGCGTAACCAAAGCAAAGTGATCGGCTGTAGGACTTGTGTCAAAACCAGTGAGAAGAATTCCTGCTGAGGCTGCGGCAGCTGTGGAAGTAGTGGTGACAGAAGTGTCTGGATTTGGCTTAAATGTAGGTTTACCCATTATACTCAAGGCAAGTTGTAAATGATCAGCTTTTTTTTTCTTGTACTGAAATCTGCCAAAGCTCTTGAGGTCCATCAAAAAAAAAGTTTAGAAGAAGGCCGTCACGGATGTGACGGTTTCGAACTTCTTGAACAGTAGGAATCAGCACAATTTCATCGATATAAATGAAGCTCAGAGAGATAATAGTGATGTCTGATAGATCCAACATATCACTTGTGGTTAAAGAAGTGATATATGTTATTGAATAAACTTTTTCTTTTTATTTGAATACGTTATCTTTTGGGATTTTTAATTTAATTGGCTGTCAAAATACTTTTAACAAATTTGAGTGTTGATGGTTTGTTCGTTTGTTACCTTTTTTCTTCTTCCCAGTACAATAATGTACTGTTCTTTTTGGTTGTACTTGATTCAGTTTTCTTTGGAAATGAGGCTTACAGTATTAATAACAGTAAGATTAATAAAATGTGCGTATCAAACATATTAAAGAGAACATGGCGCAATATTTTACGAGTGGATATTTGATAAATATTTTGTGAAATCAATAATTATTTATATGTTATAAAGAAGAGGTACTGATTGAGATAATACATTCTAATTAAATGATATCAGGAATCTTTGATATATATATATGTGTGTGTGTGTGTGTGTGTGCTGTGTATTTGTTTGTCTGTAAATGTATTAGTAGCAAATACAAAATACATTTGCTATATTATAACTTATAGTTTTTCTTTCTGTAGCTGTTGTACTACGTAATCCTTCAAATTGAATGAAGGTAGTATCATGTTTTACTATGCCAAGTTAGAGACGAATTGGTTTTGTAAATGCTGGTTTATTAGTTGGTTTATTAATTGAACAACGGCAAATATACTGATTATATTACAATAAGTTTGTGCTGAATATATATGATTACGAAGCAAAGGGAATAATCTTTAGAGCTTTTCGATAGCAGCATCAATCTTTGGAATAAGATCTTTGAGAATCTTATATTGGGCAAGAGGAAGGCAGATGCCTTTTCCGTGTTTAGTTTCGCCAGATTTATCCGTGTAGAACTCACGGATGTCTACAAATGCACCTCCTTTAGGGAATGCTTTGACGGTGATCTTACGCTTGGATGATAGCTCAAATACTGCTCCACTTTCATCAGGTGTCGAAGAACCTTTGGATTTTTCTTTTGATTCTTTTTCCGCCTTTTTGGGTTTTTTGGAAGAAGGTTCCTAATAGATAAGGCCAGGTATAAATAATCCTTTCTTGTTCAAACAATTTTAATAGTAATACTCACTTCTTCACTATCTTCATCCTCAGAAACTACTCTCTTGGTAGGCTTGAAGTCCTCGTCATCACTGTCTTCAATGTATTTATTTGTCTTGACCATATTTTATAAAGTGAAGTAAAAGAGAAGGAAAAAAAAAACTTTTTTTTTTGCTCCACGACCTTTGTAGTGTACACGCCATTGTCAGCATGAACTTGTGACTGTGTTGGACTTTTTGAAATTCAAGCGCTAAATATTTTTTAGTATTCTTGCTCGGTTTTCAATGGTGACTCATGCACCGCATTAGTTCTTTATAATATTCAAGATTGACTTTATAACAAAGATCATCCCGAAAAAAAATAGTTTATGGATACTTATAGACGAGAGCTCATGTTCTGCAAAAAAATCAAATGTTTCTGGTTAATGATGTACTGTTAATGTACCCAATCATTCAAAGACAAACCCCCCAAAAAGATGACTTCCTGACACATATTACGCATTATATGTATATAAAATCACTTTAAATAACACGTTGATGTAGATAATTATTCTATTTTTGAAGGTTGAAATAAACCGATTGAACAATTAAATATTACGTAAATATCAAGAAAAACTACAGTCTAGATTAAAATAAGCGTCTTAACCATTTGCATTAAGCCAATATTGCTTATTTCATATACATATATAATCATCGAGCCTTGGAATAGTATTATGACTCTTACTATCATACAGCACTATAATAAGGGCCCACTAAAGGATATGTTTTTTATAATTAAAATATTCTAATTCAAATCAACCATTTCCTGGTTTATCGGTAAATCAAAAGGCTAAATTTGTGAAATATAGCCAATTTATATTGATGGTGTCGATAGCGTATGATATCTAAATGTGGTGGATATAGCCTTAGTATAATACCCCGCAGCAACTCTATTCCATTTAGCAGCATAGTCATGGGTGTGTCCGATGAGGAAGAAAATGGTCCATTGAGACCTTTGATAGCCAATCAAAACAACAAGGAAATCATAACAAGACAACAATCAAATATTACTCCCCAAGTGAAAAAATCAAATGCTACAATTGTACTAGAAAAAGAGGCCCACAAAAAGAAGCTAAAGATGCTTCTTACACATCTTCAACAATTGGAAGCCAAGATTGCGCAAACAACAGAAGCAGCAAAAAGACTTCCGTTCTTTAATGATCCCTCGGGTCGTCTAGAAGAGGAGCAATCTACAAGGCGCTCGGCTGATTCTCGTAGCCGTGTAAATCCACAGAGCCTGACCGATTTAGATATTACCAAAGCAGCCGCCCTCTGGCGCCAAAAGATTGATCTTCACCTTCAATTAGCTGATTGTTACCTCAAACTAATCCAACTCGATTATAACTTTGCCGAAAAAAAGGGCCTTGAAAGCCTTTGTTGGAAACGTATATATTCTCTTGTCGAACAATTTCGACATGCTCTCAAGGCACGAGCCGAACGATTAGCACAAACTAACAAATCAGCTCAATCGGAAACAAATGTTGCCCCTGTAGTCACAGAAACTGGAATGACCCTAATGTCGTTTTCTGATGATGATGAAGAACAAGTGAATCCCCTGGAACACTTGAGGAGAAAAGAAATGTCAATGATTCACCATTACCTACGCGATTTTTTGGACAAGGCTGATTTCTTTTATCAACGTCTATCATTGCTGTTGAGAACTTTTGACCGAGAAGATAATGGTGACGAGCGAAAAGAAAGCCGTTTCCAGGCCTGGGGACAGTCCAGACGTCTTAAGTGGTACAGATGTGTACCAATCCGAGGTGATTTGGCAAGGTACCGATGGGCTTATGCGGCAGGTATTGGGGATGATAGCAAGAGTCAGACTGTTTCGCGTGAGAAAGCTCGTGAAGATGCTTGGAGATGGTATGCACTCGGGTCTTGGCTTATGCCTGCCACTGGAAAACTTTATTTCCACCTATCATTGCTAGTCGGCGACAATAGTCAAACAGCCCGCAAAGAAGTCAACGTGTTAAACGAGATGCACAAACTCTATTTCAGTACACGGAGCCTTATGGTCCGCCGCAACGGATTCTTGAACGCTCGCGAAGGAGTAGTAGTTTTATTTGAAAATAACCGTCGATGGTTTACAAAGCATCTTGAAACTGTGCAATCTACGCAGCGCAATAGCCGACAAAGACCTCGAAAAAATGATACACGACGCAACTTAAGAGAGGTATTGCCAAGACAAGAATCGGAAGCAATGAGGAGTGAAGGAATTGCAGGAATGTTTGTTCGTCTTCATGGAATGCTTTTTACCAAAATCGGATTGGATCAATTTCCCCAAGTGAAGAGACGATTTTTTGATGCATTATTCCCTACTGATATACCACGAGAGGACCGCGTCCTTGTTAAATCCGGAGAAATGACCAAAGATGGACTTCAGAGACCAAACAGCCGGACCCTGAGTGGAGAAGAAATGTTTTGGTTCGAGATGGCTATCATATGTATATCTTCACTTCATAGCTACGATTATTCTTCCTCCAAACTGTCTAAGCTTATTTTGCTGAATACTAGACGGCTTTATGGTCAAGACTCTAAAGAGAATGACACATCGGTCGTACCGAGTGGGCCTTCTAGCCAGGCATCAGGCGATACTTATGACTCTTTGGTAGAGGATCTCAGGGAAAGCGTAATATTTGCGAGCAGTATTGACCTCATATGCCAAATCGCCATCGAACTATTCAGACGCTTTTTGGATGAAAATATGGCAGATGCATGTACACCAAGCCTTCCTCCACTACCAAATGTTCCGCAAAGCTTGCATGAAAACGATGGTTTTGTGTTTGGAACATCTCAGACGGTGGAGGAGGATATGACATCAATTGAAGAGTCTGTAAAAGAGCCATGGTTGCTTTATATCGAACTATTACTTCATTGGATGGTTGTAAACTGCATGTGTGCAAAACCTCCTTCGTCTCCATATGATTTGCCAAATAACCAGGTTAGTCTGTGGGAAGCCATTGTGGGGCCAATTGTGCCCGATCTTATTGAGAAATCGAAGCAAGGTCCTGAAATGCGGAATGGGATTCAATCAAGTATCTCCCCTGCATTTTGGCCGCTTTTGCTTGAGTTCCTCAATAAACTTCTGGCATCACTTCCAGAAGAACACAAATACGATTTGGTCAATAAGTACGTTATGGAAGACGATAAAGAAACCGAGTCCGAAGGCAAAGGAGTAGACGCTGCAGTCAAGGCCGAGTTAGCTTTCTCTCGCCTGATTGTTAAGGTGCTTGGAGATCGTCCTACACTACCAGAAGAATCGCATATACTTGGGTTGGGTTGGGTTGATGGTGTGACGAGCCGATTGATGAAGACTATGCCGGATATAGACGAACTAACGAAAGACGAATCAACAAAAGACAACGAATGGAATGTTGAAGATCGTGTTTTGTATCGCAAAATAAAAGTGCTTGAATACAGCTTCGCGTTGGCAAAGGTAACCCGCTACACAATAGCAATTAGAAGAAATAGAAGAAAAATAGAAGTTTATTTCTAACAAAGATATTTTTCTTACTATTCTGATAGCAAATGTCCCATATTTTTGAATATGACCCCGTATATGAAAAGTTTACTCCTGCGAAATACGAAAGATATGAAACTGAGTTAGAGGAAAGCTTAGAAGCGGAATATCCACCTTTAACTACAGAGTCTAATACTGGGATGGATCAAATGGTTTCTTTCAAGGCTGTAATGGCAGAAATGGATGATGCTGTATTACTATCTAATGAAACCGATCCATTGGATGAAGATGACGACGACCCGATTGTTACCCAGCTGAAGAAGCGTCGCGAACAGCTCCAAACATTATTAGTTGCTGCTAATGAGCAGAAGCGTTACGGTTATCGAAAGCTTCCCACTCAAGTTAAAGAACGGGAGGCGCGCATGAATCATTTGAGAGAAAATGTTATTCCTGGGAAGACAGTTCTTATTCTGGATACCAATTGCTTTATCGGACATTTGGAGAACATCAAGAACCTGTTTGCGGCCAATAAATGGTTAATCGTTGTCCCTCTTGTTGGTAAGTGAAAATGACACTAAGAAAATTCTTGTGGTTTAAGAGAAAAAAAAACTTACTGCATATTTTGTTAAAGTTGTTACTGAACTGGATGGAATATCAAGCAACGCTGCTCCACTTGGCACTGTTGCTATGAATGCACTCAAACTTATTGAAGAAACCCTGGCTAAAAAACAGCGAGTAAATGGATTGCGTGTCCAGACATCCCACAACAATTTTATGTACGACATATCTATTCGATCCGAACAGTTTGTATTTGGTGAAACAGATAAGAATCTCGATGATCTTGTTCTGTCATCCTGTCTTTGGTGGACAAGACAACCAGAGCGTGTGTCTTCTCAGGGCAGCGTCGCCGCATGTCTTGTTACAGGAGATCGTAACTTGAGTGTAAAAGCACGGGCAAGAGATGTCGAGGTGGTACCTGTCTCTGTAGTTATGCAGTTGACTCCCAAATAATGGAAAGAGACGGGCATGAAAGCGATTTTTTTTTTCAAGTGATAACATAGTACTGACCAACACTCCATATGAACTGTTGTGGAATAGCTAGACACTCTCTTAAGGCTCTTTTTATGAAGACGATATGTGTCGACCTAAAAGAGCTTTCTTAAGCTCGTGTTCGATGCCTTGTGCCCCTTTATAGGAGGCATTAAGTCAAGGTCACTCATCAGACCGATTTTATAAACAGCCATAACTTATGTATAACCCAAATAGCCTATTGAAAACAGCACACATACATCCATTTAATGTACACAAGAATTAAGTTGATTTTTCTTTTAAAAAGAATCAAGATAAATGACAATGTCTTTTTTAAAAAAAAAGTTGAAAGAAATAGATAGAAGTAAAATAGATTTTTGACAGGTTACAGTTGATAGGTGATGTTTTCACTTATTTTGAATATGCACACATAATGAATTGATTTTATATCTACGTTAGAATCCAATTTCATTGTTACAAAGTATTTGATTTATTGGAGAGTATATATATAAATATATTATGTGGCTATAAAATATTAGACAACCTTATAAAGTATAAAATACGTGTAAGTCTATTGTTCTTAAGATAATTCTTGAAAATCAAAATTCTAAATTGCCCAATAGATATGCGTGTATCTGGCCAGAAACGACAAGATAATAATAATTGACGACTATTCACTAATGGCTTTAAACCTATTTTGAGACTTCGCAATTCTTTGAAACATTTTTCATGATAAGAATAATATGCATACTGTAGGAATGCAACCCTTTCTTTATCTATTTATTTTATCGATCTTTGTCTCCCATATCTTTGTCAGTCGGCTGTCCCGTATATCAATTGTGTTACCTGTAGCACAAAGAGCATTACATACACGTGACAGTGATCAGCGTGACGTTTGAAATTGTGCAAATGCATGTATACGCCATCCTTGATTCTTCCTTCTGGTTTCACATTAGACCTTTCTCATTACCATCGAGATCAAAGTATATTTAAAAATGACAGGCTCATTATCAGATAACTCGCAAAAAAGATCATCATATATTGACCAAATTGGATTACAAGAGACAAAAGCAACAATACAGGCAGAATGTAAGAATGCCAGTTTGGAATCGAATTTGGTTTTTATTGTTTGTTACTCAATATTACCAGCAAAGCGAAGAATAGAAGGACTACGCCAGAATATTGAGTTTGCTTGTACTTCTTTGAGAGCACATGGAAATATGCAAATCAATCAGTTACTCCCGTCTGTACGACAACTGACGATGGACGAATTCTGTAATAGATATGGGGCAGATACGCTGACTTTCTTGGAAGAACAAACACGAAAACGAAGAGGAGAAGATGTGCATAATATTCTCCAAAAGAGGTAGTGTGATTTTGAATAAAAAAACATAAAAAGAAAAAGAAAAAATTAACCTAGTATTCTCATAGGTCGCTTGGACCTAGTGTAGAAAAAAAGGATAATTCAAAACTTGCACCTAAAGTAGATTCACCGCGGATTGCAAAGGAAAGAGATAATCCTCCAGTTACTCGGTCAGGGCAAGCCCAATCTTTCTTACGTAGCAATAACTCGCGGTCATTTGACACAAAGCTTCAAGAGGTGAGCTTATTTTTATTTATTCTTTGGAATAGAGTTGTACTGTCTAATGATCTAGAATAAAAAAATATGAAAAATATGAAAAAAAAAGAGTAAGACGACAAAACATGTACAGTCACAGTCAAAGGTGAAGCCAAAGTCAAAAACAAGATCCCAACAGCAACAACAACAGCAGCAGCAACAATCACAGCCGCAAAGACAAAAATCCAGGGAAGTTGAGAGCAACCAGGGAGAAAATACAGGAAATTTGAAGGATATTTCTGGTACTAGAAGTAGCCCTGGAAAGCAGCTTAAATATGATGAACAACAACCTGAGGTTGATTGCGGGCCTCTATTTGTACATTTCAAGAGAGAGAAACACCCAAAAATCACTCTTCGGTTGAATTCTCAACAAGAAGCCAGTGAGTTTAGTCCATTTGAGATTAGCGCACCTACAGAGATTTTTGAGAAACTCGGTGACCAACAGCGTCGCCGTATTGTTGATCAAATTCAAGATATCCAAGACCAGCTCGAATCATTAAAGCAACAGTTGAAGTGATAAAATGTCTGATATGTGTACAATGTGAACTTGAAAGTGTATGCAAGTCTGAAGTTTCTGTCACTGTAATTCATATTACTATTATTATTGTTTTTGCTTGTATATGTACACTGTATATCTTTATGGTATAGACACCATAAAGTTTAAAACATATACATTGTATGAGAGAGTTAAAGATATTGTACTCTTCTTATAGAAGCTAGGAATTATGAGAAATATAGGATACTTGTATATACATAAGCATAGTTTCTACCTTTATGTTTATTTAGTTTCGGTATTAATAAAATGTACCTTTTTTTTCTTAGTATAGATATTAGCAGCTATAATTTTTTTTGGTACGCCTTGTGTATCATTTGTAAAGACAAGCTTCGCAAGTGTGGAAAAACTTTTGTCTTGTTAGAATGATTTTTTTTCTTATTTTGTTTTGAGACATTCCCTAGGTTGAGTGCAAAGACTGGTCGTTATGTACAAAACCAATTCTTTATATGTATTTAACCTGTGCAGATAGAAAATAATTGTCATTCGATTCTGTTAAAATGGTTTGTAGTATTGCTGATTGCTATGCACCAGAGACCAAATACTATTATTTTTATACTTAAACGGCTATATAATTATGCCAGCATTTTTGTTTTTGTTTAAGATTTGTCTATTGACTGAAAAGCATTCTATTTTTAATTTTGCGCCACAAGAAAGAAAAAAGTCTAGAATTATTCACGATAATAATATGTTTGTTCTATATGCTTTTTTTAAAATCTTAAATAAATATACGAGATGGAAGGGGTACCATATTTTGTACCTTTATATGAATACTGCTCGCTTGCTTGACTGATTGACTGATTTGGCGTTGTACCCTTCTCAAGGAGCCCATTTTTTGTTCTTCTTGTCTCTTTTACTTACTAATCTATTTATATACCTACACACACATCTGTACATAATGCAAGGGCACAGTTTGTTCCTAAAGTATGTGAGTACCGTACATTATAGTACTTTTCTTTTTGTTCTCCTATAAAAAGAAATGTTAAGCTTACACATACAATGCCTTGATATCAGAAAGCATTTAATTATTATTTATTAAGAAATAATGTAGACTTTAGGCGTAGTAACAAAACGTACACCCTGGTAAAATAAGTAAATGAAATATTTTAGATCGATTGACAAGAAATTAGTTGGACATTAGGTTGGTTACACACAAGTATTAACCCAAAAAATAGTAAAATAAATAATAATAATTTCAAACTTATTTAAAAATAGGAATGTACAAATACAAATGCGTATCTATATAAATATTTATTATAAATATTCAGTGGCGTTTCTTTGTTGCTTATTTTATTAGCCATGCTTAAATCTGCTATCGATCGAAGATCTTGTGGCTATAAGTGACATAAGATTTGTTACTAACCATACACACAGGGATGTGGTATGCGGTTAATGGCTCGAGTTTTGCCACTTGTCTGTGCACCTATACTATTATTTTATACACAGAATCTAAACTAATGAGGCATATTTATGAAAAGAACGTAAGGAATTCACAATAATAGATTAAGAAATATAGATATATATAAAGAGAGATAGAGAGAAATAAAGAGGGGGAGATCTGAGGGATTTATATCTTTAATAGAATTTGTTAAACACAAACTAAATGAGGCTTGGTAAGTGTGCTTTGTAAGAGCCCAATGATTTCATATAATGGAAAGCTATGCTTATTCGGGCCAAGAAGCGTAAGTTCCGCTTTACTCGGGCTGTCTTGTCTTCTACCAATGAAATGGAAGAGAAAGAGGAGGCTGTTATCTTTCTTTGAAAACTCATCAACTGTAGTAGTTCTTCTTTATCCTTGACGTTCTTCTTTCTCTCTTTCTCTTTCTCTTTGTGTCTTGCACTCAATTTTTTTTTTAATTTTTTTTTTAATTTCCTTACTTTCTTATCGCGACCATCGTTTTAATGAAAGACAACAATGAATACATTGAACTCTCCAAAACCGGAAGCGATGATGAGCAAGACGAACCACCAGATATCTGTCATAAGAGCTGTTGCCATGGCGACGAACATCTTACTCAGCTCAATCATGGACAATTAATGTCATTAACTAATGACGGCTCAAGCACTTCTACGCTCTTGGAAAATGCTTTTCCGAGAGACTATGACACTCCAGAAAATGAAAGAAAAAAGACCAAAAAAGAAATAGCAAAAGATTTGGCTTGTCAGGTACAGAATATATGTCTGGTCTCAAAAGACCTTAAAAGAAATCTCCCGTCTAATACATACATATTTTATATACATATAATATGATGATAATAAAGGCCTTGCCTTCTCTTATTATTTCAGTCGTCGGGTTTATTATTGCAGGTGTTTGGATGGACCAATTTCAGGTACAGATTTTATTTCTATTTAAAAAGAAAATGAGAAGTGGGGTTTATACAATTTTTAGTCCAAAGACTTTATTAATCTTCTTAATATTTAATTATCATTTTTTTATCTATATATTTATTTATTAGCACTGGGATGTATTTCTCAAGACTAGCGAGCTATTTATTCTTGTGCCCATCTTATTAAATCTCAAGGGAAACCTAGAGATGAATTTGGCAGCCAGATTATCAACATCGGTAAAGAAAGAAAGAAATAGGCACATGTGTATATACATATAATTATATATACATGTACATATTAAGGAATGAAAGATATTAAGACTTTATTGCCATTGCCATTGCCATTATACATGTCTTGGTTGATTAAAATTTGATTATATTTAGGCTAATTTGGGTGACCTAGACCCAGGGCCTACTCGTTGGCCATTATTGTTTGGAAACTTGGCATTGCTTCAGGTCCAAGCTTTAGTGGCAGGCGCGATTGCAGGTATAGCTTCATTTGGCCTTGGACTTATTACCAAGCCAGGGAGCAGTACAAGCTATTATGAAAGCATGTACATGACCTCAAGCTCAATGATATCTGCTTCCTTTTCCGGCACAATTCTTGGCGTCTTTATGTGTGCCCTCATTCTAATGTGTAGAAAATTCGACATTGATCCTGGTAGGTTATATACAACAATTTAGTAATTTAATTAAACAATTTTTCTTAGATAATATTGCTTGTCCTTTGGTGTCTTCGCTTGGAGATATTGTTACGCTTGTTCTCCTGTCAGGATGTGCAGTTCTCTTGGAACGACATATGAGTAAGATATACAAATACATATTATTCAAAATAATAGCAATTACCAAATTTATGTAACAAATAATTATTCTATTTACAGACACACTCCTGAATACGTTTATATTCTTTCTTATGCTTTCGTTCTTGCCTGTGTTTGGATATCTTGTCTGGCGAAACAAACATGTCAAGGATCTCCTATTCACCGGATGGAGTCCGATTATTTTTGCGATGTTGATCTCAAGGTAAGCTTATTATTATTAGTGTTATTAATGTTAGTACATATATATTTCTAGCTTAGATAGGTAAAATATCCATCTTCTTTAGACTTTTTTGATTTTGGTTTTTAAAGTAATAATAATTATCTCTCTTATTTTTTGCTTATTTTTAGTCTGGCAGGAATTCTATTGGAGAAATATGTTGAGGAATACAAGGGCGTGGCACTTTTGACACCTGTTTTGATCGGGCTGGCCGGAAACTTGGGTTCTATATATGCATCACGAATAAGCACCTGCTTACATAGTGATACAATAGAGAGTTATCGAGTAGTTGAATGGACATTGCTAGGAATGAATATGCCAGTGCAGACTGTATTTTTGTTGATTATCTGGGCATTTAGTATGGGTCAGCTCCATTACAATGCTTGGTTTTTCTTTAGTTATTTTTGTATATCAATGTGCTGTGTAAGTTGCGATTTATAAGTTTCTAATATTTTTATATGACGTCTAACAATACATAACATATATATCTTTTAGACCTGGACATGTCTCAAAATTGGAAAATTCATGACACTTGCATTCTGGAAAATGGGATATGACCCAGACAATTACGTGATTCCCTACTTGTAAGTTTTTATTTTTATTTTTTCTCAAAAAAGGAAGAAAATGCGACACAAATGTAACTTATATATTTGTTTGCATCAGAACGGCCTCGATTGACGTAATTGGAACTGTCCTGTTAGTACTAACATTTTCTTGGTTGACATCTTCCGGTGCAAATGACATGAAGACCATTCCAACCGAGCCATAGAATGCCATATACCAAAGTGAATCTTTGGTTATATTGGTTTCAAACCTCTCATTATATCTTATATCTTATATTTTCATATTATTTTTTTAGAAGCAGGCCTTCCTGATGTTTTTTTTTTATTGATACATTTGCATTGTTCTTTGTTAATTCTCTCTCTTTCTCTCTCTTTTTTTTATATATTTTTATTACTATTTGTCTTGCTTATATTTCTTTATCTATTGCTATTTTTCTTTCTGTCTTTTTGTCTTCCTTTAATTCATTCATTTCTCTAGTGTTACCTTTATAGCTTTTCAGCAACAACAGTAACAAACGAACGAACAAACAAAAAAGAGGAATAATAATAAGAACATGCAATTACAGCTTTATATTTTCATTTTTATTTTCATTTGTTCATTATTTATTGCAAATATAGATATAAAGATAATTCATCTTAGGTAAGGAGACTTTTTTTTTATTCTTCTTCTTTTCGTTCTTCTGAGTATATTGTAGGTGTTACATTGTTCGAGACATTAATGTCGTCTTGGTAGTTGTGAATACCATTATCAGATCGGCATGGTGTCGGTCTAAAATACAGACCCACGATGGCAAATTGCATTTTTATTTCCTGCATATCACGCCAATGTCTATTTTATTATTCTTTTTTAGATTTTTATATATATATATATATATTTGAATTAAGGAGCTTTTCATTTAACCTCATATTAGACAAGACTTTTTTAGTCTTTGGTTTTTTTACTATTGCATGATGTTCTGAAATGTTTGATTGTATTTGTATTTGTATGTAATTTTATCTTATTTTATTTAATTTAATTTTTGTTAATGCCATATCAATCAACCTAAGTTTATGAAACTAATTCAATGACCAAAAGAAAGAAAAGAAAGAAAGGATATTTTTTTTTACTCAGGAACAAGCCAGGGGATTTTACTTGTTTTAGAAGGTTTGCATAACAAAAGGAGTTGTTGTAAAGATACTCTAACCTACAAAGAAGTATAAATACTTATACACAGTATTATTGTAATAATAATAAGAAAAAGAAGGAAAAGATCGCCAGAGAATATGAGTATGAGTATGAGTATGATTTTTCTTTTTTTATTTTTATTAAAAAAAAACCAAAATAAAATAAGAGAATAAAGAAAGACAAACTGGAATTTCAAACAAGTTACAAGTGATGATGAATGGGTGTGAATGAGTGAAAAATGAATAGGTAAGTGTGTAATGAAGTATTATGTACAAATAAAATAAGGTAAGAAAGTAATTTAGTGCTCAAGTAAAGAAAGAAAGAAAGAAAGAAAGAAAGGCTTATTTGACAGGGTCAAACCTCAATGACCCCAACGGAACGTCATCGTCGTCTTCACTGTCGTCGCTGTCGTCGAATTTATTGTTTTTGATATTATTGTTTATGAGGTTGGTGCGAGGTGCTACCCAGAGTGGATGTACACAAATCAGGTCTGTGTCTTGGTCAATTGTGTAGGCCACTGCTGTGAGAGCGTAATTTGCCCGTCTTCCGTACCGCTTTCTAGAACATGAAGACCCAGATGCAAGTCGCTCGATATTCATAAACATGCGCGGGTGTGATGGTGATTGAGATTGTGATAGTAATGGTAATGGGGCATCCGAGGTCTGGACTAATTGAGGAGGCTGGATTAATTGCTGTTGAAGGGCTCCAAGCAGGTGTCTCAAATGAAGAATTGCCCAAAGAGGCAGGGACTTTTGACGGAGCTTTTGATAAGTCGTACGGCAAAGAGCAGTTCTTTGCCACACATTCGGAAAATGAGAGCGAGAATCCAATCTTTTTGGTTCTTCGTTTTCTTCAGTAGCATCGGGTCGTGTTCGAATATCAGTTTCTCGTGGCTCTGATGACTTTACTCGTCGCTCCTCTTCGGTGTCTCCCGGGGTTGCCTTTCGCTTCTTGCCACTCTTTCCATGGGAGGGAGACATGAGGATAATTCTGGCCCAGCTGGCGAACTGACTGAGTAAGCCAGACGAGAGAGGCATGTTTGGCTTTTGATATGAAACAAGGCTAGAGTCTCTACGATTAGAGCGACGCACCATTGTGTAAGTTAAAGAGTAATAAGAAAGTAAGAATAGATAAAAATTAGAAGAAGAAGAAGCAAAAAAGTCTTTGGCAAAATGTAGATTATATATATATTTATATATATATATATATTTATGTATGTATATGTAAATGTATGTATATATCTATATATATATGAGTATAAATATATAAATATATATATAAATATATATGTATATGTATATGTTGCATTACTGAATGAATAAAATATAAAGTATAAAATAAAAGTGGTGAAGGGTTATTTCTGGAATTCCACGTCGTCGGGTTTGATTGCCACTGTAGCCCACTAAGATATGTGGTTTCCATGCCGACTATTCCCTCAATTGCCGTTTTGCTTCTTTTCTTACACGTCTCCCCCTTTTTCTTTTATATAGACATGTGTGTGTATACTCATAGCAAAATGTATATATAAAAAATAATTATATTTTATATTTATATATACATTTTATACACCAAAAGTTTATCTGCAAAGCTAAAAAAAAATTATTCGTACAAATTTATTTATTTGCCCGAGTTTCATTATTATCCGGCTTTAAACACGAAAATGAAGAGACAGAGTCAGAGAAAGGTAGTACCCGATTAAACAGCCTGAACTGAACTTGATCTCTTTTGACAATAAAGGAAGGTTACACCCTCTCAGGTGTAGCAGTCCTTGATTTGAAAGCCACCCATACCTCCGCTAAACACCAATCAAACCTGTCTTAAAGCAACCCAGGCGAACGAACAACAACAAACCCAACACAACCCCATCCCTAAACTCATGTCTACTCCGGCCAAGATCACTCTCGGGGCTTCTGTAGCCTTTTGCTGTGCAACAGTTTGGGGTGTACATTACCTCCAGACATACGAAAAAGAGGTAATCTGGAACGAATTTCAATTCAAAAAACTCATGAAAGTCGTCATGCAAGTCATTAGTTATTGCGCAAAGGTCTTGAAAAAGAACAAGAAAGACGCGACAAGAAAGAGCAGCAGAGAATCAATATGCTCGAGCTAGAAGAGCAGCGCGCTCTTCACGAAGCTCTCTTGAAAACACAAAAAGTATCTTCTCTACCTTCAAACGAACCAGCCGAAGAAAGCAATTAGAAATGAAATGAAAAATACACAAATATAGAGTTTGCCACATGCTAAAAAAGAACAGCCAAGACTATCCATGTTTATTATATAATTTTGTTTTACAATTATTGATAATGAGAAATAAGTTGAATTAAATTTACAGAGAAAATAATAGTGTGCACTATTATTTGTTAACCCTCATATATATATCTATATCCATATATCCTCTTCCCCATATCAACCACGGATAGTTTGACTTTTGCTTAATTGCAATTGCTTATTTCTCCTCCTTCTGGAAAACGTAGGTCAAGTGGCACTTGCCACAGTACTGGCGGTCCGAGTGCCAGGCCATGAAGACACCGGCACCACAGGTGGCACTGGGGCACTCACGACGGAGACGGGTGATCTTGCCAGACTGGTCAACCTTGTAGAACTTGAGGATGGCCATCTTGACCTTCTTTCTCTTGTGCTTGATCTTCTTGGGGGTAGTGTAGGTCTTCTTCTTTCTCTTCTTGGCACCACCCAACAATTCGCAGTTGAGGTGAAGAGTAGAGTCGTCCTGAACACCGTAAAGAGACAAGGCGTTCTCGTTGACAAGAGGCTTGCCGGCGAAGGAGAGGAGCTGAGCATCGGCAGGGATACCTACACATTATATGTGTATATGTAAATATACATAGGTTTTGTTAGTAATCCATTTATTAATATTAATATTAATATACACAAATACATACCCTCGCGAGCCTGGATCATGGCCTTGACATCAGCGACCGAGGAGGAAGCAGTGGTGCCAATGACGAGGGTGTTTCCCTCGAGAGACTTTACAAAGATTTGCATATTGCAGATAACTCGATTATTTCTCAACAGTAAATGATATGCTAGTGAAAAAGAATCTAATAAAGAGAAAATAGTGTGTTCATATACTTAAATCAATACATTTGAATCCACTTAATGAGCTTTTGACTAACCTTCCTCACTATCTGAAAAAACGAAGAAAGAGCTTGGCTTTGCAGGGCCACCATCTGCTTTTGTTGACTGTGAAAGATTTTCATTGGCTAACAAACTCTGACATCAATAAAGGGGTCACATTAGCAGGCACAACCCAGCAAATCGTTCTGGATTTTTCAGTTTAAAAATGTGTATGTATGTGTGACATTCAAACCTGATCTGAATTATACGTTGACTTATGCTGTATAGGGCAGACGGTCAGATATATATATATATATACGTGCATTCTTACGATGTTGCTCAAGACAGTCCAATTATAAGAAACCAAAATAATAATAAATAGACAACTAAGCAGGCTGTCAGACATCAAATTAGGTATCAACCAACAGTGTACAACTTTGTAATTTCGGCAGAACAATAGCTCAAATTCAGAGATGTTTTTTTTTCCTTATTTCAAAAATAGATATAGAAAAACCGAATGATTTTTCTTTCAACAATAAATACGACTGTCTTATATATTAATTGGTTGCTGTATATGGTGTGATGATATAGATATAACTATGGTAAATGGTGATTATGCAAAAGCGTGAACAAGCCTTTGGATATAATTACAAAAGAATATAAAATAAACTAAATACGCTGCCTTTCAGAAAACAGATATATATATATTAGAAAATGTGAAGAGTACAAGTGCAATACAAAGGGTGACGAATAGAATAAGAGATTAAAAACCAAGTCAAGATCAAAGGACAAGGAAAATGCTTTAGAGTCAGACTGATATTTGAATATTGCTGGCAAGAAAAAGGGGAAAGAGAGAGAGGCAAAGAAGGATCCAAAGAATGGGATTGTGACATTTGAAACTAAAAGCATGACAGAATATTCCTTATAAAAGTTTTCTTGACATCACAGAATGAGATGATACTTTTTTGGGCTCAAAGTTGGGACGGCCCCACTACACTTGCGCCAAGTCACGACTCTTTATACTTGAACGCTGCTCACTCTGCTACTTTATAAAAGAAATAAGTATCCCTAGCTATCACCATTAACACCAGCACCCAAAAAAAAGATTTGTATATCTTAAAATACTGGGGTCAGGGCTAGGGTTATTTAAATGTAAATTGTAGTTTTCCAATACAAATTTAGCTTAAAGAAACTTTTGTGTTTGTCAAGGATAATTTTTGTCGTTTTTGTGGATCAATAAATGGTGTATAATCTATTGTATCAAGGACGCTCTAAAATATGGTACAGTTAATCAAATCTATTTTCGTGATTTTGTGTATTCTCCTTTTTCCTCTTTTTTTCTTTCTTTAAAAAAAACATGGATTTGTGCTCTTGTGCTCCCCAATTCAGGATGTCAATGCCATTATGCACATCAACCCTTTACAAAAACCAATCCTACAATTTATCTTTATTTTATTTAAAAAAAAGTTGGTTTGTTAAAATAGTATGATTAAATTAAAGGGGTGTTTTATGATCCAATTGTATTACAAGATAATATGTTAAGGTATTATATAGCTGAACAAGGCTTAGAAATTATAGAAGAGAATGTAATAGGCAACTACTAGCTTGGTCGTTGCTTAGAAATTTTCAAGATAAATTAAGTTTTGTAATACATATAATAACCACTAGCCATTAGCTTTCAAAAACGTCATTATAATTGCTTATGCTGTTGTTATTCTTCTAAGCAATGTATGTTACTTCAATTAAAGATGAATATATATATATATATATACAAGTACTTTTACTGGACGGGATACTTCATCAAACTATTCTTACAATTAATAACTAAGATACTATATGCATTTTAGTAAGTATTAGCAAAACAATAAATAAAACGTTTACGTAGTGAAAGGATTATCTCGTTCCAAAAAAAAAGAGTTTCCAGTCACATACCATTTTAAGTTTCTTTTTAAGGGTTAAGGTTCTTCTTGCTTAAATATTTTGAGAGAAGAGTACAACATCTGGATGAGAAGCATTCTATTTTGGTGTATTGGAATGAACGTACCTTGGGAAACTTTCACCAGAAATCACGCGGGCACAAATGCGTAAGATTGAATCGGTAGGCTAGTTATGATGAGTGGATATCTCCAATAATTCTCAAGCTTTCATGTTTCCATGAAAAGCAGCATGGATTTTCTTTTCATGCATAATCATAAACTGCTTACTTGTAAAAAAAATCGCACAACAAACATTCTTAAACTGTGTTACTTCTCCTGAACTATACATCTCACAAACAAGTCCATCAAATAAATATATAAAGCTTGGAATATATTGACTGAATTTATTTCTAGTCTTGTCTCGCCTAGCCTTGTACTTTGGATTCGACATGTCCACGCCCAAACTACCACTAGAGATCATTGATAGAATCGCTTCGTTTGTTCCAAGAGATGATATGCCTAAATACACTTTAGTGTGCAAAGCATGGAAAGATATATTTGAAATTGCCATGATGACAAAAGTCTCTATAACCCTGGCGAAAAGAAGTGAATTTACCTGGATTTTCTATGATCTTTTTAGATCCCAAAAGAACTATGAAAAAGGTCGTTACGCCAAAGAATTGACTCTGGATCCACTCTTATCCCTACGCGAAAAAAATTATGGCGCTATCCAGAAAAACCTTCCGAATATTAAATATCTCAACATGGGCATCTTAAATCCGGTTCCGCTCATGGATTCAGAAATATTCAAATGGAATGCTTGGCCGAATCTAAGAGAGCTCCAAGCTATCTTTGACATAAGTTACCTACAAAATAAACCAAAAGTTGTTTTGGCGACCCTTAAACAACTCTCCGGTCTTCGCCGACTTAAGCTTCATGCAAGAACCATAGATAAAAATGCGTTTTTAGATCAATTCTCGACAATATACAGCGGAGATTTATTCAGTGCAGAAGACATGGAAGCACTGCACGAATACCTCCCGAAACTTCAATATTTAAACATAAACATCAATTTTGCCAAGGATTGTGACGGAATATCAATCGACAGAATCTCACCAGCAACAGACATGGACGAATTTATAGCCACTATAAGCAATGTTTCTCCTTCATGGCTATGTTATTTCGCCCAAAAATACCGAAACCTGAGGATACTAAAGCTTGGCTCCAGTAGTCCAACGAAAGTTTCGCTTGAATATACAGATCCGTTCACAGAAAGAAACATGTCAATACTTTTCAGACCTACCTCCACATGCACTAAATTACTACTACTATGCATTCATGAAGATGAAGATGAAAGAAAAAGGTACACACAGCCGGCAATATATTGGAACGCTCTCAGCTCATCCAGACAGAAAGCGTGCTTCATAAAATACAACCCATTGTTTAGCTCACAAAGTATATATGACTACACAAGAGACGTTATACTTCCACTGCGTTTGTGTGCGTCAAAAATTGAAAATCTCGTCATCCAAGTAAAGACTGCCTATATTGCACCATCGCCAATAATAGAAACACTTACTATATGCCCACACCTGAGGGATTTGGACATCAAATGCGATGAAAAAGACGTGGAGTTAGATACGATTTTGGATATATGCACTAAGCTGGAAACACTAATTATCGAGTGTGGATCAGTCATTTTAAGAAAACCAAAGTCTATTGATTCACCTAAACATATACTACTTACATTAAGTATGATTAAGGTCGAAATCGAAGCCGATGTCCTTTCCTACATCTCATATCGCTGCCGAGGCCTCCATTATATGAAACTTTATAATGTGGGTGTAAAACGTTCGTTTTTTCCCTACACCGGAGAGTTCTGTGTATCCATGCCGCACACGCATTTTCGGGAGCTTTGGCTTTATGGACTACAATTTTATTATTCAGACAGTATCAATGGAAACCAAAATATAAACTTTGTATTGATTCCAAAACATACCCAAGAAATTCAAAGCCGGACTACTGTCTCTACTTCTACTCCCATGAGTGCTTTTGAGTATTCGATGGATGCTTCTGAATATTATTGGAGGAACATATGCTCAAGAATAAAGTGCTTAAAGTTTCCCGAGTACTATGTACGAGAAATGAAAGACGATGAGATTAAGCGTGCCAGTCAAACTTTTAATCGACTCCAATCCGAGGATTCAAAGGATAAACTGGAAAGCAAAAATCGTGAAACTGATCAAAGGGTCTATGGATGGGAACATGACCTCTACAAAGGATATGTATTATTTAAATGTGGTTCCGTAAAGACTCTTACTTACAAAGGACTTTTAACAAACCCGCCACCATGGTTTTTATGATTATTTTTCTCCTTATAAAAAAGGTGCTAATATTAGTGTATTATTTCTAATAGTAATGATATTAATAAATGAATCTTTTAATATTATACATATATTGTTTTTCACTTTGTTTTTCTAAGCCAATATTTTCATAATAAATATTAAAGTCAAAGTATTCTGACAGTATTTAAGCTCTAGCGTAAGATACAAAAGGAAAATATAGGCGATATGATTATATAAGAACAGTAAATTAGAATGTAAATGTAATTGCATAATTTTATTCGTAGCAAGCTTCACATTATCATTTTAGTTTTATAAAGAGTATTTGGTTAATGCAAAAAAGTTCAGTCTGACTGGTAAAATAAATTTAAAGCCTTCATCAAAAGATTGAAACCGGAGAGAGTTGATAATAGATAAATTACGAGTAATATTATAAACGTTTCCAAAACCTTTTCATATAAAAGTAAAGAAGTATATTTTAGAGAAATGACCTTATAAGGCAGTGTCATTTATGGAATTTGGATTTAGTATATAATTGTAACCTTTGTTAGGTGTTACCTTTTTCATCCAGTGGTTAAAGCTTTATCAATCTAAAACGAGTCTTTAGATGTTTCCTTAATGATTTCTCATGGTGATAGCTCACTAACTGGTATCTAGGTGGCCAAATAAAATGAAATATTACAACAAGCAGCTCAATTGGAAATAACAGATTCCTTATACGTACTTATTAGAAATGTCCAAAGCTGGAAAGCTTCTTTTCAATGTAAGATAATAATATTTACTTGACATAGATAAGCATTTCGTGACAAAAAAACCCCAAAATATTTTTAATTATAAAAAGTCTAATATTGTGGGCACCCTCTTACTTCTCAATCCGATTGACAGTTGAAAAAGTCTAGCTAGTCAGAGTTTATTGAACATTTTTGAACTTTAAGTTTGTTCACACCAAGTGAAAGTCAAGTCAAGACTGTTTTTAACAAAGCCATTCTAATATTCAAACCCAAAACTCTGGAATCATTCAGTAATAAAACATCAATAGGTTAAAAGCAAAGCAATAAGAACAAGGTTAGAGAGAACTAAATATTCTATTATTTAATAAAGAAAGATATATTAATACCAAATGATCTTTCTTTCTTTATGAAAATAATAACATCATATTATGGAATCTCTCTTTAAGTCTAAATTCTGCTACCGTAACTACTTCACCTGTTCATAAGCAGTATCATATTTTTTTTTATTGAAGATATCAGATATATATATATATAGCTAACGCTTGCTTTTTTTATGAGCACCTGCTATGCTCTATGGAGCAATTCTCATATATATTATAGAAATCACTCATTCCCTTGAAAAACCATCTTGATACTTTTAACTATCGTTATAATCTCATTTCAATAAAACCCAACCTGGAATTCAACATTCCGCCACATATTGTGCTGAGATCCAGATGATATACATGTATACTTTTTGCTTTATTTTCTGCTTTCTACCTATTGCTTAATATTATCTTGAAATATATGTGGACCCATTTCCTGGCGGCTGTTTGGTACCTTTTGTGTCCACTTGTATGGGCAAAAGAAGAAACCTTTTTCTTACGTTCTCGTACAAGAAGCGCACAGACCAGCTTAGAGTAACCTACAAATCGGCGTTATATAAACTTGTACTCCACTTTGAGAGTTATTACTACACCGATCAATACCGAACCTTTCCTTGCTTCCTTGCTTTACTTTGCTTCACTTTGAAAAAGTCGTATTCTCTAGTAATTTAATTGAATATTATTAACTGTCTATTATGCCTTAGAACAGTTACACAAACCCAAGAAAAAGAATATACAGCTATATCACGTTTGCTCTGACGTGGACATCTAAGACTGACAAAAAGCGCAGTCCTAATCTTTAATCGCAGATGAAATTTTTTTCTGTTACTTATAGACCTCCTCCAACGCGTCGTTTGTTTTCTCCTTGAGCAACAACAGTCCCGGTTTCATAGTGAGGCGTCTCTTGCGACCGTTGCAGGGAGATTCTTCCATGCTACAAGCATCGGAAAGTGAAAGTTGTTACTCGCCAGCTCAGTTAATTCTGAGAAGTCGTGGGGCATGGTCTCTTTTCATTTTTGGAAGGACTACTGTGTACATCGCATCGCCAATGTGGAATCATGATGCTGGGGGGAGGGAGGTCTAACTTGTGGTGAGATGTGCTGGCTCTTCACTGCTAACCTGACTGAACTCTTTAACGGCTGACGGTGAAGCTACTGGTAGTCGAATGAGCTGGACCTTATCACCTAGTGGTAAGTTCTCTGGCGAGTTCGCACCCACATTACTCGGTGACGAGATGTGGGGCTGGATGAACGGGTGCTTTCCGTTGGTTTGCCACCATTCCAGCACCTCCTTCGCTACCAAGTCAGGTTTACGTCCTGAAGGAGATTGAGCCGTGTAATGCGGGGACAAAGAACTTGGTGTCATGCTTTTTATTCTTTTACTCATGTAAAAGAACATTAAGTGAAATTCAATCAAATAGAATAGTTTCTTTATGTATATATATGTATACCTTTAAATAAATAAATAAAGTCTTTTTTAACTAGTATCGTCTCCAATAAAAAAACACGCTTTTAAACTTTTTTTTTCTACTTGATTGAAGATGTCAATGTTGTAATTAGGAGAGCCCATTTATACGAAGAAATTAGTCTAATTGAATAAATCTGAAAAGAAGCAAAGTACTATTTGTATATTTTAATGTAGTATTGATGGCCGTGTTTAACTGTAGATGTTGTTGTTGTCTAAGCTGTACTAAGATTAAAGTAAGACTAGTTTTTGAGAACATCGATGCCGTGAATTGTATATTATTTAATTTAGTTAATCCGGATGGACATTGTAAAGATGATGCATTGGAATGAGAGAAAGAAAAAGAGAGATGAGAGCGAATGAAGAAATGCGTGCTTGGAAGAAAAAATAGAAAAGGCGTGGTGAACTGAATACACAAATAATGACCTTCACTGTATCTAGACAGACTATGTATAAAAAGTTCAATATGAGCGTATTTATGAAACAATAATCCTTATATATAAGCACTTTTGTACTTTGATTATCAGTGAGTACCTATTGCTCCTATCGTTATTGCATACGCACGTGAACAATTATATTCACAGTGTAAAATATGATTGGAATTCAAGTTAGATATGAACAAGTATTGACAGCTGTAAAATACATCCTTCAATATTATTTATAAAAGTGATTTGCCAAAGATTTTCAGAAAGTCTATATTACAGTTCTTAAAGATGATCTAACACGCATAAAATATACTGAGCAGCAAGACGTGGATATTATAAAGAGGGACATTTTCGTACTGAATTGCATGGAGTGAAGTGGAGTGTAATTTTGATGTATGCCATTTCCTACAGCTTATTAGTTGATATAGTTTATTTGTATGTTTGTTTTTGCTTTGTTTTAAATACGTGCTCAAAAGATATTGTATTACTATATTTTTTTTTGGTTAATTTCACTCGGATCTCCCGAAGAACGCCATATATGCAGCTAATTCCAAAACAGGAAATGGCTTGATAATTTTTCTTTCTTTCTTTCTTCTTTAAATTATTGGTTTGCTTAATGAAATTGCTTAATAATCGTCTAGATCATACTCATCGCTTGATAATCCAGAGCCATGATCTAAAGCAAAAAAGAAAAAAAAAACATAATTGTTAAGAGCGTTCGGACAGTACAACCCAATACCCATTACTTACAGTGTTCATAGTCTTCAACGCTTTCCTCATCAGGATAGTCATTTTGATAATAGTCCTCAGCTATCCAAAACATATTATTATTAAACAAAAAAACCAGACGGTATTATTAACATAAAGCTTACCATTGGAGTCTTCATCTTCGTGGTCGCCTAATTCACTATCTGTATCGTCGTTCAAGAACTCGCCTTGTTCGTCAAACCAAACCCTAGTTTCCAAAAACAACAGCAGCAACAAAAGAAAATGATTAGAAAACTTATCTTTTTTTTCAATTTTGTTTCAAAAAAAATATAAACTTACAAGGATCCAATATTAGCTGCGTTTATACCAGTTGTAACATTTGAATCGTCTCGATAGTAGACATCATATACATATTCGTCTTCTTCTGACAGTTGTGGCTTTTCATTCACTGCATAGATAGTTTAATAATCAATAGATACATAAATCTGTGTCTGTATTCTTACATGTCAAGTATTCCTTAACCATTGGAATGAAGTTGCACATAATATCATCAGGATCTTCAGTATCATCGTCCATAAACAACCTGGTAACTTGTTTAGAGTAGCTTACAAACACACCCACAAGAACTTACTTTGCTTTAGAGTTTTCTTTATCGTCTTCCTTCACAGCCTCATACATCTGAAAAAGATCTTTGGCAGCAACCTCTGATGCACTCTCGACCCTGCATAACACAAATATGATTAAAATACTGCTTTTTTTTATGTGTATGCATACATATACATATTTTGTATATATTTATATGTATACAGACAAAGGGAAACCCTTTCCCCTGCCATTTACCCTTGATCCCTAGCTTAGATCATATTTTACTTACATTGGAGGTAGGTTTTCGGCATTTTTCGACCGATTCTGCTGAACCACTCTGTAACGGGCCTGACGATTGGTATTCTTTATATAAATAATAAATAAATAAAAAGTATGTAGATTGTGTTGAGTTAACTTATATGGGGCTCCGATTTACTTTACTATCTAATACTAATAATAATGATGATCTACCCATTTAGATTTATTTTATTTTTTATGTTACCAATTGTTCTTTCATCATACGATCTTTACGATCGTCGCTTGATTCGGGTGTCATGGGTCTACCGCCAGGTTGTATACGGCGTGAAATACGATCCTGTAGAAATAATATTTGATTACTGAGAGCCAATTCTTCTTCCTGTACTTCAGAAGGCCGGACTGGCGAACTTTAGAGATATTATACCTTTAGTTTTTGTGCTTCAGCTATACTCTTGAAACTCTTTTCTTCAACTGTCTCTGCCAAACGGAAGAGGGTAGGAAGGGCCGATGCAGGAACTGTACAAATACTGGCATGATTATTATTTCTGTTAAAAAGCTATATATACGTCTTTTATATGCGAAGCGTACTTGTAATTTTGGGATCCGTCTTGGCATTGCTTTCTCTTCGGACACGTTTGTCTTTATCCTGCTGAACAACTAATGGAGTGATGAGCAAAGGAATTGGAATACTCCGAGTGGCTTACGCAATGCATCGAGAGGTTCCTCTGTGCGTTTGCGCTTAATACGGAGGATAGTAAGCTGTGGCTCAATAGAAGTTCCCTCAGGTTTTGACATGGTGTAGGATCTATTTTATTTATATATATATATATATAATATACGTGTGTACAAATAAATTACAAGTCTGAAAAATCAAACTTGAACAAGGGAATTATAATTAACTAAAATAAAAAAGAAAAAAGAAAAAAAAAACTCAATTTGCGGAGCTGATGTCAGCAAATCCCGCCAGACTTTTTTTTATTTAAAAAAAAAAAAAGAAAAAAGTGGCATGCCTCTTACAAACCTTCTCTCCAACTCCTCCCCACACGTTATGCACAATGGCAGAGCGATCTCCGAGACCACCATTCTCTCCAACCTCACACCCTCCTTCTTCGGATACTAATCAGTGGAGCAGCCAAGACTACAACTCTGATAAGAATAGAGTTGGGATGACGAAAACAACTCCCCGCGACGATAGGCAAGTCTTGTTCCATAAAGACTTTATCAGGGCAACCAACAGACGATGATCTGGTCATCCAAAAAAGAAAAATAAAAAATAAATAAAACGAAACAAAACAAAACAAAACAAAACAAAACAAAACAAAACAAAACAAAATAAAATAAAATGAAAATAAAAACTTAAAGTGTATGAGTGATTGACCATCTCCATACAACCAATACAGCGTTATCGATCGACCCGAGTCACCAACTTTACCCCCCGAAGGTGGGCAGGACGATGTTTATGAAGATATCCCTCAAACACCAAAGTCTAGTTTCGATCAGCCTCGAAGCCCGGGGGATTTCAATGGAATAAATTCTACACGGATTCCGCTTCTTAGCAACAGCAGTACAACAAGTAGTATATCGTCTGATAACTGGCAGAATGTTTCTGGTTCAGGTATAAAAAAAAAGGGGGGTGGTGGTGGGATAAAGAAAGAGAATCTATTGTTTTATTATTCCTGTAATCATTATCATTATCCTTGTGGAGGTTATTGAAGGAAATCAAATAAAAATCAAATAAAATAAAACTGATATTCACACAAAAAGGGTCCTTCCCCAATGGCACTAAAGGAGGGCCCCACTACCAGTCAATGGAACGCACCCGCTCAGTACAAACACCGACCTCGGCCTATGCCCCACCTTCACAAGTGCCCCCTAGTCGCCGTAATGGCTCATCTAACCAGCATTTACGACATGCAGTTTCGGCAAATGGACTTCATCATAAAGCACGGCGACCTCTTCATGTGAATGACCATATGGCAGCAGCTATTGAACTTAGTGCAAGTCCTAACGTTCCTTTGGCGCCTGCCGCGGGCATGTATTGGTCCCGTGCGATTACTTATGGACGAGGCCCGTCGCGGCCACTACGAGCACATACGGCAGATCTTGTAGGTGAGCATCTGTATGTGTTTGGAGGGTGCGACATCAAGACGTGTTTCAATATTTTATATGTGCTCGATATGGGTAAGTCAATTGGAGTATATGCATGCATATGTGTGTGTGTCATTCTTTTTATAATAGATAAAATAAAATAAAGAAGAGAAATTACAATATTGAAAATATCATTGATAATCTAGATACCTTGACGTGGTCAAAGCCTAGGACAAGTGGACATGCACCTCCTCCGTGTCGTGCCCACTCATGCACAGTAGTTGAGCGTGACTCGGGTGGAGGTAAACGTACACACTACCTGTATGTATTTGGTGGTGGGGATGGACCTAATTACTTTAATGATCTGCACATCCTGAACACCGGTAAGTTAGTATAATTGGCAGACCTTTTTTGTTGTTGTTGTTGTTGGCATGGAGAAATAAGAGAATGATAATAATAATAATAATAATAATAATAATAAAGAAAAAAGTTAATTCAATCCAAGCAACTAACCAAAAAGTTCTACTGTTGGACAGATACACTTGTTTGGACCAAACCATTGGTTGGTGGTAGCCCGCCATCGCCTCGGCGTGCACACACAACTTGCTTATGGAACAATAAGATCATCGTGGTAGGGGGAGGCGATGGGGCACGTGCATTAGCCGATGTCCATGCTTTAGATATTAGCGATCTTAATAAGCCATCCTGGACTCAACTGGACCCTTCCGGAAGTCCGCCTATTGCGCGTGGCTATCACACCAGCAATCTGGTTAAAGACAAGTTGATTGTGTTTGGTGGTAGTGATGGACACGAGTGTTTCAATGATGTGTTTGTACTGGATCTTGGTAAGCCAATATAATATGGTATTTTTAACATTACAAAATTTACTCACTGCTGCTACTGCTACTTATTATTGCTATTAATATTAATATTAATATTAATATTAATACTATTAATAATGTGTATAACATATCTATATATCTATATATATCTATATCTATATCTATATAAAAGTCTCGAACCAATGGACTCAGATTGAACTTGATCGTGGTATATCTCGATTGGCACACACTGCTACCCAGGTGGGGTCTTATGTATTTGTTATTGGTGGCCATGATGGTAGCCGGTACTCAAACGATATCCTTCTTCTTAATCTTGGTAAGTCTTTTGCTTAAATAAATTAACATATGTGCGCGTGTAAAGATAGAGAGAGAGAGAGAGAGAGAGAGAGAGACTGTGAATCATTGAATATTAATGAATTTTCTATGTTTTGTTCTAGTCACAATGAATTGGGAATCACGCAAGATATATGGTGTGGCTCCTAGTCCGCGCGGATACCACACATCTGTACTTTATGACTCTCGCCTTTATATCCTCGGCGGTTATGATGGAAGAAATGTATTTGAAGATGTCTATCAACTGGACCTAAGTGCATGCGCTTATTTACCTCAGATTACCAACTTTGAGATCGACGTTTAAGGGCCCTTTTTTTTGCTTTGTTTTCCTTCTTATTTTATAATTATTATGCTCTTTATTTTACTCCTAGAATCTCCTCTCTCCAATCCTACCTTATCCTACCTTATCCTATCTCATCCCCATCCTCTTCAATCCCCTTTACGGTCCTTTTATTTTATTTTACTTTATTTCATTTCATTTCACTTGACTTTTAGTCCAGTTTAGTTTAGTTTAGTTTATATATGCTGTGTTTCCACCAAAGATACTAGATATTGAAACACTTTCTTCTTCTTATTCGTCTTATTCTTTACTCTTTAATGTACTCTTGATATAAAACCAAAACAGCTACAACAAAATTGTGGGACAAACAATACATTTAAACGAGACATTAGAGCATCCACAGCAGTCTATTTAAGCCTGGAGCCAGATTTTCTACTACTACTATTATTGTCATCATTGCTCGAATGGTTTAGGGAAGCGCTGAATTTAGATGTCCAAATAATCATCTTAAAAAAAAAGAAATTGGTTAAAACATTTATTTTAGATAAACCACTGTGGATGAAAGAAAAAAAATCTAAATTTACAACCAAAACAAAATTACATATTCGACGAGTTTACACAAATCACTGTGAATGCTCTCAGTAGCATTTTGACAAAGTAAATCACCGACAATCAATTATTTTGTGTGCGTCTTTCTTCTTCTTCTTCTTCTTCTTCTTTGTATTAGGAAATACACCGTGGCTTGAAGAAAGAAAAGAAAAAGAAAAGAAAAAAAGCAATGGGGTGGTCAAAAAAAGGTTTAAATTCAAGTATTGAAAGTTTGACACTGTGAGTTTAAGAAATAATAAGGCGCTTTTTTTTTTCTAAACTTTTTTTTTTTTAATAAAATATAGGTTGCTTGGTGCAATTGTTTATTACTCAAAATCCCAAAAAATTAAAATGATACGGGAAAATTGATTTATAAATTAAGTTGAACAAGAAACATAATAAAACACACACACACACACACAAAAAGAGGCTCGACGGAATGGTTTGTCCGTGTGTTTTGTTGTTTGTGGCAACCACAACCTCTTGTTCCAAAAGATGTTTATTGATTGTGTATGGGAACTTACCTCCTCGAACTTTCTCCTCGTCCCCCTTCCATATTAGCCGTGCTCCCAGGAAATTAATTGTTTGTTTTTATTGGTCGTGCACTGCTTTTCAGTTTGTTTAAGCAAAAAAACAAAAAACAAACAAATCTGAACCAATGAACTGGCAATGTGTGTGGGAGCCGGGATATACTTCTTTACTATCTGTCAAACCATAAAACCACAAACAGACAAGCATACAAATAAATAAATAAAATATAGAATGTTGATTGGTGGATAAAGACGGAATCAAACAAAGAAATTAGTCCACCATTTGCTACATTTTTATTTTTCGTATCTTATTTTTGATTAGTATAGATATAGAGATAAAATGATAAAATGAAATAAGAAAAGAAGGGGAATTGGTTTGAGAATCTGGCTACTTATTTTGCAGGAGACACAACAGAAAAGGGACAAGGGGAGAGCTTGCAATTTTTTTTTTAATATGATTTGTACAGAGTTCAAGACCAACTTTGTACCCTTTCTTTTTGAATATTCAACATTCAATTTCTTTTCTTTTCTTTTCTTTCACTTCTTTCTCTCTCTCTCTCTCTTATAGACAATTAACCTTATGTATATGTATTCCCCTTACATTTTATAAGAAAAGAAATATACGAAAAAAAAACAACCCCCAATTTTTGATCAAATGCTTCGAATTTTGTCCAATATTATTTGATTGGATATTTGATCTGATAAGCTATTCAATACATATACATTTGTGTGCACAAGAGTGTACATGTGCAGGTGAATGGGTGTGCTTTCTTTTCTTTCCTTCTTCTTTTTTTATGGCAATTTATATGTGAATTTGTTTCATTAGATTTTGTTTCTTTTTTTTTTAAAAAAAAAATTACTTCTTGTAATATGTTTTACTCATGGGTACCCCTACAGTTACAGCAGTTCTGTCCAAAGACAAGTATAAGGCACGGGCTTGTACAACCTCTTTTTACATATTTGAAAGATTATTGTACTCTAAGCTTGCTATCTATACCAAGTCAAAAAAAAAAAAAAAAAGACGGACTCTTGACTCATGATTTGATCATTATATATATTTATATTTATATTTATATGAAAAATAAAGGGTCTTGGCTGTTTACTTATGGATTTGTTGTCCAATCAAAAGCCATATTTCTTACTAGTAAAAAAAAAACAGGACGATCTTCCTTTTTATACGTCATATTCCAGAAATGGAAGCTTCCCACCAGTTTTTTTTTCTTTGCTTTCCTTTCCTTGACCCTCTTACAGACCTATTTTCTCTCTTTCTCTCTCTGTGAATTTTACTCATTTTTTCTCATACTATTTACAAGGCACCAACAAAGAAAATCACAGCATCTCTACTACCAAAACCAACCTCTTTTTTTATTTTATATAAATACAAATAATTCAACGCCATCATGTCAGGAAAGGGCGTAGTTCGAAGCATGTAAGCGATGAGCTCGAACATGTCGTTATTTAAGAAGAGAGAAGATCAGCTCAGAATCATCATAGAAGGATACATTTTAAGCAGAACCTAAAAACTCATTAGGACCCTTTGTACTCTTTAGTAAAAACTATGCAAAAGGGTTTTCTGACGTACAAATCAGAGTCCGTGAAGCTACCTCAAACGACTCTTGGGGACCTAGCGGAACTCTTATGAATGAGATTGCCCAGATGACCTACAATCAGTGAGTATTTACACATGTATATATATATATATCGGAAAATCACACTACAAAGAAAAGAGCAAAAGAAAAAAGCACCTGTTTGTAATCAATCAATCAGGTACTTTGGTCTTTTGAAAGAAAAGAGAAAAAGACCAATGTCTGATCAAGACACAAAGAATCTTTCCGGGAGATTATTTCTAGTTTATTAGCATAACATAAATAATTACTACTATTGTAATTGAATTCCTCTTTCTTTTTTTTTTTCTAACTTGAGAAAAATTCCATAGGCACGATTTTGTTGAAATTATGGACATGATAGACAGACGTCTCAATGACAAGGGAAAGAATTGGCGCCACGTCTTTAAGGTGAGAAATAATCGAAATAGAAGTGAAGTTAATTGAAGTAAATTGAAATAAAATAAGATACAATAAAATAAAATAAAATTACCATATGTTAAATTCCTCATCTTTTGCTTGGTTTCTGTGTGTGTGTGTGTGTGTGTGTGTGGTACAGGCGCTACTTCTATTAGATTACTGTCTCCACGTGGGATCAGATAACGTGGTGCTGTATGCTAAAGAGAATGTTTATGTCGTAAAAACCCTCAAAGAATTCCAGCACATTGATGATACTGGAAGAGACGTTGGTGCCAATGGTAAATACATATATATATACGCTAGTAATAATATTTAAATTAAAAGAAAGAGAAAGAGAAAGGACGTTTAGGGTAATTTAGGACAGGGTTGCAGTAATGTGCTTAATAATGATTATTGTAGTGCGACAAAAGGCAAAAGAAATTTCCAACCTATTACTAGACGATGCCCGTCTAAGAGAAGAAAGACGCCAAAGACAGCAGATGAGGGACAGAATGATTGGTGTGACTGATTACATGAATGAAACCATGTTGGGAACAAGGAACGAGGACGGAGAACAAGTATACACTCGCCCTGGTTATCTAGACGATGATAAGGAGCTCAGAAAAGCGTTAGAAGAAAGCAAACGGTTGGCAGACGCAGAGGCCAGAAACCGGAACCAGGGGTAAGAAACTTTATTGGCTTTATTTTCTTTTTCTTTTGTCTAAACTCAAGGTTGTTATCTTTCATTTTACTTTACATAGCGATGAAGATCTTGCCAAGGCAATTTCATTGAGCGAACAAGAGGCTCTTGAAAAAGAGAGGAAAAAACGAGAAAAGCTCGAGCGTGAAAATGAGCAACAGTTATTTGGTTCCGGGGGTATTTCTAGTCAACCTACTGGGTATGTAACATTTCTATGGGTAATTGAATTCTTTAGATAAATTAATATAAATATGTATAACTATGTATGTATATTGCTGAAAATAGTTTCAATCCCTTCCCTGCCAACCAAACGTTTGATTCTTCATCAAATCCTTACGCTCAAACACCTCAGATTCAATGGCCACAGAGCACAGGCTTCAACAGCATGGGATTCTCGGATCCCATAGGATCTCAGCAAACAATGCAAACTCAGAACACTGGTTTTAGCAATCAGTTTTCCAACCCTTACCAACAACAGACCAACCCTTACCAAAGCCAAGGCCAGTCGTTTGGATTTGGCCAAGGACTTCAGGCTCAAATGACAGGTGTACCTCAGCAATCTCAATTCACGGGAATGGCTCCTTTCCAGACAAATACCGCCACCAGTCAACAGTTTGGGTCTTCGCCGTCATTCCAGTCCAGTATGGTCACTGGTACCCAGAATCCTTTTGGACAGCAACAACCACAAAATAACCTTACACAACAATCATTCTTTGGGTCAGTGACACAAGAACAAGCCAGTCCTTCTTTTGCCAATGCACGTTCAATGACACTCCCTTCAATGTCCACACAGGTAAGCTTTTTTTTGGTCTTGTGTTCTTGGATATCAAGTACTGAAATTACTTTTTTTTTTTTTATATATAAATTTTTTTTTAGAATAATAACAACAATAACAATATGGGCTCTTCAAGTCCATTATCTTCTCGACCAACCGACCCACGTTTTGCAAAGCTCAATTCTCTGCTTGCCAACAAGGAGTATGTTACACTATTAGGATTTTATATGTATATTGTACTAATTATTATTTTTTTTAATTTTTTCCTTTTTCTTCTTCTTCAGTGACGGCATGGACACATTTGGTAACACTGGAAATCTTAGAGTACCATAGTAAGTTCATGATGAGACGATTTTATTTACGTAAATCTTAATATCTTCTTGTTTCAATTGTGCTTCTGTAGTGGCGCAGGGTATGCCAGTACTATTCGACCCGAGCCCACTGGACAGTCTAACAGCACAGCTGATCTTCTTAATCTGGGAGGAGATTCTGGTAACAAAGAAAGTTCCGCATTTTCCCAGGTAAATTAAAACAAAAACAAAAAAAAGCAAGAAACCACAACCACACCCGTGTTTTACGCACATACATACAAAAAATAAGGAAAGAAAGAAAGAAAGAAAGAAAGTCTAATAATTAGAAGAAGGGATAAAGAAGAAAGAAAGAATAAAGAAGTAGTAGTAGTAGAAGAAGAAGAAGAATGTGTGGAACTGAGCTTGATCTATTGTTGTTATTTTTGTTATTTTTGTTGTTTTTGTTGCTTTGTTTTTTGTTTTTTTTTGTCTTGTCCACAATAATGCTTACTCTATTTATCCTTTATTAAATAGCCTTTTGGACAGCAACCAAGTCGCAATCCATTTGGACAGTCAACCTCTGTAAATGCAACAGGTTCGCCTCACCTCAATAACCAAAAGAGTTTACTTGAGATGATGCAAGAACAAAGACAGCAGCAGCAGCAACAACTTCAACAACAACAGCAACAACTTCAACAACAACAGCAACAACTTCAGCAGCATCAACAATTCCAACAAATGACTGGTATGCAGCCACAAATGACAGGATTCAACGGGTCAATGGGCTTCAATCAGCAGCAGCAGCAGCAGATGACTGGTGTGCAACCGCAAATGACAGGTTTCAATGGATCAATGGGTTTTAACCAGCAGCAGCAGCCTCAGCAGCAACCATTTGGACAGCAAAGCGGGTCTTTCTTTTAAACAATATATATAACATATAATATACTCTCTCACTCACTCACTCACTCACTCACTCACTCACTCACACTCATATATATATATATATATATATATATATATATTATATAAAACCTTTTTTTTTATTACTATTACTATTGTTATTACTATTATTATTATTATTTTTTACAACGACCAAAAAAAGAAACAAAAAGAAACTATCTGGTGTATCAATGGGATGTTGCACACCAAAAGAATCCTTTTATATATATATTATTATTTTCTTTATGCTGTTGCCAATCGGATAGGTGCCGACAAAGAGTATAATTTCGAATACTAGTATTATTGTTACTATTGTTATGCTCATTAATATTTTACAAAAAAAAACAAAAAATAATTTTGGGGGAACTTCTTTACCCCACAACATTATACTAAATGTAGTGAAGGCGGTTTAGATTAGTTGAATTGATCTTGTTTATATTTGAGATTTGTAGCTGTAGCTGTAGTTGCAGTTGTATATATATATATATATATGTATGTATGTATGTATGTATGTATGTATGTATGTATTTGTGTGTAATTTACCCAACAGAAATTCTGAATTGGACAGCACATTTGTTGTTTTGTGTTGATATCACCAGAGTTAGGTTTATAGATAGAAAGGATTTAGGGAGACCAAAAACTGGTGTGAGTGAAGACAAGTGTATTTGTGACGGGGGGGTTCAACTCAATGAGAGTAGGAAGCTGTTAAGAAGAGCTTTATGAACCCCATGGACAAACAAAAGCCATAGCACAAAAGAGGGCGTAAAGAAGGTTACCCGACAGATACAATTATTGTGCGAGGGGATGGGAGAATAAATAAATAAATAAATAAAATAAAAAAAGCTGGCCTGGAGCTTGGTTGCGATCGGGCCGAGATTTGGACAGAGATTAATAGAAAACAGACAGGCCAAATAACTAGGTCACGTACACATGGCTTGACGATCAACACCTTTGGTCGAGATACCAATTTACAATCTTATTGTTGGTCGTCTCATCCACAAGCTGTCAATTGAACCTCTCTGTTACACCGACCATAGAGAAAAGGAAACATACACATCAAATATACAAAATATATATAAATTTAAAGTACAAAAAAAAAGGGAGACAAAAATAAGAGAGAACTTGGTGATGCCATGATGACTGAATTGAATTCCTCCAAGGCCTTCTTTGGCTTGCCATGCGCGTGTATTTAAGACACGGCAAAAAAATAACAATCCTCTCTTGTTCCCCAAACATACACACACAACTCCTCTTAGTTTTTTGTGCCCTAGTATTTTTACTATTGATCCCCCCCCCCCCTTCCCTTCGTGCGCTGCAGTTTTATTTTTTCTTTTTTTTTATTTGAAAAGAAAAAAATTTAAAAAAAAAAATATTATTACTCTGATTGAACATCCTTCTTTCTTCTTTTATCTTTTATCTCTATCTATTCACTCAATAATGGCTCACTCTGCTGTATTCACTCGCCACGAATCCCACACGTGGAAGCGAATAACCCTAAAGAGATCGCCTGTCTTGATCACCCATTCCGCTACCTCTACCTCTACCTCTACCTGCTCCCTCCCGTCATCCCCATTAAAGCCTCCGATCAGTCAGGCGCCTCGGATAGAAGCCGCTTCCCAAAGACCATGCCTCCGAACACGTCTATCATCATCTTCTTCTTCTTTATCATCTTTATCTTCACTGAGATCCAAATCCGTCAGATTCGATCCAGAATTGGAAAAAATCTGTCTCTTCCAGAAATCCCACGCACCATCGACCCTCAAAGAGGACAATGAAACCCTTTGTGCAAAGGCAAAGCAAGAGTCACTTGGAATAGTCTACATGCATTGGCCCGCTCGTAGTACACAACACACCTCAAGGCCGATCCGCGTCGAGAAGAAGCTAGACGTGACCACAACCGAGATCGTCGGTCAGGTCCAGGTCCGCAACTTGGCCTACCACAAGACGGTCTGGGTTAGATACACCTTTGACTGCTGGCAGACCGTGGAGAATGTTGAGGCTGTCTACCGTGAGCCGGTCGGAGGCAAAGATCCAAACAACAGCAATTATGACATCTTTATCTTCACCATCCAACTCAACAGACTCTCGACCAATCGTCCGGCGAATAACAATGTGCTGGCCACGCTGGATTTTGCGGTTCAATATACGGTCGATGGCAGAGAAGTCTGGGACAACAACGAGGGTAAGAACTACAGTGTCCAGTTAATAAAGTCTGTCGACGACAGCGAAGACAAGACCAGAGACCGATACAGAGACAGAGACTCTCTGGTTACGCCCGCTAAATTGCCAGCAGCCAATTCTAGGAGTCGATCGATGGTGCAGGTCACTAGAGAAGATGAAGAAGAGGAGGATAATCTATGGGGTCCTCGCTATGACTTTGGCAATTCGATCACCCAGGCACGCAGAAACCCGCCTGTTGAGATTCCAAAAGTACACTCGCCGATGATCAGATCCATTCCCACAGCCAAAACCACCGAGCCTTTCAAACAGCCCTACAGTCGTCCGGTCCCAATCCCCCAAAGACAGCCCAGAGCAAGTATCCTCTATGCGTCATCTCCTCCAAATGCAGCATTCTACCATGGCTTTCCTATTGTGTCCTTTAACCCGTCCTCACCCACCAGCTGTGTGGATCTCAACTCCTCCTCGTACATGGATCTTGTGAACAAATATTGTTTCTATGGCACAAGCCCAACTCGTTCGCCGATGCCTATCAACGGATAAATAAATATATATATATATGTATATATGTATATATATATATATGTATATATGTATATATGTATATATGTATGTATACGTATATACCTATACCTATATATATATATAATAGGTATATGTATCTTATCTTTGTGATATTTCCTTGCTTCTTTGTTGGCCCTTATTTTCTCTCTCTATATAGCTTATTGTTTCTTATTTGGACTTATTGCATCGCTACTATCTTACAGACAAATGGCGCCTGATAAAAAAAAAGTTTCTTCCTTATTCTTCTTCTTCGTCTTCTTCTTCTTTGTAAATATACATATACATATTATTATTATCTTTCTAATAAATAAATAAATAAATCAATAAAAAAAAACAACAACAACAACAATAATAATAATACTAATAACAATAGCAAAACAACACTGCATAATTCCTATAGTAAAGCATAGAATAAAACCAAAACAAAGCAGGGGGGAGAACTTCTTGAATATTCAAAAGACTGGCATCTCCTTTGTTTCATACAACCCCACCAAAACTAAAGCTTACTCATTGATTGATTGATTTGTTTGTTTATTAATATATATATATATATATAAAAGGTTCTTTTGTTGTTGTTGTTTTTTTTTATTTGTTCTTGGTAAAATTAAAAAAAAAACATATATATATATATATATATATTGTGTGTGTGTGTGTGAGAGTGAGTGTGTGAGTGAGAGCGAGATAAAGAGATAGAGTGAAAGTGAAAGAAGAAGACTTCTTGTATTATTTTTTTTGCGTGAGTGAAATAATGAGATGATGGGGATCTATTTTTTGTCGGTCTTTGCGTAGAATCTAGCTTGTTCAGCATCGAAATTCTTGTATGAGCGTCTTTCGTAGGCCTTTGGCTTGTATTTGGTGTGCTTCTGGACAGGTACTCGGGGTTCGATAATGTTACGCTCCTGAATGCTTACAAATCTGTCGCGGAAGATGTTACCTTCGGGCTAAGTGTACAGAAAAATTATAAAATTAAAAAAAAAGGGGGGGGTTAAATAAAATAAAATAAAATAAAATCATAATAATAATCCCCCCCAAAAAAAAAGAAAGAAAACAAGGTCAGTCTGCTTCTTTTTTTCTTCTTCTTCTTTAAAGATGAAACTGTTCTTGTATTACCTTTAATTGACGCAAAGTCTCGCTCAGCTCGTCCTGCAGCTGAACCTCAATGGACATCTCCTGAACGTAATGTTTGCCAAGTCTCTTCTTGCCTGCAAGAGCCTCTGCTTCTCTGTGGGCATCTCTCTTGGTCGAAAGGTTTTCGAGATCGGCATAACGTTGAGCGAGCTCCTCTTCAATGGCCTCGAGCTTATCGATCTGTTTCCGGATGTTGCGCTCATGTTGCTTTTTTTCACGCAAGGCACGCTCCAACTGAGCTTTCCGCTCCTTGTTGCGCTTTGTACGTGTCTTACGGATCTCATTTTGCTTTTTCTTTTCTGCTTCAGTTGCATCTGCGCTAATCGCTGTTTCTTCTTCATCTTCGACTGTTTCACCGTTCACATGTGCATTGTGTTCTTCAAGCTCGTGAGCGAGGTCGTCAAGTTCCTTACGGTAAGCAAGCTGCTCATCGAGTTTCTTGGCTGCCTCAACCTTCTTGAGCTCAACAGAATGTGCCTTGTCCAACAATTTCTGGTGCTCCTCCATCGAAGGGTTATAAGATGCACCAGCATCAGGTACAACAACGTTGACATGATTAACCAAGGCTTTTGGTGTATGTTCCATTGTGGCAGGAGCCTATTTTATTATATTGTGTTATTATTATTTCAAAGTAAATTTCTTTTAGTACATGCAACTCCCCTCCCCCATATGTCTTGTAATAACTATATATGTATATATGTATGAATGCATGTATGTATACGTACATTCATATACACACACACACATACATACATACATATTTTTTAATTGTTATGGTTATTGATTATTGATTATTGATTATTTACCTTTGCCTTGTGAGTTCTCACATCCTCAAGGTATGGGTTCTTCTCCTCGACGGGTGCTAAAAAAAAAGAAAGAATGTATGAATAAATAAATAAATGAATTTTTATTCATATGCCAAAATACTTTTTTTTCTCTCGAAACCATAGTCGCCTAGATGTCTATGTATGTAATTATGTATATAACCACTTACCATCGGCCCACAAATCATATGTATTTGTCTGGCTTGACTTATTCTTCTTCTTGACAGGTGCAGCAGATTCCTCGGCCTTGCGCTTAGCAATCTTTTCAACCTTCTCCAGAGTATACTTGGAAGGCTTGCCTTTAGAGGCTGGTTTGGCACTAGATCTAAGTGCACGACCGTTGACAGCAGGTACTGCAGATCGCTCGGCAAGAATTTCATCAACCTTAAGAGGCTTATCCTTTGCCAACTGACGCTTTACTATATATGAGAAAAAAATTATATATATATATTAAGCAAAAATTAGTTTATCTACAAGCATAAATATGTAAAAAAAAAAATCAAGTACAAATTCTCGAGTTATACCTTTGCTGTCACCCACAGTATCGATTGTGAAAAGTTGATGATCTTCAAGGGGTGTTGTCTTTCCTCTATTCGGGAATGTTAGATGATTTCGAGCGATCGGACCGAGAAAAAAAAATGCATAATAGATTTACCTCACACGCTCTTCAGATCGCAGAACTTCAAGGCCATCTTCGACACCGGTAATGTCAATGTTCTTACGCCATGCCTTCTTTCCTTTACGGCTAGGCTGTGCCTTGGCGATCTTTGCGGTGTTCTCGGCTGACATGGTAGGTTGAGATCAAGATGGCAGGCTCACTTTAATGTCGAATAGAAGAGGGGAAAAAAAAATCGAAAATTGCTAGAGCAGTCATAGCAAGTCACAATAACGAGCTTTTGGGCCTTTCTTTTTTTTTTTTCTTTTTTAAGTTTTTTTGTAGTTTATATATTTCCAGCAATATTTATGAAATATATATATATATATAAATCCTGGGATTTATAGAATAGTAGCAAATTTCCTTAATGTTTTTATATCGATATCGATATCGATATTACATACTATTCTTTTGTTTGTTTGTGTGTAAAAAAAAAAATTATCGAGAATATAAGCAGAAAACACCGGAATTATGAATATCTGATAATAGGTGTTTATTATATATAAAAAAAAAATAAGAATTTATTGATTTACATATATACACATGTTGTTCGTCAAGATTGAACCCTTAATCGTACAGGATATTAAATACCCTTTTGAATATATATATATATATATATACTAAACAAAAACTTAATTCAATTCAATTCAATTCATATTTCAGTCGAATTCATAGCTATGCTTAGTATAGTATATTAAACCAAAAAAGAAGAAGAGGAGGAAGAGAGGCGAATTCGCTCTTCTTCTTTTTGTATACACTTCCTTGCAAACAAGGTGAAAATCATAATTTGATCTTTTCGATTTTGTTTTTTTTTTGTTTATCAAAACAAAACAAAACAAAACAAAATTCAATTAAATTCAATTCAATATTGAATATATCCACCGCAAGTTACGATCAAATAAATAAATAAATCATCAACAACAACAACAAAAAAATTCCCTCCTATTTCTCCTGTGTCTATCTCTTTGTCTTTGTATCTCCCCTTTTCCTTCTCCCCCTTGCAAATCCAAGGCACAGATTTTTCTCCTAGAAATTAGTGTCACAACTGTTGTTCCCGAAAAACGATACCCAGAACTATAGTTGCAGGTCCATGTCAGCTACAAATACAGGTGTTGGTACAGCTTACATCTGCCTGCGCTGTACATGATAGTCTCCTATACTAACGCAGTAATTATATGAATTCAGCTATAATAGTAATAAAAAAAAAGTACAAAGCCTAAAAAAATAAAAATAAAAAAAAATTATCTCGATAAACCTGATATCTATAAATTTTTAATTTACACACATTATTTAAACAATTTTTTTTTGATATTTTGTTTTGATGTACATTTAAATTTATCTATCTATCTATTTCAATCAATTGAGAATAAACTTGCAAGCTCACAAAATAAATAATTCCTGATATTAAAGGTAATGATTTAAAAGTACTAGAAGCACTAGAAAACCCCCTTTTTTTTTAAGAGGATCTATTATAGACCCGTTCATTAAATTATCATGTACTTCGTCTAGAACCAAGAAAGTTTTACTTTTTTGTTTCAAAACTTATTACAATCATTTTAATTACCAGCTCACAGAAAAAAAAAGTATCCTCAAACCATAATAGACATGTAATTTATACGTAAAAGGGTTCAACTGTGATGTGCTTATAACAATAGGATAATTGCACTTTATGTATCTATATCATCTAGTAAGGACTATTCAACGCCCTTTTTTTTTTTATTTTTCAAGATTTGGTGCTGGCGTGTTTTTTAACGGTCCCTTGCGAATGAACGAAATTTATTCGCATTATCCATATTCTTTTGTATTGTTAATTGTTGGAATTGATTATATTAAACTCTTTATAAATATGTTTGCTAATAGCTACCAGGTTTTATACTAGCTTATATTGTTGCTTAGAATATATGTATATGTTTGTAGAGAGGTTGAAAGTAAAGGGTATTTGCATAAAAGAGCTAATATTAAACAATTCCTTATTTATAGCACCAACTAGCCTAATCATTGGTTATATAGTTTATCCTTTATTTCTTGGAACAAGGTGTGATATAAGTTTTTCCATTTCGCTGTAAAAAGTAATATGTTCTTCGATGACCTTTATGGTTGTGATCGCACCAAGTTCACACATTGTAATTTGGTTTCTCTGTCAATTTTTCGGTTAGTCTCTCAAGCACGCCCATAAACTTATACTGTATCAACCCAGCCCAGGATCACTTACAAAAACATATTGAACACTTGTATAAACCTGTTGATACAATTCTTTCAATTCTTCGGATTTCTTGTTGCCATTGTTTTGCTTTGAAACCTTTTCCCAAATTATAGTCTTTAAAAACTAAAAGAAAAAGAAGAAAAAGAAGAAGAAAGTCAGGCTGGTGTGTTCTTTGTAAGATACATCTTGGTTTATTTTATTAAATTTTTTAAAAACAATATATACTCTTATTATTGCTAATAACGTGCGTAGACATACATGTTTGTTTCCGGTTTCATAGACACTCTTCTTTGTAGCTATAGTTTTCTCCAGAGCCTTTCTCTAATGAAATAAAGTATGTTACAGGTGCTGTTTAGATTGCGCTAGTGTATTTTCAAAAGGCAAATATACAATAGCGAAAAGCAGATAAATCCCAAAAACCACTTTGTGTTCCCACCCCCCTCCCATCATACCTCAGGAGCAATTTTAGGCAACGTAGGCCGTTTTCGATCATCCTCTTTTTCTTCTATAAACTTGAATATATCCTGTTCTGCTTCCACAGGTGAAGATACTAGCGATGACACTTGTGAAGATACTTGGGAAGATACTTGTGAAGGCACCTTTTGTTTTTCGGCAACAAGTGCTTCTTTTGCTCGTTCAGCTCGTTCATTTTCGGTTAGTTTTGCAATGATCTCCAACCTTTTTGTAGAATATGTAACGGCATCTTTGAGATCTGTTTCAGATTGCCTGGAAAATATCTCGTACGTCAAATCAATCGTGCTCGAGAGTTCGTCAATTGAATAGAGTTCATGTGCGTATATCTTTGGGTCGCCTTTCGGTTCGGATGCTTCGCCAAAGATTGCAATATAAGTTTTTCTGGCGAATGGGTAGCCTTCATCTGTGGTACAGCATATTATTAAGGTACTGTTACTGAGTGTGTGTATATATATTAGATATATTAGATATAAACTATACCAAGTACAAAAGGATTCGGTGGATCGTCTTTTCTCATTTCCAGAAGAATGGCATTTTTGCATTTTCCTGAATCAGCAAGCTACTTTGATCCAAATTATTATTTCCTGTCTTCACTCATATATATATATATATATATATACATATATATATACATATATACGCCGTATTTAACCAAACCCACTTTTTTGGCAAAGACCTGGCAAAGGAACTGTTTTAATTGCTCAGATTCGTCAGGGATAGTCGAGCTTTTTCCACGTTGAATAAGATATTAAAAATATGTATATAGAGGCGGGTTAAATAACCAAAAACCTTGAATTAAACTATATGTATATGTTTGTGAAAGTACACTTTCCACAAATTATTTGCACACTTTATTAATAAATATATAAAACATACTATGAGTAAATAATTTGTTCTTCTTAATTCCAAGCAAAAATAATAATAATAATGTACAGGCATACATATATATATATATGCAAATACATCTACATTTATGATTGCGCAAGGTCAGTGTGCAAATAATTAGTAGAAAGTGTATAAAAAAAAGATGAAAAAAAAAAACCTATAAAAACTCACACATCCAATCTTTGGCCAGCAAACATCTGAACCTCAATGCTTGCACAGGAAACAACAGAAATAAGATGATATGATACATCAAATATAGAAGGTTGGACTGTGTGGCCAGGAATTCCGTTCTGAAGCACACACAGTCCTGGTGTTTATGGTTATAAATACAGACTTCCAGCTTAATGTGAACATACACAGATATATATTCTTTTTCTTCTTTGATGGGCTTGTGAAACCTAGGTCTGACTTACCTGGTAAAGGCTCTCCAAGTTGAGATTCATACCCTTTGTCATTGTATGGTTGATCGGTTACTTTTTGAATGCATTTTAGTTTATTGAGCTACCTGTTCCAAAATTAAGGCAGCCGACAAATAAATGTTCGGGATTTGAGTGTTCCATGATGAATGACCTAAAAAAGAAGAAGAAGAAGAACAACAACATTCCTCATGATTGACTTTTTGTGACGCGAAAAAAAAAGTCACTTACTGTTTTTTATGCAATGTAGCCCATTCAACAATATACATGTCTCTACCTCATATTACTTTACTTTAATTTCCTTCTATTTCATGTCATTCTTATACCGATTCATTTAATTCTTTAACAAGCAATATTTATGTGTATGTGTGTGCTCATAATAATAGGTTCTACATTTGTCAAGTACATTAAATATTGTACACACACATACACACACACACAGATGTATATCATTGGTTTTTTTTAGTATGACCTTGGAAATGAATGGTTACTTTAGGCAGAATACTAGCAGCCGGAAGAAAATAAATCGATTTTTTAAATGTTCTTTTTTTTTGTATTTATATAAAAGAAAGCTTTCTTGATGCTGTATATGAAATCTCCGTTCTCCTTTCCATAAAAATGGTTTATTAAAATCAGCCCCGTAGTAATCCACTCTGTTGGTCAATTATTCTTAGTATTTATGTTTTTGTCGTTTGTGGAGCACAAATTTTATTGAAGAGAGCTTATTTAATAGCAAATAATGTGAAAAAGGGGAAGAAGAGGTATTGATTTGTAGACAATTCTTGCAAGTATTGGGTGATTTACGATTTAACAAAAAAATATTGAAAATATTGTTTGAGATTTTCAGTTCTTAAAAAAACCAAAAACGGCCAAAACGGCCGTGCACACCTCTTGTAGTGTAACTCCTTTAAATGGATTTTTAATAGGAGCTATTTAAAAAGGTGTAATTACTTGGATTTATATTCTCTTTTTTAAAAAAAGATTCACTTAAAGTTCGTTTTACTTTGGGCAGCAAACGGCCGTGTACGCTTTAGATACTATGCAATCACCAAATTACTCACACTGAATATTTTCTTTCTCATAGAACCTTATAGAACAATAGACGTCATCCAGAAATAATAAGTCACGTATCCAATATCCTTCCTAACACTATGAGCCATTTTTGCGGTGACTTTTCTTTTTAGCCGCCTCGGTTTTCTCTCTCTGATGTGACTTTTATTTCAACCCCAAGGACTCTTTTTTTCATATGGCGTCACAATTTTAAAAGCCAATCAAAATAATTTAAAAGTCATTGACTCATTTTTCAAACACCAATCATTTTAATTTTCACGTTCCGTGACTTTCTTTCAATTGCAAAAGGTCGTACAAGAGTTGAACCATTTTGTCTATAAAAAGGGGCCAAAAGTTTGCAAATTTTTCAGATCTTTATTGTGGCGGTTATCTACGTAGTCTGCTCATAGATGTGGCCTTAGTAAACCGGTCGAAAGACTTTCACAGTTGAAGACCTATAAACCAAACTATATAAACCACGCGATGTCTATGCAGGTGTAGAATGCTGATAACCTATCTGTTGCCCACTGCGAGTTTTTTGAAAATTTTCTCGTCCAACAGGGAGATCCCACTTTCATCATTGGCTGGCCACCAATGGTAAATAAATTCAATAAAATAAATGAAAATGAACCAATCAAAATCTATATATATTGATTTTCTTAAATCATTTTATATAGATTTTGATTTTTTTTTTGTTTTTTCAATTTTTTTATGTTCTTTCAATTTTTTTTTATAAATTAAAAATAAAAAATTAAAATTAAAATTAAAAAATAAATCAAATATAATAGAAATTAAAATTAAAAAAATAAAATAAAATAAAATAAAACAATACACTCACGCTGAAAAAAAAAAATCGACCTGCACCCAAAAACAGCCAAAAGAAATCAATAAAATAAAAATAAAAACGTTGCTTTCTTCCCATTTTATTGATCGATTACAACATGCAAAACACAATTTCATCAACTATCACCTGTGTTCTATATATGAAAGCCAATCCTTGTAAACACTGATGAATTATGTGCATGCATTTTTGTAAATTAAGGCGCAAACATTTACGCCGCTGTTGACACGAGTCTGCCCATAGTCAAATGCAGCATTAAGAGAATAAAGGAAATTGGATTCCATGAGCCAATAAAATGGCTCAAAAAGACCTAGATATTTTGACAAGAGGAATGAAAGACACAGTAATCCGTTTCCTCGCGCGTTTAAGCTTTGGTTAATCTATTTCAATCCGTAAACCAAGCCTTGACAGAAGATTACAAGAGTAAAAGACGGGCAGAACTGTGCCCATGTTCAAGTCCATCGGGTTGATGAACCAAGATATACAGTGAATGGTAATGATAAAGGAGCTAGAGTTATTAGAAGAGTTGACAAAAGGTATAAAGTATATATATATCTTCGATGGAACCAAGTGAGGGAAGGGTACTGTGATGATTTGGTGCTGTTTCTGTACCGGTGGTTTTAGGGACCTTTGGCTTTCCTATATGGCAACGTAAAGCACGACCAATAGGTGAAAAATTTAGTCTGGAACTTCCTCTCTTGATTCCAAAATCTTTCATGGAAACTGAACAGACACTTTGTGTTCCAAGAAGACAACGGTCGCTGTCGTACTGGCTCTTATTCGAAGTGGTGAAGAGTTAATTATAAGTACCTTTGGTGTGTTCTCAGGGATCATAGGAGCGATAAGAGGAACAAAATCGACAACATTAGTGACTTGAATGTTGTAATGCAACAGGAGTGAAAAAGAATAGTTATTGAACTTGGATCAATTTTGGTTGGCAGCATGCAGCATTGATACCAGGCTGTAACTGGGTCCAAAAGAAGACATACCAAGCATTTATATTTCTATATATATATATTTCAATAATAAACATGTATATAATCTTTTATTTGAAGTTTGAAAGCTTAGGATATTATTACTAATTAGCAGTTGCATGTTGAATATATACCATGATTTTTTTTTGGGCTCAGAGGTCGAAATGTATTTAGCTGTGGCTGTTAGGTAGCCTCTTGCCACATCCAAAAAGGCACACGAATAAAATGATTATAAGCCTAATTATAAGTTCATATTACACAAAGCCATGTACATCATGGCTTATACAATATATGTGTTTTTGTGTCCACATCTTTAGTTTGTTTAAAGATGACAAAACATGACGTATGTTTTACTAAATTATATATTCCTTTGATGGTAGCTATAAGATTAGTTGGAGTGAAATCAATAATACAAGAGGTTCCATTTGCAACAGAGAAAGGGGACTTTACTTATTTATTTATTTAATTATTTATTATTTACTACGGAGGATTCCAGAAAAGAATCAATAATTTCCTAGGCTTTTTAAACAGAAACACGTCCAAAATCGAAATCAGGTATATATTTTGAAGGACAGAATTGGATGATTATTTATAATTACAATGATGATATTGCATCAATAAATATATATAAGAATGTTAGGAATGAAGTATAATATTAATATCTCAAGTCTTTAAAGAGTTTAATAAATCAACCATTAGATATAGCCACAAAGAAGTATATCAAAAAGAAGCTTCAATTAGTTCAATGCATACATTTATCTAAATTCTATACAAATTAAATCCCTTGCTCCCTTGATACATATAAATTTCATTTATTTACGCATCAAGACTGCCACTTGAAATCATTATAGCCTGCCTTTTTTGTTTGCTTATTTGTTTACAAGCCCTTAAAAGAAGAAGAAGAAGTAAGGGTTGAGAATTACATATAGGACAAAAGAGATCGACTATGTAAACATGCCTTTATATGTATGTATGTATGTATGTATGTATAATTTATTTAATTTTAATTATCAACATCAGCATCATCATCACTATCACCATTAATGTTAACGTTATTTCACTATTACTATTACTATTACTATTACTATCATTATCATTGTCATTGTCATCATTATCATTCACTATCTATTTATCTATTAGTTAATTAATTAATTAATTAGATAGTGAGCATCTTTCCAAAGCGAATTCCAGCCACTGCAAGACCAATAACCTTGAGTCCCTCAAATCCAATGTATGCACGGTGGGCGTTGGGGAAAATGCGGTCCTTCTCATAGAGATCATCGGTGGTTGGTACGGCCTCGATAAGGCGAGCACGCTCGTTAATCTTTGGCAAAAGGTAGGCACCCTGGACTGCTGTTGCCAATACAGGCAACAATACTGCAGAAGACAAGAAGACGTCTACGAAACCATTGTGGTCCAAGATACGCTTGCGCCATTCACAGAAAAGATCCAATCCAAGAACACTGACAAAGATCTTTATAGGTATATATTGTAAGTTGATTTACCCTTGAACAACCCATCTTTCTCTCCTAAATATATATACATATTCTACCCAATAATAATATTAATGTAAATTTACCTCCATCTTGTTCAACCAATTGAATCGGTGTCTTCCACAGTCTGTTCTCTGTTTCTTGTTCACAGTTGGAAGACATACCAAGAATGGGGTCTCTAGGAAGCTGAAGTTGAATGTGGTGGCAAACCAATAGGTATTTAACAATGCGAGGTAGAGAGTGATCTGTCGCAATGACTGGGTTGGCCAGAGTTTGTTGTGCAACAATGCCTGAATGGCGACTGAAGGTAAGAGGATCTTGACAGAAGACATGGGACTAGAGAGGAAACGGGTGCAGCAAGAGTCAGACATATTTATTGAATATTATGTATGTAGATGAATAAGAATAAGAAGAAGAAGAAGCAGCAGCAGAAGAAGAGTGGGTGTGTAGATGTCAATATAAGTCTTTTTTTTTTCTTCTCATCTCTTGAAGCTACTAATTTTTTTTTGTGATTTATAAATGAACGGGTTGCATAAGAATGACGTTCCAAACACGCACCAACCCTTCAATTCTGTTCTTTCTCTCTCTCTCTCTCTCTCTTATATATATATATATACTTATATATAAATATTGGTTTATTTTGTCCGATATCCAAGCACATAAATTTGCCCAAGTATCGTCTTGATTACATGATACACTTTTAGTTATAGTCACACTATCGAACAGCTAGACAGTCTTTAATGATCTTCTTTGCATTCAAGGACATGACGCGTTATTGAGCTTAATAAATAAGTAAATATATTGTGAGTCCCCAAAGCCATTACAAGGGTCTTTTAACCAACACACCCAAAAGAATATATATATATATATATAAAATAAAAATGGTGGGATGAAATGTGGTACAAAGAATCGACAACCAGCTTTATAATAATAATAATACTAATAATAGAAATAAAATATTGTTGAAACCCAAAAAAAAAAAAACATATACACACAAGAAAGCAAGCAAGCAAAAATTGAAACGGTTCAATTCTCCAGTTGAATAAATAAATGCAGTCGTTCCAACGCCAAAGGGCGGCCAATAAATGAAATTAAAAGGCGTTTTTTATTATCTCAAAGGGCGGTTTTCTTTTCCCTGACGTTCGATATCTTTAAGAACATCCACAGCAGTTTATCTAAACCTGAAGCTATATATATTTTTGTTGCTCGAATGGTTTAGTGAAGCGCCAAATTTAGATATCTGTTAAATAATTGTCTAAGAAAAAAGGATGACTAAAATATTTATTTAGACAAACCACTGTGGATGAAAAAAAAATCTAAATTTTCTATTTGAATTTACATATTGGCGAGTTTACACAAACCGCTGTGGATCCTCTTATATTTTTGTTCTATTTTTGAATATCTTAATTTATATACCCTTTTTTTTTGTCCTATGGGTAAAGTTGACCTGAAAATGGAGAAATTATAATAAACCGATATTAATGTTATGTTTTATAATTACACGCTTCTAATCTTGTAATTGCCATTTGGTTTGATTAGCCGAGAGTGTCAATGACTTTGTTGCAGGTTTGTAGAATCTCAATAAGATCTAATGTTAAAATGTTGAAATGTCTTTTTAGGTTGGATAGGAGGTGCAGCTGGAATCATTGTCGGTAGTCCACTCGATGTCCTAAAAGTAATATAAATAAATATAAACCTTGTTTTGGTCCTCCTTATGGAAATAACACCCTGAACTTATTATTATTATTATTATTATTATTATTATTATGATTTATTTATTTTAGGCTCGTCTTCAAGCGCCCAAGACGCTTTCAGTTGGTACAGAAAATACAGTGCAACATGGTGCCTGGAAAACATTGACACAAATGGTTCAATCTGAAGGAGTGAGAAATAAATAAATAAATAAAAGTAGTATGGATTTTGATGTATTTACTGTGTTGTATTCGATACTTAGGTTGGATCTCTTTTCAAAGGTGTGCTATCTCCCGTAGTTGGTTTAGCTGGTCTGAACGCAATCCTGTTTGTGTCTTATGGGACAATTCTTCGGTACTTTGAAAGGCAACATGGTCTGGATACACATGAGGCCAGTCTATCCGAGATTTACATTGCTGGCTGTGGCGCAGGAATTGCTAGTTTCTTTTTTTCGACGCCTACTGATCTCGTAAAGATCCAGGCACAGATGTCTCGAATTCCTAAAAGTACTTGGGATGTAGCCAAGACAATATATTCAAATAATGGAGTTTTAGGTAAAATATATTAATCACAATATAAATAGATAGATAAATAATATCAAGTCAAGTCAAGTCAAGCTACTTATTGCAACTACTGCAATATACAAATAATAATTTTTTTCTTAGGGTTTTATCAGGGTGGATTTGCTACCATAGTACGAGATGCTCCTAGCTATGGACTTTATTTTTTGGTTTATGAGGGTACAAAAAGGTTACTAGAAGTAGAGTCTACAGGTGATGCTGCGGGTGGCTCAAATGCGATGAAGATCTTGCTGGCAGGAGGTCTGGCTGGAGCAGTTTCCTGGACATCAATATATCCTCTGGATGTCATCAAGTCACGGCTTCAGATGCAGGTCCAGGTGCAGTCCCAGTGTGTGGACAAGAATAGTCTTGTGGAAGACAGCCGATTGAACCCAAGACTCGATCGCCCTTATAGCTCATTCCGAGACTGTCTCGTGCGATCGTACAAAGCAGAGGGGCTGAGGGTATTTTTCCGTGGGTTGACACCGACTGTCATTAGAGGATTTCCCGTAAATGCTGTCACATTTTGGGTCTATGAACTTGTAATGGATGCCATGTCAAATTAAACTTCTTACTCTTACTTTTCCTACTCTTATCTCTCTCTCTCTCTCTCTCTCTCTTTATCTTTTTGATATACATTATCATACTTCTTTATTTTCTTAATTATTGATAAAGAAGAGGTATTGATATTAATATTATGTATTTCTTATATAATTTTATTTATTTATCTATTTATTAAAGTTATTAATGTAGTAAGTTATACTTTTTTTTTCTTTATTTTTGTTTGAAAAAAGCGTGTTTCAAATCAAGCACATCATCTGAGAATTAGTGTTTGTGTATTTGTGTGATAGTATAGTATAGTATAGGGTAATGTAATGTGTGTAGCAACAAAGTTACTCTCCGCTTACCGATCGTTCTATCCGAACTTGAGCGCCACAGTTTATTATTATAAAATTATATATATATATATATGTGTGTGTGTGTGTGTTCATCTAATCCAGATACAGTGTTTCGCGTTTGAAACAACGATCATACAGGGTCGATATTTTCTGGTGGGGCACGACGTTTCTATCGAACCGGAATAATTAATTCTGACTACCTGTCCGGAGCCCGGCGTCTTTCTCTAATCCTTCAGGGCAAAATGATGTGTCCTGAAGAGAATTCAGTGCATTCAATTAGTAACCCTAAATTTAGACTTGACAATAAGATATAAGTATATCACAAATACACTTTATCAATAGCACGTTATGCAGAAGGTTACAAAGAGTTGTTGTCATTAAATTGTGACGCAATCTTACCTGATATTTTACTATTTATTGGCCCTTCTTACACGTATCATGTCTTTCTCTTTCTTTCACCTATTGTATCTATATTACCAGAAAGTGGCCCAAGGTTTTTCATTGAAAAAAAAACTTGAAGAAAAGCTACTTACCCTTTCTTCTAAAGGCATAGAGTCATACAATGCTGCCCCAGGCAAATATGGTAGCAAAATAAGCACAACTGCTAAGTAATACCCACCCACTTTTTTTTTTAAAAAAAAGAAAAGCACAAAAGAAAATCTTTATGCGAATACTATGTATCCTTAGGGGCCAGATAGAGTTATTCTTTGCCAACAAAAATGTCACAATTTGCGGTTCGGCAAAATCAAAATGTCGTCTGCCACCAGGAAATGTTGTGCCCCTAGGATTAACGGTATATGCGAATCTTGAAAAAGTATATCAAAATTAAAGCACTTGAAGCCAACTTTGAAATTTGGAGAAAGTCTGATTTTGCTGATGACTATTGGACCAAGAGGCTCCGTAGCTCAACAGCAAGAAAATCAGGAAGAAAAGCTGCTGAACACGTTCATAAAGCCATTATAAATGAATATGCACAGTTAGATGAACACTTAGAGGGTGAGAGTGCCCTCTCAGACACCACTACTGATGGATCCGACTATATTGAATCCGAACAGCATTTTGTCTATTGGTTGACGTTTGATGAATTAAATGACAAAAGCCTTAAACGATCAAGCTCAAAATACGTGCTAAACAAAAAGCAATCGACGTTCAATCAAAGATTGGGACTATCATCTATTACATTAATCCCTGCTGAAGAAATGTTTACTCTTAAGAGGCACAGCCTTAATGACGATTGTTACTTGATGGTCAGGCAGTTTAAGAGAGCCGTGGAAAAGTCAAAGCTTAGTATTCCTGCTGACTGGAGCCAATCTTCTGATAGCCTTAGGCCTCTTTTATATTGTGTATTAACCTATACATTGAATATTATCAACATCGACCGAAAACACGAACATACGAAGCAGGATATTGTCAGAACGCCAGAGCCCAACTTTATCAACAAATATGTTGCTTAATTCTTAAAAAACATTATGTTTGCATATCAAGCTGTTCAAATTACCGAGTATGAGTGCTACCTTTGAACGCATGGACAAATCCGCCGAGTTTTTACTTGGATTTCTTTGACATAATTAAAAGCACTAGTCGAAAAAAATAGTCCCGTAAACTCGTATCTTTTTTTTTTCACTCTTTCTTTCTAAAAAAAATACAAACAGGTTTTGAAGCACACCTTTTCTTTTCAACAAATCTTTTATAATAAAAGCTTTCTGCTGCTTACCAAGAACCTTTATTGGCTAATCAAAAAGAAATTGCATTTTTATTTTCCAAAAATTATATTCTTCATATGTTTGTTGATGTATATGAGAGAAAATATTCTAGCAAAGAGACACTAGGGGACATTGGACACATCATGCAGAATATTTGTATAGAAATAGCCGTTTGTGGCATAAATTTGGACGCAACCCCCCAAAAAAAAATGACACAAATGGCACGTTCGAAACGAATATTCTATTCACATTACAAAAACAGTAGCTCTGAGAAAACTAGATTTATTAAGTATAGATCTATATTCTTTACATATTAATACACTTTGTAAATAAACATCATGAGTAATGTATCCGGCCTTGAAAAACTTCAGAGGTAATATTCTGGACCACCCACTTCAATCCTGTCAGCAATCATTTCTTTCTTCAAAAAAACCATTTTATATGCATCTTTCTTAACCTTTGATCAAAACTCTTCAATGTGTTAAGAAATATAAGCATGATAATAGAAGCAAGGCATTATTAGAAAGATATAGCGCATGGAACAGATAATACCGAAAAAAAGAAACCACCTATAATATCGTCACCCGGACTTGACGGTTCACATCTTGGTGAGATACCTTGTGAGCAGAATATGAATTTTGATATATGTATTGACTATATAATTTTCCAGCAAAAAAAAACAGGGTTTAATACATAAAATTAGAGAAGCATATTTGTTTACCTACTTTAAGAAACTCATCAAAATCTTAAAAACTCCAGAGCTACTACGAACCCCAATCAACAACATTGTTGCCATGTAGGTTGTGGGTTTCTCAGCTTTCATCAAGTCCTACTTGCTTTTGCTTACCCCTTTCCACAACAAGGAAAGAGAAGCTATAAGACGATTATAGGCTGGGCATCGTAGATAATGAAAGAACCCCAATCAACGACACTGTTGCCATGTAGGTTGTGGGTTTCTCAGCTTTCATCAAGTCCTACTTGCTTTTTTTTACCTCTTTCCACAACAAGGAAAGAGAAGCTATAAGACGATTATAGGCTGGGCATCTTCATCTCAAAGCTGCAATAAGTTTTTCTGAAAAAAAAGGAGCTTATGTTGTTTTTCCACATTTTAAATCAATATAATGACGTCAATTGCTGAAAACAAATATGATTGGCTAAAGGTTTTGACCTATTCTGATATGGTCGAAAGAAAAAAATTATAAAACAAAAAAAAACCCCATCTAAAACGGTGTAAGCAAGAGTCTGCTCAAAATAATAATGATTATCAAAGACTTAATTGGTAGTTAAATAAACACAGTAAAATAGTAATAAAGAAATCTATAAAGAAGATCAAAGTTGTTGTTGAGCAAATTTTTAGAAATTGAGCATAGAGAAAGTGAAAGGCTCTTTTGTACATCACGTGGCAATAGTAATGTTTAAAAAAAATATGAAGCTGAAACAATTCTGAATAAGCCTTTTCAGTGTCACTTTGTTACTATGGCACCTTCTAAAACCAACAAGAGAAAACGATCAAAAAAAGATACAAGCGACAATCATTATACTGATGTGCGATGGTGTTTTGAAAATAAAGATAATCTGAATTTTACAGCATTCGCAGATCACTTCACACTTACAGACAAACAGTTTGCCTACAATCGATATATGCGAATTTTAAAGAAGTATATCAAAGTTAAAGCACTTGAAGCCAACTTTGAAATTTGGAGAAAGTCTGATTTTGCTGATGACTATTGGACCAAGAGGCTCCGTAGCTCAACAGCAAGAAAATCAGGAAGAAAAGCTGCTGAACACGTTCATAAAGCCATTATAAATGAATATGCACAGTTAGATGAACACTTAGAGGGTGAGAGTGCCCTCTCAGACACCACTACTGATGGATCCGACTATATTGAATCCGAACAGCATTTTGTCTATTGGTTGACGTTTGATGAATTAAATGACAAAAGCCTTAAACGATCAAGCTCAAAATACGTGCTAAACAAAAAGCAATCGACGTTCAATCAAAGATTGGGACTATCATCTATTACATTAATCCCTGCTGAAGAAATGTTTACTCTTAAGAGGCACAGCCTTAATGACGATTGTTACTTGATGGTCAGGCAGTTTAAGAGAGCCGTGGAAGAGTCAAAGCTTAGTATTCCTGCTGACTGGAGCCAATCTTCTGATAGCCTTAGGCCTCTTTTATATTGTGTATTAACCTATACATTGAATATTATCAACATCGACCGAAAACACGAACATACGAAGCAGGATATTGTCAGAAAGTCAGAGCCCAACTTTATCAGCAAATATGTCGCGAACTTCTTTCAAAATATCATGTTTGCATACCAAGACAGTTTATTTTTTCGCTGGGATACGTGTTCGGAAGTATATGATGAATCCAAAAAGAAGAAGCGCCCAGATTTTATCATATGTACATTTGATGGTTTTGAAGTCGGTTGCGGCGAAATCAAACAGCCAGGTACAAACTACAATGATGTGGAAGAAGATCGTTGCCGTGTACCGGAACAACTTAAAAAACAATTACATAAGCGGCTCCAGACTGCTTCAGAGGAGAAGGAGTTGGCGACGTTTGGATGCTTTGTTTTTGGAGAAGAACTTGAATTAAGCATGATGGAATTTAAACAAGGGAGGTATGAATACTCCGTTATCAAGAAGCTCAAATTACCGACTATGTGCTCTACTTTTGAACGCATGGACCAATCTCTCGAGTTTTTACTTGGTTTTTTCGACATAATTAAAAACACTATAGTTGGAAAGGATGGTCCCGTGGATTCGTCTCTTTTTTTAAAATACAAACAGCTTTTGAAGCCTACCATTTCTTTTGAATAAATGCAGTAACCCAGCATATACGCTTCATAAGGCTTTTACTGTGTTACATTACAGCAAGGCTTTTAACAAATTTACTCGTCTTTAGTTTCTTAACATATATCAATATTGTCCCATTTTATGGACACAGAGATTCTTATATTTACTGTTACACTTCAAGCCCTTATGTTTGAAATATGTATATCCTTTGTTATATCCCAAGCAATATATCTGAGAGGAAAAAATGATGGTTTACCAATCATATTAATTATAATGCAAGTAATTTACATGACTGTGTGAACGCGTTATCGTGTATTATTTGTTTTGTGCGTTGACCACTTATGTATCATTAGATTCTACTCAGAATTCTTATCTCATAGTTAAGATAATTGGTCAGATAGATACCAAGAACTTTACTAGAAAAATATGTATCTCATGTATAAAACTGTAGGTTTATTCAAGGGTATCTATAACATACTGTTTACCTTTTACATGATTAACATATGCCACCCTAAGATTGTTGGCGTTTTTATACTTCCAATAAACAGAGTTCCCAATTCATTGCCTGTTCTTTTTCAGCTCTATCTCGTTTGGAATTCTTGATAAACTCAATTCTTTCTCTATAGCTAGACGTTATTGCTTATTACTGACCATCGATAACATAGACTTTCTTACTCGATCCAATAGACTTTATTTTCTTATATTTAAAACCTTCCGTATTTTGATAATCTGTAAGGTCATCTTCCGCACTAAGCTCATCATATTTTCTTTTTTTTTGTTCGTTATATTCAGCGGGCTGTGATACATATTATAGAATGCTGCTTTCTGGTATACGATTGTCCTTCAAAAGACTTGAATTTTTTTCTCATATTGCTCGCAATAGATATCATTCAATTGCTTTAGTTTGTTTACAAATTGAGTATCCTGATTGAGAGTTGCTGTATACACATCTGGGGATACGCGATATAAAATATTCATTGTCGGGTCGGTACTTCTTGGAGCCGGGTGCAATGAAGTAGTTTGGCTTGTGAAGAATAGCCTGAGAGGAGCAAATGGATCTAAACCAGAGTCATTGCTAGTATATTTTTGGATATCATTCTTGGCAATAACATAACATAGCATTGCTCTGCCTACCAACCAACCACTACACGCTGCTGTGTAACAAGACAAATAGTTACATTTTTTTAAGGATTTTTTTTAACATAATCTTCCTGATTCGATGCACACAATTAAAATAATTGGCTATGTGTCAAATATTTTGACCGCCTGAAGGCAGCACCCTATAGGTCTTTGCATGAATGTCATGTTTACAGTGCGTAGGAACTTGATGATAATTGAAAAGTGAACTTTGGCAGCTGAGTTATGAACAAGAACCACATCTGGTCCCTAAGAATTCATTCTCATAATAATAGTTACTACAGGCCAAGAGACAGAATGTTCGTGTCAAGATGATCTTTTGTGCTTTGAGAAATAAGAGTAAAAGAGTGGACGGGAATTACTTACCAGCTGATGCTTTCAAACTCTGGTAATATAAGTAGGTGAAAGAAAGACAAAGACATGATACGCGTAAGAAGACTAATAAATAGTAAAATATCAAGCAATATTGCACCACACTTTAATGACAACAACTCTTTATGATCTTCTGCATAGCTGGTTATTGATATAGTGTACTTTGTTTAGGGTACCCCATTTTGCCCTGAAGGATTAGGGAAAGACACCGGACCCTAGACAGGTAGTCATAATTCATTATTCCGGTTCGATAGAAACGTCGTGCCCGTAGGATTGATGCATTTCTTTCAATAATCATTTACTGTCTACCAAGAATTTCTATTGGCTAATAAAAAAAAGAAATTACATTATATTTTTAAACGCAAACAAAACACTATATAAATATAAATATAATATTCTTCAGCTGGTGCTGTCAGTGAATGTTCGGATACGGCGATGTGGAGTTTCCGTTTGTACAACAGCCGGAACAAGATAATAATAACAATATTTCTATAATAAATAAATAAATAGATAAATAAAAGGTGGTTGTTGTTGTTGTTTTATATATATATATATATAACTAATAATAATAATAACAATATTCTTATATCACTATAAAAACAATCGAAATTGAATTTAATTAAAGTCAATTGAAGTCAAATGAAGTCAATTGGATTGAAACACTCATCAACGTTTTTCCTTTTTATTTTCTATCACTTATACACGCATATAAATATAAATATAAATATAAATATAAATATATATCAAAACCCTTGGAAATATTAAAATAACTATCAAAATTAAAGGTTTAAAATTTGAGGGGGGGGGATTTTATTGAATTGAATTGAGTAGTAGGTTAATAATGATAATAAATGTTTAAATAAAAATAAAATAAAAAGTCTAAAGGTTTGGAAGGTAGTAAGAATAATAAAAGAAACTGTTCATTCATGAAAGAGAGGTAATATTGATAATAGTAATAAAAATGAAAATTTAAGTATAGTGAATGATTGATATGTCCTTGTACGTGTACGTGTGTGCGTATTCGTTTTTTTTTCGTTCATTCGATCACTCGGTTTGTTTGTGGTTGTGCGTGTGTACGTGCGTGTGGTTGTGGTTTCGGTTGTGGTTTCGGTCGTGCGTGTGTGTGCGCGTTATTAATGGGAGTAAGTTGGTGGTAGATATGTACACACGAGCGTGTTTGTGATTGTGTGCAAGGTAGAAAAAAATATATAAATTGCATAGTTTTGGAAAGAAAGAGAGAGAGATAGAGATAAAGAAAGGTAGAATATTTGGACATATGAATATATAATTATATAATTATATGAATACAAGGTAGAATGTGCATATAGTTCAAGGCATAAGTTCTCGTTGCGACAGACGAGGATGTTATTTGTTTGTTTGCTTTTTTTTTGTACTTTTTTTGATTTTTTTTTTGATTTTTTTTGTGCATTTTTTGATCCTTTTTTTTAGTATTATTATTATCACTATTACCTATATATATATATATATATATATGTGTGTGTGTGTGTGTGTTTATATATCTGAACTGTTTCTTTCTTTAGAAACCAGAAGAAGCAGTTGAGTCCGAATGAAATTCATAGCTGGGGTTCCCGGGCTCTTGAGTCATATTTGGATTGTCTGGAAGATTTTCATTTTTCCAGCCGCACTCGCTGCATTCGTAGCGGACACGCATGTTGTTAGGCTTTCCAATGGCTCTGTTGAGCACCATAAGCTGTGTCTCGCAACGAGTGAGTTGTACTGACGCTTCGTGCTTGCATTTGGGGCAAGGGTGGCGATTTTGTTCAAGGTGGATCTTTTTATCAAGACCACCCACTACAAATTAAGAATACAGGTATGAGTTCAAGAACAATTCTTATACATGTTATTATAGATTCATCGATAAACTTACATATAACAAAGTTACCGGCCATATTGAATAATATACTAGTTATTGAGATTCTTTTATAAAAGAATAAAATATATATCTATATAACTTGACTTCAAGTTATTGAAATGTTAGTTTATTTGCTCGGTCAACACAAAGAGGTCAAAGTGAAGCAAAATAAATAAAAAGGAAAGTGTTGAGAAATGACAAGGATTGGGATAGTGGTAGGAGTAGTAGCAGTAGTAGTTGAAACAAAATGAAAAAAAGGAAAAAAGAAGGGAAGAAGAAGGGGATGAACCAGCGATTTGGATGTTCAGTTTACTTGCGTCTTTATACTGAGTAGTTTTGTGAACACCAATAGCAGATGACTTTCTTTCCATTTTGCCCTGAATTAACATTTTATATATATATAAATAAATAAATAAATAAATAAAAATTAATGACCAGCTACGGAATCTATAAAGAGCAATGATGCGTGAGTGCGCAAGTGCGCGAATGGGTGAGTATACGAGTGAATAGGTGAATAGGTAAATGAGTGAATAAAATAAAATGTATATATTTTGAAGCCACGTTGCTACCCTTTTGGTGCAACATAGAACCCATTTTTCAATAACGTGGCAAGTGGCCTCCGACACTCTTCTCCCCCCTAAATATATATATATAAATGATCTCATGCAGCAAAATATGTGCAAAAAGGCAGACTAGGTCGGTTCCCAACCACAGACTCAAGGTGGTTGATTTATTAAATCCCTTTTCTCCCTTTCTGTTTTATTCTGTTAACCGCACACGCATTACACACAGTAAGAGTAGTAGTGAAAGTAGTATATTACATTATAGAAATTATAAAATAAGAATATAGATAAGTGTTGTATATTTCTTTTCTCTTTCTTGTTCTTTACATCACCGGCGATTCAATGTCTGGTCCGATGGTCGGTGGTGTACAGTATGGCTCAGTACGACCAGTTTCAAAAGCAAAAATAAAATAAAATAAAATAAGGATCAAAGGATTGAAGAGTAGATATTATAAAGTGTATAGAAAACAAACAAAAAGAATATATAGTCCTCTGCGTCTTTATCTTCTTTATCTCCGTTTAAGACAGGCCATCGACATTAAACCGAAATACTTGGTCCTGATCCAAGCTAGGATTTCTGGGTACATACTCAACCTTGCCCTCCTCATTAGCCACAGCACTGTATATATCTCGCTCCACAAATGTTGTGTTTCCTTGATGATCCACTAATACTACCGTACTGGTTCGTGTTCCATAGCTAGCCGAAGACATGAATTCGGAGTTGCGAAATAAAGGCACAAAGATACGCTCCGTAATGTCAACCATCACTTGATTAAGATCATAAACATTCGTGAGAGGACTTGAAGTTCTATGCCATTAATATTAATATTAATAAGCATAATCATAAGCATAATCATATTCATATTCATAATAGCAGTAAACCAAAAAAAAACACACGTTAAGATTTTGTACACATGTAAATATATACTCCTTTTATAAATATTAAAATATAAATTTTATACATTACCTTAATAATTTAAACAGATCCTCAATAAATTGCTCTTCTGTCTTGTCTGTCGATGAATTCAAGATTGAATTAAACATCTCACAACCTCGATTTACTTTGGGCCATGGGCTGGTGAGGGTAGAGTTTGAAAGGCCTAATAGTAAGAGAGATATGAAGTTTAATTGTCAGCTTATTTTTACTGCTATTAAGACATGTATGCAAGAAAGCCTTCTTTTTTTTTTCAAAAAAAAAAAAGATAAAGATAATTATCGATTTCTTGGCTTCTACTATTACTACTATTTTTGTTTTTATTACCATAGCTAACACCCTTTTCAAGAACAGTTCTTGAAGCATCTCCTCTGTTACCGAAATAAACCATGTCGGCCTTTCGTCCAAGGTCCACACAAATCAAATTGAACCCACCAAAATCCCCAGCACGTCTTTCCAGATTCGATACATAATCATCCGCCGAAACCTGGTCAACGTCGGCTGTCAGGAAATCTCTGACCAATATACCCCTCGAGAGTTTGCCTTTGAAGTTCTGCTCTCGAAAGTTTGTCAGCGCAGCAAATCTTCCCTGACGAGTTATTCCAAGCCAGCTGCCATTGTGTTGAGGAGTTGAACCCTGCTGGAGATCAGTACCAGAGAGCACATTCTGATTGGGGTTTGGCCAGAAATGAGCTTTTGAGGATGGTCGATCGAGGAATTCATCTCGATTGCCTGCAAAAACACTAAATGAAGTTGAAATGGAATGGGGATATTTATAATAATAATAATAATAATAATAATAATAAAGCAAAGTCTAATGGAGAAGAGGAATGACAACCATTTTGACTTACAATCTATATTTTGGGTGTCCTTCTACAGTCCAAAACAAGATACACATAGCTAAAGAATTATATCTTGAAACAATATGTATATATTTGGTAGAGAGGTTGTGAATAAAACAACAGGCAAAGAAAAGGACAAATCAATTACGTAGCAAACAGTAGGAAATAATCAAATATAAAATGTTGTCCTGCGTTGTGCTGTGAGACATAAAAGACCATACATTTATTTTGATTTTTTCTTTTTTCTTTTTGGTTAATAATTTTCAAATAGTAACAATAGTTATAGCCTACATATTCCATATAACTCATATATTGTCAATAAGCTCTGTAAAATGGTTCTGTTCGCTTTGTATATCTCAGGCTTGTAGACTACTTTTATTAATTAATGAATTTATTAATTTATCAATCAATTAATCAATTAATCAATTAATTAATTAATGGCTTGACTTGACTTGACTTGACTTGAGCTGTAGATGTTGGGTTGGTGTTGTAAAGTGACGTATTGCATTACAAATGATTGTTACACTGTTGAATTGCTGATTTGATAATCTGTAATTGATTTTTATATATATAGATATATATAAAATAATATATTGTGGGTAAGATTATCGCCACTACAAATGCATTAATTAGTTTAAACTATCTGGATTATTATATATTCTAAATTGCTACTATAAAAGCAATATAAATTGAAGCTTGAACAATGCTTCTATACACATCATCTATATATTTTAGATTCTATATACTTTGACGATAAAGTAGTGTCACTTTACCTGATTATATACCGTTCTCACAGCTCAATTGCTCATGTCATCAAGAATCAAAAGAGTCAAAAGGATCAAAACATAATTGGCTTAATTCTTACATCATCATCCAAGTTATAGAGCAGGTAGTTTATAGTAGCAACATTCAAAAATATCAAGGATGCCACTGGACAAATTTGATATTTTACTGCTTAAAGTATCCCAAAACGTCAAAATGAAAGAAGAAAAGAATCAGATTATTTCCGGCCAATCATTTACTCGATTTAAACCCCGGTGTATGCATCTCAATCTGCAAAGATACTGAAACCCCCCTATTGTAAAGTTTATAGTTGCTGTCATGAACACCAGTACTTTGGATAGACATGGCAAAAATGGGATACTTATTGCTCCGGATAACTGCAAAAGTCATTATTTCCAGTTTTCCAGTTTATTTAATTACCAGACGTGGCTATAAGCCGCTGTTTATGTCACCTTATTCTCCATTTCTTAACCTCAAAGAATAATGCTAATAAAAAAAATCAGGAAACTTATAAAGGAACCCTCTAGATAAAAGCGATACTCTAAACCCGCGTATTCAATAGGTATAGTATTCAGTCACCATGAAAGTATGAAGAAATTGGCTTGAAGTAATAGATGTATTCTTGTTAATAAAGTGTTTCAAAAAAAAACGAAGTCTTGAATTTAAAAATGAGATTGAAATGGACCAGAAAAAAATCCGAGAATCGTTAAAATACAGTAAGGCAATTTACGCTGCGGTTTACGCACATAGCACAGATGAAGTCAATAATAGACAGTAGTAGAATAAAGTACAATTCGGTAAAATTCAGTTCAATTCAATTCAATTCCGTTTAGTAGACATAGAGTATGTATTCTTTACATATATATATATATATATTTGGTTTATAATTTTTCCTTTGACATCTGAACACTGACGGATAATAATAATAATAATAACAATAGCAATAATAAATAGAAGATTTATTTGATGTTTTAATAATTGATATCCTGCCATGTTGAGCCCCCAATGTGTATGTTTGTACACGGAATGGTTTCAATCCATAGATTACACATTACACAAGTAATAACCTCTCTCTCTTTCTCCCCACTCCCCACTTCTCCCCACGCACACTTATATATATATATTAGCCCAAGAGCTTTATAGATATCAAATATCCAATTAAATACTTTGGTAGTAGATCTATAGGTCCTCTTTATTCTGGTGATAGTCTTTAGAGAATATTGAATTTTATACGCTTTGTATTACAGTAATAAGACAGGAACAATGGATCCCATTAAGATTCCGGTGAATTACACTAAAATAAATAATAACAATAATAATAATAATAATAATAAATCATATCATATCAGTTAAAGAGTAATAAATGGGGTTGTGTGAATAAAATAAAGTAGATATTTGATAATAGCATGTGTTGATTCGTACATTAATAACAAGAATGTATCACTAGAAAATATGCCAAAATATAACTTTTGTGCCGTTTCTGCTCTTAAATTAAGAGTATCTTTGTACCTGTGTCTCCAAGAATATTAGCCCCATGACAATTCAATATGCCACCATAATTTTTTTTTATTTTTTATTTATTATTATTATTTTGCCACAGCGCCCACATCAAATTTTGTCGGATAAAACGGCAAGTATTGTAACATCGGAAACTCATTTATTTTTATATTCATTTTTCCCTCAGGTACATTACAACATATATATTTATAAATTTATAATTTGTTACCGAGTACAGGCACAAATACAAAAGAAGTACACATATGCACATTATGTATATTTGTATGTGCAGTTGTTCATATTTTGTTGGTTCATAATCTCACTCCGCAAAACGAAGTATTGGGATAACAATACTAGTACTAATACTAATAAAAGCATGTGCTATTCATCAGAAAGTTTAAAAAAGAAAAAGAAAAAGAAAAAGGCAAACGAAGCCTCGTTTGGGGGGAGAGAGAGGAAGAGGATGAGGGAAAAGAAGGAAGGTAAAATATCTCATATATGTATATAGATAAGCGATTATATTTTTTTACTACTAAAAACCGATAGTGGGATAGTATAATATATATATATATATATATATATGACATTGATTGACGGTGGTAACTTCTACGCCTTGCTGTTTTATCGTGTTTTGTAGAAACAAATATTTCGTAATCTTTTTTTTATTATTACCACAGTGTTTTACAGGTTGTCATGCTTTATAATGTACTATAGAAATGTAATCTTGCAACGCAATTTTGCTTTTTTTTTAGCAAACAATCCGTTGCTATGTTTAATTCCTCCATTATCACTATAACTATCACTATCATTAGTATTCGTGCTATGATCAATCTTCTGTTAGAATGAGATCTTAAACAATATGACCAAACGTATATATATATAGGGCTTTAATATATCATGTATTAAGGTGCCTTTATCTTGTTACTGTTTTTTTTTTGAAGATAGTAGAAAAATAAAATAAGAGGCCATTTGTATAATAATTTATATAAAGTAATATCAGATTAAATAAAAATTGTGTGAATTTCTCGGAGTGATGGTCAATTAGAATTACATTGGTGTTTTTGCTAAGGTATAATATAAAAACAGCACAGAGTTGATTATGGGCTTTAGAGATAAAAGTATTGCTTTTTAATTGAATTGAATTGATCAGTTAATTTATAAAAGCAAAATCTTTGAGATATTCAACATACGGATGAAAATAAAACCCGGAAAAAAAGCAGAAAAGAAACTTAATATTTATACAGTATTATTAAGCAATTTCCTTATATCTAAAAGGTTATTTTTTCTACATAGAAATATATTCACCATTTGATAAATACATATTTATAAAGAAGTCTTGAAATGATCTTTGATTTGTTTTGTTTGTTGAAAAAAAGTTTATTTAATAATACAAAGAATGGTAGCTTCTAAGGAGGGAAAAGCTAGGAAGAAATCGTTCATCTAAAACTAAGATTTGATGACTGCGTCAATAGGAGGGGGAAAAAAGTGGTTATGAGATATGGTAACATAAAGAGAAAGAAAGAGAAATCCTTTTTTTTTCTATTGGATTTAGAAGGCAGCGAGAGCTACAATCATAGGGACAGCCATGGCAAGAGCGGGGGCAACAGTCATGACACCGGCAGAGGTAGCGTCAGAGGAAGATCCAGAGGAAGATGCACCAGTGGCAGCAGACTTGGCGCTACCGACAGCACCGGTGGCAGCAGAGGCACCGCTGCCGACAGCACCGGTAGCAGCAGAGGCACCGCTGGCGATGGAAGCACCCAAGCCGGAAGAAGAGGCACCGGAGGCAGAGGCACCGGAGGCAGAGGACTCATCACCGGAAGGAGTAGCGTCAGAAACACCAGCACCGGCAATAGGAGCACCAGATGCAGAGGCACCGGAAGCTTCAGCACCGGAAGGAGAAGCACCAGAAGCGCCAGCACCAGAGGCATCAGCACCGGAAGGAGAGGCACCAGAGGCTTCAGCACCAGAGGCTTCAGCACCGGAAGGAGAGGCACCAGAGGCATCAGCACCAGAGGCATCAGCACCGGCAGGGGAAGCAGCGCCAGCACCGGCAGGGGAAGCAGCGCCAGCACCTGCAGAATCGGCACCGGAAGCACCGGAAGCACCAGAGGGATCTTCAGTGGCAGCCTGGCGCTTGGCAGGAGCACCAGCAGCGGGGGCAGAACCATCTTCAGTGGGTGCAGAAGCAGCATCAGCGGGAGCAGCAGAGGCATCATCAGCGGGAGCGGCAGAGGCATCATCAGCGGGAGCAGCGGCAGAAGCATCATCAGCAGGAGCAGCGGCAGAAGCATCATCAGCAGGAGCAGCGGCAGAAGCATTATCAGCAGGAGCAGCGGCAGAAGCATTATCAGCAGGAGCAGCGGCATCCGCAGCAGGAGCAGAGGCATCATCAGCGGGAGCAGAGCCGTCATCAGCGGGAGCAGCGGCAGAGGCATCAGCAGGAGCAGATGCAGAGGCGTCGGCAGGGCCAGAGGCAGATGCAGAAGAAGAGGCGGAGGCGTCGCTTCCAGAAGAGTTCTCGTCGCCGATAGTCAAACCACCAATGTAAGCCATCTTGCTGGGGTCTTCACCGACGGCAAGAGAGTAATCAGAGCCCTTTGTGACATTAGCGGGGACGTCTACTTGAGTGGAGCCAGCAGAGGGATCGACATCCTTGGCAAGAGCGAGGACAAGCTGGAGAGCATTGGGTTCACCCTGCATAAGGTTAACAATGAGCTTTGTGACACTATCGTCGGGATTCTCCCAGGAGACTTGCTGGGAAGATCCGGCCTTCCAGGTTGTTCCGGGAAGAGGAGCTGTGATAGAGACAGGACCAGGAGTACCAGATGCAGCAGCAGAAGGAGCGGCAGCAGAAGATGAAGAGGAAGGTGAAGGGGCTGCACTGGTAGAGACAGCGGCGAGAGCGAGCAAAGCAGAGATCAAAGAGGCCTTCATGATTGTAGATTGGTGTTTAGAAGTAAAAAGAAGAAGAAGTAAGTGGTGGGCGTGAGAAAGAGTGAGTGAATGTGGTTGAGAAGGATGTGTTGATGAATATTTCTTTTGAATGAAGATACCTTGGGTATTTATAAGATTTTTTTTTTCATTTTTCATTTTGGATCGTCCTTTACAATTCATTTGACCCAGACGATTATCATACTATCACTTGGTTAGCTTGCTTTCTTTTTTTACCTTTTGGTTTAGCGTTGTTATTTCCAGAATTTATTTTTACTTTTATTTTTGCCAAGATGTTCACAAGCTTAAGAAAATTGAAAAACATATATGAAAATTGACTAGTGCCTATAGTCTAAAGTCTATAGTAGTCTATACGTTTATAGTCTATAGTCTATTATAGTAGTAGGTTTATAATAGTATGGGCTTATTTACAAATATAAATATGTATATATGTATATATTCTTATGATGTCAGTCTAAAACAAAATTCAATCTTAACTCGGGTAACTCATTATTGGTGTAAAAGATCGCCCTGATTTTGAATATGTTTCAATACACCTAGTTCTTATTGTTGTTGTTATTACTTGTTATAAATTTGGTACATTGATCCTATTGCTCATATTTCACAATAACAACAAAAGTAGTAATACAAATGACATCTCTTGAACCATACACTACACTGTACTGTACTGTACTATCTATGTACTTTGCTATCTATCCCTTTTGGGTAGGAACTATGTTTCTAGAAACATAAATATTAAACAGTAGGAAATGAGGCTGTGTATTGACAATGAATCAAAGCGTCTTTGCTGTATATAGATTGGTTGGCTCATTTCGTTATAAATAACTATCCAATAAAAAGTGATCGTCAACCAAGCTTATTTGATTTTATTTGATCTTATTTACCGTCCGCTTAATACTCTTTCTTTTGTGTGTAGATATGTATTATAAAATCTACTAAAATCTATCTATATCCATATCCATATCTATATTTATGATTTGTGATTTGTGGTTGTGATTATTTGCTCATTTTAAATTTTCTGCTAAAGTGATCGCCCATCTAAAATTATTATTGGCTATCCCACCAGGGGAAACACATCTTCTTCCTTCATTTTTTTTATATTATATTATATTATATTATATTATATTGTATTGTATTGTATTATAGATACTACTATTAATTATTTATTCACTATACTTTTTAAGCCTAGAATACGTGAACCACTCAGTGGACGCGCGGGCGGGGAGGTAATTCTGGTGCACTCTCACTCGTCAGACAAACCGCCGTTCTTTTAGAGCTACTATACCAGCTAACTCTCTGCCCTGCCAACATTACGTCATGCATCAAGTCTGAAGAAGACGAAGACTCTACTCGAACCGTTTGAATAGACAAGTCCAGGCGGCGGGGTTCTTGGCGTACATCAGGCATACTGATACTTCTATCAATCCCCACAGGCCTATCAACCAGTGATCGCCGGAATAACCACTTGGCACTGTGGCGACGCTGAGGCTTAGGTTCGTCTATCACAGTAACAGCAGCAGTCATACTAGTAGTAGCCTTGGCTGTTTCAGGACTACTGCACATCATACTGCTAGACCCAATACCGTCTATACTGTTTCGGTGGTTAGGTCCCTCGAGGCTGCTACTGCTGCAGCTACTGTTTGTCCTACTACTGTTGCTATTGGCGCTGAATCGAATCAGGGGATGCGATGAACGGTTTGTGGCCAAGGAAGATTGTTGCTGCTGCTGCTGCTGCTTTTGCTGAGAAGGTTCTCTCAGGACACTGAGTCCATCGACCGCAGACTGAGACAGCCAAGGCCGCATCAACAAATATTGAGTAACTAGCTGCTGCTGGTCTTCAATCCCATACGATTCTTCCTCTGATAAATTGTTGATACTGATACTGCTCATACTACTGATACTACTTCCAAGCCGTCCCATAGACGCTGCGCTCTTTTGTAACGCACTAGACCAGTTGGGGCCAAAACTCATGTTCTTACGCCCATAAGCTATCGGTACAGGGCTGAATGGAGGCATCTGTTGATGTTGCTCGATAGCACTAAGGATAACCTGAATACGAGGATCATTGCGTGGGTTGGACCGATTTGCGGCCAATAAATATGTCATGTCTAACATCCACAGTCCCAAAAACGGAACAGTAGGAGTGGATGGCTCAAGGTTGAGTGAGTGTTGGCGGTAGGTATGATAGTTACTGGCTTCCGACATAAGCTCTGTCATTCCATCCAGTCTACCCAGACTCTTCTTTGGTATAAATGCCCAGCTTCGTTTGAGGCGTTGAATTGGCGGTGTTCCGAGTGCAGAAACAATGGCCTTGAGTGACTGGTAGTTGTGTAAATCAAGGCATTGGGAAGCTACTTTGATCCAATGGTTGATGTGTTGTGCCCTGACAGAGGCATCCTGGGGTAATAAAATCGAGTGTTCAATGACACGTGTAAGGTAATTGAAAAAGTCTGTCGAGGCGACAATGCGTGGATGAGGAGATGTTGCAGTGTGTGAAAGTAGTGCGTGCGAGGGCATGGCCCGGAAAAGGGCCGAATCAATTAGAGTTAGTTGGTATGCAATGAGAAAAGGTGAAAAATGAAGAATGGTTGGAATTGTGGCAGCAGTAATAGAAAGTGTGCGGACACGAGCTAAGGTCTGTTTGGCTTCAATTACCAACGGGCTATGGTGCCGTATGATGTGCTTAAGTGCCGGATCTTTTGAGGCGCGTTCCTGTGCTTCGTACTCCTTTAATACGGATTGTACTTCATCGAGCTTGGCCTGCAAGGCTCGATGCGTTGTGAGGAGTGGAGATATTGGAATGCGGGGGATGTGTGATATTTCCATCAATTCGTCCGTGAGGCCATCTGTCTGAGCTGGGACCAGTCGGCTTACATCCACTTGCCCATCGGCCACCGTCCGATCGTCCCGCGTGGAATCACTCCCCTTTTGGTCCACTTTGGACTGTCCTACCGTCGACGGCGCAATGGGATCTGAACACAAATAAGAGTCCGTCTCTCCATAAGAACCCTGTCGTATTTTACGACCAATAATGGGTTTAGGTGGCAATGCAGGGGGTTCCGGCCGTAATGTAGGCTTTGATCTGTTGACAGGGTCTAATGTGGATGACCGGACAACTGTATGGTTGTTCAGGATAGATTCAATGTTGTCCAAGCAGGTCCGTAATGTGGACAGCAAAATTGCGTGTTGTGCGGGTAAAGTAACAATAGCTTTTTTTTTGGTGTATTAAGTGTAAGGATTCGAATTGGCTTATATTTCAATTTACACACTTACAGCAATGGACAAATTTAACCTCTGAAAAGGGTTCCAATGATCTTTGAGCAAGGGATACATAAGCATTAAAAGCATCCTATAGAAATCTTTAGTTTCTATCTATCTATTTTTTTCTTATATATAAAAGAAGAGAATATTTGAACTGGTGTGACACTAATCGAATAAATTACCTTGATATTTCCACCATCTTGCCATTGAGTTGCAATGACTAATGAGGATTGTGGATCCTCCATGATCAAGACTCACAAAAAAAACGTAAAAAAATAGAAGAGAAAAGCAGGCAAGTAGGCAAACAAGCAAGCGAATTAGGAAGAAAATAAATAAATACAAGTAGTAAGCAGGATAAAGAGAAAGAAAGAGAGGGAAAAAGACGAATAGAGTGCCGCACCACAAGTATAACTTAATACCACGAAGATGAACACAAAACAACACTCCATTTAATGACACCTCTTATTGGCAACGAATAATATCAAAAAAGGAAAAAATAATAAAATTTGAAGCAACAACAGGCTATGTACTTCCCCATCATTAAAGTACAACCCGTAATTTTATTTTTATTTTATTTTTATTGATATTATTTGATATTATTATTAGTATTATTGAATGTATATATACATTATGTATATCACAACAAAATCGAGTCTTTCCAGACCATATATTCTTCAACTGAACCATCTTGAACTAGATTACCACTGTCGGGATCTACCGGCCATCCTTCAATAGACACATGTGCTTCTGTGTCTTCCCAACTATAGATTAGCATCTTGAGCTCATTACCATCTTTGTGCACCAGTCCATCCGGAATATAAAAGTCATGTTGAGGTCCGTCACCATTGCCATAATAACGTCCGATCAGCACATCATTCAAAAATACATTGGCAGTCATCGTTCCATCAAGATGTAAACGTAAAGGCACACTTAGTGAATCAACCGCATTCTTGAGACCATGATCAAATTTGGTTCGGACCCAAAAGGGACCATCTGACGCCTTGACTAGGAAGCTATATTTCTTGTCGGCAGCAACAATCTTTGTGTGTGTAGAGGACCAAACGGCTTCCGTGTTTTCGTCAGGGAAACCAGTAGTGTTGTAGGGCTGGTCCAAAAGACGCACATCTACACCGGTTATTTCCCATACGGCAGTAGAATTGATACCATTGAGACGTGCATTGATAATTCCGCGTGGATTACGGACATCATTCATGATGAATGCCTGTCGATTGAGTCCAAAGCTGTCGACCAGCACAATAACTTCATTCTCGAGATTATCTTGGCGGTTGACATAAGGGGATAGATCGTAAGTATGTGTACCCAAAAACCAGGGATCAGGGCCAATCTTTGCACCAGGAGAAAATAATTGGCGAGAATAAGTGGTGTGTCCACCCACAATACGGCCATTTACGAGAACAGTGGCTCGATTGCGAGCATTGAACTCAAGTGTAACCTTTGGTCGAGTAGCAGAAGGAGTAATGAAATTGGTGCGATACAATGAGTGTCCACTGGTGTACAAGTAGTCCAAAGAATCCCAGACTGGCTTGTTGTTGTTGGTCAAGAGTGCGTGCCACTTCATCCCTCTAAAGTCAACAGCGCGTGTCTTCCACTGTTCGAGAAGCACCAGCACGGGTAATGGAAATTGCTCATGTGCGTGCTCTTGGAACACAAAACTGTGTACAAAGGGCAAGGCATCGGGTGCGACCAATGCTCTCATGCGTTTGTCGGTTGGCTTCTTGAAGGAAATCACATTTACTGTATCTTGGGATCGGTCGTATTGTACTTCAAGTGTCTTTTCGTGATGATTATAATAGAACGTATCGGCACCCCAAGCAACCACAGGCATTGATCTCTGTTTGTCAGGGTTCCAGTGTCCGGCTTCAAAGTCTGCAAAGAGAGTGCTAACTTGCTCTGGAAGTAAGCCAATCAGATGGAGCCGGCCCTTGAGCGTGGTAAGAGTAGTGTGGCCAGTTTGTTTGGTAAAACTCAGGATCGAAGCAGGACCTTCGCGATGCAATACATTGTTTTGCATGTTTCCACTGACTTGGATTTCGCTGCTTTCAAATGCAAGACTTCCAACTTCATTAGGCTCCACAATCCAGATTTCTTCGTTTGTGTCTGGGTGGACCATGCGCAAGTGGATAGGAAGGGTAGACAATAGCAACCGGAGCCCATTTTGAGCCGTATACTGACCCAGTCCAATAAATGAAGTTTTGTACGCCAACTTGCATTCCAAAGTGAACACACCACTTGGAGAACTGTGTGTAACATCAAATGTGGTACGTTGCTTGCGATCAAAGTTACGGAAGAATGTAAATTCGACAGGCTGATCTGCACCGACTGCCACACGTTGGGTATTAATGGTGTTTTCGACCGAGCTTGATGCTGATGGGTTGACACGCTCAGTCTTGGAAAAATAAGGTGCAAACGACTGTGCGAACAGCAAAGTTTTGCGTAGGTTGCGCCCGCGCATAGACATCTTGCCGAATTCGCGAATACAAGCCGAATAATCGTACGAAGTATAGACGTCTCTGTATTAATAGAAAAAGACAAAGTAACATTTTTAATAAACAACAATTGAATACAAAGCGAGCATATATATATATATATATATGCTATAACTCAAATTTGAATACTTACGGGTCACCAAGGGCACCCCAGTTTGTACCTCCATATATCATATAGACATTGGCCATGGTAACACCCTGAGCAAGGGTAGAATCAAAAAGGGTTTTGGTGTACTGATCACCAAAGAAATCATAGATCTGGTCATATGTGTGCTTCAGTTGGTAATGGTTGAACCAACCTCCTTGTAACTCTGGAATGAACATTGGTGACTATATAGTATACCCCAAAAAAAGAACAGACACACACACAGTCAATATCTTAACAAACCATGTATATATTCCAATGTTCATCATACCTCTTTAGCTCCTCCACCAAAACCACGAACTGTTTTTTCCAATTTATCAATCGAATGTTCGATACTCTTGGGGTCCCAAGTACCCCATTCTGATAAACTGTAGTCACCATCAATTAGCCAACTCTTAGGCGAACTGCTTGGGGCGAATACTTATTAATCAGAGATAAAGAGATAAAGATCCAAAAAAAAAGTTAGCATTACGTCAAGATGAGGCTACAAGTCGCCAAAAAAAAATCCAACTCACCAACATATTTATCAAATCCGTAAAGATCAATGCCAAACTGATTAGAGTCCCACCACCCGCCTTTGCCAGCATTCTCGGGACGTGGTACCCAGCCACCTTCTTCAAATCCATCGTTGGTAAACAGAGGAACAGTTGTTCCGGCATCACGGGAAGCTTTGGCCAAAACACGCATCTGATCTCTGAGACCGACTGGTAAGATACCTGCCATCTTCTCAAACAGCTCGTTATCAATCTGGACAGCCAGTACACATCCACGTGGGTTGGTGGTGACCTGATGTCGAGCAATAATCGGTAAAAGAGCCTGAAGCCACTGGACTTCGTATGCAGCAAACATTGGGTCATAAGTGCGCCAGAGCATCATGGCATTGTGTCGGATATTGAGTTCCCGTTTAGCAATAAGCCAGGCTGGATAACCGCCTGCCTGGGTCTCAGCGCAAATGTAAGGTCCTGGGGCAGCGAGTACGAATAGTTTAAGACGTTCGCAGAGGCCCAGAAGATGGTCGATGTCTCGATTGCCGTCAAAACGGTAGATATTTTCATCCGGCGAGTGGTAGCCCCAGTGGAAATAAATGCGAATTGTGTTTAATCCCGCTGACTTGTATTGCTTTAAAATAGGCTCCCAGCGAGATCTATCAGGAACACGCCAGTAATGAAACTCTCCAGATAATATCATCGTCTCTTCGCCGTCGACAATCAAGGTGTGCTTGTTCCAGTCAAGTGTGGTATTATAGAGTGCGCGGTCATATGCGACACTTTCGGTAGTTATGTTCAAGGTGCCATGGGTGCGTTGATGGCAAAAGAGTACGAATGCAGACAGTAGCAAGGGTAATATGGCGAAGAATGAGTAAATAGGTGTCATGTCTGACATGCGAACTTAGGGGAAGAGGGAATGAATCCCAAAGCGTTTATAAAGCAAAAAAAAGACAAGGAATTACAGACGCGAAATGAAATGACGTATTTATAAAGTAAAATAAAAAAGGGTTTAAAAAAGATTCATTCTACGCAATGGTGGGACAGATTCTATATTCTAAGGGAGAGCAAGATCCTCAAAAGAGAGGTTCTCGCCATGAGGTTTTGAGCGCAAGGAAGCCAGATCGATAAGACTATCTCGTTCTGCGTAGAGAGTTTTGTAGGCACTCTTAATAGTAACTTCTGATACACCTGCTACATGGGCAATGTCTCGAGTGGATTTTGGTTGGCGATATAGGTAGGAGACCAGATAGATGCATGCAGCAGCTACCGAAATAGGCGATTTTCCTGCCAATGTACCCAGCTCCTTGGCACGTTTGACAAGATCAATGCCTGCCTTTTGAACATAGTTGGCCAATTGCAGATTTGAGCAAAATCTAGACATCAAATCCTCTGAATTCATGATTGTTGTTGATGTCTGCAGCTTGGATTGCAATGACTTGTAGCACCGTCCAATTTCTTTCTTTGGCACGCGAGTTAATGCGCATATCTCCCGGAATGTGCGCCCAACCTTTTCTTGTCTGCATGCGATAAAGATACATGCTGCAATAATGGCATCACTTGACTTTCCACGAAGCAACTTTTCATCTTCAACTCGCTTGTACAGTTGTTTAGCCGTATCACTGACTAACTTGGATAGTGAAATAGAATCGCACATGGCACTAATCTCCTTGTATGCCTGTACAAGGTTGCGCTCTCCCTTTACGGCTGTTGCTCTTCCATGCACCTTGTTGAGATCTTTGGCAGCTCCTGTACCACCATCCCGACGGGAGATTACTGTGTCGAGTTGATTGCCGTCCAACAAAGGATTAGCAGCGGCACCGACACGAGAAGGATCCTACTCAACGTGCGATGCATTATGAGATCTATCTTATTTAATATATATATATATATATATATATATATATGTATGTATGTATGTATGTATGTATGTATGTATGTATATACATATATCAATATATTCTATATTTCCTTTACATAATCTTTAATTTTTCACTATAAATATTCGGGACATACGTCGCCTTCATCATTGGCAAAGGTACGCCATTCAGACCGGGTGTCGATGATCCGATCACCCAAGACTAAACCACAATCGCCACAGACTAGATCACCAGAGGCAAACTCTTCGACGATCTGGGGTGGTTGGACTCTACAATCTGGGCAGATTAAGGTCACATTCAGGTTTGGTTGGAAGGCCTGATTGGTTTCTTTCTGCTGAGGCTCACGAAGAGGGAAGGGAATTACAGAGGCCATCGCAACAAAGGACACAGCCTTGAGTAAAGTATGTTAACAATGAAATAGCTTGGATGAATCCAGTCACGGGACAGTCACATAAGGATTCCTTTTTTTTTCTTTCCTCTCCCTCTCTTGTTCTCTTTCACTTTGTACACACACACACATATATATTAAAAATAAAATACAAAAAATTGCATCATTTACAAGTTTTGGATACTTCTTTATATTGTTTTGTTTTTTTGTAAAATGCTTTATTTTTCTTTATTTTTTGTTTTTTGTTTTTAAAGAAAAATTAAAAGAAAAGGGAGTTCTGCGAATGTGTTGGAAATGGATGGTTGGTTGGAAGGGTTGAAATGCGTTTAATTCTATAGAACACAAGGGGGGTTTTTTTTTTTAAAAAAAAAATGGTAGATAAAAAGACAGCGAGGATATGTATAGAGAGGAGAAGAAAGTAATAATAAGAATTCAAAGCTATATATATATAAAAAAAAGACTATAAGCTTCTCTCTCTTCTTCTTCTTCTTTTTTTTTGGGTGTGTTTGTTGAAAGGAAGAGGGTAACGGAATCTTTTTTTTTAGTTGGTGGTGTCGTTCTTGAGACCACCTTCGATATCAGCAACAACCATCTCGGTGACCAACTCATCGTAGGTAACCTTGCGCTTCCAGCCCATCTTCTCGTGTGCCTTGGTGGGGTCACCCAAAAGAAGCTCGACCTCAGCAGGACGGAAGTACTTGGGGTCAATACGGACACGGATCTTGCCGGTGTCAGCATCCTTACCGATTTCGTTGACACCTTCACCCTCCCAGACAATCTTGCGGCCAGTGACGGCAAAGGACTTCTCGATGAAAGAACGGACAGTGTGGGTCTCACCGGTAGCGAGAACAAAGTCCTCGGGCTTGTCCTGCTGGAGCATCAACCACATACCCTCTACATAGTCGCGGGCGTGTCCCCAATCACGCTTGGCATCGATGTTACCCAAGTACAGGCACTCCTGGCGACCCAAGTGAATATCAGCAACAGCACGGGAGATCTTGCGGGTGACGAAAGTACGTCCACGGCGGGGGGACTCGTGGTTGAAAAGGATACCGTTACAGGCGTACATGCCGTAAGACTCGCGGTAGTTGACAACGATCCAGTAACCGTAGAGCTTGGCGACAGCGTAAGGGGAACGAGGGTAGAAAGGAGTAGTCTCCTTCTGGGGGGTCTCGACAACCTTACCGTAGAGCTCAGAGGTGGAAGCCTGGTAGAAACGGACGCGATCGGTCAAACCGCTGGTACGGATAGCATCCAAAAGACGGAGGGTGCCAAGAGCATCAACATCACCAGTGTACTCGGACATGTCAAAGGAAACCTTGACGTGGGACTGGGCAGCCAAGTTGTAGACCTCAGTAGGCTGGACCTGGGAGATGATGTGGACCAAACAGGTAGAGTCGGTCATGTCACCGTGGTGAAGGAAGAACTTGACACCTAACATTTGTATATTATAAATAAATTGCTTTACCCAATAACAAAGATAATTTTTCTTAAAAAAAAAATTCGATTCTTACCTTGCTCATGGGAGTCCTTGTAGATGTGCTCGATACGGCCGGTGTTGAAGGAGGAGGAACGACGGATGATACCGTGAACTTCGTAACCCTTCTTGAGGAGGAACTCGGTGAGATAAGAACCATCCTGGCCAGTGACACCTTTTCAAAAATTTATATGTTAGCAAGTCAATCTCATCTTGTCATCTTGCCCAATGTCATCATGTCATCTTGTCATCTTACCAGTAATAAGGGCGACCTTGCGGGCTCTGTACTCCTCAAGGGACATTGTGCTCGAGCGAGCAATCTTGACATCGGCGTAAACACTCTCAGACATGGTGGACTTGGGAAATAAGAAGAAAGAGGAAGAGACTCAGTTGGGGACTTTTGGAGGTAAGGACGGTTATTTATACTGGCGAAACCTTTTCTTAACCTCAGCCATGGTAACACACCCAACCCGTACCTCAAAAGGGAAAAAGGGAAAAAAAAAGCCAGACAAAATAAGAAAGGATCAGACTTTTTGGATTTTTTTTTCTTGCCCTGCCAATCTGCGTTTAGTTTTACAGTCGCCTTTTTAATATATTTTATGTCCAATAGGCTTCTCTAGATTACTATACAACTCCGATTTTGGGTTTTGTTTTTTTTTGCTTGTCTCTTTGACGATCGTCCGTTTTTCTATTTTTGGGTGTTTCTTATTAGATCCCTTGCAGGATAGAAAAGCCTTGGCTTGTCAGGCAACAATGATTCCAGAGGCGGAGGCCTTCCTGCATTAGACCCACTCAGGATTCCATTTGCTGCAAGCGGCCGAGAAGACAGAGTGGCGGGCGATAAGCCGGAATGGCAAGATGACGCGTGCAAGATCAAGGGGCGCACAGACAGTGGAAGGACAAGGGCTGGACTGGATACTCTACGCGACGAGCATTGAAGTGCACTCTGCCGCCACTTTGATTCGATCATATCCAATTCCCTCCTCATAACCACATCCCATTGCTTATCAAAGCACACTAGCTGGTCAGAAAAGGTCCGAGTGTGCAAATCCGTCCGGTCTGTTAGGCAGTGCTGAAGATGGCTTAGTCTGCCATGATCTTCAGCCACCAGGTCAGATAGACAACGACCCACAAAAGCCTTTGGTTCAAATCCCCACAACACCATTACCTCATCAGACACACTTGTTATCTGGAAATCAAGTGAGAGAATGATGGTAATTGTTGGACGATTGATCATTCCCTGAACTGATTGCTGATCTCCTAATCCGAACCTCATTCCGAACATTTTATATATATTTTAGCTTTAAAATAATAATGTAGAATAGTAAAAAAAAAATACTAAATTATATATTCATCTTTTAGATATATAAATATAGATAATATTTATTTATAGGATTACATTTCTTAGTTGGGTCGAGGAGTAATGGGATCAATAGATATTTTACAAGTCTTTATGCTATCTAATATTTGAGGATTTTTTTTTCTTCTTTCTTTCTTTCAAAACTCGATTCGCAATCTCTTTTGGCGGAACACCATAAGAAGGTTCTTGTAGCATAGCTGTAAGACAAAGCCTTGTCCAATCGCATACTATTTAACATACACGCTATTCGAGCAAGCAAGGTAAAGAGTAATAGACAAATGAAGCTCGTAGAAGATATGTAGTGTCTTGCATTGGTAATAAAGGCTGGACTTTGTATTGCATTATGTTATATGTTGGCCGTCAAAACTACTCTTTTGATTCTATAGATCTTGAGATTAAACATACAGATTAAAGGTGTGACTCTTTGTGGCAATATCTTCTTTTCCATCCGCCCACTGGTTGCACAGCCGAATGCACTTCTCTAAATATGATTTTATACAAAAATATACATTGGTCTTTGCACACAAGAAAGATAAATATAGTCTGGTCCTAACTTTATCTACAGATAGATAAGTTTTTTTTTATACTAATATTTATTTATATATATATGTGTGTATATATATATTTTTACATATATAAAACTTTATCAGCCCAAATACAGTAATATATTAGTCCAATTTTAATCAGTGATTCCTTTAAATGGAAATATAGTTCTATACAAACGAATGTATCCTAAATATTATAAGTAACCAATGTACTTATTCTATATAATATATATAAGTGTAAAGAGGTAGGATGTTGAGAGGAATATACTAAAAAAAATGTATATTGACAAGATCCATCATGAATTATTTTATTGTCAAATGAACAAAAGATTCAGAATATACTACAATCTGCAGAACAGACATCTCTTATCTACAATTCATTATTTTGTTCCAATAAATGCAGCTCCCATTCTTTGTCTTTTATTTAGCTATTCATTTATTTATTGTTTAGTAATTGCTGTTCATAAACCTTTATCTATGTAGAAAGCATATTGTACTATGATGAGTTGTAGGTCTTGGTACAGATATCTTTGTTACCTAATAACTACTAATCTGACAATGCAATCGAGTGAACTCTTATTGGATACAATAAAGTAAAATAGCTGTTTAAATAATGTCGGATATTACAATTTGTATCTACCCGTAGTAACGGTACTAAATACTTTTTTTTTTATTTATTCAAAAACATATAACAATATATCACCAAAGAGATGTAATAGAATTATCCTTTTCTTTTCTTTTTTATGTATAAATATTGCATGCAGTGTCTATTATCTATGTTATTAGTAGTCGACCCTTTTTCTTTCATTTTCTTTGTATGTAGCAACCAATCTTTCCTTTATATAGTTCTTTAAATGTTGTTCTTGTTCTTGTTTAATTAAGAGCATGACCTAGAAGATCATCTAGGATCGGACTAGAAATTTCACACTTATCCCTTCTAGTCTTTGAAGATATTGACTGTTCAGCAGAGAGAGAGAAAGTTCTATCAAGATAAGCTATAGGCACTGTTCCTATGATCCTGTTTTTTTCGCTTACATGGTATTGTTAGTATATGGCTTGTAATCAAGATGTATATATATGTATATATATTTTGAAGCACTTGAGACATCGTGTGGTTTCTTTTTGTACCTTGAACACACGCATATTTTGTTGCTATAATAAATCCTCGAGGATTCCAAAAATAGATTGTATTCCTGTATGGACATGACTATCTTCTCTTCTCATTTTTATATATATATTGTGTACCGCTGTTTAGACGGCCGCCTTTTCCACCCTTGATATTTTCATACAAATCGCACAGTAAGGTCCAGAGTTTAAATATATAAATATATATAAAATATGGCTTGACTCAAATAATTCTAATATATAGATGTATATATAATTTGAGCCTCTAATAAAATCGAATTTCCTAAATCCGCCCTCCGTCCTATTTAATTGTTGCGAGTTCCCACATCTCCGGCCCACGTTTATCATCAATCTGTATTCCACAAATCAGTCCCTTTTATATACATATTTTTGTATTTGTTACCATTCAAGACAAGACATCTTCAACTCCCTTTCTCTCTCTCTCTCTTTAAACACACAAAACTTATTCTTTTTGACAGGTTTTATAATGCCTCAAGACATGACGATTGTGTCACACTCGGGTCTTCTTCTTCAACCTGTTTAAAGAACTCAACCTTTCATTTCTACGTCATAAACAATCAAAGTATAGTCTAAGCCAGTCCTTTCTCCCTCCGCAAACCACAAAACCTTCACAGTCTCTCAAGCTCAGAGTAAATCCCACAATACCCTACAGTGTGGCTTGCACCAACAGACAGATCTTGATCCCACCATTTACCAGACTGGATTCAAAAGATAAAAAGAAAGATCTACACACAAAAAGAAACTCAACACCTGAAGATTACATCAATGGTCAATTGGTGTACCTTTTAATATAAATTCTTTATTGCTAGTACACTATGCGAAATTATCTATTTGGCACAAGACTTGAATTAATTTAATTAATTCTTCATTTCTTTCTTTTTTTGTTCTTCTTCTTCTTTAAACATTTTAGCTTGTAAAATTCATAACAAAGTGATGGGAATATTAGAAATGACTTGGTTATTTAAAGCACATTATTTACCTTAATCAGGCTCACTAACTCTTATCCCAAGATTATTATTTTTTGGAGTAAATTAAATAATAACTAATTGGATGTATAAAGCATGCCTAATAATAATTTTGCTTTTATTAAAGATAAACGTATCAGATCATGCTCTACTATCACTAGATTTTAAGCCTCTTGTAACCACTCAATTATATTATGACTGGGTAGTAATTTTAATAGGATTCCTTGTATATAAAACGTACTCACTCTTTAGTACTTTGATCATCCCAAAGTGCTTTATGCAATACTACTAGCTGCCCTACGCGCCACAATTGATTACACCGTGAATTAATATTCTCAAACATTCTGTATTACTGACATTTACTCCAATCCGCCTAGACAAAGCATCAACACTAGAAGAAAAAAAGATATTCAGACCTTTCTTTGATCATTCTGGACAGTCTAATTGGACATACAAGACCTGAATACATTTTTATGTTTATTAAGAAGCAATACTTGGATAATTCAATATACTAGTTAAAGATAATTATGTCGGTTGATAAAGTCTCTGTCAAAATCATTTCTCCTTTCTTTCTTGGATATTTTTTTTAAAAAAAAAATCTACAAGATTACGAACTGCGTATAAATCTAAAAACTAGATTCTTCAAGTTCAAATTTATTTGGAGGTAAAGACCCACTACTAACAGCGCTAATAAGATAATAAATAATTTAATATATTATCCCGTTATGTCCTTGTTCCGAAATTCAGGCCAGCTTATTGCTTTGTATTGCAATTATATAGTTTTTATTTTTTGTAAAATAAAAAAAAACAAGTATAATAACATAGTGCGTGTGAGCTTTGGATTACAATCTAATAAAAGTGATGAACAAAATACCAGCCTAGTACTTCTTGGTTTGTTTTCTTGTACAAAAAGAATTGGATAAGAAAATGAAAATATTACGGTGAATGAACGATATTTTAACATCAGATATTGGGTAATCGAAAATATCTATTGACTTGATAACTTTTTTTTTGGAAAGGAGTGCGAATACATATATGAACCTCGAAAGAATTAAAAAAAATGTCGCTTTCTTGAAGTTGAAGCAAGTTTATTTTCTAAACCAAATCATATTTGAATTCTGAAGTCAATCTTATCGTTTCAAAAAAAAATTCTTCTCCTAAATCAAAATATAAAAGAAAGTACAATGAGTTTGGTTTACTTAAAAGTTGTAGTAAAGCGTATTGTATTATGTTAGCCTGGGAATACAAAGTTGGGCTTAGCCATAGTGTACATCTATTATGCCATTTGTTCCAACAAGAACAGCCATAAATTCTTCTTATACTACTACTACTACTACTACTACTACTACTATAAGATACACATAAAACAAATATTAAAAATATTAAAAATTAGGTGAAATGTGATCTGTACTGCATAAAAGAACCTGAATCAATAACAGGTTATATCTCATCATCAGTAGACATTATTGAGCACACAATTAACAAAATATTCAAACACCACGCTTTTATCTCAGGCACAATGTTTTACTGGAGCATATTTTACTAATAGTTACATTTTTTTTTGGAGCAAACTGTTTTCAATTGAAGTTACTCACAGTCTGACGCCTAGTAATAGCATGAAGTATCTTTCCTTGACTTTAAAGAACGCTAAAAGAAATAAATATAAGAAAACAATACTAGATATATTAAACAATGACTCGAGCCTTATTTTACAGCAATGTTTATAGGATATTTTTTACCCGAGTAAAACAATCTGATATATTTAACAAAATGATGCTTTTTGGCTGTTTATTTGAAGACTAGAGCTAAAAAAGAAAAATTCTGCAATTAGAACCATTAAAAGGAAAACAAAGGAATAAAACAAAATCTTTAAATTTATTTATCTTTTTTAAAAATAAAATAAAATAAAATAAATAAAAAAAATCTTCATGAAGGTGGTCTTTAGGACTATCGAATAATACACGATAAATAATAAGTGATAAGAGTAATACAAAATAATATAAAGTAATTTTAGGTAAGCAAGGGTTCAAGGTAATTAAGAATTATATAGTGTTTTTGGCTGGTAAATTGTATAAAGTTAAAATAGGCTAGAAATATAGATAGTTTAAACGAGTTTCTGGAGACGATAATCAAGCGAAAGAGTTTCAAATGCTCATTTCATGGTTGTTCTTCTGAAAATACGGATTGGCCTCTGATGGTTCACAAAAATCTTTGGTGCAACATTTTTTTTCGCAAATATCGGGAATATCTAATCCAATTCTAGACTCAATGTAATCTTGGCATCCATGAGAAAAGCCAGGATATTCATAACTAGAGGGATGGCTATGTTTCAGAAACTGTAGGTCCTGCTTTAAAGGCGCTTGGGGAACATTTCTATTGGAGTTTATCAGTTCTGCAATCTGAACTTCCAGTAAGTCCAAATCATTGTCTCTTCTATGGTTTGCAGGCATTGTAGTGATAATCGGTTCTAGAGTAGGCTCAGCAGCTTTCATGCTGGATATCTTTTTATCAAACGCCCCTTTCATTTTGATCATATCTTCTTCGGCCGTTGTAATGTCGGCATTGCTCTTTCTGTCCTTAATAGAATTGGTTATATTCTCTGTCAATGTTGTTTCAACTTCTTTTGCAAGTGGATAAGATGGGGATGTATCATATTCTTTATTCTGGCTAGTCTTTTTAACCAGCTGGTCTTTGGTAAGCTTGTTCTGGAGACGAATACATTCTGAAACTGTATGGCCATCCTTTTTGCAATACCGGCAAAAAATAGGTAATTCCTTAGCATGTAGCTCAATAGATGCACCAAATGGTTTCCCGAGATCAATGAAGCGGCGCAAGGGCGGAGGGGTTTGTAAAGCGGAAGTGTCCAAATATGCTGATGCCCTTCCACAAAATATTTCGTACTGATCACGGTATACGCAAATATAGACTACTTTTCCAAAGGGTGCTATGGCCTCAATCAATGAGTCCTTAAGATCAGTCTCAGGGTGGCAGTTTGGAATACCAAACATATCTATCTTCATAAGCGGGCTCCCTGAGCCGAACACAGGAAGTGCAGGTATTGGTGTATTCTGAACAGTAATGCCAAGCTTAATGGCTTTGAGTCGAATGGCAGGATCCACAAATAGAACTTCGGCAATAAGATCGCGCGTCTTTGTATACTTTGCGGTAAAGGCGTCAACAGCACCAAGCTGTGTGATAAGTATCTCCTTGAGACCATTGATAGAAATGAGTTTCCTGACATTGAACAGGACACTCTGGGGATTACTAGTGTGATGCAAGGAATGAAAAACTGAATTTAAATCAAAGCTTGATTCGTGTTGGGGTCCATTGAAAATCGGAATCTCTTTGCTGTAGTTTCGCGAAGCATGCCGTGAAATATTAGTTCGTCTGTTGTAATGAGGAGTCGTGCCTGAATTAATTGCACATGGATACTTTTGGTCAGGACAAAGCATTGGCTACAGCACTTTGTATATTTGTACTGTAAAAAATATTTCAGATAAAAGTTTGTGCAAAGGTTCAGTTGTCTTCCTTCCGACTGAACTTTTTTTCCCTTTTGCTTTTCTACTCCAACTCTTCCGGTACGAAAGAAAAAAGACCTTGGGAAAACCAGGGAAGCGTGACATCACAATAAACATAAGCTTCCTTTCCCACATTTGTTTCGTACTTACTACGGTAACTAATGCTTCATAACAAAGTGAATTGCATTGAACTTTGCCTGTGGCTAAGAAGTGTGATTTGGATGGATCGACGTATTCATAGTCAGCATAACTTATTTCAACTTGGCATCAGAAGGTTTATGCGGAATAAGGCGAAAATTCTCTTTTAAAGAAAGGTTTGAATCTAAATTCATCACAAGTGCGAGTGAAGTCTTAAAGAACCTAGCTACACAACTCATGTTAAGTATAAATATTGACTAAAATGAAGAAAATGTATGCAAAAGGCAGAACACAGGGTGTAAATATTTACATGAGTACTTTGTGAACTTTATTTTTAGCTGGTTTGGAGTAGGCTTGCTCTTCTTTTCTATTCAAAAAATAAGCTTATTCTCAAGTGTTCTTGGGTTGAAAGTGGCTATAAATATTTTAACTATCTTGAGTTGAATGAGATTTTAAGCTTAAAACCCCTATGTAACTCTTTTCTTCTATTTTTTTTTTCAGTTTTATAAAATCGGGCAAAAGGGATATATCAAGGTTTTCAAGAGCGATGCATTTGTGGTAGTCCAGCTCGAGAACGGAAAACTGTCGAGTGGTTTGAGAATACGTGTGGGTGTGGAGAAGCAAGGTGCACTGGGATGTAGCTGGTAGAGTATTTCTTTAAGGGTTTTGTTGATATTGTTCGCAAGGATGGTTGGTAAGTCAAGGTAGTCAGTCTTCAGGATGCCAATCAGTACTGTCAACTAAATACTTTACAAATTGCTTCTTTTATTCCTCTATTCTCGTTCAGGGATATCTCAAGATACCCTCTTGCAACAAAACAAAGGAAAAGAACTGATTTTATTAAGATGGTCAGTGACCCTGTTTCTTATCTTACTTCTTGTAGGTGTTACAACAGTTTCGGAGATTAGGATAGACCTCATGTCTCTTCCTACGGACAGACTTCTCAGGTCTGAACCGAAAAATAGTCTCACTTATTCTACAAGAGTCCAAGTTCAGGGAGGGTGTTTCGATCTCTCTTAACCTCTCGGTTTGGAAGAGCATCATGACTTTTTACGCCTCGTACTAGTGCTAGTCTTCAATACAGTTTGTTCGCTCGTGGTAGCTGACGATACAGTTTCATGGCGTCAGTGTATGTAGGTAGGGGAAGAGGCTAACAAGCTCCCGTCTGATAAGTAATATACATTTCTTCCCTGAATCTCTGCGATACGATCTTTAATTAAACTGCCCTTATTATTTGAAAGATCTATTACTAGGTTGACTAAAACTTTAAGGGATCGTATGAGCATTGTGTATCAGTGAATTTGAACGAAAGTAAAATTTCATTTAGTTGATGTTTACCAAGGCTGCTTGGATATAATATGTATTCAAACAAAAAAGAAAAAAGAAATTACTGTTTTATATAGATGAGAAATCATGGTATTATAAATATAAGATATAGTGTAAAATATACTTTGCGTTTTAGGTTTGAATGCTGATTAAACTATTCTACAATAGATACATTGGGTGGATAATATAAGCCAAGATGTAAGTAAAATACATGACTTATTTTCTTTTTCTTACTCGTACTCCTTTAATTCCTCTTCTTCCTTTTTACGTTCTGCCTCCGATACTTCATCCTTCTTCTCTTGGAGATACTTGCTCATCCAAAGCTTTACATCCAATTTCCACACAGTCTTTGTCTTGATATATCCTTCCTTCTTTGTCGATACGCGAGTATATCCATGACGTTTTTCCAAAACCTCTGCCATCTTGTCTTGGAGCTCATTAGTCTCTGCATAGAGATACTCAATCTGATGGGAGTGAGCCCACAATGCAACCCGCTTCAAAAGAACTGTCGACAATCCATGACCCTGATATTCACTCTTGATTGCCAGGCGTCTCACACTGGCTTCGTTTGGCTTGTGCGCTTTAAAGAGCACTCTTTCCTTCTTTCCATCAGAATCGACTTTGAACCCAAGTGCTTTACGAGCAGCTACAATAGAGTCACACACCAAGTCTGTAGCTCCCACCAAAACTAGACGAACAGTGTCATCAATCTTGGCCAGTACTTTTGCAGTCTTTTCCCACTCGGCTTCGTTAATCGCAGGAGAGTCGGACAGTTTGGGAAGTTCAGTGGCACGCAAATAAGTACTAGTAGCCCGTTTGTCGATTACATCCTCTAAATGCTGGTCCATTCCTACACACCCGACTGGTTCTCCATTGATGGTCAATACCCAAAAGTTTCCCTTCAGAGGCTGGTCGGGTTCTCCGCGATAAAAGGTAGGAGGGTCCTTGAGGTCATTGTCGATACCTTCGAGTACGCGCTCGCTGACATCGAACTTGTCAACGTACCAAAGAAGAGTGATCAGCCCACCGCCGATGGAGACAATGACAATGAGGACACGAACGCTGAGCATCATTAGATCTGTCCAGCCGAGAGTTGACAACTGTGATGGCACCCATGTGAATAGGAATGCAAAGAGGGCCAGCCATGTGCCAAGTATAATCGGTGACTGGACACGTAGTTTTACGCCATATGGAACAAGATCGAGGTAAGTTGAGTAAAAGAGAAACTGGGCATACTTGAGATCGTCCTTGTCAAAAAACGGTCTCAGTTCAATTTGGGAGCGTTTCTCAGTCGAAGGTGATACACTCGTAGTTTGTGAATTATTTTTGGTACTGCTACTTTTTGGAGAAGGGGAAGACGAAGACTTTGCCATCGGAATTCAGTCAACCAATGTATGTAAGTATATAAAGTTATTAGACCAAAGAAAAAGGAAGGAAAGGAAAGAGATTGGTAAAGTGGTTTAAGCCTTGTGAAGGCTTTTAAGGCTGAGAGGGCTTCATTGTAAATACACGTGCGTCGTTCATTGGATCTTGACCAGTGAGATGGTTACATTGAAAGCGGCCTTTAAGCAGAGATCACCATAGCTGCTCCACCTCAATTGGCTCCATTTCTTTCCCTTTTATTTTAAATAGGATGTTAATACAAAACCATGCCCATACATAATCGACTATATCCAACACGTTTCGATGTAAATTTGGTAAAAAAGAAAAATTTAAAAAAAAGGGCTGTCTTCAATCTCGCTTGTACAATCCATTGATAACGCATTGATTGTTCTTTGCCAAAAAAAAAGTTTAAATAAACCTTTTGAAATGTTAGGTAAAATATTTAGCCAAAATTGAATAAAGCATCCCAAATGATAGCAGTGATAATACTTGTACTATATATATTGACTATTGTATTTGCAGACATTTACAAGTTGTATGAATATGATGCCATTGTAGATACTAGGAAATACATTTTATGGATTTTTTTTTTAAATAATAATAAATAAAATAAATAATTTCGTCATAGCACACTTGTACATTTGTAACTTTGTATCCAGGACTTGATATACTAAAATAAAATAAAATAAAATAAAAACCAAGCTAAAACTTTCTCTGTGACTTCATATGAATGAAGCATTACTTTAACAACCCCCTAAAAGGAAAGCGACTACCCTTTACACATGGTTTCTTCCAGCACTACTTTGAGTGAATTGACCACTCCATTACCAAATGTCCAGGCATTCAGCATCAAACCCGGAAGTTTAAAGGTAAACTACCGAGAAAGCCCGTTCTACAAGTGAAATCAAAGCCGTATACTTATATTATTTGATTTTCAAATATATTTTCCCTTAAAAAAAGATCCACATTAATAGCTGCTTCCTAAACGTTTCAGTAAAACGTCCTTATGTCATTATCACTATTGGAGGTATAGGAGGTCTTTAAATATATATATATGGGTGTAATTATTATTACTGTTGAAAAATAAAGACTATCGTGAATATCGATTTATCTTAAAATTATATTCAACCTTTAATATAGATCAAATACACCAGACTTCTATATCAGACTATCCTCAAGGTCAATGGAATGAAGGGTTTGAATTCCTGGTGAGCTATCACGCTCAACTATTCGACACTATCCAACTGGATCTATATGATTCCTACATGCTTCTACCCGACAGGCATGTGGGCCGAGCAGAAATACGACTACGAAAACTAGAAGGCATGCCAGAAGAATTTACTTCTTACTACGAAATCTGGGAAAAGAAACTCTCAAAAGGAGCGAGCTCTCTGGCTTCCCAAAAGAAAACTACTGAGAGTAATGTGGGAGCAATACAAGTCCGGATTTCTTATGTTTACCAATCCCAAGATCCAGTTACACCTTCAGGAAAGACAAAAAATCCATCGCTTCACTCCAAGCAATTGTACAACGAGAATGAACTAGAAGAGGAATTTTTAAGATTAATAAAGGCACATCGGGAAAGACCTCCCGGTGAGATCTTGTTTCGGAAATATGAAGAGACAAGTCAAAGATCATCTTTTGATGAGGAAATAGACAAGGAAGAGGAAGAGATGAAGAGGTCAACATTGGTAGAGAAACGACCGTCTGACCTGGAAGAGCAACATATGGGTAGTTATCGCATAGTCGAGCAGGACAGAGCAAAATCAATACCCAAAAAAGAAGAAGAAGAAGAAATTCCGGCTACTACTACGACTACTACTACGACTACAGGGTCAGTTCTCGGAACTGTCTCGGCTTGGCTTGGCTTCACACAACCTGTACCTTCACAATCCAAATCAACCACAAGTACATCTACTCAAGATACATTAACAGAACCCGAAGATCCTAGTAATGAAGAACACACGGACCTGATTGATACAATGAATACTCTGACAACAGAAGACGACTCTTTAAAAACATTCCCAATATTGGATGCTATTGGCTCCTGGACCGTTAACAAGGAAACAAATCAAGTTTTGCGTGCAATTGGAAAGCTTCTTGCAGCATTTGTAAGTGAACTAGCAATAGTTTCTTTCTCTGTTGATATCACATGTTGTATTTTTCTTTTTTTTTTCTTGATACATAGATAACTAAAATAATAACAACTTTTGTAATTATCTTTAGGGGCAAGGATTTGAGCTTTCAAATATCCAGATATTGACTGGATTTACTATGCTTGAGAAGTTTTATACCCAACTTCCACGAGACCGAACCTGGGACTTGGTGGAAGATCTTTCAGAAATCGAGCTGGCTTCTCACTTTTGGGATTATTCGTTGGCATCATATGGATGGAAGGGTGTTAATTTGATGGGAAAAGGAAACGGTTATATATCAGATGCTGTCCGTGACCATTCGGATGCTCTGACGGTAATGGAATATCTAAAGCTTCCCGAAGAGTGCCTACTGGCATACGAACTTCGTACAGGAGAGGCATTTCGTCCAAGTTATTTTGTTGCCCAAGATCCATCAACAGACTCACTCGTGCTGTGTATTCGAGGTACTATGGTAAGCAAAAATACCTCTACAGGAAAAAGAAGAAGAAGAAAAAAAGATATTGATTAGCTAATTGACTAATTGGCTAACCTTAAATCTCTTTGTTTGGTCTTCATTCTAGAGTGCATTCGATACAATGACAGATCTTGTGTGTGAATACGAACCGTGGAAAGGAGGATTTGTGCATAAAGGCATGAAGGTATGCTTTTAATATATATATAAAGAAAGAAACATGCTCATCAAATTTCTTACAGTCCGCTGCTGCCTGGCTTTTCCGCCATGTTGCACCTCAATTAGTCACATATGCCAACGAAAACTCTGTGTCAGCGCTTCATATTGTTGGCCATAGCCTTGGTGCAGCAACAGCCGCAATATTGACCATCATGCTTCTTGATCATATTGACGAATTTCCAAAAGATAAAGAAGGAAACCCTTTTGTGATTCGATGTTTTGGATATGCACCTGCGTGTGGGCTCAGTATCGATCTTTCTGAGCGTTACAAGGTAGATACTATGATTTATTATTATTATTATTATCATTTCTAGAATTAATAAAGATGTTTTTTTTATAATAATAATAATTGTATTTTAAAGGATTACATTCAATCGATTGTGTTTGCAGATGATTTTGTCAGCAAACTAAGTTATGGCTCAATGATGGACGTAAAAGAATTGATAATAGGAGGTGCAGAAGCAGCACAGAATCTCGGAATCGGGCAACTTCTTTGGACACAAGAGCCAGAAGGAGAGCAGTGGAAAAAAGCATTTGATCAAATTGAAGAATGTCGACGCAGATGCCTCGAGTCAATGGATAACCCAAGGGTAATTGTATAAAGATTTTTTGGGGAGAAAATCTGTAGTCATGGTACTTATATACAAAGCTTCTTTATTAACGTTATTTACATATAGCTGTATGTTGCAGGCATGGTTTATCAATTTTGGCTGGTATGTTTGTGCTTGTATACATATATAGAGAAATTGGATATTGTGTACTCAAACATAATAACTGTTAGGATCCTGTCCCCGGTAAAGATACTCGTATTGTTGTCGAGCGTACGGATCCTCGTAGAGTATCAAGCGAGCTGATTATTAGACGCTCCATTCTTCTTGACCATCTTCCTTCTAATTTTGATGTGTCTTTCCGAAGAGCGCGTGAGGCATTGATGGCTAACAAAGATGACCAACCAGTGGGCGTTCTGGATCCTTCGCACTCTGAAGACACTGGTGATATAGATCCGAGAGTCCAAAGATCCAGTAGCACAAATACAGTTCCACTACACAATAAGTGCTCAATGGATACAGTTAGAGATACATTAGCTGAAGAAGGTCTCAAGAGAACCACCGAGAGAGGTGGTGGAGATGCGCATGCAGTAAAAGACGCTGTGCGCTAGACGAAATTGCGGGACTTTAAAAATAAATGCAACATAAAATTTTCTATTCGTGTACTTTCTCTTTTTTTTTTTTTATTCTTGCACTTTCTGATCGCAACGTATGAGTCATGTCTGCGTATGATCAAGTCAGTAAAGGGTCGCTCAAATTTAAAGGGAGCGACTCTCCCATAAAGTAAGAGTAGTGTGATGTACTAAAGGCAACCAATCTTACAAATGTCATTACAGGAAAAAAAAGAAGAAAGCAAAGTCAGAACGAGAGAAATTTGCCCGTGCTATTCAGGATGAGGCTGATGGACAGAAACAGGAAGACAGTGCAGCTCATCGTGTAACTGTCGTGGAGAAGACAGAGGCAGAACGTAAATTCGAAGAAACCAAGTTAAAGCGAGTAAGTTTATTTTTTAAAGAACAAAAAAAAAACATTACAAACAAACATTAACAACATATATAAATTCATCTGTGAATTAGCAAATGGAACGTGTTGCAAAGGCTGCCACTAGATCCCACAAAGAGAATGTCTATGAGTTTAACAAGAAGCTTGAACATCTCAGCGAGCATTACGACATTCCAAAGGTCGGACCCGGCTAACAGGACGCGCGTATTCAGCACTTTATTTACACTCTCTCACACACTCTCAATCTCAATCTCAATCTCTCTCTCTCACACACACATATATATATGTATACACATTTATACAATTGGTCCATGTGGAATACGTGTATATATCGAAACATATTAAAATCAATAAATAAATAAATAAAACTTGAAAGATATATGTATCTATCTATCTATCAAGAAATCCTGTTCACAGTTTATTGGGTGGTAATGTATGGACCATCCATTTGTCGCACCATTCTACACTCATATCAATCATTTCTGGACACCATTCATGCCCTACACCTGGAACAATTACGCATTTCCAATCGACGTTCTCCTTGCCACGATGTACCTTTGAGAGACGACTGATAAATGCGTCGTTGGAAGATGGCGGAACTAGTTTGTCTTTTTGACCACTGATCATGAGCAGCTTGGTAGAGCTGAGGTGATTTTCAAGGTTGGCTGTTCTCTGCTTGACCATTTCACAAAATGGTTTGGGAAGATGGGCATGGGCTGACAAGTCTGTTTCTTGGAGACGTCTTTCCATCAGTCCCAAGAAATCAGCAGTTCCGACAATGGGAATACAGACAGTCAGTCTTGGATCTATATAAATCATAATTAGATAAGGTATAATTATTTGTGAATTAGCGAAATTAGTGTGAATAGATGGATATTTGATTAGGCAAAGGTTTTTTTGACATACCTTGGGCTGCTGCCAAGATGCTTGCATGTCCACCCATAGAAAATCCAACAACGCCCCAGACCTGGACTCTTGATTCATACTGTGGACCAAAAAGGTAATGCTCCAATACATCCACAAGGTCAGAAACAGTTCGGGCAGAGTTGTATAGCATAGACCACATATCCATAGCATGGTTGGGGTTGGCATATCCATTCTCGGACCATCCATAATTGGAAAGATGATGAATTTTTCGACTGCCATGGTTGGGGTGGTCGAATGCAACCACAATTATGTGTCTTTTTTTGCAGGGGTTTGTATTGAGTTTGCAGATTGCTTGGCAAATGGGATCCATCTTTGTCATGTTCTCTAATGGCATTTTTATTTTTATTTTTATTTTTATTTTTGTTTTTGTTCTCATTTCAGAGCTGATGTTTGGAAAATTGATTGACTCTTACGAACACGACCATGGAGAGCAAACATTACCGCCACCGGTATTGGTTTTTCAAGTGCCTTGTACTCTTCAAGACCATATACAGTCAACTGAAGACCAATTACCGGAATCTCCTGCTTTGACATTGTGCAAGTAAATATAATATAGCGTAATATAAATAAATACAAAGGGACAATTTGAAAAGATCATCAATGGACCGGAGTCTCATTTGAGATTTTACTAGATTTTTGTGTACAAAAAATATGCTGTGAAATTCACACTTTTTTTTTTGAATCCTATCTCTATCTTGGTATTATTTTGACTAAAATGTCCTGATGTTTCTAAACTTATCAAAAAGCCAAATGATAAAATATTCGTGTCAAAATGTATTTATATATATATGTGTGTGTGTGTGTGTGTGTATTTTTTAGCTGGTATGTTTTTATTATTATTATTTATTCAAATGACATCATCTGTTTTATGCAACATATTCAGCTACACAAATCAATCAAAGAAAAACAATAGAGTATATAATAATAAAGGGTTTATTTACGGTATTTGTGGAGCAAGTGAGTAGGTAAGTAGGTGGGTGGGTGGGTTGGTTATTGTGAGTTTTTATATATATATATATATATTTCATTCTTTACAAAAGCTTCTCAATGTCAGCAGCAATGGCCTTGGGTTCAGTAAGAGAAGAGTAACGGTTGACGACCTTTCCTTCCTTATCAATCAAGAATTTCTAAAATAGATATAGTATTAGTTTCAAATAATAATCTTTTAAGCTCCAGAGCCTTTATTATATCTTACCTCAAAGTTCCATTTGATACGCTTCATTCTATAAGATCACCCCCAAAGAAAAAAGTTCGTGTCAATAAAAAGAAAACCCAATACAAAATATCTACTCTCTTTATAAATAAATCTTACCCAAGAAGACCAGATTGGGAATCCTTCAACCAGGCGTACAAAGGAGACTCGTGATCACCGTTGACATCCCTATACCAATTCCACTTGATAAGTACCGATAAACTTTCAAAAAAAAACGAGTTGTCATGGTTTAAACTTACTGCTTAGCGGCCAAAGGGAAAGTAACGCTCCAGGTGAGAGTACAGAAGTTCTCGATTTCTAACAAACTATTAGGACAATGCATAATCGTAATCAATTTGATCTAGACTTACCCTCTTCAGTTCCAGGTTCTAAAGGAAAAGTAAATCAGAGATAGTATAAGTTTATATAAATTACCATCTCTTTATTCCTCTTCTTATTCTTATTTTTTTTTTAAATCCACTTTTGTGTTTGCGATTCTTACCTTGACCACCAAACTGGTTGCAGGGAACACCGATAATTTCAAAGTCCTTGTCCTTGTAGTTCTTGTAGAGCTCTTCGAGACCAGCATACTGCTTGGTAAAACCGCACTTGGAAGCAACGTTGACAATAAGGACAACCTAATCAATGTAAATCAAGGCAAGGCAAGGCAAGGCAAAGCAAAGCAAAGCAAAAAAGGATCAACAAAAGAAGATAATAGACAGATTATCATTATCATTATCATTATCATTATTACCTTTCCCTTGAGAGATTCCAAGTTCCAGTCTTGGTTCTTGATGTTCTTGATGGTGAAATCGTAAAGAGTCTTCATTTTGAGTTGTGAGTAAAGGTATAAGGAATTAAGAAATGAAAGAGAGAGAGAGAACAGACCAAGCTTGGGTAATTTATATGATTTTCTACGTGACACGTCAAAACTCACCTCCGCTTTATATATAAATATATAAAACAGTACGTTTTTTTTTCTTTTTTTTTGCTGTTGAATAAATTGGGAAATTAAATAACCGGTCAATTGAAGATGGCGCGTACTACTAAATTAGGACTCTCTAAATGACATATCCTCTTAATAAGCACATGTAGAAAAATTGGCAGGAATCAGAAAATCTGTCTTGTCCAATAAAAATGCTCATTGGATTACAAATCACTCTTAATTAATTCACAGTGCTACTCGATCATCGTCGATGGCAGTTTTCATCGATCGTTTTACTATATTATGGAAATTGCTTGGCAAGGCAGCCCAACCCATTCATACAGTATGTAACCATTTGATTTGAAAACAGAAAAGTTGTTTACATTTTAAGAATTAATAATTAACATGTGGTTGCTGTGCATCTATATTTATGTATACAAATGATGTGTAAAATTGCTCAGCAAAATAGATGTAATCATGTATAGATAATATTAACATCACAGTAAAGATACATTCAAAAGTGTCATATAGATTCTTAAGGCACATACACAGGACAATATTATAAATCAAAATCTTATTCGGCAATGAGCTATGCTACAAGACCAATTAATTTTACGGCAACTCTGTTTACACATCACCACCGTTTTTATTCTCCCCCCTTTCTGTTGTATTTCTTTTTGGGTGTACAGAAATGATTCCCGAGACTTGGTTCAGGATTACTATTATTTTTGAGTCTGTGTCTATATTCGGGCTGTGTTTAGCTGCGAGCTTATCGATACAAGCTCACAAATACATATTTGAAACCAGACTCAAAACAACACCAGTTTATTTAATAAAGATATATAGATCTGTGCCTAATTTCATAAATGAAGAAAGAAATTAGAAGGGATAAAATAACACCCAAACACACATATGTAAGTATGTATGTATATATGTACGTACGTAAGTAATTACCTTTATACACACGCACATGCATATATAGAAATATATAGACACACTAATACTCATTCACTTACATATGCACGCACAATTTCTGTACCTCTCGGACCTGAAGTGTCAAACCCGGGAAAATCTTTGAAATCAGACTACTTGAATATTATTGGCTCAAAACAGCTGCAGTGATTTATGATGCATCACATCCATGCAATTTTATTTTATTTTATTTATTTTAGATATACAGACTATTTAAATTATATAGGCTTATATAAGCCTAGAGCTACATGTTTTACTATATCAATTGGTACCCTAACTAAGGAAAAAGAAAGGAGGGATTTCTCCCCCCCCCCCCCTCTCCCCTTTTTTTTTATTTTATTTTGTTAAGCCTGTACAAGACAATTTTGATTTTGTCTTCATATTTACCGAAACTATCTATACTGCAATTGAATTTTATAGAAAATACGTTTAAAGAATAAGATGCTTAAAAGTGGCAAATTCAGATATACAGAGCAAAATAAGAAGAAGAAGAAGGAAACTCGATGGTAATATTTATTTTATGTATATATGCAGTTAGATGTGAATTCTGCCGAGGGAAAAAAAAGAAAGTTTATAGAGCGATTACAAGAATATTGTTACCATGGCAATTTGCCACTAAAAATCAAATTGAATACGTTTAGTTGGTAAACACAAGGAAAAACAATATCATTAAATACAGAAATGTATATATACACACATACAATTAGCTTTCTAATGTATGTATATGTACGTACTAATGTAATGTATTAATATATGTACATGTATACATTTTTTTTTAAAAAAAAATCTTTATGCTATTCGTAAGTATTGTGTCTGTGTATATGGCACAGATTGTATAATCGGATAGCAACGGCAGTTTCTTTATACATAATAATCAGATGTAACCTTTATGTAAAATATGAATTTCCTAGTCTAGTCGATATTTACAATTTTACAAACATTGAATTCGTTAAACCACATTGAAATTTATCTTTTTTGTTTTTCTTCTGTTTTGCATTAAGAGAAAAAGACAAAAAAAACGGTTTTCAATTGTATTGATTTAATAGATTAATTACGGTTATATCTCTTTAAGCTAAATAGTAAAAGAAAAAAAACCCCCCCAAAACCAAAAGACAATAAAGGAAAAATATGGATAAATACTAAAATAGCAAGTATTTTATTTTATTTTATTTTATTTTATTTTATTTTATTTTATTTTATTTTATTTTATTTTATTTTATTTTGATTTTGATTTTGATTTTTGTTGATTAACCAATCCTTGAATCAAATTGATCTCAACAAAAGAAGTATTTTCAAACACTATAAGCAAATTTGATTCTTTATATTTTGAATTTTGAATTATTGTTATTATTATTATTATTATTATTGTGGTTTGTAGTTTTTTTTTGTAGTCATATTTGTGTATAGATATATTGATATATTTTGATAAGCTTAGCGTAAACGCCAAAGTCTTGTAAATAAATATAAATATATATAAGAATAAAGAAGAAAATGGTGTCAATAAGCAAGGTATAGGTTGAATATAAAGCAAAAGGAAATTGATTAAAAACAAAACAAAATAAAGTAAAATAAAATAAATGAAGCCAGCCAATTTAACGTAAAATGAATATATAATAATAATAATAATAAAAGAAGATATTTGGACAAGCCAAAATATTTATAAAAAGAATTATAAAAACAAGTAAATGGAAAGCATGCATACGTATAGATAGGTAAATATATAAGAAGAAAATCATAAAAAGACAAAGACGAGAATAATTGTGCAAGACATAAGAATACGAATAAGAATACGAATAAGAAAAGAATAATAAAACATAATAAAGAACGTATTAAAAATATGGTTTCTTTACAGAATATAATAGATCCGAGATAGAGTGAGGAGGAAGAAAAGGACGAAGAAAAGGACGAGGACGAGGAGGGGTAGAAGGAGTAGTAGGAGGAGGAGGATGAAGAGGAGAAGGGAAGGGAAGGGAAAGGTAAAGGGAAAGACAAAGACAAAGGGATGAATTTTTGGTTCTTGGTTTCTTTTTTCTTTCTTGAGCCGGAAATGACTGTAGAAAAAAGGTAATCGATAGTGGTGGAAAAGATAAGACGAGAATCTGGGATTCAGGGTAAATGAAATAAAGTAAAATGAAAAAAAATAAATAAATAAATAAATAATGAAATGAAATATTTTTAAGAATGGAGGGAAAAATAGAAATAGAAATAGAAATGAGAAAGAGAGTCAAAGGAATAAAGGAATGTCATGCTGTTACTGAGCAGGAGCAATGGGTTGGTTGACAGCATCCATGGACTTCCACAGACGGCGGCCAAGACGGTTGTGCTGGTGCTGGTGTTGTTTTACATTGATGAGGTTCTTGCTCTGGAGGGTCTTGAATCTTCCCCAGCAGCAGCCTCGAGAACGACGGGGAAGGTATGCTGAAGATATCATGGCCCATGAGTATCCCTTTTCATATCCTTTCTGCAGCAATTCGTCCTCGACAGGAGACCACGGAGTTCTGGTTTGTACCGAGCTGCGACGTTCCTTGTAAGGCATGCGAGATTGTCGTATAAGACTTTTATCTAACCATTGTTTCTTGGCATTCTCAGGCGTGTGTTGGACAAGGGACTCGGTGTGTTGGACTGGTGATCTGCTGCTGCTTCTGCTGCTGCTCTGGAGACTATTGCTACTGCTGACACTACCGCTGCGACTTGTTCTTGTGCTCTGACTGCTGGTGTAAATGCTGTTGTAATATGGACTGATCGGACATATGTCTGGCCATAATTCTTCAGACTGGTGGTAGATTGGGTCTGCATAGCTGAACTGGTTCGCGACAAGTGAGTGGTTGTATTCGATCGGTGAGAACTGCTCGCCCGGGTAGCATAATAGGTGTTTAATATCCATAATAATAACTAATCAAATAGAATAATAAAGAGTCAATTAAAATAAAAAAATATCATTGTTGCTTTGATTGTTCAGTATATCATATTAACTAACACAGTCATTAGTATTAATAATGAAAAGACATTTCACTCACCAAAATTAAACGTAAATAGAAATAAAGGTAGCTGTCTGGTTTGCTGTTGTTTTTGTTGTTGATATTATTATTATTACAGTAATAATAATGATTTGGTTCGATTTGATTCGATTCGATTCAATATAATTTGATATTGACTTTTTGGGGGGTTTTTTTTTTTGGTTTTTTATAAACTAGTGTAAAGAGGTATAGCCAACTTGCTTGCAAAGGCTTCTGCTTCTTCTTTCTTTTTCTTTTTTTTTTCTTTTTTTTTTAAAATACAAGAGTAAAAACAAATAATAAGAATAGCGATAATATCGGTATCAACCCAATATGAAAATGCAGAAAGTCAAAAAAAGAAGTGTTTGTCATCAAACAAAAAAAAAATGATGTTTTAAACAAGGGCTCTTTTTATTGAACATTTTATTTTTACAAAAAAAAACCCAAAAAAAAAACAGGGAGCAATATGAAGGTTTTATTTTTCTTATTATTATTTTTATGTGTGATGTGTGCGATGTGTGCGATATGTGTGTGTGAAGATGTGAGACAAAGAGATGTGTGTGTATATAAAATATTCTTTCTGTTGTCGAGCATATATACATTGAAGGGGTTGAATGGTAGTGTGTGTATGTGTGCAATTGGCATTTATTATACTATATTATACTATATAATACAGTATAGTATAGTATAGTATAGTATAGTATACTAAATAAGATGGTGAAAAAGAAGAAGAAGAAGTAAAAGCCTTAAATATTTCCCTTTATTATTATTAACATTGTTATTATTATTATTTTGCCTCATATTACTCTTATTTATTATATGTATATATCAGAAAGGAATTTAAGCATGGTTGTCTGGCGCCAAGTTTGATCAAAGAAGGTTTATTATTACTTTTGGTAGGCTACACTAGACACAAAGAACGATATCAATAATAAGGCCATTGACGTAGGTAATTTAACAATTTACTAACATTGCGTACATTGCGTACATTGCGTACATAGACAGAATCATTAGACAAAAAGGCTTTTTGCTTGGTTTTCATTAGATATCCCAACTTTCTTTCTTTAAGCTAATTCAGGGGATCAAAATCGTCCTATATCTACAAACACCAACCAGAGAGATTGATTACTAAAGGGTACAATTGCACTACCCGCGCAGAACTCCTTTACCGATCTCCTACTTTTGATTGTATATATTTTATATCCCTTTTAGATATATGTATATATGTAGATCTCCTATTTTAGTTTGATGCCCCTCTTTTCTTTATTATTATTATTATTATAATTTCTATAATAATTATAATGATATTCTCCATAAACTCTACAAGTTTAACTATTAGTAAATTCTATCGATAGTAATACACATAATTACAACCATAATCACTGATGGTGTCACGATCAATTGGCGCCAAGGAGCATATATCACAAATCACAAATCACAAATATCGATAGAGCTCCTCTTAATTATTCTTTTGATTGATTGTTATAGAAAAAGAGTGTACATAACTTGTAAGCAATAATTGATTAGATTAATATATACATTTATATGTATATGTATGTATGTACATATACATATATTATTATTATTTCATTATCTTCATTATTGATATTCGTTACAAATATATTAACCAGCTCATCATTATTTGTGGTAAGAATCACAGTACGCAATCGAGAATACGACCAAGTAAATCTGTTCCGTGATCTATTAATCAGAAACCAATGCCAGTCAATTGGACGCACACCTACGTAAAGAGGTATCTAACTTGGTCAAGTATATCTGTTTACATATATAAAGATGATACAAAGAAAGAAAGAAAAATGACATTGATCTCCTTCTTAATACAATATTTGTCAATTGTCGATCGTGGTCTAACCAACCTATATTGTATTACAATAACATTTACGGATTACCTCTTACAATCATATTCAAAGAGCATATAAAACTATACTACAATATGTATGTATGTATTTATGTATGTAGATGTGTAGATATTTTAGATTTGCTTCTTCTTTGTCCTGCATTAACTAAAATGCCCTGCTTGATCTACCTCTCTACTCCTCACCTTGTACTTCTTATTTTCCCAACCCAAACACATAAAATTATACATCTCTTTACTTGTTTATCAACATAGTTTCTCGTGCCCTTTTTTTTTCTTTAAGAAAAAGAAAGAATAATAATCCCTTGTTTGGTCGGCTCTTTTTACAATAGATTAATTATATATATATTGGTGAATTGAATTGAATTTCAAGACAATAGATAATAAAGTATATTTCAATACAAAATTGTTTATATATATATATATATATATATATATAGAAAAAGATTCCAAAAAGGAATATCCTTTAATCGAATCTGGTGGTTTGGTTAATGAAAAAAATTGATCGAAGCTAATTTATTTATATACTCTATAAACCAAGATTTAGGACAGAGAAATATTTCTACAAAGATTGTTATGCTTTATTGTCGGTTTAGCCCTGATCATGATGATTTTGATCGCCACTCCCTTGGCAGTGAAAATGTACAGTTAAAATAAGTATGCACAAACTAAAAAGAGAGAGAGAACGAGTTTGAACGAGTACAAATTATATGTATGTAAAAGAAAGAAAGAGTGCACGGTCAATATTTCAACTCTAACATGCATCTATAATTTATATACTTTTTTGCTTTTTACTTTTTGCTTTTTTGACAACATCTGCTTTCTCCTACAGATTGTTGCATGAATATCTTAACGGCAGCTTAAACAAAAAAAGGCTACATACATACTTTATAGATTAACATTACCACGAGAGTATCGTGTTGCCTAGTTTTCCTTTTTGTTGAAACATGTACAAAAAAAAAGGAGGGGACATCTTCTTTGCTTTGATCTACCTGTTTAAACTATACAGAAATGTGTTGGATATATTATGTTATAATACAGCACATTCTACATCATTAGTCTCATTAAACCAGATACTTTGATTTTGACTTTTAATTTTGATCTTTCAATTAATACGTACAAAAAGAGAAAGGTACAGTTTCTATGATAGTCAGTAATATTAGTATTAGTATTAGTGTTGGTATTAGAAATCAAATCAAATAAAAATAAAGAATAAAGTAACTAAAAACTGGGATCTGTGTGCCGTTTATTCATTATTTCATTTTTGCTCATCCTTACAAAATAGATAGATAAATGTCTAATTTGCACTTGATTTAACCCCCATAGAAAAAGTAAAATAAGGAATATACAGAACCTCCCTTGATATTAACGGGCATATACATAATTTAGTAACGAGAATATGCACAAATGAGTTTATGTACAAGAGGGTATGTTTGATTTGGATTAGATTAAAGTCAATTTGAAATGAAGTCCCAACTAAACTATCCCCCCAACTGGCGTCATCAATGTACAACCACACCCATACTACAGTACTACGCACTACGCACTACGCACTACGCACTACAAATTCTCTCTCTCTCTCACTCACTCACAGAAATATAGATCAATATTTTATACAATTTTATAATGCGATATAAAAACATAACAAGAAAAAAAAACTCTTTTAAATATCTTTAATACATTTAATTGAAATTATATGTATATTTGTATGACAAGCCAAATGCATTTCAAACGTTGGATATTCTTCTTGTACCGTAAAGAATGCACGGTCCCGCCCTTTGAACATTCAAACATTTGCTCACAAAAATTATATAACTAAACACTGTTTCTTTTACACATGGCTCCAAACTCTGCCCTACAAAATATTTATTCTTCTTAAAAAAATCACCAGTCTTTTATTTCTTTGTTTCTTTGTTTGGTTTCTTTTTTCGTAAAGGGGAACAAGTCCCTGTATTGTGTGTTAAAGTCTCTTTGGTTTCTATCCTACCTTCCTGTTTGTTCCTCATAACCCCGCTCTCACAGACACATTGGGCGTGACTACCAAAGAATTGGATTATACTGCCTGGATAATATATCATCCTATTCCATCCTACTTCATCTTATCTTATTTCTTATTTCTTATTTAGTGTGTGTTTGTGTTGTGTTTTGTTTTGTTAAATCAAATCAAATCAAATCTAATCAATTACCTCACCGAGTCTCTGGTGAATGTAAACGGATCTATGGATCCAACATCGTGGGTTTATTGACTTGTAAAAAAAAAACATTATATTTATACATATGTGTGGTGTTCAAATCAATAATCAATTATTTATTGCCTTTATACTGTAGAATACCTTGATTGTACTCACAGCTATATTCCTATTACTTCTCTCTTTTTTTTAAAAGCCAGGGTATTTTTTTTTTTTTTTTTTGCTTTCTTATTCATCTATAATTTTATATATAAAATATGTACTTGTTCCGTTGATCCTACCTATTCAAAATATAAAAGTCACAGCAATTTTATTTTAGCCTCTCACAAAAAATATACCTCTTCTATTGGGTGCACAAGCCAAGAGGACGAGTATGCTTTTCTTTTTTGTTTATATATTTTTTTTCCTTCTGGTTCTTTACTCTTGGTAACACATCAGGTAAGCCAAGAATTGTAGTACAAGATACCCTTGAATTGTTTTTCAATTCATCTTCAATTCATCTTCAATTTTTCATCCTACCCTCCCTTTTGTATTTATTCTCATAAAGACATCGACAAAAGGTCTTTTTAGCTGCTTCAGACTGCTTATCTCTTCTGAGCCATAAATAAATATACACACACATATAGAAAAATATCAGCTCAATAAAAAAAAATCATAATAAAAATAAAACCTATAAAATGTAATCGACTCAACTTTAAGACGACGTTTTTGTTTTTTGCTTTTTGCTTTTTTGCTTTACATCAATTATAAGCATACTATTTGTTTTTCACCCCCTTTACCCTTCATATAATTTAATACAATATAAATATAATGCCTGCAAGTAACAACACCTGCAACAGAAATGAATTCATGACAATAGACCTCTCAGACTTTAATAACCGACGTCACGAAATCGTTCAACATCTTATGAAAGCATGTACTGACCATGGCTTCTTTTATGGTAAAGATTAAGCTTTTTTTTTTTTTTTTTTTTTTTTTTAATTTACTTATATTATATCTTGAAAATCACAGTAATCAATCATGGTATCAAAACTGAAGATATAAACTCCATGTTCTCTACAAGCGAAACCTTTTTTGGCTTACCAGACAACATCAAAGAAAAATACCCTCTTGATACTTACCAGAACACTGGCTGGGAAAAACTCACAGAGGTAAATAGATACACAGATAAACTTTCTTTGTTTTGGTGCACACACTTAACGCACATACGTACATATGCATATGCATATATATATATATATATATATATACAAATGTATGTATGTGTATATGTCTAAATAACAATACTAATTTGTTTTTCAACAATGTCTTTTCAAGATGGACTCATGTGGAACTGAAATCCCAAAAGAATCTATGCAACTCACATTCCATGACATTCCCGATCATTGGCCTGCTAATGAAGACATCCCTGGGTTCCAAAACGCAACAAATGACTTTATGCATCAGTGCAACACGGTCTCTTACCAGCTCTTGTCTTGCCTGGCTACCGGTCTTGGTTTCCCAGAAGACTTTTTTGCCCGATGCCATGATATCACCCAGCCAGATAATCTCAATACCCTGAAATGCCTCTATTACCCCTCCTCAACCAGTCCCTCATATTCCCAATCTGGCCACAATAATAGCTGGAGTGGGAAAAACATTGACATCAATACCCTGACCCTCTTTTTCCAGCCACCTGGTCAAAATCAATTTGAAGTAACAGCACCAGGATTAGCTCCAGGGTCAACATCAACACCAAATCTGACCGGCCGAACAAGATTATCTACTGAACCCGGAAATCCTAGGGCCCCAAGAAATAACAACCATCGTCCGCAACAAGACCAAATTGTCTGCAGTATTGGAGACATGATTGCTCGCTGGTCAGATGATAGATTCAAGAGTAGTCTTTATCGCATCAGTGTACCAAGGTCAGATGAGCTACTTGGGTCACGCCAATGTATTCAGTATTGTAACAAGGCAAACAAATCAACTATCATTCAAGGCCAAAGTAAATACAAAGAACCGATCACTGCAGGAGAACTCATCATGATGGCCATGGAACGAGAATACAAGGCTGCAATGCAGAGTATCAAAGCCAACAGAGCCGCCATTGAATCATCGGGCATGTTAAAAAGAAGTCCCAGCTGTGATAAAGGATCATTTCTGATGAACATTATGGCATAACCCCAACTCCATCAACAACCCAAAAAAGAAAAAAAAATGATACGATTTTTCTTTGATATTGTTAATTATCCCCAGGTTTACTTTACTAGAACCTTTACATATGAACTATATATATATATATATATATATATGTATAAACCTACACCAGTACTCAAAAAATATACACATGTATAAACCACCACCCCCCCCTCCACCTCTACCTCCTCTTCCTCCTCCTCTTCAAATGTATTCATATTTATTCAGTCCTCACTCTATATTCCTCTATTCTTCTCTTTATTCATATTCTTCATATTCTTCATTCTAACCACTTGGTAAATCAAATCAAATTAAAATCGTATATAAAAGGTACCGTGGCCTACACATTAAATCACCTGCATTGCACACATACGCGTATTTATACATTCATGTATGTATATTATGTCAAGAGCTCTTTTTGTATTACAATATACGTAGCTTTGAAATCATGTATAAAATCCTTTTAAAAGATAAAGCCTGAGTTTGCTTTATTCCCTTTCTATTTGCTTCTCTTTTCTTTATCTCTCTTTCAAATTGAAGCAAGCACAGAAAATAGTCTATGTACACCTTGCCTTATTTACACCATGATACCAAAGTCTATTATATACCCATTTAACAAACAAACAAACAAAATCAAAATCAAAATCAAAATCAAAAATGTAGCTATCACTAACGTGTGAAATTCACTCTAATGAATCTGAAATGGTTATGCGTATATATATATATATATTACCGTTTGGTTCCACAACTGCCAGGGTTCCCAAGTCCTATATTTCAATTTACCTACAATATATATTTTAGTCAACTTTTAGTTTTCCTCTTTTCTTCACCCTTCTCAATTTTTAATACGTATTCTCATTTAATTTAGCTTAACCAACGATCACTATTTCGGTATGAAATCAATGGTATTTTTATTTTTATAATAAACAAAGAACTACGTATCAAATCTATAATACATTGGATTTGTATTCTAAGCATCTTGTATATTCCACTAATGTTACAATTATATGTATATATATATTCAGCAAACATGACATTTTCAAAGACAATAACCTCGATATTTTACTATTATTTTTATTGTCTGGATAAAGTAGATAATTTTGAGAGAATATAGAAATGACACAAATAATGCATTTTTTTTTTAAAAAAGAAGATAATGTTGAAATAATATTATGAGTTGGGAAAGTTGTAGTTTATAGTTTATAGTGAGATGTAAGGTAAGGTAAGGTAAGGAAAAGTAATAAGTAATACTTAATAAGTAGAATGGTATTAAAGTTTGGCAAAGATGTTGCGGTTAATTCTCATCTTCATACCAAATAAGATAACGCCACCAAGAATATAGCAAACTCCAGAGAACATCTTGTATGTGAACAGGGGTTCGGCGTCGACGCTTTCTTCGATTGCGCTGGAGATATTTGGACCGAATACTGAAATGACATTGAAAATCAAGAGTAGCGAGAGACCAGATCTGAATTTTTCAGGACCAAGGATATAAGCCGTAATAGGAGACACTAAGTAAATATATAAATATATTTGTAAAATAATAAAGTTAGAATCTCAAGTATTTCTAATATGAATTATGTATTTAATATAAAAACTTACGTAGGGCAAAGTAAGAACCACAAAAGAAACCAAATACAACAGAATATGCCATCAAGGAACCATATGTGTATGCAAATCGCCAGATCAAGAGTGTGCTGAGACCACCCATTGTGATAAAGATAATGTTTACATTGATAGGACCTATTCTGTCAGCAAGAATTCCAGCAATAATACGTCCGACCGAATTTAGTGCTGAGCCAACTGCCACAAGCGCAGATCCATTGGTAGCAGTTAACCCAAGATGAGTGGCGTAACCTATACAATGACAATAAAACAAAAAGTAAGTACAGAAACAATCATTACAGAAATTAGACAAGCGTAAAAAGAAAAAAAAAAATTACTTGGTAAATAGTAGAATGGAATGAAATATCCCATCAACATCAATACTGATCCAAGGCACCATAGAATGTAGTTTAGATCCTTGAGAACATCAAGCTTGATAATATCACTGAGTTTCTTGGTTCCTTTTGGTCCAGGAACTCGCTCTTTGACAAATGTAATGGCAATAATTCCACAGAATAAGCAAAAGAATCCCAAGACACGATATGTCCTATAAGTAAAAGCATAATATTTAATATTTAAATATCAAAGTAATATTTTTAATTTATTTATTTTTAATTTTTTACCATCCAGGACCAAGTTTAGTATTGACAGCAGTCATGATAAACGGGATAACAATGCCGCCGATTCCTGATCCGCTTGAAATCATTCCCAGTGCAACACCTCTCCTTCGGGTAAAGTATTGGGGTGCAATTCCCATGATAGTGACATAGATAAGTGAAGCGCCAGTACCAAATAGGATCCCCTGGGTTAAATAGAGGTGCCAGATCTGCGAAGCAAAGCCGGCCATTTCGAGGCCAACGACAACAAACAATACACCGGTGATCATCACAACCCGAACGCCGAATATGGAAGCCAGAATTTGGGCAATGGGTCCCATACAGTTGGTGAACACTGAACAAAGAGTACCCACAAAACTGAGTTGGAGTAATCCATTGGGCAGATCCTTGAAAGTATTTTGATCATAATAATCTTGCATAACACCTAAGAAAAAAAGAAGCAATTGATTATTTAATATTTTCTCATAATATACATATACATATATTTGTATTTGTATTTTTCTTGACTGTAATTGTGATTGGCATTGTAATTAAAGTTAGAATTCAAATGTAAAAGGCCTACCCCTACAATAATCATAATAAAGAACCAGCAAGTTAGTTAGTTACTTAGTTAGTTGATTGGTTAGTTAGATTTGCAGAAAATACCAATTCAGAATAAATAGTAACAAATAAAAATTGACTTACCAACTAGTGGCAACACCAAAACTGGTTATTTGAACCATAAAGGCACCAAGAACAATCAACCAGCCATAACCACCATCAGGAGAGTCATCAAAAGGGTGTTTTTCTGGATCAGGCAGACCTTGTTCAAGAATCACAGAGTGTTTGTCTAGATTATAAAGATTTGGTTAGCCTAAATAATAATAATGATAATAATAATAAATTGCATTTTTATAAATTACCTCCATTGTCTGTCACTCCGTCTCCATTCTTTGTCGCCACAGATATGCCGTCCAATGATTTGGTATCATTGAATACGGTCCTGACTGAAGTAATAGTATGTTCGTTTATCTCATTTTGTGGGATGATAGACATATTTTTCCAAACTATACAATTCAAATATGAACTGTAAAAAGATAAATTAACCTACGGGGGAAGCTGTACGGTAGACCTGAGGGACTTGTCACAACAACAACCAAAGAAGAAGAAGAAGAAGTAGAAGAAGTAGAAGAAAAAGAAGAAAAAGTAGAGATAAAATGGATAAGAAAAATAGGAATATATTTCAAAGATTTATATACCAAAAATAAAATAAAAAATGAATATATTTCTGCATCGGAATCGGCAGCAAATATTGCTTCTTTTTTTTTTGTCGTTACAAGTATCAAGTAACGCAAGAACGTAAGAAAGAACGAAACCCATCGGCTATATTCTCCAATCAAAACTCAAGACCTTAGATTTTCTTTTTTTGGGAGTTTTCTCGGGTACAGGTTTATTTTGGATTTCAAGACCATTTTTCTGTACCTCTGTACCTCTGTACCTTTCTATTATTATTATTATTATTATTATTTTAAGACGCTTGGAATATCATCCTCTTGATAGCTTTACATGAATGTCATGATTTTTAGATCCATTGCTTTCTGACTCACAAAAGATGGACTGAGTTAAGCGTACATATATGTCCTGCAGAGAATCTACTGCGGATCCCTAATCCAAAAATGGAATATATATATAAAAATCAATAGATCAAAAAAAGAGAGAATTAATTAATGAATTAATGAATTATGATTAATATATATATATATATATATATATATATATCTGCTGTATAAGAATATGATGTTTCAAATAATGGTACTACAGATTAAATAGGTACATATATCTAATCTTTATATTGATAATGGGTAATGAATTGATATCAAGAGTTCTACAGCACCCAAAAGGTCAATTGAAATCAATGGTTTGTAATAATAATAATAATACTATATATATAAAAGATGAGTTATAGCTGGTGCTTTGTACGACTATTACACAAACAACAGAATAAAATAAAATAAGATATATATAAAAAGGGACGAACCAAAGACACTGATCTAGGTTTTCTTTTTGTTATGTTTTAAAATAGTAAGGTCTGTATTCCTAACATCTTGTCGCGGACTACACGGGTCTAAATTATATATATATATATATATATATATATATTAACGATGGTGTTATTCACAACTAGTACTCTCCGGATATTAATAAATCAAATAATGATTGAATGGTAAATGAGTGTTTCAATGTTACCATTAGATACGTTTTTAGAAATAAAATTGAAACAAATAAACAAGCAAGCAAGCAAGCAAATAAACAAACAAACAAACAAACAAACAAACAATTCATTTATTCATACAATCTTATCTAGAATAACATGAATAAACACAATTGTACAAAAAAAAATAAAGTCTGGGATTGTTTTGCGTGGGAATCATTACAAAATTGTGTTCAATTAGTCTCACGATATTGAAATACCAAAGCACGAAATGCATGTATATTTGTCTTTTGAAATATGTATAAATGTGTATGTGTATATATTTGCAAGGTATATGTACAAGGTATATGAGAATACAGGTTAAGGAACCTATTCTTATTAATACGTATTTTATTTTATTTTATACAAGCAAATTTCTATTCATTCGATTTGTACCAAAAAATATACCTAAAAAAATAAAAATCTCAACTGTCTACTCGAAACTGGTGACATATCTACAAACCTTAACCACCCTTTTTTCTTCTTCTTTTTTTTTTAAAAAAAAAACAAAAAAATGGCTTCTAAATAGTGGTATATTTTAAAACAAATAATTTGGAATCAATGGTATTAAAACTTTGTACACAAATTACAGGTATTTTATTTTATATATATATATATAGTCATTTTAAAAATGAAAACGTTAAATAAGTAGCCAAGACACCCAACAACGAATTGGATATGTATAGACATATAAATAAAGAAATAAATCGAAAAGTGTATTTTGATTTTAAATGTCCACACTTGGCTAAATTATAGCCAAGGATTTGACTTCCTTGGTTTCCAAGTGGTTTACCGTGCCTGGGTATTACAGCTGGCAACACCGGTACAGCGCGCATAAAATCGCATTGCATGTGTCATTTGCAATAAATGGCGAAATAAACATTATAATTCAATTCAATTCAATACTATAAAAGCTTAAAGATATATACATACCTTTCTAAATACACGCAAAAGAATCTATCAGAGCATAGATAGTAATAGCCCTAACAACCTATTGATCATGTCTATCACATTATAGACCTTGAATGGTTTTTATAATTTATCTCTTTTGAAATCGAATTTCTTGACTATATCCAAAAGTATCTTTTATTTTTTCTCTTTTCTATCAACGTTGGCGTAGTTCATGCGCCACAACTCGCACGAGACTAACCATGGTCAGCAATGGCCTTTAGGCCGGTATTTCAATATGTCACGTTATGATTCTAAACCTTCCACACTTTATGTAGAAGTTTATACTTTCTTTCCATCTCTTTTAAAACAGCACTCAACATGTACTGTTTAGTCTGAGCACACCCATATTGTATATATATATATATATATATGTGTGTGTGTGTGTGCTCTTGTAAGCTTGTAATAAATATATATAAAAACTTGTATTTGAATTCCTCCATGGTATCTAACTAATGTTTGGTTGTATCCATGACAACTTTTCTCATAAAAAAATAAAATATGCAGGATTCAAGTGACTAGTGCAGTACTTGAATACAAGTGCGTAGTTCATTCTTTTTATTATTATTATTACCATTATCATTCTTCCCTCCTGCTTCTTTACTTCTTTTACTTCTTTACCAAACCTTTAAATCTGAGCTTCAGACAATAATCACACATAAAAAAAAAGTATTCAGGCTCAAATCTGTATATGCTCACAGCCTTACCATTCTTTGTGTACCTTGGTACAATGACCGTTTTTGGAAAGACCATCGGTGGTCGAGCAGTCTACGTACCTAGCAGTAATGCCATTTGGATATTTTCTGCCTCACGAAGTTCTCAAACCGGAAACACCCTATTTTCGATCGACCTTGGAAAAAGCTTCAATGCAATATCAGCACCTATGCAAGTTGTGAAAGAATAACAAATAACCAAAAATAAAAATAAAAAATAAAAAATAAAAATCGATCAATCAATCAATCAATCAATATTAATTGCCAGACTGTAGAACGGACCACGGCGCGGACGTCCAGAACAAAAATTGTCCTATCCTACATTTCACTTCGATATTTAGGGGATATGACGATACGAGCATCAACATAATAGGAGTAGGTAGCTACACAAACAGTACATTTGCTCCGAACATGGTCCTCTGTCAATACGATACAAAGTCAGGGGAATGGTCTCGCATCGTATCCCCTAATGAACCAATTGCACGAAGAAACTATGCAGGTGTTATGACCACAAGCAGCCAGACAATCTTCTGGGGTAACTTATCTGTTTTATATATATATATTTACTTCAGCAACAGCAGAGTATACAGAATATAGATATAAATAGAGGAAGAGGAAAAGGAAGATATACAGACATATAGATAGATAAATAGATATATAGGTGTATTGAATATATATATATATATAAAGAACTTCATTATTAATACATGGCTTCAAAAAGGAGGGGATTCAGATATGCTGACAGGATTGCCACAAGATAACTTTATCTGGAGATCAGACATAGCCATCTGGGATGCAGCCAATGGTTGGATTCCATCCATTAGCCCATACAGTGGTATGGCCAGAACCAATGCCACTATAACTCAAATTTCGTATGTCTGTACAATACATACACATATGCACACACACATACACACATCCAAATACAAATATATATCTGTTTCCATAGTAACATATAAAATTTAGGGACACAAACGGCCGGCTTGTCATCCTCGGTGGTTCAGTAATAACAAACTCTTCTTGGGACGATAGAGTTACCAACTTTCCACTAGCCAGCATGGCCGACATCATTCTTTATGACCCACGAACTCGTAAGAATATTTTTCCTTATCTTTATTTGGTTTTATATACATATATACATATATACATATATACATATATACATATATATATATATATATTAATTTCTTTAATAACTACTTGTCACTAAAGATCTAATAAATATATATATATACATTAGAGTTGTGGGAAAATGTTGTCGCGTCTGGGAATATTCCATCAGAAAGAAAACATCACACTGCCACTCTTCATCCAGACGGTCGTACAATCATATTATTCGGGGGAGAAGCTTGGAATAACAGCACAGGACCATACCTCTTGAATGATCTCAATTTACTCGACACTACGACCTGGACCTGGAGATCATATTCAAACACCAGCGGTACAGCTCTCTACCGGTCAAACCATACGTCCATAGTCATCGGCCACCAGATGTTTGTGATTGCAGGCTCTAATGCAACCGACAAGGCAGTCGACATCCAAATTCTCGAACTTGACAGCTGGACGTGGACCTATCAATCGGTGGCCATACCCGCTCCATCTAGATGGGCAAATATCGGTGGGGTGTCTGGTCTGGTCGGAATCATCGTTGGGTGTGTTGTTCTGGTAACCGCATCTTTACTAGGCTTTTTCTGGTGGTGGTCTTTTCGACAGAGACGCCAAAAACTGGCCAAAGATGCTATAAAAGAAACGATTGACAACAACAGTAACAGGAATAACAACAATACGTCAAACGCCTTTGCTCGTCCGGGAACTCCAAAAAGATCCAAAGCAGCACAGGAGTCGACTATCACACCGACACCTGTTCCAAGTTGGGGATTCTATCGAGGTAGCAACATGCCACTCTCAGCCCCGAGCCCGGCCTCTCCTGTGATTTCATATACATCAGAACTTTTATATCAGAACCATGCCAATGATGACGGTCTGCCTTACTGGGAAGCAGAGTCATACTACCCGACTCGGTAAGTCAATAGAAGAAGTTTGCCACTAGGTAGAGCAACCCAAAAAGAAAAATAACAAATTGAACTTTATGATTATACTTTTTATTTTTTATTTTACTAAAGTGATCGAATACCAAGCTTCTTTCTACTTCCCATTCACGACACTCTACAAAAACCAAACCTTGTCGAGGACAATGAAACATTGTAGGCATATACATATATTTATCTTCAATTAGCCCAATATTGCATCACTATCCCAACCAGACCACCAAAAGGAAAAGAGAAAAAGAAGCGCCACCATCTATAGAAGCATTTTGTGTCTATCCAAAAAGGAAACAAACAAACAAACAAAAATTGGGTGTATAATTATAATTATACTTTTTACATATTGTATTTTTACGAATGACTTATTTCATACTTCAAAATAAAAATTTAGATTTACAAACAAAAAAGAAAAGAAAGAAATGTATAATTTTGAATTTTAATTCTCTAGCTTGACCAAAGGGTTATATACTCTTTATATTATAGACTGTTTTATGGTACTAATGAAAATGATAATGAAAAATAATTCAAGTTTCTTGCCAAATGCTATTTGAAAGCTTCATTTTAATGCTCATATCTTATGATAACTTTAGATTTCGTTTGGACAGTTCTTATTTTGTTAAAAAGTCATTATTTAATATATTGGGAAATATATGGCTCTAATTCGGCCTACTATGTTTAACGATCGGCTATGTGCATTATATATATATATTACAAAAGGGAGAGGAAAAGGAACAATTACTGATTAAACGTTGCCAAGACTAACTTTTGAAAAGGAAATAAAATCAAGTAAAATAATTAATAATAATTCTTATTTTGTAGGGTCCCAGTATCTGTTAACTCGGACCAGTTTGTTATAGAACCAGGAAAGCATATGGGTTCTTATTAATTTGTTTGCTTTGTTTTTTTTTTATAAAATATTGGATATGCCTAGTCAACTTCTCCTACATTCAGCTAATGTATATATTACACACTATGGTCATTTCTAAACTTTTCATAAATCGCTAAGCTATCTTGTTCCAACACCTGGTGCTTGGCCCTTTTGCACACTGTCTCTAATATTTGCTGTAAATGCTTGTCTTCTATGGCATTCGCATTCAGGTCTTGTCGCAGGGCAAGTATTCCAGCCCCACTAATTTATATACATCGTAGAAATATTAAGAACAACCCAAGTTCCACGAATATATAATTACCGGAACATGTTCTCCAAGTCAGCACCATTACAGTACTCTGTCTGTTGAGCCAGGGATTGGAGGTCAACCGTTGGAGATACAACCATTTTCTTTGAAAGAATCATAACAATATCCAGTCTTTCTTCCATTGTAGGCAGTCCAACGTAGATAAGCTGATCCAGGCGCCCTAAAGCCAACAATAAATAGAGTATAAGTTCACTCGATTTAAGACATTGTCTAAAGAAGAAGAAAAAAAAGCCAAAGGAATCTACCTGGTCTAAGGATTGCATCGTCAATCTGGTCTGGTCTATTGGTACAGCCAATGACAATAACTCCTTGACGACCTTCTACACCATCCATTTCATTCAAGAGTGTACTGAGTACACGTTCATTGACGCCACCTCCACTATCGCTTGTATCCCATCCTAAAATAAACCCATATCAAATATTGTGATTAATTTGCTTTGTATAACTTTGAAATATCTGGGTATCTAACTTTACCTCGTCGTGTTCCAATAGCATCCATCTCATCAATGAACATAATACAGGGCGCAATGCGTTTTGCTGTTGCAAATAGTTTTCTAACCTTGCTTTCTGTTTCTCCAAGATATTTTGAAAATATCTCTGGTCTATTTTATGTGTGCATAAAGATATTGTGAATAGGTATGATATTATCTACTTGAATTGATGATAGTATCAGAACTTACCCCTTGATGGATATAACGTTCATCATTGATTCTGAAGCCAAAGCTTGAACCATTGCTGTCTTACCACATCCTATAATTTTTTTTATCAATATTATACAAGATCTGCTTTTATCAAGGCAAATAAATCAATGTATATATATAAAAAAAAAAGACAGACCTGAAGGACCATAAAGAAGTAATCCAGATGGTGGTTTAACACCCAGTCGTGTAAAGATCTCTGGCTGTAACAAGGGTAACAAAGTTGCCTGTGTGATCTTTTGCTTAATCTTCTCACAACTTTAACCAGATTACAAATTAGAGTCTAGTAATAGAATTCTTTCTTTTTATATATAAATATATATATATACATACCCTCCAATTTCCTTCCAATCTCTTTTTGGTAAAGAAGCCTCGACTTCTATTTGTTGTGAGGGGCGATAAGTAGAAAGTGCGTACTCAAAGTCAGACCATTCAACTGGTCTAAGAGTTGATTTAAAATTGAGATGAGACGAGTGAGAATTCTTTTCTTCTTCTTCTTCTAATTCTTTCTTTCTTTCTTTCTTTCTTTCTTTGCACATCTAAGACTATTTATTACGCACCTTTTTTTACTCTCAGGTACCAGGCTAAGTTGAGCCAATTCTCCTGCCAAATCATCAGACTCCAATCTGTTTCTTCGCAGTGATTTTAATAAAGCCCTTTTACACAATCTCTTCAAATCCAAGGCAACATAACCAGAAGTACGCTTCACAAATAAAATAAGAAATTGTGTTATAAGAAATATACTTGAATTCAATACAAACACATATATAGATATAGATATATATTGTTATGCTTACCATACTAATTTGGGTCGCATAGTAGTTCACAGCCTCCACTTTACTCAACTGGGAGTCTAGCTCAAAATCTTGCAGTATATTTTCCGCAATTAATTTTCTTTGTGGCCTATGGTTCTCTTTTATTAGATATGTTCTTATATATATATCGTACATACTTACATGGATGGAATAGAAAGAGTGAAATGCTGCTGAAATATGTCTGTTTTCTGAAGTGCTTCCGGAAGTAGTCGTAGTTCTCTAGCCATTCCAACAACACACACCTGCCATGCACGAATATCAGTAAGACACACATACACACACACAAAAAAAGAAAGAAAGAAAACATAAAGTAATGTATGTACTTACTTGCTCATTAGAAGATATTCCTTTGATTTCCTGGCTGATGATATTCAAGACCTTTGTGGAATCTTCACTAGCTAATTCCAAAAGTCTTGTAAGATATAGGTATAGTAAAGGAGAAAAAAAAAGAATGAAATTCGTTATTAGAATATATCTATATCTATATATAATTACCATTAACCAATGCATTCAGATCACGTATAATGACAATTGATGGCGTTCTGATCTTTGCTTGTTCGATGATAAGATGTATTGGATTATAAAGCTTGAATTCCTTATTCTCAAATTCTTCAGAAAGGGCAAGTACTTCATGGATCGATATATCAAACAAACTACTCTGCAAAACTTGGCTTGCATGCCTACCCAAAAAATATAGTTCAGATGGCTATACATGTATATATATGGATTGTGTAAACCTTCATTTATATACCTTGTCAGTCTTGTCTTGCCCACACCAGCAACGCCGTGCAAAAGAATAGATTTTGCAACAGGGATACCAAGTATTCGATATGCATCCGAATTTTCAAAAGAGCTTCCTAATAGACATGTGTTTACATATACATATACATATACATATACATATACATATACATGTACATATGCATGCATATAAATTTATACATCTTATGAATGGTCTGGGTACCCAAAATTTATATTTGAACCTTTTTTTTTTTTCACTCAACAAAAACAAATATAATAGTAATAAAATACACACACACACAGAGAGAGAAAAAGACACATACGAATTATGCCAATAAGAGCTTCTGCTTCTTCATCTATTTTTTCAATTGGGTCTGTAGGTTTGTGTGTAGCTATTTCAACTTGTATTTCGGTTTCATTTCTATCTATTTTGATGGTGCCGTCTTGTGTTCCAGTAATGTCTTTTATCAAAGCCTTTATTGGTCTTCCTCCGATCGACCAAGAGATACAATCACCAATTGTTACCTAATGGCAAGATCAGTTTTATATATATATATATATATACATATACATGTGTATGTATTTAAAATACACTATAAAATAAGAGATCTACCGATCGACTGCCTAATCGTCTTTTGCACATCTCTTGGAAATCTGGCATGCCGTGTGTGCCCGGAACAAATTGATCTGTGGACGAGATGCTGATGAGCACCTTTGTACCTAATTCACTATCCATTTCGTCTTCCTTTGTCCACTAATTGTGAATTTCGAATGACTTTGATATAGATCTACTTGGGGTTGATTACTGTGGAAAGAACAGACCATTAAGACTGGCATTGTGACGCGTTCATGACAGCACAGCAGATTCTAAAATAACTGACTGATTGATTGACTGACAAGATATCGGATTTCCCACTCAAAAAGTTGGATTTTCATTTCACACTTCATATATGTTTGAACTTAATCTCATTATGTAATAAATACATATATTGCTCATGAAAACTGCCAAGGTTTATTTAAGTATAGTAAAGTATAGTATCGAACATAATGAAGGCTAAAATGAAACCTTTGGAGTAAACCTTTGGTGTCTATTATCGTAACCTTTTTATTTTTATTTTGCTTTTTATTTGGAGATGTATTGAATTCATGTAAAGAAATAAAGAGGAAGAGAGAGAGGCTTTTATTACATTAATACCTTGTGTTATCTAATTAGCTGTCAAGCTTTAGTTACATTTTGGAAAGGTTCAAATCATCAGTCTATTATTATTATTATTATTATTTAAAAAAAAAAACACTAATATTTCAGCGGTAAATACAGAACCCTTCTTGATTTATGCTGTACAGCATGTGTTTTCCATTTAGAGTATTTGAAATAGAGAAGTAGACTGGTCTGGGACAATACAAAAAAAAAGAATGCACACAAACACACACATAAAAAGCATGGCTATTTTCCAAGTTTTGTTGTACATTTTAGTGGGCATTGTTGGTGTTTTGATGTTTGTATATATTATAATTTCGACAAATCAGCACAGGATCATATCACAAGTGCTTAGTAGGGGTTTGACGACTTAATAATTAATATCATTTTATATATTTTTTTTAAAAAAAAAACAACAATTTCAAATATAACTTAAGATGAAGACAATTTGATATCAGATGTTAACATAAGAGTGTGTCTGGTTTAAAGTATTTGATTCCAACGGAATACAGATCAATTAGGTATTTTCCCTTAGATTGCATTTGAAGTCTACCAATGGTTACTACTAGTAAAATAATCAATATTTAATTAACCATTAATACATACAAATATAGTAATAAATAAAGGTAATATATATATATATCTGTTAATTATTTGATATACAGGGCACAAATCTCGATTTTCCCCATCTTCGGTTTTGATTTATGCATAGTACAGTTATCCGTCACCAAGTAGCTCCCTTTTTAGATCTTCATTAAGATTCACGGTCTTCAAAGATCAGTTTCAGTGTTGTGTTTCTGGGTATCAGTTATTGATATTTAATGGATCTATAAACCTGTTGCTCTTTATTAATTTAATATGTGTTTAATATAATGGCCTTTACAAACTTATTCACAAGCTTCATAAATATTCCAAGTCAATCTATCAATGTCTTTTCGCCATTCATTATATATATATATATATCTTTGGAAAGTGACAAAAATTACCGTTTTCATTGTACTTTAGATTGCCTGGAATGATTGACTACTTGGTGGGAATATTTTGGACTTTTGTCTTTTTTCTTTTTTAATAATTCTGCGTAAAAGATAATGGCGAGTCAGCATATACTAAAAAGCCTGGAAGTCTAGCAACATCTCTCCCCTTTTCCAAAAAAGAAAAAGAAGCCATTATTGCTGGAGGTGGTAGAACTATCTAAAGTAAAAAAAAAGCACGCACATTTATGCAGATGTATTACCTAACAGTTCTAAAGGCAAAAAACAAACATGTCCTTGAATGTCTTTATAGATAACAATAAGTTCGTATATGGACATTCGTAAAAAAAGTTTTCCAAAATCTTCAAATTTAAAGATATATTTTTTTATGATAGCAAATGTTATGTGATGAATGATAAAGAAGAATTAATTAGTAGGATTCAGCAACCCTTTTCTTTTTTGGGGGAGGTTCTTTTCTTTTTCTTTTTCTTTTTCTTTTTTTGAGCAGGTAGGGTTGTACGGAATAAAATGCAAGATGAATTTCAAGATGTGTGGCATCAGTTTTCAGCGGTATTTCGCTGATGCTGAAGGATTCCCTTAATTTCAGCATAAAAGAGGCCGATTTTGGGGTCGTTTAGATTAGGATCGAGGGTATTGACTACAAAAGAGTTCAAGGTGTTGGAGTCTTCAATGCGCCGAAATAGGATAGCATAAGCTTGTTTTAAGTTGAATGCAAGGTCATAGAATGCCTCTACAGAATTCGTACACACACACATATACACACCCAAGATGTTAGTTCCAATACCAAGTTGAAAAAGGAGCGGGGGTGTCGCTTTTTTGTATGTATATTTACCAGGGCAAGATCGCATGAGTTGCTTAAGCAGTTCAAGGTTTAGTGCTTTTGATAATTCCGTGCAACACTGTTCTAAACTTAAGCTGGAACTTAATGGGACCCAGTTGCAGAGTTGGGCTAATACAACATATGTAGACTTTGCCTAAAGAGAGAGAGAGAGAGAAAAAAAAAAACAAGGGTTTGTTAGAGCCAATAGATATACACTACCAAACGTTAAACAGCAATGATAATTTAAACATACTGCTTCCAAGGCATCGTGGTGCTTGCAGTATGCTGCTGTAGTAGATTGTAAAATCTTGGGGATAACCTCTTCGCCTACAGACCAAGCAATTTTTTTTTTTTTAGTTTGCATTAGTCTTTTACCTTTTCCTGCCTTTTTTTTTATTTTTATTTTATCTTCGTTATTGTGTGATTATTAGGATACATACCAACTTGGGAGAAATCATGAGAGCCAGTAAATAGTACTTCCGGCCAAACGACAGCAACATTAAGCAAGATTCCGACAAAATTTGTTGTCACCGGTGAGAATCGTATAATATCATAGCAAAACACACGTAATCTCTGAATGTCATCTATATTTCTGCATATCAAAGACAGTATACGTGTGTATCGGCTACAAAGAGAAAGAAGAAAAGAGTCGATTTTTGTCAGTATATTATAGACCCTTATTATTAAAAACAAAAAACAAAATAATAATAATCCCTAGCTCACCATGCAAGGTTAATTTTTCCATCTTTTGTAAGACGAAATGCTTTCCCAAAAATCCACTTTGTTATGTACTGGTATGCAGATTCCTAAGATAATAATAATGGTAATAAAATAAAATGACATTAAGTAAATACATGTCTATCACAAGACGCAAACACGAGTAAGCTACATACATGATCTGGGCATATACTGATCAAACCTATCAAAAGGCACGCAAGGGCCTTTTCTTTGTTGTCAAAACATACGGGACTCTCAAAACGAAACTCGTTCACCGAACCATAAACTGTTCTTTGCAGTGGAAAGGAGTCTTGCTTTAGAATAGGGTTACCATGAGTTTTAAGCCCTTGTAAAATGGATTCCACCGCAGACAATGCACCGTCAATAACCTCGATTTTAAATTCGCTTGTATCGCCAAGTCTAGAGACAATGAATGTAGGACTTTTTTTAATAGAAGAATCAATGATAGCCCTGAGTTCTATTAGAGATGTACACAATGCAAGAGTCAATACCACAAAGTATCGAGGGATATGAATCGCATACATATATATATATATATATTAAAGTGTATACCTATAGGGTTTATTGCATTCGCCACCGTAAGATTATTTCCAGAATTGTTCGACCGTTGTTCTAATAGTTCTTCAATAGGTGTGGCAGGTAATGGGTTCGCAGGTTTAGGTACAGCAAAGGGAGCTTTGAATGCATTGGCTTGAGGTGTGATTCCTAATGGTGTTGAGGAATGCGTTACAGGGACATTGTTTATGTTCTTGATAGGTGGAGCCGTAGTCGTAGTTGTAGCTGTAGGCGTAACTGTAGATGTAGGCGTAGCTATAGTCGTAGGCGTAGAAATCGTATTCGTTTTAGCTTCTGTTGGTATGCGAGAAGCAGGCGTAAGGTAAGAGGAGGTTCCGGGTGGAAGGGCTTTTTCGATATCTGTCTGACTGACTTCTGGCTGAAAATGAAAGTCTTTAAGGATCGACAAGTCGTTTTTCTTTTGCTTCTTTGGTTTGTCAGTGGCTGATATTGTATCCAAGCTATTAATACGTTTGCGTGTAGTAGATGATGCAGATGTCATTCTACTAGGAAGCCTTGATTTAACAAATTTCTCTAGTTTTGAAGGAGGTGCTGTCCGACGAGTGGTCGACTTTGGTGGTAGTGAAACAAGTGGTTCGGGTGCAATAAGATCGCTCGAGCGGAATTTTGCTTTAGATGGATTTACTACATTCGACAGAGGAGCAGGTGGTTGGGCTTGTTGTGGTGTCTTTATAGAGCTACTAGGTGCTGTAATGAGAGGATAAGTAAAACAAGATCTTCACGATGTATTGAAAATACAAATGTTCGAGAACAACTAATACCTGCATGTGAGTTAAGCTCGTTTTCAGGGTCATTATCGTAGGATGTATATTCGATTTCATAGTCATCTAGTTCAACCGAGTCTTTTCTTTGTGGTTGGTTTGGTCGAGGTGTGGTTTCGATTTTTTTTAAACTATCTTTAGCAACACTTGCTTGCTGTCTATATTGTCGAAGTTCTTCCATATCACGCAGCTATAAAAGAATTGTCAAGCTCTAAATAAGGTTTTATCTGATTATATATATAAAGAAGTAAATATAATTACCCAGTCATTAGGAAGATTGATTTGCTCAGATGCGGCAGTTTGATTCGGTCGGTTTTCTAACTCTTTAACACGAATAGCTGCTTCAGCAAAGAGATCTTGTATTAAGGCCTATATACACACGCATATACACACACACATATATATATATATATATATTCAGAGAAAAGAAAAAGAAAATAAACTAATTAACTGTGGGTATTATTTGTAAGAAATTTACCTTTTGCTTTTTCAACGTATCGATTTCATTAATGAATATAGCCATCTGACTAGGAAACTCTTGACTCGGGCGATTTATTTGCTCTTTTTGTTTCTTAAGTTCAGCTTGACATTCCTCTAATGATTCCAATTCTTTCTTTCTTTTGTTTTCGAGTTCTGTAAACAGTCGTGCGTCTTCTTTTTTCTGTACTTCCAACTTTTTTATACGTTCCTGGCTTTGTCGCAGTTCGATCGATGAAGAATTATCCACTGTGGCGGGTCTAATCGCCTTACGCTCTTTCTCAAGTTCATTCTTTAGGCTTTTGAGGTCATCTTGGCATTTTTTCAGGTCGTTTTGAGCTTCTAATAAATCTTCATTCAATTCCTCAGTTTTGCAGTCGCTGTTGACGGCCAATTCCATATATGCGGCTTCGTGCTCTTCTAGTTCTTTGGAAGTCTTTTGGAGTGATTCTTCAAGTTGCTTGTTAGCTTTGTTGCTCTCTTTTAAGGAGGCATTTAATGAGGCTATCGTCTTATCCTTCTCTTTCAAATCATTTTCTAGTTTTGTTATTTTCTTTTGCAAGTTACTGGCAGATGTCTTGCTTTTCTTTTCTTCTTCACTAAAAAAAAATACGTACATATATATACATACATATACATATGGATAAGAACAATAAATAAAAAGTAACAAAACAGAGCGTTAATTAATTTTTTCAAAAAAATGTACCTCTTTGCAAGCTGATCCATGAGATCCTCTACCTTTGCTTCAAGTTGCTCTATCAATACCTGTATAATACACGAAATAATTAACACGCGCACGCATATATATATTATAGATAGCTTCCTACAGATCGTCTCTCTAACCTGCTGGCCACGATGTTGTGCCTCGGTAGTTTCAGAAGCCTTTAATGCATTTTTGAGTGTCACGATTTCTGCTTTTAGCTCAGAAACCTCTTTGGTAAGTTCTTTATTGAATTCCATTTCTTTGCTCAATTCTGAATATAAGGATCAGCATTACAATCCTTGATCGAATTCGCTAAAAAACAAAAAACAAAAAAAAAGTGTACGTACTTTCTTCGTTGGCACGAAGGCGAGTTAGAAGTAAATGAGTTGCTATGATACGTCCTTTGATAGCCTCAATCGCGTTTGGGGAGTTAATAGCTCCGAGAGCTTCATTTGTCGAAATGTTGACAGCCGATTCAGCACTTGAATCAGTTTTGTCTTCTGTTGTTGAATCTTTCGGTGAGTTTGGTGTTGACAAGGGTATTGTTTCATTTTCTGTTGTTTGTTTAGAAGATTCTGGAAGAGAGGGAGGCGGTTGTGGTGGTTGTGGCGGCGATGCAGTATTCTCGGGCTGCATTGTTATTTATAATGTCGTCAAGTGTCAAAATCATGCTTTCGACTATCATTTATTTACCCTATTTTTTTCCACATCGAACTCGGCCAGTCAAAAATTATTTTTCGTCCAATGAAAAGGTAGCATTATCAACAATTATTTTGGCTGGGTTCTTTTTCTTTCTTTAGGTGAATTCCAGAAATCAACTAAAAAAGCTCGTGTTCCACAATAAAATATTATTGTTTTCAAAAAAAAAGGTGCCAAGCTGTATTAAGTAGATAGTACTTTGTGTTGAGGTATGTACGATGATATAGAAGAATAATAGCAATATCTGATATAAGATATTCAACATAGGAAGAAATAAAAGTATGTTGGTGGGTATGTATTATGATTTTATCTAATTCAAATCATTACAGATTTTACTCTCTCTCTCTGTCTGTAGACGACTCTGGCGACTATTTAATGTATTATTAATTTAATTTATAGTTCTCTACGGCTTTGCCACCCTTTCTTTGGCGTGAATCAAGTCTACCATTGTTTGGTGAACTTTGAGGATTTTGCCTTGATTTTTTCCGATACGACAGAGATACCCATTGATATAGTCTACTTCAGTTGGACGCTTAGCATTCATATCCTGGACCATCGAGCAGCGATTTTGTCTGGTAATTTGCAGAATCCCGATTACTGACTCAAAAAGACTTTCTGCTGTTTCGCCCGGAAGCAGATTCTCCAAGACCGAATACGCTTCATAACAAAGTTCTCGCATCAGGTTCATGGTATACGGGTTATCGTCAATCATTCCACCATTAGTGAAATCCAGAAGTGCGGCAACTGGGTTTATACTGGCATTGATTATTAATTTCTTGGCCATCCGATTCTGGAGATCTTCCCAGGGCACAATTGATAAGCTGAGGTCTTTAATCTCAGACAAGGTTTTCAGTACAGGGGAGTCATCTCGAGGCGACTCGCCCTGCTGGAGGCGTTCTCCAACTACAAGGCCTTCGGGGTCGTTCCATCCTGAGTGATTAATGATCTTAAATGCACTTGTCCTCTGAGTAGCATGTCGGTTAACACCCACGAGAATACGAGGAGATGTTTGCCCGTGCCAGACGGTGTCCATCAATTCTTCAACGACACCCATTCCATTTTGAAGCAACAGTAGGGTACTATTTTTGGTTAAACGGCTCTTTAATGGTGAAACTGCCTCGATTACACTCTGTGCCTTGGTGGCTACTACCAAGCACTCGATCGGTGGCCCTTGAGAAGGAGCGGAAGGTAGAACCATAGAGTCAAACCCACTGACAGACGCAGACTTTCCTTTCAATGTAAGTGATATTGACTGGTTGTGGGCCTTGAAATCCTGAAGTGCTTTTTGAGACCTCAAGATGAGGGTAACCTTGTGGTTCGTCATGCGCAACAAACTTGCGACATGGCATCCAACTGCTCCAGTACCAAGAATATGAAAGTGCATGTTAGAACGGAAGACCAATTATGGAGCGCCGAACCCTTTAAAATAAATGAATTATGTGGCTTGGACTATCAGAAGGAACAGATTTCAGAACCCTTGCAACTTAGCATTCAAACGCTCTGTTCACCATGTCTCAGGCCGCACGTAATGAACTACAGACACTCTACCGCTCTTACCTTCGCTTGGTAAGGGACTGGCCAGCAGACAAAGTCAGACCAAACAGAGACATGAAGCAGATCTTGGCTAAACGAGTTGAGGAAACATTCCGTCGACCACTCGAAAGCGAGCAGGAACCATTTGATTTCGCGGACGCAAAGAGACAGCTCAAGGCTTTGGAGATGCTGTTGGATAACGAATTTAAAACAAAGGTAAGCCAATATATATTATTGTTCTTTATTTTTTATTTTTCATTTTTATTAAAATAAAATAAAATATTGCTTTTAGTATCCTTTATCAGATAAAATCCTCAAGCCAGCAGGCAACCCAAACTACTACTCCGGCCTTGTGTCCTCTCTGGAAGCTACCAAGGATGGAAAAAAGGGTCCTTTAGCAAGACTATTTGGTACTCAATAAATACTCAACTTTACCCATCACAAAATACACTGGATCTATGTTTTCCACTTTCAGAGGTAACAAAAAATGAATATGGAGAGGGAATATTCATGCTTTATTAAGTTCAATCTGAATGTCAAAGTATCTCTTTGATATTCATAAGGCGACATAAAATAGAATGAGAGAACAATACTTTCAATGTTATTTGTTGCTGTAAAAGAAATTAGGAAGAGGTGTTTTAGAAAAACAAAAGTGCTCTACAACGTAAAAGAATGTTAAAATGAACAATAACAACAAAAAAAATTAAATATGAATAAATAAGAAGTCATTTTATTATTTTTATTATTTGGATCAAGCTTGGAAGACGAGGAGGGGAAGCTTGTCAATGAGCTATAATGATTAAAAGAGAAGCTGAGGTGTATTATGAACAAAGACACACACTTTGGCAGGAGCAAAAGATATATTAGCAACTATCTTTCTGCGGCATGTTTTACGAACCAAGGCGAGATACTCCAGTCCCAAACATGATAAAAGTCAACACTTAGGCTGAGGATAGAGGTTCGAGGATATATGTGGCACGAGGGACGAAAGTGAAGGGAAGATGGAATTGTATTAGAGGTGATTATATACGCTGCTGACCATTGTAGACAAGGTTATAAACTGAATAAACTTCTACTTAGAAGACAACAGTAAAGACATAAAGTGAAGAGGAGATGAATGATGAAACGAGTATAAAATCCAAAGGAAACATTTTAATAGTTTGACTTGGCGTAACGAGGAAGAAAATTATATAGGGATTGAGAAATGTCGGCCAATCAGACAGAGAGTAATAGGATAAAGTAATAGAGAAAGACATTGTTAAGATAGGTATTAGGGGAAAAAATATATGAATCGTTAGGGATCAGATAGAATTGCTGGATTCTAAACATACACTATAGCAATAAAATAGACTACCTTAGTATACTTCCGCTAGAGAAATCAGCGTCAGATTTCGTGATTCTTAATCCTAAACAAACTATTAATCAACTTTATGTTATATTCTCCAAAAGCTTCAAATAAATAAGATTAAAACACGTCTTCTTATATATAAATATACACATACTCTATAAAAGAAAAAAGAGAAAATAAAGTCCAATATACGATGTATCCCCCCATAAGCTTTGGGCATTTCTTTGACTCTAATGGGCATACTTGCCACAAGAGTATATACAACTTCTGATCCAATAATCTTCCATTCCTAAAGTATTCAGACCGTCATATCTAGGATATTATTTTATATATCCCTTTCTATATTGAACCTTGGTTTTTAGAGCATAAAAAACGTTTTTAATTAGGCTCAGATCAGGGCTCTGTTATGGCCAGTTGTCAAAACAGTAGGTTTTTCAATGAGGTTTCCTCCACGTCGTGTAGGACCCAATGTGGCAGCTAGAACCTTCTCATTGGAGTGCGAGTATAGTGCCATGCTTATCTTAATTATTTTATACCAAATATCGAATTTCCCGGGCAAACAGTTAACATACGCTTCTTAGCCTACTAGATTAGGACTTTGTTTACGTTGCTCCAGTAGCTCTCCAGCGCTGGAAAGCGTTGTAAGCTTTTATTTTAAGGATACTCATGTGGGTTGCAATCTAGATTGGGCGTAGTATTGGTCCTATAGAGCTAAATAATACTATCGCGTTCAAACTTTGAATAGTTTTGTCGAGGATAATGCCTCTTGGTCCTTTTATTCCTTAATAAGTGCTTGGTTTGTAAGAGAAGACTCTGCAAAAGGAAAACAAATACGGCGTGCTTAAAATAAAGATGTACTTATACCAAAGTATAATCAAATTTGATTTATTGTCAAGCTTTAAATTGAGTCTTTAAATGTATGCATAAAATATGAATGCAGATCTACCAATGCAAAAGCATTCCTATAATATATATATCTTGGTTTAATTCTATATTGTAAGACAGGTTTGGTGGGGTTCTTAATAATAATATTTTATAAAGTAGTATACAATAAACTACAAGTAGTGATCACATTCATGTACATTTGAAATTCTGTAATTTACTGGTCTTTGGGCTATAACTTTATTCATAGTTACCAGCCCTACTCGAACAAACATTTATATGGATTCACTTTTAAAATATTCACCGCTTAAAAGTATTATAAACTCGGGCGATATTTTTTAATAGTAAAAACCGTTCTTATAGATAATTTTTAGAGGATTTGTAAAAATAAATAAATAAAGGTTTTTAATAGCTTTTAAGAAAGTTTGATGGCATCATTAAGAGATGATGCCTTAGAAATAAAAACAAAATCACGGAAAAATGATTTTTTTTTTATTTATTTTTTATTTTCGAATGATTAGGGAAAATATTTAATTGTTTAACGTTGACCACTAATACTTCTTTAAATATACATAGTTGGATAGTAGCACTTGTATACATGTTACACTTTTGTTTATTGGATAGCTTAAACAAACCTGATGAGCTGGCTTATACTATACTTTCTTACCTGATTGGTTTCATCTATTCAACACCGTTTTCTTTTTGGTTTTATACTTCTTTGACTAAAAAAAAAAGGAATAAATATCAATCATAGAAAAAGTAAAAAGAATATTTGCATCTTACAACATTTAAAATAAAAATAAAATTCTATCTGAATCTTTTATCTCAAAGGGAGAAATCACGCAATTATATTACTACCACAACAACAAAAAAAAGGTCTTCTGGAATACAAGACAATTAGGACTATTTTGTTAGAGTCTCGAATACACGGTCTTTTTCAGTATCAAACTTCAATACTCGTATCTCACGGCTATCCCTGTACTCAAAACTACTACTGTACTCAAAGCCTAATCCGAACCACTATTATTTGCAAAGATTAAATATATGAATCAATGGTGTATCCACGGTAGTTAGTCAGAGATAAATGCGCGCACAATTGCTCGGTAAGTTACCTCCGTTGTCGCCGTCTAGAAGGGTTTACTAGAGCTAGAAACCTGATCTGTACTTTATTTCACTTCTCAGACAATACACTTTCCCAACACTTCACTTTACCCACCGGCCTAAACATGTCCCCTCCTCGATCCTTCGAATCTACCGTGACCACCTTTCCCCCTTTGTCTTCCCAAACCTTTTGTGGATCCATTAGCTCGAGACTATCAGCAATGCTGCACTTACACATCATCAATTACAAGGTTATACGGGTGGTTACTAGGTCTAGTATTGACATCAAGCCGTTTTACTTCTCATAGGTTAAACAAGACTTCCATAATCCGGCGGAGACAGATATACAGCGAAACACTGTGTAGACGGAGGCTGCTCAAGCAAAAGAGTGGGGTCATCAGCGAACCTAATTGTGTACTATGTGGGACTTCAGACAATGATAAGAACTTCTTCTAGACCTATCTTCTCAAAGTTCAAAAGTGGAATACAATATTCCCTCGATCCCTGACCGAGCACAAATATCTGGCCCTTGGTCATTTTCTTTAACATTGTCTACTGCACTCAATCAGTGTAACGAATGTCACAATAAATGTTTATAGGCTTATTGGTTTTTACCCTGAGAGCCATACGGAGCACACATTTTCATATTTTTTGGGGATGTTGCTTTTGTTTCCAATCACATACCTGATCTAACTGCCCTATATATCAGAAGGCTCGGATCTTAACGAGCTCTACCTTGTTCCTAGCTTACCCGCCTTTCAAAAACAATACTTCAAATAAACATCACAAAAAACACTGCCACAGCATTAACATATTTCAACATTACCAATAAACACAATTTACAGAAATCAAGAGCTAATACACTACTGGCCAGAATACAATCAAAGTTACACGAACGTTTAAGAATATACAAAAGTTTACTTGTTTGTCAAACGTGCGGATCAAACTTGAGCAGAAATATCAGTTCATTACTTAATCAGTCAGTTATTTTCTTGCTATGAACTGTTTTTCAGTTGTTAATATTTGAGTTTATTATTGAAAATATTTTATAGCACAAACATGTAAGAGAATAATATATTTGAGCGTAGAAATCATCAATAAACTAGCCTTGTATCTATCAAGGTTATCAATCACATAATCCAAGCAGAACAACTTTACTTTTTTTTCCCAAGACATTTTTGGCCGATCACATTCTAGTATAAATGTGGGACAGAAATAAAAATAAATGAAAAGAAAAGAAAAGGACCCTTCTTTATTTATTTATACAGAGCTTTTGAGTAACTTGACTATGATTTTGATCGTTATCATATAGATGATACCATATATATATATTGGTCATACGCGAAATTTACTAATATAAATCTTTAAGCAGAATATGATATATACTTATGTATTTGAGTGAGAGACAGGACAGGGCTAAAACTATATTATAAACTTTCACAATTGGTCAACTTGTAAGTTTCCTATGAGCTTAATAATGGCAAAGAACTTAAAAACAAGAGAATATTTATTTGATCACTGCTAAACCCAATGGGTAATGACAAGCAAGTGTATATGTATGGTGACATGTGTAGGTGTCATTTTGTTTTATTAAAAAAGGATTTGGTAAGATTGTATTTAACACTATACACAACCATAAAACAGTTGTACAATCAGATTTCAGTTCAAGAACAATCAAGTATAAAGTGCAGCTTAAAATTTTTATAAAAGCTTCTAAAGTATGTAGATAAGAAATAATTACTGAAAACTATGCCTGTCGTTTAATTGTTATATATAAAAGATATTCTGATTTGCACTCGGTATAATGAACTCGGGTGTACTTTTAAGCTTTAACGATCTTATTCCCAATGTAAATATCAATTCTGGGGAGATAGAAATATACCTGGAATTGATCCTGAATAGTCAGCCAGATTGTGTTTGATAATCGGTTACTTGAGAATATCTTGAAATAAAATAGGGTGGATTTTATTTAAAGAATCATTTGGTGCTCACGGAGCGAAGTGTCAATGGACTAATTTAGAAGACTCTCGAACATGAATATGATATGTTCCTTTTAAAGTTTGTAAAAATGTCCTTGTAAGATAGTGACACGTAGAGACTTTTAAGAGGCAATGTAACTATATGTTATAATTGTGAGGAAGTACGTTCAAGCTATATAGTGCCTAAGTCCGGATTACTATCTAGAAAAGGTTTTCTATTTTTAAAGGAGATATGATAAGAATAGACTAGAAAGTTAACTCCAAGAAAATATATTCTCAAGACATTATATAACCTCTCCGATAGTTAGGATGAATCAAATAACATTTAATTGACTACACGCTTAGAGGCAATAATCAGCTGTCAAAATGTATAGGTAGAAAAAGAGTTTTTTGATGTGGTAAAGGTGGATGCTTTATTACCTTTTGATCAACTTTTGATGTGACTTCTACTGGCCCCCTATCCTGCTTATTTCATCTATCCACTTCAGTCTCTTTTCATATTTAGGTAAGTGGTGGCTGGTAGCCGCCACACCCACCGTACCAATATCCCTACAAGAAAGCAGGGATAAGGTATTTATAATACCCAAATATGGTGATTTACATTTATTACTATCCGCACCATCTGTGAGAATCGCTTTATTTTACTACCGTGTTTCATCATTTAAACTCTTTTATGTCTTACATGCTAATATATTCTCATTAAAAAGTAACACAAAAGATGTTATTGGGAGTTAGGAGCATCTTTTGAACAGTAGCTTTTGTGCTTTATTAATAATAAATGAATGAATAAAAAAAACTTTTATATGCTCTACTTTCAAACAGGATATATCTTTGGTGTATAGGTTTTTATTATTATGAGCACAATACCTATATTTGGCATTTTGCACTTCCCTAAACATGGTGTATTACTCTCATGCCAATACACCTTTGACACGTAAAGTAATTAAGTGAGGCAACGTGGCTAGTTATGACTCTCATATGAGGGAGGATGTTCGAGGTGTATAGTCCCTACAGCTGGGCTACTAGCTAACAAAGGCTCCATCTTCCTAATGGAGGTGTGGTAACGAGGGACAATAAATTACTTCAAGAGTATGCGTTCTCAAGACAATAGATCTGCACTCAGAATAGCTAGAATAAATCAAATCATATTTATATTACTAGGCGTATAGGGATAAGAATCAGCTGTCTAAATGGGTAAATAGAGAAAGCGTTTTAAACGAAGTAAAAATGCTCTTCCATTATGCTTCAGTAGACTTCAATCTCATACTACTTTAGTTCTCCGAAGAGTGGCGGTTACCAACCACCACGCTCATTGTCTCACCTTTTCACATTGAAGTTACACTTCGTGAACACAAATTATCGGCCAATCAGGTCATAATAACTTCATATTAACATTTAGAAATCTTTCAAATTAACTATAAGTATTTACGAAAAAAGGTAACAAAGTTTTATCGATATACACTTAGTTGTAGTTCAGTAAATCATATCTGCAAATATAGTACATTGCGAAATACGTATCATTAAGTGATATCTGTTCCTTTGACAATCAAGCACAGTTATTACAAATTAATGATCTATTCTAAAAAAAAGAGAGAGAGAAAAAGACAGATAACAAGAATATTCTTGTACGATGAAGATGTTCCCAATCCTGTATTTTTTTATGTTTTGTGTTGTAACCTTCCTTTTTTACTCATATTACACAAACAATTGGAACTTGACGTTGAGAAAATAGCGCACATTAATGGGTCGTACTATACAGACTTTGTATTATTTTTTTATAAAGCTTGGAATTAATTGCATCTATCCTTTCTATTCTTTCTTATTTTCTTTTGCCAAGCAGATAAAGGTAATCCTCGGCACACTTTTAAAGAGCACGTAATGGTAAGACATTGGCATGAAATTATATGTATATATATATTTTGACACGCTCTTCAGGACCATCTCTATGAACCATTAAGATGTTCTGAAAGGGAGTAAGTATTAAAAGCAACTCGTCAGCCACATAATTCTTACTCGTCCTTCAGAATTGCCTTGAGTCTTTTCCCTTCTTGTACATTTGCTTGTGTTCTCGGATTTCTTGCTGTTTACAGATGGGGATCAAAAGCAAAAGATGCATGGGTTAGCCCCGAGACAAAGTTCCAGAAAATATCCAAGCCTGTACAGTCTCTACTTTGCTTTGTCCAAATCATTGGATGGGCATATTCTCTTGCATTTAGCGCCAAAAACAATACGTGTGCAGTAATTGATGCTGTTTCGCCATTTTTGATTTGGGTAAGAAATTATACAAATTCATAGAAATATAACTAATCTATGTATATTTAGTGTGTTATATTTGTGGTCTCAGTTACTTCACCAGTATATACCCTCTATTCGTCTCGACATCATCTCTATTTCTTTATCGCTGTATTCTCTTTAGCAATATTGGATGCCGCTTATAGAATATTCGTCTTTAAAGAACAAAGCAGTCATTCTACACATGAAGCATATTTAATTTTTGGAAACTTTGCTGTAACTTTTATTCTCTTCTTGATTGCCGGTGTAACACCACAACCCTTGGACCCAAAGAATATTGAAACGAAGAATAATGAGAAGATCGAAGTTAAAGATGGCATTGTTTATCGTAATGTAAGTCACTCATTCAATGTGATGGATTGTAGTTACTAAATTCACTTCAATAGAACCTTATTCTCAGTCCAGAAGCTACAGCTAGTGTGTTCGAATGGATTTCATTTGGATGGGTAAGTTCTCCGACCATAATAGATAACGATTAGAGCTTGCTAATCTCTCATTTGTGCTCCGTAGATGAACCCAGTTATATACTTTGGTTTCTCCAACGAGCTGACCCGAGAAAACATATATTCCTTAACTTATCAACACTTGACTCGTTTTGTATATGAAGAGTTTCGTGAAACCCTTGCGTCTGCAAATCGCAAGCAAATTCTTCTCCGTATCTACAAGGCTAATAGAGGTGTCATTTGGGCTCAGTTCATCTTTTCAGTTTCTGCTATGTTAGTAAGCTACATGAATCCTTACTTCCAGCAAAAGTTACTCGAGTACATTGCCGATCCCCAAGGACGCTCTATCAATATCGCATACGCCTACGTATTCGGAATGGCCGTGGTCGGAATAATTAAATTGGTGTGCAGTGGCATTCAATTATGGGCAGGTAGACGCTGGAATGTTCGTACATACGCTATGTTGGATGCAGAAATCTATGCGAAAACCTTAAAGCGCAAGGATATGACCGGAAACATCGGAAAAGAAAAGGTTGAAGGCAAAGACAACAATGACAGCAGTGACAAGGATGATGACAAGAAGCCTTTCAGTAACACTGGAAAAATTACCAACCTAATGAGCATTGATGCTGATCGTTTGGCGGATACATCAAGCTATATTTTTGTAAGTTAACTAAAGTAAATTATCCTAAAGGATAACAATTATCGAACTACAAATTAACATTTTGAATTATTTGACAGACACTCTACAATGCTCCATTAGAAGTAGCTGTAGCTATGTTTTATCTTTACCAACTCCTTGGGTTTGCAGCGCTCGTTGGTTTTGGTATCATGATAATATTTTTCCCATTGACTGCATATATCGCCAAATATATGACCAAGGCCTATAAGGACTTTACGATAGCCAAAGATAAACGAAACGACTTGGTTAACGAGTTGCTGCAGGGTATTCGCATGGTCAAATATTTTGCCTGGGAAAGCAATTGGGAAGAGAAGGTCATGGCAGCACGTCGCTTCGAAATCAAGAAACTTGTCCGCACTGTTGTTATCCAAGTCTTATTTTCCGTTACTTATCTTACTGTTCCAGTCTTAGTATCATGCTCTTCATTTATTTGGTACACAAAGGTAGCTGGAAATGAGTTGACCGCAAGTGTAGCATTCGTTAGTATCACCTTGTTTGAGATGCTCCGTAATCCCTTGGTCTTGATCCCCGAGTCAATTACTACCTTGACCGAGTGTTACGTCTGTCTAAAGCGTATTGCATCATATATGGACGAAGCCGAAGTCGGTGATGGTATCATTAATGAGACTATTCCAGTCCCAGAAGGTGTTTTGCCAGAAACCATTCTTGCCCGTGTTGGTACCGAAGAATCCGTTTTCCGCTGGCATTCTGGCGAGCCCGAGGCCAAGGATGCTGTTGCCGCTGAAGTAGATCCAAATGAACACCCTGTTTTCGCACTTACGCTTCCCGCTTTTGAGTTTCCTACCTCTGAACTTAGCATTGTCTGTGGTTCTACCGGAAGTGGAAAGTCTAGTTTCTTACACGCTCTTTTGGGAGAAATGGATATTGTTTCTGGACGTGTCTACTTGCCATCCAAGACCAAACTGGCTCTTGACACATACTCTGTCATTGATCCCCAACACCCCTCTCTCATCCTAAACAAGGTTGCTTACGTAGCCCAGCAAGCCTTTTTACAACATGCCTCTATCCGTGACAATATTTTGTTCGGCCAAGAATTTGATTCAGTTCGCTACAAGAAGGTGCTTTCCCAGTGTGCCCTTGTCAAGGATTTGTCTATCTTACCCGATGGTGACCGTACGGAAATTGGTGAAAAGGGTATTTCTTTGTCTGGCGGTCAGAAACAACGTGTTGCTTTAGCCCGTGCTGTTTATTCGCATGCAAAAACCCTGCTTTTGGATGACTGTCTTAGTGCAGTCGATTCGCACACTGCAAAGCATATCTACCAGCGCTGTTTCAATGGCGACCTTATCAAGGGACGAACAGTAGTTTTAGTGACACATCACGTACGTCTTTGTTTGCCAACTGCAAAGTTCGTCGTCAAGCTAGATCGCGGTGCTGTATCTGGCTATGGATTTGTCGATTACCTGAGAGAAAATGGCTCCCTGAAAACTCTTCTTGGTGACGAGATTGATGACCAGAATGATGACAACGAGGAGAATCTTATCGAGACTATTGATGAGCATTTTGAGTTAATTGATGATAAAGCTATTATTAACAAGATGGTAAAAGACGAAAAAACCGAGAAGGGGCAGGTAAAAGGCAAGGTGTACCTGACATACTTCTATGCTTGTGGTGGCTGGCTCTTCTGGATTACTCTTCTTTCGTGTTATTTTGTCAATCGCGGATTTGTGCTTGGAGAGAATTGGTAAGATAAAGCAAAACTTTATTCAATGTTGAAACTAATAAATTTAACATATCATAGGTGGTTGAGAATTTGGGTCGCTAATAGTGGAAATGCTGAAGACAGTACCGGACTCTTTACGACTACTGTTGTTCCGTATACTCGCGATGCCTTGATGTATATTGAGCAAACTACCAGAAAGCAGAATATGTTCCAACAATGGGTGTACGAAGACAAGCAGCCCAGAGACGTTGATTACTACATCCTTGTGTACATGGTCATTTGTTTCGCAGGCATAGTTTTTGACACACTTCACACAGCATTACTTTTCTGGGGTACTGTGCGCGGTGCAAGCATCCTATTCAGCAAATTGATCCATAGAGTTATTCATGCTCCTATGCGTTTCTTTGATACTACTCCAATCGGAAGAATTCTCAACCGCTTTGGAAAGGATGTGATGACAATTGATATGATTTTAGCGCGTACAATGACCCACTTGATTGATTGCATCACAGGCTTAATAGTTTCTCTTATTGTTGTTGGCGCTATCACACCTCAATTTTTTATCTTTGCCGTTATTATTAGTGCAGCCTATTGCGCAGTTGGTGTCCTCTACATGCGTGTATCACGTCAGTTCAAGCGTCTCAACTCTGTCAGCAGATCACCGATTTACTCTCATTTTACCGAAACTCTCAATGGTGTCATCACTATTCGCGCTTACTGCCAAGAAGATGCCTTTCAACTCGCGCTGAACAAAAAGATTGATGATTTTATCTCTCCATACTATTATTTGTGGATGAGTAACCGCTGGTTATATGCTCGGGTTGAATTTGCTGGAGCATTTGTTATTTTGTTTGCCGGTGTTTTCATCGTTTTAAACCTTGATACTATTGATGCTGGTATGGCCGGTATCTCGCTTTTCTATGCCCGTTCATTCTTGGATAACATGTATTGGATCATTCGTCAGTACACTCAAGTTGAAATGGACCTGAACTCAGTTGAACGTATTCAAGAATATCTCGAGATTGAACAAGAGCCTCCTGCGTCTATACAGGGAAGCCGCCCCCCTGCTGCCTGGCCTACCACTGCATCTGTTGAAGTAAAAGATCTTGTGATTAGATATGCAGAAGATCTTGATCCTGTACTTCATGGAATCTCTTTTGACATTCGATCGCATGAAAAAGTGGGTGTGGTTGGACGCACCGGATCAGGAAAGAGTACCCTTGCACTTAGTTTCTTCCGTTTCCTCGAACCAAGCAGTGGCAATATCACTCTCGATGGAATTGACATTACTCAAATTGGTGTACATGATCTTCGTTCCAAGCTTACCATCATTCCCCAGGATGCTGTTTTGTTCTCTGGAACTATCCGCTCTAACCTGGATCCCTTTGAAGAATACACAGACAGTGCAGTCTGGGAATCTCTCGTCCGTGCCCACCTTGCTCCTGAAAATCGTGATGAGGAAGTCCCCGAAGGAAATGCTACTTGGGCTGTCACTAGCCTCGAACAGACCGTGAGTGACGGTGGCAACAACTTCTCTCAAGGTCAACGTCAGCTGCTCTGTATGGCTCGTGCATTGCTTAAGAACAGCAGACTTATTATCATGGATGAAGCTACGGCTAGTGTTGATTTCGAGACTGACAAGAAGATTCAAAACACAATTCGCGAGGAGTTTGTTAGCTCGACTTTGATCTGTATTGCTCATCGTTTGAGAACTATTATGGATTATGACAGAGTTTTGGTGCTTGATCAGGGCAAGGTGGTTGAATATGACACTCCTGCAAATCTATTGATCCATGATGCTGGCACCGGTTTATTCAAGTCAATGTGCGAGAAGTCCGGTGAACTCGATGTCTTGACTGAAATGGCTAACAACGCTGAAGAATTAAGTAATTCAAGCAAGGTGTTTGAACAAGCTGATCATCACACAACAAACCGCCAAGATTAAGTAATATATATAGACATCTTTACAGCTGTGTAAATGTGTATAATATTATATTACGTATTGTTTTCTTCTTATGTTAATAATACCAAATAAATATATTTTATAAAACAATCTTGTTTAAAGCATTTTTTTTTATCTATAAAGAAAACCATTCTTTCAAAATACAGCTTTAAGTTTATGTGAGCAAGTAACTCCTTAATATATGTTCCAAAACTTCCAAAATGAGAGCATTTTTTACACAAAAATTGACAAAAAAAAAACGGTTAAGATGGTACAAAGGACATAAGATTTTTAATTACAAAAGACAGGGTAAAATAAGATATTGTCTATCTCGAATGTTCTCACTTGTCTAAAACACGTTTTGATAATTTTCTTTACTGGCCACCCATCTCCTTGGCGAGCTCTTCGGAACGCTTGATGACATCGTTGATATCACCCTGCATGTAGAAGGCAGTTTCGGGAAGACCATCGTGCTTGCCGTCCAAGATTTCCTTGAAAGAGCGGATGGTATCCTGGAGAGGTACAAGACGACCCTCGTAACCAGTGAAGACCTGGGCGACAGCGAAGGGCTGGGACAAGAAACGCTGGATCTTACGGGCACGCTCGACAACAAGCTTATCTTCCTCGGACAACTCATCCATACCGAGAATGGCAATGATATCCTGGAGAGACTTGTAGTTCTGGAGGATCTGCTGGACCTGGGTGGCAACCTTGTAGTGCTCATCACCGACAATACGGGGATCCAAGATACGAGACTTGGAGTCAAGGGGATCGACAGCTGGGTAGATACCCAACTCAGCAATGGAACGAGACAAGACAGTTGTGGCATCCAAGTGAGCAAAAGTGGTGGCGGGAGCGGGATCGGTCAAATCATCAGCGGGTACGTAAACGGCCTGGACAGAGGTAATAGAACCATTCTTGGTGGTGGTAATACGCTCCTGCATGCCACCCATATCGGTGGAAAGAGTGGGCTGATAACCGACAGCAGAGGGAATACGACCCAAAAGGGCAGACACCTCAGAACCGGCCTGAGTGAAACGGAAAATGTTGTCAATGAAGAGCAACACATCCTGACCTTCGTCATCACGGAAGTACTCGGCAATGGTCAAACCAGTAAGAGCAACACGGGCACGGGCTCCTGGGGGCTCGTTCATCTGACCGAAGACGAGAGCACACTTGGACTCACCCTCGAGCTTGATGACACCAGTCTCCATCATTTCGTGGTAAAGATCGTTACCCTCACGAGTACGCTCACCGACACCGCAGAAGATGGAGTAACCACCGTGGGCCTTGGCGATGTTGTTGATCAATTCCTGAATCAACACAGTCTTACCGACACCGGCACCTCCGAAAAGACCAATCTTACCACCACGGGCATAAGGAGCCAAGAGATCGACAACCTTGATACCGGTCTCAAGAATTTCAGGGGTGGGAGACTGATCAACGAACTCAGGAGCTTCGGCGTGAATGGGGCGGGAAGACTTGGCGTTGATAGGACCGCGCTCATCAATGGGCTCACCGATGACGTTGATGATACGACCAAGAACTTCCTTACCGACAGGAATGGTAATGGGGGCACCAGTGTCAAGAACCTTTTGACCACGGACGAGACCTTTATTTATGGCGATTAATTGAAAATGACACAAGACACACTAATGGAACACTAATAGTACAGCATAGCACAGCATAGCACAGCACATCACAGCACATCACAGCACAAGTGGCTTGTAAATTTCTTCATTTAATATAATTTTACCTTCGGTACCATCCATAGCAATAGTGCGGACAGTGTTTTCACCCAAGTGCTGGGAGACTTCAAGGACAAGACGACCACCGGTGTGGTCCTGTACCTCAAGGGCGTTCAAAATGGCGGGAAGGTTATCCTGCTCGAATTGGACATCGACAACGGCACCAATTACAGAGCTTTAGTATTATTATAATAATTTATAAAAAAAAAAGCAAAAAAAAGGAGGGGGTTTATGTTTAGTTCATTTGACAGGCGTTGATAAATTGAACAATCGAAAATACAAGAATTATGGATAGCCCACAGACGTGTATTACTTACCGAATCTGGCCAGGGGCAACATTGGCTACGGCAGCAGTTGCGTAGGTACGGGCTAGAATACAGAGTTTGAATACAGTTGTGTATTTCCATCAATATATGTAGATACAGGGGTAAAATAACAACAACAAAGAACTAGTTTGATTGTTGAATATCGGCGGATCTTCTTACAGGAAAGAGCAGCGTTGGCGCGGCTAGCGCGGACGGCGTTACGTGATGCTGTGAGGAAGCGATGGAGTTGCATGTCGTGTTTGTTGGTTTTCTTTGCAAAGACACACACAAAAAAAAAAGGGGGGAGGGGACCGGGGTGGATATAAACTGACTGGCGCTGTGTAGAAAATTTTCAATAGGCCCAAATGAGGCCAATCAATTGACCAGCCAATCAAGCATATTGAGGTAAAGTGGAAGTAAGCAAGTCACATCTGACGTAGACAATCCAGGCCATATTTATTTTAGCTTTGACACTTTTGATATGTAAAATTAGTAGGTCCAAATGTATTCTTACTTTACGCCTTGAACTCCGTGCTGCAAGTGCTTTAAATGTGTGTGTGTGTCATTTATGAATTGATTAAGGACAGGTGTGCCTGATTTCTTTTTTTGGGGGGTTCATTTCTCGAATTAAGGGTTTGTCATGGCGGAGTGAGAAGAGTGCCATGATGTTGAACTGGTCAGTTAAATTGAAACAGACAAAGAACATTCTGGTTTAATGAAAGCTGGTTTTTATAGTGAATAGCTATATATGATGCAACACAATGTAATTAAGCGAAAAATATAACAAGAGTAAATATAAAGAAATAAATTAATTAATAAATAAATAAAAAATATATTTGTTCCGTATCAATTGTCAAGCCTCGCGTTAAAAAGGGATACAGTATATAAATCTATTGTTGTAATGGTTCCCGGTTAATTGTCTATAATCTGTAAGCAAAATTTGGCAAAAAGAATGATTCTTCAAAAGAGCTATTTCATGAACCCAAACCTTGCTAAAGAAGCATAGTTCCTGTGTATTATACCTCTTTGTGATTATAAAATAGCCATGTGTCACTATTTAACCTTTGATATGTTTATTACAGGCTGTTTTTAGTTGTTAAAAAGACTTTTTTTTTTTTAAAGAAACAGTAAGCATAAACTTGATTTAAACAATATATATAAATATAATATAGCTTTATAAAGCGATAATATACAAAAAGACCTAGTAGTCCGTCAAACTAATAGAAGATGGTCCCTCTAAACCTTCCTAAAAGGTAAAGGTGGCTGTACACAGAGATCTCGATAATTAATTGCTAAAATTAGGCAATATGCTGGGGTGCAATTTGTTTTTTATTGCTATTGAAAATAGCCTGTTTTTAATTATATCATATTTTTTTAAAATAGATATACGCTTATATGTTTCAAAAAAAATAATAGTAATACATGGTCGAATGCACGCTTAAATTTAAGTAATGCTAGCGAGTACAGCAAAAAGAAGTAAAGAATGATTTACAAACATTCTGTTTTACGCTTAATTATTATTATTATAATTCTTTAGTTTTTTTTTTTGAATACTTCTTTATATATATATATGTATGCTCATATCAAAAGATTGAAATTAATGACAGCCAAAGCAAATATATGATAATGCTATAAATTAGGCCATGCAAATTTATAGTGCTTATGGATTGCTACACAATGCTGCCATGACAATTAACATTTGACAAGTGACAATTGGTACACCATTGTGTCAATGTTTGATGTAATACTTTGTTGTTCTTGTTTCTTTCTTTGAGATAGAAAATTTCAAAGCTAATGGCGTTCAGGTACTCAAAATTTATTTGAAATATGGAGATGTTGATGGTGAAAGCATCAATGTTACAATGTTCATGTTCATGCGTAGAATAATTATAAAGATAGCAAAATTATGGCTTGATTTTTTTTTTTTTAATTGATGGGCATTGTCCAATAAAATTTTCCCTTTTCTGGCACTCTATTCTTTTGTTTTTTCCCCTACATTCAATTTTTTGTGTTATCTGAAATTTAATCAGGGCAAACCAAAAATAGAGCCAATCCTTTTTTGGCTTGCTCTAACCATTTTATACAGCAAATCCTGAGCATTAGCACATTTTAACTTTGTGTTTTGTTTCTGTAAGCCAATAGAAACACTGATGTTGTTAAAAGCTGCCACAAGTATATAAAAATAAATCATTGGGCGTGTATATATATAAATTAAACGTTTTGTTTTTGTGTGCCTATTAATAATAAAGAAGCCAGGAAAAACATGCTTCATATATATATATATATTATATTTTGAGATATAAAATAAGGCAAATGTCTTGATGGGATTACGTATCAAAATTAAAGCCGACAAAACCAGCAATACATTACAGCCTTGTATTTTATTATAGCTTTATAAGCAGAGATTCTCATATGAATCATTCATTTTTCTATAAAACCTATTAAACTGCATCTCAAACCTCTTCTTCCATTGGTCCAAAAATTTTTTTTTGTCTATTCAATTTGGGTTAAAAATAAACAAGAAATAAATAATAAAAAAATAAAAAAAGAGCCTGTGGATGACTGGATTGCGTACCCTCTTTTTTGTTGATTCCTTGTGCGTAGAAAGTACTCCGCATTTGCAGACAACAAAGAAGCAAACACGTGTAAAGATGTGTCCTACAGTAAATAGTGGAAATAAGGGTGAGGCAAGAGAAGCACATTTTGTGATTTGGCCTGATGCTGAGTTGGTAACAGGTAAACGGATGGCCAAAAGGGAACTCAGCACGTGATGCATAGGTCGGTTCGTTTGTTAGTGAAGCCAAAATAAACCAGGCAAGATAAAAATAGCCCGTCTATTTGACAGACCGCCCAATTTTTCTCTTTGTTCTGCATCCCTCGGAGGCCTGCCACACGCCCGCGGAAGATAACCCAGCCTAGAGATAGAAACTTAGGGGTGACGGTTGACGTAAAGACCATAAAAGAGGCCCAATTTTCTGCTTTCAATTGATCTTCTCTCCACTTTACTTTTCCATCAATCTCAACATGTGCGGCATCTTTGGGTATGTGCTTATTCTACACAACGTACATACACAATTCACCTAACAATCATCACACCAATCAATCAATCTGTCTATCTATCAATCAATCGATCAATCAATCAATCATTATAGCTACCTCAACTACCTCGTCGAGCGCGACCGTCGCTTCATCCTTGACACCCTCTCCAATGGTTTAGCCCGTCTCGAGTACCGTGGTTACGACTCTGCTGGTAAATTACAAAAACTAAAGTCATCTCATCTTGCAATCATACTCATCCCATCTCAGGTCTCGCTGTTGATGGCGACAAGGAGGACGAGATCTACGTCTACAAGCAGGTCGGCAAGGTTGCTGCCTTGAAGAAGTTGATTAACGAGCAGAGCTGCGACTTCACCAACACCTTCATCAGCCACTGTGGCATGGTAAGTCTTAAATCTTAATTACATCTTTGGCAATTTTATTTACACACTATATCCAGGCACACACCCGTTGGGCTACCCACGGTCAGCCCTCCCAGCTCAACTCTCACCCCCACCGTTCTGACGCCAAGAACGAGTTCGTGATTGTCCACAACGGTATCATCACCAACTACAAGGAGATCAAGACCCTCCTTGAGAAGAAGGGCTTCACTTTTGAGAGCGACACTGATACTGAGTGTGTCGCCAAGCTCACCAAGTACATCTGGGATAGCCAGAAGTCTACTACCAACCTTACCTTCACTGACCTCGTCAAGCTGGTCGCCAAGGAATTGGTGAGTTAGTTAATCGATTGATCAACACAATCTAAAACAATCAACAAGTCCGCTAATCGTTCAGCACTATTTTTAGGAAGGTTCTTTTGCTTTCATCTTCAAGAGCATCCACTTCCCCAACGAGGTTGTTGCCACCCGTCGTGGTTCTCCCTTGTTGGTCGGTGTCAAGACCGCCAAGAAGCTCAAGGTTGATTTTGTTGATGTTGAGTTTGGTACCTCTGAGGTTCCCGAGGCTCTCCCCATCCAGGAGACCAACCATTTCTTGGCCGCTGATGGTGGTCATCCCCAGTTGCGTCGCAGCCAGTCCAGAGCTTTCTTGAGCGAGGACGGTCTCCCCCAGCCTATCGAGTATTTCTTGGCTTCTGATGCTGCTGCCATTGTCGAGCACACCAAGCGCGTCTTGTACCTTGAGGATGATGATGTTGCCCACATCACTGATGGTGAGCTCCACATTCACCGTCTCCGTCGTGGTGCTGAGGGTGGTGCTACCTCCAGATCTATCCAAACTCTTGAGATTGAGTTGGCTGAGATCATGAAGGGTTCCTTCGACCACTTCATGCAGAAGGAGATTTACGAGCAGCCCGAGTCTGTCGTCAACACCATGCGTGGTCGCGTCAACTTTGAGAACCACAAGGTTACCCTTGGTGGTCTTCGTGGCTTCCTTCCCATCATGCGTCGCGCCAGACGTATCGTATTCATTGCCTGCGGTACCTCTTACCACAGTTGTTTGGCTGTAAGTACTCTTTTATTTGGTTCGGATTTGGATTTGGTTTTGGTTTTGGTTTTGGATTGGATTGGATTAGCTTTTTTTTGTGGTCTGGTAACTTGGTTCTTTGGGCTGAGTACACCGTTTCCTCTGATTCGATCTCGCTGTTCGGATTTATATTTTATTTGATTCTTGGGTACTAATAACATTATATTATAGACTCGTGGCACATTCGAGGAGTTGACCGAGATTCCTACCCAGATGGACCTGGCCTCTGACTTCCTTGATAGACGCACTCCTATCTTCCGTGATGATGTCTGCATCTTCGTCTCCCAATCCGGTGAGACTGCCGATACTATCCTTGCCATGCGTTACTGTTTGGAACGTGGTGCCCTGACTGTTGGTGTCACAAACACTGTCGGTTCTTCCATCTCGCGCGAGACCCACTGTGGTGTCCACATCAATGCCGGTCCTGAAATCGGTGTTGCTTCCACCAAGGCCTACACTTCCCAGTACATTGCTCTCGTCATGATGGCCATCCAGCTCTCAGACGACCGCACCTCCATGACCTCCCGTCGTGAGGAGATCATCGAGGGCCTCTTCCGTCTTCCCGGTCAAATTAAGGAGGTTCTTGCCTCTGACAGCAGCCTCCAGCAGTTGGCTGCTCAGACCTTGTCCAGAGAAAAGAGCTTGTTGATCATGGGTCGTGGTTACCAGAACGCTACCTGTCTTGAGGGTGCCTTGAAGATCAAGGAAATCTCTTACATGCACAGTGAGGGTATCTTGGCTGGTGAGCTTAAGCACGGTCCTCTTGCCCTTGTCGATGAGAACATGCCCGTTATCCTCATCATGACCAAGGATTCCCTTTACCCCAAGGTCCAGAGCGCTCTTCAACAGGTCACTGCCCGCAAGGGTCAGCCCATCATTATTTGCAACAGCGGTGATACCAATCTCATCAACGACTACAAGACTATCCAGGTCCCCCAGACTGCCGATTGTCTCCAGGGTCTTGTTAACATCATTCCCCTCCAGCTGTTGTCTTACCACCTTGCTGTCCTCCAGGGTGTTGACGTTGATTTCCCCCGTAACTTGGCCAAGTCTGTTACCGTCGAGTAAAGGAAAAAACCTCCACTTAATCATAAAAATTAACTCGACAATCCCATCAAAAACCTCCTACTTCATTTCTTTTCACAATCCAAAACCTCCACTTTTATCACTCCTCCTTGTTTGTATCTTCATCCCATCTCTATGCATCTTTTCCTCTTAAATTTCAAAAAAATCATTAAAGATATTTTCCACAATGAAACGAAACAAAACGCGTTATTTATAAAGAACAATGTTTATCAATAAGCCACTAGTCAGAAATATTAAGAATAAGAGTAATAATATATTCATACTAATGATTTAGACAACCAAGTCTCTCTTCTAATGACCCCGATTTTCTTTCTTTTAATTTCTCTCTCTTTAAAATAATAACAATGAGCGAGTCAACTCAACAGTATGATAATGTAAAGCAGGCTATTATTGCAAAGGAATCATATAAAAAAATTAACAAAAAAAAAAGGATTGTCTTGTATTACAAGATCTATCTGGACGGGATCGTCCTGCTAAACGCAAAGCATTACAAGCACTTGATCTTGCTCTCAAGTCAACATTAGAACATGAGATCATCTTTGATAAATTACTTTCAACATTACTGCACTGTACTGCAAGTGCCATCGATGGCATCCGAGAACAAGCTGTGAATCTCATAATAAGGTAAACACAAACAAATAACGCAATTGCGATAAACCATAGCTCAGCTCAAGCTTAGTCCATTGTCAATGGCAAATATTTACTGTGATTTAGATCAGTCCAAAAAACAATAGATCTTGATTCGAATATGGGAATGTCAATTATCACAAAGGCATCCGAACGCCTCAAGCCGGGAGTAGAGCCAACTGAAGAGACAAGAGCAGAGTGGCTGGTCATAGTACAGAAAGTTGTCACTAAAACGTCAAAACTTGGAGTAAAGGATGTGGAGGTATTGCTGGATGTTGCTCAGATAGGGATCGAAGATGCATTCCCAGAAGCACAGAAGCAAGCCGGAAAACTACTGGTTAGCTTGGCTAGAGAAGCACCCGTTTTGGTTGGATATGCAGGAGAAAAGCCATTACATATGGCGACGACTCTGTTGGTGCACCGTCATTCAGCCCTCAGAGTTCTGGGACTAGAAGCCGTGGAAGCAATTCTTTTAAGAAATGCGCGGTACGTGGATGTGTTGTTTGTTCAGGACCAATCCACTGGGCGTGCACCCATTGTGCCCACTCTAATGTATGACCACGCACCTCAGGTGCGTTTAGCCCTCGTGCAGGCTGTGGGTCGCCTTTTTGCTGCCTGGCCCCCAAGCGACAGATACAATCATGCACACCAATTACTGCCCGTAATTTTGACATCCTCCGTCGACGGATTCCCTCAAGTTGTTCAGGCTGCTCAGGATATGATTGCCCTATTGGGAAAACAGTGTGCACAAGATCTTGTTGATTCTGGTCTTCTTGATACACTTGGAGAAGACGCTCAAGTCATGGGTATGTCGTGATACTTCTGTATTATTATTATTATTATTATTATTATTATTATTATTATTATTACTGCGTAGGAGTATATGCACTAATGCAGTTGCATGCTAGGTTTGATGCACGTTGTGCATATGGCATGGGAAAAAACGCTCAAGTCACTACTTCACGATATTCAACACTTCATTGCCACTCGTCAAATCACCGCCTTGTCAGTACTCAATCTATTGGTTGGTTTTGCTGCACCTAAAGATGTCACTAGATCTCTTAATCGTATCCTCCACCAACTTATCGTAACCTATTGCACTGCCCCTGACAGTCTAGTACGCATTAAGGCAAGTAATCAAAATGTTTTATTCTCAAACAATAATAATAATAATAAATTAAGAAAGAAAGAAAGCTTATTTATTTATTCCACTCAAAAACAACAACAACAACAACAACAACAACAACAAATAGACTGTAGAAGTAGCTTCTGTTTTGGCTACCAAAGTGCCGTTACCTGATATATATCTTGATATTCTTCTGCCACATCTCCAAAAAGGTCACTGGACAGCAGAAACTGGAGCTTACCCTACTGCTACTGTTCTTACTGCTGTTCTTGCACTACTCGATGCTCTTCTTAACACCCCTGAGCAAAACATCTCTATCCCAGCTAAAGATCGTATCAAGTCGGCGCTCTCCAAAGATCATATTACTTCTATTCTACCCACAGGCCTAAATAAGTTTGTCAACTAAAACTCGTATATGTATAAAGAAAAAAGGCCAATTGAGATATATAAAGCTTGTTTGTAGGAACATTTTAAAAAGATCGTTTGTAGAAAAATAGAAAAATACACATTTATACACTAGAATTATACGCACAAGTATACATATTCATATATATATATATATTTATATATTATGTTTTGAGCGGGAAATGGATATGTGAATGGAGATGTGTGTCAGGCAAAGTCACAAAATACATCCGATCTTGCCTAATATAAATTATAAGCCACGCGTTAATGAAATTAGTTCCACTTGGCAAGATCCATCTTTATCCCTTTATACTCTTGTAAACCATGAAGGAATATCAACGTGAATTTATTGAATTTGCTCTTGCTAACGAGGTGCTTCGCTTCGGCTCCTTTGTTCTCAAATCTGGTCGTACCTCTCCTTACTTCTTCAACGCTGGTCTCTTTAACAGCGGAAAGTCTCTCAATGCTATTGGACGTTTCTACGCTGCTGCTTTCCTTGATGCCAACTTTGAATACGACGTTATCTTTGGTCCTGCATACAAGGGTATTCCCCTTGTCTGTGCCACCGCTATGTCTCTCTCTTCCCAACACTCTATTGAAGCTCCCTTTGCTTTCAACCGCAAGGAGAAGAAGGATCACGGTGAGGGTGGTGACATCGTTGGTACTCCATTGAGTGGCAAGGTTGTTGTTGTAGACGATGTTATTACAGCTGGTACTGCTATCAACGAGTCTATCGGTATCATTCGCGAGAAGAAGGGTGTCTTGACTGGTGTCCTGGTTGCTGTTGACCGCGCTGAAATTGCCCCCGATGGTTCTGGCAAAAGCGCGATTCAAGCCATCCAGGAGGCTAACAACATTCCTATACGGGCCATTATCACTATGGATCACATCATTGAATATATGGAAGAGAAGGGCACATATGGTGATCAATTGAAGATGATGAAGGAATACAAGGCTCAATATGGCATCAACAAATAAATATATGTCTTGTTGGAGCTGTTGGAGTTTATGCATTGATTGCCACCAAAAGAAAAGGAAAAAGCCGTCAAACTGTCAACAGCCCTAATAATCTCTTTTTTTACATAGTAGACATTGTACACACATACAAATATATAAATATACATATCTTAAATATACCAAATAGTCTTTCGGTGCTTTCTATTGAGTAAATATATCATTAATGATGAAAGGCCAGCTTAATAAGTCTAAGCTAGTATCTAGATATAAATTGGCTGCAAAATTGTATATGTTTTGACTTTTTGCTACTGAAAAATAGTGATTTGAACGAGATTATCAATTTACCTTTTATGGATGTAAAAAGCAAGCGAATTTAAGATTCAGAAAGATCAGAGATTTAAGGACTACCAGAACATTCAAGTTTATCCAGATGTTAACAATTTTTCTTACAATATACTGGTGTACGTGAATTAATAGCATAAATATTATATGGTACATGTACATATATATTTCATCAATTTTCCGGGCTTAGAGAAAGGAAGCTGGGCCAAAGGATTGATCCAATTCGAAAAACTGATATGGTCTTTTATATTTTATATGTTAAATTCTCCATTATAAAAACTTCTATTCAAATTAAAGGAGAGAATAACAGTACTTGGTCAACCCCATCCAAAGCGCGTCTCTAACTTGCTTTCTCTCTTTCACTCTTTTTATTTCTTTATTTATGTATATAAAGTACTTATACCTATATCTGGTACCTTTTGTAAAGCCCAAAGATATCTGTCTTAAGACAAGTTGGAATTGCCAAAGTAAAACTAAAACTGCTCTTTTGAACTTGGCATCGATGTATGAGTATTATTTTGAGCAGAAAAGCATATTATGTACTAGTAAATATCTGATTATAAAAGTATTAACTGAGTATGGCTACATATCATGTAATCGAATAATTGTGTGTACTCTTTAGACTTCATAGCAGCATCCTACATAGAATTCCGTATAGTATAAAATCTTTCAAATAAGAAAGTTTGTGGGTATTACAAGAAGACTGATATAAGTTAGATATTAAACTACCGAAATGACAGCCTGCTTTTTTATTATACTAATCTTTCATCAATTTACAAAGATTAAATAAACAGCTATATCGATAAAACTTACATTATTATCTTCAAAGCACTCTTAAGCATGGTAGATATTAAAAGATTTACAGACAGTTAAACTATAGACCCTCCGAAAATGTCTAAAGCATTAAAGTCATGATGTCTTATTAGTATATTTAGACAAGATGCTTAAAATTTAGACATACTTCAAAATAAAGACATCTTGCTTAGTCTGTGTTGGAATTGAGTCTTTCATTAAATGTTGTCGGAGTGTATGCAAATCACTTGCTCCAAGAAAATTTTTCCCTTTCGAGATCTTATTTCATTGAGCATCGATCCAGTCCTAAACTCATGGGAAAAGCACGACAAAGACAAAAGCGAGCAGCACAAGAAGCATTACTAGAGGCAGCCAAAGCAAGAGCTGCAGCAGAAACAAATGCTGCAAATAATGGAGAGAACACCGGAGATTCTGAAAAGAGGTAAAGCTAATGAGAACAATGTCTCAATTAGACTTTCTTGACATGACTACATGCTGTCAATTGTTGTGCAGCTTGCTTTTTTCTTTGATAAAAAAAAGTAATTGAATTAAAGAAAAAGCCAATTTTATTTATACATAGTGTTCCAGCCCCTCCAGTAAAAGCACCGCCAGTAAGTAACTAGAAAGAGTCTGAAAGAAGTAATTGAATATTTTGATATTAAACAAAATATTATATTAGCCAGCACCTCGTTTATCCAAAAAGAAGCAAAAGAAGTTGAACAACTATATTGTAAGTCGATTGATCCAGCAGACTATCAATGGCCCGTACTTCTAACGCCCCGTATTTCGGGATTAGGATCAAAAATTGAAAAAAGAAGCTCGTGAAGGGTTGATGTCTAAACTTGCGTAAGTATTGTTTGGAAGAAGTAGAGACTTAAGTGAATTACTTACATTTTTTTAAAAAAAAAACAGTGTTTCATCATGGTCTTCAGACCTTCTCAAGTCATCTAAACTTATCGGACGATCCGCACAAACTCTGAGAGAAAAATTGCGGCAGTCAATGTTGGAACAAAAGGCTGGCATGGATGTTACCAATACCGATATTAGACTTGTGGTAGAAAAGGAAATCGATGATGAAGAAATGGAAGCTTTTTCAGCTGCATCGCTTGCACAGATGGAAATCCAGGCTAAAGCTGACGCAGAGGCAGCTGCTGCTGCGGAAAACTCCAACTTTGGAAGTGCGCTGAAGAAGACTGAAGATGGACCTGCAGTATCGTTGGTGAAGAGAAAGAGAAAGAAGAAGAAGGTAAATAACAGGAATTAGAGAGGCTGTAGACACAAAGCTAAAAGAAGGTTGCTCTGCTTCCTTAATTTAGTCTACTATCCCTGAATCAGCCAAGAAACGTTATAAGCAGAGAAAGGGAATCGAATCGGATGATTCATTTGATAGTTCGGATTCTGCTAATGATAGTGACAGCGATGAAGAGGAAGACAAACCCAAGACATCAATGGTTGAGGATATTACGTATTCGGATGTAACTGCTTTGGAAGAAGTTGTAGAAGCTGCAAAGAATGTCCCTGTTCCTGCACAAAGAGAGGAAGAGGTGGATGAGATTAAGCTGCAGCTTTTGAGAAGCAACAGAGAGGGTGATTTGAGTTCGGATGTTGCAAAGGTAAAAACTTCGAAAATAAAAAAACGTAACTATCACAAGTGGGCTGTTCACTGATATTTCTCTTTATTCTTCCTCCACCATTAGCCATTCTATGTTCCTGTAAACAGAACAAAGGAAGTACAGGAAGCTCGCATGAAGCTACCAGTGTGTGGTGAAGAACAGGTAAAATTAAATATGAGACATAGCATAACTATACCTCCTTCATTTTATTAATCGATGGTATAAATACTGATAGGTTATTATGGAAGCCATTCGTAACAACACTGTCGTAGTCATTTGTGGTGAGACTGGTTCAGGAAAAACCACGCAGGTTCCCCAGTTCTTGTACGAGGCTGGTTGGTCTCATCCTGATAGCGGTGAGTTTGTTATTTATTATTTGGATAATCAGAATAAAGGAAATAGCTGGTGCTTATTTATTGCTCTTATCCGCTGTAGACAACCCTGGTCTCATTGCTATTACACAGCCTCGTCGTGTGGCTGCAGTTAGTATGGCAAAGCGTGTCGGTTATGAACTAAACCTTCCAGAAAGTGTTGTTTCTCATCAGGTAATGAATTTATTTATCTTTTATTAATATTTCAAAAAAAAAAAGAACACACAAAAAATCAGAACTCTAACAATTTAACGGGACTTTCTATAGATCCGTTATGATGTAACAACTTCTGAAAAAACACGTATTAAATTCATGACAGATGGTGTACTCTTGCGTGAGCTATCTCAAGACCTTTTGCTGACAAAGTACTCTGTTATCATCATCGATGAAGCGCACGAACGTAACTTGAATACAGATATTCTTATTGGTGTTGTGAGCAGAGTCTTGAAATTAAGAGCAGAACTTAGTCGCGAAGATCGTGCCAAGATCAAGGTAGACATACATAAAATATATATATATATAATTTCTGGAATAATATACTAAACGTACTTGGATATTTAGCCTCTTCGTGTAGTCATCATGTCTGCTACTCTCCGTGTTTCCGATTTCACAGAAAACTCAACACTGTTCACTAAACCACCACCTGTTATCAGTGTGAATGCAAGACAATATCCAGTGAGTATATTGTATTGGAAATAGTATAAGCACATTATTACTGTTATTAATCAAAGAAAATCTAACCAAATAAATTATTTTATAACAGGTGTCTATCCACTTTAACAAACGTACGCCTGAAGATCATGTTGCCGAAGCATTTAAGAAGGTGTCAAAGATTCACGATCGCTTACCGGAAGGTGGTATTCTTATCTTCTTGACGGGTCAAAATGAAATTCAACATCTCTGTAAACTACTCCGCGAGAAATACCCTTCGCTTCCTCCAAAGGCGGCTCTTGAGGAGCGCAAACGCATCAGACAAGCAGCAGAGCTTGAATTAAAACGAGATGCTGCTATTCCAGGAGAAGGTAAGGAAAAAAAAACATATAAGAGGGTATCATACATTGATAATAAAGATGATTAATCCACATATAAAATTATTTCTCAAAGCTGCTATGGAGAGCGAAGAGATCGCCTTGGGTGAAAATCAAGTTGAAGATTTTGATTTAGAATCCGATTCCGATGACAGTGATAGCGATCTTGGTTTTGACGAAGAAGAACTTGTATCGACTAAGGATGGTAAGTGGGAGTATATATATAAATGCGAATATGGAAAGTTTACTTACACTATTTCGTATGCAGCTCCTCTTCACGTATTGCCTCTATATTCTTCCTTGCCTACGGAAGCACAGCTTCGTGTATTTCAACCTCCTCCAGAGGGAACACGACTTTGTGTGATTGCCACAAACGTGGCAGAAACATCTGTTACAATCCCTGGTATTCGTTATGTAGTTGATTGTGGAAAAGCAAAGGAGGTAAATATTATACTTGGAGAATAGTCGAATATGTGTAGGAGGCAAGCGGCTAACTAAAGTGTTATTTGTAGCGACGGTATGATATCAAAACTGGTGTCCAGTCCTTCGAAGTTGATTGGACTTCCAAGGCATCCGCGGGTCAGGTATATTCATAATAGATAATCAATATTAAAAAAGATAGCAGCTTATCTGACAGGTGTGACTTTTAGCGTGCTGGTCGTGCAGGAAGAACAGGACCTGGTCACTGTTACAGACTTTATTCTTCAGCTGTATTTGATCATGATTTTGAGCAGTTCTCAACTCCAGAAATCAGCCGCATGCCTATTGAAGGTATGTAGCTTACTCAACACGGCAAATAACACTGTATATAAATATTAATATTGCTTGTGCTTTTTATTATATACCAGGTGTTGTACTCAACATGAAGTCTATGGGCATCGACAACGTTGTCAACTTCCCCTTCCCCACCCCACCAGAAAGACAAACTCTTTCCAAAGCGGAGAAGGTACAAACTGGAAACACAAAATATTAAAGAGGAAATGGTATTAATTTTATCTGTGCGTATATCAGCTACTTGGGTATCTTGGAGCTATCGATACAGATGTCAAGCATATCACACCTGTCGGTCAAGCAATGGCTAATCTTCCTGTCACTCCTCGGTTTGCTAAAATGTAAGCTAATTGACTAATATAAAAACAAATCTAACGAATCGTATCATAGGCTGGTCATCGGAAATCAGCAAGACTGCTTACCATTCGTTATTGCCATTGTTGCTGCTTTGTCAGTCGGAGATCCTTTTATCCAAGAATACCACTTAGAAGAAAATGAAGATGATAGCGATGATGATAGCTTGGACCACAAAGAATTAAAGGGTCTTAACCGTGAGACTGAAATCGCAAAAGCCAGACGAAGATTGATGAGAAAGAAGTATTTTGAGTCACAAATCAAGCATGCCGGGTTGGACCGATCTAGCGATATTCTCAAGCTGCTGAATGTTGTGGGTGCTTATGAGTATGCAGGTGCCACAGCTGAGTTCTGTGAAGAGAACTTCTTGCGTTCAAAGGCCATGGAAGAAATTCGAAAGCTCCGATGGCAGCTTACTAACCTTATGGCTGCTTTATTTGAGAATGTGGATGTCTGGGTTGATCCTAAGATGCTGCCTCCTACAAAGCGCCAAATCAAATTTCTTAAACAAGTCATCACTGCTGGCTTCATCGATTCCGTGGCTATTCGTAAAGACGTGATTGAAAACGGTGGTCAGGGCGGTACTCGCTTCAAGAACGCAAGAGGCGTAGCCTACAAGTTGATGTGGAGTGAAGAGGAAGCATTCATTCACCCTGGATCTATTTTGTACAGCCAGGAGCCTCCTATTGCTTTGGTGTACAACGAACTATTCAAGGGAGCAACAAAGACCTGCTTCAAGGGAGTTACTGCCATTGATACAAAATGGCTGCCAGAAATCGGTAAAGAGTTTTGTTCGTTTGGACGACCACTTGATCACCCTATTCCAAAGTAAGCCAACAATTATAGCTTTTTTTGAGAGTACAAAATCTGACTTATAGCCATATATTTTCAGGTACAGCGAACAGACAAAAGATAAGAAAACGGTATATGTTGTTCCTAGCTTTGGACCAAAGGGTTGGCCATTACCACCTATCCAGGTTGAGATGCATAGAAAGGGCACTAGATGGGTTATTAGTGCATAGAAGAAGAAGAAGAAAACTAAAACATATAATACAAAATCATCAAGCTTTTTTTTTTTAAAAAAAAATCATTTACATGTCACATTTCATAAAAAATATATATATCTATATTTTATAATCACAATGCTTAGGTTAGCCTTAACTATAAAAATTCCTAAAAAGGAAAGTAGTACTTTGTATAAATCACCCATTTAATTCGCCCGATCTTCTTATCGTCTCTCTCCTATTCCTCTGCTCTTACTAACTCTTATCTCAAAATAAATGACAGTTCTTCCCCAAAACTACCTTAGAACACTTGATTCTATCCGTGATCGATGTGGTCAGGTCTATGAGAAGGGTCAGAAAGACCAACTTGATTTTTTTGATGTGGATGATTCAAAACTACCCCAGATTGTGGACCATGTTGCCAGTCTTACTCAGAGACGTTTCCCTGATTTGTCAAAGATCCCCCCTCACTCACGTCTGCGTCACTTTGGTATTAATGATGGTTTGGACCGTCTGCAGAACATCCGCGAGACCCGCTGGAAGAAGCTCGACAAGATTGAGAGTGCTAGACGTTTAATTGATTTGGTTATTGCGTCCGTATTGGTGGATGCTGGTGCAGGTCAAACATGGAAATACAAGGCAAAGGATGGAGAGTTAATTGGTCGGTCCGAGGGATTGGCCGTCGCGTCCTTTGATATGTTTGAAGAAGGCTACTTCTCGAGCTCCAAGGAAGTTCCTGATCGTGTTGATGGTAAGAGCATAACCCATAAAGAAAAACACCAGGCGTGAGAAAATCAAGAAAAAAACAACAAATATAGGGTCAGAAATTTTAGTCAGAATATAGCTAAACTCAATGTCATTATAGTCGAAGGCCTTGCGCAGCTCTCAATTGAACGCATGACTCAGGGGTTCCAAGTAACTTCCGCAAATACAATGGTTGGTCTCGAAGGTCGCTCAAACCTTTTGAAGGGTTTGTCAAAAGTATTGGAACAGCAAAAGAAGTTCTTTCCCACTGTTGACGGACAGCCTCGCCGCCCTGGAAACCTTGTAGGCAAGTTTTTTTCTTCTTCTTGGGTCTATGATGTGAATTATATAATTAACTTAACTTGGCTTTCAGACTACCTCTTAGCCAATGTTGAGGAAGACGACAATGGTAAGAAATCGGTGTCAATCGAAAAGCTCTGGGAAGTGATCATGAGCCTTGCCGATGTGTGGCCAGCGCGTGTTACCATTGAAGGTGTAAAATTGGGTGATGTGTGGCCATGCAGCTGTCTGGAAGACAAGGGAAACTACGAAAACCTTGTTCCCTTCCACAAGCTCTCTCAGTGGCTTACATATTCTTTGGTGGAAGCAATTGAATCTTCGATTGACCTTACTATCAAGGGAACCGAGAAGATGACAGGCTTACCTGAATATCGTAACGGTGGTCTTTTGGTGGACTATGGGTTACTCAAACTTAAGCCAGCTCAGGTCAAGCGTGGTACATCCGAAGGCCAGGAGCTTCCTACTTTTGAAGGCAGTGATTCATTAATCGTTGAATGGCGTGCCTTGACCGTAATCTATCTTGACAAGATTCACAAAGCAGTCGAGAAGAAACTCGGACAAGACCTTGTTTTAGCTCAGGTATTAGAGGGAGGAACCTGGACCGCAGGTCGTGAGATTGCTGCTACCCTGAGACCAGATACAGCTGGACCACCCATTGTCATGGAGGTAAATAATATTTATGATTTAAATTGCAAAGATTCTCTTTCTCTAATACATTCAATCAATAGAGCGATGGAACCCTATTTTAAATATAATAATATATACATTTACACACACACGCACTGCAGTACAAAGGCAACAACAATAAATCTCTGTTTCATAAAAGTCATTATACATGAAAAATGAACTTCTTTTTCTTCTTTTTTTTTTCTTGGGGAATAAACAAATGCTGAACTATAATATGGACTCTAGAAGAACGAATATTTAGCGTCTTCGCTTTGAAATATTGGTAGTCTCTATCTCCATCTCTTCGACAGATTCAATTCCACGCTTGGTACTATCTCGGCCAAAGTTCTCAATGTCATCCTCTACCTCCTGCATGACATCATCAGGCACTCTTGGAGTGGCCATGTCTGCCCTAGGTGTAGCCATTTCTGCTCTCTTGGATGGATCTAAAAAAAAAGCGCAGTTTAATTAACTTTATATTCCCAAGCTATATTTGAGACACAAACATACCATAACGCAATCCACTCTTTTTGAGGATATCATCTATTGTCTTAATATAGCCGTGGTATGCATCCCACGCCTTGTCTCCAGTTTCAACAGTCAATCCACGGTTTACCAACTCATCTTCAAGGTTCTGATGACTACAAAAAAAGCATTGTGTGTTTAATAAAATGTCTATATTGCAGCCAAACAACTCACATCTTGGCTACATCGTGTGCTCGTGTTAATTGCTTTCCGAATACACTAAGGACCTTGAAGAACTTGAGGAAGAGTGCCTTGGCGGCATCATTTCCCTTTTCTTTGTATTCAGCTGCCTTGGACAAGGCGTAACGAATACCATCAAGATGAATATGAGTGCAAATGACCTGAGAGACACGTCTAACGACATTTTGTTGATCAACACGCTTAATAGAGTGACTAAGCAAGCGTGCTAATTTTACTGTATTGTCCATTGATCGCTGCGATTGATCAACGTCAAGTTCAAATGACTATTATTGTTTTTTTTTTCAAGTTAATTAGATTACAACAAAAATATTGACGTGAATATGCTTTTTTTACCTCTTTAAGAGACTCAAGATAGGCTTTGCATATGTTGCTGGCAATTCCCTGGTTCAAAACCAACCCCTTGTTCAGTTCTTCTACCAATGCTTTAATAACATCGTCCACTTCTGACTCAAGATGGCCGTACTGGCTCAACAAGACTGTAGCGTGTTCAACATCAAATATATCAAGCATCAAACCACGAGCAAAGCTTGTCATTAACTTGACAAAATCTTGTTTGGATTCTATAAGTAGAAATAAGAACCTTGCATCATATATAAAGTACAACGTAACTTACCATTACTTGTAGTTACACTCTCACTGTCACTAGCAGTATCCTCAAGAAGCTTTCTGCGTGCTTCAATATCCTTTGTGATGTATTCAACACATTGAGACTGAAGCTGTTCAGGGCATGGCAAATACAAGTGGGCCAAAAATGCACTGGATGAGTGGCTGGCAAACATGTCACTAGAGAACAGCCAATAGAGATCTACAAGAATACCAAAGCTCTACATATAACATGAGTAATTATATATTCTTCCTTATAAAAAGTAAACACATACAGCGTGTCTGATTTCGGTCAGGGGATTCACATCAGTGATGGTTACGATATCCACAAATTTGTCAACAATCCAGTCTCGTCTCTTATTCAACTTTGCAGCTGCTTGTTGACCAACGCTGGTCATTTCGGGATCAGATACAATTGTGTTGCATTTCCATGCTGCGTAACGGAACAATACTGACATGGCTGAGAGGTGCATCTATAAAAAGTGATTAATGAAAGAAAGAAAAAGCCTGGATATGTAATTCTGGTAATAACAAACCTGCTTCTCCTTTTCATACCCATACACAGATCTTTCAACGACACCACCAACTAGAGTAGTGACATCTGTGCTGATATCTTCTGTTTCATCCATGGCATCAGTTGTGTCGATAAAGTTTGAAAGATAGTCAAGACGGAGCATGCTAACAGATATGGAATGTACATCGTCTACAGTAAAGCGGGCAGTAGCTAGATCCTAAACATATACAAGCACATATGCATGCAGACGTTTAGTATTTAAGCGTTTCTCTTTTCTTTTGGAAATTACACTTAATAAACTGGTGACCAACCTTTCCTCTGCATGAATCTCTCACTTGGCCAACAACACGCTCTTGTAATTCAATCAATTGACTGCGATTGACATCCTCAAGATAAGTGGCATCTGCAATGTGTTTCAAAGACTCGGCACAGTTTCTGAGTAGCTTTGGTAAAGTGGCACGAAGGAAAACCTTCATAAGACTTTCCAAAAGATCCTCATATTCCTTATTGAAGTAGAGTGATTGAGTATACCAGATTTTTTACGATTATAATTTACGCAAAAAATAATTGTACCTTTGACATACGAAGTTCCAAGTATACACTCAAATTCATCAACTGAGGAATAGAGACAAGCTGGATCATTCTGGATGCATTGTCACTGTGCTTGATCAAAAGACTAGGAAGGAATTGTACAAGATGACGAGACACATCGTTTCGAATCTCTTCGATTTGTTGATCATCCTGAGTATGATAAATGTAATAATGAATTAAAAGGCTTGAAAAATATACATCACTAGTATATATTTTTCTGCATTTAGTTACCTTTTTCTTCTCTTTTCCTGAACTCTTTTCAAATCCTCTTTGAATACCAATCTTAAGACATGAGACAAAGGCAGTGATAAGAATGGTTTCTTCATCCTCAGTGAGTCTATAACATTCATCAATTTCAGTAGCAGTGGAAAGAGAATTGCGTCTGCTATTTTGTTGAACTCTGGAATGATCACGACTGAGATAGTCCGACATTGCTTTAAAATCCTACAAAAAGTGTAAGCAGACCCTATCCTAGTATGATATTGAATCTTGAATAGTTACATGTAGATCCTTCATTTGCCCCCAGAGGGCTTCTATTGTGTTCGACACAATGTGTTGTGTATCTCTGGAGACAGTTTCATCAATATCTATACTATCTTGACCATTGTTTTGGAGAGAGCTTCTGGCAGATTCGGTACGTTCTACCAAGAAAGAAGCGATGCACTTGAAGGTAACCCATGCTGTGTTGGCTGAAGCAGCTACTGTAGCAGTTGATCTATTGGGGCGTCCTCTGCGACTATCATTATCATGCTGAGGAGCATCAACTACCATTCCTGAGAGCGAATCGTTTACTTCGATCAATTTTGGTTTCACGAGCTCTTTCTCAATCAAAGTCTTAACAAATGGTGCAACTGATTTGCGCACACGGGGGATATCGGAAACAATAAGATCAGAAAGTTTTCTCTGTTCATTTGTACCGAGCATTTCATATTTTCGAGTGTGTAGTTCGCTGCACAATCCAATGGCATGGACTCTGACAGAAACATCAATATCATATAATGCAATCTCTTCAACACGAGCTTTGAAGCGACCAATAAACTCGTGAAGATTAGCAGCATTTCCTTCAATTTTGCAAAGTCGTGTGACAGACTTAAGTGCCTCTGATCGAACAAGGGTGTTCTGTAGAGATTTGGGATCAGACTAATTCCTGCTTTTTTTTATATCTTTTTTACCTGATCGTTGAAAGCCCAGCCAAAGTGTCTCAGATGTCTGTTGTCAATAAAATACGAGGGATAGAGTTGCATCCAAACACATAACTCCTTAATAGCCTCGTTTCTGATAATTGATTCTACGTCGCGGGAACGATGTACGAATACACTGGGAATATCGTATAAGACTTGGTGTAATGGGATAAATCGTCAAATACCCACCTCTCAAAAAAGTCATTCAGGTATTCTTCAAGGTCTTTACGTCTCGTTTCTAACTTTTCGGATCTCTGCTGAAGTTGCTTAATTTTTGCAGAGGGTCGTGCACGGTTTGTTGGTTTGGCGGATTCTGTTCTCAATTGTCTTGTAACAATTGATAATTCGTCTTTTAATTTTTCGGAAATAGTCGCAAGTGCACTCGTTATTTTGAAAGCGATTAATGTTGCTGTGTGACGGAATGGACGATAAACAGAGCTTTGTAAATGTGTTTATGTATAAAAGAAGTTAATTTGATAGACTTATATTGATTACTTTGACAATGGCCTGGTCAGTTTCAACTATGTACCTTGACATTGTAGTCAGCCAGCTCTGTAATGTCTCTATAAGGGTACCATCGAAAATAATTTCGTGCTGACATTGTTCGACGAGACTTTGGAAGAATTCCAACAAGTTGTTTTTCAATAGCTTAGAATCTTTGCTTTTTGAAATAATAGGATATTCGTGGTGGGGTAACTAGAAAAAATATAGATAAGAAAAAAAAGAGTAAGCTAATGTAGAAATATCACTTTCTTACCTTAACCAACTCTTCCTGAAGTTCTTTCATTGCATTTACTGCGATGTCTTCTCCTTTGAAAGCATGGGCAGTCACTGCCATCATGCATCCACAGCTCCGGATAATGAAATTGATTAGCTCACGTAAAGATTCGACTTTGTGTGAAGCATATTCATTGACCCAAACAGCCACCAATCCATCAATATCTGCAGTCTTGCTGGTGACCATGTCGTACAAGCTAGTATTATTATCTTCTTCTGCAACCTGTTCCAAGAGTTGACTGGAGTTGGATAATCTAACTTTGGTCAATTTTCCTTTTTTCTGTGATGCCTTGCTTCCAACTTTCTTGGATCCCTTTTTCTGTTGTTTGTGGGTAGAAGGTTCATCATCACTGCTGGTTTCGTTGTCTGAATCATCGCTACTAGTGTTGCTATCTGATTCATTCTCATTATCTGAATCATCTTGTTCTCCTCTCGATGCTGCAGAAAGAAAGAAATGTCAATGATTTTGACTACATTCTTTATTGAAATTCGATAAAATTTAGACGCACCTGCAATGGCGAATTGCTTTTGGCTCATAAATAATTCGGGTACAGTCTTTGGACGATCCGAACGCCTTGTACTATCATTAATGGAAGCTTTCTAAGAAAGAAATCATTCTAGATTTAGACAAAAACTTTATTGAATGTACAAGGTATTTCACATACTTGCTTCGAAGTGTTTGATTTACTTCTTGCCATTTTAATGTCCTTAAAAGGAGAGAAATGATAATGTGATGAAATGTTAAGGAACAGAAAAAAAAATTATATGGGACGCGTATCGCGAAAGGGCTGACAATGGACTTCTGACGCGTGCAAGGCTAAGCGCGGGAACAGCTAAATGCACCACGAAATCCATTAAAGCGACATTTTTTTATGTTTTAAAATATATATACATGTATAGTTTATTCCCTTTATTTTGAGTACTTAAATAAGTAGTGGCTATTGCTTTTAAAAGGGAAGTCTTCTTTGTAAGAATTCAAATTAAAAGGATAGTCTAATGGATGCTAATATTTTACAACGATTAAGAAAAAGAAAAAGACAGAAATATGAAATGTAAAGAAAGGATAAAAGAAAAAGCTAATGAATGTTACCAATAAGACTACATATTTGTAATTTATCTAATCTCTATATTTGTTGAGGAAGTCCTTGTGGAAGTCTTCAATCTTGCTGCAGAAACCATCAAAGAGGTTTTCCTCAGGGAGGAAGGTGGATCTAAAGTGCCATGTACCGGCTTCCTGTCCGAAACCACTGCCGGGAACAACACACACACCAGTAGCATCTAACATGGCCATTGAGTAGAATGCATCAGGAGCCATCTTGGCTTCCTTGGCGGCCTCGACAGCCTTTTGAGGGATGGTGATGCGAGGGAAAAGGTACATAGCACCTTCAGCAGCATTGCAGGTAATACCCTCAAGGGAATTGAAGCAGCTAGCCAACTTGATGGCTCTGCGCTGAAGAGATTGGAATATACCGTCGATCTCACTCTTGTACTTGGCATAAGAGGCATCACCTTCAACAGGAGGGTTGGTCATCAAATCAACCATGATCTGACCGGAAACATTGGGGCACAAGGAGATGGAAGAGATTTTGTAGAGCTGTTCCAAGACACCTTCGTCAATGTTGACACACTCAAAGTAGCCACCACGGCGACCACATTCACCAATCATACCCTTGGAAGTAGAGTGGAAAGAAACGAGTTCTTGATCCTTGTACTTCTCGCCCATAGACAAGAGCACCTTTTTGAAACTGTGGAAGGGACGCTCCTTGGGCATGTAAATATTGGTCTGGTAAACCTCGTCGGCCAATAAAAGCAAACGCTCCTTGTGACAAAAGTCGATGATTTCGCGAATATTTTGCTCAGACAAACACTGTCCGGTAGGGTTTCCAGGGTTAATGATTACGAGAGCGCGAACATCTTTACCAGCCTTGCGTCCTTCCTCAATTGACTTTTTCAAGTCTTCGGTACTCAAACCCCAGTTCTCTTCTTCGTTCAGATAGTAAGGGATAGGTGCGGCATCAACGAGGGAGATGGTGGCGGAGTAAAGAGGGTACTGAGGAATGGGAATCATGATGCCAACTGAGGTGTTCTGAGTCAGAATCTGGATCATGGTCTGTACACCCGAAGAAGCGCCCTGAGTCAAGAAGATGTGCTCAGGATTGGCAGAGTAGCCATCGCGACTCTCAATAAACTTGGCAACATTTTCGCGGATAAATGGAATACCCTTAGAGTGAGAGTAGGCGCCAATACTACCAATGTTTTTCAATAGAACCTCTGCACGAGCAATTGCGTCGGCAGGATACAACTTGGACAAGAGTTCGCGGTTCTCGGGTGCCAATAGCTCAGGGTTCTCGCATAGAGAAGAGACCTAAAAAAAAGAGAAAGAAATAAAAAGAAAATTGTTTTAGAATTTTCTGAACTTTGCCTTCTATCTCTCTCATATTCTACACTTGTAAGCTTACCTGACGGAAAAATGTAATGGGCTTCTGGTTCAATTGTTGAGGATTGCCAATGTTGCAAAAGACAACCTTATCAAAGTTCAGCTTTTTACCAGCCTTGAGCTCCTATTAAAGAAACGTTTGAATCCCGAGCCACAAAAAAAAAGTGCCGTTAACCGTGATCCTTACTGCACTCAATGCCTCAGCACGAATAGGAAGAGCACCTCTGACAGCATACTCAACGTTCTTAATAAGAGGGTGCATTGTCTCGGTGGTGAGGACCTTTGCTGGGGAATTTTAAGACATTTTGAGTTTTGGCGATTATAGATTATTCTCATTCCAAAGATCGGCTTGTTTTCTCGTCATTGTTGTTGTTGCTTTGCCTACCTGAAGAGTATCTGACTGCTACACATGAAATGAGTTGGCGTGTCTTTTGTTGGACATTCGCTTGGGCAATTCTGTGCAAGGTTCGCAACATACTATTAGAATATAGAGCGAAAGAGGGGAAGAGAGTGAAAGAGAAAGAGAGGGTTTGGGTAAAGTCAAAATTTAATTTTACATGTCTGACTTACTCGGACACGTAAAAAAAAAAGTGAAAAAAAAACACAAGTCAACTAGATCCTGGGAAAATCTGGGGAAAGATTAACGTATTTTCACTCATCATTAATCACAAAATGTATATAAATTTTTGACATATTTATCAAATACAATCTTTGTCTATGTGAACCAATCATATTCGAGAAAATTCTGTTGTCGAAATATCCCGATCTCTACAGTGTTTCTACTTGAAATTGAGATGCCATTATAGGTCAAAAATGAAGTTACGCATTGAAAAAATATCCATTTTTCCCCGTAGTGTGATCGTGGAATTTCAGGTACGTCAAAAACGAAAAGAAGTGTTTTTTGTTCCTAAAAATCTGTTTTCTAATATTGCCTGTCTTTATTATTTTTTTATTAGCCTTCAGTCTATTCTTACTTTTCCTTTTTCTTAATTCAAAGGTTTCAAAAGGAAGTGTATTTTGCATGCAACATATAATAAAAAACCAATACATTATGAATGAAATGGTATCAGGCTTTAAAATCAATCTCACTCATTCTAACTTTTCTTTTCCTTTTTCTCATAAACTATTGGACATTTTTGGAATGTATTTAATATACTGTATACATATTTGTGCCATGTTACCATCCAAATAATCCCTATCTACACTTTTTTTTATAAAAAAGAAAGTTAATTTTCTGAATAATAAGCTATTCTTCATTGTTAACAGTGTTTGCTTGGCTTACAGATACTTGCTCATATATTTATATGGATATGTACACACACACACACACACAATTGGTTTTATTCTTATTCTTATCAAAAATTATGAGTTTATATTAGTATAGTATCAAACTATTACACGGTAGTTATAATAAGCTTTCGAATTGTAAATTATATATTATTACTAGTCAATAACATAATCAATTACAGCTTGTTTCCAAGCAACTATTAACGGAATCTTTTTGATAAAAGCAACCAACTTTCTTGGAGTGTTTGGGACTTCTATAGTAGCATCTACTACTCTGTACATATTATCTTCATATTTTACAAGTTTTTCAAAGAAGATTGTGTGCCCTAATGAAGATAAGTTTAGTATAAGATATATTAAAGCTAATTATGGTATAGTATTACCGTAAAATCGAATGCAGAACAGTGATTCAGTTTTCGTTTCCGTCATGATTTTCGCCATATTGAAGTATAATTTTTTAATATCATTCGAATTTTTGTGGAGAGACGTATGATCATTAATTCCCCCAGAGAATTCAACGAGTGCAGGGCAGATCGTCTTGTTTCCAACTTTGAATAAAATCCCGTCAAATTTAGTTCTATCGGTCAAATAAAACTCTCTTTCCAGCCATCCGAGTTCGATGACATCGTTATTCGAGAGGAACAGCTGGTTTACTATATATATAATTAGGTAGCTTGCAGCTGTCCTCTCAAGCATAACATTATTGAACGGGTTTTGAGGTGAGCTCATGATATCCAAGCTATAAATGCGTGGATTATTAACATGTAAATATAAGCAAGATGACAATTAAAAGGTTCATTCTTATACTACTTACAAATAACGCGTTGTCACTTCTATAAACCCAAAGTCGCTGTGAGCTATTAGGTCAAAGTCTTCGTGAAATACGGTCTGGTGTAAGGTCTTTCGTAAGGCTTGAACGGACCATGTAGTTTCACAAAGCTCTGTAATTAAATTTTTGGCATAAAGAGACAATTGGACTGCTTTGGTTTTAGTTGCTTCGATTATGACATCCAGACGCTCTTTAGAAGTCTCTGCTTCTAGTATATCCAAGGTTGTTAGTGAAGACAAGTCAATTATATTCAATTTGCCAACTCTATACAGTTTACAGTATTAGTCCTGTAATGAATGATTATGTTAATTGCTGACAAGCATTTACTCATCGGATGCAAGGTTGGCAGTTTGTGATAAAACTGTATTTATATCACAGGTTTTATCACTTTCGTCTGTGCTATCTTCTAAATCTTTTACTTTTCCCACAGTTTCTATGCTTTCAGGTGTTTCGTCAGCAATGTGAGCCTAAGTAATTAATAGAATCAACGCGTTATTGATTACTACTATTTTTTGTACTGCTGTTAATTAATGGATTACCTTTTTGGCAAGGCGTCGTATATTATTATTTGTAAGTTTATTTAATTGTACTATGGTCTCTTGGTTTTCTTTGCGCAGCGTTTTCTCTAAACTGTCACTGTCGTTTCTGACCTCCCAATACTGCTTATAGCTTCTTGAGAAGACTGTATCATGGTTATTTCGTGTCTAATAAAACCGATAAATCATCAGTATTTGTAAAAAATTATAAGCTATATATATACTAACGTCATACAGACTATTTGCCAATGTAGCAATCTTTGTTAATTTGTTGCTTTGGCCTGTTGATAGCTTTCTTAAGAGGTCGGAATAATGATAGTTTGTAGCACTCTGAGAGCCATCAAAAGCATCGGCAAATTTAAAATAGTCTATGCTTGGCTCAGTGACATTTAAAGTAGAGTTCAACCAGTTTTTGTATTTATAATCCTTCGAGATACCAGTTACTCTCATTTTTGCTTGCTTTTGCTTAGGCATGATTTTAATTTGAGAATATAGATGATGTTGAAAATATTGAAGCAGGTTATGAGAGGTGATAATACTGTTTAAGCGATTAGACCTGAATAAATTTGAGAATATTTGAGCTTAAGAGAGATTGGAAATCTTAGGGGACAGGGGTCTTTTGATTCTGGAGGCAAAGTGTTACACAAAAGAACATGAGTACACAACTCGCGAAGTGTATGTCTCCTTTTGGTAAAGTTCGGGAGATCACCGTTCATGAAACATATGTGTTTTCTGACGGTTCTGGCTATGTAGTCCTCGCCAATACCCCTACCGACGATGTGCCATCGGATTCTCTGATGTACCAAATTGCATACGGTAATACGCAAAAGATTCTTGGTAAGTGGCCTTCTGTGGCCTCCCACTGCACTTACTGTAAGGAAATGGGGCACAAAGTCGCAAAATGCACCAAACGCCCAGCCGAAACCCGAAGGTGTTTTGGATGCAACAATACTGGCCACCTGCAAGCCAATTGTCCGTACAATACTGATCCTTCCAAGACATCCAAAACGTTCAACAAGCACTCCCGCCACCCCAACCACAATTCGAAGCTTGATTGCCCCATCATCGCGGTTAAGCTTTTGATTCCCACTGAGCTCTCACTTATCTACGAAGGATCCGAGGCTTTTAAGCACAATCCTTGTCAACCTGCTTTGCGTGAGTTGGCTGAGCTGCCTCCCACAACGACCCCCTTTGCACTACGGACACCAACTGAGACGCCCACGTCCTCCGGCCCTCGTCCTCAAAGCTGTTCTGTTGACAATCCCACGCATGGCTGGGACGAAGAGATAGACGCCGAAATAATAACTAGCTTCATGGATAGAGATGAGGTTCGGGCTCTCAGACTCCAGACTGCCTCTCGCCACCCTCATCTTCGTTTTTCCCGGCCGACACGTCCAACAGGCCGCAATACATCTCTCTCCTCTTCGCTTCACTCGCCCACAAACCACAATTGCCCTCGTCGCAGAGACCAAAATTAACCAATAATTAAAATAGGCACTATGAACTGTAGAGGTCTACCCAAAGTCGAACACCCTGAATCACGCTCCTTTTTTATATGCCATTTACGCTCGGAGGGAATCGATATTTTAGCCCTGCAAGAGACCCATGCCTCATCATCTATGCTTCAATCTACCTTTGACCAACAACTTCGGTACTCTTCATCATTATGGTCTCCACACTGCGGTGTTGTATGCCTTTCCCCTCACATTATCTTCACTGACCCTCTATTTAGCCCATGTGGCAGGTGTATCACGACAACTATCACGCATGTGGATAATACTTTTTCTCCCTTTAGGATAGGCATCATCCATGCTCCAGCTTCTCAAACTCCACTTTATCGTTTTCTTACCTCTTTACTGTCCATTCCTGACCTCATCCCTCCCAATCCTTCAAGTTTTATTCTATTGGGCGATTTTAACCATGTAATTCGCTCACACTATGCTTTCGGAAGTCGTGCTCCAGCTGATTGGCTACAGTTTATAGATACCAATATGACTGACTGTATCACTCCTCCTGGCTAGCACTCGCAGCCTACGTCCCACCGCGCCCTGTCTTCCACCACCATTGACTACATCCTTGCGTCCTCAGACCTTCACCCTCGCACTACAGACCCACAAGTGAGTTATATTCATCAGAAATGGTCTGACCATTGCCTGGTTACCGTCAGTTTGTCCCTCCCTTCCACCAAGTCTTCTGGTAAGGGACTCTGGCGTGCTAACCCTCGCCTAACACAATCGCTTTCGTTCCGTACCGATCTCAACACTCTCCTCTCCACCCTCGTTCCTGCCCTTCGCGCTGATCTTTCTCCTCAAACCCAATGAGATTCGATTAAGCTCGAGGTCATTCGTTTCATTAAATGTTTCTCTCGCCACCTTCGGTCCTCTCTGAACGACCTGGAAGCACGCCTACAAAAACGACGAGACCGACTTATCCACCGTTTCCGCCACCAGCCTGCCCAGAACTTCCAACTCCCGATTGTGGAACGATTCTCGCAGCAAGTTCAACTTGAACGCGTCGAGATTATGGCTCTCAGGGCCGGGAAACACTGGCGGGAAAAGGGTGAGACTTCTGCAGGATACCTCAAACGCACTATCGCTATTCGCCAATCTCGCAAAGTCGTCGCTAGCGTCTACCACTCTGTTACAAACGACATTTGCACCACACCCGACACCATGACTGAGGCGGCGGCAGTCTTCTATGAAGCCTTGTACACTCCTGATACTATAGACAACTCTGCTGTGGATGATCTGCTTTCTCATTTGCCTTCAGATTTCCACTTGCCTGAACTTGCACATGACTATATGACTCGCCCATTCACTCTCGCCACAATTCGGTCAGGCGCTGCCCGTTCTCCCAGCTCTAGTAGCCTGGGCCCAGATGGTTTGCCGTATGAGATTCTCTGCCTCATTCTCGCCCATCCCGTGTGTCCCTCTCGGAATCGTTACTCCCTAACTGGAATACTTTCCTTCGTGCATATGATGTTACTGATTGGCATGATAGTACGCCACCTACCTCTATCCGATATCTTGGCTTTCCATTATTTTCCTCCAATTGCTTTTGACACTCTCTTCTTGCCCCGACTACAGGGTGGCCTTGGTGTCTTGGATCCTGGGATATAGCAATGTGCTCTCCAACTTCGCTGGCTGAAGCCCCTTATCCGTAATCCTCTATTGCCTCACGGTCTTTTTCCCCGATGGTTCTCCACTCTCCTTCGCTCCGACGTCCCTACCATTGATCCTCTTCTTCACCTACTCTTTCCGGACTGTCGTCCTCGCAACCATCGATCCCTTGATTCCCCGCTGCACCTGGTTCTGAAGGCTATGGATACTCTCCGCCGAAACTTTGACAGAGTGGTGCTCAACCTTTCCATTTGTCTCATCCTGCCTTTTTATTCTATGCTATCCAGTCTGCCCTCTCACCCTCCGTATCGACCTGCTTGGCGTGATTTGCGAATCCACTATCTATACAAAATCGAGTCCAATTTGGATATACTCACACCCATCGTTCCCTCTCGTCCTCTACACCGTTCTGTCACACTTTACCGCATCCTCAACAGACTTTGCGATCATACAATGGTCCTGCATCCCATTCTCTTTCGAGCATGCATTCCTTCTTTTGTACTGGAATTCCACCAGTCAGACCTTCCTATTCGCGACGGGTCGTCCATTGATCTTCAGGCACTTATGTCAGCTCAACTTCCCGGTCAGACCTGGTCCCGGCTCACAACCCGCTCTTACCGCTCTGCCTGTTCCCATCAACTTTCTGATGCTCGCCTCATCCACCCTCCTCTTGTCCCACGACAACTTCGCTCCTTGTGGTCTTTTTCCCTCCATCTCCGGGCTCGGAATGTCTGGTTTCGTGGATTGCACAATAAGCTCTCGCGCCGAGCACTTCTGTACCACATCATTCCCTCCACCGTCTCTTCTCTTCTCTTCTCTCCACTATTTTCCAGGGGTCCTCGAGACGCAAGAACATTTTCTTCTTGGTTGTCCGTTAAAATCCGCTGTGTGGACAGGCATTTGGTTGGAATTCTTTGACACCTTCCCTCCCCCCTCTGTCCTCTCGAGCGCTTTCCAATCCTTTGTCTTTTCCCCCATGCTTAACCCTGATATCCCTGCTTCCTCCATCTTTGACGTAACTATCATTGTTTTTTTGGGATCACAACTGGACTTTCCACTTTAACTCTGCCCCTTTCCTTCCCTTTGCGGTGCTCCAGATTGCACGCGTCAATTTCTCCCCTCTGCTATGAACTAGAGCTGGAATCTCCATACGCATCCTCCGTTTAAAACAAAAACAAAAACAAAAAACAACCGTAAAATCCAAAAGCCAAAAATATCATATAATTCACAAAACCTTTCAAACAAATATTTTGATTTTCTCTTTTCTTATTCAATCAGAGACCTTTAATAAAAGCCTGAGCTTTTCATTGGCTCCATAAAAAAAATTGTATTAGGTATTTATTTCAAAAATCATGGAATTTCGCATCCTGTCACATATGGGAATCGGGCATTATTTTGCAGTGTAGCGTAAGGAATATTATGTAAATGCGGGTAGATGTTACTGTCAGGGGAAAGGGCGGGTCAACTGTTTGTGCTTTTGAAGAAACGTACGTATGAAAAGTGTATAATAAGAATGGTAATAAAAATGTGTTAAAATGAAGTATAGAACGAGAAATTAAATAGCCGTAATAAAATATAAGCAAAGCGAGAAAAAAGAAAATTGGAATATAGATGGATAAAATAATGCAAGAGTTACCAGTATGTTCTGGAGATGTGGATGAAAGTAAGTTATAATGAAAAGATTACCGAGCCAAATCTACACAAGTATAATTAGTGTTGTAAGCAACATGCTTAATCGAGAGAAGTGAGCAGACAGGAAAGTTAATTATACTTCAATCTTGAAAAAAGAATACAATATAAATTAATAGCAAGCTTTATCAAATTCAATTAGTATTTTAATTATCTTACATAATACGACTAAAAATAAAATATGGGGATGGAAGACTCTCTGCATCCACATCCAATTGTTGAAAAGAAGGATGTAGGACGACATCAATCTTCAATTATGTTAAAGGATAGTGCAAAACCTAATCCACATAAAGGAAGATTGACTTGGCAGAGGGAACGAATTGGCTTCAAACTATTATCCGTGTTGAAGGTGTATAATTTTATAGCCTCTCCATTGTCTTCCAGCAGTAGTAGCTCTGCATCCACATCCAATTGTTGAAAAGAAGGATGTAGGACGACATCAATCTTCAATTATGTTAAAGGATAGTGCAAAACCTAATCCACATAAAGGAAGATTGACTTGGCAGAGGGAACGAATTGGCTTCAAACTATTATCCGTGTTGAAGGTATATAATTTTATAGCCTCTCCGGTAACCGCTGCTTCCCAAAAGATATTCAGACAGTTATACTATAATATTAAAAGGTCAGTATAGGAATCAGGTTTTACACATGTTGTCCGTTAACTTACCCAAAAAGAAACTGAATGAAGTGAATAAATCAGACGTGAGATTCCACATCATGATAGTAAAAACAATAATTATAATGACGGAACCAACTCAATGTTTTGTATTTGATATCATCACAAAATCATGTGAGAAATAAGTTGCGCCCTCAAACAATTGGTGTAGACAGACTAGAAGCTCAAAAAAGGGCAAAAAAAGAGCAAAATTAAAGCCATATCATTGGGCGAGAGCTTTAACTAATTTTGCCCTTTTTTTAATCGACTCTAATTAGCTAGTTTTCTTCCATTGCCACTAAGATTGAGAAGAGAAGCATTTTTTATGAAGAATATATCCCATATGATGAGAAGTCTAGAAAAACTAGCAATAAAGGGTTCTCACTTAATGAGATAGACGGGATTATATGCACAATTTTATCTAATATGTATTTTGAACTAATTTTGAACTTTTTTTGAACTTTTAGTCTGTCCACACCAATTGTCTTGTCCAAGTACCTAGCGCCCTTGCCAGCCTTTCTTCCTTGTCCTGTTCTGCCTATATTTTCTATCAAGCTACTCAATATTCATGAAACAGTAATGTAGGATAAGTACTTTCTGATACTTTTTCATGTAGCAAAAACAGAACCAAAAAACATATAAAAAATAATTCAGGTTTTCTTGCCTCTCTCTTTGCCTCTCTTTACCTCTCTTTACCTATTTTTACCTCTCTTTACTCGTTTCCATCTTTCTTTTACCCACATTTACCTGCAGTTACCTATATTTTTTGGCCAAATGACATTCGATTATCTTACATGCTTCTCCTTGTATCTTTTTAATATATCTTTTCTTTATTCTTTGTGTTCTTTATTCTTTTGTTGAGACACTTGTCAAAACATTTAGCATAATGGGAAACAAAGCTTTATAAGTCACTTAAATATAAAATATCCCAATCCTCACCAATTCTATTAATAATTCTTTTTTCAGGAACTTTTTTCGCTTAATTTTGCTCTTGAAAACAGACCAGAACTGTTCAATTAGATTCAGTTCGGGGGAATATGGAGGAAGATAAACATACGGCTATCCTTGAAAAGTGATGTACTTGCCTATGTTAGTTGAGCTATGAATAGAAACATTATCCATGAGAAAATAGTATTTCTTCCTTTCTGGATACTTTTCCATTTCATAAAGAGTGGCCTTTATAAAGCTCAAATAATTTCCTGTTTCTGTTCCTATTCTATAACCATCAGCTTAGCGTCCAAGTTTTCTCTTTTTAATTCGTTTTGGAACCCTCAAACTAATGTTAATTAAGCCAGTGGCAGATATGGAACCTAAAATCGATGCTGCACTTGTTTTCGTTGTGGGTATTGTAGATATTGCAAGAAATCCCTTCTTTGCCCAAGCTATATCCTGTTTCAATTGATATTAAAGCCTGATTCATCAAGATAGACGCAACTTATTGTTAAATCCAAGTCAATTTTCCCCCACTTTCGTACCCAATCGTGTCTTGGTTTAATTCTTTCCTTTGCTATTTCTTTCTACAGATCAAATTATTACATGGTAGTTATAATAAGCTTTTGAATTGTAAATTATATATTATTACTAGTCAATAACATAATCAATTACAGCTTGTTTCCAAGCAACTATTAACGGAATCTTTTTGATAAAAGCAACCAACTTTCTTGGAGTGTTTGGGACTTCTATAGTAGCATCTACTACTCTGTACATATTATCTTCATATTTTACAAGTTTTTCAAAGAAGATTGTGTGCCCTAATGAAGATAAGTTTAGTATAAGATATATTAAAGCTAATTATGGTATAGTATTACCGTAAAATCGAATGCAGAACAGTGATTCAGTTTTCGTTTCCGTCATGATTTTCGCCATATTGAAGTATAATTTTTTAATATCATTCGAATTTTTGTGGAGAGACGTATGATCATTAATTCCCCCAGAGAATTCAACGAGTGCAGGGCAGATCGTCTTGTTTCCAACTTTGAATAAAATCCCGTCAAATTTAGTTCTATCGGTCAAATAAAACTCTCTTTCCAGCCATCCGAGTTCGATGACATCGTTATTCGAGAGGAACAGCTGGTTTACTATATATATAATTAGGTAGCTTGCAGCTGTCCTCTCAAGCATAACATTATTGAACGGGTTTTGAGGTGAGCTCATGATATCCAAGCTATAAATGCGTGGATTATTAACATGTAAATATAAGCAAGATGACAATTAAAAGGTTCATTCTTATACTACTTACAAATAACGCGTTGTCACTTCTATAAACCCAAAGTCGCTGTGAGCTATTAGGTCAAAGTCTTCGTGAAATACGGTCTGGTGTAAGGTCTTTCGTAAGGCTTGAACGGACCATGTAGTTTCACAAAGCTCTGTAATTAAATTTTTGGCATAAAGAGACAATTGGACTGCTTTGGTTTTAGTTGCTTCGATTATGACATCCAGACGCTCTTTAGAAGTCTCTGCTTCTAGTATATCCAAGGTTGTTAGTGAAGACAAGTCAATTATATTCAATTTGCCAACTCTATACAGTTTACAGTATTAGTCCTGTAATGAATGATTATGTTAATTGCTGACAAGCATTTACTCATCGGATGCAAGGTTGGCAGTTTGTGATAAAACTGTATTTATATCACAGGTTTTATCACTTTCGTCTGTGCTATCTTCTAAATCTTTTACTTTTCCCACAGTTTCTATGCTTTCAGGTGTTTCGTCAGCAATGTGAGCCTAAGTAATTAATAGAATCAACGCGTTATTGATTACTACTATTTTTTGTACTGCTGTTAATTAATGGATTACCTTTTTGGCAAGGCGTCGTATATTATTATTTGTAAGTTTATTTAATTGTACTATGGTCTCTTGGTTTTCTTTGCGCAGCGTTTTCTCTAAACTGTCACTGTCGTTTCTGACCTCCCAATACTGCTTATAGCTTCTTGAGAAGACTGTATCATGGTTATTTCGTGTCTAATAAAACGCTAATATTAGGAGGACAACATTGTCTGATGGGGCACTACCTTTTCTGACGGGAAACGAAGTTTTGATTTTACCGAACCACAAATCGTGGCTTGCTGTTCGGTATCGAATACTTATATCTTGTCCTCAAGGATTCATACTTATCATAATAGAAATACTTTAATATAAAGTAGGTTAATAGCTTTGGCTAAGTATAAAATCATCTTCTTAAATATGTAATCGCTGATGTTAGGTGGATGGCGTTTCCTGGCGGGAGTCGACATTTTGATTCTACTAGACTACAAACCGTGGCATTTTTTGGTGGCATGGAATACCTCTATATGGTTCCTAAGGGTACAGAATATTCTTATGAAGACATTATTTTGTGCTTTGAAAAAAGAGTAGATTGGGATTGCTTACCACTTGGTGCTGTCATACTCTGGGAATATAAGTAGATAAAAGAAAGAGAAAGACATGATATGCGTAAGAAGGCCAATAAATAGTAAAGTTTTCAGCAATATTGCGTCACACTTTAATGACAACAGCTCATAATGTTCTGCATAACTGGTTATTGGTATGGTGTATTTGTGACTAATCATTATTTCTTTGTTGTCAAGTCTTGATTTAGGACTACTAATTGATTATACAGGATTTTACTTTTGCATGAGACAGTACTTTATTATGAAGTTGACCAAATACAGGCTGTAAATCTTACAAGAACGAGAGTTAGGTGTCTGGGGAGAGATATATAAACACACAAAGTGTGGAGACAAGGTAGTAAGCTAATATGTACAGAGGGGGGAGGAAAAGTAAAAAATACAGAGAGAGAGGAAGGGAACTTAAAAGAAGAAACAAAGAGAAGGAGCAATACGAGAAAAAGTAGAAGTTAGACAGTAGAAAAAGTATAAGAGTTAAAGAGCTAGTCTAGGAGATTGGAGAATTGAAAGAGAAATTGAAGCAATGTGTTCACAGAAACAACTATGTTGGCCGGAAAGAAAGGCAACTTTTCAGGACACGCTGTTTTACCCTGAAGGATTAAAGATACTGGGTCACGGACAGGTAGTCGCGATTAATGAGTCCGGTTAGATAGAAGCATCGTGCCCAACCAGGAAATATCGTCCCCGTAAGATTGCTGATTCTTTGTGAGACCACTGATGGTAATGAATGATTCGATTTGGAATAATCGTATGACTAAGGTTATCAAACGTAACTTGACTTGGAGGAGTGGATACATGCTGTATTATGATACACCTATTAATTAGCATTTTTTTTTGTTATTTCCAATACTGGCTGTAAAATAGGCGCATTTAGATCGAGAGAAAATTCCACGACTACCTAATCCAAGGATCTTACCAAAATTATAAAGCAGACAGCATAAATACATTTACTGGATTAGAAACGGGATTAACCAAACTAATATTCACCCCAAGCTACTCGTAAGAAAATAAAGAAAGTGTAGCCTTTAATTCAAACAGCAACAACAATAACAACAAATCTAAAGCTTAGTTTAGTTTAAGACATTATTTAACCTGATCAGTACGAATATTGCCAAAGAAAACAGCAGTAAGTGAATAAGAATTGGGAACACAAGGAATTCTCACAAGGGAAAAACCATAAAAAGATCAAAATGAAACAGATACACAGCATGTATATATATATATATATATATAATTGAAAGCAAATCCGACCAAGCATTTGAGGAAAGAAAAGGTTAATAAATCTATTTAACAACCAACAATCGCTCCAAACTTATATTATAACGCACACAACCTATATCCGAAACTGTGTGAATACAAAAAAGACTCACGCTTGAAATAACCGTTATGTCACTTTAAGCATTAATAAAGCAAGAGGGAATTCTGTATTGCTTAAAATTCATGATAATATGTTTGTTTTACTATACTAAGAAAAAAAAGACGACTTTAGCAAGGTTTTCCGAGGTTTGATGGTTGTTTTAAGGTTGGTTTTTTATTAAACGCTATTTTCTCTCCTTTATATATAGCTCAAAAAATACATCTTCCCAGTATAAAGAAGAAAAGTACGTTGCTATACAAATAAGATACTAAGTACCAGAGAGCAAAGATGGATAAATAATATTAACACAACCATGTGAAACGAGGAAAGAAAGTCAAAATACACTTCTACGCACAGCCCTAGGTACATTAAAGAAATGCATTCCTAGACATGCATTATTTTGATACAGGGTATAATGAATCAAGAGCTTTGTACGATTCTCGGAGTACATATATATGTAAAACAGAGCACTTTTGATTATGATAATGATAATGACGATACTTATAATAAAGATTTTGTGAAAACATTATTGCCAGATATCAAGTATGCATTTATAATTTTAAAAATGTTTTCAAGGTTCTCTTTTTGGGTGCATTAGGAGAAAGCATTATGAATGCTAGTTTCTTCGAATGTTTAAAGAAATACGGTGGGTACAAAAAAAAAGATCTTGCAAGGGAAATCAACCCAAATAAATCCAATACCATCGACTGATCAAACCACTAGGCAGTGTTCAAAGATTGATGTCTCATACTCAGCCATGGTGTTTATATCTCAAGTCAGACTTGTCTTTAATAAATTAAATCGACAATGGAAAGATTAATTGGATGAATTATATATATATATATAAGACGCTTAATTACCGTATTACTATTTTTTTGAAACACGATATTTTCAATATTTGTACTCCTCATATTTCAAAAAAAAAATTGGCATTCGTTTTTCTTTCTCTTTAAGGTAAATTTGAAGATACACCAAGTACGGCATTGGGAAATTTAAAGTACAGTGTTTCTACTTTAAACGCAGTCAGTAGACTGGTGTTGAAAAAAAAATCAGTGGGTGTAATAAACTTTTTGTACCGGGTATACAACCATTTTGTATTGACGTCAAAAATAAATAAATAAATAAAGAAGTAAGTAAATGATCCATAGACCATATCTTAAGTATATATTCATATATGTACTCTGTACGTCGTACTATGAAGGAATAAGAATAGTGTATTAATGGTATGTACTTATGTTATTTGCTTATACTCATTCTTGCAGAAGCCCATTATTATCAGTGCCAAAAGATTGTATTTAGGTACTTTTTGCGCTCTTGTTAAATTGATATATTAAAGTACTGAACAAAGAATTCATGTGTAAAATAAATTTATATATATCGGAGCCCTAGAGCAGAAGAAAGACATGCTGGAAAGACACAAACAAGGGGCTCCTTTGATGTGTGCTGTATATGTATCGAGTAAAAATAGAATGTGATTTATAAAACCATTCCTATAAAAAGTAGGTGATTAAGAGAATAAGGGGAATCAAAATGAAATGGTGTTATGGTTGATTTATAAGTACAATCACTGCAAAACATATAGATCTTGCTTGGGTCAATATATGGCATATTTACATTAAATTCTATTACTGCCTTGTCCGTGCCCATTGACATGATACTTGATTATATTATTGAATACATATATATATGTATATATGTATATATAAATAATAAAAGGCGGGCTTGGCTTCGGCGTGAATTGTCAAATCCATGTTCCGGTAGGGCCGTAGTACGAGAGACGAATTTAGTGCCTCGCCATTCCTCTCCAGGTTTTTTAGTCTTTTCACCCTGCTCAGCCCTTCCCTATTCTCCCTTCTTTTCTCTTCCTTTTTTTCATTTTTTTTTTCATTACCGAATAATTTCAACTTTCTTTTCTTTTCCATTTATTGATTAACCTTTTTCTTTGACAACTATGGGAGAGAACCTCGATCAAGATGTTAGCGCTGCGATCCTACGCCTTCAGAATAAGCCAGAGATTCCGCGTATAGATTACACTCTCTACAAAATGGAAGATGGAAGTGTAGCAAATACACAAGAGAGAGTCATCAAAGGCAAACAACACATATATGACAGGCTTATTGAAAATATTTGTCTCTAAATATTATTTTTATTTCTTCTTTACAGATGTTCCTCCACCTGCTGTGTCCATCCCGACAGACGAGGAATTCTGGAGTAAAGAACGTCCTGGATTGCCCAATCTCGCCTTCCTTAAAGATCACTTTTATCGTGAAGGTCGCCTTTCTGCTGAACAAGCCTTGTATATCCTTGAGAAAGGTACCGAGATCTTGAAAACAGAACCCAATCTTTTGGAAGTCGATGCGCCAGTCACAGGTAAATATATATATATACTTTCTTAAAAAAGAAAAGAAAAAAGCACGTATGCACATAACAAGCATGCGACATAATGCACGTGGGTAAAATGAGCCTGACAATATGTGCTCATAGTGTGTGGTGATGTTCATGGCCAATACTATGACTTGATGAAGCTGTTTGAGGTCGGAGGTGATCCAGCAAACACCACATATCTCTTCTTGGGTGATTACGTCGACAGAGGATATTTCTCAATCGAGGCAAGTCTGAAATGATGACATTTTCTTAGATAAAGAAGATTAATGGAACATGTGCCTACAGTGTGTCCTATATTTGTGGACATTGAAGATGTGGTACCCCAAGAGTCTGTTTTTGCTTCGTGGCAACCATGAATGCAGACATTTGACAGACTACTTTACATTCAAGATCGAATGTAAGACTTGACTACTGCTACTGCTACTATTATTATTATTATTACTATCATTATTACTAGAAAAGAAATTTTAAGAGATTAGTGGGAATATCATGAGTTGAGCTTTGTTTGAATGGTGATTGCTAGGTAGACACAAGTATACCGAGAGAGTTTATGACACCTGCATGGACTCCTTCTGCTCCCTCCCCTTGGGTGCAGTTATGAATAAGCAATTTTTGTGTATTCACGGTGGTCTCTCTCCTGATCTCCACACCCTCGACGACTTTAAAACCGTAAGTTTATCGAATCAATTATGTAGTCTGGTCCCAGATTAATATTAATAAAAAATCATAATCATAATCATAATCATAATCATAATCATTTATATATAAAGATTGACCGGTTTCGTGAACCTCCCACTCATGGTCTGATGTGTGATCTCTTGTGGGCAGATCCTTTGGAAGATTTTGGCCAAGAGTCGAGCAATGAACTCTTTGTCCACAATCATGTCAGAGGCTGTTCGTACTTCTTCAGTTATGCCGCTACATGTGCATTCTTGGAACGTAACAACCTGTTGTCCATAATCAGAGCACACGAAGCACAAGATGCTGGGTAAACATAAAGAAATGGAAAGATAAAGAGATAAAGAGATGAAGAGATAGATATATTTTGTGGGCTACATAACGACTAAGAAGAAGTAACTGAAAAATGGGGTATTTATGTTTTTTTTTATTGTTATTAGTTACCGGATGTACAGAAAGAGCAGAGCTACATCTTTCCCAGCTGTCATGACTATCTTCTCGGCACCAAACTATCTCGATGTTTATAATAACAAGGCTGCTGTTCTTAAATACGAAAACAACGTTATGAACATTCGTCAGTTCAACTGCACCCCTCATCCTTACTGGCTTCCCAACTTTATGGACGTATTCACCTGGAGTTTGCCATTTGTGGGTGAAAAGAGTGAGTTTGATATATATATATGTGTGTGTGTATGTATGCATATGTATAACTAACCTTTTACATTAGTCACTGATATGCTTATTGCCATTCTCAACATCTGCAGCAAGGAGGAGCTTGCACAGGACGCACACACACTTTCACTCGAAGAGAAGCCTTCAACTGCGGCTTCTGTAGACGAGACAGAGCTACGTCGCCAGACTATTCGTAGCAAGATCTTGGCAGTTGGAAAGATTTCGCGAGTATTTTCTGTGCTTCGCGAGAACTCGGAGCGCGTTATGGAGCTCAAATCCCTTGCACCCGGAGGAAAGCTTCCTTTGGGAACATTGGCCCTTGGTGCAGAGGGTATCAAGTCTGGTAATACTATATACATATTGTAGTGATGTAAATCAATCGTTATTAATTCTTTTCGATTTTACAATTGCTTTACTTTTTTTTATAGCTATTACAACATTCGAAGATGCCAAACGCTCAGATTTGGAGAACGAACGTTTACCACCTACTCGTGAGATGAAGGAAGCACTGAGAAAAGAGGAAACTGACAGTAAGATCAGAGATGCTGTAGAAGAAGATGATGAAGCATTGAAAGAAGTAGCAGATGCCATTGTTAGTGATACAGATTAAAGATTGACCTGTGTATATTATATATATATATGTATGCGTACGGTTATGTATAATGTGTGTGCAGCATGAATGTTTTATTTTCCTCTTTTCTTTATGCTGCACTATCTGTATATGATTTATCTATTTCCTACCAACTTTTTTTTGAATTCAATAAACCGATCAAATGATAATATCTTCTTTTTTGGGAGGGTGTTGTACATATACATATATACACGTATTTAAATAAAGAAAAGTAAATAAAGAATTCAATATATATAATTATATAATTATATTGTATAAAGGATTATGTTAAAGACTATAAGCTTAAACTATTACACATAGAGAAAAGGTAGGCTAATAGGCTGGTGGATTAAAAAGTATTGAGAATAACCCGGAGAAAAATGATAATTTGTATCGTAACCATCCGATTTACCAATCAAGTTCTGGTAGTACTTTAACATTCACACCATCAACAGACTGAAGATAAAAGTTTTCTCTTTTGACGGCCAGAAGAAGGGAGGTTCCATTTGGTGGGCTGACAGCTCCAGGAGGAACGACAAACTTAAAGACGGTTTCTGTAAGAGGTCCAGCTCCTAGCATCACCTTTCGGTCGTTCTCAAAAAATATAGCAACTGTGTCCTTTGGTGGGCGTTTTTGACTAAAAGTCTTTTAGATAATTATGGATGTCTACATTAGTTTTTTTTTGTTTTTTTTTGGCTGTGTTTTGTGTCTCAAAATAAATACATATAGACACATACTACATTGACATGCTGCCCAACTCTCCATACAGTGTTTTCAGTAGGGTAGACAATACTACCTAGACATGTGCAATTCCAAGGATTTTATTTTTGTATAAAAGAAAAGTCAGACTTTCGGTTCAACAACCTACAGCTGATCAATTTGCTACTTACTAGTTTCTTGTTGGGATACTGAGTCTCCAATCAATAGAAAGAAAACTGATAAAAGAAAGTATGGGAGCAACATTAAGGGATGTGTGTAAGAGAACTAAGAAATAAGAAATAAATAAAAACCATCGATCTGCCCTATCCCATGGTTTTTATAAGGAATAAACTCAAACTTTCACCTAGGACTTGAGAATGTAAGACATTGTGACATATTTGCCCGATTACTAAATGGTGAATTTTTTTTTAAAATTATCATTTTTATTTTGGGTTCAATATCATCGGTGTGAGCTGTATTTGTTTGTATCTATGTATCTATGTATCTATGTGTAAATAAATTTTTTATATATATATGTGTGTAGAAGATTTGAAGGTTTTGTGGTTCTTATATTATCGGCACATAATTGTATTGGGTTGGTTTCAAAACTAAGAAAGAAAAAACAGAAGTCTTGATATTTTGGTTGGTTTTTTTGTTGTTGTTGTTGTTGTTAAAAAGTGGTTATGAATATTATTATTAATAATAATAGTAATAACATATATATATATATATATATATTTAAGGTCCCTGTGCCAAGTGTCTCTTGCTTGTTTCTAGTTGATTATACATATACAGTTCTCTTTTTTGCAGGGCCTGAAGGTTTTCGAATCTTGACAGTTTCACCAAGAACTTGCCACAAATATCTATTCCGGCGAAAAACACCCAGTAGAGACACGGAATCTTTGGAAACAAGTGATGGCATTTCAGTTGGTAGCATAAAAGTGAAGTTTCCTTGCTGGGCGGGACCACCACCCAAAGTTATAGAGCGATCTTCGTCAAAGAAGAATGTGACGGTATCAGCAGAAGTAAAGTTTGTGGTGTCAAAGAGGACACTTTGGTAGCTCCCCGTGTACCAAATAGCGTCTTTAGTAGGTTTAATAAAGCTCCCGGCTATATTAGAGTTATTAGTTTTTTTTTTCTCTTTCTATTTGTTGGACAGATGATATATATATATATATATATAAAGTTACCTTGAGCAGATCCTGTAAAGCCAAGTATGCCAATATAGAATAATATTAAACTTAAAGTCTTCATTTTGGAGTCAACAAAAGGGTACAAAAGAAAAGCGATTTGTAATGTAGAAAAGAGATAGATAGATATCTTATTCCCTCGCCAGATCAGTACCTTTATATACTATGTGCTCGGTGCGGAAGAATGAGATGCTAGTGGTATCCGTGACTGTCTTGATGTTGAGAAATATATATATATCGGGCTTCCTACATGATCCATCATATGCGGAAGTGTCGTTAAAGAATAAAGGTCAGAGATACTTTATTTTTTTTTGTTCGAGCGGTAGTATAAGGTATAGAATATGATCTCTATAAAAATAGGATGGTATCGTAATTATTATTAGTGGCAGTGGTAGTGACTATTTCTCGGTCTATTACACAAAGAACAAAAATAAACAAAAATGGGGAATTCATGTAGTGTTTCTAGGTTACTGCATTACAAAAGAACAATAGTCTGTTTCTTGCTTATTATAGATGTTTCCAATTATTCAACATCATAAATAAAATATCTGATTATCTTAACCAATCCAAGCTAAATTCTCGTGTGTAGTTTTTGTATTTTAGTTGATTTCTATGCGAACCTTTGAAGGTATCGTAATATATATATATATAAATCAATCAAATGAATTACACCAATTATCATCTGAACGGAATCCCAAAAACTACTATATATCTAATTTTATTTTTATTTTATTTTTAAAAAAAAATAGCTTCAAGATTATAAGCTCAAAATATGCAGTTACTAAAAGTCTTTTGCAAGCTATGTATGTAAAGGTTACTATTATTATTACTATTAATCATAAACACGCCGAGAATCGTGGGTATATATATTAGCTTTTGAGAGATATATATAAAATCATTCACTTTCGATAATTACATTTGTTCAAAAATCCATGACATTTTCCCCTAGGTAATATAATTTAATACAATGTATTTTTATTCAATTCTTTTATGTTTCATATCTGATTCGCACAAAGAAAACAAAAGGCCTATAGAGTAGCATTCCGATGGTGACATACTTTGAATCATTCGATACGTGATTTACTTTTAAGCAAGGATATAGGTGTATCTTGTAGTCTGATTAGAGTCCGAATTTTAAAGGAAGAAAGCTTGTTTCATAGATAGGGTTATTTCAAAACGGTAAATCATGACAATAATGCATTTTTTTTTATTTTTTTTTAAGAAACTAATATCTTTTTTCTTTTTATTCTTCTTGTTATTATTCCTGCCCTGTGTTTTAGGTATTAGCCAATCACATTTACAGTTCATCTCTCCACTGTTTATCGCTATTGGAAATTGTCAGAGCGCCTTTGTAGGGCCACGCAGAGACCTTTCCAGATGAGATATCCCCGAGCCATCTCTTAATCTTTTCTTGATCCCAAGCACCAATATAAGGTCTGTAGAGCTTCTTTCCGGGATGTAAAATAAAGAGAGTAGGGAAATCATGGACAAGGTCAAGCTTGTCCATGATCTGTGTAGCCTTCAAGTCAGTCATCCAACCGAATCTGAACAAAGGTGGGTTACTACTAGCTTCATTCAACGCCTTGAACATAGCCAATGTCTCGTCTTTATCCTCCTGAACAATTGCAATCACGCAGATATTTCCAGTGTCAAGACAGTGCTTTCCCAGAACCTCATCAGATACAATTTCCTCTACTACACTCATTATCTAGATTAGCACACACACGCTTTCTTTAACCTTTTCTTGTCGTTGCTGCTAATGTTGCTTTCGGTACTGCTTCTTCTATTTATTGCCCTTACCCACACCTATATATATATATTTACTCACCAGTTGGTAGTGGAGCTGGTGCCTGTGTCTCCTTTTTTGCTGGCTTTTCCTTTTCCTTTTCTTTTTCTTTTTCTTGTGGTTTCTTCTGGGTGGGTTCTGCAGCCAAGGCATACTTACTCAGGAAATTGTGTAATGCCTCATGCTTCAACTTTCCATCGTATTTAATAGAGCCATTTTCCGGGGTAATGACCACCAAGGTTGGGAAAGATTGAACTCCAAATATTTCCATTACATCTTTTTCGGACTTTTTTACTTCGCCCATCAGCATTCGGTTCGCAAAATCAGCAGAAAGTGCTTTGTAAAGTGGAGTTGTTGCCGACTTATCAGTAAACAAAAGTGCCTTTGGCAAAGTGGAGTTCTGGTATAATTGTTGACTATTGTTAGTTTAGAAGAACACTAACCCCCCCCCCCCCCCCCCCCCCAGTACCATCTTTATCAAGTTCTATTTTTGATATACTTACATCTTTAGCCAAAAAATCTTCAATGCTTATACTCTTTTGGGACTTGACCTTTTCAGCATTATCCTTGACAAATCGAACTTCTGAAGGTAAGACAGATAAAAGATGATCTACCAAGGGCTTTGCTTCACGGGGACCCTGATAATCTAGAAAAAAAAACATTATTATTACTAATCCTTAATAGATTTGCGTATTTTTTTGTGGTATTATGCCCAAACTGTGTGTGTCGGTGTGTCTATTTAATTAGCCTTACCTGTAGGCTTCTTAACAATTGAACCTTTCTTATTGCGCTCAGGGCGGAAAATCTTAATTGTTGGAAATCCTTGGATACCATATTGAGAGCACACAGGGCGATTGGCCTCTTCGTCACAATTGACAGCAGCAACAGTAACAAGTCCCTTGAGGTTATTAGCAGCTTTTTTCCATTCGGGTGTCAGCCTACGATTTTTTTTTAAATATATATATAAACTGTCAGAATTAAACGTAATATATTTATTTCTCCCTTTTTTTAAGATGTTTGGCAATTACTTTTGACAATGGCCACACCATGGAGCATAGAACTCTACAGCTGTGAGTTTCTAAGGTGACAAATATTTGTTAATGAAATAGAATCCAAGTTGCTGAAGGAATGTAACTTACATTGGTGTCCAATACTTGAGAGCGGAAGTTGTTCGAATTCAATTCGACAACAGCATCCCGTTTATCGTAAAATCCCAGGACCAATGTAGCCTGAGCAGATAGAAGGAGTGCGGCTTGAGCAATTGAGAACTTCATGGTAGTGTACCTTTAATAGAGTAGGTCTTTTTACTTCAAAGTATAAAAATAAAAATAAAATAAAACTATATATATATAGAGAAAGAGAGAAAGAGTCGTGGCTCTATGGTGACTTGTTCTTTACCGATTGGCTGGCTGGTTTTTTATTTTTATTTTTTGCATTTGGAGTAAATTAAGGTTCTTTATGATCAATGCGTGGATTCTGAAACAATGAAATTTGCTTTAACTGCAGCACAAATTTGTGCCTTGATTTATATCTATGTGTTTCCTCTTATTTTACTTGGAGCTGATGCGCATGTAGTATAAGTGCAATTGTTGGTTTTATTTTCTTTTGCCTGGAAGATAGCATCAATGAAAATTTTTGTGAGTACCTTTATTTGCAGCTGTACCTCTTTGAAGTGTTATAGAAAACAGGTCGAATACTAAAGTAAGAAAATTGCTGTTCTGTAATAGCAGCTGCATTGTTTCAGCTTTTTTAAGCTAATGCTTGAATCTACCGCTGATATTATGTAGATTTTTCCCTTTGGAATGGCCAAAAGTCTTGTGGAAAAAATAGTAGAAAATGATAATATTACCAGCAAAAACAATGGTACTGCCCAGTGCATAAATATACTCTCGTGACAAGTAAAATTAAAAAAAAATTCGTATATTAAAGCCCTAGGTGGTCATCTACTCCTTGTTGGAACTTGTTTTGAACTCTCTGAATATCTGTATTGACTCTGAAAATATGTGTAAAAATCTTGTAAAAACTGTGATATTATATCAAGACCTCAACAATACCAACATCAGTCTAGATAATTTCTGTAAACAGTACACGCGTCTTTACCCTCCTATTATTCTCACCTGTAACATTGACATATACTTTCATATTCACAGCACCGCCCGTAATTTTGGTCCAGTGTACGGATATTGTATTTTTGGGTTTGAGCGATACAACGAACTGTTAAAAAAATACAAATACAGACAGAGAGGATGACTTTGAAGAGGCATATATGCGCAGTTTTGTTGAAACTGTCCTAAATAATGAGATAGTGTCAATGAACCTCATCTACTCGAATACTTGAAAGTATCTTACTAATTTCCAGATATTGTTATTTACTAGTGTACCTTCTTTGCACGCTCCTTTGTTGACAGTATTATCCCAATATTGAAGTTTGTCAATTTGATCGGTCAAAAATATTGTGATAAAAACAGTTCTTCAATTCATTAATGGGTGTCTTTTTTTTTCTTCGACTGATCTTTGTTGGTAATAATTGCGACATTGAGCTCGATTATGCTAGTAAAATCATATATATCTTTATACACTCTTTTTCACTTCCACCCACACACGATCGTCACGTAACTCGCATAGTTTATTCCCAACATTTATTTTGATTTATCTAGTAGTTTTCATACATATACTGATATATTTTGTGAGAATGACGGTGCCAACCTTTAATTTCCTAAATATTCTCCAGATAACTATCACATCTTCGCACCTTATTAAATATTAGCACAGTAAAATATACAACAAGTAAAAAGGTTAGAAGAATGCCAGTGATTTCGTTCTCAAAGAAGGATTATGTCTAAAATAAATATAAAGATAACAGTTATTGTTTATGGGGTTTTTTTGATAGTATCTTGTATGCAGAAAGTCAGGCATGGATAAAAAGAGAAGAATAACGATTTTATTTGGAGGTCACTCCTAAGAAACCACTGATGAAAATATTAGTTAAAGGAATCCAGGACTGCCGTGTTGAACATATAACTAACCATCCTAGGGATAAATTGGTGAACATTTGTCCTCTTGCCAATAACAGCGTATGAATTAACGATCCTGATGAGGAAGTTTAGCTGAAATTCATGCGTTAGTATCACAATAAATATAATCTTGCAACAATACACAGCTATTGTTAACAAAAAAAAACAATTTTGCCTCGTCGCTTCTCCAACCTTTCTGGGTAATACGAGTGATACGTCGTGTGCCATGCTCGGAAACTTCATTAATAGATTCTCTGTAAGTTATTTCCCCCTCTTGAATTGTGCTGGCATAGTCTTTTTCTATTTACTAAATTTACGGCATCTTAGCTGTTAAGGTATGCACTTAAACACAAAGCAAAGAGTAACTCTGACAATATGTTTTCTTTTATTAATTTCTATTTTTTATTTTTCAACACTAGATTATAACTTTTTCTCTATATGTTATATATTTTAAAGTGCCACTGACTTCAATTGCACAACTCTCCCTTCTTGGACGACCGCTCACCAATTCTCTCTCAGTAGGAAACATTCTCCCCTGATGATACCAGCTGGTAAAGTCTTTAGGTAGCCTTTTTTAAAGCTATCCTGTCTAAACACACAATTGCAAAATCTGTGCTCCATGCTTGGAGGCATGTTGAAAGCAATATTCATATTACATCCAAGTTTTTTTGGCACCGTTTTGTTGTTGTTGTTTATCATCACGTCAGCTAGCAATATCAATTCGGGTTTTAGCTTCCACAGAAGGCTGTGTATGTATGCCTTATGAAATATATGAGATCATATATTGATGAAATATTATACAATTTTGGACTCCTATAGGCAATGAGATATGCTTGCTAGCTAGGCTCAGCTTGGATACAAACAATGTAATAGGTAAAGGAAAGTGCGAAACTTATAGTATCAAAGTGAAGGATATCTAGCCTAGCTAGCAATTCCACTGGTGGTGTCAGAGCTATTGGTGGTAAGAATATTAATCCCACTATTTTTTTGCGGTGAGTATTTTGTTGACAGATACTATCTGTCCTTGCATTGTCGTCAAAATTCAACCCGTGGCTGTTATATTGTGTTGTATAATGGAGAATAATTCCAATTGATGCTGGTTACTAACCTCAATAAAACGAGAAGCAAATGGACATCTTTGAATGGCCATTAGTTACAAATTATATCAAAAGTTAAAATTTAATTATTAATATTAGTTTACAGTGAAAATGGATCGAATTGAATTGAATTAAATCGAAAATAAAATATTTCAGACTGTCATACAAAAATTATTAAGTATTTGCTCAACAAACGATATCATGTTTTTCTCCTTATTAAATATGTAGACTATATTACTCTTTATAACCCGGACTTGATATTATTACTGGTAGTGAGTCTGTTAGGAGTACACTTCCGAAACTAAATGCACGTACCAGGTACTTACACACTTAAAACTACCTCCGTGACAACCAATCATTAGCTAGCGAATATTCTAAGCTTGGGAACTAAATATCTATACAAACCGTTATGGCATTCTTTCTTAAGCAACAGACGTATAGCATCAGCAATAGTAACATAATAAACAGCCTTAAGATCGGTGTGCTTACTTTATAAGTTTAATGCCTACTGATCTGTGCCCTATTACGTTGGAAAAGATTTGTGAATGTATTAAGAGGTTGAGTGGTGCATCTGAATAACACAAGAAAGACTAGGAAATCAATTTCTATAAATTGGTTTATTACCCCCAAGATAAGATTATATTCTACACTGCAATAAAAATTGGAAGGCTTCTGTAGTGTGATACGCAAATAATTATATAACACGTCAAGAATTAGATCAAGAATCCTTGCTTTAAACAGCGTGGAGCACCAAATAAAATAAAACATATAAAATATATTATCTTGGTATAAAGGATAAGGGAAGTAGATTGGTGTATGGATAAAATATTAGCTACCAGTTAGCAAAAATACATAAATATATGGTTAAAACACAAGGGCTTGAAAAGACAGTTTATATATATATATAGATATATCCCATGGTTATTCAATGGAACACCCATAAATATTTTCAGCTGTAGTCTTATGCCCTGACCTTCTGGTATGTTAACTTAATCAAAGGTATGAGAAAAATAGAAGGATTATTATATCAGTATCACTATCCATATCAATTTGTATTACAAATTCTCAAATTAATCTAAAAAATAAAATGAAAAGACAAACTCTTTAAATTTACAAAAATATCAAGAAAAAGAAAAAGATGATCATCAAATTAAGAAGATTTGTATGGTAAAAATATCCCAAAATATCGGTTACTGTGTTTACACAAGACGTTAAATATATATAAAAAATGAGTTTCCTTCTAAGAAATAAATAAAGACAAAACAGAATTATAGTCAATGGTACTCTCGTGTAGACAATTAAACCAGTGTATCATGAAATTTACAAAGGGATTATGATAATAATAATACATTAGTTTTAATCATAATAGTGATCAGTGAATGGTACAGTTAATTTGTGTTTCTCTTGTTTAGAGCAAGAATTTCATATGTGAGTGGTGACAATTAACACCTGACATTTTTTTAAGAAAAAGTGGCTGTAAAATACCCAGTACAGAATATTAACAGGTTGTATCTTATTTTGGCTTTGAATACACCATTTTTTTTAGAAGTACAATGATGATGTACATTGTACAAACGGGTCTGTGCGTTGTGTGATTTCTATTATACAACTAATAGAGAACGAATGAGATGTAGGGCCAAGTCTCTTAAAGACAATACAAAGAAAATGTAAGAAAAGGATATCTTCTCTACGTGAAACATTACAAAGAAATCACACGTCTTCTTTTCTTTGAATATTAAAATCTGTAGCCAAATCATAAGCTTCTATACCAACAATCTTTACAGAAGCGTAAGATACAATGAAATGAGAAAAAATATGAATTATATTAAGTATGGTAAATATACCATTTTTAAAATAAAGATAACAAATAAAACAAATTGAAGGAAGAAGAATAAAAAGAAAAAGAAAAATGGAGGGGAAGAGGGGGAAATCTTTTATACAGAAAAAAAAGTTTATATATGTCATTGTTCCAAGCTGGAGGAGAAGATGGAAAGGGGCCAAGAGGTCTACTATTTACATTGCTATCCGGACCGTTTTCTTCGGCTTTGACGGGGATACGTCTTCTTGAAGATATTTACTAGGGCATGTACATGCTGGGAGGGTAGTTCTGGAATTAGCGGGAGTGGAGGGAGGAAGAGGAGCTGTAGTATCGAACTGGCAGACACAATAGTCTTTGTCTTGTTCGAGGAGGTTGTCAAGTATTTCGGGAGGGTTCTTTGAATTGTCATTGTCATCATTAGAATTTTTTGAATCGGGATCGTCAAAGTGTTGGCCGATGAGAGTATCGCAGTCGCTCCCATCACAAATGTCAGGGTCTGTGTCTGTGTCTTGATCAGACATATCAGAGTTACTGTCCTCACTACTGTCGATCCACTCGACAAATTTACGAGTAACATTGCGCATTCGAGCAGCAACTGTTTCTGGTGGCCCTCCAAGTTGGCCATGCCACCACGTCGTGACCGCATCACCTTCTACAATGTCATATTTATACAACATTACTAATAAGCGGTGGAAATTATCGGCGAGTAGTTTTGTATTTGCTTTGAGAATTGTTTTTTCAGTTTCTTGAAGGAACTGGCATTGTTCGGCTTCGTCTTGGATGTGTCTTTCCAAAATTGATTTCCAAAACTGTAAAAAGTCTGCCTGAATTCGTGTAGCAATAAGTTTAGCCGTCCCTGCTGAATCGACATCAGCCTGCTCGACGGTTTCAGATAACCAGCTAATAAATGTGTTGGCTAGGCTACGTAGAAGGACTGTATTTGAAGGGTCGTACTTGATCATTAGATCGTCTAACTCTAGATTTGCACGTGCACTTGTCAGTCGAGAAACAAACGCCTGTCTAAGATGTGATGAGGCCAGTTGTTCAAACTGGGTATCATTTGAGCGAGATGGGTTCTCGCCATGGTCCTGGTCCTGATCCTGGTCCTGGTCCTCGTCCTCACTATCACCTTGCTCAAAGATTGATCCGACAAGATCAGATCCGAAGCTGCGGAATGGAGATGTAGATATAGGAGTGTCATCATCATCATCGTCGTCATCGTCATCGTCGTATTCTTCTTCATAGTCGTCGTCTTCATGTTCCATGGAAATTGTTTCCTTGTCGGGGTCGATTGGAGGTAAGGATGTATATTCGGTGTCACTATCAAAATCATGACAGCCCCAGAACCCTGACCGTTTCTTAAAATACGCCGCATCGTGGTATGACATGCCGCTGCTGTTGCTTGAAGAACTTTTTACTTCATCTAACTCTTCTTTCAAGGCTTCTATTTCTTCTTGTTTCTCGACTAGTTCGCTCTCTAGTTTTGCTTGACAATCTATGGCTTCATTACAGAATTTTTGATGACATTCGTCTGCAATCTTTCGGGAGTCGCGCTCGACCCGCAAATCGTCTCTGAGAATATTGACGCTTTCGGTGAGACAAGCATTCTCAGACCGAAGGCGGCGAATTTCACGTAACATGAAATGGTAGGAGTGTTGCTTGCTTTTGCTCATCGGAGACTCGGGATGTGGAAAAGGACCTAAGGCAGGTGTTGCCTGATGCTGAATGATGGATGATATTTTGGTGGTAAATTAAAGAAGTAATTGTAGCAATCTTTTTGGATGTTAAACAAAAGAAGTTGAGAAAACATAAAGCAAGGTTTACTAAATTTGAATTTCCCCAGTTCGCTCCCTATCGGTTAAACTTACGTCACAACTATGACTAACTCGAGTCTTTTTTTTTTCTTATTCCCTGGATTTAAGCTGAGCCACTATATTTATATATATATTATTTTATACTATTTTAGTTTATATTATATATCTTACATACATATATACATTATTATTTTTTTGTCATTGATTGGTAAGAGTGATCAAATTATACCAAGTCTATTAATATAGGATTACATACTTCTTTAAGCTTCTCGATTGATACAGAATCTTGGAGAAATCAATAAGAAGAATTATATTAATAATAATAGCAGTTCTTGGCGAGTATCTAAATCATATGTAATTAACTAAGCTTTTATATAAAGCGACATCCAACCATTGATATTAAGATTTATTTCTTGTTAGTTTCTTCTTATCTGAAAAAAAAAAACTTTATTACGTGACCAAGAAACCAAATGGGTCTCATTTTCAACCCATTATTACTATTCTTGTTGTCAAGAAAGCACTTGCCTTTCAATTTTTACTTTTACTGTCATTATCATTGTCATTATTATCATTAAATATGTTTATTTTACTTAATGGAATAAGCTTAGTAATATCATAATTAATAAGAAAAGAACAATCTTTGAATGTCACTTTTGTTTGATATATATATATATCTTATTCTCATGCAAAAAATTTGATCGACTGATTGACTAATCGAATGATTGACTGATTGATTTGTAAACTGAAATAAACCTTGGTGTATTTACAGTCTATAGATCATCTTGAAACACAAGATTTGATCCAGGAGGTTGTATAACTCTGATATATATATATTTATATATATATATATATATATAATATCAGGGACGGTAGATATATTAATAGCAAAAGAAGCAAAAGAAAGAAATGCTGATGAACAATAATGCTTAGATAAAATGCTTCATACAGTACACTGCAAAAAATCATGTAATTTCACTTGGTTTAAAAATATGTTGAATTGAGGGCAAAGAGCTAATTTCTATAGACGTTTACCTATAGTTGCAGTCGGCTAGTTTTTATTTTCACATATAAACAGTAAATTCGTTCCATAAATAAGCAGCACATTGAGGTAAAATGCAAACACCAGCGACAGGTTTGCAGTATATTATCACACATTGCTATAAATAGTAAAGGAATATTTGGGCGGTCAACTAGTTTTTACCGGTCGACCACCACAGCTAGGTAGAACGCCTTGTATATCTTTGCTTCAATGTGACATTTGAGTACCGCTGCCATCTATACTCCAGTTCCGTCCTGATGGTGCAATATCTTCCTTTTATTGAGTGTCTCTTATACATCTTTATCAAGCTTATCCCTGTTCTTATCACTCTTGCTATTTACTTTGAATAATGTTTGGAACTGACAGGAAAGACCTCGCGACCGAGCTAGAAACAATGCTCGACATGGCCAAGACTCTTTTTGTTCAACGTAGGCAATCTTTTATCTATTTATTTATTTATTTATTTATTTATTTATTTATTTATTTATTTATTTATTTATTTCATTTTATTTATTTAAATTTTTGATTTAGTTTAAATTAAATATAAGGATTTGTAAACAATAACTTTGATTTGTATAGATGTCAGGGAGGGTCAGAATGCAGACCAAGCTGTTGTCAAGTACACTTCACAAAACGATCTGTATAAAGTCATTGACTTTGATCTCCCAAACGTCGGCAAGGGTGTTGATGGTAATAAAGCAAACAGTTGATCAAATAGTTTCCAGAAGAATGATAGTAAAGTCTGACTTTTGAATTCGTAGGTACATTTGAGTTAATCAAGAAAACTCTTGATTACAGTGTGAATTCTTGGAATCCTCGGTTTATGGACAAGCTTTATGCGGGAACTAATCCTATTGGAGTTATTTCCGAGATGCTCATTGCTGTACTCAACGGAAATTCTCATGTTTATCATGTCTCACCCGTATTCACACTAATGGAAATACAAGTCACCAAAGCAGTCGGCGAATTATTGAATATGGGAGAAGTAGGTACACACAACTTTTATGCATAACACTTTCAACAATATCGTAATAATTGCTATAAATCACTATACATATATTATACGTATAAATTTATATCATGCGTAGAATTCTGGTGGCTTGTTGTGCCCAGGTGGATCTGCTTCAAATCTGTTGGCTATGTTTACAGCTAGGAACAAATTATTTCCTTCGATCACCAAAACTGGATATCTTCCTCGTCCCTATCCTGGGGCAGAATATGGACCTCTAAAAATATTCACATCCATATCCAGTCATTACAGTATTGACAAGGCTGCTCAGGTAATGGGGTTAGGTACCAATAGTATTATCAAAGTTCCAACAGACTCATGCGGGCGTATGCGAGTAGATAGGCTTGGTAAGCAAAATAAAATAAAAGTAAAGAAGTGGTCTAATGTGATGTGATGTGATGTGATGTGATGTGATGTGATGTGATGTGATGATATATATTTGCATATTTATATTTAATATATATATTGTGCTTCTTTTATACAGAAATTCTGATCAGAGAAAGTGTGGATCGTGGAGAAACACCATTCTTTGTGAATGCTACGGCAGGAACAACTGTATTGGTGAGTCTAACTCTGGCTGTTAATATTCTGCTAACATATAAACCAAACAAAAAGGGAGCATTTGATCCTATACGGGCCATAGCAACGGTTGCTAAACAATTCAACTGTTGGTTGCATGTGGATGGATCATGGGGTGGATCTGTTGTATTTTCTAACTCAGCTGTAAAGACCACCAACTGGTTGGATGGCTCGGGATTAGTAAGTTGAATCTAGGGAAATATCGTAGAGAAAATATAAAATATTTTTTTTAAAACAAAAAGAGAGGATAGCAATTATATTAACAATTTCATTTGTACTTTACCAATAGGCTGATACTTTCACTTTGAATCCGCACAAGCTACTCGGAGTACCACTCCAGTGTTCGATGCTATTGACACCTCACAAGGCCCATGCGCTGTTTGCACAGGCCAACTCTTTGGCAGCTGACTATCTTTTCCATGGTAATCCGTACGATCTCGGAGCAGGAACAATTGGCTGTGGTCGTCGGCCAGATGCGGTCAAGATGTTTTTGGCTTGGACATTCTATGGTCGTCAAGGATTCGGGAATCGAGTGGATCGTGCTTTGGGTTCTGCAGCTGACTTGACTACAATGGTACGCAACCGAAAGGACCGTGGGTTCATATTAGTTAAGGACCCGAGCCCATTCCTCCAGGTGTGCTTTTGGTACATTCCCAACCACCTCAGCAATCATGTGCTTCATTGGGAGGCACAAGGCAACTACACAGCCAATGTGTCGCTGGTCACAAAGATGCTTCACCTCCGCTTAAGGGAGATTGGAGAATTCCTTGTGGATCATGCGCCTTTGGATAGTTTGCCTCATTTCTTCCGAATTGTTATAAACTCACCGACCGTGAGCGTAGAGCGTGACTTGGCAGGACTCTTGGATGCCATTGAAGAGGCCGGAAAAGAGATTGAGTGGGATCGTGTCTTTGGTTAATGATAGAAATATATCTATCTATTGTTATTGTTATTTAGGCTCACAGGCATTCGTTTGACCATGATTTTATTGTAATATTATATGCTTCTTTTGTTACACTTTTATCACTCTTTCTCTCCCCCCAAACATTGTCTGTGGGTAAAAACAGGCAAATAGACTAGAAATTGGCTCACATTGACCCACATTTGGATTTCCATTTTCATTGATTTTGCTGGATAATTTAGGCGGACTCTTTCTTACACTTTCCTTTCCCTTTTTCTTTTTTTTTCTCTTTGTCTTCTTTCTGTTTACAATCTCTTTTCTTCTTTCATTGTATTTTGTTTTAATTTATTCTTTTGCTATTCTTTTTCTTGCTCTTGTCTTTGCAATGGAGTCCACAGAGTTTACACCACTGTGTACAGCCCTTGCCCTTTATGACTTTGACTCTACAGAGGTCGGCTCATTGAATTTTAAAAAGGGAGACTGTATAGAGGTACTATACAAACTAGACTCTGGCTGGTGGGATGGCTGGTATATAATCACCCTGTTTGCATTTCTTGTGTACATTGCTTATTCACTCTCCTACTAGGTGTAACAACTCCAGAGGATGGTTCCCAAGCCATTATGTTGAAGTAATCCAAGTTTATGGCGAACAAGTCTCGGAAAATGAACATGAAATCCCGACCACAACAGACCAAAGGGTAAAAAGGACATGCAACAATTTTGAGCTTTCCAAAACATTACAGTCAATAGATATATAGATATGTATGCTTTCTAATATATATATATATAAATATTATACAAAATTACGGTAGGACACAGATTGCCTTCCGCCCACTCCCAGATCACCAAACCACTTCATACCCTTTGACCTCACACCGCATTGGACAGAACACGAAGACAGTCGATTTTTTTGCACTACACCAACCAGTGACAGACCTCTTTCTGGATGTCTCGAAAGATCGGGATCAGAATCAGAAGACGATGTTGCTTACAACATGAATTCATCTTTTGATGGCAGTTGGAAGAGAGAATACGATGACCGAGATAGCGAGTCAGTATTGAGTAATTCTTCTGTTCGCCGCTCATTCCTTGAAGATCTGTCAATGACAGATAGTCCGCACACTAGCTCAGAAAGGGTAAACATTACTTGTCCCATATGATCTACCCTCCCCTTTTCCTTACAGACACCCACACACCAATTCATAATTATGATGTATAGGAGCCGGTATGTGGTATATATATACCGGCCCTATATAATATGCACTTAGTTTTGCCTCTCCACCCAAAGAAAAAACTTTAGTACTAATGGTATTCTCTAGGATATCTCAAGTAACCGCCACCTGTCGCTTACCGACAATTCTGGTTCGACATATTACCAAGACCACTCAGATCATATTTATCCTACACGCCGACAGATATCAGCCACATGGACCACCCTTCTAACAAACATCTCACAATCTCTCCAAGACCTTACCCTGGCCTCAAAAAGCATCGAGCCAGTTTCCCTTGCACCACGTACTGCCAGCATAGTCGATGCAATCCGGTCCATGCTTTTCTCCTCAAACACAATCGACAAGTCATCAATATACATAAACACCAACTCTGTCCTTCGAATTCATCACCGCACCATGATGGCTTCTCTATCAAAACTTGTTCTCTCCTCTCGACTATATTCAAATCTCGACTCAAACAACATCAATCGCATCCTAACAGATGCAAACGAGCTCATGTTGGCCGTGCGAAATTTCGCAATAACTGCCCAATCACTCTCTATTCAAGTCGGCTCTATAGATTCGGCTCTAATAGACTACCCTGCGGCAACGGGTAAATCGTTCCCATTGAGTGAGAGAATGAACCGAATGTACGTTTCCGGAGAGAGCGCAAGGTCAAAGTATCCTCTTCAAAAGGGCATGGTTGATAATATCGAGACGTACTGCAATGGCATACATGAATCAATTAATGCTATTATGAAAAGCATAACCCTGGAGAAAAAGCCAACTAGTGAATTAAGAGATTCTTTGGCTGTCCTTTTATTCGCACAGTTTAGGAACTTTGGGAATCAGATCGGACAGATTCTTAGTGTCCTTGATGATATCGACTTTAGTAACGTCCCCGAGTCTAGCGAGGCAGATATTCTCGCAAAAAACAAACAATCTCTTGTAGATGGTCTAGGAGTATTGTTTGTATACCTACAGAAGATGACACAAGAGGACGAAGATCTGGATAAAGCTGTCCAAGATGTCTACAACACAGTCAACAGCATGAAGGAGACAATCCAAATGATTTGTAAATGCGTAACAAAGCTAGCCTCATTTTACGACGAGCAGAAGCAGCAGAGTTCAGATAGCTCTGAAAACCTTGTTCTTACAAATGAAGAATACCCAAGTTTCGATAAGCTTAAGGGCAAAAAGAAGAGTATAAAAAATCTCAGCCGCAGCACAAGCCAAGGGAGTTCAAATGATGCCACTCGAAAAAGCAGGTGGCTGACAACACCAATTGATCGTACAAAATCTTCTCCTATTCCAAGAGAACACAACCTGGATAGATCTCTTTCAAGCTCACAGGACTCCCAAGAATCCATTTCATCTATCACAGGGAGAACAACTCCAAAAGTCCAAGCAAGGCATTCAACTGCAAAACTCAAAAAGTTCTTTGGAGATGATGCGCCATTAATTGTAACTCGAAACGCTACTATATCTACACCAGACACACCATGGTTTCTCCAGCCAGATTATTTCCAGAATGAAGTTCAGTTTACTATGGAAGGCTCAATTAAAGGCGGTACTCTCAAAGGATTGGTGGTCTTATTGACGATGCACAACTACCTTGACATGAAGTTCATCAACACTTTCTTGTTAACCTATCGATCATTCTGTACACCCTCTGAGCTTTTGGACAGACTAGAGGACAGATATAATCTGAGAGTTCCAGAAGGGCTATCAGGGGAAGAATTTGAGCTTTGGGAACAAAAGAAACTTAGGCTAGTTCGGTTGAGAGTGACGAATGTATTGAAGAATTGGTTAGAGCAGTACTACAATGAAGATGATGCCGTAATTCTCGACCGATTACTCCTGTTTACCAAGACAACCATTCATCAAACACTTTCGTTCTCAGCTGAGCAGCTCGAGAAACTTATCCAGAAACGCAAGCAATCACCTACCAAGAATAGTGATATCAAGAGGATGATTCGCACAGTCTCTAACCCCCCAGATCCTATTTTACCTCGTAACCTAAAAAGATTCAGACTGATTGACATTGATACACTCGAAATGGCTCGCCAGATGACAATTATGGATTTCAAGCTCTATAATGACATTAAACCGGTCGAATGTCTTGATAAGGCTTGGTCGCGCGATCAAGGGGAGCCTAACAAAAGCGTGGCAGTCCACATACGAGCTTCGATCGAATACTGCAACAACGTGACCGCCTATGTTACTGCTGCAATTCTGAGCCAAAAGGATATAAAGAGACGCTGCAATTTGATAAAATATTGGGTGCAAGTGGCAGATCGATGTAAGCACCTTAACAGCTTTAATACTTGCATGGCCATTCTATCTGCATTTGATAATAGTGCAGTTGGACGCCTGAAACGTACCTGGGAAATGGTCGGTACCCGTACACACCAAATGCTCTCCTCGATACGAAAGTTGATGGGTGCAAATCGAAACTTTAACCAGTACAGAATCTTGGTTCGATCAATTAACCCGCCATGTATTCCTTTCCTTGGGATATACTTGCAAGACCTGACGTTCATTGAAGATGGAAATCCGACGTATCTCAAGTCTTCAAAAGATATGATCAATTTTGCTAAACAGACCATGATTGCCGAGGTTGTTCAGGAGATTCGGCAGTATCAGCTGGTACCCTACCGGCTCAAACCTGTAGATGAGATTCAGGCTTTTATCCGGGCCAATTTAAAAAACAGTCGAGATGAAGAGCAGCTATATGAGGAGAGTTTAAGACTTGAACCAAAGTAGGTTTCCCAAGAATAATTAGAATCTTTCTTTGAAAGAAAAATAAATAGATAAATCATGGTACTTAAATTGAAAGCTTTTCTTAGAGAGCGAGAAGATGAAAAGATTACAAGGCTCTTGCAAGAATCTGGATTTTTGTAATTCTAAAAAAAAAAAAAAAAAAGCTGTTGGAGAAAACAAACATTACAGGTTTCAAAAAAACCCCCAAAAAGATAATGACTTTGAACTTCTTTATGTATTAAACCCAAAAAAAAAAGAACTCCCAAGAAGTATCATACTTGATTGTTGTATTGTATTGTATTGTATTGTATTGTATTTTATTTTTATTGTATTGTATTGTATTGTATTGCACTGTTTTGTTTTGTTTTGATTTGTTTTGTAAATATTTATCAACAATACACGCCATTTGTTCACTGTATTTCCCCCCTTTTTTTCTTAACCGTCAGACAACCCGTTGAAGAAAAAAGCATATACACACTTCTTTAAGAAGTTCAACTGCCCAAATAAAAATCAAGAAAGGCAGACAAAGAGAAAAATAAGAACCTTTATTAAAACATACACGAAAAAAAAACAATGACAGAAAAGAAATATAAAATAAAATGAAGAGAAATATGTATATATGTATACTTTACAGACAAAAAATAATAATGAAAAATGAAATAAAATAAAACTCAAGTACTGTCATTGCCATGAGTAAAAACATGTAAGACCCAGTCCAATGTGTCAGACCCTGTGTTCCATCGTACACCAAAAACATTTGGAGTAGAGTTTGAGCTATTTATTGAGTTTTGTGCTCGTATCTCTGCGATTGTCCTTAGATGAGGGTGCCGATAAGCTGTCGTCTGTCGATGGTCAACATACGCTGGAGATCGTGTTTCAGATAATGGAACATTAGAACTGGACAGCGCACGTGATACGGCTTCTCCGGATTTAGGATATCTCTTGGCTGTGAGCGTGGTCCGTCTTTCAAGACATCTTAGGATGCTTTCTGTCAACGGATCATGATGCCGTCGAATGCATTGGTACTCACGGCCCACACGCTCAACCTCACTGCTCAGTTTTTGATGATGACATGGACTTATTAAGCATTTTTCTTCTTCCATGCATTGTTGTCGTTGCAAAAGTAACTTTTGCTGAGTTCGTGTAATGGTTGGCCGGGCATGATTCGAATGAGGCTTGGTGCGTACCGGACTCAGAGTCTCGGAGCGACGGGCTACAAACTGAGATCTCAGAGGCTCTTGACGCTCTGGGCGCTCTTGACGCTCTGGGCGCTCTGGCAAGGGCTTTGATACTTCTTGGGGAGCTGTAGGAGATTGAGCTGTCTTTACCACAAGGGTAGACGCAACGGCATTAAATATCTGTTCCACAGGCGCAGCAAGAGTCATGTGTGACAAGACTATCGGGTTGGTGCGGTGTGATGTCTTCTCATGGACATCCCCCAAGTCTTTCCTTTCCAGTGGTGTGCTAGTACTATATTTTTCAAATGGGAGACCTTTTCTAGTCGTCTTTTCTGCATCAACTGATTTTGGTGCTGAATAAGGAGTCAGGGTTGCTAAACTTTTTTTATCGAATGGCAAGCGTCGTAAAGACCGTTGTGATTGCGATCTTCGCATGGTTGGCCGGGGTTCGTCCGGCTCAAAGTCTGCCTCACTATCTGTGTGGGCAACATTGGTTCTGGCAATAGGAGCTAGCTTTGCAACGTGTACTCGGCTAGTTGATCTTCGCTTGACATGATGTCGCATGGGCTTCTTGAGTGTAGCCGGAGAGGTTGGAGGTGGAGAATGATGGACGGATGGCGTGTCATCACCAACGACAAATTTTGTCTTCTTGCTGTCTTTGACCTCCAGAGCTTCTCTTTGATTAAGTTCTACCATGAAAAAATGTTGTTGTTGTTATGAGTAAACGAAAGAAATGATGGTAATAATAATAATAATAAAAACAAAAACGTGCCTTGAGATTCCTGTTTGAAACCACAGAACAACTTGAAGTCCCGCTGGACACACTCGATCTGGGTTGTGTGGTTGTAAATGCAATAGGGATTACATCTTAAATTCGTCTTGAACTCGTACTTGGCTTTTTTTAAATATAGGTCAGTTTCTTACGGATCATTGGTAGAAGATGATATCCATAAAGTCCAATAAAAACACTCTCTTATACTTAATCTTGGTTTTTATTCTTGTAGCAGCTTTATTATGCCTACCTCATTCATACTCTTTAGTTGAAGTACAAAAGTGAAATTTCAGGCTGCGAATACATAAATCGGCATTATGGAATCGTCTTTTATTTTATCTCAGCACAATATTACACTTGGAGCGTCATTTTCTTATAATAAATGTCAGCATTTCTCATTGACTTTTTTCATTTCATTTTATTTTATTTTATTAGACCCAGTACTATATATTAATATATGAAGCTGTACAAGTGCACTGACCATTTCTAATACGTATTTTATAGTTTGTTCCAATACAAGCTGTGGTCTCACAGAAAAGGCTGGCCCAGAGAATACAAAGTCAGATCAAAAGAAATAAATAAATAAATAATGCTATCTGCACACTTGGTACAGCACCCTTTCTTTTTTGTAATTGGGAAAATACCCATTTTCTTTACAATACTATTATTATTATTGTCATTATTAACCAAATGTGGTCTGAACAACCCATACATCTGCAAAAATTACTAAAAATGATCAAAATTCCTTGTGCTTAATTTTTTTATTTTGAACTTTTATAAAATTAAAAGGCAAAAAGATTATAATCATGTATAAAGCCATCAGTGTCGTCCCAATAGAAGTACTGTGCTTCCAGTCTCAATTTACTGAATATTTGAAAACTCCACCCACTTTTTTTTTTCAAAAAAAAAAAAGATTGGCCAATTGCATGAAGTTAAATTTCCCAGTAATAAAAATTAATTTGCCCGGCTTTTACAAATGATTTGACCAAACTTGTGGTTTAAAAAAAATGCTATAACTCTTGTAAGAAGAGTTTTAAGTGCTATTAAGACATAGGTAACAGCTCTTAAGAGAGAAGACGGATTGAAGAATTATTAACGTATATCAATAAAGAATAAGTATTGAAAGTGGGCACCAGACTGATAGCTGTCAACGTATACTATATTATTATTTAGAATTATGGTAATAAAGTAATTGCGTTTCGGATGGGAATGTGCGCTTTGTACAAGGTGTTTAACAGTATCGATGTCTGAAAATTATATTAATGCACTACACATTAACTTTAAAATAGTCTATTATGCTTAATATATCTAAAAAGCTATTTTGTAGAGATACTTAATGACATGATAAAAGTAAGTCTACAATAAATCAATCTAATTTATAATGAGTACAGCGTACGAAACAGTAGTAAAGCTTTTGTATATCTGTTTACCGTTATTCAAAAAGTCTTTTTAAAGTCGTATTTTGATAAATGTATATTGTATTCTGTCAAACCAAGTTGACCTCAACACTGACTGCCAATTAATTATATACTATCTGTCTTTTTTTAAAAAGAAAAAACAAAGAAAAAGAAAGGATTTCACTAGCTTATTGGGCACCGCTGCATGAATCAAGATATATCCCGCTAAAAACCAGTGCCACAACTGTTATTCTTGGATTAACAGACAGAATTTTACGCGAGTGTTTCTTGCCAACGATAAATAAATACCCAAATAAGAATGAGTATAGCTAAAGATTGTCACATATTATCATAATGTTTAGTATCATACACAAGCTTTATATAAGATTACATTATATAACTACTTTTGGAGGGGTTTTTTTTTTGCAATCAAAGTAAAAGAGTTCAATTTTATCTCTGGTAAGCTTACATAAGATTAATTGAGGGTTGTTGATATAGACAGGTCTGTATTTAATCGAAATAATTTCCATTCTGGAGTGATATCTTTTTTTTTATGATAAACCTAATCTACCACTCTTTTATCATAATGTGCTGTTATTCACAAAAGCGGTTTTCTTTTTATATCAGTAACCAAGGTAATTAATGCTTTTAATAGTTTTATATTAAAAACACCTTTATGTTTGTATACAAGATCAATTTTATATAATATTTATTGTCCCAGAAAAGTTACATTTCTGTTTCATTTTTCTTAAAAAAAAAGTAGCTTTGAATATGTATATTATGGGTAATATTTATAAGAAGTATACTAAGGTATGTTTCTTGTTTACGCATTGTCAAGGACAATTATTTCATCGCCTTCAGAGATACCATAAAACTTCAAGTCTCTCATGTCATCCGAGATATCCATAACCATGGCACCTTTTCCGTCGTAGTCATTGTGTAAAAGAAAGATAGACTGTCGCTCTGCTGGTATTTGTAATAATTTCTGAATTACTCGGCGAGCATTTCGGACCAGCATGGTTAACAATACTCGCTTTTCAATAGATTTGACAGGAGCCGGAAGGACTTTTTGATCCGTGATAGCCAAAAGTTCTTCAGATGAAATGGAGTATCTGGAGAATTTGACACCTAAGGTATTTTTTGCAAGTGTATAAATAATTAGATATTAATTTATATTACATTGAATATTACTAAATACTAAATGAGAAAACCACATACCAACAAGCCTGTCCTTTAGTTTTTTACCAAAACCATCAGCAAATGCTTTGCCCCCAAGATCTGGCTCACCATGAACTTATACAATTAAAAGTAAATTAGCAATTATCCACAAGGTCTACTAAAGAACATACTTTCGCAGAGCTCTTTATAACGAGGATGAATAGCAGCAATTTCATCATGGGTCTTTCCATCCTTTACACAATTCTTCAAATAGAAGCGTTCCATATCACTCTTCTCCCTTCCAGTCATCTATTTCCATCGTGTTAGTCCCATTTATATTGATTAAGCTACAGTAAAATAAACAGAGGGCAGTCTTACTGTATTTCCATTGATCATAGCAAGGCCTCCTACTCTTCCGACCACTTGGAAGAACACATCCTCAACATCCATATCTAATATAAAACGATTAGTATTCTTATTCTTATTATATCATTCATTTAGAAAAGGAACCATTAATCGGTAGCCTATAAGCTTATTATCAATCTTACCGTTAAATATAGGATTTCTATTGCAACGTAGCCTGGTTAGAGAATGAAAGCTATTTAATGAGTTTACGCTTTCCCAGTTGTTCATCAGGTTCGAATCAATCCGAAGGAAATCCAATTTCATAAATTGTTCAGAAGAGCAAGGCTTGATATTGGAGAATTTGTTTTCGTTCAAGAATAAGATCTCCAAGCTAACAAGTTCATATATATATATATACGGTATCAATACATAATCTAAGTATCTCTTCTTCTAATATAGCTCACTCACCTTGGAAGATTACCCAAGTTAGTAATAACTTCATCCCAATCCTCAAGTTCATTTAATTCCAGATTGAGCCACTTTAACTTTTGGAATATGGGTTTTTGTGTATTTTCTTTTCCGCTAAGACTAGTAATCTTGTTATTTCCGACCTGGAGATCTTCTATGCTAGCAATCAGAGGCTCTAGACGTAAGATATCTTCCCAAGAGATCCCAGAGTTGTTAAGTCCCAAGGTAGTTAAGTTTGCAAAAGGCGATTGGGATCCACGGTAAAGAGAATGGATATCGGTAGGTAAAGGAGCAAGTCGAGAATTGCTAAATATATATATATATATATATTATTTAGATTGTTAGTGTCATGGTACATTGTACATTCATATAAAGCTGGTTACTTTAAACGTAGTAAACGAAGTTCAGATAGCTGAGATATGATATCGGCAATCGTATCCCAATCTTTGATTAGATTGCGAGAAAGATCAACATCTTCAATGGCTTTAAAACATGTATACAAAATTAAAGAAAGAAAAAGACCGGTTAGTATTAAGATGAATATGTATGTTACTGCGACTATACTTCTCAATTATTATTATTATTATTTACCAAGTTTATATTTGTTGATATCTCCAGGTTCTCCAGCAGCAGAGATGCATAATTCTGCTAGACCTACTACGGTAAGATTATTAAATTCACTGCATTATAAGAGTGTGCATACATATATATATATATATATAATTAGATATATAATTAGATATAAAATATCGAGAATTAGCTTATTGATCGTGCAAATAATTCATATCAAATATATTAATATATTAAAAATTAATAATTAAGGTACCTTTGGGTACGCTGAATTTTATCGAATCCAACTGTTTCAACTTCAATGCTTTTATTGCCACCCAGATATATGAACCCAACATCCTCTTCATGGACATAAGCTCCTTTCCCAGTAGTAGGGTCTAGGTATTTATCCTTCATAGCTTCCATAAATGTTGTTCCTGTGATTACTTTTTCTGGGTGGTAACGAATAAAGGAACCCGCAGTTGGAGAGCTGTCAACACACACACACATACACAAATATAAAGATACGTCCACATGTCTTAGAAAACCTTTCTTATTTATTTTTTTAATATATATATATACTCTTTATCTCTTTCCTTTCTTATTGGTAACTACTAATAAGAAATAATAATGATAATAATAATAATAAAGGTGCTTGCCTGCACTCAAAGTAGCGGATCCCCCCATGGCTACCATCATGCTTTCCTCGGGCGGGATCATCCCACTCTACTCCCAGCCATTCTCCTGATGATTTTGCAACAGTGCCAATGTAACGAATGGTAGCGCGATCGAGCTTAACTTGGATTCGATCGCCTACCTTTACGGTTTCAGGGATTTTTTGTAAAGACATTAAGAATTGTATATAAAAGTATCCAGCCCCCCAATAATAATAAAAAAATAATTGATAATTCAGCCCTGATTTCACATAATATCTTGTTAGAGGCACAATGCACTATTGAGGTGTATATAGCGTGAGAGCTATATACACTTTTTCTTTTTCTTTCAAAATAAAAATAAAAATTTTAGACGTCACCCAAACTGACACAAAGACAAGTTACTTTTATGTCAGTGTGTGATTCAGTCGGGAAAAAGAAATAAAGAAAAGAAATGTGAACATACGATGTTTTAGACTCAGGTTAGATCAATCAGATACTGTGAAGGTAAGTGTGAACTCTCTTTGTTTCTCTACTATTTTGTTTTGTATTATATTTTATTATACACAACGTTTAAGCGATACGATTTGTTATGTTTAGTCTTTGTCTCAAATAAATTATTCTTTAAGTATTTAAAGATGATTATCCCGGATAAAGATATAATCAATTGAAAAGCAAGCTTTATGTATATATATATATTTATTTATTTGTTTCAAAGTTAATTGGAATGAATTGAAACAAGATTAAAAGGAGAGAAGGATGTTCATATCATATGTGGTTTAAAGATAATACTAAACCTGAATATAGAAGATGTATAATTGTATATAAAAACAATTAGCCAACCAAAAACACACTATAATTTATTGTATATATATATATAAAAAAAAGAAGCGATTGGAATTGATCCGGAGTCAGTAACGGTTACAAAAAAAAACCAATACTTAGGATCAGTAGAAAAACTAAATTATGAATTGACTTGGTCTAGAAATTAATCTTACCGTCTTTACCTATCATAAATATTCAGTCAACTTGTATTTGTATATATTGTTTTATAATGACAGCTATCTATCGTACAAGACTAGTTATATAGACATAATTTTTTTTTTGCCTATTTTCCTTTTGGTCTGTGCATGGTTATGTTCATTTGAACTTTTCTGCATTTCAAAGCCTACAACTAATTTATATACTATATTATAAAACACACACACACACACACAAAAAGCTTTAGCGCAAATTATTTTGGAAGATATATAACCCACCCATATGATTGAACAGTATTTGCTTAAAGAAGTTCAAAAATAAAACAAGTAAAGAATATAAACAGTTTTTGTTTTGTTTTGCACGTATTATATTATTTTTTCTTTATTGAAATCTTTGGCTTTGACTAGGTCGTATAAGAGAGATTATGCCCAACTATTTAAAGTGACACCGAAAAAAGGGAGGTAGGGTTTAAGGGATTTTTTTAAAAAAAATGAAGAGATGATATTGAGATGATGATGTTTGCTGTTTGTTTTTTTTTATCTTTGGTTTAGTTCTTGAAGAAACGAACATCACCATCGTCTTCAACAAATCTGCACTGAGACCATGAGTTGATCAATGCCTGAGGAATAGGAGTAGGGTCGTAGTGGTAGTGCTTTCCAAGAGCCTTCTTGATGTGCTCGGTGGCCTCCTCACCGTGGTAGTGGGGCATGGTAGAGAAAAAGTGGTGGGCAACGTGGGTGTCCGAGATGTGGTGGTGGAAGTGGTTCAAGATGAAGCCGTAAGAGCGATCGATAGTCAAGGCAGCACCGCGCTGGAAGTTCCAGGCTTTGGCGCTGTAATGGGGAAGGGTAGGGTCGGTGTGCTGGAGGTAGGTGATAAGCACGAGCCAGCCGTTGACAAAGAAGTAAGGGATAACGTAGTACTTGACCACAGCCATGGAGCCATAGACCTGGCCGGCATACACCAAACCGCTGATGACAGCAAGAATGCCTGCAGTGGACTGCATGACTTCCGAATACTGGTCCTTCTCAAAGATGTAGCAGTTGGGGTTGAAGTGGGAAACCCAGCCGGTCTTGCCAGGCTGACCGGTAACATCGACCAAAAGATAGTAAATCCATCCGAACGACAACATCTTGAAGATGCCGAGCAACATGGCAATAGGAGACTCGTCAAAAGCAGTGTGGGGTCCATCGTGTTCGGGGTCCTCATCGCGAGGAGGGAGACCACGTTCAGAGCGAGTCTTGGGGACAAAGACCTATATAATAGAATTGTTTTGACATGTAAACAACACTTGCGATAACTTATCGAAACATGAAAGTTTAAAAAGAAAATGACATTTACCATATCTCTGGTCAAATGACCAGTTGCCTTGTGGTGCTTGGAGTGAGAGAACTTCCATGAGTAGTAAGGAACAAGCAAAAGACTGTGGAGAACCATTCCAGCGCCATCGTTAATAGCCTAATAATAATATTATTTTTTAAAAAAAAATTATTTCCATGGTTACGTTTGCGTTAGTTTGAAAATTTTCGAATTGATTGCCATGATAACAAAATAATAAATAGTAGTAATAAGATTTGGTATAAATCAAAAATTACAGCTTGATTTCATCTTATTTTACTATAAAAACAAAGCTATGGTAATATTTGATCCTATAAAGCAAAAAAAAAAAAAAAAAAAAACTTGTTTCTTTTTCTTTTTTTTACCTTTGAGGGACTGAAGGCTTGATGGCCACACTCATGGCCAATGACCCAAAGACCAGTACCAACAACACCCTGGGCAACCCAGTAGGCAGACCAGAGGAGGTAACGAAGAGGAGTGGATGACAAGGTGTCGATCCAGCTTGCACCATATGCCAGTAATCCAATGAAGAAGAAATCGTGAAGGACAAAGGTGAATGAACGGAAGGTATCACGACGGAAACAGTGGGCCGGGATAGCGTCACGGATTTCCTTGATTGTGAATTCTGGGACCTCCCATCCTTTAGCGATGGCCTCGTCAAGGACAAGTGGTGTCTGCGCTGCCTCGGAACTGTTCTTCTGTGCCATTGTTGGTTGTTGTTGTTTTTTTTTTCAAATCAAGAAAAATGTAGACAACGGCAAAGAGTAGGGAAGAAAAAGGGAAAGATTAAAAAAATTGTTGAGCTGAAGCTGCATTTATAAGACCAATTAAAAAAAAAAGGAGGGGTAGGGAAGGATGACCAATAGAAGGCTATTTTACATTACGGAGCGGTAAATAAAATATGATCCCCAAATGTTGAACATCAAAGCGTCCTTTCAAGCTGTCTTGTTTATTTTCTTTTGGTACGAGTCGTACTTCTGCTGGTCCCTCTACCAGTAGTTGTTCTTCTACCTGACCGCTGTCTTCCGGACATAGGCTCAGGTGTTACTTCAGACTTGCGCACACCACGCGAGCTTCTTTTCGATTTCCCTATAAAACAAATAAAAAAAGTAAACAAAATGAAACTCCATAAAACAAATATGTTTTAGATTCTACCTTCTTCAGGCTCAGGTGTAGAGGCTGCTGATTCGGCCACAGACACTGCTGGAGATTCTTCTCGTTTACTGGTCCTTGTTCTCTTTGCTGGAGGAGAAGAAGGTTCATCGTAGGTTGACTGGTCATCTTGGCGGTGTTCAGATATCAATTGTTCATAATCATCTAGAGGCAGTGAAAATTCGTTCACCATTTCTCCCCTCTTTTCGTCATCTTCTTCTTCCTCTTCTTCATCCTCTTCCTCCTATGTATTGACATTTAGTATGATATCATCAAAAGTAACAAAAGGGCTTTACCAACTCATCCAAGGCTTCCATGCCATAATAGTCACTAAGCCGTTCCCATATCTCCTTGATAGTACATGGCACTTGACTCTGTTGATTAAATAATCTTCGTACACTCATAATCCTAAAGTGTTTATGCATCCCTATATTTACTTTGAGCCAAAAATGACCTTATTTTATATATATATTAAGCTTTTGCATAAAATACATACCAACTGGCTTGCACCGTGCAATAGCATTCAGGAGAGCTAATTCCATTGTAGCATCCCATTCTTTGCTAGTCTGTGTATTTTGGCTGCTATTTATATTTTCTGTCTCTGTCCATTCTGCTGTGGCTGGGACAGTAGGTAATGGCTGTTCTTGTGCTTCAATCTTGATGTTCTCCATGACTTGCATTAACTTCACGCCGACCTTTTGCCTTGTGATAAAACCTCTAAATGTGTTGAGCGGTCACATTCGGAGGTAATTGAAAACAAGTCTTTCTTTTTTTTTTGTATATTTAATGTCCGGAAAAAAGAAACCGAATATGTACCATTCATTTTTCGTTGCCACGTCTTAAAATGATATTTTTCTGCTTACTATGTGTGAGTGAAGTGTTTGGAACACAGTTAAAAAAAAAAAAAAAGAAAGAATAAAGTGTGTTGGACCAGCATTTGATTTTAAAAGGCAGATTCCATGACTCTGGATTCATACTGCTGAGTAGTAACCCGGGGTTCAGGTACTTCTTGTGAAGTTTTCTTTTTTTTTTTTTAATGTTTTAACACAAGAGATAGTAAAAAAAAAATTAACTACCAAATAGCGAGCAAGATTAACCAATAGAAATTTATGCACCTTGAGATTTGGCATTAAGAAATATTTTATTATTTATCTATTTATTTTTTTAAAAGAAAAATGCCTTGTGGGATCAATCGATACCCTGTCTATTGTGTAACTTTTATAGTACAACAAGCTTCATAGGATCTATTGTCAAACTTTGATCTTTTGTATTTTCATATGCTTATACTAAGAGGGGAGTTTTCATGAGGCTAAAAAAAACTGTGAGCCCCAAGACTGGAATACCACAGGACCTTGCTGGTGTAAGTGTTTTTGCCTTTTATTCTTTAGTTAGAATAAAGCTATATACATATATATATATATAAGTTATTTAAAACTAAACAGATCGAACTACATGGACATAAATCAATTGAAATCTTTGCCAACAAAGGGACGATATCAAATAGAATAAATAAATTAATAGCCGACGAAGATTTCTGCCCATCTTCTTGGCTAAATATGATTTGGTGGTACAGTAATCATAACGCCAGTAAACAATATATATATATATATATGTGTGTTATACCAAAAATGCAGTTATTTATATAAAATACAAACGACCATTTTTGTCTCTTCTTTGAAAAGCTACAAGGAAGAGACTTTTACTGAATATAAAAAAAAACTATGCTGTTAACCGAAAAGACAATCATGCCCGTCCCATCTAGAAACATTAATTAATATTAACTGTAGCTCTCAGGGATTATAACATGAGCCGATTTCTGATGATTTTAATACAATAATATTAATGCAAAAAAAAAGTATTTGTGTTCTTGCCAAAGAAGCAAACAAACGAATGAATTAAAAGGACATAATGGTTATTACAGCAATGAAATATAGCACAATCGTTCCTGGGCTACCACAGCAGAATAAAATGGTTTCAATATTGCAAACTCTGTTAGATTTTAACTAGTAGTAAAAAAAAAATACCATAAGTTGCGGCACAAAAATTAGGCAAAGAGGCTCGAAATAAAAATAATAAAAAACACAAGGTTCATCTCATAAACTTTAATAATGATCATCCTCAACAAAAACTCGAGCTCAAGCTCAAGCTCGAACCAGTGGTACCAGTTGCTTCACTTACTCAAAGAAGATAGCAGGAAAAGGCCCCCAAAAAAAGCACTTTTGTTTATTTTCGTGCAAGGTCATTTAAAGCTTCCCTTCATATGATTGTACTTCTGCATCACATTCTCTTTAATCTCGCATGAATCTCTTCTTGTGTATTTCCAGCCGTTTAAAAAGAAAAAGAAAAGGCTGATTTCAAACTGCTGTAATCTTTGCAAGATTTGAAAGAAGAAAAATATTCATTACTATGCCACAATCATAACGCACTTTCTTTTTTCTTAAATAAAAAGTCAAAAGCTCGGTATAGTGATATTTAATGCTTTCTGATTTATCTTTCTTTTTATTGGATATTGATAAGGAAGAATACAAAAACAATATACATTGTCAGTATTTTTTAAAGAAGTACATATATCTTTGAAAAATGAATGATTACTAATCCCACTCCCTTTATTTTCTCTTGTTTTCTTTGGTTAAATGTCAATATTTACAGTCTTTTGTTGACTATCTAAACCCCTAACCAATCTTCAGACTGAATTTGATTAGAATTTTAGCTCATATCACTATAGTCTAAAAAAAAACTCATGGTTTTTATCATATAAATTATAGAGATATTACCTATTATTTTAACATCATAATAGAAATCATGGTTTCTACTTGTATATACCTTGTCAAAATAAATAAATACAGGTATTATTGGTGTTATTATTATCTTGATAATCTCTCTGTGCCAAGCGATTACTAGACCTCTCAACGCACAGTGATATTGGTTTGTTGGGGTGCATACCTTTACAATGTCGACCATTTAAATAGCATCATCGTTTGTGGTGGAAATAGTAATATAATCATTTCTGAATCTAGTGATATATCCGTCAATGTTTGTCTGTTGTTGGTCAAACAAGCACTGAACGGAACTGACTAACGCTTTACAAAACTTTCATCTTTTTTGAGGTGCATGCCCTGAGAAAAAGTTGGCATCAAATATGGAGTTTTTGGTGCAAATAGCCCACTTAATTAATAAACTTTTTTTTTGGAATGTAAAAATAATACAGCTTGACCAATATTAAAGCAATCAATGTCAAATGGCTTTTAAACGATGGATATTAATGTGCTCCATCATGTTACATAAAAAAAAGCACTTTATGTAACCAGTTTTTAGGTATAATTGATTCTTCTCATTTAATTTGCCTTTATGATAAAAAATGATCCTTCTTAGTAAGCAATTCTTCATTTCAGTGGTAAATTCAATAATCTTCGACATACAAATACCTGGTTGAATATATATGTCTGGATTTTTGGTAGCTATAATACTAGCACCTTGGCGTACATTAATATCTTATAAATCAATATAACCAACCACCAGACGATCCGAACATCGTTACAAACCCCAATTGACCCACAAGCTATACCAACCTCCAAATGATCCGGGCGCAGTTGCAACTTTCAATTGACTCAAAGGATATACCAACCTCCAAACGATCCGGGCGCAGTTGCAACCTTCAATTGACTCAAAATATATCCAAACTTTCGACCGCTCCGGGCGCTGCTGCAACCTTCAATTGACTCCCAAGATATTCTTACCTCCAAAAGATCTGGTCACTGCCATAACCTCCAATTGACGATCACAAAATCATCTCGGAACTCATATAAATCCAGTTGTTGAGTCAATAAGTTGGAATAGAAAGACGCAACAAACGTCAGATCTGTTGATATTATCCTCTAAAATTTGGTTCGACATGCCATATAGTACTTTACTTGTGCAAAACACTCGTGTTCCTTATCATTTTTGCGCAATAGGGATTGGTTTGTCTATGTACAAACTTCCTCTGGGTGTTTTTTTTTATAATCTAATGAAACACTCCGGAAGAGTAAAGTAGAAATTAGACAAAAAAAAAGTGAATAAAAAGAAGATTAAAAAATATAATGATTAGTAAACCCTTGATGAATTGATTAGTAGGCTTGCGTCTTATATTTATTATCTACTTCTGTAATGTCAAATACAAAAGCTATTAATCGTTCTTAAAGGATACGATAGTATCTAGAAGCCATATACCTTGTAATGTCAATCATTTATGAAAGATATTTGTTTTAAAAATACAGGCATATGAGTCTAATTATATTGCATTTTATTAATATACCCCAGTAGCGAAATATACTACAGAATATAGACCACAGCAAGTCTATGTTATAATTATATATAAACATATTCTTGTGGTTTAATCATTTAATATTTCTTTTAAAAAAAAGGGTTCATTTTATTTCAATAAAAACTACTGTTTAACTGGAAGAACCGAAAATCCAACCAAAGGAAAGTGATTGAACACATCAGTACCGTACTCTTCATTCATACGCTTAATTACAACCTCTTGAGCAGTCAATTGTACAAGAGTACCTATCACAGGAATCTTTCCAGTATCCAATGGAGTGACGGAAACTAGGACACCTGCTTTCAGTGGCGAATCTTCGGAAATGGCAATAGGTTCAAACAAAGATTTGCTTTTGGATGCCTCCAATGCCTCTCGCTCAGACAAAACCGGTCGACCTTCTCCTAACTTATCCTTTACTACCTCGAGAAAGCGTTTCTGATGGTCCAACAATAAAGGAAAGCGCTTCTTAACCAAGGTTTCATCAACAAATTTCAACACAAAGCAAAGGCACATGCCAAAATGGAAATCAGCCAAAGATGGCGCGGAAGTATCTAAGAACCATTCTTTTCCTTCGCTATTGCCTCGCAGTAATTCATCTGCGATTCCAAGCTGCGCCTGCATTTCAATAGCTAGATAGGGGGCATCAGCAATGGCTTCTTTCTTGCTGCTAAGTCCAAAGAGGGGAGCACGATCATTGTACAAGCTTTCAGGAATATCTGCAGCGGAAAATTGGGGCATAACCGAGTACATCAGGCCGTTCGCTGCCCATATTTCGAGGGCCTTACATAGACCTTGAGTTGGTAGACCAGAACGAGTGGTTGGATAAAAAGAAGGTTCGGGATATCTATATTATAGAGTTAAGGGGGGGGGGAAGATTATGGACACGTATAGTCATGTATTAAGTATAAATTAAAATATACCTTTTCTCCAATTCTTCGAGAATAATCTTTGTGTCGCAAAAGACATGATCATCAATTTGAAGAATGGGTGTCTTTCGGTACCCTCCGTCAAGGGGTCTACGAAGAGGACGTGGTTCGATTTGAGAAACCACAACTGTCTTGTAATCAACGTTCTTGTAGTTCAAAGCCCACGCGACTCTTGATGCAAATGGAGACTCTGGGAACCAGTGCTGTAATAAAAAAGAATATGCCATGATATGTATATGTATTCATTTAGAAAAACCCTGGAATTTTGTAGGCAATTGACTCTTACCAGAATGATAGAGTTAGACATTGTTAAAGAGAAATAAATCGAGTCAATTAAAACAAAAAAAAATTACAGGGACCTTTTTTATGTGTAAGCGAATGGGATATGTAACATGGTACATATGACATGCACTTTACCAGATTGGATCCCTTTATACATATATCAATGCAATTGGTGCGATCATTTTGCAGAAAAATAAAGTTGTTGTCAAAATCTCTACTTTTATCCCTAATATATTATTGAAACGTTTGACTCATACATTTGCGGACGTTTCTTTTTTCAAATTGATAAACCAATTTGAAACGTTTGTATGTAGCAAAAGCTAAAAGAAAAAAATTCTTTATAGATTTATATATCTCATATGTTAACTACAGACAGTTCATCAAAAGAGTAAAGTTTCTGTAGCCATGTATCGATACGATCAAAGTGTCATTGCGTGGTTTGGATTAAATGTACCACAAAAGAAGAAAGAGAAAAAGAAATGACTAGGGAAAATAACAAAATTAGGGAGATACGCTACAACCTGTGTACAAGGTAAGAATAGTCATCAAGTAGGCTTAATTATCATATACTTATGGTTTGAATAGAATTATAAATTGAAGTAGGGCACCATTTACCCCCTCCCTTCTATCTCTGACCAACAATACAGTCGTATCGAAGCCAAGTAAATTGGTTTTATTCGCCTTTTTAGGATAAATTTGTGCAAGCCGGTTTGTTTCATGTCACCCGCAAAAAGAAAATCAAACGCCAAAGGATGTGAAAAAGATCGAACATAGAACAGTGTTCCAAAAGTTAATTGAAGTAGGCACAGACTTTGTTTTTATAGTAGGACTTGAAAATATATTTGCTTTGGATGAAATACGTAGAAAACTTAAAGAAAAGCTTAAACAATGCCGTGTGTTGAGCTTCACTTTAAGGCCGAGTAAAATTTATATGACCTACTTGGAAGCTAAATAATAACCACAATTTTGTAGTTATTTAGAGCCAATTTTTTACTTATTGATACACTCAGTGTATCTTATAACATCTTTATCAGACCTTGCATTATAAAGACCCGTCCATTTACACATGAATGTGCTTATTTTACATCAAGGTTAATCAAATAAATAGCTTTTTTATTAGCTCCTTTAATACCTCCAGTTTTTTAACATATAATATTCAATTCACTTATACATACTTTTATCCAACTATTAATTTTCTTGTCTCTGGTGCCCTCTATCTGATTTTATAGATTCTTCCACATATACACTATGGGAAAAAAGCTGAATTCTGAATTTGTGACTTCATTTTTGGCTTATAATAATTAAAAAAAAAATCATCAAAAATCCAAATTGAAACAAAAATCTCACTGTTTTCTCAAAATCGCAGTGGAATCACCAGTGGATTCCCCAGCGGGATCACCACTTTTTTCCATAGTGATGATAAAGAAGTGTACCCTATCTTTTTCTTTTTTTTTTTTAAAAAAAAAAGAACATCTTCGTTTTGTTTAATCTTAAGTTACATGAAATTTTATACATATACTGAGTATCTATTATAAGCATATGCTGCTTATTACTTGAGAAAAATACTCGAATTGCTCTTCTTGTCAAATTCACATTTGGTTCTTGAAACCCAATTAATTAATTTATTAACTACAAAGCTAGAAACTTGGTTGATTATTACAGTAGAGAAAAGAAAAATGTCAGTAATGCTTTGTAAAATACGGCTACTAAACCTTCACTGGTAAACACATAATTGTAAATGTTATTTCTTAATAAAATTGATGCTATAATGTACGTATCATAGAAGAATATCAAACAATCGATTCTTGATTTAGCCTTTACCAAATGTTTAAAACAATAACTGTCATTATATTATTACAGAAAGATATTTTTCAAGACGTCTTGAAAAATTTTACCATATTTTTTTTGTATGGTGAGCTTTAAACCTATAAAATATCTACATAATATACAGAAATAATAATAAAACGCCCCAAATACCAAATATATATATATATACATATATATACTTCTTTATTAATATTAAATAAATGAAACAGTAAAAGCCACGTTTGTCTCGGTCCGTGCCCTTTGACATACTCAAGATGGAGTGAATTGGTACGACAGCAGTCACATATTTTTGGCCTTTACCAACGTTTCATTTGATTTCCACATTGTACATCAACTTGGTCTAATGGAAGATAATAAAGAGATCCTCGAAGTTGACGTCGATGTGGACATTGACATGGACACCGATCCTGAAAGCACTACCCAAGAGAAATCACTAGAGATGATTGCAGAAACTCAACCGTAATCTGTCGTCCTGGCACTTTGAGTAACCATTCTCCAATAACCCTCCAGTCGCTAAATTGACGCGTTTGCTCTTAATAGCTCTAAATCATCTTCAACACCCAGTAAAGATCGTGAATCCAAATCATGGAGTCTGGATTCGGTAGGAAAATAAAAATAAAAGCATTCTAGACGGCACAAAAAAAAGTACGCAATCTAAAATAATGAGTTTTTCACTTATTTCTACTTCTATTTTATATTGGCGGTGGGACCAGTATGAGTTACACGATGTCGATGATAAATCAAGAGCTCTTATCGAGCAAATGCTTGCCGAGGAGCAATACTATTATGGGGATGATACAATATCCACTCTTCCAACTTCTCAAAGCAACCAACGCAAAAAGAAAGGGGATTTGAAAGGCAAAAAAATAGCAAAGAAGCAAAAGTCAGATATGGATTTTCAATTGACAGATGACAGTGATTTCGGAGGTTCATCTCTTCAACAAAAGAAATTATCCAAGAAAGGCGAAGGTAGATAATCTTCTTTTAGTTGCTTCAGAGCGATTCCCTCTATAAATAACATAGATAACTGATTTACTCATCTCCAAGGTTCTCTTTCATCTATTTCACTCCCTTCTCATAAGACGAGATGGACAAGTGAAGAAGATGACAGCTTAAATGAAGCATTGGTACGTAAAACAAATATAGTTTTATCACTTAATTGTTTTTTTTCTAAATATCAAATAAAGACAAAATATGGATACGGCAATTGGAGAGTGATATCAGAGTTCGTAAAGACACGGAATCCTCTTCAATGCAAAAACCATGCACGCCATTGGTTATTATCTGACAAGGTAAAGGATGCTGGTCATGTTAATTTAAAGTCTTATTTCCATAAATCTATTTATTTATTTATTTATTTATTTATTTATTTATTTATTTATTTATTTTATTTTGTTTTATTCTATTTCAGTTGGATAAATCTCATATGCCGAACAAAGAATCAGAAGATATGAAGAAGAAAGACATGGAAAATAAACAAGCTCCTAAGAATATTGAGTCATCAATGGATATGGACGAAGATATTTCTGTGGAAGACGAGTTTAAAACCAATGCAGAAAATGAACTTCAGAAAGATCTAGACGAAAATGACATTCTTATAGAGGAACCAAAGGACGAACAAATGGCCGATAAAGATACGCCTTTGGATAAAACAAAAGCTCAGGATATAGAAATAGATACACCAGTTACCGACGATATTTCCAAAACACAACAAATACAACCTTTAATTCCTGCTGATACAAATTCATTAGACAACCCTACAGCAGATATAAAATTCCAAAAACCATCGAAATCTCCTGAGGATATACATGATAAAGACAGTGCTTCTCCCGAACCTTCTTTAAAGGAAAATCGTACTGAATCTCCAAAATCTATTCCAAAGGATACTTTACCCAAAAAATCTATTTCTACCGATAACACTGAAAACGCTAAAAATACTGATAAAGTTGATAAAGCTGATAACGCCAATAACACTGACTCGGTAAAGTATTTGATTTTTTTTAAGGGAAAAATTGCTATTTTGTACATATGATATACTTACTTTAATATGCTTGAATCAGCGCTTTGATAGACATTATATATCTGAAGAAGAAAAAACAAATAATCCTGAATGGTTCAACAATAAGCAATCAAAGACCCCTGATCGATATCTTAGAATCCGGAACCACATGCTTGATTGCTGGAAGTCGTGCAAGCCGCGTTACCTTACAAAAACAAGTGCTAGAAAGGGTCTCCAGAATTGTGGTGATGTCAATGCTATCGGCAGAGTACATTCTTACCTTGAGAGTGTAGGAGCTATCAACGTAGACTGTATTACAAATGCACCCCGCCCACCTAAACGTGTTGCACGCGAAACCTTTGAAGATGACGAAACGTTTTTTAATGCAGCTGAATTAGTAGTTGGCTATGAAGGGTAATTGTATTTTGAAGAGAAGGTATAAGAGGGACAATATTTGACTCAAACTCTGCTTCTTCAAATAGACCTCGTAAAAGAAAAGTCCGGAATTATATTGGAGAATGGTATTGTGAAATATATATATATATATATATATCTGATTTTACAAAAACAACACGAAAAGAGCTAACCGAGAATACTTTGTATTTAGGGTCGATCCTAAAGAATTAGAGGGTCGGGTTATTGAACATGGACATGATCGTCAAACAGGTATTCAAGGAATAACATGTATATATACATACACAGGAAAATAGCTAATATATATATATATATATATATGATCCATTCTATATAAAAAGATAATGCAGCTCGTCCCAAACGTGTTATAAAGCGACCTCAACAGTATTATGGCGGGGATGACTTTGGGCGTGGTTATGATCCTTTCAGACTGGTACCTGTAGACTACTACGGGGATGATGACCCGGCTCCATTTACAGTGGAGATTGACAGTGATGTTTTGGTAAGACTTATATATATATATATCTGTTTCCTTTGTTTAATTACTTACTTATTTTACCTTTAAATTAGCTTATTATGGATTTTCATTCTCACTTGGCACATACAGAAATTATTGGTCTTCTTGGAGGAAATTTCGTAAACAATAATGGGGCAAAAATACTAAAGGTAGAATCTGTTTTCCCTTGCCGTAGTACAAGTACAGGTATTCAGGTAAAGTCTGTAGGCTCTATTAATGGGTAGAGAACACGCTGTTTATTTTTGCGTTATAGTGTGAGATGGATCCAGCCTCAGAAATGATGGCAAGAGAAGCGTTTTCGGAAAAGGGCTACACTGTTGTTGGTTGGTACCATTCTCATCCTACTTTTGAGCCTCACCCAAGTATCCGTGATATTGAGAATCAAACGTCTTACCAGGTAATATTTTCTTGCTGTACGACTTTGTAATATATATATATATATATATATATATATGTGCGTGTGTGCGTGTGTGCGTGTGTAAGATATTTCTAACACTATTCGTAGACTTTGTTTCGAGACGAAAAGACAGGAGATGAACCATTTATCGGTGTGATTGTAACACCATATGACCCCGAGAATGTCAGTGATCACTCTCAAGTACAGTATCTCCATATCAGTAATCGATGGAACGAAACACGGTCCTTTAGTAAGTCTACATTAAATTCAAATAAAATAAAAAACACATACATTAAAAAAAAATTGTGTTATTATCTTAGGATTGCCTTTTGCATGTCGTCGCATGGTGCAACAGAGCGAGCAGGTCTCGCCAGAAGTGATGGCCAACTTTGAAAGACTTGTAGATGAATTCAAGGATTATGAACAGTAAGCTGCTAATATAAATAAATAAATAAATAAATAAATAAATAGAAACTAATGTATCTTTAAAGTAAAATAGATATGTCTCTCCCGTTCGGTCACCAAACACGTCTTGATAAACTATTGGATTCATTACGTGCCAATATGTTCTTGAACGCAGAGCAAGAGACTGAATTTCTCGAGAAAGTACGGAATTTGATGGTTAACACATTCAATCAGAAAAAGCCGGCACTAGAGACAGCCAAGCTGGATGTACCGACTAAAGAAGTAACTGAACCAGTTTCTCAGCCAGTTGAGACCCTTGACAGACAATGATCTTAGGGTCTGTTTATCTTTATGCATTTGACTTTTTGTTTAGTTCAAAACCTGTAAATATTAATTATATAACTCATTTCCTCCTCTTCCTCATTCTCTTCCTCTTCCTTGTTCTTCTTAAACCCTATAACAAAAAAAAAGATAAGAAATCGCTAATTATTCGGGCCAGACACTTTTCCTCTCGGGCACGACGTTTCTCTGGAGCACTACGTTTATTGAATCTCCGCCTTTCACCATTTACCGGCCTCATAAAAAGTGATTTGTTGTCCGGCATCCAGCAATTTTATCTGGTCCCTAACCACCCAAAGTAGTTTATATGAGTAAAATCAATCTATCAAAATATAAATAATTTAATTCATGAATAAGGTACATCTTCATTTAATATAACGGAATTTCTAGGTGTACTTAAGTAGTAACCATATTAAAATTTCTATTTTTTTTATGCAGTATATACAAAATATACAATTTGTAAACGTCGTGCCCGAGAGGCAAAACGTCGTGTCCCAAACGTGACTGTGTAAGAAACGTCGTGTTCGAGAGGCAAAACGTCATGTCCCAAACGTGACTGTGTAAGAAACGTCGTGTTCGAGAGGCAAAACGTCATGTCCCAAACGTGACTGTGTAAGAAACGTCGTGCTCGAGAGGCATAACGTCGTGTCCTAAATGTGGCGATAGAATAATTGTGTTCAAGAAAACTGTTGATGCAATATTTTACTTATTGAAAGTAAAGCTTCTATAAGTATAATTATAGAGGTTTCTAGAATTTTACTTTACATTTTAAAGAGTTCATATTCAATGCAATGTCTTTTTTATTGTAGTTCTCATGCAATAAACGCACAATATAAAATAAATAAATAAAAATTGTGACCACACCTATTTCTGTAAAAACACAAGATCTATTTGGTTCCCGTCAACAAATCATATACCTGCTGTTGCTGATGAGTCATTTTTTCACGATTTAACTTGAGACATAAATCATATATTTTCATTTTATGTGATTTAAGTGGAAAAGATTATAATCCATATAATTTGCATTTTTTTCAAAAACTTTCGTAATAGATATAAAGGTAATGAAGCCTTTTATGCCTAAGAAAGTTTGCATAGCAGTAAAGCTAATATATTTTTACAAAATTCATGTTTTTACTTTTTATTTTTTATTTTTATTTCTTCTGTAAAAACTCTTTCTATCATTTCCTTGCAACATGTACATGAGATATTTTATCAAAAATACAAAAAATGAAAAATATTCATATAAGACCAAAAAAAGTTTTTAATTACATATATTCAGATAACATATGAATCCAGTAAAAGTTTCATAGAAAACAAATGAGAAAAAAGTGATTCTACAAGCAAATACAATATTTTATTTTATTGAAAAAAAGCAAATTTTTGAGATATTACGTTAGTTTTCTCATGATCGACCCTTTCAATTCAACTAAAAATCCTAGAACACATACATATATCTATAAACTACTTGGATCCAAAGTTATAGAGAGCCAAGTCTTGAATTGATGAAATAAATAGATGCAAATGCATAATATAACATATTCGAAGATAATTTGGCTCGATCTGTGTAACACCATCCGATATTTATGATTTTTAATTCGCTGGTTATAAGTGTAACTCGAAGGGTAAAGTACTTCCCACGAATGATCTCTAGGAAAAAACAGAGCGGAAAGTCATTTAACCCACAAGTGATAGATAGCTTATGTTGATGCAAAGAAACAAATTGATAAGATTTATAAAGATTTAAAAAAATTGTCTAGCTAATAAAATATAAAAGCAAATGAGTAAATAAATAAGAAAAGATCTAGCTAATAAAATATAAGTAATAAAGTATAATTAAAAGAGTAATAAAATAGAAAAGAATATCGAAAAGAAATTATTTTGGAGTAAGATCAATTGGTTGATCTAGATCAGAATGGAGAGAGAGCATGGCATTTCGGCGATCATGCTTGTTAAATTCTTTGAACTTATTCCAGTAAGTATCAAAGTTATCATCAATCTTATTTCTGGCACAACCTAAAAAAAATAATTCAGGAACGGTTGGCCATTTTCTAGAGATATTACGGGAAAGGTCAACTGTTGTCCAGTGATTACTGTTAACATGATTAAAAATCAGAGGTTGTCGTTGTTTGGTTTTGTTGTTGGGAAGGGCGAATGGGAGAAAGGTTGTTGAGGGGGTGTTGGGGTTGTCTGAGTAGACGCAGACTGGTCGTGTATATGTGTCCGCAGCTAGTTGAGCACAGTCGGGTGTGTTAAACCACATACTGGCGTCTGAACATACTGGGATGAAGTTGGTGTTGGTGTTGCTGGTGTTGCTATAATCGAGTTGAGAGCCATGTTGAATGATTTTTTCTAGTTGGCTTGTGTCAGTGCCAAAGGTATTTGTGTACAATGTTTTGTATTTCGGCAGGGCGGCTAGCATATCCCTTTTTACAAGTGAAAACTTATTTTGATCTTTGTAGATCAAGTGGGCAAGGACCCGAAAACCACACCATCCGTCAGCAGTAGGGCTAAACCCACCCTTGACATCATCGATTATCTCATGAGAGACAGGAAAACCGGGCTGGAATTTGACCCTCTTGCCAACAGAGGTGCGATTATCATACTGGTAATCTTCTAAGGCGGTGGCGGGTCTTTTGAACCCATTTTTTTGGGGGGCATCGACTAAAAAGTATATAAGTATAAGACGATAGTTCTCTTTATGGATTCAATTACACTGTAAAATAAGAAAGCATATTACCTGGGTCGAGAGGCTCTTGTTTTATTTTTGTTGTTTTATTTTTGGTGGCATCGACTAAAAAGCATATTCGTGTAAGACGACATCCTTCCACATAAATTCAATTAAAGTAAAATAAAAACACATCTTACCAGGGTCAAGAGGCTCTTGCTTTATTTGTTTTATTTTGTTTTTGGTAGCATCGACTAAAAAAACATGAAAGTATAAGATGGGAATCCTTTCTCATAGATTCAATTACATTGTAAAATAAGAACACATCTTACCTGGGTCGAGAGGCTCTTGTTTGTTTTTGTTTTGTTTTTTGTTTTTTGTTTTTTGTGTAGCTGCAGGCTTTCCCTCCCTCATTTTAGCTCTCAGTCTAACCATTGCCTTAAGGCCAGCCTAGTATTTCAAGATACATATTAGTACTTTGTTATGTTATTTTTTTTTATCTTACATGACCAGACGAAACACTGATCTTCCTCCAGTTTGCCCGACCAAAGTCTTTGGGAAGGTATTTGGGACGTGCACCACCCTTTCTTCTGCCAGGATATTTAATTTTTTCTGGGGCTTGAAAGTTAATCGAAGGGTGCCCAGTTTTGCCTTCGAATTCAGAAGTGACCTTCTTGATCTTATTCAGGAGGTTAGCCACTTGCTGGCTGCCCTCACAGGACCGAAACAGTGACTCGAGTTTAATTACTTCCTCCATCCACACCTCTGGTCTTTCCTCAAGCTGGAAGTTTTCCCGATAAGTGTTGTCCCTTGGCTTTACATTACGAGGATCAATAACCCACCTTTCAGGGATATCAGAAATATAGATATCCCTTCCAGCAGGCAAAGAATGGCGACAAGGTAGACCATACTGGAGCTTGTTCATGCATTCACAAACAATACTGCTTTCACATTTCAGTCGAACCTCTTGGTCTATTACCAGTAAAGCTCGCTTTGAGACCTTCATGAGCAGTCTAGACAAAAGCTTGTTTCGTCCAACAAGAGGGTCAACCGTGGTAGATTCCCTGATCTCCACATTCCGGAAGTCTCTCTCAAGCCTCTCGATATATCTTGAAATATTTTCAAAGGCGAGATCCAGAGAAGCTATTGCAGATATACCTCTCTTTAAGGCTTGATGGGCACTTTCCACTCTTTGAGATGTTGTGCATCCAAAATGCATTATCTTCTGAGTAAGATAACCTGCCCACTTCTCTTGGCATGTAATCCACCTGTCATGAAAATATGCCGAGACTGGCGCTTTCACATTGCCGTTTTCTACTTCGGAACCAGCAGATACAGCGTTGAACTTATTCAGCGCCCAGTCAAACTCCTTCTTACTTTTGCTATGGATCATATTGGATATATATCCCGTCAGCTCTTCCTTTTTTTGTACCGAGCCAACTTTTCCCGAAAAAGCCTTTTCCACACTATTCAGCATGTGCCAGTAACAAAGCAGCTTGCTGTTGTTCGGAAACACAACATCAAGAGCGTTCATAAGTGCAGCACACTTGTCTGTCACAAAAACTGTGCTAAGAGCCTTGTCTTCAAAAACAAGTGCCTTGAGTTGCTGGAGGAACCAAAGATATGTGCCTTGCTGCTCGTTAGAGACCCAGGCAAAGGCAATGGGAAACGATTTGAGGGTTTCTCCTCCGAGGTTGTGGATACCTTCCACGCAAATCAGCGGCATTGACAAGTTATTGGTAGAATATGTAGCATCTACCACCATAACTTCTGAGAAGCGACGAGCTCTCTCCATCATCTTCTGATTGGTAAAAAATACCCTCTCCAGCGAATTGTCCCCGTTTACATCATAATGCACCTGGTAACCTTTTGCTTCCATCATCTTAACAAGTCCAGTACCCGCATTCTGGGCAACAGGGGCAGAAACTCGAGCAAAGGCAGCCTTGATATTGTTGATATCGCTAACGTACAGCTTATGACCATCGTCTTTTTCGTCTGTGATAGCCCTTTGGATCTCACGAGTCTTGGCCTTTGTCTCAACAAGTTTAGATATCTGCTTGGCGTCTTCGGCAGTAACTCTCGACAATCTGCCTTTCAGAGTCGATTCCAAGCATTTGTCATCAAGAGGATGATTGTGATAACTCTCCATTTCACTAGAAGCTTTCAAGGGAAGATATCCTTTGATTCCTTTCTTGTAAGATAGCTTTATCATGTAAGGACATCCGGTTTTCGAACTAGGGCGGATTTTTACGCGATCGCAGTCTTCAAGTTTATGGGTGTTTCTATAGTGACCACCCCTGGCGCACTTTAAGTAAACCCGGGTTGGTTTACGGTCTTTAGTTGCAAGAGTGAAGTTGTTAGCAAGTGCATACTCCTGCATCTTAGAAATAGCCACAGTCATGTTGGCATAGCCATTGACTGGTGTAGTGGGAAAGTCTTGTTGAACGGGATAATATTCATTTCCGTCGATAAAAATTGATTCTTTATTGATAGTATTCATGTTGAAGTGATTTCTATTGAGCGATTGTTAACATCGTTTTTACAAATACTAATTTGTAATGATAGAAGTAGCACTCTTGTTTCTTCTGATAAAAACACTATATTATGTAAAAGATGTCTAATTCTTACAAGATGAGTATATAAAAGAAAAGAAGGTTTTATAACGGGTCTTTCACTAATTTCTTCAGGACACAACTTTTTTTTGCTTTCAGGTACTCTGTTACCATTGAAGGCCGGACCATAGTCACTTTTCAGGAGTCCGGTACACAATTAAAATCGGTGTTTAGAATATTTTTAGTACTCTATAGAAACGTCGTGCCCGAGAGGAAAAGCGTCGGGCCCGAATAATAGCTGATAAGAAATATCATGTCAGACAGATAATATGAAACTCTTGTTTCTAAACAACTTCTTTACAAAGAAATACATATAGAAAACTGCACACAACTTTCAGAAATTTTATTGATATTTGAAACCAATATTGTGATGTTTTGCTTTGTTTTTTTTTGTGTATATAAGCTTTATAAATCGTCATTGATCTACTATTTTGAGGCTAGGTCCCATAAATATATAAATATGTACTTTATGAAGAAAAATTTGCGGGGTTTAAGCAACGAACAATTCCAAAAGAGAAAGGGGGATGGGAAGGGGGTGGGGGGGACGAATGAGCTTATAATCCAGTAAATATCCTGTATACTCATCCCTTTTCTCTTTCACTCGCACTTTCTTATTTTCCTTGATGAGTAAAGACCCCAAGAAAAAGACGCCTCTTCTTACTCACTTGGTTGCCGGTGGAGCAGCTGGTCTGATCGAAGCTTGCACTTGCCATCCACTTGATACAATCAAGGTTCGGATGCAGCTTGCCAAGACTACACCCAGAAATGCAGCGGTACGTTATAAAAAATAAAAGACACGACTTTGGGCATGATACTCATTCGCTTCTGAGACTTCAAAGGGAAAGCGCCTGGGGTTCTTTGGCGTAGGCCTGAAGATAGTTAAGAACGAGTCTTTCTGGGGTCTCTACAAGGGTCTTGGTGCTGTCGTTTCTGGCATTGTCCCCAAGATGGCTATTAGATTCAGTTCCTTTGAGCTTTACAAGTCTTGGCTGGCTGACTCTACTGGAAACGTCAGCACAACTGCCGTATTTTTTGGCAAGTTAAAGGAAAACAGAGGCGCCTTGTTGCACCAAAGACGCCTTTTTTTTGGATTCGCGTAATAATAAAAGCTCTTGTTATATACGTATATAATAGCCGGTCTTGCTGCAGGAACTACTGAAGCAGTTGTTGTAGTTGGACCAATGGATCTGATCAAGATTCGACTACAGGTATGAAAATACTTGCACCAAAGAAAAGTATTATTTTCTTATCATTACCTCTATTATACAAATGCAGGCTCAGAGACATTCTATGGCTGATCCTATGGATATCCCAAAATATCGTAATGCTCCTCATGCTGCATTTACAATTGTACGAGAAGAGGGTTTCCGTGCCTTATACAAAGGAGTTGGATTAACAGCTTTAAGACAAGGTAATTATACTCTAAATAAATCATATATATATATATATATATATAACTCACATTCTATTTTATAAAATATAGCTACCAATCAGGCAGCCAATTTTACGGCGTACCAAGAAATGAAGAAGTACGCAAAGCGACTCCAAGGATTGGACGAACTTCCTTCTTACCAACATTTGATTCTCGGTGGCGTTTCTGGCGCAATGGGTAATCTTGTTTTCTTTTTAATTCTTGGGTGCATCAAGGTATTAATTAAATTATTGACTTTGTTTTGCTTTGAAATTAGGTCCCCTATCAAATGCACCAATCGATACTATAAAAACACGTATCCAGAAATCAAATGCAAAAGGCTCTGCATGGAATCAACTCAAGAGTGTTACAAGTGAAATATTCTACAAGGAAGGATTTAGAGCATTTTACAAAGGGTTGACTCCGAGATTACTAAGAGTCGCACCAGGGCAGGCTGTGACGTTTATGGTTTACGAGAAGGTTCGCGCATGGCTTGACATTGCGACAGGAGTTCAGTAAAGAAAAAAAAAGAATTCAGTCCACGGGTTTAGGCCTTATCATAGACGAAGAGAAATGTTGAATCATATATTGAGAATGTATGTACGTTAAAAAAATACAACAGATGAGAAAGTATTCTCCGTAATGGTGTGTGCAAAATACGAGGCTATTCGAATGTAGATATCATTATATTATTTCGATCCTTTTATGTATTTCATGTGTAGGGATACATATAATACAAGTAGCCTCATAATATCAGATAACTCTTTTTGGTTATAGTTTATATTGTTAGAAACAAGTTCTTGATAGCTGGGAAACTGGCGAATAAAGAGGGGCTTTGTACTACTAGCCACAATGGTAAAACGGTCTCAATGACCCGAGTAAACCATATTCATATTATTATTATTATTCTCTCAGGCGAAGTTTTAAGAAGATTACTATTTCCATTTGTTTACAAGATACGCTATGAGAACAGATCCCAGACGCGTTTGGTTTTGGCTTGTTCGAGTAATGTTTATATAATAAAAAAAACAAACAAACATTAAATAAGACCAAAATCTAAAATAGTCTATACCCAGTTGAAAGCCAACGAACAAGGAGTGTCACACTTGCCAAGAAATGTTCAAACAACTTTTATTAGCCTATCAGGGTCCTATCCTTGGCCGTAGCTCTAGAATATCTAATTAATACACTGCAATTGGTGCTTAGCGTTAGATGGTTATGTAATAACCAAGAAGTGTGTCATATAAAAAGCTCTTGGTGATTAGACTAGATCTTTTGGGCCAAGGAAGTAATTGGCATAGGCGTCTAAACCAAAAATGGGTACCGTTATTGTCTCGTTTTCTATAATAAAAATAATTCTTTTTTTTTTCTCTTTGAGCCCTTATGGTTAACATGGCTTTAAGTTGGTTGTTACTTATTTAACTCAGTTATTCTAGACTTAATATCCACTGTTGAAAAAATAAAATAAAGATGTTGGTCCAATTGCTCTTACTTGATACCTTTGAGTTTGAATCATATTCCTGTTAAAGGTGCTTTCATAAGGTTTCTACAGCGTGCTTGGTCAGTAAACAACCGCTGTGCACGCGCAACGACAGCATCGAAATGATCCCCGTCGTAACCTGTGTTACAAAATGTGGCCCGGTCGGCGATGAAAAGTTGTCTATTTTTTTTCTTTTTATAGTTTTTTCTTATGGTCGTGGTCTAAAAGTATCAATGACATGTAGAAAAAGAAAGAGCAAACATTAAGAGCCCAATTGTTATTTTTATATATTACACTGTCTGTTTCGAGCTTTCCTTCCCTTTCCCCTCTCTCTTCCCTCTCTTACTTCTTCTAGGCAAATAGCATATACACACATACGTATGTCCACAACCAATTCAGCAACTATCGACGAACCAATTCCCGGCCAATCGACGACCGAGAATGTACCTTACACAGACTTAGCAACTTCCTCTACATTGACAGAGAGAGACGTTCCTTCTGATACCATGCCAGAAGCTGCAGGATCTTCTAGTAGCCCTGATGCGGCTGCTTCGAATACGGCTGATACTGAGGCCACAACTGATTCTAGTGTCTCACCACCCGTAAGTGGCTGCAAAGATAACCAAAAATTAGTATTATTATTATTATTATTATTATTATTATTATTAAAAGGGGAACGATACAAAAAATTGGTGCTGATAGTGAATATATTTATATATTTATATAACATCTTTTTGGTAGACGAGTGCAGAACAACCAGCAGCCTCAACTACCGCCGAACCGCCGGTAGAAGCCACGACTACTACTGACCCATCACCACCAGAAGCCACAACTACCACTGAACCGCCAGCGGCAGCCACAACTACTACTGACCCACCTGCTGCCACAACTACTGAACAGCCTGTAGCCACGACAACGGAACCTACAACAGAGGCACCACAACCAACGAAAGATTCAGACCCTACAACATCTCCAGACACCCCGAAAACCACAAATGCCCCTGCCGCTGGAACTAAATCTAGTTCGGCTGGTTCTCACACAAAACTCACATCATCTGGTGTAGCTGTTGTGACAATTACGTCTTCAGGAAATGTCGTATTCACCAAGACATACACCTCCTATTCAGCATACCTACCAACCGAATCAGGCTCCCAAGGCGCCCTAGAAACAAATCCTTCTTCTTCGTCTGATGGAGACAATGGTAATAGCGTCAACAAATCTGCCATTATTGGCGGTGTTGTAGGTGGCGTTGGATTTGTATTGATATTAGGTAAGCTACAAGGTTTTTTTTTATTAAAAAAAAAGATTGCTATGTTCACATCTTTTGAGCAAAAATAAATTAATTATTAATTTATTAACTGATCTATCTATTTCCATGTTAACCTCTCTTAGCAGCAGCAGCATTTTTCTTCTTGCGACGCAAAAATAAGCGACGGGACAATGAAGCATACGAGAACGATCTCAACGCCTACGCTAATCCTTACCAAGATCACACAAACAACCTTTCCCAGCGAGGTTCGATGAGTAACATATTGGCGGCTGGCGCTGGCGCTGGTGCCGCAACAGGATCGAATTCGGGAACACTACCCCGACATCTAGTCGCACCTCTTCAAGGTAAAAACGATGCTGGTGGTGGGTACGCACCTTATCTGCCATCAGGAGAAGCCGGTGCTACAGATGGCTATTATGAGGATGTATCGCCTCCTTATCCTTCGAACAACCCCGGAATGACTGGATACCAACACCCGGCTGGGTATTATCAGGATCCAAATGCAGTTCCTATGAACCACTCTGTAGAAGCGTTTGGGCCTCCTTCTTATGGCCAGTTTAGACAAGTTCCTAATGAAGTTGGATATGCGTCTTCAGAGGAACGCCACGTGCCGCACCTAATCCAGAACGATGTTCCTCACTCTAGGGATTAAATATTATAGAATACCTATTTTTGGAAACTAGACTTTTTGTAGAAAAAGAAGAAAGAAAGAAAAGTTTTTTTTTTTTTGCTATGAAAAATCAAAGAGGCTAAAAATTTAACATTAACGGTGTAGCAAATTCAGACTTGCTAATTGGCACAAAAATCCAAAATGCTCTCGGTTGAATTTATGATTATCAAAGTTTACAACGCCGACTGGGTCAACTTTATTGCAAGCAATCGCAGCTTTTAAACACTCTGCCAATCATATATGTATTTTTATTAATAAATTTTAGAATAATTATTTATGTATTCATGTAAAGAACATTAGTTTCAGTGTTTGTTGAAAGTCTCGTAGAAGTAGTGGCAATAACTGACAATGGGTCATTTCAATTACCATCCTTCAATTGAACAGCTTCAAAGCCAACAACCAAACATACTAAAGGTGTGTTTAGCTTGTATGTTCAGAAGGTACAGAAATAATGAAAAACAAAACACAAAAAGACAGACAAGACAGACAGCTTGTAAATCGTAGACCGACCGTCCGGATATCTCGGATACATTTCTTTCCGTATCTTTAAATAACGTTTTAGCATTTAATACTAAAGTATGATAAATAGATATTTGTAATGCTTGTTTTTTCTTGTTTCTATTGATTAATTACTTTAAAACACTGCCAATTACACAGACAATCCAAAGATCTTTAAAGATATAAAACATATTGCCAATATGTTTCAAACAAAGGCTCGTTAAAAAAAAATGCTGGTCTATTTGAAGCTCCTTACTGGTACTGTGAATAAATAAGCGTCCCAGTACACTGGCAATATATATAAATATAAAGAAAAACACAATCATTGGATTAAATAAAAGCCAAAATATTTTACAGTGTATCGAGAAACGGCACAGTAATACAATGAGGGAGGCATCAGACAAATGAACTTTATAGCTGACCACCTCTTTCCTATGGATCATTTTTTTTCATACAAATATAATGAGTTTTAGTGTAAATAATTATATAAATATGTATGTATATAACTAACATTCTATTAATTGATCTCCACTATTTGGGATATAATTTGTGGGTCAAAAGAACCTCGATTGATATACATAGTTATATAGCACATATAACCCTTTATTATATAGAATATTAACGAGCAGAACCTAATTAATATAACTGATTATAAAATAGCAGATTAAGTTTATGTAAGGTAGTTTTCATGCTGCAGTGGATAACGATATCATAAAAGTATACAAAGTCATACGGAGTCTGATTTCCTAATTTTTTTGCCCCATGCTCTGCAACTTCGTTGGATTTACATCTTTGTTCATTTCCTTTGGTCCCGAACTTTGATGTAATTCAATACTATACTGTATGGTCCCTTTCAACTCGATAGTCTATTTTGCTATATAATATAGTTTGAGGGTAAATAAATAATATATACCTTTCTGTTCATTCACCAAGGATTTTCTTCTTCTTCTGTATGGTTATCATCTAGAACAAAGCATTTTGACAGTTCGCGATCTTCTAATGAAATTCGTTCTGAATTACCATACGGCCATATGTTAACTATAGATAGTATATTTTTAACTTTGAGGAACAGAGAGACCCAGTAGAGGTTGGTTTGAAGAATATCAACTACAGTAATTTTACGTCTTAATAGGCTATTTTATATATATATATATATATATATATATATATGTATATATAGTGTGTTATTGTTATGCCCAATAACAGGCTGTGTTAGCTAGTCAGCAAAGAAATATTTATTCGGCCCGGATGACTTCACAAAAACTGGTATATGTACCTTATTAACATGGCTTCTACACATTACCCGAAACAAAGTGAGCTTGTTTCATGCTAAGCGTAAAAAGATTAGCTCATACTAAGCATGCTAGAGAGAGAGAGAGAGAGAGAGAGAAAACACTTCATTTGACGAGAGATCACATTTAGTGAACGTTCGTTCAATGATGGGTCGAGATGACCTGGTCAGATGAACTAAGGTTTATAGTGTGAGAATGATGATCATGCTTGTGTAATACACAATAAAGGTGAATGATTCAGTCTCAAAACATACAAAATCGGCCAACAAATTTGGAAACGAGGCTGTGATGACAAGGTTGCTTTTGGGATAATATGCTTAGTCTATGTATAATTTTAGGAACGCTGTTGGTCAGGATACATATGTCAACTATTAAACTTACCGATTTTCAGATTTTATAGCATAACCAAATATCATATTCCATGAATACTGGGAAAGCTGTTTTACAAAAAAAAGTTGGTAGATCGAAGAGTTGGATTTGTGGGCTATTCAAAGTCATGGTATCATTTCTACTAAACATTCTCTGTGATCTATGGAAATAAAGAAAAAGAAGGATATCTTAGAAATAATGGTTTTAATTTACCCCATGTTTATATACCTCAAAGTATCATTATTATCAAACAGGGAATTCAGGTACCATAAAGCAATATACAGGTAAAATGTAGATTATTAGATTATATATACTGCATTTATTATATGGTGAGAAGATATGCCATACTATTATGTCGAGGAAAAATATATAACGTTAGAAGCCGATCTGGACAATAGCAAGGACAGAGAAAACAGGCAGAGAGTTATAGACATATTATTTTATTAAAGAAACTGCTCGCTTGATTTTCCTATGGTCAACATCTACTAATTTTTATGCAAATATTTCTGTCTGCTATACACTCGAGTGTAATAGGTCATTAGACGGTCACAGATTTTTTGATTTTTTGATTTTTTTTATGCATTATCAAAATACTCTTTTCTTTGTAAAACCACTAAAAACTCTTAAACAAATAAAACAAAAGCACAAAATGACTCCACCAACTTCTAGCATCACAAAACCCAAAAGACAAGAGTTAGATGCGTTCATTAGGGGCCGAATTATAGGTCAATGGGAGAAGGACACTACATATGGAGAAATCTCTAAAGCCCTTGACATTCCGAAGAGCACTGTTGGAAATGTAGTGAAAGCCTTCAGAGATAAAGGTGTTTCCAAGCCCTTGACACGTCTAGGAAGGGAACCAAAGGTTACAAAGAGAACACAATCTGTGATGGTGCGCTCATTTCGTAGTGAGCCATTCGTGTCAATTGCGGCTCAGCATCAGAGATTAGTCGATGTGGGAATCTCCATCTGCATGACTACATTCCGTAAGAACATGGAACTTCTTGGCTTTAGTTCTCACTCAGCAGCTCGCAAGCCAGGGTTGACCGAGAAACAGAAGGAAAACAGGCTGAAATGGTGCCTTGACAAAGTGAATTGGACTGTTGAGCAGTGGAAGTCAGTTGTCTGGTCAGACGAGTCCAGATTCATGGTAGTTGGCAATGATGGAAGAGTCAGAGTCATCAGAAAGACTGGCGAGAGGTTTGACAAGAACCATATTGTCCAAACATACAAGTTTGGTAAGGGTTCCGTCATGATTTGGGGTTGTTTCTGGGGGTGGGGGTCTTGGCCCCTTGGTAACATTGAAAGGAAACATCGATCAAGACAAGTACATCGACTGTTTGGCTCAGTACTTTCTTCCCTGGTACGAGGAACTGTCCAGGGATAATAACAAACAGTTTTTGTTCCAAGAGAATGGTGCACCATGCCACACGGGCGCTTATGCCACATGGTATAAAAAAGAGAGGTGTCTAATAGATAGCTTTGATTTTTGGCCTGCCCAGAGCCCAGATCTTAATCCTATCGAGCATATTTGGGCTCATCTTGCGAGGAAACTTCGCAAGAATAGAGCACAAGTAACCAATGTGGAAGAACTTGAAGCGGTAATCCACAAGACATGGTTGGAGATACCACTTCAAGTTCTGGAAACTTTGGTAGCCAGCATGCCAGATAGGCTTAAAGAAGTAATCGAGAGAGGTGGTGACACAACTCATTACCAGAGCTCATACCTTTTCTCTTAAATATATATATAATAAACTATGTTTTCTCTAAGTTTTGCTTTATTCTGAGCACATTTTATTATCAACATTGTTGAAAAGAAAATATCGTCCATAATATGCTTGAAAAATAATTTTGAAAATTAGAAGACCGTCCAATGACCTATTACACTCGAGTGTATGTGAGGGGTAATTATATGATTGGTACTATAAGAGTTCTTTTTTAAGGAAATGAATACAACTGAGGTGGACAGACTAAAAATTCCAAAAAAGAAAATTCGAGCGACTCTGACTGGCTAGTATATATTAAATAATATATAATTTACATGGGAGACTTTTGCCTTTCGCTTTTACCAGTCAAAAACCTCGGTCTTTACTGCTGTAACTTCTTCTTTAAAAAACCTCGAAGTAGTCTCGTCAGGCTCATCTTTGACTTTGACTTGAGCTTTGACCTTTATACCCTTTTTTTGGACTTTAACAATAGAAGAAGGACATAGTTCACTAACAGGACATTCTCCACATTTCGGTCCTCTAGGGATACACACTGTCTGACCATATCCAACAAGAATTGGATTGATTTCTCTCCAATGTTCTCTTGGTAGCCATGATTCGAGGTTCTGATCAGCCAAAATAACAAACAAACAAACAAAAAGAATTAAAAAGGAAGGGAAAAATTAGGTTTAACCTTTTCTTTCTCACCTTTCTTGTATCTTCCGGAAGCTTGTCCATAGTATTACACCATCCAAGACGATTGGATATTCTGTGCACATGTACATCGACACCAATTCCTAGATTTCTAATGTATAAAAGTATATATTCTTTAGTTTAATTGGTAAAAATGAAATGAAGAGAAGAAACATACAATTTCCAAGCTACTTGTAATGTTAAAAATCCCTATAACAAAACAGTAAATGTGGTAATTATCTTAAGCTCACTTTACTTATAAAAAATACGGTATTTTAAATATACCATTTTGGGTCCTAAAAATATGAATTAGTCACAAATAATTTATAAGAGGAAAATAAGAAAAATATCTTACCAACACCAGGAAGACTTGTAAGATCTTCAATCGTAGAGGGAACATCACCATTAAACTTATCTCGTAAGATTTCGGCAGTCTTTTTAATATACCTTTTATACAAATTAATCAAAATAGTTAGGTATGTGTAAATAAACACATCGACTGACTCAAACTTACGCAGCCTTCTTGGTGTGAAATCCAACAGCCCTAATACGATCATCTAGTTCTTGTTCATTCACATTGAGTATACTTTCCAGTGTAAGGCCACCTGGTAAGTCCTTTTGAAGGTTTCTTACTACAACACTTGTCACAGTGTCTTTGGTTTGTGCGGATAACATCAAAGCAACCAAAGTTTGAAATCTATATGTCTATAATCAAGATCCAGGACAATTAATACTTGAATATATATATAAGAAGATAATAAGAAGAGTCGTCTTACCTCTGGGCTTGCGGTTCTGTCTCCTAGGCGTTCGCAACCCATGGTATCAACCGGTGCCTCAGTTATCTTTCTATAAGCCTTTATGCGGTCGAATACAATCCTCCAATTGGTCGGAGCAACACCATTTAAAACTTCTTGTTTCACGCTGACTTTCTTTTTTGATGAATTCGCAGTTGTTGATATAGTGGATTCAGTCTTTACTCGTTTCTTAAGTATTGTTATATCGTCCAGAGAGTCTTCTTTTTTGACTCTCTTTGTTCGAATAGCCATGTACGTATCCGAAAAAGGTTTATTTTTGACATTGTACTTTTTCGGTGCTTTCTTGTTACTGTCTGCTTCGATCTTATTATCTTGTACTTCCTCCGAAGAAAGGGATATTGTTTTTGTAGAGCTACTTATAATATCAGGCAATGCTGATAAGTTCTTGACCCGGGTACTTCGGCGAACAGTCATAGTATTGTGTGAAATATGGTTTTTTTTTCAGACGTTGAAAAGAGAGATAGTCGGACAAGAAGAGTGTAAGATTGGGTAAAGCTGTGTGGTTTGATTTTATGATGGGCGGCTATTAAAATATCTAAAAAAGAAGACTGCTTTGTTAAGATTGAGTTTTTTTTGTATCAGGTTCCTAGATAAAGATATTTACCAGGATCAAATATATTCTTATATAAAGCAATATTTCAAAATTGTTCATATATATATATATGGCTTGAATGCCAGAAACGGAAACCAGCGTTTGATAAACTTCATAGCTTAAAATCTTAACCTGTATAATGGGGATGAGCTGTCAAATTTTGTGTATCATAGATATCCAACTGAGGTACGCTGTCAATTTAGTGTTCTAGAAACAGTATAAATTAACAGAACTATACGCTTTAGCGAATACATTTAAATAGTATCAAATATGATGTTTAGCAAGCTTAAACTTCTGTTATATAGAGTAATATATGCTTGGTTATTCATAAGATCCTAATGGGGGAGTAAAATACTCTAAGCATTTTGTTTATAGCTGTATTTTTTTTTAATTAAAATAGCAATATTTCTTTGACATACTAATCCTACCATAAATAGATATGTCTAATAAAAGTGAATATTTCTCCAAAGAGTAAAAAAAAAAGAAGCCATTAACATTTTAACAATACTTAATGCCTGTCTTGGTCGTACAACGAACCTTTACTCTGGTAAGCATATTGAAAACTGTTTCAAAGATTCTTTGTGACATTCAAATATAAACGTATTGAAAGCTGAACCTGTATAAAATAAGCGAATATGTTTCTGCCTCAGGTAATTTGACCTTATTTATCTTTGATCAATTTATTTTGCAATTCATCTATAACTACCTTTTTTTTTAAAAAAAAAGAAATTCAAATGAATCAATTCCTGACATAAAGTGTCATTGAATACTAATCCAGTTCTTTTAAAATACCAAGATTGATCGCACTACTATTCAATTGGTATTCGAATGCTAAAATATAAATTCCTCGCAATAAGAAAATAATGTACTTTTAATCGAAAGTGAAAGATGAGAATTTTAATCATGGCAAGTTTGAAGTAGATGATGCGCATTCTTAGAATTCCGTTTTTTTTTCTTTTAGAATATCACAAAAAAAGGAATATGTTTCGTCTTTTTGTCTGTGTAGTAGTTTCTAGATAATCAGGTTGTCATGAGGTAAGTGTTTTGTCTCGATTGTAGTTAATTAGCCATTTGAATAGCACTTATTCATCATTAGTTGTTTTTCGTAATGTGATTTTAGTGTGGGTTTTTGAATAACAAAAATTGATAAAGCTTTTTTGTTTTCACTGTAAACAAACAAAAAAATACAAAATTAATAAAACAAAGAAACACAATTTTCGCGTTCAAGTGTTTCAGGATAAAGTCAGTCTTATTTAATAGCTTTTAAGCGGCTCAAAGATACTGTATTTTGAACATGAGGGAATGAAGAAGTATTAAACAAATTCTGAGAACCATACTGTTACGAGATAAAGAGAAAGAGATATAACTACTATTATTTTATTTAAAAAAGAGCTTTTTTAAAATAATGAAGCCTATTAATACGTGCTGCTATTTCCAATGTCTTATCTAATGAGATCATATATCGATGGAAGCATGTAGTATATTTTGATTATTTACACATATTTTTTGTGTACAAGTAATGCAAACACTTTTAAGGGATGTAATGTAATATAATGTCAGATATGATAAATATATACTAATTTTCCTAAAGAAGTCCATGAGAGATTAACAATACTAATAATTTGATAAAGGGATACTACCAAAGAGTTTGTGCGGCACAATGGATTACAAGAGATATAATAAATGTATGACCTGGCCCAGGAATTATTTTTGAATATCAAATAGGAAAATACTTTTGCGATAGATAACATACGGCTATTATATTACAGCTAAAACAAAAAAGGAGGGAAGAGGGAGGAGTCTGTAAAGATTGCATCAAATAGTAGATCATTAATTCCATCAGTAGACATCCCGGTTTTCAATAGGGATATTGGCGACACTCGGAAATATGAACTTGAAAGCATTTGTGCTGCAGTTGTACCAAGGACATTGTATCGGTGGTCGAAGCCTGGGAAATAAAGATACGTACATAGATTTACGACGATCAGTTAAAATGTGTTTTTGGTTGTTTTGTCCAAAAGAAGAGGTCTGAGAAAATGTTTGTAAACCAAAACAATTAATTAAATTTAAAGAATACAAACACTACAATGATGTATACACCAATGCTATCTTGGACTTATCTTAGGCAAAAGCCTTTGCTTAAGTTTGATTTTTATTTTAGTAATAGATAAAAGATCCGTATTTGAATCAGTTTATGCCAAAATATATATGTATATATTAAGAAATCGTTTTAGGATGCAAAAATATTAATTTGTTTTTGAAGAGGTTCGTTTTCTTCTTCTTCTTCTTCTTCTAGTTATCTACATTTATATCATATTTCCTGTATCAAACCATAGCGGATAATTTCTTTATAATAATGTATTACATAAATTTAAGACACATATATTATAACATGATCAATATACTAATACAAATTGAAACAGTACTCTCTATGCACTCAAAATTTATTTTCTTGTATTGTGTCAATATACTTTATACACTCGTATTATTACTACTGTCTTAATATACGCTTTTTCTCTGTCAAAGTATCTTGCTTTAATAATAATAGGTTAAAAGTCGATAGATTTAAATGTAATTTATAAGTAAATAAAGGTACTAAAGTTAAAAGAAATATAGTCAATTTAATTGTCAAACGAACAATAGTAACATATATCAATGAACCAAGTTTTCCATTAAAGTATATCGAAAGAATAATACCATATTATAGATGTAGATTACATACAGGATAACGCAAAATTTATAGTTAACAGTTAGCTTGTTAGGAGGTTCGTACTTTGCATACTCTACTACTACTGTTATTATTGTTGGTGTTGTTGTTTTGACTAGCATTACGGAACAAAAAAATTATGTTTAGGGGTGTATTTTCTTAATGTGCTCCGGGGTATGCTTAGAGATATATTTTTCAAGAATCTCCTGCCAAATTCGTCCTTTTCTTTTGTACCATAGTGTAGCAATACATTGAATAAAGTGTAATCTGTCTTCCGAATTTACTATTGTTATACGACTAAAAAAACGACAATCTAGTTACACCTCCCTAGGAGATGAACATATGATAAATTGCCTTTAACCTCTAATTTGGCACAATACTTATGTATGTTTGACTGTACTGTATTTTAACTCTCAGAGTGTTTTAAATAAGACGAATATTTATGGGTTACAGGGTGACATTATTGAATTATGTATTTTCTCGTTGCCAAGTTCATCTCGTGTATATACACAAGTTTAAATTGTATGCAGACTTCAAAAACCCTTGATTAAATCTAAAATATATACGTGTACTCCAAGTCTGTGTCTTTTTCAGCTTTCGCTTTTTTTTAAAAAAAAATTAATCTTGACAAGAAATGAGTAAATCCGCTGTTCATCCTCTCGGTCACACTGGCTATTTTGGAACCAAGCTTAATTCATCCAGAGAAGAAACCCTGAAGGCGATCCTTGGTACATTCTTGGCTCCACTAACAGAGGAAGAAAAAGAAACCTTGAAAAACAAGTTAGCAAACATTCCGAGTGCAAAAAGTTCCTCAGAAGACATCGACGTGATATCGACCCTATCTATTTCTACACCTGGAGTGTACGAGGCGTGTATAAATTTTATGTCTGACAAATTTCCGCCGAGGGAGTGCAAGGATATATTCATGGTTATCGATGCCTTTTCATCTGCAATTGGAACATACGCCCTGACAGGGTATTATAGTCGGTTCAGTGACTTGGATAGAGAAAAGCAATCAGCAGCCTGCCTAGCCTGGAGATTTTCCAAGATATCCAAAATTCGATCAATTTATATCCTGTTCTCGACAGTTGCAATCGGTGCGACGTATAACATGACCGGAAGTCCTCATCAACTGGCCATCAAGTGTACAGGAATAGACCCGGTTAGAAGTAGTCCAAAATACCGCCCGACTATTGAAAGGGATAGATACAAGATGATGACTCAGGAAGAGTTGGTTCACCCAGACTTAAAGTTTGATGCTATAATTATTGGAAGTGGTGCAGGAGGAGGTAATATTTGGGTTGATATAAAGGAGATTTTATTCTAATGCAAGCAATATATAAATATATTGTATTCAGGTGTGTGTGCTGCTGAACTAGCTCAAGCTGGAATGTCCGTCCTTGTGATCGAGAAGGGAAAATATTACCATGAAAGTGAATTCAGTTTGGATATTCAAACTTCTCTTGCGAGTATGTATGAGCAAAAAGCACCTTTCCTTTCTCGAAATGGAACCGTCGCATTTTTTGCTGGAAGTACTTTTGGTGGTGGGACAGCCATTAACTTTGGAGCTAGTTTAAAGGTAAGATTATTTATTATTTATTTATTTATTTATTATAATAATAATAAAAACAACAACAAAACAAGTGTTGTTCAAATGATCTATTCTGATGAAATTCTGTACATTATCTTAGACCCAGCACTTTGTACGAGAGGAGTGGGCAAATAAAGGTCTCACTCATTTTACTTCAACAAAGGTGAGTAATTTAATAGGACCTCTTCACGTGTAAGAAAAAAAATATTGATCGAAAATGACGCCCCTTATAACAAGTTCTCTGATGACCTGGAGAAAGTTTATCAAGCTCTTGGTGCCGAAACATCTGGAATTAAACATTGTGGAGGAAATCAGGTTCTTATTGACGGCTGCAAGTAAGTTGTTCACTCTATTTTACTATTATTTGGATCTCATTTTGGCCGCTTGTAGGAAACTTGGTTACGATGTCCGGGATATTCCTCAAAATACAGGAGGAAGGCCACATGAGTGTGGCTGGTGCTATGCTGGATGTAAAGACGGTGTCAAGAACAGTACAGCAAACTCTTGGCTAAGAACCGCAGAAAAGCATGGGGCGCGCTTTGTAGATAATACCAAAGTGAATAGGGTCATAATTACTGATGGAAAGGTTGTGGGTGTTGAGTGCCAGTTGAATGAGTCCAAAAAGATGATCCATATCAGTGCATCTCGGGTTATCGTTTCCAGTGGCACACTAAACTCTCCGGGAATTCTTATCAGAAGTGGGCTAAAGAACAAGAATATTGGAAGGCATCTCCGTGTTCATTGTGCTGTTGGTGTTAATGGCGTATTTGATGATCGCCAGATAAACTCAAATGATGGATCTATTATGACGGCGGTAAGATAAATGAAACAGAAAGATTGATTTTTCTGAAACAATACACTAAGATCAGATCTTTGATTAGATGACCAATGTATTTGAAAACGTAAACGGTGATCATTATGGGCCCAAGCTTGAGGGTTTTCACTCTGACCCTGGAACATTCGCTGTGGGGATTCCATGGTTGAGTACGAGGGAGCACAAAGAGGTTATGCTTCGACAGCGACAGACAAGTTCTATTCTTGTCATGATACGAGACAAGAATTCAAAAGGACGTGTAGGCTATGATGAGACAGGGAAGATTGATATTACGTTCAAGTTGTCCAACCACGACCGACTGTCGATTGTCCAAGGCATTGAAGGAGCTGTGATGGTTTTGTGTGCGGCTGGGGCACGAGAGATACACACTGGACTACTTGGATTGAAGCCATTTGTGTTTGGACCAGAAGAGACGGTTGAAGTTAATAATCCTCGTTTCAAGGAATGGATTAAAGACATCCGGGCAAATGGGTTTCCTGACAACGGCGGCGGTGTTGTGTCTGCTCATCAGATGGGAACTTGGTAAGTTAATTGTTCTGCAGTTGAGGACTCTATTTACTGACTTTTTTTTATTTTATTTAAAAAAAATAGTCGAATGGGAGTATCTCCAAAGACATCCGTGACCCGACCAACCGGGGAAGTGTGGGGTGTTGATAACTTGTACGTCTGTGACGCCTCCCTTTTCCCAACCTCAAGTGGGGTTAATCCGATGGTGACATGTCAGGCTATTGCTCTTCATGTAGCAGACTCTATAATCAAGTCGAGTAAATAATTATCTCAAGAGTGTGGAGGGAGTTCAAACACACAGACACGGCCATATCTTTCTAGTTTACTATTATTTTCTATTTATTATTATTATTTACTTATTTACATACTTATTTATTGTTGTTATTCGTAGTATTTATTTTAGACAAAGTTCATTTAGCCATTTTTTTTTGGTACTACTTTTTCTTTCAACAATGGCAATAATCACCTGGCCTTTGTGTTAATAAGAGAGCTCTGTTAGACAATATGGTAAAAGGGGATAATCATGTGATTGTATTGTGTGATGTATATGAAACAAGGTTTAGCAGAAGGGTTAGGAAAGGCGGGGGGAACGAATAGCAGTGAAGATGGGCTCAACAAGTGTAACTGAACACTATGTAAATCTGGAGTAAAACAAATAGAAACGGTACCCGTGAAAATAATTAAGATTAACCGCTTCCCCGTCGGCACTATTTCTTTCTTTTTTAATATTTTACATTTCCATCTCTTCTTTATTCGTCAATGGTTCGATGGACTTCCTAAGCCAAAGCACATCCGACGTGACTGCCTCTGGTCGTGCTGACCCTTGGTTCTGCCCTGTTCCATCTATCCTAGACGGCGCTCCTCAACCCCTTCAAGAGCCTGTTCCCTTTGAAGGTATGCCAAGAAGTATTATACATCTATTAAGTCTATCCTAATCCTTTTCAAACATATATATATATATCCATTAAAAAAACACACACACAAACAACCCCATAGACTTCAAATTTAGCTTCGGACTTGATCCGGATTTTGCCATTCCTGTCCTGTTCGATGAACCTCCTTTACTTGATACTACCCAGTTCTCTGAAGACCCATTCTCATTCCCTTTTCCACCACCAGACAACGATGTCCTCGATGAAGCCGACCAAAAGACATTTTCAGCCTTCTTAGACACTTTTTTCATGGAGCAAGACATTAAATCTTCTACAGCAGACACTCTCCCAAATCTAGCCAGTCTATTCGATTCCCAAGAAGATTTTCTTCACCCACTCTCCTTACCCTTTCCTGCATTGACCCAAACAGACACAGATAACCATGTGTTTATGGAACGCGAAGAGGAAAGGCGCAGAAGCTCAATTCTTCAGTCTCTTGACCAGCAAAAGCACCGAATACATCAGCGCTTCAGTCTCTTGCCATCCCTAACTGGTACACCACCAACAGATGACTTGTCAATGTGCTTAGATCACACGATACAACCTAACTACCTAAATGACGGCAGTGATAGGTTAGCATTTTCCCCAGTTTCGCCTGTAAGCAGTACGCTCTCCCAGCCAACATCAGCATTTAAATCCCTTCAGGACAGGCTTCGATCGGATTCAACCGCCTATTTACAGCAGAACATACCCACCTCTGCAGCACACAGATACCCACAAGAACGCACCAGCACTAAGCGACAGGCATCGGATAGTGTTGACCTTGACGACGACGAGGAGAGCGTTCGTCATGCATCTGTGTCAGGATCCGAAGGTCGCAGTCCTAAGCGCAATAAGCCACAGAAGGAGCTATTAACTGAAGAAGAGAAGCGCACCAATCACATAGCATCTGAACAGAAGCGAAGGAGTACAATCAGAACTGGCTTCAAAGATCTCACAGACATTGTGCCCACTCTGAAAAATATTAACAATTCCAAGAGCGCTGTACTGTTCAAGGCCGTAGAGTATATTAGATACCTTGAAAAAAGAAATAAGGGTCTTCATGAAAAAGTAAACGGGCTCGAGGTACGCGTTGAAGTTGAGGGTGTCAAGACAACCAAGTCTGCTTCTCGTTCTCAACCAATGAAAATCCCGTCCCTTGGTTCAACCAACCCACCTCGAAAACAGCCAGTTACGATTGTCGAGCCTGATACAAAAAAGAAAACTGGAAGTCCTGTGCGAGATAACAATGCGAGTCATCTTCGTGCTCGTGGTTACCATGGTCACAAACCAACACTAGAAAGAAGCACAGAGGTTCGGACACCTAATACTACGAAACCTTCTTTGATCAGTACGACAACAGCAGCTGCCTTGCTTGCGCACAAGGCACAACAGCAACAGCTTGTTGCCCTTCAAGAACAACTCCAACTTCACCAGAAATTGCTGGCCCAGCAACAAAAGATGCGCGAGCGCACAAGGAACCAACAGGGACCCAAAATACCTCCCCTTATTGATGCCCGTGATAAAAGGTCCCAGTTTCATCGCCACTTCTTACCAAATGAGTCCAGGACAGCCTTTCATTCTCCGGGATTTGACAATGAACGTTTAGGATACTCCATAGCACCCATTAGACCCGACCCAGCACTTGAAGTCGAAAGCGAAGAGAGGCTCAAGGCAACGGTGTCTGCATAAACAATGCACTCCTTTATTATTTTAATCATTACCTAAATGGCACGACAGAACTTATTTTTTGTTGTTCTTTTCTTTCTTCGTTTATTTCTTTATTCCTTTATAGCCCTTCCATTTGTATTCTTGACACTTTCATCATATTCTTTTGTATACTATTTCCTACTTATTTTTCTTTTTTGCCTTCTTGTAGTTGATTATTACCAGCCTCCCTTCTTCCTAAATTTCCTCCTGCAACCTTGTTCCTTACTTTTTATTTTATTTTATTTTATTTTATAAATACACACATATATACACACGCACAAGTATATATATATATATATATATTCATTTATTTATACATTTATACACAGATGTATATTACAAGTTAAATGACTACCACATTTAGGCTCATGCTAAAAACAGCTTTTTTATATTTTAAAAACATGAAAAGGAAAACATAAATGAGTGGGACCTTAAGTGGGGGTTTTTATTTATTTTATTTTATTTTATTCAATGCACTGAGACTCATATGTGTGATATTTATATTTTATATTGAAAATGGGATTTATATCCATTATTTTCATTATGCCTGAAACATCGCCTTCTTGTCACCCTCTGCATCATCGGATCCTGTAACAGCAGCGTACTTTTTCAGTAAAGCAGACCGACGATGTTCCCAAGTTTCTGTGAGACGGCTCTTAATAAGTTGATTCTGGCTTTTCTGCAGGCTCCTGGTTTTAGAATGCTGCAGCATAGGAGATGCAAAGCACTTTGACGGGGTAGGTGGTGACCGGTTCCATTGATAATAGGTCGCTGTCCTTCGTAAACACAGATTGGAAGGTAGAAGCGTCTGCCGCTCTTCATCATCACCGTCCTCATGGTTCCTGTACTTGGAGCGACATGATAAATATAACCACAGTCCAGCCAGAAGAACAGTAGTTAGAGCACCGATTGTTAATAATATGGTTGAGCTGAGCACTATTAATTCGAAATAAGATTAATATAAATATATACATTAAAACCATAAAATATATATATATATTTCTTGGTTAGAAAAATAAAACAATAATATTTCACCTGGCAACTCGTAAATTGTGTATTCACTATTTTTAATAAGTTTCGGTTCACCAGACTCTATACGACTGCCGGCAGGGTATAAGGACAAGGTGAACAATGAATCTTGAATGGGATCTGGTTTGTAATGAGAAGATTGTACAGCAGGGTCAACGGCTCTCTCTTCTGCTCACAATCTGCTCACAATCTGCTCATTATAAGCTTGCCTTGCTCCATTAATTCCGGGCGGACGATTGCCATTGGAATGAGATTAGATAATGTAATAGCAAAAATAAAATAAAAAACTAAAGAGAGAGAGAGAGAGAGGCAGAGGGAGGGAAGAGAACCAAAAAAAAAGGGGGAAACAGTCGATATTCACAGTGACTTGTGATTTCTTTTTATTTAATATTTCGTTCATTTCCATAATTCATTCGGTTTTGTTTTTTGTTTTTGGCTTGCATGATTTTCGATTTTCAATTGTCGGTTTTTGGTTCTTCAAAAATAAAAAATAAAAAAATAAAGGCACACACGGTTTTCACGAGACAAATAAAAAAAATCCATATTTATTTTTCTCTCATCCAAATCTTTTAACCTTTGTTTTCTATTGCTTATCACCCTCAGGCTTCAATTGCTTCAAGGGGGTATCGTCACGTCCAGGACCTAGTATTTTCAAAAGATTAGTTTTTCCAAAAAAAAAACATATAACAACATATAAAGTTTACTCCAATAAAGAACAAAACAAAAACAAAAAAAGCTTACCAACTGCCTCCCATGGTGAAAGTGCTCCCTCAAAGTTTCTGAAAGCCTGGGCCAACTCAACTGGCTCTGAAACAACGCGCTTCTTCTCCTCATCATAACGAACCTCAATATAACCAGTAAGAGGGAAGTCCTTACGGAGAGGGTGTCCCTCAAAACCGTAATCAGTGAGAATACGTCTAAGATCGGGGTGACCGGTGAAGAAAACACCAAACATGTCGTAAACTTCACGCTCGAGCCAGTTGGCACTGCTGAACTGAGGAACGACGGAAGGAACGGGGGAAGTTTCGTTGGCGTAGGTCTTTACACGAATACGAGCATTGTATTGAATGCTGAGAAGGTTGTAGACAACCTCAAATCTGTTCTGACGAGCAGGCCAATCGACAGCTGTGATGTCCTGAAGAGATTTAAACTGACTGTTGGTGTGATCGCGCAAGAAGATCATCACTTGCTCAAGCGCATTAGGTGCAACGTAGATCGTCAATTCATCCTTATAGACGCTGAACTGCTGAACGTATTTGGGCAGGGCAGATGTGATGTACTGGCCGTACTCGTGTAAGGCATCGTTGCCAGATTTGTAGTTGGGATCGGCATTCACTTTTTCACTGGCTATAATATATCAAGGTATGACACAACCCCCGGCGAGTGGGTAAGTTTGTCATGGCCAAGGTTCTATCAATATTGCCTGTACGCACCTTGTCCTCTCATAACGCTGCTAGAGAGTGCACGCACAGAGGCAGCGCGAAACGTGGGCTTGGCTAATTATAATTATTGTGTTGGTTTATCAAATGAACATTTTTTTAGAAACAACAAAACACGACATACCAACAGCAGCAAAAGCACTGTTGCTGCGGGATGCTCGCAACAATGTGGTATTCAAAAGTCGCAATGCCATAATATTAGAAAAAAAGAGTGGGGAGTCGAACTTTGAAATCACTAGGACAGTCAGTGATTCCTTATCCTTCTCTTTTTGTTTATGTCGGACCCGGTGCACAGAGTGAAAACATGGTCTACGTCACATCAAATGCGGCAATTAAAAATAGTTAGGTGAAGAAGAACGGTTGCACACTCGAAACCTCGGCGCTTTAAAATGCAAGACAATTGGTTCAAGAAAGGTATTAGTCTCTTGTTTGTCTTGCTCATTTCACTATGCAGACTGCCGTACGAAAAGCAACTCGTTTAGAATACAAACCTCCAAAGGAGAAGCATATTAAGAGTAAGCTAAAACAAATTGACCTTTGAATCACCCTTATTCTCCCAGATTCACACCTCATTCATATTATCTTTGATCGACCTTGTTGTGCTCATTAGCCTTAATCGGGCTGACCTTCCAGAATCCTGCCTGCATTCCCGATATTATCCATGCATTAGAAAAAAGACTTCAGGAAAACTCATGGATTGTAAATTATCACTCTAACTTATTTCTCTTCTTCTCTATACTGAACCTAACTTTAAAACAAATCTTTATATCGTAGATAACAATGAAGGTTCTTATCATTATTCACACATTGATGCGTGAAGGAAATGAAGATAAAGTTATCAAATGTATCAGCAACAACACACAAGTTCTTGATATCGGCCAGCTTCGAGAAAAATCGACGAGTAAGACGCCTTTGTATACCATTATTCGGAATTCAACATAGTTTAATGCTTGCATACCATTGTGTCTCAGATAGTGCTTCAATACAGAACATTCGTGTTTACAAGCTCTATCTTGACGAAAAGGTTGGATGTTACAGAGACCTCAAAATAGATTTTGTAAGGTCGACCTCAGGACACAATGATGGCCGCCTGAGACACTTGCCGATCGCCAATGGGCTACTAAAAGAGACAAAGGTTTTGCAGAAACAAATCGGAGCTATCGTTAAATGCAAAGTATGTATAAAATAATCTTGATACTGCGTTTACCAGAATATTGTATTCTAAAATATTTTCTTTGGGAATTTGCTATTTTATAGTTCCATTTTGACGAAGGAGATAATTCTCTTAGCTTCCAAGCCTATAAACTTATCTTAAGCGATCTTTTAGTGCTATTCAAGGCAGTCAACGAAGGAGTGGTCAATATTTTAGGTAAGCTAGATATTGCGTAGTGGTCAAAACTACTTGCTAACACAATGACTATCAAGAGCACTACTTTGCTATGAATAGGTCAAACGCGCGAATATCACTTGACATCTACAAAAAGTTTGCGCAACAGACTGAACTCATTATCAATTACTTAAATGAGGCCCGAAAAATGCAGCGTGAGTTGGACATGACAATCCCTGTGGGAAAGCATGTAAGTAGTACATTATTCAGCACAAGGAATAGGGTATGGTAGTTAACATGCAAAAAAAAAATAGGCGCCACTTTCGCTTGCAGAGGCATTAGAAGAATATCTTTTGGATCTCGAGAAGCAATCCAAAACGCCTTCTCGTAGAGCTTCCCAGGTTAATCGAACAAATACGGGTAAAAGGAGGATTTTATTTTAGGTTGAGGTACAGTCGAGGAATGTTTTGTTGATCTTCTTTACCACTGTTTTAGTCTCTCAACCAGCTCAACCAACTCAACCAACTCAGCCATCTACTACACAGCCTACTGTCCCACAATCATTTTCAACCTCACAACCTGTCAGCAACCCACCAGACTTCTTCACACCTTTGTCAAATGAACAGACCGTTGTTTATGTGCCTGCGCAGCAAAATGGTGTGAATGGCATGAGAAACATGCCTTCCATGCCAAACATGCCTTCCATGCAACAACCTTTAATGACTGGCCAGCAAAACACTCTTCCGATTACACCCAATATTACCGGAAATTCAAACAATCCGTTCAGGGCTTCTATGGTGAACACTAACACCGCAAATGGAACATGGACATCCACTCTTGCAACCATACCTCAATTCACTCAGACTGGATCATACCAACCAACAACAAACCTATCGAGATCTGCAACTACGATTACCCCTTCTTCAATGATGACTAGTCAATCTACTGGAAGAAACGGTTCAAACCCCTTCCGAGCTAGTACCATTGGACACCCACGTATGCAAAGTGAGCCATGGCAAAACACGAAGCCTATGACGGTTCAAACAACTGGTTTCGGATCACAACCCCTGCAGCCTCTCATGACAGGCACATCTACGAACAAAAACCCTTTCGCCCCCGCATCACCTCCACTGACACCACAAAATCATCAACCTGGTAATAACATTACCAGCCAACAAGTATTCACCGTCTCTCCTACTGCTTTGGTTTCTCCCAACAATCCTTTTGCACCAGCACAAACACAGCTACCATCCGAAAGTTTACCAAATCAGACGCATCAAAATAATACATTTAATTCATTTTCATTCTAATGAAATATAATAATAATTATATGTTTATGTAAATTTATATATATATATATATAGTTGAGTTAGTTATATAAACGAGTTCAATGCAAACTTCAATATCACATAGCTAGCTATGTAATACAAAATATTCTCTACTCTTGTCATAAGTGCATTCCATCACATTTGTTTATTTTACTTTTTTTTTTAATTAGAATATCCCAGAAAAATAAAATTACTTGTGACATTGTAGATCAAAACATATCGGCTCTCTACCTACTAAAGGCAGTAATGATGTTTGTCCTCCACCAAAACGAATCTTTATATTGCCGACGGGTGAATCTTGATTTGGCCGGTGATCTTAAAAGGGCTGTTTTTTCAAGTATCTATCATCAGAGAAGTATGGAATACTTGATATATGTTACCTTTAGTACAAGACAAATCATAAGCAAAGTACTCCAAGTTTCTATCATTTTTTTCCTTTTGAAAGAGGGGAGATAAACTCAATGGCTAAATAATTTGTCTTTGATAAATTTTGTGCTACTTATTTATCAGATCTATCAAATATATACTTCAATAACGCCTAATGTTCTTATGTTTATTGACTGAAATTGTAAATATAAATTAACGCAAATTGTATGCTAGTATACAACGTTCTGTATCAATTGAACGGATATTACTGCTAGATCAAGGCTGGTTCAAATATGTATAGCCATTTGTAAAGTTGTTACGATAAACATGACATTTGATGTATTGGGAACCAAAAGAAATTTCTGTATATTTATATCTAAAATAAAATGAAATAACTAGCTTTGAAGATATTTCAAAAAAAAACATGAATAAAGGTAAAGGCAAGACTTTATAGATCCATATATAAAATAGAAGGAATCGAGCGATTTTACAAAAACGAATTAAATGGAATCTGGTTTTGACTTTTTGAATGGTGGTTCACTAGTTGGAGAGCCGTAATTTTCTCTCTTTTCACCTTCATGTAAATCATTGAGCTTAATATTATCCTCATCGTCATCATAATCACTGTCTTCTTGAATCATATCTTTATCCAATGCAAATTCTGCTTCACTTTCATGGTTACGATGAACTCTGATAATGTTTTTGGGCGACATATCTACCCTAGCCACCTCTCCATCCCTTACACCTCCATCAATAATCAGTCTTGCTAAGGGATTGAGAACCTTTTGCTGGATAACCCTATTAAGAGGTCTTGCACCAAAGACAGGCTCATATCCATACTTCCCAAGCCATATCTTTGCTTCATTGGATACTTCAAGCTTGATCCTGCGATCAGAAAGTCTTTCTTGAACCTCTTCCAATCGTACACCAACAATGTCTACGATATTGTCCTGAGAAAGACGGTTGAAGATAACAATCTCATCGATACGGTTGGTAAACTCCGGGCTAAAGTGTTGACGGACAATGTGAAGGATGCTTTCCTTTAAGATTGCTAAATTTTCTTCCGGTTTTGTGGTAGTTTGTTCAGCTAGAAGGTGTGCACCCAAGTTTGATGTCATGACGATTATAGTATTACGGAAATCAATCTTGCGGCCCTTGGAATCGTGAATGAAGCCTTCATCAAGTACTTGAAGTAATACATTCGCAACATCCTTGTGAGCTTTCTCCAACTCGTCTAGCAGGACTACTGCATAAGGCTTACGCCGAACTGCCTCAAACAATCCTCCGTCTTCATGTCCAACGTAACCAGGAGGAGCACCAATGAGTTTGGCTACGCTATGTTGCTCCATCAGCTCACTCATATCTATACGAATTAAGGCACGTTCATCGTCAAACAGAAATTCGGCCAAGGTCTTACACAGGAGAGTCTTGCCTACACCTGTAGGGCCAAGAAATAGAAGGCTTGCCAGAGGTTTGTTAGGGTTCTGAAGTCCAGCTTTCGATAGACGGATAGCATCACAAACACATCGAACGCTTTCTTCTTGGCCGACCACTTTAAGCTCAAGTTCTGTTTCCATATGCAGCAACTTTTCACGTTCACTCCGCGCCAGATTCTGAACAGGTATGCCTGTCCATCGTGATACAACCTCCGTAATCTGTTCTGGACGAACGACTTCGCTCACTAGTTGCTCTGTGTTATTCTGGTCTGATGAGGCTTGTGCTGCAGTTGTGTCTTGTTTTTCTGCCACTAATTGTGCAATACGCTGCTCGACATCAGGAATTGCATAGTATTCAATATCAGCAGCAGTGTCTAGATTATGTCTGTTTCTGGCTTCGATTGCCTTGCGCTTCATTTCATCAAGCTTTTGTTTAAGATCTCTGATTTCGTCTAAACGCCCCTTTGAGAGTTCATATCGAAGCTTCAATGGCTTAAGCTCTTCTTGGATCTTTGAAATTTCTTCGCGTACTCTTGCTAGACGCTCTAGAGAGTCTTTATTGTTGTTTTCTTTCCCAAGTGCCATTGCCTCAATTTCAAGTTGAAGGTGTCTACGTTCAAGAATGTCGATTTCTTCTGGCTTAGAGTCGAGCTGTACACGGGTATTGGCTGCTGCTTCATCGATTAAATCAATGGCTTTGTCGGGCAGAAAGCGTGTGGTAATGTAGCGATCGGAAAGCTGAGCAGCTGCCACAAGTGCGCCGTCAGTAATTTTAACACCGTGATAAGCTTCATATCGCTCCTTAAGCCCACGAAGGATGGATATGGTGGCAGATACAGAGGGTTCCCCTACATCTACTCTCTGGAATCGGCGTTCAAATGCAGGATCCTTCTCAATTTGGCGATATTCAGTCAAAGTGGTGGCCCCAATGCATCTTAGCTCGCCGCGTGCCAGCATTGGTTTCAATAGATTGGCAGCATCCATTGACCCTTCCCCTTTTCCAGCTCCAAGAACAGTATGGATTTCATCAATAAACAAAATTACGCCCTCCTTGGAATCCTTGACCTCTTTAAGTACGGCCTTTAGTCGTTCTTCGAATTCGCCTCTGAACTTGGCTCCTGCAACTAGTGCACCCATGTCAAGGCAGAATAGCTTACACTGGAGAGTTTGCGGTACATCACACTCAACTATACGACGAGCAAGACCTTCTACAATCGCTGTCTTTCCAACACCTGGTTCACCTATAAGTACCGGATTGTTCTTTGTACGTCTGGCAAGTACTCGGATTACTCGGCGGATCTCGTCGTCACGACCAATAACGGGGTCCAACTTGCCGCTTTGGGCCATTTCTGTTAAGTCAATTGCATACTTTGACAAGGCTTCGTAAACCTCTTCCGCATTCTTTGCGTCAACGCGTCTTGTACCACGCACTTGTGATACAGCGTTCTCGAGCGATTTCTTTGTTAAGCCTACACTCTTCATGGGCTGGAAGATTGTTGAATCATCTGCAAGGGCGAGAATGAGATGATCGACCGAAACAAATGAGTCCTTTTGCTTTTTCATTAGCGCCTCAGCATTGCGCAATATCGTGGCTACACTAGATGACAGAGTAATCTCGGCGGGTAGAGGATCTTGGGTTGTCAACTTGTTCACTAGTAACTTGTAAGCTTGCTCAAGTACAACGGGATCACCACCAGCCTTTTTGACAATCGACTTGAAGAGCGATACGCCATCCTTTTCGTCGAATAAAGCGCATGCGATGTGAACAGGCATTATTTGAACGTTCCCAAATTCTCGGGCTAACTTTTGTGCCTTGACAATAGTCTGTTGAGTTTTGTCCGTGAATGGAATGTCGAGAGCCATAATGATTTAGTGTAAATGGAATCAGTAAAGAAGTAACTTTTTTTAAAGGAGTATCTTTCACGACTATGTGTAGCTTTATATGTTCATGAATTTATAAAATCGTATTTTTTTTATACAAATGCGTATTGTTATCATGCATAAAAATGCTATTCAAACTCTCTTTTGGAAAACTCCTTTTTGTCCCTTTGAACATGCTAAAACAAAAGCTAAAACTCCGGACTCAGGGCGAGGAGTTTAGACAACCAAGTTTGTTTTATTTATCTTCCCCCTCTTTTATCTTTTTCTTTTCTTTTCTTTTCTTTTTTTTACCAGTAATTCCCATCCCGGGCATATCTTGCTCTCTCGCTACCAGTAACCTCCTCACTAACAGGCCCAAAAAGAGGTGAGGGAGGACTAAAGCGCTTGATCTCCAATACTCCTCTTCCACTTGGAATCTTTTGTTGAAGTGCTTGTCTTGTTGGGACTGTTTGATATGTAACCTATAGACTCATGTTAAGTCCCCTGTTTGCATGCATACACATACACTCTCTATCGATCTATATTTCTTATGACAAACCGTGTCATTAATCATCGTCAGCTTTTGTAAAAGTTCGGTTACTGCTTCCTCTTCATTACAAGCACGCAAAGAAACAGCAGATCTTCTTGTCTTCGAAAGTCCAGAATGTTGAATGGCTCGAAGGTCAGCCTTACAGTCTCTCACAAATCCAACAGCTTCTCCCAGGTTCCTAGGGATTTGTTTGGTTTTATTCATACACTCCTAGCTTGTTGTTGTTGTTGTTTTTGTTGTTTTTTTAAGCAAGCAACTATCCCAAAAAGGAAACCACCTACTGTCTATCGTTTGCATCTAATGCAAGATACTTTTTTGCCATGGCCTGAATTCTAAAAGTAAATATACTGATTTTCACTCATATGAAATTACCTTGTAGAACTGAGAACCATCAGCCAAGTATCGCCTGAGCTCAGATGACACTTCTTGGGTGCCTTTAATGGAGGATATTAATCCATATGCCATCTCATATTGTTCTGCTACTCCCATATACAGTTTTGCAGCAAGTGCTTTTGAGAGACCCGTGTTGACTAATGCTTTACTGATAGCAATACTCTGTGCATCTGCCAATGCCATCCTTTACCCGATATTTGAATATCTCTTTGTCTCGATAAAGAACATGCTTACTTGGAAAGGGCCACAAGGAGTTCTTTGATTGTTTCTACCGGTCTGTTATCTGGTGGTTGACGCCATTTAGGCAAAATTTCGTTAGCCAAGTACTGGAAGATCCCCGCAGCTGTGTTCAGTGCATCGGCTACCTTTTTTTTAAAAAACAACAACAACGAATTAGCAGAAAAAAAACAAGGTAGCTTTTATTATAAGTTATGGTTTTATCTCGAGAATTCAAAAAGGATTGCTTGTATTTTGTACTTACCTTGTTGTAAATAGCCGCTGCATCAGATCCTTGTTCTTGTACTGCCTTGAGAGTGTCATTTCCCTGGAGCGAACAGGCATAGGCATAGGTCAAAAGTACAAAAATAAGCTCATAATAAATGTCTGGACACACAATCCGGGGTGCATTACTACCGGTGTGGATAATGTGATCACTCAGTGTAGATCGCCATGAAGTCTCTTGAAACGAATGTGATATTAGCTTGGGATTCCTATTATTAATAATAATAAAGAATTACCAATATTATTATTCTTGTGCAATTTAAGCTCTCCTGATTCAAGACAATTTATGATGCTAATCAGATATGGCAGATAATCATCGATTGTCTAAATGATCAAAAGTTTAACAGGAATGCATCTCAGTTTAGTGTGTAGAGTGTAATGGCGATAGGGAATTTAAAACACTTGCATTGACAATGTTACGGTAATCGCGTGTGTCAAGAGCCTCTTTCTTGAGACCTTTCAGGACTGTTCTGAGACGTCCTCGCTGTGCCGTAGCATCAGATATTTGTGATGAGTAAGAGCCAACATCTTCGAAATAGTCGACGAATGACACTGCACCCGTGGTTGGTAGTGAATATGGATAGCTCATGGTGATTCTTCCAAGACTATCTTTGGCTCTCCGCTTTTTTACAAGAGGTGTACTCGACCCTGTGACTGGTCCTGCGAATGCTGGCGGATTTCCTTTGCCCCTTTATTCTTCTTCTTCCGCTTACCACACTTCACAAACAACTTATAAATGATAATTAAATATACAATTAATATTAGTAGATAGTAACATTGTGTAGTAACACTTTTTTATTGTAATACTATGCAAGTCTATAATGGAAGAGTGACAATGTTGTGCTGATGGAAAAGCTTGGCAGCTTCACAAAACTGTTCATTGGGGACATCTTCGGGTCGTGCTTTAAAGTCTAATATAGTTTCCAATTCAGCCATTAAAGCACTAGTGGCTGGCTGCTCTTTGCTCAGGCGCCTAGAAATAGATAAACAATAGATAAATGTTAATTACTTTTTTTGGAATTTTTCTTAGCTATATTTACCTCAAAATGTGGCCTACTGTTTTCCGACGCTTTGTGAAGAAATAACGAAGAATATTCTCAAGGACAGGATATACACCTATATGAAAATAATAAACGATCTACCTCTGATTTCCTCCACTACTATTACATTTATTATAGTCTTTATTTTTACATACCTGCCATATCATTCTCGGAAAAGCTTTTTCTAGGAATCAACTGGACTACACTTGCATCTACCTGAGAAGCCCGAGCAATTTTGATAAGTACAAGTTCTTTGTTTTTGTATACAATAAATGTTAACCTTTGGTTTTGGTACAAATACAGTAGAAGGTACTTGATAGACTGTTTTTACGTGGCACAGGCTTTGAGCCATGACAGCTAATCTTCCTCTGTTGGATGTAGATGTTGCTGCACTGAGACGCTATGTACATATTGATACAGAGTATTCTATTAAAGAGCAGTTTTTTATGTGAGTTGTGAAGACTTAATTACCTCTCCAACTTCTTTTTGAAACATTAGTGTCATCCAAACATCTCTATCATAGCAATTAAAGACACCCTCTCGGTTGGCAAGCATATGCAACCATTGGACCAACAAAGGGGATGCAACATTGAATGGCAAATTTCCCATAATATGAATAGGTGCATTAATAGTATCTATAGGCTTGGTTGTCATGTTCCCGGCAGCTAATATTTCTTGGTGAGGTATCTCTAGCATATTTCCTTGAAGAACCTAGAAATAATAACCTTATAAGTATTAATTTTAAAAAAGCAATTACTTTTAAATTTACGGATTACCTTGAGACGATGCCCTGAAGCCACAGACAATTGCTGTAAAAAAATACAGTAAGATCATTTATTTATTTTTTGAGAAATTTATTGGTTATTTACCCTAAGAGTAGGCTGGAATCTATCATCTTTCTCTACCGCAACCACATTAGGAGCTCCAGAGTCAAGAATTGAACGTGTCAACAAGCCAGGCCCTGACAGAAAGTGTTTAATAATGCGCTACACCTAATAACGTATTTACTTTTGTAAATTCAGGAAACCCCTTTAAGACTCACCTGGACCAACTTCAACTACCAATGGTGTAGCGGCTGAGAGGCTGGCTGTGCGTACAATCTTGTCTAAAAGGACATGTCATTATAACGATCTCGTCTTTGTGTAAGAGTTTGCTCTGTACCTGTAATGTTTTTGTCAAGAATAAAATTTTGACTGAGTTGAGACTTTGCAGAAAGACCATAGATCTTGATCAATTCCCGGATCGATGGGAGTTTGGGTAATGTCCCAGAAAGTGACATGGCTGCTTTGTCTTCATTACCACACTTTCCTCTCTTGTTCATCTTAACTATATCTGAGTCTTAATGTCCAATCCAGTGACTGTTAATTAATCTATATTGGAAGGAAATCCTGCAAAAAAACTACTTGTGCTTTAATTTGAAGATCCCAAGCAACCTCGCTTATGTTACAGTATTTTTAACGGATCATGAGCATTCTTCAAAGCTACCATTACATTAATGTTAATACAAATTTTCAAGTATCTACAGTATACACAGCACATAATGATTTATCTTTTGCTAGCTTAATAATAAAATACGTATTAATAATTAAAATATTATTTAATTTGTTTAGGCTTTTATATTTTAAGAAAAGAACCAGGTATGTGATAGATATTATACATTTACAAATTAGTATAAGACATCAATATGTACATTATAAACTACGGATCAGATATCTATATGGAAAGTAGGTGATTCAACTTTTTTTCTCTCTCGATGGAAATTCAATCGCAAGACTTTAGCTAAAGTTTAATCAATATGTTTGATATAATCTGACACTGATTTTGGTCTATTTGTATGACATTGTTTATAAAAAAAAAAGGTCAAAAACAATTATTTTCTTAGAAGCAAGAATTAAGTGAGATTCTTCATAATTACAATTATTCTTGTTGCAAATATTTTGTTTTATTTTAGCATAAATAAATAATAGTAATAGGAATAGTAATACGAAAGAAAAGGCAAAGGAAAGCAATATGCAAAAAGAAAGAAATAAAGATAGCTTAATCGTGATCAGATATACTATGACAACGTACTCTGGAATAATAGAAAGTAGCAGCATATCTAACATAAAATGAGGATTGTAGGTGAGGAGCGAAGTAAATGTAGGTTGATTTATACAAGAGGTAACTATTGTGCATTTGTGTGTGTGTCTGTGTGTGTGTGAGGAGTTTTAAGAAAAAGGAGAGAAGGATCGTCTACCGGTTAGTGAGTGAGTTATTGACAAAAACAAGATTGCCGTTGTCGCGGCGGTGCATGTGTTGAGAAGTGGACGGATCCAAAGGCAGCTGAGAGTGCTGTGGAGGATGGCGTGGTGTGTGGGGTGAGTGGGGTGAGTAGAGAGAATTATCGTCATCGGATATCATCAGGCTAGGACTGGGACTGGGAGGTAAATTGTGACCATACGTTTGAAGTTGCCTGAGGACCGAGGGGACTCCTGAAGGGACAGTCAGGTCAGTGTGTTGCATGGAATGCATAGGGCGGGGAGCATACAAATCCTGCATGGCTGTTTGGGCAGCCGAAGGGTCGTGCGAGGTGACAAAAATAGACGGAGGACGTTCTTGAGGCTTGGTTTCTTCCAGCTGGTCAAAGCTCAATTCTGGTGGAGCTTGGCCTCCGTTTTGGTTGGATATGTACTGCATCATAGCCTTTAACATCTGCTGTTGCTGAGCCTGTTTCCGTTTGGCATCAGACAGTTCGCGAACTACCTGTTGAAAATTCTCAAAAAGATTGCCAATTTGCTGCATCATGTCAGATTGAGACATTTGCATCATTGCCATATGTGCCTGAAGATCATTGCCTTCTCGGCGTATAGGATCTGCTTCCATGGCCTTGCGCTTGATATCGTCAAGGAGATCAGATCGATTACGAAGAAATTTCGGATGTGAAAATTCCCAAATCTGGTTCTCTGCTAGAGTTCGATGTCCACGCGGGGATTTGTTAACCTTGTGGAATCCGTACCTTTAGAACAGATCAGACACATTTATCGACATTGGTAATATTCTGGATGAATTTGACGTACATGTTGAGCTGTCGCACGAAACTTGAGAAATTATTATGCTTAAAATGCTTTGGAAGAACATCCCGGGAAAACTCCATGATATTGCACACAATAAAAGAGGAACCTGTATAATTCCAGGCAATCAAATGTTGATATTGACTATCTACCACCATGCTAGCCTATAAGTCAGTAACCTTTGACACAGCAATTGTTTTGGTTGTTTGGCTGTTATTTTACTTTGTACATAATAATTCTTACTTGTACAGCTTATGCACAAATGTGTTTGTATGCGCTGGTTTCTGGGCCTGTGTGGCTGAAGACTGGCCAGCTAACTGTTCGAGGGTAAATGGAGAAAGGAAGGGTGATGGGCTCGGCGCTGTTTCAAGCATGGTATAATGAGGACCCATGGCTGGTGATGATGTCGATTCCAGTCGGCGATGGTCCATTCAATGCTTGGCTGCTTCAGTACGCGTGAACAACAAACAGGGTTGTGAGTTATTCGGTCATGGTGGTAATTTGGTTCATTTAAAATCGCGTCACAAAATAGAAGGTCGAGAAGCATGGTCGAGCCAGAATTTGCAACTGCTGTTCTTTCTATAAACTGTCTAACTCCGCCTGACTACCTGCCTAATCCTTGTCAAGATGGATAGTCAAGGGAAGGGAGGAGGAAGAATGAAAAAATACTTCTTTAACATGCAAACAGTGGTGATTTACAACAGTACCACATTAGCTGTCACACCTCAGTGCACTTTCAGCTCTTCATTTAACTCTCACCTCTCTCAGTCTTGTGACACCTCAGTCCAACATTTTGCATTCTCCTCTGTCCTTTTTTTTAGTATAAGCATATATACTATCCATATATTAATTGTGTTGGTATGGAGCTTAATATACTTTTTCGTGCAAACTAACTTTAATAAGAGTCGATAAAAAGACTGATACTTTGTACAGCTTATTAAACTTCTGTATACTTTTATTTAATACAAAAAAAAACACATTTCGTATATAGATTAAAGTACTCGGGGCAATTCTGAACATTAGCCCCCAAAAAATACAAATTATATGTTTAATGGCTACTAAATTTGTGAAAAAGCCTTGAATATCTATAAATAGCATACTTCATTACTGCTTGGAGTTCAGTTTGCTGCTTTACTGACCAAGATATGCCCACTTTTTGTTATTTTTGTGTTATTTTTAACTATCTTTGGTGTTTTATGATATGACATTGGTACTTGGTAAACTTTTTAATCAGAGTCCTTACGAGAATATAGTTAACTGATCCAAAAGCTGCCCAAGAAATCAAAAAAAATCTGACAATTGTTCTTTGTATTTTACGAGTGTGATGTGAATTTACACACATTTACGCACACGTGCATATTGCTAAATAGAATATACCCATGGTCACTCTACAAGAAACCATTGGGTAGATATTATCGGTACTTGTTACACTGACCTGTTCTTTATACTCTAGAAAAGCACGCCAGCGACACAAAAAGAAACAACGAAAACAACTATTGTGTTTCTTGAATAAACACCAGGCCAGGTCTGAAATCCGTATTGCTTTGGTACTATTAACTATTGAGTATTTCATTGTAATTTCTTCAATGTTTGAAAAAAAAGAAACGTAATTGTTTAAAGGAGTATAGTTTATGACGAACATATAAGCTAAACGCAAAATAATAATAATATATTAAGCGACAATTGGCTTTATGGATAAAGGCATCTTATCAAAAGAGTAATTTACCTTGATTTTTATTAAAATTAAAGATTTTGGGATAATCATTTGGTATTTCTAATATTGAATACATAATTTCTCTTTTATTATAGAATATTCTAACCATAGACGAGCCTAATCACTTTTGACTACGAGTAAAAGCACAAAAATGCCTTATTTTGTCTGACTATATATATATCATCCATTATTGTCTTTGGTTCTAAAAAGAAGCCATACCTATTTTTAAAATAATAATAATAATCAAAAGCTATATAACTGGGCTTGTAGATTTGATGTTTTAGTTGAGGTATCAAGTATACTTATTTTGATTCATTATCTACCAAAGAAGAAGTGATAGAAAATGATGTGGCCACTATAATATTATGGCCGGTAAAGATAATAGGCATACGAGTATCGTATCTTTCAATATTATTATTCTTATAATTCTATAACCTAAATAACCCTTGTAATCAATTGCCTTTGTGGATGAGCTATTTATTCAGATATTACACCAGTTTAAAAATACTACTTTGCCAAAATATCCAATTTAAGGCTTTTCCAGTACATTGTTAAAGAAAAATAAGCTGTACAAACATGATACAAATGTATTTGCTTTCTACTTGCTTACAGACTTACCTTTGACCTAATAATCTGATATTTAATTCTTATCTTTAAACCATTTAACGTACATAGATATATGTACACTTTTTTCACTGATTATTCGGGTAGTAGTTTGAGAGAAAGAATATTTTTAAAAAATAATAATAGAAATAATATATATTCAGCCAATTTATCAAAAAACTATTTACACAGATAATTGTTATTATTTCTCTACCTGAATTACAACAATTCTTTGAATATAAAATTCATTTGTAAATATATATACTATATACTATACATGTATTGCACGATGACCATATTATGATTCTATCAGTCATTTACCGGGTAAATACACTACATATCTACGGATGAAATATTTAACAGATCATATATTATACTAAGCCCAATACATACTTACACTCTGTGAGGTTGAATGTATTGTATTGAATTGCTTGATTTGTAGTTAGATAGACTATTATTGCAGTTATACATAATGTGTTTTTTTTACTAATAGTTCAAGAAGTGTTAATATATGTATAGGAAGTGGGAGACTTTTCTGATCGCTCTTACAGCTTCTTTAAGAGAATATAATCTTAGTGTTTGGTTTATCAATCTTATTTTTCTTAAATAAATGGAAGTTGCAGAAACTTAAATCAGTCCATAAATTTAAGTTAAATGTTTCTCCTGGATATTACCGCACTGAACAGAATTTATGAATTCAAAGTAATTTTGATATTGGTTCAACAAATGCATATTTCTTGAAACGCAACAGTGTAGTTTTTTTTTAAAAAAAAACTACTATGGATCAAAAAATCAGAAAAGCAATAAAAATATAAAAAGACTAACAGCCTCGAAATCTAATACTACTTTGAGAGATTGTGAAAGCTTCAGGAACATTTAATATATGCTGTTAATAATTCCAATCACCAGAAAAAAAAAGTATTTTTTTTAAGAAATTCTATTAACCATTTTTTGTTTTACTTTGTTTAAAGCAGCCTTATCTTGACTTGTTTCAGTACTTGCGTCAGTCTCTTGCATGCTAAGACCTATATTTCTCTACAGAATGAACTTGAAAAAGTGTTTGAGAATGAATGTACAGTTCTTATTGTTCGTTCCAAAAGATACAAAACAGTTTTATAACATGGCATAATATTTTCTGATATGTGAGATACTAAATAAAGTGATAGTGCTATTGATATTGATATTACTTCCCTTTTCCAACAAAAATACCACTATATCAAACCTTAATTATATGATTGCATATTACCTTTAGTAAACAGATAAAGGTATCATTTCTAAATTCTGTTTTAATTACAATAAATTTATTTTTGGTAAAAATATAATTCTTTAAAGGCAAGAAGCTTATTGATAAGAATATTTTAGTGTTAGCCAGTAAAAAAAAATCCTACTCATTCATAAAAGTCGGAAAGAGCAAATATTGCATTATCCGGGACTTGGGTACCGGTTTTATTTGATATGTATTACAAAAAGAAACTATTTACTGTAATCTACCAATGAAAAATAAAGATACATTTACTGGGACTACAGCCTTTTCTTATAACAGAATATCTTTTCTTAAAAAGGTAAAATGTTCTGTTAAATTCATCAAGGCGGTGAGATTCATGGATTATGCTTTATCTAGAGATCTTGTATGATACACCATAAGCTATCCAACCAAGATTTCCTGTATTTAATACATTAAAAGCAACTGTCATCGACATAAAGTCTAGGCCAGTAAAGGCGTTCTATGCTACAAAATTAAGTTATGGGATAAAAAGCTTACAATTTTTCCTACTTAAAAATGTTACATATTTTGCTTTTCCACGGTGTTTCTAACTCTGAAAGCTCCATATCGAGTTCCAAAAAAAAAACCCCCCGCATCATTTGTTGTGATTACTTTATCCTATCTCAAAAAATGCTTATATTTTTATGTATGTTTTATATTTACCAAGATCAGATTCATTACTCTTGTTCTTTTTTGTTGGTAAATAAGGCTATATTCTTTTTTTCTTTTCATTTTAATATGTAAAGGGGATGCAAGGACAATATAATTATTATTTCTTTACGGCTCCTGTCCGCTGGCAGACTCCTCCTTGCCCTTCTGTCCGAATCTCTTCTCTTCAATACGCTTCAATACGCTGTCGGTGTTGACAGGCTTGGCAGCACCAAAGGGACTAGGTTTGCTGCTTGCGTGAGCACCGTCGGCCTTTGCGGAGGTATCAACTGTGCGAGGCTTCAACTGGAGACGAGGGCGCTCTGCAGGGGCCTCAGATCGGCCTGACATTTCGGAAAGATTAATAAATCACACTGGAATACAGAACAGTGCTTAATTACTAACCTCCAGCACGATCGTTGTTACGGGAAAATCCGCTGGATCCGCCACCCCAGGAGGTATCTGTGCGACGCTCGGGGAAACCGCGTTCACTGCGCTCATGAGGAGCGCCACGGGATTCTCTGTTGCCAAACTCACGGCGAGGAGGGTCACGGCTCTCAACAGGACCAGTACGGCGCCATGTGGAGACATCTGTACGGTCAGGTCCGCGCTCAGGACGGTCAGAGCGCTCCTTGGCTACACACATAGAGATAAAGATATATATGTTTAATATACAAGCTCTCTAAAAACCCTCTTTAATCTCTCTTGATACTTACGAGGCTCAGCAATGTTAACACGGATAGAACGGTTCTGGAGAGACTATTGCCATATACGTAGAGAAAGAGAAAGAGAGGCGGATTAAAATTGATACTTATATAGTAACTTTGTTTTTATCCTACCTCGCCAGACAATTCAAGGGCACCCTTCAAAGAGTCCAAATCCTCAAACTCGACATAACCGAAACCTTTGGAACGCTCATCACGGTCCCGGAGGATACGGATGCTAGAGATCTAACCGAAACCAAGACAAAATTAGATCCAAATCCTATCGCTTGACTTACATAGACATATATATATATACTTCTTCACTATACGCAGTAATTCTTACCTTAAGTTTACCAAAGAAGTCAGAAAGGTCGTCTTCTCCAGCCTCGAAAGAGAGGTTGGCAATGTGAGCAGTGAATGGAGGCACAGTAGGAAGGTCTACAGGAGCACGAGGGGTAAAGCCACCAGGGCGGGAAGACGAGAAACGGTCTTCACCACCACGGAAACGATCCTCACCACCACCTGAAGAACCACGGGGAAGAGGTTCGAACTCACGCTCGCGTTCTTATATATATATATAAAAGGTTTGATGAGATAAAAAGAAGAAGAAATTTTTTTTCCAAAGCCAAAGCTTACCGAAACGGTCTCCACCACCAAAACCACGGGAAGGTCTATCGGTAGCTAATAAATAATAATAAAAAAAGGCGTCACGCTAACACTGTATGAAGAAGTTTCCCCTTGTTTTCTTCATCTCTTTATATCTTGTCGTTCGTACCAGAGGCTGTAGGTAATTCAGATAAAATACCGTTTTAGATGTAAATAAACAGATATATCGAGCGTTAGCGATAAGCTTCTTTGAATTTTTATTATATATATCTAGTAAAGCTAAAAAAAAAAAAGTCCTTACGTGCTGAGGGCAAATCAGCCATCTCATCGGCCCAGGAGCCCTTGGCTAATAGGTTAGCATTACAAAGCAACAGTTAATAAAAGTAATTTTTATCAAACACAAATTAAAATAAACGATAAAATTGATTTCATAATAACTTTGAAAACTCTAATATTCTTATTGTTATTTATTGTTAATTTAGTTGCTCACAATCATCTGCCAAAAAGTCGGACAGGGACATCTTTTGAGCCTTCTTCTTTCCAGCTAAGGAACATATGGCAAAAAATTAGATTTTCGTAAGAATGTTATTAAAAATTCCTTTATTCTTACACATGGTGTTAATTGTTAATGCTGTTTAAAACGAACAAAAAAAATAAGTTGGAAAATATGAAAATTTTTTGTCACCCACCCGTCCTTTTTTTTGCCTCGGCCCTTGGCTTGTGATTTGGCTATTGTTGAAAAAGCCGTCCTCGTGACGTAAAATAGGCGACGCGAAATAACAGGCGCGCTTACAAAAGCAAAAAAAAAGGTAGTGGTACTGGAGAAGGCATATATAAAGCCAGTGACAAGAACGACTATTTGTTTTTGGAGGGGTTGAATGAATGTAATGGCCCAATTAACACAGAAAACCACCGGGTAAAAAAGAGAGAAATGAATATAAATAGTTATGGAGAGAATAAGATAAAACACAAACCTCTTTCTGCAAAATTTATAATAAAATAAGACTTATTCACTCATGCGTTCTTGCGCAGGCCTTTTCAAACCCTCTTTGATGCGATTGAACGAAGCGATGGGCTTTACTTTCAACAAGGCTCAGCCAATGCCAGCGATGATTCACTTCAAACTCTCTTAGCTGAAAGGGCAAATGATCTGTCTCTCGGTCTTGACCATTTCACACCACCATCGGACGCATCTCAATCCAAACTTACCAACAGCACAACTAGCATTATCGTCGACAAAAAGACGATAAAAATTGACGCTGCAGCAAAAGATGTCATTAACGAGCTCTCACACGATCTTCAATTGAATCAACTTCAAGCTGCTGTGATTTGGGACGCATGTACATCTGTTGACAAGGACGCTCAGTGTGACCTTATTTCACAGGCAACAAACTTTTATTATCAAGAACGACTTGCCATACTCAAAGTTGTCAGTTCAATGCTGCGAATTTCACATGATGATGAACACCCATGGACATTTACAGCGCGCGAAGCAATCGACAATCTGTTAGAAAAGGGATATGTTGAACGAATCTTAACCCAATTAGAGCAACTTATGAAAAAAACTGCACCTGAAATGACAGTGAAAAACCTCAAACAATGGGCACTTCAGAATGTACACGAACAAAAGGCTTTACTCGATATACTTTATCTAGTTCACCTCAATAGATCCTGCGAACCTCAACTTTTAGTACACATGATAGAACTATGCCAATCGACTATGTTTGGAATGCGCCTAGATTTTGATTATGCATTTGAAGAAGAAGGAAAATCACTCCAAAAACAGGTCTATGGAAAACTCATACTCACCGCAGTTCAACTACTTGATCTCAATACTCCTTTGGATGCTTTATCTGGATTACACAACAAACACATCCAACAAAAATTTTTAGCCACCTGCCCTGACATAATTATTGAAATAAACGACAAGGTATCGGCCATGAAAAATATTCCTTTAGCTTCTGTCTTCTTACTGGGATGGAGCTGTTTCCTTCACAAATTAAACATGTGGATCGACAAAGAACGCCCTGACACCGATTACACTCCTGTAAAAAACATTATAAAACAAGACGACAACCATTCACTCGATACTACATTAGCAACAAAGTCTCTAGAATTGGATGCTTTAAATTATATTTCTAGTCTTTTGGAAAGCTATTTACTTGAGGAGGATCCGAACCAAAACGGCTATCGTGCCACCATACGAACAATTCTTGATGGACTGACAGAAATAATTCGCCCCTATGCACTACCATCAAAACATTATGATTGTTTGGTAGATGCAACCTGTAAATTGTATAAAGGGCAAACTGAGCTATGCGAAATGTTCTGGGAAGCTGAGGAACATGCTGATGCCCACTCTCTCTTGAACACAGCAACTTGTCGATTCCCTTTTATATCAACACCATTGCTCCGCTTATTGTCGAGCCTTACAGGTTCCAGAGAGGATGAAGATCAATCAAATTCCCTGGCTCAAAATGTTTTTGATAAACTTCTTGAACTTACTACCCTCACAAGTTATGTTGTTGATAATGTAATGCTTGGAGAAGACAATCGTGGTATATATCCACTCGCTCCCATTCAGATAGCCAAAACTCATGGGCCGGTCGCAGGAATTCAGATTGACGCAGATAACGAAGGAATACTTTTATCAGACCAAAAATTGAATAGAATCATAGCATGGAAAAAAACATATTCTGGATGGCATTTAATGTTAAATACACTTTTTGGATTTGCAGAATATCCTCAAGCAACGACGGACTCTATCGATCCTGTCTTGGAACTAATGCAGACCATTTTATCGCACGACAACATATTAAAACAAATGATAAAGCATGCAGAAGATATCGTAACTCCCAATTCGCAATCAACAAGGCGCCAACCATTGTTGGTAGCAGTATTTACTGATCTATTGGATGTATGTACTGCGATGGACAACCCATCTCCTCCAACTCTTACACGTATTGTACGGTGCATGACATCGCTGCTGCCTTATTACCGTCAACTAGTGTGGAAAAATATCGGTGCTTCACCCAGCCTCACTGTCAAAGACTCTCTAAATTATTTGATATTAGACGTCCGACCTAGTATACAGCAAATTATTCGTTCAATTGAATGCAAAAGTGGCCGATATAGTTTATTACTGTCTGTCCTGGATCTCATTGTTGCTCTTATTAACGATACTCAAGCTGATTGGTGGGAAACTGAAAACGTTGACATATCGAGAAAAGAAAAGGCTGGAATACTTAAATCGTACATATCCTATTTGTTATTCGATATTTTACCCAATCATGGTACCTGGCGGTATTTCTCATTATCTGAACGTTTCCAGATTGGCTCGAAAATCTATTGGATCCTAATCTACACAACGATGTACTTCAAGAGCTTGGACAAGGATCTGAATGAACTGAGAAAAACAGTATATAGTTATTTCTTGTATGATGCTAACCCGTTTTATCTGGCGCCCTTATTGGAATGTTTGACCGAGGGACCTGGTGTGGCAACAAAACTCTTAGAATCCCAACAGTACACAGCTGGAGACGAAGCGGAACAGATGGTCGAATCTGGACTTATCTTCACACGATTATTGCTGACTTACCGCCTCGAAGATATCGCTCGCCATCCTAAAGGAAGTGTACTAGAGCAATTGTTGCTGGAAAGAACTGGAAATACCAAAACCAAGACACTCCTACAAATCGCCCAGGCTATTAGCTATACCTATTCAGATAGAATTCCGACTGAGGCTATAACTATCTTAAGATTGCTCGCCCAGACAACATCTGGATGGACACCAGTACCTATGTTCGCAGAACAACTCGGTGACAGAGACCAGATATACGCTATTCTGTGTTCATTCCTAGAAGTTGCTGAAAACTCCTCCCGTGACCCTGAACTTTTGGTTGCTATTTGGCAAATGCTGACTGTCTTGTTAAAGACTCAGCCCAGTCTGGCAATACTGTTCCTTGATTGTGGCGATTCCGTTATGCCCAGTCCCAAATCTGCTGTTAAACAACAAAAGACTGTAGAATCAGGTTCAGCTGTCAAGGCAGCCGTAGACTTATTCCAAAATTGGCAAATGTGGGCAACCGATGCTCCAGCAGTGCTGTCATCCGTATTGCGTTTCTTGGCTACATTTTGGGAGACAGCATTTGATCACTATAGCCTTGTTCAACGAACACGAAGTGACAATGCATTATGGTTAGGTATATCCGAGATCTTGTTAAACCCTAATGAGCCTGTCATGACCAACGAGGACCTTTCATGGGAAGATGACAAAACATCCCATCACGATGATACCCAACGTGCATGCTGCAGTTCGCTCGACAAAGCATTTGCCCTTCAGATTCTTACTTTCGAAATACACTTAACGGCTCACGCAGATAACCGCAACAATATGACCTTAGCTGAGCGATTACCCGCAGGTGTCAAGACTTTATTGGTGAAGATGAGCGAACCTAGCAAGTTGGCTTGGATGAGAGACACGTTTATTAGAAATAACTTTGATCCCTCTCTTGCATCAACAGCTCATGAATCTTCTCAAAATCTTGTAAGCCTTTTGGATTCTACACATGCAGAAGCGTTATTGAGCCAAAGACAACGTCTGTCGAGTGATCCTCTGGAAGACACCTACTATGGAGATGACTTTTTATACGATATTGAACTGGCATATAGACGACTAACTCTCATGAAGGACCATCTGAGTTCTCGTTACAATATCACCCCTGATATCGTAGTAACTCCAAAGGTGTTGGCTATTCTACATGTTCAAAAGACTGCAGATCAAGTTCTTGGCGATCTTTGTCGGGCCAACCATAATTATTCGAAGGTGGACTCTGATATGATTCTTCTGGAAGCTTTCAAAAATTTTATTGATACCGCTTCTTACCAAGTACCTGGGCTAATCTGGGCCAACAAACTCGAAACCTCACTTTTTGATTTTATTATGAATGCACTTACGCGTATGGGAAACTTGATAAACCGTGATGATAGTATATCCAACAAGACCGCCAATATTATTGCTTCTCTCGTTCGCGACACAATTGAAGACTGGACTCGTCAAAACTCAACAACACCCGTTTACGTGCAGAAAACATTGGAGCTTGTTTCAGAAATGTGTGCCTTGGTTAACAAACCTTTCAAGGATACAACTCGACATTTACTGCTTGAGACTATTTTGATCGCCCTGCGATCTGTGCGTAACAGAGATTTGACCAGACAACCACCTCGAATCAATGATTCTCTCTCCCTACTCTTGGGTGTCGTGTGCCCTTTGTTTGCGAGTACCTCACAGCTTGCCCTGTATGAGTCTGAAAAATCAGAGGAGTTAAAGGATGAAGCTATCAAACAAAGCACTGTATTGACATTCTTGTTGCGAGAGTTAGTACGACCTGCAAATCTTGTCTACAATATTTGGCTCCCTATATTGGAGAGACACTCAACACTGCCCAGTTTGCTCAAGTTCATTAAGCAAGCTATTGCTTTAGTGGTTCTTGAAATAAAATGCAAATCTAAAGAAACAGACTACAGCTTGCAAATCTCACCATGTGCCGATAACCTACTGTCTTTGTTAACAGCTCTGTCGATGCAGCCCCAGGCAACCAGATTATTGATTCAGCATGAAATATTTACTCTCTTGAATGACAACTCTCTTAGTCTCCAACTACGCGACGGTACTTTGGAAACCTTCATTGAATGTGGCACCCAAAAGGAATACAATCCATTGCATCATCTTTGGTGCCATATGCTTCGTGTGATGGCAAATATCTTGCACGCCTGTCCTATCAATTCTGTCATTCAGCAAACTTTAATATTTTTGGAAAGATACGGCGCTAGATTGGAAATCGCTTTCTTTACTGCAAACGGAGTATCTGATATCACCGCCGACTCACTTTCAGAACCTATTATGATCGAGATTGAACTTCTCTGTACACTTATTCAATACCTATCCAAGTACCTTGAAATGTCACTAGCGAATGGACAGGATATCTTTAGCGCATTCAATAATGCGGCATTTCCTTTACTGCGAGTGTATTTGGATCTTTTCACTCATCCCAAGCAACTTGAGCGTACTCTTCCCAAGTGTGCCTCCAAAAAGGCCACACAAGTTCGCATGGCTCGCATCTCAAGGACAATATTACTGTCTATGGCAATGCTCTTTAAAGAAGAAGAATTCCGGACGGATTCTTCATCTAAATGGCCCATTTATAAATCAACTAAACCACCTACCATCGAAGGCCTTATAAACAGTATGATAGTTGGTATCAATTATATCGATCAATGGAAAAGTCAAAAAGATAAAGAAGTCTGGAATAAGGAAGGTCAGATTACCAGCATCTCTGTCGTCTTTGCCGAATTATTCAGAGTCGTACAGCGCTACCACAAACTCCTGAGTCTAAGCTCCTGATATTAAACACACCACTTATTCATCCAATATCTTCTTCCCTCTCTCTCCCTCTCTACCTCCCTCTCTCTACTTCCCATTCTTTCGCTGAGTATTTCGCTTACTTTTCCTCCCTTATATTTCCTGTCATCCTTTGACTTATTTTTTCTAAAAAAAAGATACAAAAATACAAGTGGGAATAAACCTAAAAAAGAAATAATACTTTATATATATATATATACTGCGCCTTTCTTTGATTGCAATGTCAAACTATAATCGGCTCACACCTATTCCGACTCCATCCAGCAGCAATCGCAGCTACCGTAGCAATCGGAGTCATGTAATGTCCCCTTCTATGGTTTCCGATGATAGCTTGTTTGCCTCCAAAGAGAAATGTCATATTAAAGCCGAAAAGACGCTTGAAGCATGGGGTGATTGTATTAAAGTGAGTTATAAGCTACAGGCCTCAATGTATCCCGTACAACATTGCATTACTTAGGATATTGTAGATGATGCTTAAGTATAGCAATACACATGACGAGATGCAAAAGACAGCAAGAGCATTTGTACAAGCAGATACACATGCAAAGAATACTCGGCAGTCACTGAACAAGGCGAGCAAGACGTTAGAACTGTTATTGGACAAGAAGAGGGAAATATTGGCTACAACAGGCACGTTAAAAGATATTGGACAATGTCTTGGAGAAAGCAAGAATTATATGACTGTCTAGTTTATGTTGATTAAGAAAGAAAGAAAAAAGTTTTATTCTATGTTTCACTGCTGAGAAACCACTTGAAATATTCATATACACTCCAACTTATGGCGGTACTGGGCATATGAGTGAGAATTCGAGGCTTAAATCCCCGGAAAAAACCTCGATAGCTGTCTCGCTCGTATATAATCTTGGCGGCGTCGCAGAATCCGGATGCTTGTCGAATCTTTGGGTCAGACGAGGATCCTCGAGTCTGTAGGAGCGTCTTGATGACATCAAGCGGGGTCGTGATTGAAGAAGCAAATCCGCCTGCGAGTGCACCAGCCACCACGTGAGAGGTGGGATTGTAGTCGCCTTGTGGGTGGATCAATGTCCGGAAGAACTCGTAAGTTGCAAACTGAATCGATTGGAATGGAATTGACATTGATAAAGTCGTTGGTAATGAGATGTAGAATGCTGCCAATCCCTCCGATCTATATACAGCCCTCGCGCATGATCTTACAGACCGATACGTAGAATCCTCTAGTTGCATTCTCTGTTTGATAACTTACAAGACAATCGCATGAGATTTGTAGTTGGCGAGGAGGGGTTAATGAGCCATACCATCAAAGGGTGTCATTAGACAGTCATGCGCAAGGGTTGCACATGCGCCTGCTGCTGCCGATGCCGCTGATTGCCGTACTTGTTCTTGTGTTGAGAGGATTGCAAAGGCATTTAATTTAGCGTTAAAGTGATCTTTGCAATATTCATATATTGCAAAATGAACTGCGTGGGCAGGCCCAGCTCCCATAACAACAGAGTACACTCCTCTCCATAAATTTTTTTGCTGCTTCCACGCTGTCTCTTTTGCATGGGGAGCAAAGACCTGCATTCGGGTCTGTGTGGTAATCGTAAATAGCCATATACATTTTGTCATGTTTGGAACATACCTTTATACTGTCGATAGGATACATCAAGCAATGTTCTCCAATTCCAGCTAATGCTCCGGCCATAGCATTCTGGGCCATTGTAGAGTTGTCACCCAAAGATTCGTAGTCAAGATCTTCCTCCATGCCAATATCAAATGTCAATAAAATAAAATGAATCTCCCGCCATTGCACCAAGACGTGTTGATCTATACCTTGCCAGTCATCCGACGCTGAGTTTTTGCAGTGGATCCACGCTAGACGGAAAAGAGGGGTGAAGAATGATAGACAGTCGAAAATGGCTGAGATGGAGAAGGTCCAATACAACCAATAAGAACTGCAGGTTATCCTGTCAACATTTTCACTCCCACGCACACGCAATAAAAATAAAACAATATATATTTTTCTTTATCTATTAGTATAATCGAGTAATAAAAGTGCTTCTAAAGGAAAGGCAATTAATAATGCGATGTGTCTTGTATACTCATATCTAGCGTATTTCTTTTACTTAATCTTAATATTTCTAGTGATCCTGATCATTGTTTCTAACATAATCATTTGAAATACTTGTACGTTGTTTTCTAAGTTTAAAACATTTGTACACTATTTTAATAATGTAGGTTTTTTTTTCTTTCTTTCTATGTAAATAATAATGCGTTTCTTTTTGCGCTGATCTTAACATATTTCTTTGCCTAAACTTATCCATATCATTCATTTTTCAAGACACTTATCGAATAGATATTTATGATTTAAATTATTTGGCAGAAGATTAGAACAATAGGCAGGTTTGTGAAATTTGGTATTCTCTACCAGGGATTATAAATCTTAGAAATTGAATCTTCGATTAAAATCCAAAAATATTAAATTATAGAAGGAAGTGACACGTAAAGGACTTGTAAAAGGTAAAGTAGCTAGTTAAAATGCTATTCTGAGGGACAAAGTTCAAGCTATATATTGTCTAAGGCCAGTTTACTAGCTAGAAAGGTTTTATAAGCCTAAGTGAGGCATGCTAACAAGGGCCAAACAATTACTTTAAATGGTTCTAATATTGGTGAGTTCTATGGTAGACATGAGGTCATTAGGCAATAATTGATGAGAAATTATGTTGTGTAGACTATATAACCAAACATTCGAAGCTTTATAAGGAGAGGTGAAAACCTAGAAAGAGATATTTGTTGAAGTATGCATACATTTTTTTGTTTGTATGGATCTAATGAAAGGCTCATATTTATTAAAAGTATCTGATTGAGTATGAAAAGAGAAGATTACAATATTTGTTGGTGGGGTTTTTCCAGTTATGTGATGATTTTGGCTTTTGGCTTTTATGTTTTTTTTTGGAATTATAGAATTTTAGGTTAAGAGTAAGGATATTCTTTTATATGGGGGATACATCTTGAGGGTCCAGCTCTAGCTCATAGCAGAGGCGAGAGATTGACTTGCGAACAGTGGTGAGTACCGCAGAGGGAAGGAAAGGAACAGAGTTAAAACGGAAAGACCAGTGGTGATCCCAAATGACAAGAGTGCATTTTAAGTGGCTGGTGTAATATGGTTATTTTAATCTTGATAATTCGTGTTTTTAACGCAGATTTATTCACAAGAAATCCAATACGTCAGAAATCGGCTCCCAATTACTTGATTTTATTTTTGGTGTGAAAATACGATAGCCAATCATTAAAATAAGAAATATAAAATCCACAAAAACACACCCACATAAAATATATGCAACAAGTCATATTCACCTAAAGATGGAAGAAACATTGACATTTTCTGGATCGGCTTCATTTGCTACCGATTACTTTGGTAACCAAAGGACATTTAAAACTGTCTCTTTCATTAATTCTCGTTTACCTTCTAGAATCATGCATCTACAGGTGGAGTAATGTCAGGAACACTACCAGTGCTCGACTGACACAACAACTCTTTTATATTTCTTTCTTTTTCTCTCCTCAGTATCCTTTATCAGCGTGGAATCTACCCTGAAGAAGACTTTGAAGTAATTAACAAACATAATGCCAGAGTCATGACAACTGTAAACAAGGAACTTGAAAAGTATGTCGCTGATGTTATGTCCCAAGTAAAAGGTAGGTTGACCGCACTGCTGTTTTATGCGGTAATACCTAATGTTATGTATATTTTATAGATTGGATACTTGAGAATGTCATACAGAAGTTGGTGCTGTTGATTCAATCTGTTGAGACCGGAGAAACAGTTGAGCGGTGGCAATTTGATATAAAGGCAAAGAATTCAAATGAGGATGGACAATTGATGTAAGCTTATATATATATATGTATATGCGTATGTATACCGCTGAAGTGAGTGAACTTAACACTGCTGGTATTCATTTTGAAACAAGATCTCTTGCCAAGGAAAGTGAAAAGTTTGATCGCGAGTTCCGTGCCACCATCCGTCAAATTACAGCCAGTGTCTCATTCTTACCTGAACTCACTGAGAAATGTAAATCGTAGCTCCATTAGCCAATTCAAGGTTACTTATTGTAGTAATTAGGCACTATAAATATTCAGGTATACACAGATAAATCTGTGCTCGGTAATGAAAAGTGGGGCACTGGAGATGTAGCATTGATCAAGGGAGGAGGAGAACATATGCGGCTGAAAACTCTCTCAACGTCAGCTCATCAAGTGGAAACTTTCGTGGCTTACCAATTGAAGGATAACTATTGATATTTGCTTTCTTTCTGTATATAACTAGTATATCAATGAAAATAGTGTGCTCATACACTCAAATAAAATGATGATTGCACCGAGAATATTTTTTCATGCAACAGATTATAACACATCTTCAACATATTACTGCTCAGCAGCTATTATAGCTATAGTTTTCAGTATTAAAGTATAAGAGGATATGCATAATTGTTATCGAATCTTGATATATAAAAGAGGGTTAATAATAAGTAAGGGTAGCTTTTTCATCAATTATCGTCTTATAGATTACTCCTATTATTATTTTTTTACAAAACATGAAGCAAGTTCAAAACCGATAAAATCCTATTCTCATTTCATTGTAGCCCTCAAATATACTACATTCTTCATACCAGTTATTCCTTCACTCGGCTCTGCCTCTATATCTTATCAGGTGTGTGCAATGGGGCTGTGATCTAAACTTTGGTTTGGTTAACTCAACCCCCTTGACCGCATGGCATTCTTTTCACTGCTTCTTATAAGAGAAATTATAGAAAATGGTGCCGACTTCTTGGAGTACACACACCCTTTATTGGTTCTTTAAGGCGTTCTCAAGCGTACTTGGAGAAAATCCTAAAAATATTAGGATCGAACTAATTAATCGATATACAAATATAGGATATTATTATGATAACAATATAACAATAGATAGTTCTACATTTCTGGATGCTTATCCAATTCTGATAAGTAGTCAAAGCCAAAACAAAGTAAAAGCCAACTTTGACTAATTAGCTGTAAAGTAATTAAGTAATACGGAAGGAAAATGCATGACAAATTCAACTTTTAAAATTACAATTACTACGCTACTTAGTGAAAGGCTTACAAATACTTTCGATCTATTTTTTTTAGAAAAAAAAGACATAGCCGACGATGCGCCGTTCAAGCATAAGCGTATGAGGACTAATATTACTCGAAATCCAAGAGTCTGTAGTAGTCTTCAATTTTCCACTTACATTTTCCACTAAATCGCATCAACTGAAAAAAATGTATAGCAATTATTGGAAATTAAATCGACGTTTCAATTGAAAATGGATAAAATATTCGACTTTCCACTAGACAACACCTCTAATATGAGTAATAATTTTCTCCACGCATGCGCAAAAATAAGTGCAAAAAGTGTATTTATATATCGATTAATTAGTTCGATCATAATATCTATAGGGGTTTCTCCAATTATGTTCGATAACACCTTTAGCCGAGTGATAAAGGTTATGGTAAATACCCGAAAGATAAAATGTACAAAGAAAAATTGCTTTCAACTATACTTTAACAAGGTATTGGTGTATTAATTACGGTGCTTAAGCATCTTGTGCATAAAATGCACTATCAGAAGAAGCTATATATATATGTGTGTGTGAATAAAACTCAAGCTTTATTTTAAGCAAATTAACTAGGATAATACTAATGATAAGTGTCTTCTTGACTGTTTTTTACAACTGAAAGCAAATTTTACATTCTGGTATTGACCTTAGTAATGTACAACCATGGTATATACAAGAATACTATTCAATCGAAGATCAGAGCTTTACACCTAATCTTGGATTCTGTGAGGGTAACACAATGCAATATTGTGCTGAGATAAGAATGTTTTGCATGGGGGTGCGTATGGTCCATTAACTTGAAACCTTTTTCCATCGTTTGCATCTCTAACTTCCCCTTTAGTGGACTTAGCAGTGGAATAAAGAAGGCAATTAGGCTGTAATATGATTTCTCCCTTGAATACTAATCTAATAGACTCGTATAATATCAGGGTTATAGATACCGTTCTTTTTTTGTGAATTTAAAATGACATTGTAAACGGACATCCACTTGAAGAATACATGTTACACACATCATGGTGCTTCTTTTTCCAATTCATTTCTTTCAAATACAGTGTCACGTGAAAGGTTAACTTTTTATATACATATTTATAAATTTCCAACCAGCAAGGTACTGCCTAGACCCTCGTTTCAAAACGTTGTTTTCATCATGCCACGCCAAACACGTCAAAAAAGAGCCGCCCAGACAAGAATGCGAAAAGTGCAGAATAAATACGGTATCCACAGGCCCAGTACTAGGATAATTGAAGAACCAACTTGTTCCGCCGACAAACCCCTTTTGAATGACGATAAAGACCTTTCCATTCATGCCAAGATTGCCAATCCTACATTTGAAAGAGATTCAACTGAAAATGTAGAGCTATTGAAAACGATTACCGGAGATAAGCCAATGATCACACCGGAACCTATAATTACAGCGATTGAAGTGGAAACAGCTACCAGTATAACCGCCACTACACAATACACTAGAGTGGAAGGATTGCCATTTTTGACAGAGCATAAACATATGGATGCTACCAAACATTTACCTTGCAAATTAGATGAGAAAACTAGCTCAAATGAGGGGAATTCTGAATATGTACCCGAGCAGGACCAGCTATCTTTTGTTTCTCCTGATATCTCTAGTGGAGTCCTCCAAGCTGAACCTTCTACAAATCAACAGAAAGTAAAGTCTGAAGACCAGCTGGGACTGAAAATTGGAGCTGTCCGAAAGACCCGAGAAACCTACAAAAAGAACTCACGAACAACTCTGTGGCGTAGACGTAAAGCAGCTTTACTTGCAATGTCAAAGAGTGATACATCTGCCGAGAGTAAGGAGTGTAACCTCAGTATACCAAATCAGCAGCCTGAATGTAGTGAAACTGATAAGCTTGCAAACCGCGAGAAAATAGAAAAAAAAATAGAAAGAGAAAAGAAAAAGAAAGAGAAAGAAGAGAAAAAGAAGAATGAGCTTAACTTCTTTCAAGATGCTTATACAAAGCTCGATGAGAAGGCTTTGGCTGCAAACGCATCAGCCATTTCTGTGCCAAACAGTGGAGAACCTTATGAATCCCATAAACACTTGGCTGTTAAGCAGTATATACAATTCAGACTCCAAGGTATGAAGAAAATGGCCGCTTCTGAACGAGCAGCAAAAAATGTCTGGCCTACATCGTCTACCTACCGCCCAGCATCCATTCGTAGATGGGCCAATGAATATCTCAATTCGGGGAAAATTTCGATCAGCCGTCAAGGAAAACATGCAAAACGCAAACCATTAACCAAGTCTACTGATGAGAAAACGGAAACTTGTGAAGAATCCTAGTAATTCTGATACATCGGTTACCTTCACAGTGAAGCACCATAACAATTGGTGTATATTGCATTTATACATTTACACACCCACTCACAAACGTACACACACGCATGCATGCACATACAAGTACGCACACACGCACAAGCATACGCATACGCACATATTTCCATTTTGCTTCTGGTCCTTTATCAATTCTACAATTTACATGCCCATACACCCATACATTTACTCCCAATCATTCGAACACTTTGAAGTGCTCTCATTATCTGAAAATAAGTCACAGAATATTTTACATATCAGAATTCAAACCTTTAAAAGAAATTATAAAACGACTGATTGAGATAATTAAATATTATTTGTAGCACATTGAAAGTCTTTTTTATCAAATTTATACAGTTTATAAACGAGTTTTTTTCAAGAAAAAAAAAGCTAAAAGCTAAAAAGATATATGTGTATACATCTACTGCTATCATATACACTGGCTTTGTTAAAGGATATGGTATGGAAAGACTCGAAAGTTCGAATAGATATCACATAAAATGAAGTCCTCATAATACCATCTTTTCCATGAAGTGAAAATATTTTATTCAGAATTTTTCTAGACCTTGCTCACTCTGTTACATCTCTCTAACCAAAAGTATGCTCTTCTTCTCAATCTAATTAGCAACGGAAGAAGACTAGCCAGGCAGAGCTGTTCGAACTTTCTAGTCTGTCTACACATATTATCCAACTTGAAATTGGATCTTGGAATATATATAAAATACAAAAGAGCAAATATACACATCTTTCTTTCAATAGTCACTGTACCCTTCTTGTAGAATGTTTAAAAAAACGGGTGCCCCATGCCCTAGAAAATATACGGCAGAAAGAAATAAAAAGTATTGCACTTTTATATTTAACTTCCCATATTGTAATAGCAAGATATTCTTTATAGTAAATAACATAGTTTTATAAACTCCAGATATATTATCCACCGTTATATATAGATTGTAATATTGTGATGTGTATTAAAATCAAGATGTATTGATAGGTTAACTACTTAAAAGTCATTCAAGTAAATAATTAAGCATTTAATACTTATATACTGAGAGGGTAAAAACACATACACACAATATAGGAGCTATTATCGAAAGCTCATTATTGAAAGCAATATATACATTATATATTTGGTGAAAGTGCATATACTAATATAATATAAAAACAATGTAAACCAAATTCGATGTCAAATCAAAGTTGTATTTGCAAAATTGTATATTCTGTATTTATTTTTTTGTTGCGAGTTTTTCTTTAAAATAAAAAAAGGTAGAAACCATATTTTAGTGGGTATGAAGACTTGTTCACGTTTATTGTTTGCATAAACCAATAGAGGAAGAACCGGCAACATTAAGACACACGTTTTTTGGTGTGCTTGAAGCACGCTTAATATTAATGTTGGTAAGAGAGACATTCTTGCAAGGAGCCTTAGAAGCGCAGTTGATGTTAACAATGGACTTTTTCGATGCAGCAACAGAGCTGTGTGGTTTTAAATATGATTATTAGAGACTGGATATTATACAATATTTTTAGAACTTACCCATAGATGTTGTTGATAGTGACACCGCTGATACTCAAAGAAGTAGAGTCGCTACCAACGCAACTGGATGCTTTCTGGTTATCGCAGTAATGAGTTGTAATAAGGATAGGGTTTTCAACGTTTTGGAGGTTGATTTTGTCAAAGGTAATGTCGCTAACACTGCCCTTTCCTCCAGGCCAGGTCTTGATTCTAGAAAACACAGGGATGATAAGTAACTGCTACACTATATTAACAATTGCATAAGCTTTTATTTACCTGACACCGTTTTGGCAATTGATACACTTGTTGTTTAAGAACTTCAAGTTGGAGACAACATCAGTCTTTCCGTCCTTTCCAAGAGAGCCAACACTGAAACCATGACTTCCGGTGCATGTGAGACCAGAGACCGTCAAACCATAGACACCGCCATTAACGGCAATACAATCATCGCCGTTAACAATGTTAGAGTTACGAATGGTGATGCCACTTGATGCAGAAACATCAAAGGCGTCTGTGTTCTTGGCAGGGTAATTGGAGTTTGCTGAAACTGTGTGGATAGTCAAGTTCTCAAAGATGGTATTTTTGCATCCATTGACACTAAAGTGAGCTCGGGGGGCCTGCTTGATAGTGAAGCCGCCAAAGTAAGAGTTGGTAGCCTTGGGCTTAAAGACAACTGGAGCGTTCTTGTTCTTTGCATTGTACCAGCCTTGGCCATTGCCGAAGAATGTGCCTTTACCAGAGAAATTGATTTTGTCACCAGCGAGATAGAAGTAGGCTTTTTGTTTGGCAAATGAGGGGTTGTATGAAGGAAGGTTGACAGTCGAATCGAACTTCACGGTGACACCTTTAAGATCAGCAGCAGCAACAACTGACTTCAAGTTAAAGACGGCGCCTGCAGGGAAGATAACGGTACCGCCATTTTTGCAAGCAGAGAATGCAGCATTGATTGAGACAGCATCATCACCATTTCCGGATTTCTTGACGGTGCAAACTGTGGCAGCCTGGGCGGCAGTAGCCAGAAGCAAGATAGAAGCAATAGTGCCAGTTCCAAAGAAATGCATCGTAAGTTGACTTTAGTAGGAAATAAAGGAAAGGAAGGTGGGGTAATGAGGGAAAATAGAGCATTGAAGGTTCAATTATTTATAGCTTCTCTTTCCTGTCAATACTTACACTATTCCTCAGATACGTGTACTTATTTCTAACTCCAAGTTATGAAATTTGGACCTTTGGGCTTTAATATCCTCTTGAGCAACATTATTTGAGAATATCTGAAGTATGCAAGGGCCACTTTGTATTTTTTCACGTCAATACTCGAGGCAATATCAGAAAAGACAGGTGAGCGTGTGGTATCAAGTAATAGAAAACACATTTGCGCTACATATTTGGTAGAATCTTACCATGTGTGTACGATGGTAAGCCACATTATCAATATCATTATGCATACAAAATTATCACGAAAACAGATGCAAATGTTCAGGTCCAGTCGGAGACTTGCTTTAGGAAATGGCCGATGGTTTTTACAAAAGTAAATCCGATGAACTGCAGTAAAATGAAAAGTAAAATTGCTTTAATTAAATGCTTCATTTACGATGTATTACAAAAACTTCTTTTAGGACATTTTATGTATCTGGCTGCGATAAACGAAACAAAAACTCTTGAATATTCAAAAAAGAAAGAAAAAACATACACAACCAACTGCTAGGCTATTTCATTAGCTTACATATAGCAGAATAATTATACAGTCCACAAATTATGCACAACATTATAAAACATTATAATTATGTATTTGTAATAAGTTCTGCCACAAATGGTTACACAATATTGTCTCACAAATATTTTCTGTATTGACAGAGGGTCATGTAACACACACACAATAGTGCCAGTTATCGGGAAATATCAATTTTTGGTTAAATTTTTTAAATAATTTGAGATTTACTTTCATCTTTGAAAATACCTTCAAGCAAGTCATCGACCATATCTTATACTATTTCGTTAATTATTTGTCAAAATTGAAATTTTGAGCAGGAATAATTTCACTGGATAAGTATTCAATGATTTTCATTTTTTTGTGGAGAATAATGAGTGAAAATATACCAGCCTTTCAAAACAAAATAAGATTTTACAAATGGTAAGTTGGCACATGAATTTTCCCTGTCTCTTGAATTTCTTAACGTATTTCTGTAAAGATTAAAATAGCGCTTTTACAATCATCTCAAGGTGTGATGCTACCCGGCACGGGTAGCACAGTTCGGTAGATTTTAAGCGAGTAATAAGGAGAGCCATGAATTAAGAAGACACTTTGTCATTATTATACCAATATTTGCAGAAATAAACCAGGTTCAAATGGCTATTTAGAACTATCTATGCAGAGTCGAGATTTTCTTCAAAATAATATCAAGTATAGTAATTGCGCTCGCTCTTATACTTAGAGCTAATATAATCATGTCTAAATATCCCAAAAGTTTTCGATGAAAATATATAACTTCGCTGTGTTTTGCAACGAACTTAATCTAGAGTTAGACCTCTGAAATAATTGAGTACTAGCTATTAGTAATACGTACTATTAATATACTTTATTTACAATCTTAGTAGTGTTATAAGACCTGCTATTATCTTTCTAACTCTTTGATCTGATATAAAATTATCATGTAATAAACTTTTGCTACCTTCTCAAGTATTACTTTATATTCTTTTTGAAGAGCATGACCCAATAATTGTTTAGTCGCAGATTTTACGTTTATAGCTTTTGGTTTATGTTTCAAGTATAACCAAGTATTTTCCTTTATGATAATGTCATGGTTTTTGGTAGATCATGCTATAACAGGAAAATATGTCTTCTCTTTGTATCACTTTGTCGCCATACTTTCATAGCACATTATCTTATCTTTCTCGAAAGTGAATTCATTATTCTTATGTGGCTTAAGACTTCAAAAGTAGGGTCTCCAGTCGCATCCTAAGAGCTTTATGTAAGTCTACACCAGATACATGTATTTTCCATTTTATGGTAAACCGTCAATTAGGATCTATCGCTTTGAATGGCCTGATTCCACTATTTCTTACAATGATGAGTATAATTTGCGAATGCTAACCTATTTTTTATGTAATTATTTATTTATTTTTTTCAGAAACGCATGACTATGTATCGAGTTTTTCTTCTCTTTCAAGAAATCACAGAAAGTATCCATATCAATTGGTACATCCAATAATTTCTGTATTGTGGTTATAAGGGTATCCGCAGCAGTTATATTGACATTGATTTATTGGCTGATTAACTGTGGATAGCCAAATGTTGCTCAAAAAAGAAGACGAATAAAATTGCCAGTGAAGAAAAAGACAACTTCAGGAAGTGTAATACAGTTAGTGTTGACAGACTAAAAGTTCAAAAAAGGGCAAAAAAAGAGCAAAATGTTAAGCCATATCATTGGGCGAGAGTTTTAATTAATTTTGCCCTTTTTTTGAACTTTTAGTCTGTCCACACCAACTGTGTTTTAAACGATCTTTTTGTGACCATAATTTGGGCATCTGTTTTTGGACTGTATTAAATCCCCGGTGTGGCTAATCGACGTTTAATCGCACGAAAGTTGAAATGGAACTGCTGCAGATGCCCTTACAGTCTTACCGCGATTATTGCCGAGGGAAGCAACTAGATGAGTCTAGGTATCAGAACTTCGACATGGTAGATGAAAATGAAATTCTACTCGATATAGTCACAGATCGCAATCAAAGCATGGACCTACAACTACATCAACAAGCATCAAATGTACAGAAACGAAAAGAAAAATCACCACTTAAAACTGGAACTTCTGAGCGTAAAAGATCAGCGCGTAAACCTTACAAAAAGTTTAACGATGAGGAAAAGGATCATTTCTTTTTTCTGGTTAACAAGAAAATAATGACAGCAGGAAAAGCTGCGCGGAGAATGGGAATTCCTCGTCGAACTGCGTATAGCTGGCTGAAGAAACGTCAAGAAAAACCTTGTGATGAGATTCAACCATCAAAAAAGACTGCAGGCAGACCACCAATCTTTAACGAAATTCACAAAGATTATTTGTTAAAATTCATCAACAACAACCCTTTGGCAGTATTAAAGCAAATCGAGGAGAGTGTTGCTAATGAGTTTAGCGATATAACTGTTTGTAAATCTACCTTGTACGACTTTATGACGAAGAAGTGTGGCTTAACGTTGGAAAGAGCTCATTTAAATTCAAAGAAACAATCCAAAAAATGTCGAAGCAATATATAATTTAGTTTGTTAAACAGATGAATATATATATATAACTTATCTAAGCAACTATTGTGTTTTTCCAGAATGTTTGCGCAATAATATTTTGTTTTACGGTGCAATACACATTTCTTCTTGTATTTATCGATCGGCTTCAATATAAAACACTGGGTGATTAGCTTTGTATGCCTGAGAAAGTTATGCTGGTACTACATTAGAAGACTGAGAAGAGAGGGAGGAAAAGCTGGATAGTCTACTCTCCGAAACGACATAGCCACTACAAGTACCTTGTCCGCTACCACACCAGGAATAAGAGGCTGCTCATCCATAACGTAGACCCGGTGTGCTCGCCAGATGGTATGTATTGAAAAAGCCACAATCAGAGCTTTTGTGTCTTTTAAAATAGAGATGTCAGCATATTTCAAGGTAGTCAGAAGAGTGTTCATCTTCGCCAGCGACTACTACCTTTTATTGTATTCATTGATATTGTCGTCGCATATACTGTGTGCCCGTTGAAGCAGGGAGGATAAAGGAAGCTAAACAAGGCTAAAGGACTGTTTTGGCTTCATCGAGATGGCGAAAGAAGGCGGAAAGGCAATTGCGGGTATGCCGTATGTTATGATGGGATATTGGACAGATTGCACTTCGGGAGTTGATCATGAAAGTTTGGTAGACTTAAACGCTTGTGAGATTCCAGCAAGTTATGGAGAAGAGGGAAGAAAGGCCTAGGCGGCATACAAAGGTAGAGTGATAGGAATATTAGGAGAAAAATGGACTAAGAGAGGAGTATTGTTGGGAGAATATGTGTGCCAGTTCGTACATGAAGTTGTAGAGGGAGAGAGAATGTGGGAAAGTGTGAAAATTACAAAAGAGTAATAGCAGGAAATGGAGGTGAAAAGTGAAGTTGGAGTAAGAATATAGGATACCGAAAGATTTTATGAGACCAAGCGTATGAGTCTTGAATAATGGGCATGATGCAAGGGTAATTGTAGAGCTTTTTGTTGGTTTTCAGGGTCGAAGGTTTTCAAAACACCCTTGCGTCGTGGCTGACAAAGAAAATCCCGCGCAGGACTACCAAAACCAAGGGAAAGGTAGGTGAGGGTGGACTTACGGATGGCGGTACAGATATGACATATACAGCATGTTATATGATGCTAAGGAGGAGTGAACTGATGATCAGATTCTTACTACCACAACTATCACAACGCTTGCGAAATAAAATACAATAAAATAAAGATATCGTTATGACACGAAAAATTGACTACATATAACTATCGGATTCTGAATTACAAGCTTCAATTAGTTGGTCCAGAATAATCAAAACGTCGGCTTCCTGGGATTAGCGATCTATCATGCTACGATTTCTTCTTCGCCCTGTTTCCTTTATTCAAGAAAGTATTTGGGACGATTGGACAATTGTAATAAGCTTTAATATATATTTGTGAAAAACACGTAGAGACTTTATATAAAAAAAAGGCTTTAATTTAAATGTCATAACTATCGAGCTACTTTGGTTTTGATCGAGCAAAAATTTGGAGTCTGTTTTAGCTGTTATATAAACACAAGGTTTGTCTGGTGAGAATATTATATTTGAAAGATTAATTCATCCGGAAAGGTTATTCCAGTGAATTTGTCCTAACTATTTTTTTTTCTAACTTGGGGTATTGCTTTAGTCATTGTTTTTTGCTTCATTTGTTTAAGGAATTTTAAACAGCCAACATTTGGCGTGTGATCAGGATTCCTGGGTAGAGCTCCGGTCCAATATCATTCAACCAAGTGTTTCCACAATAACCAAAGTAGACAGAAGTTTACAGAACCAACCCATATGTCTTTTGCTGAATATCTAAAATTGGTTTTTACTGCTTATGTAGTATACTTAGTACACTCTTATGTCAATATTTAGAAGTAAGTTCTAGGATAGATATAAAGCTTTTTTAGCTAAGATAGATTGCGTGGTATTTCGTATTTTATCAGAGAAAAAAAGGCAGCAAAATGTAATATATTTTATCCAAAAATCATTCAATATATCTTTAGAGTTATGTGATACAAAATATACATATTTATGTCACGTTATTCTAAATAACTCGATAAATAACCTATGCATGTCAACAACAATCATCGAATTGAATTAAACGGAAAACTTGTGTCACGCAAAACTCATAGTAGAAAAAACTTGCTTGTAGTGTTTATCAAGTTAAATGGCTTTGATTAGGTATATCAAAACACAGGTTCCAGCAAAGCCAGTTTATTTTATTTCAAAAGTGAACCAAAATTGTACATTTATGCCATTTTTCCTAGAAAAAAAGCGTGACGGCTATGAGACTTACAAACCCGCTTTCTATCTTTCGTGAAAACCATGGTCTCGCCTACTCTTTTTTCCTTGACTCGTTATGGATGCACGTCATGGACATCAACCAACATTGGATCCCAATACGATTCAAGAGCTAGAAGTTCTACGAGCAAAGCTGTGGTCATTGCAAGAAACTTTTTCAACCCAAATTACCTACCTCAAGGAACCGAAGTACCCATTCACATGGCCAGATCTTCTCAACAAGTTCAATATGCTGACAGCAAAATTCGCATCACTATCAGAAGACTTTTACAACTTCACTGAAACAGGAAGCAACGCAACTCTTTTAAAGCTTATGCTCCACCCCTACACACCGACTACTACTGAACAAGAAACTAACATCCTGAGTGTCTTATTACGTACAAAGCTGATTCCTGATATTGAGAAGCTGGAGGCAGAAACGCAAGCAGCCATTGCCCATGATTTAAAACAGCCTACATCGCTTCAGACCGATCATAATGGATCAAATAATATGGATGATGATACCTTAATTAGAAAGGGTTTGGTTCAATGGACAACCTTGCGACAACGTCACGATCGCCTAGCCGTTAATGCTGTAAATTTTGTGGCAGACTTTGTACATGATCATCGGGACACATTCTTACAACGCTACGAAGATAAGGATGAGGACGAAGATGAAGAAATGGAAGAGAAAGAATGGGAAAAGATGGGATTTTCATCAGAGCAAGTTTGGCGAAAGTGGAAATTGGAATGCATGATGAACTTCTATAGTAGTGGCAAGGAAGAGGTTCAGGGTAGTGATCTGAAAAAGCTTTCTGGGGTCGCTAAGCCAAACTAGCTTGAAGAATAGCATTTGACAAAAGTGATCAAGATTATTGATCTGTGTATTCGGTGCGCCGGTAGTTTCATTTGACCGAGTGTGTGACTGGGAACACACTTAAATTCGCAAGATGAAAACCCGCACCTGTTATTTTATATTCTTTCCCCTACTTTTTTTTTTTGTCTTCAAATACAATTACTGCCTTGTCTTCCTCCATGGCTAAAGCTATTCACCCTGCTAGTCTGCTCCTAAATGTCGTTGGATTATACTCCAATTCCTATGCATTTAAAAGCATGCTACGCGTGCCTCTCCCACTGGGATTCGGTGGTCTATTCCAAGTAATAAAATGAAAATACTATATGAAAATATGTATTTTACCATGTTTAACTACAATACCAAGAGTTTAAAGTAGCTGCCTAACGCGCTCCTATAGTTTCTTACAATTATCAGTCTGACCGCTAGTACTATAACATTTTCTCTCCAAATTTTGCGTTTCTTTTTCCCAAAACCCCTACAAGGTAACACTATCATTAGTCAAAGGTAGGACATCAGAGCGGCAAAATTAACCCGGCGAAATCTATAGGCGCGTACCAAGCAGTCTCTGGGCTTGCCACTCCTGTAAGTATCATGTATCTTGGTATAAATAAATATATAACATAAGAAAATTAAGCCTTACAATCGCTATTCTTGATGAATGTTTTAGATGGAGGGCTTGGTGAGCTTGATGTATTGGCCAATGATGCTGCACAGCCGTGATTTGCTTGTCCCCAAGGGATCTCCTTTTGATTTACCCTTGATTCTCGATTTATCCCTTCATCTCTGGCCTGCGGTCATCCTTTACATCGATCTTTTCGTTTTCAACAGCGAGTACAAACGCTCCACTCACAATGTTACTGCGATCTATGTATTCTGCACCCTCTACTTTTTCTGGTCATCCTACTGTAGATCTGTAAACGGATTTTGGGTTTATCCTTTCTTGGATTTCTTCTCAGTTCCTGGGCGTGCAGCTTTCTTTGTCGTTTGTGCCACTGTTTGCGTCGGGCTGTATGAACTTGGTATGTATTACTACAAGATATCCCACGATGTTGCGATCCAGACAATTGATACATAAACTGTAATAGGTTCAGTTATTCATTCCAAGATTCACACCGTTTCCAAGCCAAATTTGAAGGGAAAAAAGTTGCAATAATTATTAGTTGGCAGAAATGACACTAATGGGAATTGTAATTTTGATATAACTTTCTGTAAAAAAAAAATTGACATAATAATCGTCTTGACTTTATTGAAATAAAACTCCCTCACCCTCCCCTTTCTTTTTCTTTCTTTCTTTTATTAATTCATTTATTTGGCTGTAGCAAGATGCATTCTTTGACTGCTGGTAGGAGGGGTACATTTGTATGAGTGTATATGTGAATGTGTATATATGTGTATATTGGTTTCTCGCGTTATTTCTTTTTATTTGGTAATAGTGCATACATCTACAGTGAGAACGGTAAATATTGTCACTTTGTGAAAATTGAATGCCCGTTACTAAAAAAAAAAAACATCTTGCCAAAATTAAGCATTTTGAATTAAAAACCCATTTGTCCGTTTATTCCAAGAAGTTGTCTTTTTGATGTTTATATTCAGATTAAGATCTGATATATCAATACTGCAATATCTCCTCCCTGCTCTACCTTCTTGAGCCCCAACACAATTGTCCTTGCTACAAATCAAAATCTGCTTTAAGCTATCTAATGAACTGAGCGAGTGCGAAAGTTGAACTAGATATTTAGTTGTCTCAAATGAATAAAGCTTCACCATTAAATATAAATTATCTATAGAAACGAAGAGGTAAAATAAAAGTTAAAAAATGACTTAACCCTTCTCGCCAATCTGTAAGTTTTTACCGATAGCCTGTACCGCAGCCATATATTTTGAACTTCGCATTTCCAGTGCGTCCTTAAAGAAGACGGTCTGCCGTATAAGTATTTAAAATTTGCTTATTTGGCCTGATATAGTGGTAACAGAGATATAGTAGATTGTTGATCAGTAAATGTATTTTCTTAACAGGCCGGTGTATTCACATACCATCGAAAGTAGATGTTTTCCTGTGGATTGTAGAATGTAATACATTATAGGATCAATGCAGCTTCCCTGTAGCTCTGCTTCACTAATTTCTTCGTCCGACCGGATGAATAAATGGAGCTTATTGATGTTATTTGTAATGATAATGAAAAGTGAAATGTTAGACCTGTGCTATTATTCAGTCGACAACTCACCAGTCGAGTAAAATACCAATCAATCTGTAGTCATCATTATCTGCTTTTTTTTGCCAGATTGTTTATTAGCTTGGGAGCGGAAATCCTAAAGAGAAAACAAGAAGCAAATGTCAGCACTAGAATAATTTATTGAAACCAACTTTTAACCCACCCTTACCCGCAATACTCCTGAAATTTGAATGTATAAAGTGGTGTCAAACTTCGCATTTGAATCGATATATTTTTTACCCACAGTATTGCGTAGTCCGTCCACGTTTACAGCCCCAAAGTGACTAATTTTCTCCACTGTATTCATTCTCTTTTAAGAATAGAACGTCTGACAAAGACCCATAGAGCCAATATTAGTAATGGGCTTTCAAACTCTGGCAATATAAGTAAGTGAAAGAAAGAGAGAGTCATCATACGCGTAAGAAGGCAAATCGATAGTGAAATATCCAACAAAATTTTGTCACAACTTAACGGCAGCAAATCCTTATAATCTTCTGCCTAACTGGCTATTGGTATAGTGTACTTTTTTTTTCAGGACACGCCATTTTGCCCTGAAGGATTAGAGAAAGACACTGGACCGCGGACAGGTGGCCATAATTAATTAGTCCGATTAGATAGAAACGTCGTTCCCGTAATATTGCTGGTACATAAAATTGCAATGCGAATGGCCTGTATTTTGATTGGCTAAAATCGACATATTTTAAAATACATGAAGAAAAAAAAATAACGCAAATCAAAGCAGGAATACTTTATAGCTAATTAAGTTAAACAGGGTGCGTGGCAAATAAACCATAAAAAGCTACATCAGGTACAGGAACCACATTTTTAAGGAGAAAGACAACAAAGTTAGATGACGGGTGTATCAATAGTACACCAAAATAATAATAGTTAATGACCTTCGAGATAGACCGTAAATATTCAAAAAAAAAAGTCATACACGTTACGTACTGAGATTCTCCCAGTTCCAAACACTGGGATGGATTCAAAGTTACGATGCATTATACTGGCATCATTGATAAATCCCAAAAAGATGCATGCTGTAGAACATGTATTCATTCAGATATTCATAATCTATTAAATCGAACGAGTCAAAGTATGAATATTGAAGCCATTTATCCACACACATTCAAGAAATTGAGTGCAAGGTTATTGGCCCTTCGAGAGCCTTTTTTTTAAAATAATATTATTAGTATTCAAATGAATTTAACAAGCATAAATTCTGCCTTTTTATACAATGTGAGAGTGGCAGGGTAAAGGAATGAATGTAAGGGTGCACGCGTTTATGTAACAAATGCTTATTAGCTTCGCGTGCTTTTCATATATTATAGACGATATATTGATTTCTGATTGGGGTAATCATAAAAATCAAGAAGAAATACGAGGGCGAAACCACCCTAGGCGATTGAATACACACCATAGTGCACTTGTTTTGTTGACATCAATACGGCACAGCTTCTGGGCATCTGATTTGCGAAACTTGAGACCTTTCTGGGTGTATTGATAAGCAGCTAGTACCAGTGTTCGCTTACACCGTAAAAATTGCTCGGGTGTGAGCCGGAGGGTAGATGCAATAATAGCCTCTTCTGGATGTAGACGGTCGTAAAATGGCAATTTATCAATTGTGAGACGTGAGCCTGAAATCACAAGCATTCATAAGTAATTGAATCTACCACGCTATCGAATAGTATCTCGACCTAATACCAAGTGGCTTTCCTTTATGTATATTCATAGGAGGCCACGAAAGAAAAGGAGTTGAAAGGGGGGGGGGGGGGGGTGAAGAACTTGCTGGGCTTACCTTTCCAAGTCACACGAACAGCCGATGGTGCACTGAATACACCAAAATCTGGAATCCAAGATGGATCTACAAATACATCCGAGTCTTCTTGAGAAAGATCAACTTGGTGATAGGTATCGCTAAGGTCTGTCTTGACTTTTTTTGGCAAAACCTCGCTTCTGGATGGCTGAGTCGCATGAAAGTTTGGTTTGTTGTGTTGATCCTTATCAACCGGTCTTTTCTTAGCCAGGCTAGGGCCATATTTGCTGTTAAAATTTTCTGAAAGATTGCTTTGAGGTTCTGGGGTGGTATGGAAGACGGTGTAGAGATCTGTATCAGATGATTTTGGTGATTCTTTTGAGCGACTGATTAAGAGACGCGGTCTGGTTGGAGAAGTACATATACGATCAACACTTCTGGAGGGTATTTTCCTGAAATTGTAGTCAGGAGAGAGGGTGAATATGTCTGAATGATCAAAGCTCTTCGTTCCAGGACTCGGAGGTGTGGTCATGGCTTTATTGTAGAGTCTGGCGGCTGATTTTCGTTTGGTGCCAGCTGGACGCGATATACGGAAATAGTTGAGCGAAGGTATATGGGTAGGCAGAGGAATAAGAACGGATCTTTCGTCTATGGGATATCTCTGGTTGTCCCTTCGCACAGGAAGCTTTGGAGTAATGGGAGGAGATGATGGGAGACCAAGGCCTTCTAATGGCTCTTGTATAGAGACTGGGGGAAGATTTTGATATGACATACCGAGGCAAAGAAGCTAAAGGTAAAAAAGAGGGAGTACAGAGTACGATAAAAAGTGACAAGAAACAAAAAAAAAGAATTGTCGGGAAGCAAATAGGCAGAAATGATAAGTCGATATAAAATTAATAAAACCACAAACGTGCAGTGAGGAAGCTTATTTGAATACATGCTTGTAGCTCGCGTATCATTGCGCTTGTAGAATGAAGTCTTTTTGTAACACCGGATAAGTGCGTTATCATTGTTCTCAACGAAAGAATGCCCATGCCATAAGAGACCCCTCTTTCCTTACTATTTCAAGTACAAACCCATACCCCATTCATCTAATTTTTTTAACTCATTGAAAACCCTCCCTTTCCCCCTTTTCTCCCGGGCCTCTTGTAAGTCATTCTCTCGATGATCTTCAATCGACCTGCCATCTTCTCGGTCCACTCTGGCCTTGTCTTGAATTCTTTCTATTGAGTCTATCCATTTTATTTTTGTTTATCGGAATTACACGTGTAATTTGCACCTCTTCCTCGCTCGCACTCTAGTCATTTCGCTCATTTAACATTCTGGATACTGCCATGGCATAGGTTAGTCTGTGTCCTTGCCGATCTCAGACCATTTAATTCGTGGAACAAAACAAAAAGGCGCACCTCTGAGAAAATAAAAATAGATGTCCTGAATTCTATCCCCTTGAAGGAGTATAGCATGCGCTGTCTTTTCGTCCAATGCAACGATCCGTTTCAGAAATAACCAGCAATAGTTTAAAGCAAATTCTCCAAAGAATGGAATTATTTTGCTTCGCTGTCAAACCCTGTCAAGTTACTCGGCGGAGGTAGCTGGTCACACAGAGCCACCATTCTCTAGCTGTTCCGTTGCCCTTTGAACGGTCAAAGAAGTTCGGTAGGTTTTGAGCTTGGGCTTGTGCTCCGACTCCGACAGTAGCTCGTTCTGTGGCTGCACTAGTACAAGGAGAGGATCTAATTGTAGTTCTATCAGCCGATATCTAATGGTATGACTTGCCTAGCAATAACCACAAGCATTCACCTGGCAATATACGCACAAGCACGTCGATCATAGACAATATCTGGCACACAAGTCAAGTCAACGCGGAGCAAAAATGTGCGGTCTTTAAGCGATGTTGCACAGATCAAAATTAAATAAAGGGAAAAACAGATATTTATTTGCTTATTCCTTTTGGTTTATAACAATAAAATAATGAGCATAAGCATGAAAGGGGGAAAGGAAACATTGTATCAAGAGTTTTCTTTATCGTCTATAAGGTCCACCATCTACTCCTCTTTTATATGACAAAGCTTATTCAGCATTGTTAAACAAGTAACTAACACTTTCTCCGTTATGCTATATATAAAAAAAGATGGACAGTGAGCTATTACAGTAATAATACATGCATGTATGTGAACTTACAGTTCTTCTTATTGCCTCGGAGAGTGTAGTAGAAATATCAATAGTCGTGAGCTTGCTGCACTGTTCAACCTTCTCCTTTGGAATAGGGAAACTGTTGGTGACGACAAGCTAATAATATAATACACACGCGCACACAAGTTTAAATAATTGAGAATAAACGCAAGCAAACGCTTAAATATCAAACTTTACACCATTTACCTTATACACGCTGTCACAGGCCTGGATCTTCTGTACAGAGTCTCCGCTAAGAACACCGTGAGTAGCAATAATATACACCTTGGCTGCACCACACTTCTTCATCAAATGCTCTGCAGCGTCAAGGAATGACTGGCAGCCATCGATAATGTCATCCTATATGCGTTGTCAAGGTAAGAAATTTGAAACACAGTATTGTACTGTTTTAGTAGTTAAAGAAAGAAAAGCCTTACAGTCAAGAAAACTGTTTTGCCCTTGACATCACCAACAAGTGTGATAGTGCTCTGCTCACCGGCAGTATCAGCAACAATGGATACAGCAGCGTTCTTGACATCTCCATTGACACCTGCGTCTGTAAGAGATGAAATAGAGGCAATCAATTCATTGGAGTGGACATCCAATTCTGCTGCTTCAAGCACATCTTCTTCCGCCTGAATAGCCTTTGGCATTCCACTATAGGGACGGTTGGTACCCTGGGGTCCAGATCTGGAACGATCCTTGTGGATAAGAGCAAAGTCGAGACGAAGAGCATCGGCCAAAGAAGTAACTCTGTTAAGAACAGATGGTGAGTCTTACCTTTCTGTCTATTTTGAATGTCCGACATCTAAAATTTTCATTTATTTTTTACCTCTTTGCGCCACCGGCATTTTTACTCACAACCACACCGTTTTGCCAGGTAGGGACATTTTGTGTAATCCACTTAGCAATTACAGGTTCAGCATACAGATTGTCTACTGGCCTTTGGAAAAAGCCCTGCATCTGAGAGGCATGCAAATCCATAGTCTACGGGGGGAAAAGGTCAGCGGATGCTATACGTTCGTGCTTAGATTACCCACAATGATATGGTCCACACCAGCGACAGCCAACATATTAGCAACGACTAACAATCATGTCATCAGCAAGTTGTCGACAGCAACAAACGTACTTCAGATCGATCGTAGGGCTGCACCCTCTTTCGTTTTCATCTTGTTCTCTAGGCGCACTTACGCTTTGCTGTGATACATGTTCTTCCCTTACGCTTGCTTTGTTTGCAGTAAGGGAAATAAGGAAGAACGGCAGTAATTCTCTTGGCAGAACCCATGCGAGCAGCCTGGATCATAATACACAATTCGATAATATTGTCGTTCATCTGGTTGGAGCCAGACTGAATAATAAACACATCTTCGTTACGGATAGAAACGCCTAGATATTTTTTGGGAGTTACCAACATATACTCATTAGGTTGCATAAACCAAGGTAATGACTGCTGACAATGACTTTTGTTTTTATTTTTTTATTTTTTTTACTTACCAATCTCAACACTTGTTTCCTTGTTGCTAAACTTCTTTGAGGTTGTAGCAGCCAGTGGTGTCCCAAGTTTTTTGCAAACAAGAGTAGCAAGCTCGGGATGAGATGAACCGGCCAGGATACTGGTATTGCGCATTGCTTTTTGTTTCGACGTGGTAAATGGAGTGTGGAAGGAAGAGAGGTACACGCTCTATCCTTACTAGTGTGGAGAAGAACGAAAAAAAATTTTAGACAGCCGATCCTGCTCTAACCCTGGGGTGGCTAACCACGTGACTAAGTTAAGTGAGAGGAAAGCCAATAATATCTCTCCTTATTGTAGCCTATTGACATTGTCATAAGCTATTTATCAAGGCAGTTTCTAATCCATGAAACAATACCCTTGAAAAAATAAACAGAAAACCTTTATTTAGGCCTTTGCTAATAAAGTTGGAAGCATATTAGAGTATATTTCTTAAATGTAAACGGTTAATTCTTTATTCTATCAATACAATTCTGAATACTCGGAACAAGAGTGGCTGTTTTTTTGGGGGTTGTTATCGCAATCAAGAATAGCATATATATATATATATATATATATGAAAATAAGAATCAATTTCACAATAATACAGAGCTATTCTTGAGTCTTCAAATTTAGTAAAAGGTATATGAGTATTCGAGAGAATATGAAGAAATGGTATCTTTAGACCTGTCCCAATGTTAATATATTTCAGTGTTGTACACTACGGAGTCACGCTGATTATACAACACAATTCAGAAAAATACATATAACATAAGATATTACGATCAAGAACTAAATTCAAGTGTAACAATTGTCATACATGTTACTGCTTTTTTGATAACCATGTTTCTAAAATACCATCTAAAGATGACTGAGATAATGAGATATCTATTTAAGCTAAAAGCAAAAGCAAACCTACCGGCAATATATTATACTCCTATCTATTATGGCTCGAACAAATATATATATTATTCTACACCTTTTTGTAGAACATAATAAGAAAAGCTCGGTGGGATTTTAGAAAATAATTCAAGCTTTTTTAGAAAGGCTCAGACTGCAAGTACTCGAGAATTATATAAGTTCAAGATTATCTTTGTATTCAAATAGTTAACAGAATAATTGAAAACTGGGAAGCTTTGAGTTTAATTTGATATTCCTTAGTATTGGTTTGAAATGTAAGAGTTTTCAAGACGTGATATAGATTTAAATGACATGCTTCATTAGAGATCACTGAAATGATCTTCACGCCACGATCCAAAGGACCTACGGGGCTGATTGTAATATTAATATACACACCAATATAGTTTCCTTTAAACAATCATTTTTTTTTATTACTTTTTATTGATATATGCAGGGGTTTATGCGATCGGTTAAAAAAAAAGAAAAAAGCAAATTTTATGTAATTTTATAGTTTTGCTTTTAATGGCTCTAGTCGAAACTTAATTTCACGCAGTTTAGCACTCGCAGGACTCCAAGAATCATATAGAACCTTTAGATTCTTTAGTTCTTGGGATAATATGGGATCATTGGAAATCCGTGTGTCATCAAATATACCCCTCATTGCCCACGGAAGATAAAACGGATTAAGACGTACTTTTGATTGAAAGGGATCAATTTTGGCCTCCATTGGAGTAATCAAATCTTTTGATGCAGACAATGACCGTTTGTCGGTAAGATTAACAACAGCGTCTGATGATACGTACGAACAAACGAGCTTCTGTTGACCAAAAGGTGCTGTCTCAAAGAGGTGCCGAACCGCAATCACATAAACATCAAGCTCTTCGTAAATTGTTGAATGACCACCTTCCAACGAATACAGATTTCCTGCAAGAACTTCGCTAATGTGCGTCAATAGTCCATGGTCTGACAATCCGACGTTGCGTAACCGAAGTGCAAAGCTAATTATGCTGATAAGAAAATCATCTTGAGAGTATATGTGGGAATCAATATACATTCCGCGTAGGATATTTGGATGTGACGTTCCAGTCATAATTGCTGAATAGAGGGGAACGACCTGATCTTGCATGGATCCGATCAGGGTTGTCTTGATTCCTCGACGAAGAATATAGCCAAGTGAATCTGCGAATTTCTGAGATATAGTACTATTGGAATCCATAAACTCAAATAGTTCTCGTGCCGCATCTGCCTCAAAATACTATGTTCGATGGTTCCTGTTGAGTAAAATACGAGATTGACATATAATGATAGTAAAATAGTCTTACTTTTACTATAAGACTGCCTTTCAGAGTTGGGAATGGTCCATAGCAAATACCAGCCATAGCCAGCAAACTGACAGCCTGTCTTTGTACATTCACAAGTTCTCTATCCAAAAGACGGCGGAGAAGGAGAGTAGATACAGGAGTTCCTTGTGAATGAGTTGCCCACAAGATCACATCGGCAGATATCAGGGCGCTCATCCACGCGGGATTGTTGACCAAACTATTGAACAATTTATCTACCCTCTCTTCTACTTTGCCTTCCCCTTGTAACGGAATCATCGTGATTGAATTATCATGAATCTTGACTCCATGCTCACTTTCAAAATAATATTTTGCAGCCATCGACATTTGCTCACAGAATTTCTCGGATGTACCAGTAGGTTCTCCCATAACACTACGTACAAGCTATAAAATGGTAATGGATGGCTTTTGGTTAACTTGATATATACTGGATATATATTTACAGCTGTACTTATTTTACCTTCATAGGAAACCATCCATGTACACCAACCACTGCAATTTTCACGCCCCCGGTATTCTCTGGATCCTTCTTTATATCATTTACAAATCTTAAAATGCTTAGATTGTGTAATAATTCATGCTTATTTGGATGATGATATTTTGCCTGCGAGAAAATATAATTAATTACACCAATAGCCTTTCCCAAAATGCTCGGAGACTCTGGGGTAGATGCCTCTATATTAGGGCTGAATTGAGACTGGAAAGTTGGCAAAACATGATTCTTTTTCAAAAGTCCAATAGAATTATCGGTTTTTGTAGCTTTGTGCTTCTGGTCTTCTTCAACAATATTTTGTTGATCATTCTTTGTCGACCGGTGCCCGGGTAATGGAAGTCGTAGCTTTTTAACGTTATCGTCTTTGGATCTCCTCAATTCGCTATCTTGTTGACCTTCTTCATTGTGTAATGGACCATGTTCAACTACAACGGTATCTTTTTGTGAGTCTTCCTCTGGGGTTTCTGGGGGGTTCTGTTGATTCTCCGGCGAATAAAACAATGATTTCCAATATGATTTAGAATGTTGAGAGCTGGCATCCTGTGTATTAGAAGTCTTTTGATCGTCAATTTTTGATCCCTCCTCGAGAGGGTCTTTATCTATAGGTGGATTATCGAATTCTTCTTCGTCAGCCGCTTTGTTGGGCTCGGTCGAGTTATCAGAAGGAGAGTCACCAGGGAGTGTGCCTTGTGGTGGACCATACCCCATCCACGACCATATGCCTTGGGCCTGCAATGGACGTTGTGAGGTTCCAGGTGGTTGCTTTTTGCTAGAAACGTCGTCTTTCTTATCGGGTGTATTCTCAGTATCGTAATCGTCATCTTCATCGTCGCCATCATCGCCATCGCCGCCACCATTGTTTCCGCTGTTGTCGTTACCATCATCTCCATTGCCTCCGGCACCTTGTTCCTCATCAAAGTGTTTGTTTTGAGCATCAGATTTAGAGTCTTTAAAGACAATAGTATCAACCTGAGCTGACAATTGGTTTAATTGGTTCATTTGTGCTGTTTTTTCAGGTGCAACGTTCCTTTTGCGTGAAACTAGTGTATCTTTCGAAATAAAGTCAAGCCAGGAACGAGATTTAGCTAATGTGGGGTTGCCGTTGTATTCGGATTCAGAGTTTGAAGCAGTTAAATCAGTCGAGCCAACATTACTGGCTTCTCGAGAAGGGACTTTAGTGAATATGTGTTCATCTTTAGCTTTAGCATAAGTCAGGTTGGTGTTGCCATTAGAAAGCGTGCGAATATGTTGATGCACTGCATCAATCTCAAGATCGCAACCTTCTCCTACATTAGTCGTACTATTAGTGCTTATCAAAGTAACCATGATTTTTAAATAAAAAAACTGACTACAAAGACAAACTGCCGTGAAGTCAAAAACCTCAAAGTGAATAGAATATCTGACTGGGGATTACATGTGAAGATTTGGTAATCGGTTGTGTGTTTGGGTATGGTTAGTATCTTTCTCAAATACTAACATCTATTATTATTATTTTCGGAAGGACCTAAACCTATCAATTAACATAAGCGTCTTTGTGTTTAAGTATAGACTTCTTGGTACACAATATACCCTTTTAATGCTTTTATAATTCAGAGAAATACATTTATGATATTCAAATAAAGCAGAAAAATTATGTTCTTTTTGGGTAACCAACTTGCTTAAACGTTTTTCTTTAAATGCTTGTGCTGTGTATGTATACAAGTTGACGATAGGATCTTCTTACAGTTTTATTAAGATGCGTGAAGCCCAGGAATTCTCTCACTCAACCACAAATCACTTTAAGTACAATGGTTCATCAAAAAAAAACAAACTAATAGCGTCTCAATCTCAAGTAGAAACACTATATTCAATCGATACATTTATAAAATATTTATGGGTTTTAATTCTGTAGGTGGAAATGAAATAGGAATAAGAAAAACCCATTTACCATCACAGGCTTATATAGTACTGTGGAAATATTATTGTAGATAAATACATATTAGCTTTACCAAAAATCTATCACAAAGAAATATGTTCTGAGTCTTAGGTTTGCTCCTACCAAACCAGTACATGCCTGTGAATATACAAAATATATTTGAACACCAAAGAAGACCAGAGACAAAGTGAATCTTGAAGTGTGACATGTTAAGCAGGACTGCTTCTATCTTTGGCATCCGAATTTTGCAAGTCCACACATCTATATTCACTCCACTCACTTATAATCACTCACTCGCTCACTCGCTCACGCACTCACTTGCTCACTTACAACAGGGCAACGTATTAGGCCTATTAGTCTTATTCTGCATCCAGTGCCACTCTCCCTTTTTATTTTTATTTTCTTCTTCTTGTTCTGTACATCACTAGCAACATGAGCATATCTGTAGCTGATATTTTTGAGGAATACGTAGAAAGTATGTCTACCATTCAATGACACTTACTAGTATTACTTGCTGCTTATTTTAATCAAGGCATTACTATTATTATTACTACTATTATTTATCAATTCTAAATATCAGGGACAATATTTCAATCAAATCCACTCACACCAGTTTATAATTAAAAGGTTTGCAGAATCTGCCTTCGGAAATCGATCAAAACATGCATGAACTACGTAGCATGGATGAAGAGTTCCAACGTAAGGTGCTTTCTGTCCAAAAAAAAATAAAAGAAAAATAAAGAAATAAAAACAAAAAAAAAGCAATGATAATGCAGATTTGCTCGATTGGCCAGGATAGCTAATATTTGCATCTCAGGCATAAGAGAGACATACACTAAGCATAGAAGATCGTACACGAAATTACTTAAATTATCAAGTGCTGCATCGCCAACAACTCCACTGCCTTCTAGTCAAACAGTTAATCCAGCCAATACAACTGCATCAAGACTTCAGCTTGAGAAAGATTATAGGGCAGCTGTTCAAAAGCAGGATCAAAAGATTGAATTGGCATTACGAATGTACGATCTTGTTTCACGTCACATTGAACGTATTGATTCTCAAATGGCAAAGAGCGGAGTCACAGAGGGCGATTGGATTGTGAATGGAGGCAGTAATCCGAGTACTAATCGAAAAGGACCTACTAATACATGGGATGAATCTTGGCGTAGTGATGGTATAATTGTTTTCTTGTTTGAATTTGAGTTTATTTTAGTTTAATTATATATATATATGTGTGTGTGTGTGTGTGCTGGTGGGTGTAAAGCAAGAAAGGGGAGATTTTATAATTTTATTAATCTTATTAATTTATTTTTCTATGAAATTTCTTATGTTATTCTATTCTTGTTATTTTGGATAACTAGGCTCACGAAAGCGCTCCTTACCTGCTAATGGTCCGTCCGCACTCAGAAAAAGGTATGTTAAATACTTTAAAAAATTGATGCCCTTATTTCTAATCAATTTATCTGTGTGGATATATACAGAACTCACCACTCTTCACGCCCAAATCCTTCGATTGGACACAATGGTGCAATGGCAGAATTGGATATCGATCCAAATGAACCTAGATATTGTTATTGTAATCAGGTTTCATTTGGCGATATGGTTGCTTGCGATGGAGAGAATGTAAGTCATTTTTTTTTCTCTTTTGGTTTGGTAGAAACAAATTAATTTACAAAGTCTATTATGTGTGAATACTAGTGTGAGAAGGAGTGGTTTCACTATGCGTGTGTTGGACTGGTAGAACCTCCTGCAGGAAAATGGTTTTGTAGCGAATGTTTGGCGGCTGAGGACGGATACCGAAAAAAATTAAAGAGATTTAGTGAAGAGCTTGCTTAATAGATATTGTTAAAAGTTTTTTGTTGCAAAAAAGAAGAGAAGAAGAAGGCAGAACAACAAGTATTGTAAATATTTAATAATATATAGATATATTATAAAAATACGGAAATTATACCATTTGAAGAATATCTGTATATGTGTATATATCTGTTATCTTGTTCGGGTAGTTATATTTTTTTATTGGACTCTGGTTTGCAACACCCCAGCTAAAATAGCTTAATATTTCAATATGCCTTTCTTGAGTGAAATAGGAGAGGGTTATTAATATTTATTTATTTTTTCTTAAAAGAAAAAGAAAGAACCGTACAAGATAGTTTGGATGACTTTGTCATTAACACTTTGATTTGTGTAATAGTGAAATGAAAGCAAAGCTAGGTTGGACTTTCGAGATTCTCAAGTGGATTTATTTTCTAGATTTTCACTTGCTCTTAATTGGCAATCCCATTTAGCTTATCTTTACTGCCTAATGAGATGACTTGGGTGTATAATAACAGTAGAAAACTTGCTTTGAATTAGAAGGTATACACATCCTCTTGGTTTATTCGCTAGTGAGGAATATCATTTAGATTTGTAACACAATTATACAAAAAAATAGAAAAGACAATAGATGTGAGTTTAAGCTCTGTACTCGGGCCATGTTTTGTTGTTCCATATGTCGTGCATATTATTGTTATTCTTTTTGAAACATACATTTTGGCTCACAAGTAGATTGACTAGGATATATGTCCTGTATATCATGATTCTAAAGTTTCTTTTCACTTTCCTTCCTTTTCAACGTAAATATTATCTTCCGGACATAATAACTCTGTGTGGTATTATAGGCTTTATTTATTTATACAAGACAAATATCGCATTCTTTAGAGTCTACCCTTGGTTGCTTGTTTACAAGACAATAAAGGCTCTTATGTCGTCAGATTAGTATTTTCTCAAGGCAAGTTTGAAATAAATGCCTCTGCCTTGCAAAGAAAAAAAAAATTATACAAATAGATACACACAAGCACACACTTGTGTATAAGCTACGCGCATTATTGTTGTTTATCTCTCCTTCTTATTTTTTCTTGTTGAAACTAATCAGTTGTTCAAAGAGAAGAATATAGAAAAACACACCCGCATATATATATATTTAAATAAATAATAGTAATAATATTAAAAAAAAAGTTTCCTCTTCAAAAAAATAATAATAGAAATACATAAACATTCCATACATTTTATATGGCACAGTGATCATTAGAACATTTATATTAAAATCTACATTTTCATGGTCATGGTCTATTCGTAACCTAAATCAACGATAATGGCTTCCCGCCGAATTTGGAGTGGTGCAAATCATGTCAAGTACACTATTTCCAGGTGTATTTTGGCTGGTAGATAATGGACAGTGTGCATGGGCTACAAGCATTGTTTTTAAACTAAGTATCTCCTCCCGATAAATAGCAATTTGGCGTCTTAGTGCAGAGTTCTCGGCTGCTGATTGTATATCATTTGCCTGAAGCTGAGCAATCCACTCTTTCTTGCGTTGGCGGCATTTGAGTGCAGCTATAGTAATAAAAAGGTTAACCTTTTTGTGTTTACACACATACACATGCACACACATACACACATACACACATACACACATGTACATACATATATATTTATGCATTTATGTATTTATGTATGTATACATGTATGTTTCAAATTAATTGAAAATATAAAGAAGAAGAAGAAAATAAACAGTGCGTACCTTGGCGGTTTCTTTCTAATAGATTCTGTCGTCTCTCAGTCTCGCCTTCATCTTCGACTTCCTTACTTCTTTTTCTTTTTGAGGGAGCTGAATTGCGTCTACCAGACAATGCCCTCTGTGGAGCCACTTCAGGCTGAGAATTGGGGTCTACATGTTTAAATGGCTGACTAGAAGTTGACCAGACACTCGAAGTTGAGGTGCTCGTGTCAGACTGTTCCCGCAAACGTTGGTGCGACGTGTTGAGTTGATCATCGGATCTAAAAGGGTTACCTAAAACTGTTGAGTGAGCAAGAAACGAACGACTCGACAAGCTTTCTTTTTATAAATACATGCATACATATAATATACATATATACAAAGGATAATATGGAATAAAAATACAAAACAGTTACACTGTCAAATGACTACCTCTCTCTCTCTCTCTTTCTTTCGTTGTTTCTTTTAAAAGGATTATATTTATATTTCTGTTTTTTTTTGGATTATATATTTACCCAGTGTTGGCCTTGGTATAGAAACGGAAGATTTCTCAAGTTCATCGGGACCAAAAGCGAGTCTTTGATCAATTTCAAAGGAAGCCTGTGGTGCTTTTGACATGATGCTATTGGTGTACTGTGCATTGAAATTCGCATATTGTGCACTGTTCCAATTGTCAAACATATTATCTGTATATAGTGATATCCCAGGGCCCATCAATGAGGATGTCTGGTAGGGGTTTTGGTCCATCGAATTTAATTCAATTCGGCTGGTCTCCGTGTCGTCTTCATCGCTTTCATTTTGATCGATGAATGTGAACACTTCGTCAAATGAAGAAGGCATTTGATGACCTTTTGGAACGTCTGAGTTGAATGATTTTAGGGTAGACAGAGACATTTGTTTCGCTTTTCTTTCTTTCGTCTTGATTTTTTTTTGGAAGGTTGAGTGGATAAAAGGTGAAGAGATGAGGTTGGGAGAAAGGGAAGTTTCTTTTTAGGTAATATAAAAAGTAAAGTAAAATAAACGAAGGAATTTAAGGTTGATATTAATATTAATATTAATGTAAATGTAAATGCAAATAGGCGTTTATCGTAAAGAGAGAGAAAGAAGAAGGTGGGCGTGTGTGGGCGTGTACGGACGTGTATGGGTCTGTGTGTTTGTGTGTTTGTTGTAGTCTGTAGGTTTGGACGTATACAAATATAGAATCTAAAATATATACATGTAAATTTATATAAAAAATAAAATGGAAAATATATATGTCTTATATATACACATACAACTTTACAGAAAAGGAATAAGCAAAAGAAGAAGAAGAAAAAGAAGAAGAGGAAGAGGAAGAGGAAAAGAGGAATAATAAGAGATTAAAATAGTATAAATAACCCTTGCTCTTTCAAGTTTATCTTTTCTGTTTTAAGAAGAGAATTTGGGTAAAATGCTGGAGTTGACCATGTTCCGAAATAGTTTTTCCTATAATAATTCAAATAATTTGATTCGATTCGCCGTCCTTGTTCATTGCTCAAAGGAGACTTTGAGCTTCCCTTTTGTTTCTCTCTTTCTTGGTATATTTTGTTTCAAATGAATCGCATAAATACTCTTTAAACGTATTAGACCAAATTATCGCCTTGCTCCAAAATTCACCCCTGTTAATACTTGATAACGACTGGTTTATAGCAAGATTCTCAAGATTTCTTTTATTTGTACAAGATGTGTAAAAATATACATTTTTATATTTAAATAGTAGTAACAACAGCTACTACTACCACTACAGCAGCTACTACAACAACTCTAAAAAAAGATACAGACATAAGCACACACACACACACATATATATATATATATAAGAGACTTCTTTACGAGAAACAACAGTAAAGATTTGATTTGTTTAAATATCGGAAAATGCTTGGAACAATTATTTCCGTCGATACTTATAAAAGTCTAGACAAACGACAAAAGAAAAGAATCAAATCTGGCCTGAAATTGGTCTCTAAAATACTAGACTAAATATCACATAATTGTTTCTTTGACTCTTCTTTTTCTATCTTTTTTTTTATTATTTATTCTTGACAGGGGGTGAATATATACTTAATCTAATGCAGCACTTGGCTTACTCGGCAATCTAATATATATATATATATAATTAATATGAGAATGTATACAGTTGGCTTTCACAACTGCATTTGTCCAGGGTTAAATTTTATTATATATTTATTTTTGTGTTAGACATCAGCCGTCTTTAAACTTAGTATTATTAGTAGTATACTCTAACATTCAATATCTCTTTCCAAGCTAATATTGCTGTATAGTATATAGTATATAAATAATAAGTGCAAATATATTACAAAATTAATATATTAAAATCGAAAATTATGATTGAGAGTGATTTGAGATGGGAGTTTATTTTAAGAAGCGAGGCAATTGTTGGGTTTCTCCGTTTGTGAGATTCTTGCCTTTTTTTTGTATTTTATAATAATTCTGTGGTTTCATTGACAGTAATTATCGAGGCAATTTTATTCAAGCTTTATTTTGTTTCTTTTTGTTTCGATAAACGAGATCTGCTAAATCGCTTATTCTTCCAAAAAAAATAATAATAATTCACGGCATGATGTGTATGTGTGTGTGTGTGTGTATTATTGTATGTATTCTACAGTTGGTATTTCTTATTTACAAATTTATTTATTTATTTATTCTATATATATAGAATAGATTTGTAGATCTCGGTCTTAACATTTATGCAACAAAGATTAAATATAATATAATTTTTTTTTTAAAAAAAAAAAAAACAAAGCCTTTCCCATATACAACTAAGCGCGATAATACAAATCAATAACTCTTGCTTCATGCCGACCCGTATGATTATTTTTTCCAAAAATACAAGAAAGCCTCAAATATGCCATATGTGTCTGATATTATAATACTTAATGAAACATGGCTTTTTTTCATTAAGACAATTAATTATATATACACGCATGCATGCACATAAATATATAAAGATTAATTTATCCTCATCTTTTCAAAATTAAAAATAAAAAGTCAATGTTTACAGAATAGTGAAATGAAAGCATGTGATGTGATGTTTTAATATAAATTTATTTATCCTAATATTTTGAAAGGATCAAGCTGCTCAGGATCCAAGACAACGCTAGACACCATTTTTTTAGTTGACAGAAATTTACTTCTTCTATAAAACACAAACACAAAAAAGAAAACATATTAGCAACAACGACAAACGTATAGTAGATTTCGCCAAAAGGCCTATGAAAAAAAAAACATTACCTTGTTGGCCTCCTCCTCAGCCTTATCCTTAGCACGCTTCTCGCGGGCACCGAGGGTACGGGCAGCGGAACGAGCGTAACGGAGCTTCATGTAGGCATCCTGCTTCTTCTCGTCAGCAGTGATAGCGCGAGCCTCAGGGGCGGCAGCAACCTGCTGGACGGGGAGGATAGCACCACGGAACTGAACAGCGGAAGCAATCTCAGCAGCCTAAGTTATCAGAAACACACAAGATTAGCGAACCGATCAATTGATCACACTCCATTTCAGGAACACGCGCACTCCAAGCTAAATTCTTTTATCTTTTGTATCTTTTTTGTTGTAGCAAAACAAAACTCCAGAAACTTGACCCCCTATATAGATATAAATGATAATTACCTCAGAGTCACCCTTCTTGGGGGAGCCGGACTTGCGGGGGAAGACAATGAGCTTAGCCTTGAAGGCCTTGAGACGCTGGACGTTCAACTCAAGGGACTCCTGGGACTTGTTGCGGCGACGGTGGTCGACGGCAATGCCGATGGTACGGGCCTCCTTGGCACGGACACCAGCCTCCTTTAAAAACGTCAAAAAATATACAAAAGGTAAGTAATTATTATTTTTATTTTTACTGGATCGGTAACAATAAAGGATCGTAAGTTGTCATTACGAACCTTGAGCTCCTCGAGGGTGAAACCACGGCCGGATCTCAACTTCATGTTGTAGCGGAGAGTAGGGCAGCGGACAGCGGGACGGAGGAGACCGTCAACGGGACGAGGAGCGATGCGAGTGGCCTTCTGGACACGTGCAACTCTTCTAGACTTCTTGCGACCAGCCTGGTCGAACCAGGTCTTGACGCGGCGCTGCCATTGCTTGCGGAAATGCTGGTTAGGCAACTGGTTGTTGTGCTTCAAAACCATCGCCTTTTGTCGTAAATATGTATGTTTGTATGTATATGTATTGTGTTTTGTGTTTGTGTGTGTATAGGAATTCACAAAATATAGATAAATAAATAAATAAAAATTATTAATATTAATATTAACGAAATTTGGATATATATTTATATATATACATATATATTTATACACATACACATATATGTATTTATATATTATGTATAGGCATTTTTTTTAAAAAAAATTGATGTTTCTATCCATCCATTATGATATAGTGCATATCAGCTCCATAGTACAATGGATGTGTCGTTGGATGTCATTAATTGTTTGTGGATACATACAGATTGACCAGTAAGGGAAAGAGAACGGGATAAGTTAGCCTTGGGTGAGCGGCTATGTTGCGCTTAGCTCTGCCGGATCCCGCGACGTGATAGTAACTAGTTTAGATTGCTTTATTTAGATTGCTGACGTGGTACTCTCAGGCGGTCACGATTTGAGACTGGGTGTGGGCAAATTTTTTTCTTTATTTCTTTATTTGGTTCTGCTTGCTCTTGTATAGTCTTTAATATTAAATCACCATTGAGTGATGTTTAATAGTGATATTAATGGATAAATATACATATATATATATATATATATATATATATATATATTTAACATGTAAAAAAAAAGTTGAAGATGTAAAGAAGAAGGGATTCATGATACACACACTCTAAGCACACTCTACACATACTCTACGCACAATATAAATTTACAGAAAAAAAAAGCATGAGATTAATTCATTTTCAATTTATTCTCTTATTCATTACTTGAATACTGGTGCCTTTTTATTCATATTTATTTATTTTTTATTTATTTTTTAAGTCCTGCTTTTGGAAAGTTTGTACATGAGCTTTGATTTAAAACATAAATACACATACTTTATATTGCATAGTATTAATAATAAATTTCTCAAGTCTTTTCCCTTTTTTACATAATCCATTTTATCATCATCAGATTTATCCTTCTTTTTTCTTATTTTCGAATTGCTCTCACCTGTCCTTCAGGGTTTTATCTATGATATCTATCCTAAATTGGATATGTGTACACACCTTGTGCCCTTTTCCTATTTTTTTTTAATTATAGTTCTAGTGCTGTGTGTATATTAGAATGGATGGTTTTGTAGATTTATTATGTGTTTACTTTATAAAATAAGTTAAAAACTTATTGGCTATTATCCTCCGATTATGCTTTTTTCTTTCTTTTTTCTTCTTTTTACCTTGTATATATATATATGAGTATATATATATTTTATTTATTTATTCAGCAAGGTCTTACTGGTTACACACCGGGAAATAAGCATGTACAATATAATACACACACAAAAAAAAGAAAGGGAAAAGAAAATGACCAAGAATATGGTTAATTCACACTTTTTTATTATTTTTATTACTATTATTCCTTTAATAAGTTTCCATGACAACAAAATATAATTTGTTTCCATGACAATAAAAGTTCTAATTTGTTTTCATGATAACCATTTATTATAGTTTATTACATTTGAAATAAATAAAATAAATAGATACACATGTATGATGAATGATGTGCTAATGTTTCAGTAAATTGATTTTTACTAATCACATATCCTTAATAAAATCAAATTAAATCAAATCAAACAAATCAAATAATTTATTTGCATAAAAAAAAGGAAAGTAAGAAATAAAAGAAGAAAGGCTTATTATTACTGTTATTGTTATTTTGGTTTGTTGTACATTACACCATCAGATTTTTTCCTTTATTTCAAATCAAAAAGAAGAACCCTGAAGACACGTTATTTGTTATTGTTATTGTTATAGTTATTGTAGTATATGTGTCTGTGCCTGTGTGTGTGAGAGTGCGTGTGTGCGTGTGTGCGTGTGCTTATGCGTGTGCGTGTGCGTGCGTGTGGTTTGGTTGGATTGGGTTGGGTTGTGCGGGTAAAAGATGAAAGTGGGAAATTGGAAAGAAAGATATTATTCTTGATCCAACAAGGAGTTTATTTTGTGTGTGAAAATAAAAAGGATTTTGTTGCTATGTTACTGTTACTTGCGGGCCAATACGGAAAAGAACCTGATCGAGAAAACATGAAGAGGATAAACATATTTGGACGAGCAAAAAGACAAGGGAAACAATGAACCATAAGAAAGGAAGACAAACTATCAGGTGAAGATGCGGAGAACGGGAAGGGAAAACACTATTTTTTTTTTGGGTTTTAGCCTCTTGGGCGAATCAAGCGCTGGCGGAAACATAAGATCGACAGCTGTAGCGGAATAAGATGGTATTATTACTGTGCACAGTGGTGTGGGGAGCAAAAGTGGGGGCTGTTCTGATTGGACGAAGAGTGTACAAAAAAAAAAGAAACAAAAAGTAGCGCCATCGAATTACCGCGGGATCCCACACAATTGACATGCGCCCCCTAAGCTCACGATCAATAAGAATAAGAATAAGAATAATAAAAAAATATGAAAATTGATGATTTATTTTTTATTTTTTATTTTTATTTTTTTATTTACTGGCCCTGAGAAATCATATAGAAAAGAAAAGAAAAAAAAATTAAACCCTGCCTTGTTACAAATAATAAAAAAACGGGAAGTTTTGGAACAAAGGACCCTTTTCCTTTCACTTCACTTTTGCATTGGCTTGATTTACAGCCGATCCCAAACCCCTTTTTTATTTCATTTCATTTACTATTTCTTTGCCCCTTTTAACTACTGCAATTACTCTTATTCTTACTCTTACTCTTACTCTTACTCTTACTTTTATTACCGATTTTTTTTTATTATGAGCGAATACACATACTCCGTCGCAAAAGACGTCGCAAAACTAGTACCTCTTTACCACCATGAACAAGTGCCCTTTCACACTATTCAAAGACAACCCAAGCCAGAACCACAACCGTCTCCAGAAGACACATGGCGCCACTCTACTCCAACAAGCAATAGCCCTGCTTCTTGTGATCTTCAGGATGTAATACTCTACTATCAATCACAACCAGAACTCTTGCGCCTAATCTTACTCAGCAAACTCGAAGAAGACAAAAGAAGGGCTGAGGAAGCCAAAATGAGAGCCAAAGAGCTGGATTTAATGTTACTGCAACAGCAACAGCAAGCACAACAAGCACAACAAGCACAACAGCAACAAGCGCAGCAGCAACACCAACAACAACAACAGCAGCAGCAAGTACAGCAGCAGCAGCAACAGACCCAACAAATACAGCAGCAGCAAGTACAGCAGCAACAACAGACACAACAAATACAACAGCAACAAGTACAACAGCAACAGCAAATACAGCAAATTAATGTCAGTAATACTCCTCCATGCCAGCCTGAACCTTTGTCTGTCACTCCAACCCACCAGATTATGGCCCCACATTTTTCTACCTCTTTTACGATGCACCCCACACCCCCGCCTAGCAGTGCAAATTCTGAAAGCCGGGCTACAATACTTCCAAACCAGCCGATCATGATGCGTCGCACCAGTTTGGATGTAATGTTGGCCTCTCCACAACCCACCGGTCTTGCCCGACGAGACTCGAACCTTGCCTCATCTCTCGGTGGAAGTGCGAATTCTGATGAACTCGACGATCGTACCTTTTCCCCTATTTCATCTTCCACTTCTGCCTCTACCCCCATGCTGTCTATGACAAGGTAAGAAATCAAAATAAATACATATATTCTTATGAGAATGGGTCCCCGCGTTTGTTCCCGGGTAAAAAAAAATCTAAGAAATCAGTTTTTTGTATTGATTTCGATATTGATTTTATTTTACCTATGTCTTTTTTTTTTTTTTTTTCTTATGACTTATTATTTATTTTATTTTCTAAATAATAATTATAATAATAATTAGTTACGCTCCGACTATGCTGCCCTTTAAACAACACCCGCTTTCACCGCCCAGTTACATGGACGACCATTCGTTTCCGAATAATTTACAACAGATGCAAATCGACACCAGCACACCGCCTTTGGACCAGCAAGTATTCAATCAACCTCAGCCTCCACAGCAGAGCCGATATGATCCGTACGTACCACAACGACCTAGAAGACGACGCGAAATGCAGGCCATTACAAAGATCGTAGAAACTCGAGACCACCCCTACATTGACGGTTATTTCTGGAAAAACAATGGCAATACTGTCCAGAAAAAGACCGGAAACCGCAGTGTGTATTACAAATGTTCTAACAGTAGCAAGGTAAATATATAGATAGTGTTTAATGTGCCAATTTTTTTTAATTGTCCAATTATCATTCTTAATTATTAATGATTATCTAATTAGGGTTGTCCTGTAAACAAAACAGTAACCTGGAAAGACAATGGAGAATATTTGATCAAATATAGAGGGGATCATTTACTGGATTGTGGCAAGGTTCAACGAATCGTTGACATGTAAAACCAGCTGCTCATGAACTCTTTACTCATTCACTCACTCACTCACTCACATATCACATACACCTAATCTAGCACATTTTTTTTTATTCTCTTTACTTTTTACAAATTGCATTACTCCTCTTTTTTATTCTACTTTATATCTTGCATCAAACCACGCCTTTCCTTATGCCATGCTTTTCTCTCTCTCTCTTAAATACGCTCCTATTACTACTGTAATTCTATTATATTGTCTAGATAGACACTACTCTTATTACGCATCTCATCCCTCCTCTTTTCTTCTATTTATTTATTTCATTTTCTTTTCTTTTCTTTTCTTTTATCTTATCTCCTATTAACGATTATGTACATTTCACCAAAAGAAGAAAAAAAAACTCTCACGCACTCTTACACATTTAAATATATCTCCAGCTGGTTTGGAATTTTGTTGTTCTTCTTTTTTTTTTAAATACATACATATATATATATATATATATAATATACACCTAGATCTGATCCAAGATTATAGATACTGATCTACACCAATACTAGTCTATCAAAAAAAAAATTAGTGTTCTTTAATGAGACTAGAAGTATTTGTAAAATTATGGGATTCTCATTTAGCACAATAATCATTATTGTCATTTTGTGGCTGGAAGATAATTAAAGATAATAATAAAAAGTAAAATATCAAACAAGGAAAGCATTTAAAATAAAGTACCCCGCAATTCCCCATTGAATTCAGAATTTCCATTTCTTCCTGTTCTGGGAATTACCCGCGTGTGAGTGTGTGAATGTTGGGGAAAAGGAAGAAAGAAAGGGAAAAAAAATTGATGATGATAATGATGGTGATAGTTATAATACATATAGAATATCTCAACAAATCAAAGAAAAAGTGGTCCATGCATTTCTTTTCATTTATTTACCTTTGTAATTCAACCCCACTATACAAAGCATACAAACTACAGCAATAAGAATAAGTCATATATAGATAGATAGATAGATAGCAGATAGATAAAATATAAAGGAATTATGTAGTCATTGGTAACACTACAAAATTCACTTGCCCTCTATGGACGTTTGTGGGTTTTTGTATTAAGTAATAAAAAGGAATAATATATTACTGTAAAGAACAATGAAGACTGATTAATTAAAGATAGTCCTCTTCAGAAAGGTGTAGCAACCAAGACCTAATCACTTTACAATAGCCACTTTGTACATGTGTTTCATTAGTATCACCTTTCTAAATATTACACAATATATTCCGAGGCCGTGGTCCTAGCCCTTTCTCCAACAAGTACTAAAATTAGTTGATTTATATTTATATTTATATATTTATATGCACATACCAGCACCTCCCCACAAATATGTATATGTAAGAAGAAGAAAGGTTAATGTCGTTGCTATAGTAACATAACAACTGTATAGATATCTTGATCTCTTTACTGATTTTTCTCTGTTCTTTTTTATCACCTTGAGAAATCTCCACTACACACACAAAAATTATACAGAAAAAGGTCTAGCCGAGTATTCAAAATAAAAAATAAATAAAAAAACAAAAAGATCAAAAATAATAGTTATTTATGGAATAATGATAATAATACTAATTAAAAATTATTAATGAATCAGTCTTTATCTCTTTAATCGGTTCACTTACGCATCTAACTTTAGCCTGATAATAAATCAGAATGGAAATCATTCAAAAGTAGTGAACTTACATGAGATGTCTCCTAGAGACTTAATCGATATAGAGTATCCGAGATATTCTTACGTTCTTTCCTTTTTTTGTTGAGTGTAATCATTACAGTGTGTAAATTTTTTTTTTGACTTTAGACAAGACCCTCTCCTCCAGAGTCCAAGTGAAACAGAACCCTCAATTGTAATTCCAATAGCTTTATGACAGATTTGGCTTTGTATACATGCGTTTTTTTTACCAAGTACAATGTGTTCATACTCGTATTACTATTACTATTTTCATTCTTATTGTTGTTGTTGTTTTTCTTTTCTTTTCTTTTTTTTTTTAAAAAAAAGTGCACCTTACAAGACCATATTATATCACGTTGGAAATTAAATTTCTTTCATCGAGTCTTGAGTTACTGACCTTCTTGAACTTCCCCAAAAATTCAAGTTACGCGAAAAATAAACAAATCAGAGACTTGATGCCATATACAAATCAATGAGACGTAAAGATAATCCTCTGTTTAAAAGTATGTTCGTTCCCAAGGCTAAGAAGATACTCATAGTACACTGTAGCCGTTAATAATTGTATGTTTTTTTTGTGACCATGATGGTACGTGGGTTGAATGGTCTATGTTATCTGAGTTATTTATGTGTATAGTAGCATAAACCCTTATTTGAGATCCTAGATATTTTTATTAACTTTCCATATATGTATATATTTATATCGATAAGAACGATCCTATTCCATTCTTCTCACCAAAAGTCGCTGTCCAGAAACACCACCGCAGATTCTATTCAGGGCCTTACGTGTCATCTCTGTTAAAAAAAAGTATATTTTAGAAATGTGTACCCATCATTGTATGCAAGGTACATGATACTAAGACAGCCACGTTGATTTATAATTCACTGAGCTGTCAGATCATATGACCAGTTCTATTTTTGTGTATTCTATAACGTGAGCATTGCTGTGTATTCTTGAACGCAATAAAAAAAAGCAAAGGCCCATAGTGAATCAGGTGGGCGTCGATACAATGGTTAACTGTCTCTCAAACAGTGTGTGGTACTTTATAACTGAACTGGGAAGCTTTTTTCTTTTAAAAATAATAATAATAATATTGCCTAAGTAAATGTTCAAAAAAGTTTAGAAAAGAGGTTCGTCTGAATCAAAGATTTCGAAAAAAAAAAACAAAAAATGAAATGAAAGAATTCAACAGCATGAATAGACCTTTTGTTCCTGGAGAAATATACTCTAAAAAAGCGTATACTTCTTGATAAATACATGAATTGTAATTTAGCACAAGATTCTAAAGCTGGTAATTACATTAATCGTTTCTTCTTCTTCTAACCAATAATAAAATCAAAAAATAATAATAAAAGTATCCGTAGGTTTTGTGTGTAATAGATAAATTTATCAAGATAAATCTAAAGGTGTTAAACAAGCACATCTTGGTATCACAAAACAGCTCCTCCGTATATATACACGCATTAAATATCTTCTTGTAAAAACTGTTATTTCGACTGTTACAAAGTATATTTTGAACAAAAAAAAACATTCCACTTAATGGTGGTCAGAGATTATACTATGCGATAATTTTGAATCATTCAGTAGATATGCAGTACAGTCATCAAACTGTTTATGATAATTGTCAAATCATTGGCTATGTATTAAATGCCCGTCAACGCCTAGGCGTCATTAGATTGGAGGATACTGTTTTTTTTTTTAAAAAAAAAGAGATCTAAAAATACACAATGGATATCATCTGCCAATTCAACAGTCCTATTCTTTTAATCTCTTTCTCTTGATTCTTATTCTTTTTTTTTCATGTCTCAAACACTTATCAACGCCAACCCAACTGTATACAACCTTACAAAAGCTTCTCGTCGTGAGACTGCCGATGAATATGACGACAACATTGAAGACCCCATTGATGCTCAAGAAGTGTTTGATCTCATTCGATCCATTTCTGACCCTGAACATCCCCTCACCTTAGAGCAACTCAATGTGACTCAGCATCAGCATATTCATGTAGACGACAATCGTAACAGTGTCCAAGTTGAATTCACACCTACGATTCCTCATTGTTCAATGGCAACACTTATCGGTCTCTGTATCAGAGTCAGACTACTCCGCAGTCTACCTGAACGCTTCAAGGTGTGTATCTTTTTCTTATATATATAAAGTTATACTCTAGGCATTACTATGTACAAAAATGTATATGAATACATGTATGAATGTATAATATGTACGGTTCACAAAGTTCAAATGGAAACTTATATTTTTTTTGTGACATATGAATGCTTTATTATCTATCCAGGTTGATATTAGAGTACGTCAAGGAACCCACCAATCTGAAACAGCTGTCAACAAACAATTGAATGACAAAGAGCGAGTTGCGGCTGCATTGGAGAATGGTCATTTGTTGGAGGTAGTAAACCAATGCCTAGCTACAGCTAACCTGCGTGGCCATGAAGTTGCTAGCCATTAGAGCGATAAATGGTTCATTTCTTGCTTGAGCCATGGAAAGCACCAGACAATCTCTTTTTATATACATACATACACACACACACACCTATATATATATTGATATATCCCTCATCCTATTTTTCTTCTCCTTCTCCTTATTCTTCTTATTCTTCTTATTCTTCTTATTCTTCTTATTCTTCTTGTCCTTTTGTATATTTCAAAAAAAAAACTTGTCTTTATATAAAATATATAAATAATCTTTTTTCGCTTAGTAATATAAAAGGGAAAATGCAGGTTTCTTTATATATATATAACAAATGAGTGAATTATTAAGATAATTATAATAGTAGCAACAAGAAAAAGATCAATAATAAGAATAATAAGAATAGTAATAATAGGAGAGTATAACAAAAATTATATATGAAAAGAGGTGTTCATTTTACTGTTGTGGTTGATAACTAAAGAAGTATCAACATGAATTAGGGGATTTTATGCAAATAATAATACTGGGAAAATAAAGATAATATATGTAAATGTGTATGTATGTGTATGTATGTGTGTAGGTGCCTGTGTGGCGTGTGTGCGTTTTTATCTTTTTTTTTTTAAAAAAAAAAACGTTGTCTATAGGGATTCTTGCTCTAGATATTCTTGTTCAAGAGATTCTTGTCGATTCACTTCATTGATAAGCTCAATTAAGGTATCTTTTGATCCAATGGACATCATAAAAGGGTGCTGTAGATTTTGTATTTATATTAGTAAACCATTCAATCGATCAATTGCCTTTCTTTCTTTTGCTTACCTTTAACAAAGTAGCTGCATCGGGTCTCTTTGTTGGATCTATAGTGGTGCACTCAGCGAGAAAGTGCTTAAAATGACCGGACCAGATTTTGGGATCGTCTAGATCCGGAGATCCATGAGAGGCAATTAAACACAGGGCCTAAGAAAATAATAAAATTAATATCTACATAAATATCATTCTTGAATTCATAATCTCTATACAACTTACACGAAGAGGCGGGGAATCGACATAAGGTGGGTTGCCCTGTGCCATTTCCATCAGTACAATACCAAGGCTCCAAATGTCAGCCTTGTAAGCATAATTCTGGCCCTTGATAACTTCTGGTGCCTGTAAAATTTATATGCTTTTTTCTTTAATTAATCTGTTTGGGCGGATAGATTACGACAATTTGTATACGTACCATCCAGTACGGTGTGCCGACAACCGAGTTTCGATGTGGTGAATTCTGAGTCAATTGAGCACAGTGGCCAAAGTCAGCTACAAGTAGACATTTACAAGAGAGAGAAAAAATTAAATGAAAATGGGTTAATACCACTGCTCTTCTCCCGCTCTTCCGATCCGCCTTTTCCGTGTCTTATATTGAGCATGCTTAGTTACCTATTTTAACCTCGCCACGCATATTTAACAGCACATTGTCACTCCGAATATCACGATGCACTCGTCCCAGTCGATGGATACGGCATAGGGCACGTAAGAGTTCTCTAGCAACGCGTCCGATCTGATCCTCTCTCAGGCACGGTTTTCCTTCACATGATTTTGTAGACAGGATGTCGGACAAGGCAATATCCATACATTCCATAACAACCTGATAGAGACAATGAATTTCCTCTCTCTTTTTACATATATATACATTTCTTTATCCTTGTGCCTGTAATAGGCAAGTTCTAAATTCAACTTACCCAGACTTCATTTTGTGTTCGGTAGGTGGCAATATATTCGACTACATTTGGATGACGACTTGATTTCATAGTGACCAACTCGTTCCTGATTTTGCTTAGTTTTTCTATAGATGTAATAGGGATCTTTTTAACAGCCACCTAATTATATAATAAAAAAAAATGATAAGAATAATGGATTGTTTTCTGATTTGTTATATAGACATATGTACTTATAGTAATAAAAATAAAATAAAAGAAACAACTTACAGTTTGATTTGTGTGAATACATTTGGCCGAGTACAATTGACCCGATTCTCCTTGGGCAATCAAATTAAACTCATTGTAAATTCGAGTTGGATCAGTAGGGTCAACAAGATCGTCTAGATTGATAGTTTACATATGTATAGAGAGAAAGAGAGGTTTAATTGACGGAATGGTAACCGGAAACCAATCATATTGACTTACCAATATACCCAGAGTCAAGTACAGGCTTTTTATTTGTTTTGTATAGAGTTTTTGGTGTGGCGGCTTGGGTATCTAAAGTGGCGATAAGGACAATAATAGAAAGTCTATAGTTAGAATCATTCAACTCTGTCAGATCAATAAACTTACAAGGCTGCGAATGGCTATCGGGGCATTCTTTAGATTGAGCCGAGAAGGAAGAATTTGTGGTAAAAGAATATGAAGAAGTAGATGTAGATGTAGATGTAGATGTAGAATTAAAGGTAGAAGTAAAGGTAGATATAGAAGAAGAGGTAGGTGTGGATGGAAGGGGGGAATTACGTGATTCTGCTACTGCTGATAGACGCAGGGGGGGATTTGTTCGGGTAGTGAGTGGGATTTCGTGCCCTGTGAGGGTGTTACGAGAGTCAATGTAATGATGAGTTCGGGGAGATTTAAATGTCGATGGTTTTTGTGCAAGGGTGCCAGATGTACAAACGAACGTGGAACTGTCGGATGTGGTTGAACTTGTTGTGGTTTCTGGAATGGTGATATTGGACTCTATGATTTTTTCCCACTCTTCTGGAACGCCAGTCAAACCAGAGCCGATTTTGCTTTCTTGTATATGAACCGAATGGCATACGTTGTAAGGTGAACCAACTCCGGCTGTGATGGACTGTGCGCGAGTTTGTATAGCTAAGAATTATATATATATATAATTGGAAAATGCAGGTCAGACAAGACAAGTACAACAATTATTTAGGTTATTAATTTAGATAAATAAATAAGTGATTGTTTGTAACTATTAATAAGAATAATAAATTTTGGATTTTCCACTTTTGAAACCTACCTCGAGAATAAGGCGGGGAAGGTACAAGATTAGGGTTAATGAACTCTGTATCGAGAATATCGTCGCTCGGTAGTGTAAACTGCCACACATCCGGTAAACCCTAAGAAAGTTCAATCAATTGGTTAACCGATCAATTATATTAGTATTATCATTATATTATAATCTTTAAGATAATAATAGCAAAAATAATAAGCTATATCTACATATTAAATTAAACGTTCGCGGAAACACACCATGTAAACACCATGTTCTTTGTCGTATTCTACGTGAATTCCATGCTCAAATTGGGTTGGTTTGCCTATATCCATGATTTTTTCGGGCTGTTTCGATTGTCTACTATTTCGGGCAATATTCGTCTGACGATAAACTTTACCAAGGACAGGTATATTAATAGTCGATTCATGGTTTTTGAAGCGTGTTTTTGTGTAGAGGAAAGAATGCGTATTCGTCTGGTCTCGTTTAGATTCTGCGGGTACGATGGGATTAGATGAAACGGGTGTTGTTAATGAGTTGCCCATTGCGAATGAGTGTGAGTGCGAATTTGAGTGTGAATTCCAGTTCTCGGGTTAGGTGAGTTTGAGTATGTGGGTATGTGGGTATATATGTATATATGTATAAAAAATAAAATAAAATAAATAAATGTATAGATGTATATTTATATATTTATTTTTATATATAGTTTTCGATCCAAAAAAAAACAAATGAATTAAATGAGTGAATGAATAAATGAGTGAATGAATGATAATAATAATAATAAAAGAGAAAGAAAGAAAGAAAAACAATAAAGAATACAATAGAAAGGGCTTAAAGACATGAGAAAAGGAGTATTGGTGAAATAAAATATAACGCTTGGTACTACCCTGACATGTGTAAAGGGCAATTTTCACAGCTTCTCCCCTGGGCTCTCTCTCACAATTTTTTCTTTCTTTTTGTAATTATAAATTTTAAACAGATACTCTAGTTAGATCACCACCAAAGAAAAAAGTAATAGTAATATTTGTACTGACAGCACAGCTCGCTTGTTCGATTCAACAAAACCCGAGCTACAAGATTGATGGTTTCTTTTTTTGGAGGGTAGAGAGGAGGAGGCTGGAATGTGTCTAATGCTTAAATAGGGTCACTGAAAACGTTGTAATCTCCTGAATTACCAAAGCACACCAACATCAATGGCAACACACAAAGTACACAGTGATATTTATGCAGCGCCCCAGAGGACCGTGTTGATTAAATAAAATATTTGTCCGTCAATACATACAGCATATACACAGTACAATATTAGAAATGAATCAAAAATAGATGAAATCCATTGTTTTCCAGATTTATTCATATATATATATATATATATACTATTCAATTTCTTTATTATAGTTAACCAAGTCCTTGTAGATAACTAATGAGATTAATTGTACTATGAAATTAATGAGAAGGTCTTGAGACGGGTTTGTCAGTGTAGATTTTCAAGTTATAATTCAATAGAAAGTATATACTTATTGTTTCCAAGACAACGAAATATTAAAACAGTCAACATGTAGTATATATTTTGTGTGTGTATATGTATACTCTATATGCATATGTATATGTATTTATATATATATTCTATATATTCGATTATTTAGGTTTCCATCGAAACCATAATCTTTTTTTTTTTATTTTTTTTATATATTTTTATATTTATATATTTATTTTATATTTTTTATATATTTTTTATATTTTTTTTTATATACAGCATCTCTAACTTGCCATTCTCTAATACTTTAAAGTCTTAGTGACCTTAATTTTTTCTTTTTTTTTACTTCTTCTTTTTCTTTCTATAAAAAAATCGATGCAAAGCTCATCGTCTTCTGGTGGACAGATCATCATTCCATCTCAATCACCCGCTGCAATCCCAATTGTAGCCCCATCGGAGGTTTCTTCCAAGGATTCCTCCAAGCCAATCGCAAAACCTGTCCCAAAGGGTGAGTTTTTTCTTATTCTGGTATATTAATCTTCCAAATTACAAAATTATAGAAAGCATATAAATATACTGATATCAAAAGGCTGGCAAATGAATAATCAGCATCGACAAGTGCAAAAAGACCCTGTCGTAATGTCATAATTCATGGCTTTTGCAAGTTTGCAGGAAAGGGATGCGAGTTTAACCACGATGGGGTGCGTGTTTAATAATAACCATAATAAACAAAAAGAAAGAAAGAGAAAGAAAGGAAAAAAAGAAAAACAATTGAAACACTTTATGTTTTTATTTTACTTTACTTTATTTTATTTTGTTTTGTTTTTATTTTGGTTAAAGAAAATAGGGCTTAAGGGCTTAATATATATCATGTTATTTCTTACAAATGAAAAACTAATCATAATACATGCATTTCTTCTTCTTCTTCTTCTTCTTTTCTTACTATTTGTTCTTCTTGTGCGTATATATATATATATATATGTGTGTGTGTATGTGTGGGTTAAAAAAAAAGGATAAGGCTTCCCCTCAGACGAGTCCAGAAAAGTGAGTAAAAAGGTTGATTATTGTTCATGACTGATAATCTATATTAGTAAACATAAACCTCAGGCATTGTCACCAAAGTCAAAGGCATCACCTTTGATATCAAGTGTTTCTGCAGATAGTGTAAATGCACCCGTATTCGTCCCGAAATCAACACTAGGTAAAATATAGAACAATCGAATTTGTCTTTTTTTGAAGGGACTAATCTATATATATATGCTTCTTTATATGTAGTATCAGCACCTACAACTCTATCAGAGAACGAAACGCAAGTTTATGATAATGATTGCTTTAAAAAGAATAATAAGTAGTACTTGAGTAATACAAGATAATAATAGGGTATATATAGTGCATCAGAGAGTGAAGAAGACGTCGAGTATCAAAGTTTGGAATCACCAGCAGAAACCACGAGCGTTCATCCACACGGATATTCACAGTTTAATGTTCCAAACAACGTATGAAATATATTCCCAAACAGCCGTGATATTTTAAAACTTACAGTATTCCAGGTTATGGGAGACATGTCTCTGATGCAACCCACCGCTGCCATGGATCCTTATTATTATATGAATTCAGCGTATCCACGGCAACCAGTAAGTAACTCAACTAACAGAAGAAGAAGAAACCTTAATTTTCATTGCATCGCATTGCATTATGTTAGTTACAATACCACATGTACGCACCTCTTTTACCGCACATCTCAAACCTACATCCACACCAAAAAACACTTCAATCCTTCTTCATCCCTGAAAATCTACGGGAACAATTGTTCAAAAGGAACGAAGCTACTATCGTATCTACGCCAGGCAAGCCTAACCCTGAATCTTGATATGTTTGACGAACAAAACAAGACACCAAGGATATTTGCTAATTTATTGTCATGACAACAGCCCGCGAGGTTGGTCTTCCCCTTGAAGTTCATGTTTATCATTCTCTGTGTCTTCTTGAAGACAAACCAGGTTCATTTTTTGGTCATTCTTCATGGGTATACAAAGCAACAAGTAGAGTAGATGGAAAATCATATGCATTATTGCGAATTGAAGGTACACATTTTGTGCATGTGTTTGTCTGTACACTCTTACAAATACTTCTTTTTGTTGTTGTTGTTTTTGATTCCTAATTTAGGATTTAGGTTAGTAAATGAACTTGCAATGAAGGCAGTCGAAAGTTGGCGCCAGATCAAGCACTGTAGTGTGGTGTCTATCAGAGAAGCATTTACTACTCGCGCATTTGGAGATTCATGTGAGTGTAATTTAATTTAATTTCTAGTATAATAAACACTATTACTTATGATTATTAACCCTTAGTACTTCTCTTTTTGTTTTTAAAAAAAAAACTTGTCGAATCGATAGCCCTTATTTTTGTTTATGATTATCATCCATGTGCCATGACCTTATTTGATGCTCATTTTTCGCCTCAGGCACATACGGCTATGATGGCTCAACGCCAAGCCATTGGTAGCAACACAATGCTTGTGCCAGAGACTACATTATGGAGTTATATTACACAGATTACATCTGCACTAAAAGTGATTCACACTGCTGGTCTAGCTTTACGTACACTTGAGCCCAGTAAAATTTTGATGACCGGAAAGAACCGGTGAGTTGGCAATAACATGGCTTTTCTTTAAACAGAAAAAAAAACCCTCGTTTGATTTTGACATTTTGTGCGTATATGCGTATAGGTTACGACTTAATTGCTCAAGTATATTTGATGTCTTACAATACGATGGGGGACAAAACTTGGCACGCTATCAAGTAAGACTTAATCGACAGTCAATTATCTTAATATCTAATATTGTGTGTACATGCATTTCATTTTAGCAAGAGGATTTGCTATCTTTTGGAAAGTTGGTTGTTGCATTGGCATGCAACTCGCTCCAGTCATATCACAATCTGCCGAGTTCATTTGAATATATATCAAGGTTTTATTCACCTGAACTTAAGAATGTGGTATTGTATCTGCTGAGCAAACCTCTTCCCACAAAGAACATTGATGAAGTAGTGACCTTAATTGCACCTGGATTATTGCATGAGGTCAATTGTAGCCAATAGTAAGTATTTATTTCTGAATATATATATATATATTAAAAAAACGAAAAAGTTATACAGATACTTTAGAAAGCGAATTGAGTCGTGAGTTGGAGAATGGACGACTTGTACGTTTGATGAGTAAACTAGGGTTTGTCAACGAACGACCAGAGTAAGTTACAAAATAATACCAAGAATTTTGGCCCTGATATTAATGTCATGGATAGATTTGATGATGATCCACGGTGGGCAGAGACTGGAGATCGATATCTTATCAAACTCTTCCGAGACTATGTTTTTCATCAAGTGAACAATAATGGTGTACCTGTGGTTGATATGGCTCATGTCCTGACTTGTCTCAACAAAGTAAAGAACAAACTGATTGAATTGAATTGAATTGAATTGAAACATATTGTAAGGCTAACACATCTTTCACTCTATTTAAAGCTTGATGCAGGTGTAGACGAGAAGATAATGCTCGTATCTAGAGATGAGCAATCGTGCCTGGTAGTGAGTTACAAGGAAGTCAAGAACTGTATCTCATCTGCCTTTAATGACCTATCCTCGACTCGAAAATAGAAATATTACATGTACAAAAAAAAGTATTTGATTTTCTCCATCATTTTTTTTTATAAAATATATTTATATTTATATTTATATATATATTTATATACAAGACAATAAAAAATATAAAATATAAAATAAATTAAGATTTTTATTACATATAGAAAAACTCCTAAAATGAAACAAGCTTTGTGTTGCTTGTGTGCAGCAGTAAGGAATATTGGAATCCTGTGTGCAACCAAAGTTTTGCCGCACAGTCCATCAGTGAAGAAAAAGCCACCAAGAGTTATTGGACAGTGACGTAGATATTTTCAGCCAATGGTAGACTCTGTTTGACGTTAAATTTTTTTTTCCTTTCATTATCATTGCTTCAGCCGTCCAACTAGGCCAGGCGCGAAAAAAAATATACGCTGGACAGGACGCTCAGCAGCCTGAATTTCTCCCTCTCTCTCTTTTCTTGTCTTTCTCAAGTTTATCATTTGTAAGTTGACGATGGACTACAAAGCAAAAAAAAAACAAAAGCAAAGCAAGAAACATATGCCACTCTACAAAGAAATCCTATATATTTCTCTTTCTACTCGGGCCGACCGAAAAATAAAAATAAAAAGCAACACCATTCTGACCAAAGTTTGATGACTTGTAGAAAATGTCTGCCGATTTGGTTTGGGAATTGATCAAGAACAACAACTCTTTCTTGGTCAAGCGCTCCGGCGTCCAGTTCTCTTCTGAGCTCAACAACTTGACCAACTTGAACACCTTCAAGTACTCTGGTCTCGCCAACTCCAAGGTACAAATACGATATAATTATTTAAAGTATACATATATTTACACTCATAAAAAAAATTAAGATTGTGTATAATATATGTGTTTAAAATGAAAATTTTATTAATCAAAATACCCTTATTATTATTTTTTTAAAAAAATAATAATCTTATAATCCACACAGACTGTCTCTATCCACCCCGCTGCCCGTGGTATCCGTGTTGCCTTGACCAAGGCCAAGAAGACCCAGTCCCCTGCCAAGGCCATCAACGCCACCGTCATCAACAAGTCTCGCCGCCACACCGCCAAGTCTGTTGCTAACTTGATCGCCGCCTCCAAGTACAGACCCGACCTCCGTCAGGCTGCCCTTGCCCGCGCTACCGCTTGCATCAACGTCACCAAGCCCAAGAAGGTTGCTGCCGCCAAGCCCAAGCAGGGTCTCCGTGCTAACAAGGCTGCTGCCAAGCACGTTTAAAAACTGCACCATTTATATACATAAATCTTGTGTTGCTGACAGGGCACCCTGACTTGATCTTGAAACAATAAATTTCTATTTCAAGTTTTTGGATTTTTTTTAAAAAAAATAACAGTGATATTTTTGTGTTGGTGGCTTGGAAAAGGGGATTTTTTTTGAAGGAAGGTTTTTTTTTATGGCTCTTAATTTTTTTATTTTTTGAATGATGAGAGCATAAGAAAAGTGTAGGTGATTACTGTATGTGTTTTTTTTTATGTGAAAGAAAATAAAGGGATTTTAACGGATAGGTAGATAGGTAAGTAGGTAGTAAAGTAGATAAGGTAGGTAAGAGATATTTAAAGGGATAGAAGGATGAGTACATGATAAATATTATAAATATTACGAGTGTTTTTTCCTCTGAAAAGAGTAAATATGATCAGCCAAATAGTGGTAAGCAAGTCTACCATAACCAGAGTCCCCGAAATGTAACAACAGGAACCAGCATACAAGATGATTTGATATAAAGTACAGCGAGTGTGTATACTTAATCCCGTAAAGAAACGCATAAACTACGATGCTATAAAGTATCAGATAAGTGGCCCAGTTCCAATATCTAATACAAAGAAGGTTAATATTCTTTACACATGTATCAAGTTACATATTGTATATTTTATATATATTTACCTTGAGTTCAGACGAGGTAACATCTTGTGATTGCCTGTCAAAAGTTCGACATAGAGCATAAACGGCGCGATTGCCATTACACTGTGATCAGAAGAGAATGGAACAAACCAGTGCACAGATAGGTTTCTGATCCAGACCAACAAGATTGGTAAATTGAACGGAAGCAGTGTAATAAATAAAAACATGATGGACTGCATGTAATTATATCTATTCAGACGTTTTTGTTCCTGAGCTGGCAACTGTTTTGGTATTGTAAACATTTGGTTTTACAACAAACAGGTCAATAAAGATTCCCCAAATATATATTTATATAAACTTACAGCTGTCCATGTTCTCAACAGAGATCTGATGCAAGTGATTATGTGGACTAAGAACGCAACCACAAACACAAATTGATAGGGAATACAGGTAGCCACAAGGGCAAATAATACAAGGGTTGTGATTGCACGGCGTTGGTGGCGCTGATAAGGAGTCTCATTTGATCGAGAATAGATTCGACAAGGTATCTGGACAGAGTAAAAGAGAGAACACAGAGCAGCACCTAGCCACAAGACAAGCTGGAGAATAATCCACAACAGGCATACCGTACCAAAGCTCAATACAACACCGACCAAGGGTAACCACCAGAAGAATGGGTCTGTATTTCCAATCAAGATGTCGTTCCATGCCACAGGCAAGCTTCTGCTCTCCCAAACATGATTCCAGGTTAATGGGATGCTTTTTTCTGGCGAGTTTTGATAACCCGTTGGCTGGTAATAGCAGCACACAGCCAACAGAACCATAACAATTGGAAGTGTACGGCAAAGACAATAAGCAATACCATTACCAAAATGTGGGAAAATTCCTATCACATAGACCGCACCAAGAATAGAGAATAATGATAATAAAAGTATAAATAAAATAGAAGATAAATTAAACTAAACTAAACTAAAAGGCTCAATTTTGATCCTGATCTATATGTTTATATTTGTATATATATTTACCTGTCTTGTTGTAACATTGGATTTGGGATGCCAAAACCAAGATGACAATCACAAACGAAAATGTAGCCAACATTATTCCGTTTCTAAACCCAAGTCTTCCTGCACTACCATACCAGTCAACCTCTAGCTCGATAGTCAAAGGATAAGGACAGACAGGATCCATCCAGACCTGTAAGACCAGACCCTGTTGACTTTCCTTGAGTGAGTTTATAGATATCGATGAGAAGGCAGTTCGGCCATGGAGCGACACCTCTGTCTCGGCTTTGTTTCCACTTGCCAAGTTCACATGGAACTTTGACTCGTGCATGGTAGAAATAGATTGCCTTAAAAAGGGTGCAAACATTCCCTCGTTCTGCTTGCACTGAGGTCGAGAGACCTTGAGATGGTAGGCAAGCATTGGGTTTTCGATGGCTGGGATCCTGACAGACGAAAATAGAGCAGGTTCGAGTTCGATTTTGAGACTATGACGGGCAATCGACACCATCGGATCGTCTATGGTTTGATGAGTATCCTGCATATCAAATGCCTCGGCGATCAAAAATCCATCTAGACTAGGACGGTGTGCGATGGCAAGGTATTCATATTCTAGCATCTCTGCAAAGGCGATGCTCGCGAATGTAAAAGTATTTCCCGAGAACGAGTCAGTATCTTTGTAACTCGATGCTGGGACAGGAACGGCAATGCTTCTGGCCGGACGGCAGCCGACGCGGGTTGTGTCAGGCATCTGTTGGTTGAGTTTATTGCACAGCAAGATGTCAAACTGTTTAGAAGTGTCGATAGACTGGTCTGTGAGGATACTGAATGCTCCCTGAGAAATTCCTGAAACATGAGCTGGTAAAAAACTCATTTGTGCTGGCTGTTCGCCGTTTATTACTAGTCGTTCTCCTGGTGAAAGGAATTTTGCCTGTTTGGTGGTGAGGTCGTGAAATGAAACATCTCCTAAATCATACAAGATTATATGCACATACAAGCACACAAAAGAAGAAAAAGAAGGGGGATTTAAAGAAATAAGATTAGGACAAGGCCAGATTTGATGTGCCAATAGATATACCTTAAAACATACCTAAATCGATGTCGGAACCATTGCCTTGTCTATCTTCTAGTCCGCTCAAAAAGGCTTTTCTCATTATTTTCATGCGATCTTCGAGGGGTTTTGTCTGTGTGGCTCGTCGGGCATCGACACAATCCAGGAGTGCCTTTGCGACAACTTTGATGAGCTGACTGCAGGAAAGAATTGAGTTGTGGTCCGTGCCTGTCCAGACGTGCGGTACAGCCGTAGAAAACACAGTAAATCCATTCGTAGGTGGAATAAAAGTAGCGACGTTGGCAGAGTCTGAACAAATGATAGTATCTAGTGTACCACCGGCAATAGATACCAGTGAGACGTCTTTGAGACTATGTACGCCGTGAGATGTATCATGGCTAAACCCATTATGCCACTCTTTGTAGATATCGTCATATAGCTTGGATATTTTCCAGTCAAATGGAACGGGTGGGAGGAGGTGGGGAGAAGATAGAGTGAGGACTGTGTTGATGGTTCCTGGCTGATAGTTGTTAATGGTGAACATGGCTCTTGCAACAATACCACCCATGGAGTGACCAACAATGATCACAGAGTTAGGGTCTGGTAGGTTCTCGTTCATCTTGGGTCCAAGTTTGCGTGATTGAGGATATAATTTGAGGATGTAATCGATACAGTCATTGAGATATTCCGCTTGTTCAAGCAGAGACTGGCCATGTAGAGCCGAGAATTCCTCATTAAAGTCGACTAAGGTATGTTTTTTTTTATTTATTTATTATGATAAATATATTGTATTCAATTTTACTTTTACTTTTAATTTTAATTTTAATTTTAATTAGAATTATGATAATATTACTACCAATGTCAATATCGATACTACTGGGGATATTATAATTGATATTGATATAGGTTTTAATTTTTTTCTTCTAGGTAATATAAAGGACAGGCCTTACCTGTAAAGAAATCTAAACTGCGTTTCCCATTCTCCCAGCTTTCATGTTGGCGCGTATAGTTGTCATAGTAATAATATGATGCCTCTGTAGCAATTGATCGCATCTGCTTGTAACTTCCTGCATGTCCTGGAATAAATAGCACTGGTACACCTGTAAGCTATGAATACAATGCAATCAAAGAGAATATTTATATTTATATTTATATATAGATATAAAATACACATGCATATATAAAAGCAATTGCCAGTAATTAACACACAAACACATGGAAGGTTTTATATATAATGTAATATAATATAAGAATACATATATGTACATATATTGGTATTTGTTTTGGGTAAAAATAAGAATAAAAGAAAGAGAAAGAGAGAAAGAAGAGATATGCATGTATAAATATATTTAGTTTTTTTTCAACAGGTATTTTGTGTATGTATGTAATTTTAATTGTGTATATAAAAGAGCGTACCTGCCCAACTGTATCAATGCCTTTTTCCCTATAGAGATAAAGCGCATATTTGCCTGCAAAGCGTGTCATCTCACTGTCAAACCCTGTTTGTTGGATAAAGAGTGGCCTAGTGTAACTATCTCGACAGCCACTCACGTCTCGCTGGTGATTGACGAATGAGTCGAGGATGATGGCAATACATCCAATTGCAAGAAGTATTAATCCAACCACAGTGATCCACACACCTCTTGTCATTCGATAAGCATTAGGAACGAGCGGAATCGGATGTCGAGAGGTTGGGTCTGGAGAAGGTGTGCGTCTACCGTCCGAAGATGAAGGTGATGCCAGAGGAGAGGATTCTATTCTCAAGCGGGTTGGTCGAGTGGGTCTTTTTTCGTCTATGGGTGTTTCATTATCATTTGATTGCAAAGTGTTCATGGTTTATATTTCCTCGTTTTCCCAAGTCTAGAGACTGCAAAAGAAAAATGCAAACAAGGGGGAGTTGTAGGCTGTCTTCTTTGTCTTTTTTATATATATGCTTGTTTTTTATTCTTCGTATAGTTCTTTTTTTTTTTTTTTTTTTTTTTTGCTGTTGTTGCTGTTGCTATTGCTGTTGTTTTATGTTCTTTTTGTCTGTCTGTCTGTCCGTTCGTCTGTCTGTCCACCTATTATTATTTCGATATATGTTGTAGGTAATGTACTCTATGTAAGAATAGATATATATACATATATATATATATAAGAATATATATTTCGTTTGTTAAGAAAATATAAAGATGTATTTTATATATAAGGGATATAAAAAAAAGAAAAGAAAAGCAAATGAAAGAATCAAGAGCCAAATAACACTTGGATTAAAGCATAGAAAGTCAGCAATCCAAAGAAGAAGAAAAAAAATGGCAGTCTTGATCGACTCAGCCAAGAGGCAAAGACTCAAATTTGAAGTTGTTTAAAAAGGTTGAACTCATGGCTTGTATATATATTGATTGATTATCTAGTAACTTTTATATAAACCTACACTCAAATACACATTTATATATTTCATAAAATAATCAAGCCAATCACCATCATAATCATAATCATAATCATAATCATAATCATTTCTATAATGTATATATATATATATATATGCGTAATATACGGTGGCTTTTTATACAAATTTGTATATATTTACTACTTGAATCTTTTGGGTTATAATGTGTACACAAATACACCCTGTACAATCATCACAATTAAAAGAGATAAAGAAATGTATATACAAAATAGGTGCAATTAGTCTTGTTACTTGCACAAAACACACATATTGTAAGGAGTACCAAACTCAGATTTTTCTTTTTTCTTTTTCATCTTCTTTTGTTGGTGAACACACATGGACTTTACTGGCAATACAAAGGCATTAAATTCATTTTTAATTTTTGTTTCTAAAGTTTGTGTGTTGATTTACATTTAATTAATAAATTAATTAATTATTATTTTTAAAAGCAAAAAAAAAAAAAACATGTCCAGTGGTTGCCTATTTACAAGAGCCAAGCCTAGTAAGCTCTTGTTAAGCTTAACCAATTATATATATATAGAAAATCTATTAACAGAATCTTAGCGTCTAATTCCTAATGCTTATAGATAAGGCGAAAATATTCAACAGTAAAAAAGGTAAGTATAACTACTGTTTATTAGGATTTAATCCTTTAGTAAGCAGTTTACTAGCCACATGAATGGTAGGAAATCCTGCCAAGCATCAAAGTCTAGAATAATATTTCCAAAAATGGAAAAGTAGACATCCTTTTTTTTTATAATACCAAATAAGTAAAAAACAAATTTGCTTTATTTTTATATAGATCTTTTCATAAAGCATATGTATTCTGGTGCATTTTTATAACGATTTAATACACAATATATATATATATATTGATACTTGGGCCAAGCTATTGGGTGAATAATTGGTGAAAAAGGTGTATATTTGTATATATGTATATAAATCAATCTCAATTATACACACAAAAGATCGGATTCTTCTTATCTTTACTATATGTAAGAACAAGGGTTTCCATCATACTCTGGAATAAACCAATAATTTCGAAAGCCTTTTCTTTTATATCTTCTACCAAAGAAAGAGTAAAATACTTACTTTTCTTAGGTGGCTTCTTTTCTTTAACGAAATAAAATACCATCCTTGTATTCAAAGGTCTTGGTACGATTAATATATTTCCTATGAGAACCCTAGCATAACAGTATAATGAACGTGTTGCTCGTTGGAGCTGTATGTAGCTTAATTGGAAGAAAAGCATTCCAAATCAGGTTCTTTTAATTATTTTAATGTTAAATTTGAACATCATTAGAATTACACAATGCTCCTAATAATTGTGAACATGTTAAAGTGTAAGAGACATGACCTTAGTCAAGCTAATATAAATAATTTGTGAGGGGGGGGGGGGGGGGGGGGGCAATATATACTTGTATAAATTTGGAGAAATGTAAGATTAACAAAGGACAAAAGTTTATACATTTCAAAAAGGCATTAACCATCACAATCTCTAATATTTTTTAACAGTCTTTACGAAATATACCCTTTTATCAATTGGCATACATTCTGGGATTAAAGCTTCCCGCCAAAATCTATATACGCACACGCACACGCACACACATATATACATATAAAAGTGTAGCATCTTATGCACTTATTGGATTCTCAACCGTAAACATCTTTTTCGAGTATGGTGCCTAAAGATATTGGCAGTCCGAACAGGGTGCTTCCATGGCACTCAAGAGAATGACAGCCATTTATACTAGGCATGTGCTTTATTTATATTTATATTTTCCAAATACCTAGTCTGGCATTTAAATATTCACTTGGTGGTTCTTGGAGAATCTTGAAGCACTTTAAATTTGACCATCTTTTTGTATATCTTTTGTGTGGTCCATATAAAAAAAAGGCTATAATATGGCTTCTAACAGTCTTTTTTAAAACAAGAACTACAGATATAAACAATATTAGGTTGTATTTTAGGTTTAATATTGAAGATATTTCTTTTGCACTTCCTGACTTGAAACCATTAACAATAGACGACATAAAGTAAAAAAAAAAAAGTCTACCTTTCTAATCTTGGACAAATTACAAGGCCTAATTATCTCCGTGATCTTCAAATTAAATAATAACAATCGTAATATCAATAGCAATAGTAATAGTATTGATAATAAATAAATAAATAAATAAATTAATTAATTTATTAATTTATGGAGAGTATTTTTATTTTTGCACGTACTACAAACCGTCAAACACCTCGTCAAACCTCCACCCCCTTCAACCCCCTCAATGCTGTAATCTGCCTATTGGTCAATTTAACCCCCCTGAAGCGGCGCTTCGTCCAAGCTATTTGTATATTCATCTTGTTAAACAAACTCTTCACAGCCTTCCTTCTCTCATCCCATCATCATCATGACCCTCCCTGCCTCAAACGAACCCGCCGTCTCTTCCACAGAACCCACAAGCAAGAAGATCGTAAAGTCGGTCTCGGTCTCTGAAACTACCACAACCACAACCACAACCACAACTGAAACTGCAACTGCAACCACAACCGCAACCACAACAACCGAAGGTGATACTAAAACTGCAGTAGCCAAGGAGACTGGAGAAGAGGTATACGAAGATCGCTTCCTTGAAGGAAACCAGCGTATCATTGCCTATGACCTTCTGGAGGCACGCGGCAAGGCTTCCGAAACCACCGACCCCGATGTCCAGCGCTACAAGAAGGCTAAGGAGCTCTTCAGAAAGGGTTATGATCTCTGTATGTCTATCCCCAGATCTCTTGAAGAAGACGTCTTGGAAAAGTACGAGCATGAAGTCAGATCGTCTGCTGAAGATATGATTGAGGCTTGGTTAATGGATGAGAAGGCTGCTCCCATGTCAGAACGCGTCTTGATTCTTGGTCAGCAATACGAAAAGGTTTTGTTGAGAAACATTCCTGAGGAGCAGAAGGAGGGTTTCTTCATCAAGGAGAGCCTGCTGTTCTCTGCATGGATTCTCTTGGTCGGAAAGCAATTCCAGCATTGGTATGTAAATAAATATATTAAGCATTCTAGGGCACTGAGTTTTATGCCGTGGTGTGCAAAATTACGTCTTTCTGTTTATTGCTATCATTGTTATTGTTATTGTCATTGGTGTGGCTGTGGCTGTGGTTTGTTAATAAACAATTTTAATATTATTTTAGTATCACCACTCTTACTTTGGCAATTGATACCTATGATGACCTCCCTGCTTGTGTTTACTTTATCCGTGCTTCATGTCATCTCTCCATGAACAAGCTGAGGTAGAATCAGATATTAATATTGCTATTGCTATTCTTATTGTAAATATTTTTTATTAACTTTGTTTCCATTATAGACTTGGAATCAAGGACCTTGAGACCAGTTTGGAGAAGGATCCTAAGTTTGTCATCTCCTACAGTGTTATTGGCTCTGTTTACATGTCCCTCAAGGAGAACGAGAATGCTGTTCGCAACTTTAAGCTGTACGTCCAAAAGGGTCACCCTGACACTACCAATTACTTCAGCTGTCTCTACTCTCTCTCCGTCCTTCTTTCCCACCAGAAGGGCAAGAAAGCTGAAGCCCGCGAGTTCTACGCCAAGGCTCGCAAAGCCGAGGGTAGATTCCAAGAATTGTATGGTACCACCACTTCTATGAACGAGACCAAGCGTGAAGCTATTATGAGTTTTGGATCCAAAGAAGAGATCGCTACTCTTAATCAGCAATTGGAGCTCCAGCGTCAACAGCATCAGCAGCAGCAGCAGCAGCAGCAGCAGCAACAGCAGCAACAACAGCAGCAGATTCAGGGTGCTCCATCCCAGCAGTACAATGCCAAGATTGAGCAGTTGATTCAGTCTGGCTTCCTTTCTTCTCCCTTCCCTCCCAACCCCAAGCAGTGCTCCAACTGTGGTGCATCCCGTCGTAAGGATGCTACTGACAAGCCTTTGTTCTGCTGTGGTGCCTGCAAGGGCATTTGGTACTGCGTCCGTGAATGCCAGGTAGAGGACTACAAGAGACACAAAGTTGTCTGCAAGAAATCGCCTAAGAATGCCAAGGCAGCAGAAACTCAACAGCCAAAGGCATAAACTGCTTAACAAAATATACGTACACACGTACATGTATTCTGAAGAGAAGAAATGAAGGGGAGAAGGAAAAAAAACGCGTAAATTGGATATAGTTTTTTACATTGTAGGCTGGGTGGATTTTGTTTTAGCTATTTAGTTGAAAATTCAATTTTTTTTGTTCATATACACATAATTTATCATCACATCATTCTTATCGCCTGCCATTTATATACACATTATAGACACACTCTTTAAAGTTGGGTTGCTTTGATTTGTGGTAAACGAATTGCGTTTAATTTCATGTTATCTCGCTATACCTTGTTTTTTTTTAAAAAAAATCTATAATATTACACACACACAATATATATATGAAAATGATGACGGCTTCATTTGTGGTACATAACGATCTAATGGCAAACGCATTTGGTGTGTTCGAATTAAACGTTTTTTTTTTTTTAATATTATGTAAAGCATGGTCCAATGCCTAGAATCAACACAAGAAAGTATTACACTCCGACATAATAAAACAGCGTCACTTTATCTAGAAGTACACCTTCCCTCAGATTAAAAACCTTGAGCTTTCTTTTCTTTTATTTTTTTCATGCACCTTGTGGGCCAAACATTGCCATTTGGTAGCAAAGAAAACGATTTACGGTCAAGATTATAATAGTTCTCTGAACCTAGTCATAGCTTTATCTCTGTTTTTAGCCGAACAAAAACCATCATTATGCCTTCATACCCATCCATACGATCCGACAATCATACAATTCTACAAAGCTGCTTGCAAAACAAACGAACAACTGTTCAAAAGATCCATTGACAATATTTTTCTTGAAATGGAAACAGAAAAAATCAAATGAATCTGCGACGTGAGGTCGAATATAACTGTGAAGTTAGACATTATTTGCTGGATGATTCGGATTCCAGCTCTTCTCAGGACTTGGAATACCCTGATAGTTTGCAGCTGGGACCTCCACCAAAACAGAAATCAGCGACGCATATCATCTCAAACCAAGATTTCGAATTCGCCCAACACTTTAAAAACAAATTCATTAAACGAATGAATTGAAAATTGTGTTTACGAATGGGTCAAGACCAGAGTTTACTTGGGCCCTTTACTACTTCTTAGATGTTACGTATGTTATACTCCTCTGTTCCCCGAAAAACAAGTAAATAAATAAACGACAATATGTGATTTAAATGCAATATAAAGGAATAATTAAGAAGATGAGAGACGATGCTTATTAATTTCTCTATTTATACGGCTTTTATTGTAGTTGTTCTAACACACTTTATATATTGAGCCAGCAAACATATTATTTAATGGTTAGAAGTATACAATTATATATTTGTAAAAGTCGGTAAAAATGTAAGAAAGACCATCTAAGTTATATTAAAGTACTTAAAACATATAAAATATAATCAGAATAAGAGTATTTTATTGGATACACATTGCGGTAACTAAACAACACAGTTTCTCATATAATAAAGCGTTAATTGGAATAAAAATCCAATTTAATATTGTATAATAAAAAAATAGACTCTTTTAATGCTCCAGAGAAAAAAGGAGAGAATTTACTACTAGCCGTTGAGACAGTAGATTAAAAGAGAAAGTGTAATAAAAAAAGGAAGGCCGCCTGGCCTTTTTCTTATAAAAAATGGTAGTAGTGTTTATTTTGGCCCTATACAGACTCATATCTGCCATTTTTTAGTATGTAAAAGGTGACATTTATGTTACTACTCTTTTTTTAGTCGTAGTGTATTAAATTTGAACACGACTTTGATTTTACATGAGTGACATAATTGTTGAATACATTTTCTTTGCACGACATCAGATTCATAACCAGCGACTCTACTTCTTGTGTAATGTTGGCGAGAGAGATTTACAAGCATTATAGTAGAGAGAGATAGGAAATGTATATGGAGCAGGATTGGCACAGGGAGAATACAAATGATAATGACTTGTAAGATTATCTAAACCTTCCAAACAGCTCCAAGTGATCAGATCGATCTATGTCTTCTACGACAATACTAGACTTTACGAGAAAAAAAAGATGATTTTATTGTAATTCATGTACTAGAAGAATATAAGTGTTGGACACAATGCACGCCCAATCGTCTTGGTCTTAGTTCTCCTAAATACTGGATTTCCACGTCACAGCCCTTCCCGAATAATCTGCTGGCTCGGTACGGGCCACATAATAGTTGGAATGACTGTATGTCCAATGACAATGTCAATAGTAGTATTAATATTTTAATTAATAGAAACCACTATATTTATTATGTTTATTTTTAATAAATAAAAATAAAAATAACAAAAGATTAAGATTATGAGTCGATAGGCGATCACCGCCGAGAAAAGCGTTAACCAAAGATGCAAATATGCATCTCCTAATCAACTCCCTATTCTTGCCGAGTTTGCCTGTTCCACTGTCTGTCACTGTTCTTTATGAAAAATATGTTGATTCTCTTTTTCTTCTTCTATCTATGGATATTAACGACCCAATAACGGGGCTTCTAGCTTAAGTGACGACATAATTAGTGTATTAATTGTAAGCAAGTGGGTATATATATATATATATGTGTGTGTGTAATGATCTCAAGCTTAGGGTAAATTGTTAAACAATGCAAAATCGTAAATGACTCAATTCAATAGTCCGACCCCGGGACTAGCCTTCCATCCTTCAGATCACTTCCACGGGTATTATATATTAAAATAAATAGATCTGTAGTCAAAATAGCTTATCATTTTTTTCTGCATATTATATAAAAACAGATCAAGTATTTTCTGTTCAATTAACTCTTGTACTCAAACTCCCCTGCCTTTATTCACAATGATCAAGACCAGTCTCTCGAAAGCTCTCCTAGCCTCAGGTGCCAGAGCAACCTCTCATAATCTCGTAGCAAGCATACCCTCCTCTGCGGTTAGGGCATTCTCTTGCTCATCTCAAAAGGCTTTCTTGAACACCAAAGACCAGAAAAAGACTTTTACTATCTCAGAAATGCCTGAGGAATTGATGCGAGAAGTCAAGGGTACTCATCCTGCACCAATGCGTGAAGAATTCACTCGCCATGAAAAATTATCCTCCAAAGAACTTTCAGCAATTGACGTTGAAGTCGGAAAGCACTACAAGCCCAATGACTTTGGAGACAGGGTAGCCCAGCGTTTTATCAAGATGCTCCGTACTTTACCCGATACATACTTTGGAAGAGATCATTACATGAGAGCAGTGATGTTGGAAACCATTGCAGCAGGTAATACAAACCTGAAAATAGAGCTTATTATTAAGGTATTAATATGTAATATATTATAGTCCCTGGTATGGTCGGTGGTATGCTCCGTCATATGAAATCTTTGAGAAACATGTCTGAAGATCACGGGTGGATCATTCATTTACTCCACGAGGCTGAGAATGAGCGTATGCATTTGATGACATGGATGAAGTGTCTCCAACCTAGTCTAGCCAACCGTCTCCTTGTTCTTGGTGCCCAGGGTGTGTTCTTCAATGCCTACTTCTGGCTTTACGTATTTTCACCAAGAATCGCCCATCGTATGTGTGGCTATCTTGAAGAAGAAGCCGTAATCTCTTACACCCACTTCTTGGATGACCTTGACGCCGGCTTGATCTCCAATGGCCCCGCCCCTCCTATCGCTATTGGTAAGAAGATAATCCCCGATAACATTCAAACATGAGCTTGCTTTATTTATTTTTATTAACCAATATAATTCTTTAGATTATTACAACCTCCAGCCTGGAGCTTCCGTTCGTGACACTGTCTTGGCCATTCGTGCAGACGAGGCACTTCATCGAGACGCAAACCACCACTTTGCGGATCGTATTGCAGCACATCGTGAGAACCTCTTAGCTGATGTACAAGCTAAGGCCTATAGCGAAGAACAATCCAGGAGAGTAGCGAAATCTCCACATTACACTCAAACATCTCTTCACTGATAAAAATCAGTTCGTTTCATATTAGATCTTATTATTGTATATTCTCTACAAATCGTATTTATGTCTTTTCTCTCTCTATTATATATTACTTGTACATTCCTATTTATGGACATACGTTTGCATATTTGCACATCTAAACACACTTGTACAAATCTTTACATGTGTAAATAGTCGACATAGAATAAATATACTCGATTGGATCATCGAATTTGTAAATGTGAAAATGACTGATGTCCCAATTCAACGACACCTTTCGAAAAACTTGTTAGGATTTCCTGGTCCTTCACATCTTAAAATTCATTGCTTATCGTAGCTCTTGAATGCCACAAATAAAATATTTAAAGAGTTTCAAGCCATATTCGCTTCTAATACCCTTAAATAAGTACTATGAACTATCTCAGATAATATCTATGTCTCATGAGATAAACCAATCTGTCAATATATTACTAAAATACTTTTCAAGGTCTTTCAATTGAGAAAATAGGCCATCCTGGGGTCCCGTATAGCCGTATTTATACAATCGGATTATCATTTACGAGTAGCTCTGAAACGTATATTTACTAACAGGAAAATTATGAAGCATGTTTGAATAAAATAAAATAGGAAATAAGACAGATACTGTATTCGGAATATCAGCTTCCCTACAACCCGGTATCATCCTGGTCCCGATTATCAAGCATGCTTTTATTTTTAGAGTTATTTCTGAAACCACAGAATTTAAGCAAATAAACTGTTTATCATGTCAATCATGGTGGGACCGAGAAATTTTGGAAAAGCTTGTGGTTGTGAAAGTGAGCAGACGCTATATAAGAAATGTTTGTATTCTTTTAAGTATCATATTTGGCATGTAGTCTCAGTTATGTTACTCAAAAGAGTGGGATAAAGACCAACAAATACACTTAATATCCTTGATAGAGAATACTAATGCTTTCTAGGTAGCAAATGTAGTATAGGCGAGAGATATTAAAAAGAAAATCTGGTAGTCGGCATAGTATTTATCATATCATGTATTCCCAAAACTTTCGATTATTGCCTGCCTGCTTGCGTTCTCAAGAAAAGAAGTTTAATCCAAGTTCAATTATCTTATAAATATTAAACAAGATTCTTTCTAGTTCTAAATATTTTTGCCTTTATTCTTCCCTTAGTGAAAATCTACAACATTTCACTTCTTGCTAACTTCACAGATAAGTAGCCTACTTTGAACAGCTGAAAAAATATTAGACTATTATTTTATTTGAGAAATCTCTATATGAATTGTGTTATCTTGCAAGGTGGTTTGTTATAATATCCTAGCTTTATACTTGTACTATCTAATATTATATCCCCGGTATTACCCCAATTGATTTTCTTATTTTCGACCCTTTTGTTTTACTGGGAATCGAAGATGTGTGTAGATGTTTCGGTGGGCGTATTTAAAGAAAAAGAAATTAAGCAAAGAGGATAATTATAAGAACGCTTTGACTGCAAATAAAGAATTATATGAGTAATATTCACAAACAGACACACATCCACACAAAGAGGTGATTAGATATAGAATGTAATTCCCTATTATGGAAGTTGATATTCTAGGATCGTCGTCGGAATAAGTATAAACAATGCCAAGTATGTCAAAGGCCTACGTACGAACTGTGTAGGTAAACAAATGAGACTAACTTGAGAGGGACAAGACCAATCATGAAAGACGGCAAGAAATTACAAAGAGCTCGTTGAGAAAAGATCTCGTATGTAAGCCGATAATTCTTATTTTTGTGTATGTATAGAATATATATATATAAAAAGAATGACGGGAAACAATTCTTCTTTCTTTCATAGTACTACGTTACCAACCAAGAAGACCAACTCTGGGATTAATATTTTTTTTCTCAAAGTTAAATACATATATACATATATACATAGACACACTTTCACTCTCACTTAACCACTCACTCATTCAGAGAAACGATAAACTGCAGCAACGACAGCAATAGCACAAAAATAATAATAGCAAAAAATAGCAAACGACCATGGACCCATCTCCTATACATCATGGTCCCGATGCATTCTCCAAGACATTGGATGCAACTCCACGACAACGCAGTTTAGCAAATTCTTCTCCGACTACTAATTCTAAAGATGGATCTGTCAATCGACTCTCGCGTGCATTTCAAACCAATATTCATCCATCTACCAACACATTACAAACACTCGTCAAACCAGGCCTTCCACCAAAACCTCCGTCTTTACGGCTTACAAACGATCGTCCTCATTCGTCTAATTCCAGCCAAGGAGGCATTCAGGTCACTAGCAATTATCCCCCTACACCAACCCCAACAACTGATTCAACCAAGAATGAGAAAGATGAGGAGGAACAAGCACCACTCGCATTTAAAGATATTCGTGCTAGATTTCAACAAAAACAGCCAACAGTACCAGAGGTAAGGCAGAAAACTTTAAATAAATATATGTGTATATATATGTGTATATATATATGTGTGTGTATAAAAACCATAGACCATACAAGTGCAATATATATATATATATATATAAGCGTAATGTGGGGGGGGGGGGGAGGATATGATATATTAAACTAAAATAAAAGAAAAGATTCATAAAAAGGTTCAACTTGTACCGACGATTTCAAATGTCTCGGCACCACCAAAAGTCCTTCCAAAACCTCGCCTATCCGTAACTCGCCCAACAGAAGAGGTACCTAGTCCACGATCAAGCCATCTACCACAAAAGGGATCATTTACGCTAGAACTCGCCCAATGTCTTGAGCAGCCTACCCCACGTCCAGTAGTCCCTACCTCTCCCCACTCTTCGAACCCCAAGCCACGTGTAATCTCCAGACCCCCCGACCTCCCTCTTGGACGCAACAAAGTCCTTCCTAGACGCACTTCCAATCCAGCAATCAAATCAAACATTATTCATGCAACGCCAATATCTCTTGTGGCCCGTTCGCTAACAGGGAATAGCGCTACTTCTACATCTACAACCTCTTCTACCCCAGGATCACCTTCTAGAAGAGCTTGGAATCATGGAGTATCTATTGCTAGTTGGTTTGCCAATAGTACCCACAATGAAGACACTTCACTCAAAGACTCTATATCAATAATCAGAGAAACGCCAATCAACTCCCATTCTACTCCCCCTCCTTCTTCGGGAGGCTCCTTTGCGGGCTCTTTACCGATATCACCCCAGCTTTCTGGAAAAGATGATGGAATGTCCAAAGCCCTCAAGAGGTCCAAGGTTGTCCATGAACTTATCCAGACTGAACGCATCTATCAAGCAGACATGCAACTTCTCAAACAGACATTCTATGATCAAGCGCAGCCACCATTATTTGATAAAAATGATGTCAAGATCCTGTTTTCAAATCTTTTGGCAATTCTTACATTCGAATCAAATTTTGTGACAAAATTGGAAGAAGCCTGTCGTCCCGAGAATGACCTACCTACAGAGTCAAATGATGGTGGGCTTAACACATCTTCAAATACTCCCACAATCGGTGCAGTGTTTAATGATATGGTAATAAATAAACTTAGAATGGTGTATCTAATTCAATTATTTTACTGATGTACCCTACCTAAATAAAAATTAATAGATGACAAGCATAGACGATATATATTGTGATTATTGCAAACGGCATGAAGATGCAGTAATCAAATTACAAGAACTTGAAACAAAGCCCGAAATTCAAGCCTTTTTTGCTGCAAGTAGTTTAAATTTTTATAAAAAAAAAAGAGAGAAAGAGAAAGAATGCTTTTACTATTATTCTTATTAAGTATTCGACTAATGTAATATTTGTTCATATACTCTTAGAGATGCAGAGAACAACTCGAAGGGAAAACTATGAGTTGGGATCTTGGTAGTCTGTTAATCAAACCTGTTCAACGCGTACTTAAATACCCACTATTATTAAAGGTAATCTTAACACAAAAATATATTCCTTTGTCTTGTAAAATGACAATAATGTTGGGTTATACTTTGATTATCATTATTGTTATAGGAACTGATGATATTAACACCTCAAAATGATCCTGAATACGAGGATTTGGCTATTGCTACAAAAGGAATACAAGAAGTAGCTGATCATATTAATGAGATCAAGCGACGAAAGGACATTGTGGAAAAAATCGTCGGAGATAAAAAGAAGACAGATATCAGTGTAAGTACTTGGTGATAAAGTTTTTTCTTCTCTCTTTTGATTTTTTTTTTGAGAATTATACTTTTAAATACTGAGTAACGAATACTTATAGGTTGTGTAAGTAAAGAAAAAATGTGTGAAAGAGAAATCTCCAAAAAAAAATGAAAATTGGCGTTGATCATGATCTGTAGACATGGCTTCAACAAAAAAATTACACGAAATGCGCAGAAACTCAAGCAGGTGGCCGGTTTCTCTGCTGAGCCTACACAGGACGCCTTTTTTGACAGCCTTCACATGAAGTTTGAGCATCAACAAGAGGTCACTCGTCAATTAGCAAGAGATGTTCAGAGTTGGGTTCGTCAAGTCAAGGACCACTTTGATCATCTCCAGATTTTCTCAGCTAGCATGGAAAACCTGTACATATCCTGGGGCGGTGTTCGTGTTCGGAGTGTAGAGTGTATCAAACGCTTCCACAGCCTTGTCTCGAATTTCTCTATGGTTATGTCCCGAGATTTGGTAAGCCATTTAAAAATGAAAAAGGAAAAAAAAATTGACAGCACAATATTGGTATATATCATATTATAGGATGTAATGGTGCGTGGGCATGTATATGTTGTAGTTGATGATTTTCTCAAAACATTCGAAAACCCTGCTCAAGTGATCAACAAACGAGCTCAGAAACTATTAGATTATGATCGAGCACGAGATATAAAGTCGAGAGGGGACACTGTCGACAAAACTCTTCAAGAATCAGCTGACGCATATGTATCAATTAACGCCCAGCTTGTGGAAGAGCTGCCGGAATTCTTTCGCTTGACGATGATTTATTTTGATATATTGGTCGGGAACCTGGCAATGGTTCAGACAGAATTTAACAAACGGCTCAGTCGGGAGTGGGCTAAACTGGTAGAAGGAGGGAATATAGGCACCAGCGATAGTATTCTTAGACAGTACGCGATATCTATGGAAGAAACTTTGGTGTTGCTGAACAATATTTCACCTTTGAACAAAGAGCAATGGGAGTCAGTTCCTGGTGCAATTCCGGGCGAATTCGAGTCCAGTATCTCGCTAAACTCACGGTCAGATTCTCACGCGACAGGGAGCTCTATAGATACACCGATTAGTGAACGATCCACAGATTTATACTTTGACAGAAGGACCCAGCCAAAAGAATGCAAGTGAAAAAAAATATTTGAATTTTATTTATTTATCCAAAAGAAGAAGGAAAAATATTATTATATATTTACACACCCAAATATAGAATTTTGATTGCCTATAAAAATTCAATAACACTCGACTTCTAATAGATGGCGCACGTTCTGGAAACGAACCTCTTTTCAGGTGTGTTGTGATTTCTGACTACAATGATGAGAATCATGATACCCTAGATATAAAAAAAGGAGAAATTCTCCAAGTTTGGCATGTTCCCAATGAAGAGGATGGCTGGTTGTATGTTAGTAGAGAAGATACGTTTGGTTGGGTATCTTCATTTTACTGTCAAGACCTCTAAGTAATATTATTAGTACCACTATTATCTTTACATTGTATAATTCTTTAATGTTTTTCTTTGTTTCTTGCTATCTACACTTAATTTTATTTCATTTTTGAATTTTGAATAATCAATCCAACAACAACAACAACAGCCAGAAAAAAAAATAGGCGTCTATTTATTAGGCCTTCTCGAGAATAAGTGTCATGTTGGGAGAGGGTCTAAGGGTAATCAATTGCTCTTTCTTGGGCTCAAATCCAGGCTTCTCACTAAACTTAAAGTCCATAATTAAGATTGCCAAGAGAATCTTCATCTCAACCAATGCAAACTTGTAGCCAATGCATTGTCTTCCACCTGCCAAGAATGGCATATACTCGTAAGGGCTGACCTTACTGGCTAACTCTTCGTCCCACCTTGAGGGTCTGAATGTCTCAGCATCGTCTCCCCAGATTTGCTTAGAATGGTGATTGGCGATAATGCTGATAAATACGTCAGTTCCCTTTGGAAGAATATAGTCGCCTAGGATAACTTCCTTTCGAGTGACGCGGTTAGTGACAGGAACAGGTGGAATAACGCGCAGGGTTTCCTTGCAGACATTGTTGAGTAACTTGAGACTATTGATATCATCGTAGCTAGGTACGCTTGCTTCGTTCTTAATTGCCATTTCTCTACTATCCTTCGAACTGTCAAACATATGATGGTCGGTGTCAAGGTTTCTAAAGAGAGGTCGGATTTCCTCTCGAAGCTCATCTTGGATTCCCGGGTTTTTGGCAAGTAACCACAAACACCAACTCAAAGCCACACTTGTTGTTTCATGCCCGGCAGCCAAGAAGGTCAGACACTGATCCTGTAGTTCGGATACAGTCATGCCCAGCCCATCTTCGTCAATTTCTTTCACCATCAAGGACAATATATCTTTGGAATTCTTAGAATCATTTTCCTCGGTACGCTTCTTGCCTCGCTCCACCAAATATCTGCTTTCAGTTCCCAGGGTTCTAAGATCATGATTAACCTTACGGTTTCGTTGTGTAGGCAGTTTGTTGAGAATAGGGAAAAAGAAGGAAAGGAAGCGCATGATACTCTTTTCAGGCGAAAATATAAGCATGTAAGCTTCACCAAGTTTGTTCCTTTCAGGTGTGTCGGCCAACTTGACAGCTTCGAATTCTTCTCCAAAGCCTGCGATAGCAATCACATCTAGGGTTGCAAGACTGAGTTCGTGGGAGACATTGGCTTCAAGCGCGTCGGTTTCTTTAAGAGCCTTTTGCCATTTCTTGTATAGATGAACACCAGGAATAGCCATCATAGGAACCATGTAACGTATGGTATTAACGCTGAAGGCTGGATTGAGCATCTTGCGTTGCTTTCTATGCTCTTGCCCCTTTTTGAAAAACAATAAAAATAATTCTATATTAGTCTTGTGTATTTGTTTTACACCAAACTTTTCTTCTTCTTCTCTTTATTTTACCTCGGCTACTAAAAGACCATTTCCGATGAATTTTCGAAGAAAATCACTTGTTTGTGGTGCTTTGATGTAGTCATATTCGTTTGTTGTCAAAATTGATTTGAGGAGTTTGGCATCTGTCACCAATACTCTAGGACTATTCCAAGGGCCATGATAACTAATAATTCCACCATATTTATCTTTCCATATCTTGTGAGGGGCTCCCGACTATATACATATATGTAATTGAGTATTTATTGGAAGCATATTGAAACAGCTATAGGTTCTTGCTTTAATAAGCATCATTCTTACCTCTAGCTTAATAATCTCGATAGCATTTCCAGTAAATGGAAACCAGCTTACGGGTGGCCCGGGTATCTTATTAACTGGGTTGAGGTATAATCGGTAGATAAAGTATTTGGATATAATGTAGCCAAAGTAACTCGCCAATCCAACACCAGTGAGTACTCTCTGGACGGAAGCATTTATACCAAGTGGACTAAGGACTTTCTGATTGATATATTTTTCTGCCAGACCGAGTAGCACATTCCAGTGTTGATGGGTTGCTTGGAGGGTGTCCTGGAGTCTAATTGCTTTGAACGCCTCGATCGATTGCTGCATGGGTTATGTAATGTAAGTAAAGAGAAGTAGAGAAGAAAGCAAGAAGAATAGAGGATAATAGATTAGCTTTTTCTGTCCTTCTATTTATATTTATTTTTATATTTATTTTTATATTTTAAATGTTTGGGCTGTGTGTGACACCGTAAAGTTAATCTTCTTATTGTTTCCACAGCTCAGCATACGTAATGCTACGTTTTTGGATAAAATAATTAATTATTGGATGTGAAATGTAACCCCAGACAACAAAATGTCACTTTTTTTATTAGAAGTATAAAAGAAATATCCGTAGTACATTAAGGAATATTATCTTAAATAAGATTTGACTCGACCAAATTTATCTCTCAATTTTATACGTCAGTTGGCTCAGCACTTCTATTATACAATTGGCTTAATATATCATAGAGAATAGAGTCTACAATTGAAAAATGCAAAGGAATAAGGGGACAAATCCAGGAGGAAGAAGACGAAAACGAAGACGAAGAGGGGGGTATAAAACAAGCAAAAAAATCTATAGGAAATGTCATTAAATCCTTGTAATATATATATATATATATATAATGCCTCTGGATAAACTTCAGGTTGATTATACCATGCACATTATGTAAACTTTCAAGTGCCTTTAATTATTCTTCTTATCTTTTAAGATTCCACACACACATACACACCATTTGATGAGGCATTATTGTTCCACCTCTAAACCTTTGGTATTAATCCTTTGATTTTCCAATTCTTTCCACATACATTTAAATAATTATACTTTCTCGGGCTCCTCTTTCTCTTTAATCAGTTCCTAGCATAGTGCGTTAGGACGTCCCTCTGACCTATACATATTTTCAACCTCTTGTAAGTGTCGTTAATGAAATAACCATGCTGAAGATAACACTTTATATATATATATTTTCTGGATCATTATAGGCATCTATTTAGCCTCAAAATGATCTTATCCTATCATTGTAATACTCCTAACAACAATTTACTCTCCTTAACTCCCATTATAAAATTCGGATTTATCCAAAAAAAAAAACGTTACCTACAAATCCAGCTTCTTTAAAGCCACCAAATACATCTGCATAATAAGATCACAAAGGCATAGAAAATATTTTGGTCTTTAATATAGCTATGCAAAAATATTAGTTAGATAATTAGGTTATTAACTTGTAATTGTTTAAAAGACATACTCAGCTACCCAACTTTTCAAATGGTTATAATCATATACAGTGAGGGGCAAAAAGAATCGCCTTTTTTTTAAGATCCCGATTGTTCTCCAAAATATATCTATTTTTCATGCTTAAAGAAAAGAAGCAAATACAGCACTTACAGCTCCCAAACTACTTCAAATTAAAGTTGAAAGCACTTGTTCTTATTATTTTATAGAAGAGTCTTTATTTTAGTACTTGGTATTATGACCATTTGCATCTATTACAGCTTGACATCTTCTGTTCATGCTCCGGACCAAACTCTGCAAATACTTCTGGGGGATTAACTTCCATTCCCTTATTACGGCATGTCTCAAATGGTAAATGCTATACAGGTTGTATCTGTTCATACGCACTCTACGCTTGAGATATGCCCAGAGATGCTCGATTGGATTCAAGTCTGGACTTTGAGGTGGCCAGCTGCCCAAAAGTTTCACCTTGTTTTTTTTCTTCCATTCTTTTGTCAGCGCACTCACATGGCAGCTAGCGTTATCCTCTTGCAGTTGAAATCTTCTCCAGCTATCTTTCTCTTTGAATGCCTTTAAAGAAGGGAAGTAGGCTCTTTCCAAGGTTGCAACATACTTCTTGGAATCGATATTTCCAGGCACAACGTCTAAAACTCCGACAGTCTTTCCATAGAAGCACCCCCAGACCATAATGGAGCCACCTCCAAACTTCACAGTTGGCGAGACAAAGTTGGGCTTAAAGCCCTTGCCGTTTGGCCTGAGAACGCACCGGCGCCCATCACTTCCGTGGAGCTTGATCTTTGACTCATCAGACTAGATGACGGAATTCCAATCTGTCGTTTTCCAGTGCAGATGTTCCTTAGCCCATTGCAATCGCTTTTTACGATTGATTTCCGAAATCTTTGGTTTCGGAATCATCTTTCGAGAGTATATTCCAGCCTTGCGAAGAAACTTTCTCAAAGTCTTTACAGAAACTGGTGTGGGCAAGGTTCTAGCAATGGTACTCATTAGCTGTGTTGGATCACGGCTAATCTGAAGCATAATTCCTCTTTGTCTCTCTCATTCAACTTTAAAGGTCTACCAGGTCGTGGTGCAGCCATATGCGAGCCAGTTTTTTTGTAGCTCTGAAGAACACGCTTCACCACGTCTTTGCTTACGCCTACTTTTTTGGCAATGTCAACCTGACTAGTGCCATTCTTAACACTCTCATGGACAATGATTGCACGAGTTGTATTATCCGTGTTTTTATGTCCATTGGTGGAAATCTTAGTAATCTTTTTTGTGCATTCGGTTTGATTGTTCATTTCATAAAATGTTAATTTAAGAGAAAAAGAGAAAAACTATTACGTTTGCTGATTTCGGCATTTTAAAAAAAAGGCGATTCTTTTTGCCCCTCACTGTATATATATCAAGGCTATATATATATTTTTTGCATGTATCATAATTGAGATCCCAAAGAAAGAAAGAAAGAAAAAACCTTCTTTAAAACTAATTACTGCATGTTAAATATGAACCCAATACTTCAATTATATAGTAGGCTAATATCCCTAGATATCAAGCTTACAAAATCATTCTTTAATAAACAATTGATTTGTTACAAGCTCTCAAAACAGGAATATTTAGTTTTTCTACCTGTTACTATCTAAATTATATCAGGAGACTTTAGTAGATATACAGCCAAAAGGTCATATAGTAAACTAAATCCAAAGGGTGCCTTGAACAACAACAGAACATCTAATTGGACTTTATTTTGGACTAATTGTATCAATTGAGTGGCTATACCTGCGCTTTTATGTATGTTGAAAAATCAACGTATTTTTTTTTGGGAGGCATTATAATTGTTTTTCTTTGTGACTTTTGAGAACAGAAACGATATTGGATAACCATCAGAATATACAACGTTTCTAATATTAATCGTTTGATTTTGAAATACTATTAAAAGTCATTGGTAACGATTTATTTGAATGTTTTTCTGCCATTAGAAAGGCTTTTTCTGGTTCTAAAGCTAACTTTGGAGAAATCGAAAAGCTTGTAATAAAAACTAAACAACATTTCCTCGTTCTTGAAGCCTTTAGGATAATCTTCAATTCCATATTCTTTTGCTAGTTTCCAAAATGCTTGAGCGTCAATTTGAACCGATTTCCTTTGAAACGAATGAATAGGCGGAAGAGAAAAAAGGCGCTATCCACGTTTATCGGTATACTTGACAGAACAAAAAATACCATCTCTTATCCTTGCCTTTACGGTGTTGACAAAGTTCGAAATTGTCGACTTATACGATTGAATCTTTTGGAGCTTCTTCCCGAATATTAGAGGTTGATTGCTGTCAATATATATAAGGATTTGTTATTGTAAAGAACTAAACTTCTTTCTGTTCAACGACGCGGCAAAAGAAAGCTCTTTGAGTTTGCGATACACGTATGCTTTATAAGTGACCGTTTCCGGTACTTCTTCAGTGATAAGAGCTTTTTTCTCAGCTTCTGTTTGAAGAAAGTGAAGCCATTTGAAATTTATATGAGGCTGGACATACAAGGTATTGGATTCAGAATCTATTGGCTGATAACGCGACCACGACGTATTGATGTTGCTGGTAATTTCCTTGCGGCCATCTGTTTCTTCAATAGACGACGGTGTCATGACAAGTTCTGACGTTCTCCAACAGCTTCCACAAATACATACAAGTGTCATTTTATATCGTTTATTATATAGCTTTACATTATTTTCTAACAGTGTATATACCTTTAACAATTCAAACAATAAACTATATTCAATTATTTGTGTTTCTACCTAACTCTTTCTGTCCGCTCTGACTTTGGTCTTTTTGTCTTGTCTTGTCTTGTGAAAGCACCTAGTACCCTTGCCAGTTATTCTTCCTTGTTCTGTCCTGTTCTGTCTTGTTCTGTCTTGTCCAGGTCTTACAGGCGACCATGCCGATATTTTCTTTAGTTTTTGGCCGTAAATATAATAGAAAATAACTTTCTTTTAGCTCACCATTAACCAACTACAATAGAGTTCAGATGACTTGCAGGAGAGGTTTTCCAGAAAATAAAGTATGCTTCTTTTCTCTTATGATTTTTGCAAACACGATTACAAACCAAGACTTCATATTTCCTAGAAGTAATGGAAAAAGTAGACAAATATCCTATTGACTTCAATGATTTAAGGATATATCCGTCTATCTCGCACGTCTCTTTAAATTCATCGAAATATTGTTGGATATAACTGGAAGCCGTTTTCGCATTCCTGGACAAAACTACAAACATAGCATTTGTAAAAATTGTGGTCAATGATCAGTATATCTTCATCACCACAATCAAGTTTTAAAAAAAAATTGGCAAATAGGGAACTCACATGTATGACCTTGGTAGCATATCCAACTAGCCTTGCATCTCTACATATCTTTTTCAGAGGACTCTTGATTGTAAAGGTTTTTTATCTTTTTATCAGCATTATGCGAGACCTCGTTTTTTATATTTCTTTCAGGGTATAGTTTTCTGCTTGCTCTTGAATGAGTACTTTGGTTACAAGATTGGCATAGTTTTAGTTTATTGGGATTTGTTTGTAGCCTGAGCTCTTCCAAGACATGTTGTTTATTTATTTGTCTTTGTACTTTCATAGGTGTGTCAGAGGAGGTACTGAAAATGTTATATGATTAGGTGAACTGGAACCGGTACGAGTCGAAGCAATATGAGTAGAATGATTAGGTGCTGCTAAAGTAGCCACTTCTTGGTCATCTAGATTTGTATCTAGAACTAAAAAAAAAAGTAAAGAATGCACTCTTTTGCAATGTATACGTTGGATACTTTCTCTTTAAAACCTTATTTTCTTTTGCTGAATTCTCAGATGTCATTTTCAAGTTTGCATTTCATGTCTTTGTCACATGCTTTGAAAAGAAATGTTGAGGGACAACATTTCGCGCTCTGATTAATTATGATTATGTTCTACCTTTAATTAAAATGTCGAACTACTAATAAAAATTAAGTAGCAGCATACACTGATACAATGCTCTCTGGATGGCAACTGAGTATTCTACAGAGATGAATAAAGCGTTCTGGGATTCAATACAGATTTAAAAGTCACTAATATAGATTACCCCACAGAAAAAAAAAAGGCGATTTTAGTGAGATTGTTGCAAGTTTTCTAGGGCTTAAAGTATGTTTTATACCCAAATTTTAATCAAGCATCAATTTCTCTCTCTTTTATATATATCCCATGTTTTACGCCACTGTGTTTTTGCAGTTAATGCACAATATCCTTTTCCCAACTTCTTCAACCCAGTACAAGAATTAAAGACAATAAAATTATTCAAATCTAATAGCTTACCATTCGGTAACAAACCCCCCTCCTGAATCCGGTTTACATCATATTTCATAACACTGCCTACAAATATCCTGAGAAATCTTATAAGCAGTTCTTAGGGTGATATTCATTTATCATTATTTTGGATTTTAAAGAAGTAGGAAGCAGACATAAAAAAGGCAACACAGAAAAGGTGTATACTCTTTGATAAAAAGAATCAATCAAGCAATATGCATGCCTTCATCAATATCATAATATTTAAAAAATAACTGTTTTTTTAAAAAATAAAAAAGGTAGAAAATAGCACATAGCAGTAGATTTATATATATCATATATCAAATTCATAGTTTAAATTGCTACTAAGTATCATATAAATTAGTACTTCTTCTTTGCTTACTTCTTCATGTTTAACTTCTATTATTTTGATAAATAAAAACCGTAAAGTTCCAATATAAAGCTGTGCATTTGTTGAACTAATTATAAGAATAGAGATACCTAAAGAAGGCATAGATTTGCCATACTAAAAAAAAATTGATTGGATTATTTGCAAAAATAATCTGAAATCTTACGAATTGTATTGTACAAATTTATTATAAAAAGAGATATAGGTAGCTGAAATAGGTAAGAACTTGTTATTTTTAAAGCAGTTGATTGGATTAGGCGTAAAGTAATCTGAAATCTCATAAATAGTATTTGCTGAAAATAATTTTAGTTTACTAAAAGCTGCCATTTTCTATAGTGGTAGCCAGTCTTCAGTTTTTGACTCAGTGCTGTCAACTAAAGTCTTACCGAAGCGGTACTTTTATTTCTCAATCCTCACTCAGGGATCTCTCAAGAAACTCTCTTACAACAAAACAAAGAAAAAGAACTGAGCTTACTTAGATGGTCAGTGACCATGTTTCTTATCCTACTCCCTGTATATGTTACAGCAACTTGTAGATTAGAGCAAAAACTACGTCTCTTCCTACGGACAGACTGCTCATGTCCGAACCGGAAAATAGTCTCACTATTGTACACCGTATTTTTCTCTTGGAAACTGATCGTAAATTATTATCATTTTATAATAAAGGTTATATACAGCTTGTTCTTTGAAGGTCAGTGTGGAATTACTTTCCGAGATTTTTCGAATTGAAAGGAAAACGTATATCAAGAGCATGACACACGGCTAGATCGACTTCCAAATTTTTTTCGATTGAAAATTTGGAGAGCTTTTGTTCTTCTTTGAGAAGCTCATTTTTCGCCCAGCCTATATCTCGTTTGATTTTGAAACAATCTTACCTCTGGCCATTTGATAAAATCCTAAGTCTTTGCCCTTTAACTGTGACTGCGTGACTATTTTTCCTTTATAATACCAAAACAAGAAACATTCATCCTCTCATAGCACTTTTCTCTCCCCTCTTTCTTGCGTACCTAGTCCAGTAAGATGCCGGCCATCCAATCACATCCCCAAAACCTAAACTCCGTCAGAAAAAAAAAATTTTGCTCGATGTCACCACAAGGAAAAAAAAAATCAATAGAAAAAAAAAATTATATAAAAACTAGCCAAACGCCACACCAGCGCATTCCTTCTTCCCTGAACCTTGCCTACTTGTAAAGTAAGTCCCAGTCTCAATGGCACTTTTTCCAAACGCGTTCAACCCAAGCCTAAAGACTTATCCAACTGCCTATATAGCATGTCCGACGATCACGACCACACCTTCGAGAGCGCCGACGCCGGTTCCTCTTTGACCTACCCCATGCAGTGCTCTGCCTTGAGAAAGGGTGGACACGTTGTCATCAAGGGTCGTCCCTGTAAGATTGTCGAGATGTCAACCTCCAAGACTGGCAAGCACGGTCACGCCAAGGTTCACTTGGTTGCCATTGACATCTTCACCCAGAAGTAAGTTGTCATTTCAATAAAAAAAACAAATATACCATAACAATTGCAGTCTACTAATAATTATGCCCTAACAGGAAGCTCGAGGATCTCTCTCCCTCCACCCACAACATGGATGTCCCCAACGTTGTCCGTATGGAGTACGCCCTCCTCAACATTGATGACGGTTTCTTGTCTTTGATGTTGCCTGACGGTTCCACCAAGGATGATGTCAAGCTCCCTGAGAATGAGGTCGGTACCCAGATGGAGGAGGAGTTCGAGGATGGCAAGGAGTTGTTGGTCTCTGTCGTGTCCGCCATGGGTGAGGAGCACGCTTTGTCCTGTAAGTATTATTAGTTTTTTGTTCTTTTGTGTTTGTTGTGACTTCTTTATGACTGCGACTGACCATCTTTTTTTACCGTTTCTAGACAAGGAAGCCCCCAAGGGTGCCTAAAGGATTCCTTTCTGTTGAAAGGTAGCCAACACTCTATTATTGGTGTCTAGTTTAGGATCGCGCATGGTTCATTTGTGATCTTTTTGCAAAACTTATAATATACAGCAAAAACGACTTTACAAAAAAAATCTATGTTTTCTGTTGATTTGTGAAATGTGTATATAAATTTGAATTATTTTTAAAGAAAAAAAAGTTTTTTTTTGTATTGCATGCCCAAGGAAACTTGAAATTATTGCCTTGACTCTAATATGCTGTTATATGTTGTTTTGAAACAAGAAGGAAACCAAGAAAAAAGTAACCTTTTATACATACATGTCTTTAATAACTTTTTCTCCTTACTGAATAAGATTACACATGTCAAAATGCTTATTACTGTAGATCAAATACTTATTTAATAGATTCATTCAGACCGTTATAATCTTGTTAGATCAAGCTCTTCTTTTCCCTCTTTCTTTATTTATTTTTAAGTTTTCTGAAAAGCACAAATCGAGTCTAATAATTAAGGAGTTGTGGTTGTTTTGACTGCATAAACGAATAACAACAGATAATATATATGTATATATTGATAAGACTATAAAGGGCACATTTAATTCTTAAATACATACATCGCTTGGTAATCCATTTGGATATTAGATTTATGGTTGTGTATTGATCACAGGGTATGTTAATCTAATCTTATTCCCAAATACATTTTTCTCACACTAGAAGATCTTTTTTTTTAAAAAAAATAAAATAAATATATATATATATATATAGCCCACGCCATAAATGATTTTGGGCGCACAGATAACTAATAATCCTGGTAGAGCCCACAATTGTATAATTTAAAGATACAATTGATCTTTGGTTTTGAAAGCTAAAGTTACTTCTTTCTTTTTTGTACTTGTATTTGTGCCAGTGAAAGTGGTAACCTTGTATACAAAGATACAAATATATATATATTAAAAAAAATTGCAGATCAGGCGTGTACCATTGCACAGCCTATTTTTGGAGTTTATATTCCCAAGAAGCACTTTTACGCTCAACCCTGAATCCCTTTCACTCCCCCCTCTTTTGTATTTTGTATTTTATTTACATTAAACAAGAGGAACATGGTGACATTAATTAGTTTTAAAATAAGTATATCATCTTATTTAAAACAACAACAAAAAAGATGCTATTTATGAAAATCCATATTTCTCATATGTAATTTTTCTTTTTGGGAGACCCTGTTTGACAATCTGTCATTGTTCTGCCTGTCATATGATATCTCAGATACAAGCTTAATTTTTATACACTTGTGGCATGTATAACACACTCACTAAAATCACCAAAATATCCTGTTTGGTGACCACAAAATTAATGAGGCATTATGGCTTAAACTTTTGGGTTAGAAAAAAAATTAACTTAACTTTTACCAGAGAATATTTTCTTTGGTTACCATGGTGCTATTAAAAGTCAAAGAAGATAACCAATATATGCCTTCGAGTCATTAGTAGTGATGTATTCCGTTTAAGGTATCAAATGATATATCTCATATACACACCTATATATATATATATATATATATATAAATGTAGAGTTCAAGTTACCAAGTCACATGTTATATTGTTGGGATTAATATCCTAATCCTCAGGAAAATTTATTTTATGGTAAAAGCATCTCTTTACTATCATTTGAATACTTATCAGGGGTTATAATTGAATTATACTATAGGAAATAAGTGGTGATTCCAATAGTGATTTTGGAATCCTTAGTCATTTCCTATAGTAATTTATTTTTCTTCTCTTTAAAAAAAACAACAAGCAAAAGTAGTTCACAATCCATTGTGCGTTCAAGATTATTGTTTGTATTTTTTTTTAAAATACAGTTCCATAACAACAATATACGATTGAAAATATTCCAACATTGGTAAGAATTCGACACTGTTAACAAAAAGAGCTGCTAGTTTTTCCAAATTCAAAAAAGTAATTTCAAAAACTCATAGATTTTTTCCATATATTGATGTTTGTAATGTAATGAGTATCTCTTGTATAATCAGTATTAATGCTATGCCTATAGTAATATTGATTATAAATATGACTTTTGAGAATATGATATATGTATGATATTGATATATAAAGAAAAAAACTAAATTTAAGGAATATGTTGCTGGATCCTTATTTATTGCACCAAGTTCATTGGTTTTACAGCATCGCGCTTTTGCAGCATACGTCTTGGGGAAGCACTAACATACAATGCTATAGATCATATAAAAAAATTCAATCTTGAAAAATCTCTTTCATCTTTGAGTGATACATAAGGAATAAAAAAAGACCCCCAAAATAGCTTGTGTTAGCAATAAAAAGCATACTCTCTTTATGTTTACTGAGGTGTTCGGGATTGTTTATGGGTTAGTTTCTCAATATATGGAAAATTAGATACTGTGAGAGTTTTATTTATTAGAGACAAAATAATATTGTTTATATCTGCTACTATTAAAATCCCTGTAATTCAAATCCCTGTTGTGTAATGGTTGGTTTACACTGTATGAGTGTGTAGTGTACGTGTGCCTGGTGTGTAACAGTTCCGGATATTGTTAGCTTGTAGGGTTCATTAGCAAGAAGGAACCAGTGTTTGGTTGTGGAGCCTGTTCTTCACTCAATTGTGGTGTGTATACCACATTTACAAACAAAAGTTCACAAGCAACCTTTGAACTGGGAATTAACTTTGATGTTCTGTAACCAGCACAGTTCTTATACACTATTTTTTAAGATAAATCATATAAATAGATATATAAGGTATAATATGTCCCCACTAATTCTTGCTTACAGCTTGAATCGCCCAACTCGCATTTGACTTTAGGGATACATACACAAAAATCAGAACAGCGAATATAAAATGACAATGAACAAATACTTGAAATCAAAACCTTGTTTTTATGTATTTACGGGACACCGATTAAGTGGTCAATATACTTAATATGTTTACCTTTATACCTATCTACCAACACATTTGTCTAGTTAGTTATATAATAAGTTTCCATACACCAACAGTACAAATGATATATATATATATATGTAGTCCATAAAATACGGCAATATTAAAAGATAACAAGTTTAAGTTTTACAAACATTTTTTAAGTATCAAAACACTAATTAATTAAAAGCAGAGGAAAAAGAAAAAGCTCTGAGAGAAAGAAATATCTTATTATTTAATAAAGAGAGAGATTAATATTATCGCGTTAAGTATTTCTCTATAAAATATAAATTCTGCTGAAGCAACTGCTTCACCTGTTTGTAGGTAGAATTACCAATACAGAATTAACTGTATAGCCCAGCAAAGCACCAAACTGTTTTTTTCTGCAGAAAAGACATTAAGATTTTCAATCAGTTAACTATACTGATAAACAAGTCAATATTGGTATTGTGCAAGCTGAATGTGAAGTTAAGCTATTTTTTTTTTTGTTTAATCCTTAACAGAGTCTCAAGTATTTTATATTTTTCTATTGAAGATAACAACTCTCATTCTATCTCTAGCTAACCATTAATTCTGCTATAAGTTTCTGCTGTTTTCTGCACCATAATTCCTAAACATTTGATATATATCACTCATTCTCTTGAAAAATCACCTTGACACTTTGAACCACTGGTATAACCTCATTTCAATAAAACCCAACCTGGAATTCAGAATCCCGCCACCTACTCTGTTGAGATCACGATAATATACATATATATATATACTTATTTCTTTATTTTCTGCCTTTTACTTGCTGCTTGATATTACTTTGAAATATACGTCGACTAATTTTATGGCGGATGTTGGGTACCTTTTGCGTTCACCTGTGTATGGGCAAAAGAAGAAAGCTTTTTCTTACGTTCTCGTACAAGAAGCGCACAGACCAGCTTAGAGTAACCTACAAATCGGCGTTATAGAAACTTGTACTCCACTTTGAGAGTTATTACTACACCGATCAATACCGAACCTTTCCTTACTTCTTTGCTTTACTTTGCTTTACTTTGAAAAAGCCATCTTCTCTAGTAATTTAATTCAATATTTTTAGCTGTCTACTCTACCTTAGAACAGTTACACAAACACAATAAAAAGAATATATAGCCATATCACGTTTGCTCTGACGTGGACATCTAAGACTGACAAAAAGCGCAGTCCTAAACTTTAATCGCAGATGAAAAAAAATTCTGTTACTTATAGACCTCCTCCAACGCGCGTCGTTTGTTTTCTCCTTGAGCAACAACAGTCCCGGTTTCATAGTGAGGCGTCTCTTGCGACCGTTGCAGGGAGATTCTTCCATGCTACAAGCATCGGAAAGTGAAAGTTGTTACTCGCCAGCTCAGTTAATTCTGAGAAGTCGTGGGGCATGGTCTCTTTTCTTTTGGAAAGACTACTGTGTACATCGCATCGCCAATGTGGAATCATGATGCTGGGGGGAGGGAGGTCTAACCTGTGGTGAGATGTGCTGGCTCTTCACTGCTAACCTGACTGAACTCTTTAACGGCTGACGGTGAAGCTACTGGTAGTCGAATGAGCTGGACCTTATCACCTAGTGGTAAGTTCTCTGGCGAGTTCGCACCCACATTACTCGGTGACGAGATGTGGGGCTGGATGAACGGGTGCTTTCCGTTGGTTTGCCACCATTCCAGCACCTCCTTCGCTACCAAGTCAGGTTTACGTCCTGAAGGAGATTGAGCCGCGTAATGCGGGGACAAAGAACTTGGTGTCATGCTTTTTATTCTTTTACTCATGTAAAAGAACATTAAGTGAAATTAAATCAAATCAAATAGAATAGTTTCTTTATGTGTATCTTTAAATAAATAAATAAAGTCTTTCTTAGCTATTGTCAACTTTAATAAAAAAAACACGTTTTTAAACATTTTTTTTACTTGATTGAAGAAGTCAATGTTGTAATTAGGTGGACTCATTTATAAGAAGAAATTAATCTAATCGAGTAAACATAAAAATAAATAAAATACTATTCGTATATTCTAAAGTGGTATTGATAACCGTGTTTAACTATAGATGCTGTTTTTGTCTATAAAGTATATAAATTGCAGAATAATGGTTGATGATGCCGATGCCATAAAATGTATGTTATTGAATTTGGCTAATGAGGATGGTCAGTGTAAAGAGGATGAGTTGAAATCAGAGAAAGAGGAAGAGGAAGAGAAAGAGAAAGAGAAGGAAAAGTAAGATGAGGAATGAGAAGGAATGAAGAAATGCATGCTTCAAAGAGAGGCGGAAAAGACGTGTTGAATTGAATACACAAGTAATGTCCTCATTGTATTTGCACAGACTGTACACAAGAAGTTTAATATGGAAGTATTTATGAAACAATAAACATTATCCAAAAACCTTTTATATATATATATATATTACAGTCTTTAAAAATTAATTTGACAGACATAGAATGTATTGAGTAAGCTAGACATGAATATCATAAAAAAGACAATGTAATATTGTAATATTGAATTGTATGAAGTTGAATATTGGTGCATGCATGACTATTATTATTGCCAATTCATTTATATAGTTGATTTGTATCTTGGTTTTTTATTGTTTTGTTTAGGTAAAAGTGCTCAAAAGACACTATTGTTTTACTATTTCAATATCGTCAATTTTTCTTTAAACTACTGCCAAAATGTATTTATTTTTAACTAACTTTAAAGAGCTCGAAGAAAATATTTTCTATAAAGAAAGGGCAAAACATTAATGTAGATTGATAGAAGAAAGAACTTCTTGTGTATCTTGTCATATTCGAATTATTTAATAAGTGATTTCCGAGAGTGTTTCAACTTGTTTAAATAGCATCTCATTTCGGTAATACTTACTAAAAGTTGCGCTATGTACTCAATTGACTGAATTTTGATATATAATCTTACATAATTTCTTAGTATATCATCCCTATCAATTGTCACTTTTGGAAATACTGAGAAACCAAACCTAATATCTCTATTCCTTTATGGATTGGAAGACAATGAACAAAACTACACTATTCCGAGTCCTTACTGTCCAGGTACCGCTCCAAACAGTCAGATGAAGGGAGGGGTAGAACTCTTTGAGCCTTTATAAGACCTGTTTTCTAACACTCACACAATTGCCACACGTACATAACTACGCATTTAGCAGATACGTCTTTCTTTCCGAATTAATACGCAACCCATCTTTCGATCTCAACGGATAAATTAAGCAAGATATTTTGTTGATGTCTCTTTATTGCTGTTCAATATTAAGAAATCCTACTACAATATAACAGAAAGAACAAAGTGGAATTGTGAATTCATTTATATCCATGACCATGCTTATATTCCTGTAAGTTTCTCCATCCACGACCTTTTTTACGCAAATACCAGAATAAAAACTAGCCATAAATATTTATTCCACAAGCTTCCCCTCTCCTCCTACATTAACCAATCCCAAGCCAATGAGTATATAGCAAGCAATATTAACGCTGCATTTCTTCAATCTTCTTGTTGGATAACGGATAGTTGGTCTTCGCCTTACAACCAGTACCAAAATCCGATCAGAGGTATAAGAGTAAGTTACTTCGCTAACATGGATTTGATGTCTGTCTAATTGATAAATTTGCTATGAGAAAGCATTGTTCTTCGTGCTCCTAGCTTTCCCTTCAAAAGTTCAAGCAAGTCACCAACATTCGCTCATAATGCCAGACTCAAATACCAAATGTAACATGCCATATTTTTCCAAGATAAACACTACAACCAACCCCCGATTTTTTTCTATTATTCTTATAAATTATTTTATGTGTATCAATCCATTTTTTTTAGAACATGGATCTGTTGCGCTTAAAACATAATTTGTGGAATAGAGAGTCTGTAGCCGACTTGCATTTTAGACATGTAATTAACCAATTGAGATATGATGGTACTATTCCTGATAGATTTACCCACGCTATTCAACTTAGAAGGGCTATAAGGCCGGCATAAGATACTCCGGAGGGTCTCCGTGTGAGAAAAATACTGAGTGGATAAAGGAGATCATTTCTCCGATCTGGTTATCAACAGGGAATTAACAAGATGCCCTTTTGGTAAGCTATTACATTTGAATATTTTTTTAGTTAGTTATTCTAGTCATTTTTGTACTACGTGGAGGAGAGGTTGGAAAAGATGTTTTGTGTCGATTGCAAACACATGGTGGGGTAAAATGAGGATATTTAAAAAATTATTTTAACTTTTTGAACAACAAAAGAAAGCAAGAAAAGGTGAAATTGAAACACATATATATAAAGAGGGGGAGTTAAAAAAAAGCAGTGCTTAATCAAAGTTCAACCTTAAAATAAAACCCTTAACAGCCGGAGAATCTTGTAAAAATCTCCTCCAAGATTTTTTTTTTTATATATTTACCATAGTGTAATAAGCATCGCAAGTATACTGATGTTTGCTCTAGTTGAGCTTTGGTAGCTCTAGGTTTGTATTCCTTGGAAGGGAAGGAAAAACAAAGCCGAGCAAATCAAATTGGTCAGATAAGGATTTCTAGAATAAAGAATTAAAAAAGATTCTAGGGACCACTTATTGGTCTTGGAGGAAGTTTGCATTTCTTGTAATAAATACTTGTGAAGTTTAGTGGATTTTACAGAATTAGAATTGTAATTGACATTAGAAAAGTGTTGACCTAAATAGCTTTTCTAATATTCGGTCAATTAAACTTAGATATCAACATTGTCTATATTGGTGAGATGCAAAAAAAAATGGACTATTGGTTTTAGTGCACTATGTATTTAAGCATATTTTTCATTTATTAATTATTAGTGCTTCTGCTTGAGATTGAGACGATGTTATTTTTATTTTATCTTTCAGCTAAATCGCCTTTCTATTCCAAATTTTATTCTTTTGCTTGTCCAAAAAACAAAAACTAACATTGTCTCAATCTCAAGTAGAAACACTGTAATAACATAAACTTATAATAGATACAAATTCATTTTTCCACGTGATAATAAAACCAATGTCTTCTACTTGGTTTTGTTTCTGTAAAAGATAACATTTCATTCTGCAAAACAAAAATAAACTAAAGCTTTTACAGTGATAAGGAACGGCTTTGTTTATCGGAAAATAGATAGACAATGGTTTGTAGACGTCTTGTATGATATTTTAACTCATAAGGTGTATGTATGTATGTGTATGTATATATATAAATAAATAAAAGACAAGTGGCCTGACTTTTATCATAGATTATTATTCAATAAATATATAAAAAAAAACACCATCAGCATATTGTAAGATGTACTTAAAGATATAGCAATCCTTATTCTTACTGTTGTTTTAATGCTAATTAATAAACTACAAAGAGAATTTAAGAAGATATTTTATTATAAATACTTTTACCATATTCATATTCTATAAAGACAATTATAAATTGGTATTTTTTTATTGGAAGAGTGGGAGGGGGAGATTATGAATATCTAAGCTGATAAAATAAAATAGACTTTATTTTTATTGGCGGCAATACTTAATTGACAAACCCCTCGAAACACCGTAATAAAGAGTACCTTTTTTTTTCCTTCTTCTTCTCCAGAAATTTAATCCATTGGGGGGGGGGGGCTATACTTTTATTAGAGAGGGTGGCTACCTATTCATTTTTGAAGATTACCATTTTTATCGAATATCTGAGTTTTAACTGCAAGAATTTAATCACAGAAACCTCTATTCAAATTTGAATTATGAAAAACGTACAAATATGGAGTGCTGTTTTATAATACAAATAGTGCTTAACTATACAGTACCATTTTTGGCCTATTCAAAATTGGGTGGAAAAATTACATCTTTTCCTTCAAAATCGAGCTCATTTATGAATAACAATCGAGTAAATTTGAAGCGGTCCAAAATAGGATGTGCGGAATATTAAGAATTAAAACCCCATTTGGATGATTTTCATAAACATATTCAAAAATGAACAAGTAGTCACCCTCTCTATTGTAGGTAATTTTCTTCTTTATTTTTTTATAGTTGATCTAATTAGTGAATTTAATTGAATTATATTAGCCAAGTTTATTAGCGGAAGAGAACTTTATTTTTTTATAAAGTTATGGTATCAGAGCCGAGCAATATTTTTTTTTACATTAATTTGTTGCATATCATCCTCCCTAAAAAAAACAATAAAATCAAAAGGTGCAAAGAACGTGAATTGATGGCGACATATGGTGATTTATTAAGATTTTTCTCTTAGTGGTACTATCATACAAAAGGGGGAGGGGAAGTGTTATTGGATGAGATTATTATATACAGCGGAAGGAAAGAAGGGCAAATAAATATATAGATAGCTAGATATATAGATAAATATGTATAAATGTATAAATATATATATATATGCTCTATGAAGTAAGAGCATAGGGATGGAAGCAATCATCTTCACGATTGTATTCACTCGGATGAATAATAGATTGTTGGAATGGTAAAGATACAGTTATTGGGCTTGTATTTTGTGTAGAGGTGGACAGTTGTGGCGTAGGAGAGCTAAATTGACTTTGCATATGAGATTCATGTGTTGAGCGAGGTTTTGAGCTTTTTCGTGGCCAAATAAACTGAAAAAAGGAAGTCAGTTTTCTTGGTGGTTTTTCACTGCCAAGGCGACTGCTATGGGGATAAGGATTCTCAATTGATACAGGACTTGCGGCAGAGTATGTAGAATGTGTATTTGATTGGTTGCTATATGTGCTAGTGATCGATCCTGAATGGCTTAATCTACAAGAGGATGGGCTTGTGTCCATTGTGTTTGTGTTTGTGTTTGTGTTTGTAGAGATATCGTATAAGTCGAGCCATTTGTCAAGAACATTTGAGCCGCTCGAGTGCCTTTGTAAAGCGTCTATCCATGCGTTCATTGCCTGTTCCGTCTCGGCCTGGAGGTTGAAATCTGGGAATTTATTCTTTGTGTCATCATTCGAGATAAGCCTGAAGGTGTTTGGTGATTGTCGTGAATAGTAGGTATTGTCAACTTGATAATTAAATAGACTGAGGATGTTTTGTGGTGTAGTATCGGTCTAAGGATAAAATATTAGTAAGTATGTTTGAAATGAAACCTGAGCTTGTGGGGTTTGTACCTCATTCTTGTAATATCTTAATTCACAATCTGTCAGGACAAAGTAACGTCGAATATAAGCTTTGCGTATGTTTTGTCGCTGCTTGAGGAGCCAGCCTTCGAATATGATAGGATAAGTAGAGTTGGAAAGAGAAGACATAATTAAAAGGAAGACAGGAAAAAGTTTATAAGCAAGAAGTAGGGTGCTTATATATTTTCTGAGAAAATAAAATAAAAGGATGATCGGCACTAGTTTTAATTTTACGATCCCTACAAAAAGGTTACAATCTATATCCATAGCAATCTGCTGTAAAGTGCCGTCTTGGTTACACGACAATGAAAACCCTACTCCCCAAATATAGTGGGTGAGTCCGATTGTTCAGCTACCTGCTGTATGCATATCATCGTCACTAATATCTAGGCTTAACCAAATGGAGATGTTAAGCGATATTATTAGGTTTATTTGAATTAATTTCATATATTTTCTGGTTTTATTTTATTTTATATTGCTCTTACTATTTTATAACAAAAGCACACCATTTCGATATATAAAATGCTATATTTTTTTATTGCCATTATTTGGGGGGGGGGGGGGGGGGGTTCTTTCTGAGGATCAATAATCAAAGAACCGTTTCTATGGCAACGTGGCATCTAAGATGACGTCGGATAGGCAAGAGCGCGCAAAATTTACACAAAAACCTTTTTTTTAATGATAGAGCACATTATTGCCATATTGGGTAACTAAACTTTCCTTCAGGAACGTTGTTTTAGATAACATGTAAGACACTTACAATCATCTGCAAGTAAGCTGGTGATTTTTATTTAGCTATTTTTTTTGCTATGTAATTTTTTTTTCGCACCAGTTTAAATTCTTGAGATCGATCGATCTATCAAAACCCTTTACTAGATTTTGTGCAAGTGAGCTTACAAAAATTACCATTTATAAACAATGAATTTTCCCCACTGTATTTACGTATTAAAGAGGTACTAGAGAGGGTGACTACCTATTCAAATTTGAATTATGAAAAACGTACAAATATGGAGTGCTGTTTTATAATACAAATAGTGCTTAACTATACAGTACCATTTTTGGCCTATTCAAAATTGGGTTGAAAAATTACATCTTTTCCTTCAAAATCGAGCTCATTTATGAATAACAATCGAGTAAATTTGAAGCAGTCCAAAATAGGATGTGCGGAATATTAAGAATTAAAACCCCATTTGGATGATTTTCATAAACATATTCAAAAATGAACAAGTAGTCATCCTCTCTACTAACTAAAATACACACACCAAAAATCCGAGTTTAATAAACTAATCAATAAAATTTCCATGCAAATCTATTTTATTCCTTCTGATAACAGTGCATCATATCCAAAATTTGTCCTAGCAACCTTCTTATTTTTTCCTTCTCGATCGAAAACAGAACATAGAGATTAGTAAGAAAAAAAAAGAACAAGTTTATGTGAACCTGTAAATATATACTTCTTTCTACTCGATATAGTAACCATGCACTGTTATATACCATCAAATCACATCTCATCATTCATAGATCAGTGCAGTAAAATGGAATTTAATCTTTAGATTCAATTTATGACAGCACCATACACATCTATTAGACCAAAAATACCCTTCTTTTCCCTACATATCTAATCACACCCACTTATTATAGCAATTTACTTTCTAATATACACAACCTAGTGACTCATAAAAATACAGCCAAGAACAATTTCTTGCAATGCATATATTTGTACTCACACTCACACTCACACATCTATATATAACTGCTTGAAATAATAGTTTTTTTTTTAAAAAATAAAATAAACCTTGTAAAAGGAAAGGGAATAAAGAAAGACATACAGAAGTATATATATATATATATATAAAAGGGTCACTTTATGGAAGAGGAGGGTTATTTTTTAAAGAAAAAAATGAAAATAAGAGTAAGAAAAAGACCATATAAGTCACTTTTCTGTTCTTCTTTTTTGTTTTGGAAGAGAAGGGAAGAGAAGGAAGGGGAAGAAGATAGGTGGTTTGTACGATTCTTCATCTTAATTCCTTTTGTTTCATGGGCCTATTACTTTGCCTGATTCAACTTAACATCAGACTTCGCTGGAGCTGTAGACGAAGGAGGCGAGCCATATACTGTCGGTGTAGTTGTCGATGTCTTGGAGATTTGTGAAGCCGAAGGAGACGATTGGTGCTTGTTGTGCAAGGGAGGAATGACAGATCTCGCACGTAGTGTCGCACGGCGGAAAATGCCGGACGCCTTGGACTTTGTGGGTTCCTGAGCTGTCATTGTCGTCTGCTGATGCGGAGGGGGGATCGGTGGAACAGATTCTAGTGTTTCAGTTCCTGGGATCCTTGGGTTGAAGCCGGTCTGGATGCTTGTATCCGACTGACTCGTTCCAGAAGCCACAGGTTGTGGACCAGGTCGAGTTAGAGGAGAATCTGATAAACTCTGTGAAATAGGTTGAGGGGATGGGACACCTTGTGGTATCTTGGGACTCAAGTTGGCCGATACTCGACCTCCCAAACCTCCCGGACCAGCCACATCAGGCATCACAACTGATGGAGATGAGTGAGGGTAGTGAACATCAGAAGCTGGCGATTGATTTGGGTTAGACGCGGAGTTTGCGAGTCCAGACATCGACGATGCAATTACACCAGCTGCACTCATTTCGCTTGAATTACGGGCCATAGATACCATTGCTTGAGAATATTGAAATGGTACAGCCGATTCGTTATATGCACCAGGTGATTTTAGGCTGTCTTGGGTTGAAGAGCTTATCAGTGCTTTTGTTGAATCTGTTACGCTTGGTTGTGACCGATAAGGTTGGTCGCAAATGGAGCTGGTGGAAAGACGCAGTGTAGACGCCTTTGAGGGCAAGATCTTAAGCTCTTCCTCATTATCTGAAAAAAGTGTTTCATAGTGAAGAATAAGGTCCTGTAAAACTTTATCTGAATACCACTCTCCAGCATTTTCAGCTTGGTTGTGGTCTTGAAAGATGGACGGAGTAAATATGTACGATAAATTCTGTAGATTCATCTTGTTCAGTTGGGAATACGCGTTGACCCTATTAAATAAAGCGACACACATGTTTATTTTTTTTTTGTTAAATTATTAGTGGACACTAGATAGTCTTGGTAACCTCACTTTGAAAGATGTTGAACGATCATACGGAGTGTACAGCGGTGAGGTTGTGAAAGTTGTGCTAACATCATCTGAAGCGTTGTGTGCCTCTGAGCCTCATCAACATCTACATAATATATGAGTCCCCAAAGGAATATTCAACAAAATAAACTTACTTGAGTAGTCTACTCTTTTTTCAATCGAGAGGTTAAACAAGGGTTCGCTTAATTCGCGTAAGTAGACCTTGAGAACAGATGATATTGTAAACACATCATATTTGTTGGACTCTAGTTCAAGTGCGTCCTCATCCTTCTCAAAGTCGCACTTTAACATATCCACATTCATCTGTCGTCCAGATATTCTGTAAATTCCTTCTTTTTGAAGACCTCCCATATGCTCTATAGCATTTATACATTTTACAACTAAAAGCGGTACTGCCCTCCTATGTTCCTGAGCATACTCATTTAAAGACCCTCCAAAAAGGATATCTAAAACAGCCAATAGTACAACAGTCCAATTTAAGTAAGACATACCCGTTTCTCTTTCTTTTTTTTTTGCTAATCAACCTGTGAATATCTCACCTTTACATTCACCTGATTGAAAATTCTCATAAAGAAGAGTGGTTGGGCTGATAAAACCTTTCTTTGCGTATTTGGCTGTAAATGATTCTACATCCCTTTTCGCTTCAATACAGTCTACTATAGGCATTACGGTTTGTAAAATCTAATAAATTCAAAATACATATGTATTTGTAAGATATTCAGAAGCCTTAGAAGCCTTGGTTAGTTTACTTACCGTGGCTTCGTTATAAAGTGTTGTTTTCTCAGCTTCCAAAATGGCCTTAAGCACGGTTCGTGTGGCATCTGCCTTTTCTGAAAAGGCGGCCCCAACGTGCTAATGGGGTGTGAGCAAGGCAACAAATAAAACCAACCACGTTTACCGTCATGGCATGTTTCGCAGTGTCCACCTGCGTCCTCCGTAGATTCTCTAGATGTCGGATACCCTTTCTGTACTCCAGATCTAGATATCCCCTCAACCAAAGTTTTTTTTTAAAAAAAGAAAGGACTTGTGTTAGTTGATTCAATTATATTTCCTTTCCTTTAGACTTTATTCTTCTTTTCTTTTTACCTGTATCTGAGACTTCTTTTTTAAGCTTTGCGAACCGAGCGGTTTGTTTGGAAGGATCTACATTACTGACAACAGTTGCATGTGCAAATTGAGTCCGCATACTGGCCATAAAACCAACCATTCCTTTCTTAAATGTTATTTCTTGTAAATTCGCAGATGAAATTGAGCTTGTATCAGTATCTCTCCCACTATCACTTGATGCCCTCGGTTGTGGCTCTTCAGAAGAAACACGATTAAGTGGAATAGAATGTCTAATAGATTGCTCAGTTTCGGGATCAATATTTTGAGCAGACAATAGGGCTGGTGGTTGCTGAGATTGTTGAAATGGTGGAGGTTGTTTCTGAGTCTGTGCTAGTTCCTGGCATTTATTCATATACGCTTTGTGAAGCTAAAGCATATGCTGTCAAGGTTACATCGACTCTTTCCCTGAATTATATATATATCATCTCTCCTTGTTAATATATTTACCTTTCCGATATCTCGTGTCCTAAAATTTGTATAAGCAGCATTTTTCTCTCCAACTACCTGCTTGACTCTTTTTCTTCGGTGCTCTTGATTTTCCTAGTTGAGAGAGTAGAGCTGAGAATCGTGGGAGATGACAGAGGGATGCCTTACCCTAACTTTGAGCAATGTGTCAATCTGAGACCGTATTTTGACAGTAAAATCAAAGCGAAGTACAACTGTCTTTTCGAGTGACTTTTCATATTCTAGGGTTGCTTGACGAAAGGTTGGCTCGAAATTGCTAAACAACGGACACTGATCTGTATCATGTGGAGATACAAGTCTGGTAATCTTTTTTAAGGATTGAATATAGCTTTCTTCGGCCGAGAGACTGATTGGCACATGTCAGTTTTTTTTAAAAAAAAATTAGATGTGCTGAATGGGTTAAAAGAAATACCCACCGTGCTCTCAGAAAGTCAATAAAGTGGTCCAAGTCATGTATAGTCCACTTTAAGAGTTTATTGACATAATCTAGGTGGGAATCAATGCTAGGAACCTGTTTTACATTCAGGAAAAGCAAGTCGAGCGATAAAACGCCGGCCAAATAATCATTTGAATCTCTTGACATAAATGTTGTATATTTTTTGTTGTACCTCATCATCTTGAGCTATCGAACTAGCGTGTTTTGTTGATTTGTTCATGGCAGCTCAATCTAGATCGGTAATTGGATCAATACTAGGCGAAGCTTGGCTGCCTAGGGATTTAGAATGTGAATGTAGATAAATAAGTCGATTTCTGGGATGCCAAATATGAGAAAGTTCAACAGCCGTCTTTTTTTTTTTCCTTTTTGCTTTGTTGAATAGTAGTCAGTCCTGAGCGGGAAGAAAAGCGATAAACGGACTGTAGCCCTCTCTCACACACACAGACTCTCTCTCTCTTGCTTGTTCCCCATCTCAGTGACTGACTTTGAAGTTTGTCTCAAATGCCTTTGTTTCCTTTGTTTAGCGCAGCACCCAGACCTACTTTACCAACATACGTGTATTTTTCTGTCGCTTTTTACCTTTGTGATAAATATATTAGTATAATGTGTATATGAAATTAACTCTTAAAAAATCCTTGACTTTAAGTAAAAGGTATTGAATTTCCGTAGGCTTAAGCCTAGCTATTTATTGATTGATTGATTTGATTTTATTGTCTAATTTGATATTTCTATATTTACCAGCTACAGTGTTTCCACTTAAGATTGAGACGATGTTAGTTTTTTTTGACGAATGAAATTAATTTTTAGACAATTTGCTTACCTTTTTTGGACAAACAAAAAAAAAGAGAATTGAGACACAAAAGAATAGAATTTGGGATAGAAAGGGGATTTAGTTGAGACAAGGTAAAGATGACTAGAATGATCTTTACCTTTAAGTATCCTTAAGTTCGCCCACTAGAGTGAGGAACAACCACGTTTATTTTCATTCGTCCAAAAAAAAAACACTAACATCGTCTCAATCTCAAGTAGAAACACTGTAACCAAGAACTTGATCCTTAATCCGAAGATTGATATTCGGCTACAAATTTTCATCTTCGGACACGGGGTTTAAATATTGTCTATATTCAGTAAATTCTGTAACATAAATTTGAGACACTTCCTTTTAGGGTAGAGCCTAAAGTTGATCTTCGGCTGAAATAAGCTGAACTTTGGATGGGTATAATGATGAATATGAGCCAGAGTGTAAATGATATTCAACCTAAGGTCAAAGTCATCTAATTACATCAAACCGACTAGACGCAACCAAGCCCATGCAACAAAGTGTGTCTTTATGATCGATGAGTATCTCACAATCCAAATATATCCCAGATGCCACACAAGAAGTACCTCTAGTCAACTTGACGACTCCAACGTGAGGATTCACCCAGCTCTAAACTGCGAATCTTGTAATACTCAATTGAATAGAGATCATATGGTCAGGAAAGTTGCCTTGATGCTATTACAAATTCCATTATTTTATACCAACATTAGTATTATTTTATGTGAGGACAATAGCTTCAACGATTCAAGGAAACTATGTCTTGTATAACAGCAAGACACCCCGTATTTAGGGGTAAGCTATGTAACTTAAATAATGGGCACAAAACTTTCTTTTTCTTTTTCTCTTTCTGATTCTATTTTTTTTCTCAATATTTGGATTAAAAACCGAGTTCTCTGATTACCATCCATGGCATAAAATTAACGGCTAGTAAAGGGCGTGTTATAAATACGATATAGGAGCCTACTGAGAGTTAAAGTTGTTATATGCTAAATAAATCAGAAAAAATGTCCCTTATTTTATTTTTACAATTCTTCCAACAAATTTTAGGCTATATAAAATTTTATAAGGAACTATTATGAGGAACAAAAGACAATGCATTTAGAACCAGCTTATACTCAAAACAATATGAGCTATCTTGTGAGATAGTCTAAGCTTGACAATATGTCACTATATTTCTCCCGATAAACGGTGTATTTTATACAAGCATTACTGTAAACAAACACACAATTGTCTTCGAGCACAGAAAGAAGTAAATAATGAAAGAATGAAAGAATGAAAAAAAAAACATTTGTATCGGCCAGCTTTAATTATTCTTCATTTCCTTGCCCTCTATAAGCTTAAGATTTTAGACACATTCTCTTATTCATAATATGTCTTGGATATTATTTTTTTCTTTTAACGAAAAATCCAAGTTCCGGGTTAAGGTCTCGAACATCGTTAATTACAAAAATAATAATAATTGAAAAGCGCGTGTGAATCAGAATAGCGTCATCGGAGAATATCGAGTTTCTTTTTGGCGTTAATTATAATGTCAACTCTTCAGTTATTACTAAACAGAGGTTTTGGAATATGCTTAGAAAAGGCACTGGTTAGTACTTCTTCTAAAGGATTTATAAGTTCACAGATCATTGCAATTCCAGTTCTCTATAATTTAAAAATATCAAACCACCCTTTAATCCAACTGATTTAAAGGTACGAGAATACCATTAGATATGTTCCAATCCTCTTGGATTTCAATCAATGTATATGAATTTGAGATTAAAATGATAGAATTATAATAAGGTTATGGTTATATTAAACTAAGTCAAGAAAAGAGGAGCACGTTTTTAGGTAAATGTTTATTCTTCTCTCCTTCTCCTTTCCTGAAAGAAATTTTCGTTTGTAGATTCAAAATATTTGCAAGATATTGTGCTCCATTCCGTCGATCTTAAATATCACAATTAAAAAAAATAGTAGCTTTCTAGAGTATCTCTAACGAAACCAAACATTTGTACAAGTATCCAACACAATCATCGCTATTGTAGTGTTATACCTTTAGACATATATTACACGCAATATCTCACTCACTCATAAATAAAATTCAGTACAACACGATGGGATCCAGACAAATATGATCTCATTACTATTACTACTATTATCTTTGTTTGTGTTAGTGGAGATATTTTTTTTACATACTTAAATCCACAAGAACCATGTTCTACTCTTCCATTGGGTTATCAAACTGCCCTTCTTTGGCACCATTTTGGTGAGTGTGGTTAGGTATGGGTTCAAAAACAGACTCCAAATGACGCAAAGCTGCTTGCTGGACCTCATTCAATTCAGCATCATCACTAGGCTGAGCATAGAAAAAATCATCATCCTCTTCTTCCTCATCGTCCATAAACTCTTTATCGGGATGGAGACCAGCGCAGTAAGACATAGCCTCATAAATGCTCTCCACTAGAAATTAAAAGCAAAAATAACAGAAAAAATAAATAGGTGAGCCAAAACCAACAATATTCAATACTTAGCTTAATTTTCTTACATGATTCACTGTCCTCAGGGATAAACTTGAGTTCGGTTACTGTTTCTTCAAGTTCCTGCTCATCCTCTGGTAGATCTTGGTTAGGGAAAAACAGACCAGAATCAAGCTGACAGTAGATAGAGGGTAAACCGTCGCGACGTGAAATGGCGTGGATAATTATATCAGGATATTCAACAGAAATTCCAGAATGTTGCTCCTCAGAGTAAAAATACAATTGACTAAGGATGTCAAAATGTCATAAATATACATGTATATGTAGATTCACATGTCATGATTTTACCTTTCACAAACAAACATTTCACCCTTGATCGGTCCTGACATGCCAGCCAAAGGAGGCGACACAAGTAATCCGATCTTCTTCTCAGTGCGACGGACGACAAGATCGGTAAGATCGGGAGGAGATGAGAGAAGGGTCACTGTCATGATGGATTGTACAGAAAAGAAGAACTAAACTGGTCACACATACACAGATATACACCTACAAATGCCTGTGACGTGCTCCAACAGAGTGGAGGACAGTGAATTTTGCCTACTGCATTATTTAATGTTATTAAAATAAGTGGACCTTATTAATCCAAAACATACTCCCCTTTTTTTTAAATAATAATAACAATAACTGGCCTTTAGTTCAAGATACTTCTTTAGACTTTACCTCGAATCCCGTTAAACAAATACGCACGCACACAAATTTATAATTAAAATTTTAATTAATTTAGTTAATTAATTTTATATATATGTATATTTCTTTATAAACATTTATTATTATAATTTTTTGCAGAGGAAGTAAACAAAACGTGTGTTAAATGAGGAGGAGGACATGGAATGAAATCATTTGAAAGTATGGAAAACAAAAGTATTTGGTTCGATCACCACTTAGAAGAAGCCTTGCTCTTTTTCTTCTTCTCTCTGAGCTTCCTTGCTTGCTTTCCACTGCGAGTACCGCTTGTAGAAACCTTTTTATCATCTTCAACCATGGCTACCTCGGCTTCAGCCTTAATGGCTTCGTGTTCTTCCTGGGTGGTTCCGTGGTTGGGCTTCTTGGCAGCCTCGGCCTGTGCTTCTGACAATCGCTGCAATCTCAAATCCTCGACAGGCTTGAAGACATGCTCACGCTTGATGGCTATAGATCAATTCTCATCAGTATTCTGCGAACAAGTTGTAGACTCTAATTCTATTTCAATCTAACCTCTGTAGCGCTTCTTGGTGTGGGATCGTAAACTTCTGGCCATTTTGGTAACGTTAAAAAGAGATGTGCAAAAAAAAGACAAGCCGCCAAAAACAGTCAAACAAAGCTGAAAATTTAATTGACCTTCCGCTTTGGGTGGGTCCTATCCAATGACGTAGCGTGTGAGATCTGATTGGCTTTCCCGGCGGGAAGGCCATTTTTTTGGTTGTCTTTATACGCTATTTAACACAGACTGGCGCCTGGCCCTGCAAAGTCGCTTGCTTACTTAAAATAGACAACATATTCGGTACTTCTTCTTGGGTTCACCAACGAAAAAGCACGACCTCTTTTTCTCTTTATCTTTCTTCCCTTTTTCTCATTCACGCCCCTCTTTATTTCTTCTCAGCGACGGACCTTACTATTCTGGTGCCGAACACTCCCCTGTGAAAGATGAACGACATATTACCCATCAAGTTCCAGGAACATGCACAAGTAAACCAAACCTTACTCATCTATCACGCCGTGTATAATTTTCTAACAGCTTACACATCTCTTCCGCATTAGTTGCAAAATCTTGGTGTCAATGCTGCGAGCATTGGCTTCAATACTCTTACCATGGAGTCTGAGCGGTTTATCTGCGTACGCGAAGTGGTGAATGAAGCCAACCAAGTGGTAATTATCGACCTTTCGGATAATAATTCAATGATGAGACGTCCCATCACTGCCGACTCCGTCATTATGCATCCCACCACAAAGGTGATGGCTCTCAAAGGTATTTATATAAATGCATTTATTATCATGAGCTGCCGCGTAATTAAATTAATATTTGCTTTCTCATCACTTTGAATAGCCCAGAGACAACTCCAAGTATTCAATCTTGAGATGAAGTCCAAGCTTAAGTCTCATTTAATGCACGAGGATGTTGTATTCTGGAAGTGGATTGATCTCAAAACTCTTGGTCTTGTTACTACTAGCGTAGTTTACCATTGGTCCATTGAAGGCGATAGTCCACCTGTAAAGATGTTTGAACGCCACGCCAACCTTGCTGGCTGCCAGATAATCAACTACCGCACCTCGGCCGACCAAAAATGGCTCGTATTGGTTGGCATTTCCGCCCAAAATAACCGTGTCGTTGGATCCATGCAGCTCTATTCTAAGGAACGTGGCGTTAGTCAACCCATCGAGGGTCACGCCGCTGCCTTTGCTGAGATTAAGTTAGACGACTCTCCACATCCTACCAAGCTGTTTTCCTTTGCGGTACGCTCTGCTAATGGAACTGCAAAGGTGAGCTATACTCGATATTAGCGGTCAAATTTAACATAAAAAATACATACATATATAAAAACAAATTACGGGAAATATATATATATATATATACATCAATATTAACTTGTAATTTTCTTGTTTTAAAGTTGCAAATTATTGAAGTAGATCATCCCGAAGGAAACCCTCCCTTCCAGAAAAAGGCAGTTGAGGTTTTCTTCCCTCCCGAGGCTGCCTCAGATTTCCCTGTCGCTATGCAGATAAGCCAAAAGTATGGTATCATTTACTTGGTAACCAAGATGGGCTTTATTCATCTTTACGACCTTGAGACTGGCGCGTGCATCTACATGAACCGCATCAGTGGAGAAACTATCTTTGTAACTGTTGAGCATGAAGCTTCTTCTGGTATTATTGGTGTAAACAAGAAGGGTCAAGTTCTTTCAGTATCTGTGGATGAAGCCAACATCATCCCATACGTAATTAACACCCTGAACAACACTGAGCTTGCTATAAAGCTGGCATCGCGTGGCGGGCTTCCTGGTGCAGATAACTTGTACGAGCAGCGTTTCAACCAGCTCTTTTCTTCGGGTGCCTACGGAGAAGCTGCAAAAGTAGCTGCAAACTCCCCTCGCGTAAGCATAAAAGATCACGGAAGATTGGAAGGTGTAAATCCAGAATGGCTCATATAATTATGTGATATATGTGTATTGATAAATTTTAGGGTATCCTCCGTACAGTACAAACCATCGATCGTTTCCGTAATTTGGCAGCCACTCCCAACCAGCTCTCTCCAATTCTTCAATATTTTGGAATCCTTCTCGAAAAGGGTGGATTGAACAAATTTGAGTCTCTGGCTTTGGCCAAGCCCATTCTTCAGCAAAACCGTAAGCCTTTGCTCGAAAAGTGGTTGAAGGAAGATAAGTTGGAATGCAGCGAGGAGTTGGGTGACTATGTGAAACAGTATGACTCTATCCTGGCTTTGTCTGTATACTTGCGCGCCAACGTCCCCAACAAGGTTGTTATGTGCTTTGCTGAAAACCGCCAATATGACAAGATCTTGGCTTATGCCAAGACTGTAGGATACTCTCCTGACTATGGATCTCTGCTTTACAACATTGCTCGCACTGACCCAGAAAAGGCTGCTGAGTTCGCTACCGCTCTAGTGAATGACGAGCAGGGTTCTCTCATCGAGCCAGAAAAGGTTGTGGATGTATTTGTCTCACAAAACATGATTCAGCAAGCCACTTCATTCTTGCTCGATTACCTCAAGAACAATCGCCCCGAAGATGCTGCTCTTCAGACTCGTGTGCTCGAAATGAACCTTATGCATGCTCCTCAAGTTGCTGATGCCATCTTGAGTGCCGGTATGTTGACTCATTACGACAGAGTTGTCGTGGGCTCCCTTTGCGAGAAAGCCGGTCTATACCAAAAAGTAAGGCATATGGATATATTAACAGAGATTTTTCAAAGAAAAGAAAATTTATTCTAATTGTGTTTCGTTTTATTTTACAAAACAAGGCTCTCGAACATTATACCGATGCCCATGACATTAAGCGCATCATCCCTCATACCCACTTGATTAATGCAGAATGGCTTGTATCTTACTTTGGTACTTTGTCGGTTGACCAGACTCTTGACTGTCTCAAAGAGATGCTGACCAACAACATACGCCAGAACCTTCAGATTGTTGTTCAGGTGGCAATCAAATACTCTGAGCAGTTGCAACCCCACAACCTTATTGACCTCTTCGAGAGTTTCAAGAGCAATGAAGGTAAATGGATTGTTTGTCATAGAATATGAAAATCTCGAGATCTCATGCTGAGTTTTCTTGTGATATAGGTTTATACTACTACTTGGGATCAATCGTCAATGTCAGTCAGGATCCTCTTGTCCACTTTAAGTATATTCAGGCTGCCTGCCGCACCGGTAACGTTCGTGAGGCTGAGCGAATTTGTCGCGAGAGTAACTATTACGACCCCGAGAAGGTCAAGAATTTCCTCAAGGTTTGTATATTATTTTTATTATTATTACGCATGAAAGCTACATCTCATTCTAAAAATATACTGTAAACCATATAGGAAGCAAAACTCAGTGATCAACTCCCTCTCATTATTGTCTGCGACCGCTACGGCTTTGTACACGATCTTGTTCTCTACCTTTACCATAACAACCTCCAAAAATTCATTGAGGTTTATGTCCAAAAAGTGAACCCTTCGCGTACTCCTGAAGTTATCGGTGGTTTGTTGGATGTTGGTTGCGATGAAGATACCATCAAGAATTTGCTGCTGTCTGTCAAGGGCGAACTTCCAGTTGGAAAATTGTGTGAGGAAGTTGAGCAGAGAAACCGCCTCAAGTTGTTGTTGCCCTGGTTGAATATGCGCGTGACTGAAGGTAGCACTGACCCTGAAGTCTACAATGCTTTAGCCAAGATTTATATCGATACCAACAACAACCCCGAGCCTTTCCTGAAGGAGAATGAGCATTATGATCCCCGTACTATCGGAAAGTACTGTGAAAAGAGAGATCCTTATCTCGCTTTCATTTGTTACGAGAAGGGACAGTGTGACTATGAATTGATCAATATCACTACCGAAAACTCTATGTTCAAGCATCAGGCTCGTTACCTCATCCATAGACGTGATGATAGTCTTTGGGCTTATGTACTTCAGGAGAGCAGCGAACATCGCCGTGAGTTGATTGATCAGATTGTCGCCACCGCTTTGCCCGAGTGCACTGTTCCTGATGATGTATCTGCAACTGTTAAGGCTTTTATGGCTGCCAACCTTCCCAACGAATTGATTGAGCTCTTGGAGAAAATTGTCTTGGAGAATAGTGCATTCAATGATAACAAGACATTGCAGAACCTCCTAATCTTCACTGCCGTCAAGGTAAGAAAATCCACTTGCATCATTTCTCTAAAAAAAGGGTCATATTCTTATCATGTACTCCTATTCCGTTAATTTCTAGGCTGATCCTTCTAGAGTCATGGATTACATTTCCCGGCTGGACAATTTCGATGCTACCGATGTAGCCGAAGTGTGCATTGGCGAGAACTTGAATGAGGAAGCATTTGCCATCTTTAAGAAGCACAATGTCAATGTAAATGCTATCGATGTCCTCATTGATAGAATTCAGAACCTTGACCGTGCCTATGAATTTGCTGAACGCTGTGATCAGCCTGAGGTGTGGACAAAGTTAGCAAAGGCACAACTTGATAACATGCGTGTCAAGGATGCTATCGGTAAGCAAAAAAAAGCATTGTTTGAACCTGAATTAAGATAAACAACTGTTGTACAAATGAACTGTATAACCCCTTGTTTTAATCACTCTCTTTGCCGATCCACAGATTCCTACATCCGTGCCAATGATACCTCTAACTACATGGAAGTCACCCGCAGTGCAATGATGGACAATAAGTATGATGATCTTGTTCGTTATCTCCAGGCTGCCCGTAAACACTCGCGTGAACCTTACATCGAAACCGAACTTTTGTACGCATATGCCAAGACTGACCGTCTTGCTGATCTTGAAGACTTTTTGGTATCCCCTAACCTTGCCCAGGTCCAGCAAGTTGGTGATCGCTGTTTCCAGGACCACATGTTTGAGGCTGCCAAGGTCTTGTACAGCAACATCTCAAACTATGCCAGTCTTGCATCAACCCTTGTCCATCTCAAAGACTATCAAGGTGCCGTGGATTGCGCTCGTAAGGCTAACAGCACAAAGGTCTGGAAAGAGGTCAATGCTGAGTGCATTATTCAGCACGAGTTCCGCCTTGCCCAAATTTGCGGTCTGCACATCATTGTACATGCCGAAGAATTAGACGAGTTGGTAAAGACTTATGAGCGTAACGGCTTCTTCGATGAGTTGATTCATCTGCTCGAGACCGGTCTTGGTTTGGAGAGAGCACACATGGGTATGTTCACCGAGTTGGCAGTTTTGTACTCCAAGTATGCCCCAGAAAAGATGATGGAGCACTTGAAGTTGTTTGTTGCTCGTATCAATATTCCCAAGGTTATTCGTGCCTGTAGCGAAACCCACTTGTGGCGTGAATTGATTTTCCTGTACGTCCACTATGATGAATTTGATAATGCTGCCACTGCTATGATGGAGCATGCCGCTCAGTCCTGGGAGCATTCTGCTTTCAAGGATATTGTTGTCAAGGTGTCCAACGTTGAGTTGTACTACAAAGCTCTGCACTTCTACCTCAATGAACATCCCCTTCTCCTCAACGATCTCTTGGCTGTCATGGTACCTCGTATCAAGCACAGCCGTGTTGTGATGGTGTTTGAGAAGTCAGACAACATTCCTCTCATCAAGCCTTATTTGGTATCTGTTCAGCATGTAAGTTGCTTCTTAGATCAGATAATAGAAAATATTTGACTAAAATTGTATCAATCAGGTCAACGACAAGAATGTGAACAAGGCTTTGAATGAGTTGTATATTGAAGAAGAGGACTACGAGTCTCTTCGTGACTCGATCGATCACCACGATAACATCGATACTGTCGATATTGCCCAGAGTCTCGAAAAGCACGAGCTGTTAGAGTTCCGTCGTATCGCAGCTCATTTATACAAGAAGAACAGACGCTGGAGACAATCTATTGCTTTGTCCAAGCAGGATCGTCTCTTTAAGGATGCTATGGCGACTGCCGCAGAATCCAAAGATAGAGAAGTTGCCCAGGAATTGTTACAATACTTCATTGAGGTTGGAAAGCGTGAATGCTTTGCTGCTATGCTTTATTCTTGCTACGACCTCTTGCGTCCTGACATTGTTTTGGAACTGTCATGGCGTCACGGTCTTAACGACTTTGCCATGCCTTACATGATCAATAGTTTGAAGGAGCAGTTCAATAAGGTAATAGTCTGAAGAAGCTTGACGGTCGAGTGACTGATATTTGATCTATACGTAGATCGAGGTCTTGGACAAGGATGTCAAGGAATTGAAGGAGAAGGCTGAGAAGCAGGAATCAGCCAATGAGAATGGTATGTGATTTAATAGCTCTTATGTGTATGTGTGTGTGTTTTAGTACATCGACTTATTTGTATTTCTAGTCTCCAACATCCCAATTATGGGTGGTATGGGTGGTCCTTTGATGTTGACAGGTGGTCCTGGTGGCATGCTTCCTCAGCAATCACCAATGATGACAGGAGCCTCTTCCCTTTATCCCTCCCAAGGTCAATCCTTTGGTTTCTAAGCAAATATCCGAAAATCTCTTCCTCCTTTTTCTTTCTTCTATATTTACACCTCCCTCACTTACATGTAAACACAATGTAAAAAACAAAACTCGTTTTGTTTTTGTTATAAGCTTCTCTTTTATATGGATAATTAATCCATCCTCTTTAACTCAAAAAAATATACACAATATTATACTATTCTTCTCTTTTAAACATAATAATATATAATGATTGGCTTGTTAATTTATCATACACTAATCAATAAGCACTTATATTTGCTCGGATATAAAGGGAGAGAATACAAGGTTAGCGAGTTCGTTTCGCGTTTTGAATTCAAGCAAAGATTCCTTGAGATGATCTAGAGAGCGAATAGGTTCTGCATCTTCTCTAATTAACTCAGGTAAATGGTGTACTGAGTATACTGAACATATTGGATTATTGTGATCTTTCTAGAAAATATTTAGACTTACAATCTAGGAGCAGAGACGCCTTCAATGGTCAAACTAATTGTACTAAAAGCTTCTTCAAAAGTATCTTTTGGAATGCTCTGCTCCAATTGACAGTCAGTAACTTGGAAATGAGGGCTATAACTATCGATACTGTTGAGCGTAGTTGTAGCTGGGTCGATGTCGATGAGGATAAGTTGTTCTTTGGGGACATTAGGAAAGTCTTCTCCTTCAAATACATAATGTACAACTGGATGACGCAATGTATTATTTGTTTGATCGTGGATGACCACACCCTGAGAAATATCTGGCTGGGGCGTTGAATTCATCAAGTATAGAACAAAAGGGATGTAAGAAACAGAGTATAGTCTACGCTGAGTTTGATAAAGGGTCACCCGGTGATGTTGCGTCAAGTTGCCTTGGTCCAAACTCCTCTTTTCTCTCTTTATTGACCCTACGACTTTTTTTTTATTATTTCTATTTTCTGCGCAGTTAAATAAATCACTAATGTTGATGATCTCGAGAAACTTCCAGAGAGTCGTGCAGCGACCTCTCTATTCAACTACCAGAGCCTATTCACACAAGCCCAAGGATAAGAAAGAATTGATAAAGGACAGAATTCCTTTTATGCCAGTCATCAACATTCCCGAAACAGACTTTGCCCACAATGCCTTTTTTTCTCTCCATCGACCTCTTCTTGGTCTATCGAATGACGATGAGCGGCCCTTCTTTCAGACTCTGACCCCACAAGAGGTTGAAGAAGGTAAACCTTGAGGAATTTCTTATTTTGGATTATGGTTGTTAAAGTCCTAAAATATTTTATTATTCGTGCTCTAGATGCATTTACACAATATATGATGGACCTGCGCCCGTTTGAGCCTCCTTCTGAGCATTCCGCAAGAGAAAAGGATCCCATAGTAGAGATAATGGAGACAGCTATGTCTGAGCCATTACACATTGACTCTTCACTACCAATGTTTCATATGCCCGATAGTGATGAAGTAGTAAACTATCTGACAAAAGTACAAAACATTATGGCAAAACAAAATCAAAAAACAGTAGGAAGAAGGAAAAGACATGGCCGTCATCGAGTACTAGTCAATAAAAATAAAGAATAGAAAAAAAATACGTATTTTGATGTGACTAAATAAATGAATAAGTGGGATGAATCTCTTTTCATCCAGTCAAAGAGAGGGGGTGACACCCGTCGATGATGTCACACGTGATTAAAGGGTTTATTCTTGTTGGATTCTCATTTGGCTTCATTTCCTTCTTCTTTAACAAGCATGTTTACTCACATTCACCACCCGCCTGCACAGACTAGGCATTTACACGCCGAACACTCCGACTGGGATGCATCTATTAGCAAGCTACGCAGCGAGCAATCGATCTTTGAGCCTCTCCAGGGTGCACCCCACCCGATGCATTTTCCACGACGAGCTTCCAAAGCAACATTTGGACATATAAAGCCACATCAAGAAGGATATCCAATGTATACTTTTTATAATGACCCTCTCGAGACTACCACAAAAGAACCCCTGGATACAGATCTCCTGGACATGGATAGTATTACACATTCCGTGTATGTGCACCCCTATGTCTATACACCCGACAACTACTATTACAGTGACAATGCAGTGGCATGCGAAATACGGGTGCCAGATATATTAACATATGACCGATACAGACACGAACATGAACACGAACATGAACATGAGCATGGCCATGAACTTGGTCATGAGCACGAACGTAATAGTCGTAGAGTGTCCTCTATATCCTCAGATACTCTGACAACATCTTCTGGAGTTACTTGTCGTCGCTTCAGTAGTGCTAGCACTGCTAGTTCAAAGAGCTCTGTTCCAAGCTGCAGCACTCCCCGCACCAGCATCAGCAAGATCAAAGTCACGCCACCCGCACAGACTCCCAGCTCAAGCCATAGCAGTCATAGTAGCGGTAGCCATTGCAGCAGTATTGCTGATGTCAGCAATACTAATCTTCCAATCGTATCGAAGAAGGAAGATAAAGAGGTGACTTTTATGGAGGTGGAGCAGGTGCAGCAAGTACCACATCAACAGCAGCAAAAACTACAACAGCATCCTCAGATGGTATTTCAGAGTCACGCCAGGAGTCAGGCTGGTGGCACAAGTTCAACCCCGTCACCCGTTGTGTTCGATGCAATTGTGGAACCATCGATGCCTGTCTGGGCTGACCCGAAACGTGTGCGCGAGAACCCAACCCGTTATGCTTTCCTAAAGAATTACCTTCAGCAGCACAATATCTCCTTTTCTTCTGTCCTTCCGTTGCCCACATCTTGTACATTCTACTTTAGTGATACCCGTCAAGCTAAGGCATCTGCAAACTATATAGCAGCTGTAAAACCCCTCTTCGACTGCCACTCAGTCTGGGATTTTTCTGCACAGTGGCGTTCCTTTAAGGAGCACAGAGGCAAGCCTTCGCACTGGCCAGTTAACCAGAATATATATTGTTTTGTTGAAGGTGTGGAACCTATGTGGGAAGACAAGACGAACAGGGAAGGTGGTCGTCTCACTCTATGTCCTCCCAAAACTGCACTTGACGACGTATTTGAATGGGCTCTTTGCTCATTTGTTGGTGGAAATTTGACAGACTTTGGTCTAGTCGGAATTGTTCTCTCACGCCGTACTCGCAGTGACCGCATCGAGCTTTGGCTTAACGCATCTGCCACTCTAGCTACAATTCCCCGTCTAAAGTAAGAATTGATCATTTGCGTAAAAACAAAAATCCGACCAAGCCTTTTTATTTATCCTGATCAAACCAATTGAATTTGTCTAGGGAGAAGATGGGTGAAATGATGCCAGAGTCTACCAAAAATACAGTCTTAAGCGCTAACTTCAAGAAACACTTTGACAAATAACCTTCCTTTATCTCCTTTACGATTCTCTTGGATCACCTTGTATTATAGCTCCTCACTGTTGGGGAAGTATTCCTCTTCTGATTCCAATGTGTACATTTTATTATATCCTATTTTATTTCGGACATGACCCATAAAACAAACCCGTGAAACATCTTCTAAACATGGACTTGGAAGCTACTATTCATTCAATTTTATATAAAGCTCTTTCTCTTTTTCTGTCTCTATCTCGCTCTTTCTCTCTTTCTCTTTATTCTCCTCTGTGATCTAGAGCGTGCAAACTCCTATTGCAATATAAACAGGACACGATGAATTGACAAACAAAAGCGAACACAATAAATTAAATAAAATTAAATAAAATGAAATGAAATGAAATGGGACTAGAAATGAAATTACTCGGGTGCATACAAAGTATGAAAGAGTTTGTCAAATAATGAACGGTGCCAGAAATGGACATTATATGATCCATTCTTTGTCGCTAGATCTACAAGGCAATAAAAATGCCTTAGGCAGGCTTTGTCTCCATAAGCATGCTCTCCTGGTCTCCAATCAATGAGGACAACCCTTTTACCCCTGAATGAAGCTTGATCTTATAAAGTACCTCTCGAGCACTCTCTGGAGCTTGTCTTACACTTCATCCTCATTGTCATGTCGCCGTCCAAGCGAAATCTAGTCCTTCCTTCATCTATGGCTTCACCTAACCGAATCTTTCTGTCGTCCATTCCCATTATGTCTTGCCCGAAAACAGAGGGTCACTCAGGAATGTACTCGCAACCACAAGAAATTCGACCTTTTGTTGTTTCCAAGGAATTTGCACTGCGTAGCAATTCATACATTATTAATGACAGACACAAGGCCCGAAAAGAGAATGACCCCTTGGAGCACTACTCAAACACTAGATCATCACCAAGGGTTGCAACTACGCTGGCTGATCCCATCGATCCAAGCATAAATACCTGGTCTTCTTCTAATTCCGTTACTAGTACCGAAGGATCGACTGTAGCCACATCGTTATCTTCTCAGAATAGTCTCCTGTTGTGCTCCTCTCGAGGTTTTTTGATGACTCCTCAATCCTTGGTCGAGTCTGTTCCACACTCCAAGCCAACGGCCCTTTCTGGTCAACTTCCAAAACCAATCCATCACACCCCTAGTCACAGGGGAACCACATCCTCGTTTACCAGTGCAATACCCACTGCACTCTATTATGGCTCTCGTCAAGTACGAAAATACCTCCGAGCAGTCATCACACCACAGTCAAAGAGCGATTTTGAAGATATGCTCCAGCACGGGTTTATTTGTAGTCATACATACACTCCAAATGATGATGAATGTTCTGTGCGCACCACCACCACCCATTACTACGATGCTCTTGACAGTCTTTCTATTCAGCCCTGCAATCGATGCGGGCCCGACCATCGCCAGATGACGCTCCGCATCACCCTAACTCCCTGGCATTGTCGTGCCACAGAAACCGAGATTTATGGACAGCCTTCAGCTGCACGCAACGCACACGGTCTTTCTGTGGTACTCAATAAAAGCATGTCTACCGCATCTAAACTATCGTCTAGCTGGTTATCTAGTACTGTTTCTCAAACGCGTAGCGACATTATTTCTTTTCGCCAGCAACCCTTACCTACTGTTACCCAGTCTGCCCCATTAGTACATAAATCAGATAGAAGTAAAAAAGACACGAGAAAAGATATGGGAAAATCCCAGAATGTTGTCCCCGTTCAGTCTCATTCTACAGCACTAGCATTTGGTTCACGCTGCTCGTATACTAGACAATCAAAAGAAACCCGCATTTAATAACTCATTACCTTAATCCTCTTAATTACTCTTTCTTTCTTCCTTTTTTCTTACAAAAATCTTTTGTGTATAATTGCATTGTTCTTTATTATAAATATGAGCGAATTGGTATATGTCTCCTTACATACAACAAAGAAACAACATCTTATTTTTTTTTTAAAAAAAGAAATTTGTGTATATATATATACAACATAATATACTATGTATGGGGATAATAAGTTTTATTAATTTGGGGCCATGCAACCCGATTTCACCATTTTAAGCTTTGATTGGAGTCTTTTGTAATCGACCCCTGTTAAACAATAGGTGGTGCTTGCATAATATGTCCTTGTTTGACAATATACTCCTAGCTTACAGTAGTTAAGGTCTCAATTACAGAGACTTGGGTTACAATAGTCTTGTGCTTAAAATTATCTGTTAGTGAAATAACCAGTACTTGCTTGAAATTATTGGTCTGGTGAGCTGTGAGCGACACCTGTTCTAATTTGACAGTACAGTTGCTTTCTTGGGTAATTTTAACAGAAGCTTATTCAATTAGTAGCACCTTAATCTAGACCTTGCTTCCTTAACATTGACCAAACCTTTAACTGGTTCTCTTTTGATTTCAATTCGACAAGCCCATAACCCTTACATGTACTGAATTGGGCTATATTACACTATATTAAAAAAATTACTGGGAGATTTTTTTGCAAGCTTTTATTCGACATTTTAAAAGTGGTGTTAGAGTGGTATCTCGGCTAAACTTTATCCTTTTAATATTCAATCCTTGCCTTACTTATAGCTTCTATAGTGCCATACTTTTTTTTAATTGATGCAAGACACCTTCCTCACCTACACACTTCAAATGACAATAAAATAATTCACTGGATTATCCAAAGAATGTAATGAAGTGCTAAAATGGTACTTTGGAAACACTTTGTAATAATTAAGTTAAATAAAAGACTTTCTCTTTATTGTTAATAGTGCTCTTCTGGTATTTTTTATCACTTTGTACTTGTCAGTTCTCATCTTACATGAACACCACCCGGAAAGATTTCTCTTGGTCTCATGGTATGTTAAACTTGAGGAACACAGGTGAGCCTCTCCGGAATTGTACCATAATATCCCAATTGGTGCAGTATGTACCGCAAACATAATATAGCGACAAGATCTCGGTCCCACGGACTATGTTTAAACTGTAACAGATCCAGTTCTCCAAATATCCTGGGTTGATATATCTAAGGCCATGTTTAATAACAACAGCAATAGAAATATGAAGGCTAGTTGTAGTATTACCTTAGAAGGTCATGACAAGTTACAATTGATGTTTGATAGTGACAGTATTGACGAGGGTTAAAGACTTGTTTAAGCTTTTAAGGACATTGGTCAAAACACAAAGGACATTCTTTGGGCGCGCCAAATATATCAGTTAGGTAAACATTAAATTTGTGTTTGCGAAGTGGACATCTCATTCCTATATTTTTTTATTAACTCATGATATATATTCTGTAAGGCGTAGACGATTTTCCCATGACCAGGAGACTATCCGGGCCAAATTTGAGGCGATGAGTATTTGTTAGGCGCTCGTAGGTTTAGTATTGGTCACTATGGGTGAAGATGCGAAGCTTGTGGGGTGAAGGTTGATGACTGGGTTGACTTTTAGTGTTTTCGTAAAAGAGACTGAGAGGAGGAATTTGTTAATCTGGCTGAAATGTGAAAAGAAAAATTGACGATATTGTTTATTTGAGTTGAAGTATGGAAGAGTGCTTGTTTGATAGTAAGAATATTCGGCTGTTTATCTATTCATAGCTTTTAATAATTTGACACTTTGCAATATAGATAGATATATGTGTAAGGTAGGATTCATAGCCATTATTATTTAATGTTAAAGGCGTCTTTAAGTTCAGATGTGAAACATGTGTAATTTATAGACTCTACTCGTTCCTTTCTCTAATTGTATAGCCTGGTAAGCAACTTAACATATAACTTTCATTCAAAATCACTGTTTGAATTACAGGCAAAAACGATTTATGTATTTAACTATAAATCCCAAGACATCAGAATATGTTTAGAGTATCCTAAATTTAGTAAGTGGGTATTGGTCTTACCAAAGTTACGAGTCGTTTGAAATTATTTACATTTTTTTCTCCTAAAGATCAACATCTTCTATATAGCAAAAATACATAATTATCGAGGCCAAACAAGAGGATATCAAATATATATATATATATATTAGGAAGTCTCTCTAATATTTTCCTCATAATCTTCTAGGAGATTTCTCTTTCACTCATAATAATTAGTATATATATATATATATATATATTACAAGGGTAAACTTGCCTTTGTGTTTATCAAAAAAAAAAAATCCAGAAATAAAACAAAGAATCTCATCTGCGACAATATAGGGGATGCCAAGCACAAATAATGTAGCCTTTGAGTGTACGTGGGATTCTTTGACCGGATCTTCTTCCGTACTTCCACTGTTATTGGAATTTCATGTGTGTAAAAATATGAATATAGTGCCTGCTTCTTTTTCAATGGCGTGACCTTGGGCGTTTTATTTATTTATTTACTTTTATAAATGTATTATAGTGTATTTTTCTTATAATCAGGAAGAATTATTGGACTCCGATATTTTTTTCAAAAGGCAAAAACTTTGTCGGAAATGTCAATACAAAAAAACCGTCGCTCATGGACACGGAGAAAGTGTTTCTGAAAAGAACTGTGCAAGCAGCTTGTTTGTAGTGACATTTCCGACAAAGTTTTTGACTTTTGAAAAAGTGCGGTGTTCCAATTTAATAGCAGGGGAAGAGAAATATTGAGACTTGAATCTACATCTCTGATGGCATCTCAAGGCAGATGCAGAGAATTATATATCCTAAATTAGTAATTACGTGTAACATGCGGAGTATAAACCACGTTTTTGGATGTGACAGCTGTCTATCAAGACTGCCCTGAAAACACTTCTTTTACTTTTACCAAAACAAATTCTTAAAAATGGGTCGTAAAAACGCTCGCTCTATCCTTACTTCTAAAATGGCTCGAAGAGAGGGCGGAAAATTCTGCGCCAAGTCTCCAATTATTACTATTGATACAGAAAAGGAACCTGTTGAAGATCAACCTGTAGAAGAGTACGACTGGGAGCTCTTGGATTTAGATACGGATACGATGATTGCTGCGTACTATAATAGCTTTCTGACATGGAGACCAGACGCAGGAAAAAAATTGTGTGGACTCTACAGAGGAGACTCGAGATCATCGATTATGCGCAACAAGAGAAAAATGAAAGAAGAGCTTGAGGCAAATAAAGACAAGAAGGTCAGAACGCTTGCTGATTTCGGTTTCTCGGTTCCTGTTGCATCAGTTTCGCCTGTAACAGAAGCATTAACTGTATGCAAGCAATCGAAAGATGAGGAACTTGAAGAGATTCGTGAAGCTTATGAGAAAATCTCTGAGATGATAAAGCCTCCAGTCAGTTCAGATAGCGAGTTGGGCAAGTTTGCTTTGTTTGAAGTAAGCAAACACATTGTTGTGAAAGAGTATTTCCGACGCCTCTTGAACAATTGCAAGAAAATCGAGGCATCTGAAAAAGCAGCAGAGATTTTTTGGACAACACCTTCCAAGTACCGTGGAGAGGCTGTCCACGGTTGGGCCAAAGAATTTCTTCAGTTTGGCAAAATTTCTGAACATCAACAGGGCAAGCATGCCAAGCGGTCTTCAATTGTAGACGATGAAGACCTTAAAAAGAAAGCAATCGTTTGGCTTCGTGCTCAAAAAGCAGAAAGACGAACTGTTGTGGATTTGAAAAAGTATCTCGATGAAATGCTTTTTCCATCATGCCTTGGTGTAAAAGGCAACGTGGCCATAAGCACAGCATGGAAATGCATGAGAGCTTGGGGGTACGTCCACCGCAAGAACAACCAGGACGTATATTATGATGGACACGAAAGACAAGACGTTGTTCAGTATTGCCATGCTTGGGCAACGCGAATGATGGGATACAAACAATGTATGTCAGACTTTACTGGGGAAGATGAAGAAATTGAGGTAACCCCTCTTCTTTTGGAGAACCAGAAGAAGCTGGTTATGGTGACCCATGACGAGTCCACCTTTTATGCCCATGATGGAAAGGTGGACATGTGGCTTGAGGAAGGTGAAAGCCACATCCGCAAAAAAGGTCAGGGAAGATCTCTGATGGTCAGCGAGTTCCAGTGTGCTTGTCATGGCACTATGCGAGTGAAGGGATGGGTCTCCCGCAGAATATTTAACGTTGGGGCAGCATATGACGGTTACTGGACAAGCGAAGACATGCTTGACCAGCTGAAGAACTATGCTATCCCTCTGTTCGAAAGCTTGCACGAGGGATGCACCGGTGTCTTTATTTTCGACCAAAGCAGCAACCACAAAGCATATGCCACAGATGCCTTGGTTGCCACCCGCATGGTTCTAAAGCCAAAGGTCGTTTCTGAAAATGACAAGTTCATTTTCAAAGATACAACGTTTTTGAGGGATGGTCGTATCATCCCTCAATCGTTTTATGAGACAGTATTTGAAGCTGGAAGGAAAGGAAAGGGGCCGGTGGAGAAGAGACAGTTTGTTGGCGTCCAGCGGATCCTTCAGGAGCGTGGACTGTGGATGGAACTGGATCCATCCAATCTTTCTAGAAGATGGAGAATGGACTGCAATGGAGAAGAAGCAGAGAACCACTGTTGCTGTGCCCGCCACCTCTTGGCCTCTCAGCCCGACTTTTCTGGACAGAAGACAGCTATTCAAGAGGTGGTGGAAGAGGCGGGTCACATATTTGAGCTGTACCCCAAGTTCCATTGTGAATGCAATTGGATCGAGCGTTACTGGGGTGCAGCCAAACGTGTGACTCGCCTAAACTGCGATTATTCTTTCAAGTCGTTAGAAAAGAATCTCCCGTCTTTCTTGGACAGTGCCTCTTCTGTGGCTGGTTCTCCTTCCATGATCAGGAGATTTTATAAAAAGACTTGGAGATATATTGAAGCTTACAGCAAGTTTTTGGATGCTAAGGATGCTGATGCTGAGGTGAAGAAATTCACCTCAAGAATCAGTAAATCTCACCGCAGCATTGGCATCCATGATTAAAAAAAATAAAAAAAATAAAAATTTATAATTTATAATAAAAAATGCTGTGCCTATGTATAAGTTTCAATATTTCAGTTTTTTTTCAAAAACTAGCGGACATTTAATACTGGTTTTTGTTATCGGTGTTTTAAATGAAAAAATTGACACAAATCCTAAAATTCCTGATTTTAATAAAAATACACTATATACTAATTTCAGAAAATAATAATAATAATAGAGCTGTTTAAATTTGAGGCGTATCCTTTCATCTGATGCAAGCCCCCTTTTTTTCCTTTTTTGAATTAATTTATGCAAAACCATCTGAAACATCTGTTTTTAGTAAGTCGAATATCTTGATTTTTCTTGTTTGAATAAGAAATATCGATGATATTTTGCAAGCATAATCATTAAGCTATATAAAGCCTAGTTTTTTTAGAATTCTAATATTTTTTCACTCTTCTTGCATATATATATTCTAATACAACAATGCCTTCAAAAAGAACCTCTAAGAACGCTGAGAACAGCAACAAGAAACTGCGAATCAAGCAGTAAAAACTTTCTGGATTTGATGAAGAGAAGAAGCCGAAGAAGGCACATGGTTCCTGGAACAATACCAAAGAGTTGGTGCTCTTACAGGAATACGCGCACCTTTTCCCCCCTTCTTTGAAGAAAGGTGCACACAAGAAGGCATGGCAGGACATTGTTAAAAGTGTCAACGATGTGACACCTGGCGAGACAGAACTGTCTTACAACACTTGCCGTCGCAAAATGTTGAAACTTGTAGACATCTACAAGAATGCCTTTGAGGAGAGGACTGTTGCTGGTACCTCGGGTGCAAATAGAAACAGGCCAGAGGTAGAGAAGGCTGTCCGAAAGATCCTTGACAAGGTACAGTCAAATTTATATTTAGTTTCCTTTCAGTTTTCTAATTACATACATACATTTAATTAAATGTAGAAAGAGCAGCACGAGGCGTTCAAGGTTTCTGGTCGTAATAAGGAGATTGCCAGACAGGACTTTAAGCTTGGCCTCGAAGGCCGTGTACGGGCAATCGCGTCGGGAGCTCCTGGCCAGATCACAAATCTCAGGCAAAAATACCGAGATTTTATCAAAAAGACCAACGCAGAAATGCAAGAAAAGTTCCCAGCAGAGAGCTCTGCTATGGCTGCGGCCCGACCAGTTGGCAGTCAAGCTAGCCCAGCTAGCATTGAGGATGAGGAGGGCGAGGAGGGCGAGGAGGGCGAGGAGAATGAGAACGCAGATGAGGAGGATGAGAACGTGGATGAGGACGTGGATGAGTACGAGGATGAGGTCAAGGATGAGAATCATCCGGAGGTGGGAAATGAAGTCCCAGAGTCCCAGGCCACCCGCCATGCTGAAGTCATGGGGGTGCTGAAGCAGATACTTCAGAAGATGTGCGATATCGAAGAGGAATTGAAAAAAAACAAGAAAATAATGATAAAAGCATAAAAATTTAAGTATTAATTTATTTAAAATAATATATAATCTTCATCTTCTCCGTCTATTTTATCACGTCTTAATCCAGAGATATACTCCTCAAGAGTCGGTGGCTCTAAACCAAAATATGAACTTGTTGGCGATCTATTGCGACCAGTACAGCGCATCATATTTTTGAATACTGTGGATAGCATGTACACAGTTGCTGGACTTGTTTCCCCTGTTTTCATGGCATACTTATACTTGGAATACTTAAAGTACTTCTGTACTTCCCCAAATTCCCACTCTACTGCCACTCGCACTTTCGACATACTCTTGTTGATTTTTTTATCTAAATCTATTGTACATGATTAATATATTGTACAATCTTTGTCGACAATCTTTTATGGTTACTATACCACTAAGAGATACGCCTTCAAATGGTGAGTACAGGCACTTGGAAACCATGTAAGCTGGATCGCCATACAAGGCAAATGGCAATTCGACATCTGGTACAATATCCAAGTATTTTTCCACTCTTGCTTCTGTTTTGGATATGGTATATATGTACTGATCGTGTCTAGAGCCAACATATGGTCCAAGCAAGCTGCTTGTGATCTCATCAGGAGTAACAATAGACTGGTACTTCAAAGCATGCATGTGCTTCCAACCATTGTAAAAAGCTTTTTGAACTTCATTACCTTGGCTTGGTCGTGATATTGCTTGCATAGTACCATCAATGAAACCAACAATGTTTGGCAGTGCTACGCCTTTGTCGTAGATTGCACTTTCAAACCTTTCCAAGTTTTCCGGGCGAAATTGCTTAATATTGAATTGAAGTCCCCATTTAATCTGGTTCATAACAATGCTCTCAAATCCTCGGCAAACTACAGATACATTGCTTTCTCATTCCAAAAAGTATAGACATGTCACCTAAGCGTCTTGGAAAGCTGTACCGATTGAGTAACATTGCAAAGCCAAGGCTCTTACGGACTTGTATACTTGAAAAACGGTACACATGATCCAATCCGAGTGCTGTTGTTATTCTCTCAATTTCACCCAAAGTGAAACGAAATAGATATATACAAGTACCGTCACTCAAGAGATTTAGGTTTAGTTTGCTATATCTAGCTCTCCTGGCTCTTCTAATCTCTTGAGGTATGGTTTCTTCTTCATTCTGCTGTTGCTCTTGCTGCTGTTGCTGTTCTTGATGTCGTTGTCGTTGTTGTCTTCGTTGTTGTCGTTGTTGCCTTTGTTGCCTTTGTTGCCTTTGTTGCCTTTGTTGCCTTTGTTGATGAACTTGGGCGTGATTGCTAATGTTATATTCGGAACGATCGGTCATTTTATTTTGAATTTAGATGATCAATTTGAGTATAAAGAAGTTGTTAGAGAATGAAGCTCATGCATAATATTTTCACAAGCTATATTGTTGACGCAACATGATGGTACACGTATGGTGTATCGGAGAATAAATTAAAAAAAAATGTTCCAACTTAAGTGCCTTTTTTGGGCGTAGATACAAGGCAACTTTAAACAGCTCTCTAATATCAATTCAGTTCAATTCTTCATTGTTTATTAAAAGATGATGAGCTTTCATTTTTGCTGACATCAAAGGTTTTCATTAAACTTTCCAAATTAGATAAATAAACAAGTAATTAATCGAATAATTGGAGTGGTGGTCTATCTGTGTATTGATTTATAGTTTGATGTTTTTGGCTCCTTTTAACGTATAGATATACGTGTGTATCCGTGTGCTCTTAACAGAAGAAGACATGATATTAAAAGAGTCCCGAAAGAAAAGTTGAAGCTAAATAATGGCAGAGTTTTACTACGTAACGATAAATTAACCAGAAATTACTGTGGGGAATACATCTTTCATATTTATAGAAGTCTATAGAAAAAAACTAGCAGCTATCAATACTGGGTACAGTTTTTGTATTATACCTATATGATCGAAAATTATCGGCCTAGCCTCTTATATATTCCCTTTTTATATAAATCGGTGCGGAAAGACAGAAAAGTTCAAGCAAAGATGATGCAAAGACCAAGAAGTCCTTGGCCAATAAAATTAATTTCTAACTGTTCGTACTTTTTTTTTTAAAAAATAAATAAATAAAACTTGGTTTATATGCATATCAAACATAATTAACTGCTCGAAGAACATCTTTTCTATTAAAAGCATGTTCTTCTCAATTCAATTGGCAATGGAAGAAGATAAAATAAAGCATAAATGTATTAAACCCGTCTCTATTTAATTTCGTTTATAATACAAGGCTTTTATATAAGCAACTGTTACTGCTTTGGTACCAATTATATATGTATATATATTAAATGTTCTTAAATATAAAGTTGGCTCCCAAAAAATCCTAAAAATCAATGATTTGGCTGTACGGAAACAAGTTTGTTTCAAAATTGAAATCAAACCTTTGAAGTAAAAATCTGGTACCAAAGTAACACTCGAAAGTCCCAATACTTACTTATAAACCTATACCTCACTTTCCTTTCTCGCTTGAAATTCAACCATGAAGTAATAAGTACAAAGCAATCATCAAATAAGTATTCCAAGACTGGGGTGCATGTTTATTAAGCACAAATAAAGGTTTTCCAGCAACCACAAGAAATCAAAATAATGAGTCGTAATTATCTCTCTGATAAAATATGCTGTCAAAGCTGGGGTGTTTTACACATTTTCAAGTGAAGCCATTATATATATATATGTGTGTGTGTAATAAATAGATAGAATAGTATATGTTGTTCACTATATTTTGTAAAAAAAAAAGAAGAAGAAAAGAAAAGCAATGTGGTATTTAGGCTTAAGTCTATCGCATAATAGCATATCTTGATTCCACGGCCCAAGTGTGATCTTTCGAAGCTGTTATTCATCACCATTTACGCTTAATCTAATGAAAGATGATCTCGCTTGTTTAAAATAAAACAGAATCACACAAAGAAAGAGATGGACTTACAGCATGCTGAACACACTCTTTGAATGCCTGGAATTCTTTTAAGCACATATCTTTTTGGATATCTTTGTAACTAGATGAAACGCATTGTCCATAAACGGCTGCCTGGGTTGAGCAAGTTGCCACACCACGTGCAAGGACAGCAACACCTTTTGTACGCTTCTCCATATTCTCCAAGGGGAATAAAAGTAAGCAAAAGAGTAAATCCAGTGAAAATCCCAAGTCAGTGACACAGTCACAAGCTTTAGATGGCTTTGGAAAGAGGTTCAAGAACCGCGTTTACCTTGGAGGATCTCCAGCAGATTTCTACATACGAATTCCACACATCCAAATTAGGAAGTAAATGTATAGATTTCCGAGTAGAAAAAAATCGCCTCCAGCAGTTTCTACACAAGATTCTACATACCTAAAAGTAGACTGCTGAAGATGCTCTAAGGATCAAGTTCTTAATTAAATGCACAAGTATGGCTGTCAGCTTTTATTTATTTATTGTATTAACTTAAATTGAAATCTTAATCGAATAATACAAGATAGGCATATTCATGCTTCTTTATTATTCTCTCAAGATAGTACACTTGGTTTTGGTTTTTACGCTATAATATGGTTTTTACTTCCATTGAAATGGTTCCCACAATGCATTTATCCTCTTTTAAAGTTTGTATTTAAACAACCATTTCAAGTTTTATGAATAGCTTTTTTCCCCCTCTTCACTTCAGGATTTCGATAGCATAAATACACGCATGTGAAATAACTTATAAGTATAGAAAATAAATACAGTAAAACACATGTGTAAGTCGCATTTTAGGGATAAAAGACTTTGAAAGTTTCTTATATTTAAGAAGAAAAAATTGAGTATCTATTATATAAAAGAATAGTGTCAGAATGTTTATTATGATCCTTAATAACCTAAGAATGCTTTTCTGTGCTGTTTATTTGGGAAAAAAAATCCATTTATAATGGTTAGGAACTCTTGAAAATGCGTCTTGTATCCTCGAATTGTGGGACTTTGTATAATGTGTTTTACTGTATGCTATTACTCTATAAATAGCTCTGCATAGATCCTCTGTGCTTGATCTTCAGTGCATTCATACAAGCCAAATATCTTTAGCCAGGATCTATTAAAGTAGCCTTGCTTAAGTACAGAGCAGATGCTTTTTCTTTTTCTCTTGTCCAAAATAAAATACATTAAATTAATGTCCAATCGGTTTAATTTTTTAAACATCACAGCTAAGATTCTACACACACACACATATATATATATATATATATATATTGCTCTAAGAGTAATAAGTCCCAATATATCTTACTCATCATGGGTGATTAGTAAATTTTAAGGAAAAATGGTTATTATTATTTTGGAATATGAACCACTAAATGTAAAATTCATTGTTTTTTGTTGTTGTTGGAAATGACCAATAAATGTATATATGTTCAATAAGTACAGTGATAATGTGGGGCAGTCACACGATTTCCTGCGGTTCAGTCAAGCAGTCTATTGGCTTCTCTCCTTCCCCCCCTCCTCTCCTCTCTCCTCAAAGTTTCTTCTCTTCTCAAGGCAAAGAGGTCATCAGAAAGAAAGAAAGAAAGAAAAAAATAGTCTCTATAATGTCATATAGAAAAATCCGGATAAAACCTCCTACAAGACTTGTAAGTTTTGTGGTCCATTTGGCCCTTTGGGAGCTGAAACTTATTACCCTTTTGCTACAATAGCCTAATGTAGATCGCGAGCAGGAATACGAGGATGGCTTCAAACTTCTCAGCCAAGCCTACATTGAAATCTTTCGTAAAAATGCAAAAATACTTTCTTATGAAGTCCTTTATCGAACTGCATACAACTTGACATTTCAACAGTTTGGAGAAAAATTGTATTTTGGTGTGAAGGACGTGATTGCGAACTATCTTGAAGCAAAGGCTGAGGGAGCCATCGTGCCCGCATTCGTTAACACCTCGAGCACAAAAGAAAGCTCAGCAGCAGGTTCGGATTCCAGTGCAATGTTTATGAACACAGTCAAGCTAGTGTGGGATGATTATGTAACTGCCCTGACAATGATTCGAATGACACTCAAGTACCTCGTAAGTTGACCTCATTCAATCTCAAAGAGTATCACCAACCGATTTCATAGGATGATAGACTGCCTAAATATAACCTACCTAATGTCACTGATATGGGACTTGATCTCTTCCGTGACAGGGTGATTCGGTCAGATAAATACCCAATCCAGGCACAACTTATAGCTGCTATGCTTAATCAGATCCAGTTGGAAAGGCACGGCGATGTGATTGATCGAAGTGTAATAAAGGCAGCCGTCAGCATGCTGTCTGAACTCACAGACCCAACTACAAAAGAAAGTGTTTATATTGTTGATTTCGAAAACAAATATCTCGAAACAAGTGCTGCATTTTACCAGATCGAAAGTGAAGTTCTCTCAACCTCTTACGATGCTCCAGAATTCATGCGAAAAGTAAGTGGGAAACGCAGCTGTTCATTAAATGACATTGAATATTAGGTTGAGCGCAGACTTGAGGAGGAATATGAACGAACAATACATTGCTTGTCACTTGTTACTGAACCAAAGATTCGCCACATTGTCGAAACACACTTAATCACAGATAATCTAAAAACTGTGATAAAGGTATATGGGAAAATTATCGCGAAACGTCATAGATATATATATAAATATAAAAGGTTGCTTTTAGATGAAAAACTCTGGGTTGGATAGCATGCTAAATGCTGATAAATATGGAGGTAAAAAAAATATAAGTAGGCAATACACACAAACATTGACTAAAAGCCAAATCATAGACTTACTGCGCATGTACAAGTTATTTTCGCGCGTATCAGCTGGCCTGAACGAATTAAGGACAGCAATGATGGCTTATATCCTGCGTATCGGTGCAGAAATTAATAGAAGTATCGCTGCAGATATAGGAGATATGAATAAGCCTAAAAGTGTAGCTGAGAAGAGTGCAGTTGGAGGGGCACAAGTAGCAATTCGATGGGTAGAACAAGTTTTGAATCTTCAGGAAAAATTCGATCGAATTCTTGAGTTTGCAGTCAACAATGATAAGTCTTTTCAGACAGTGTTTAATGAGGCATTCGAGAGCTTCATTAATGACAATACCAAGTCGGCTGAATTTATCTCTCTATTCATCGACGAAAATCTCAAAAAGGGCCTCAAGGGTGTAAGTTGAACGACAAGGAAAAAAGATGAATAGAAAAAAATCTTACGTTGTGTCTGCCTGTTTTCTTTTAATATATATGTATAGAAATCAGAGGATGAAGTGGACGATATTCTTGGAAAGACAATCACTCTTTTCCGCTTTCTACGCGATAAAGATGTATTTGAGCGTTATTATAAACAGCATCTTGCCAAGAGACTCTTGTTTAACCGCAGTGTATCCGATGATGCCGAGAGAGGAATGTTGGCTAAATTAAAGGTAATTAGGGCAATCCGAAATGTGTGAAGCACAATATATGTAAACAGGTTCTCATCAAGAATAATATATGCAGAGAGAGTGTGGCTATCAATTTACGAACAAACTCGAGGGTATGTTCAACGATATCAAGCTATCTGCGGAAATGGATGTTCAATTCAAAGACTTTTCCGACCGACAGGTAATATACATGTTATACATGCTATGCAATATGCAATATATACAATGTACAATGTACTCATATTGTCTGCAATCAGCCTTTTGTAGATGTTGGAGTCACTGTCCTGACCTCCACATTCTGGCCTATGAACATATCTTCGTCTCCTAAATGTAATATGCCCCAAGTTATTCTTGGTGCATGTGAGTCATTTGAGAAATTTTATTTTGATCGACATAGTGGCAGAAGACTGACATGGCAACCTCAAATGGTAATCATTATAAACATACATACACTCTATACAATCTACTTCAAATCTAACTTTTTGTTTTTTTTGTAGGGTACTGCTGATATCCGAGCTACTTTCAAGAGCTGCAGACCTATGTTGAATTTATCTACCTTTGCTATGATTGTTCTTCTTCTGTTTAATGATATTCATGAAGATAATGGACTTTCATTAGAGGTAGGATAGATTGTTTTCTTTTGTAGTTTAAATAGTATTGTTTTCTTTAGTGTCACTCTAATTTTCGCCTCTCGTTTACAAATTTAGGAAATCAAGGGGCAGACTCAAATACCCGAAGCAGAGTTGAAGAGAACACTTCAATCTTTGGCGTGTGCTAAATATAAAGTATTAACAAGAAATTCAAAAGGAAGAGAAATCCACCCTGGAGACATTTTTTATTTCAATACTAGTTTCTCAACCAATCTTGCAAAAATCAAGATCCAGACAGTCGCTTCAAAGGTAGAGAGTGAAGGCGAACGAAAGAACACTCAGGACAAGGTCGATGAAGAGAGAAAACATCAGATTGAAGCTGCTATTGTACGAATCATGAAGGACAGAAAGTCAATGGAGCACAATCTGCTGATTGCAGAAGTCACGAAGCAGCTTACCCCTAGGTTCTTACCTAACCCAGTCATGATAAAGAAGCGTGTGGAGGCGTTGATTGATCGCGAATATTTAGAACGTAGCTCTGAAGACAGGTAAGAAACAACTACAACTGGCCCTGAACAAAGAAGTTGATTGTATTTATCCATATCTCATTTATCCATTATATAGACGATCGTATCGCTACCTTGCCTAATATTCTTCCTTTTTTGTTTCCATTTTCTTCGTTTCTTTTTTTCCCCTTTATAAAATACATATGTTGACAGATATTTGCTTTACTTGATAAAATACAAAACCAAAAACATACCATGGGTTCCATTCAAATTTACCCTGATATACTTCCTATGGACAATGTCTTGCCTGTTGCAGACAATACTGGCCCCAACAGGCCTGATCAGACATACATATCTTCCAGACGCAAACCGTGGGACAACCGTTTAAAATACAAGCTCTATGGAGAGGATACCCTGACCATAAATACAATGGAAGAATGGCAGAGTATAAAAAACTACAATTTTGTTTTGAACGGTATTCCTACTCTTAATCAGATCCTAAGCCTCTACACCGAGCCCTTTGGTCTCCCTCAATTTGAAGCATATTTGGAGCAATCGGACAAAATTGGACTTCAAAACCTTAAATTCTTACTTGAACTAAAGGCCCACGGAAGACTCTGGGAAGCGCTCCAAATAACAAGATTGCACCTAAGTAATAGCTCAGTTTCAGCACCTTTGGCTATACAGTCAAAGCTTCCCCGCGTTTTTGGGCACCCCTCAACAGATACACTCCCACCTACGGTTTACAAAAGCCACCATATTAATCAAAATGACCTTACTCAAAATGCAACCAGAATTTACCGCAAATACTGTCAACAAACCCCCTTGATTTCCATATCTCCGGAGACTCAAGAGACTCTTTATGAAGTGGTTCTAATTCGTAATATCTCTGACCCACTCATCTTTGAACATGCGCGAACCCAGGTCACCCTCGCACTTGATCACTTTTATTATCCCCGTTTCATTGATTTTATTCTATCCACAAACCTATCTGTGACAAGTGCCAGAATCCTCTTAGTTGCCGGTCTATTCTTTCTCTGGGCTGGACTCAGTCTTGAACTGTCACTGATATTCCTTGGGGAGAACAATAACGTGAGTCGGTGGTGGGGTTTGATCCCTTTTGAACTTTCTTGGGCAGCACTTTTACCGGGAATGACAAGATTTGGGTGGTGGATGGTGGCAATCAAAAGGAGGTGAGATGTTTTGACGTTAAGCTCAGAGTTATTTATTCGTTATTTAGTGAAACAAACTTTAGGGAGTATACTCACATTGACGATGCTGTAATGCGAGAGCATAAAAGACGTGCCTTTTTATGGCTGGTCATCAGCCTTATGCTGGGACTCATCAGCACAATTTTGGTTGTCTTTATCCCTGCGTACAGAATATCAGATAACAGTTGACGCGGGATCGTCTAGATGTCTTGATGCTTCAAATAGGTGTAATCTAAAATACTAAAGCAAAACAAAAACAAACAAAAAAGTATAAATACCAAATTTTTTTGGGAGAATTCAACCATACATTGTATAGACATTGCTTACCTATAAATGTATTTTCTTTGATAAGAGCTCGATAGCATGCAAGTCATGTAGTGAGGTTTATGTCTTTATTATTTTGTCATATAAGCTGTTCATTATATAGTAATAATAATAATAATAATAATAATAATAATAATGCAACTACCCCTTGTCAACTCCATTATGCTATGTATAAAACAATAGCAAACAAACATTATTATTATTGTTTTTATTATTATTCTTATTTCTTCTTCTTCTATATATATCTTTTCTTTAGAAAAAAATATTGGCCAATGGCAAGACGTTTTAGGGGAAATTTGGGACGATAGAGTATGGTACTATCTAGGGGGATTGTGATGTTTTTGCTGTGAATTAAAACACTTTATTTGGACACGTTTGATGCTTTATCATATAAGAACCGTAATTTTCTTGCTGCTTTGCCCTCTTTGTCTTTTCTTCTGTTTTACAATTTTTATCAATGAAAGGTACCAAACCAGACCACTTTGTGCTGACAAAGTCAGAATCCCGCAAAGACGTTTTGTCACAAGAGAAACTCCCACCACTGTTTGATAGCCCAACGACATGGAAAAACTGGCCTGGTCGACTACACAAGCTGTTTGCTGTCATAATAGTTGTTATTCCTGTCATGTCGGTCTATGGTTTCATGACAACAGAGCTACAAACAAAAACACTGGTGTTGTCTATCATCACCTACTTTTTGACAGGGCTTGGTATAACTGCAGGTATGTAATATCCAGAAAAAAAAGCAATATATTGAGTGGCATAAACTCATATTGGTCTAGGTTACCATCGTTTATGGGCTCACAGATCGTATAGAGCCACTTTGGCCCTGAGAATCATGCTGGCTATTGGTGGAGGCGCGGCATTTCAAGGTACTATTGACTGGTGGGCCAGAGATCATAGATCCCATCACAGGTATTAAAAAAAATGACCCAAAAAAATGATTTATTTTAATAATAAAAAAGCTAGCACCATAATTCTAACGAATCTTTTATCTGGTATAGATGGACTGATACTGATAAGGACCCTTACAGTGCACAAAGAGGGTTTTTCTATTCTCATGTGGGGTGGCTGGTAATTTATCGTGGAAGAGGAAAGACAGGCTTCGCAGACATTGCGGATCTCAAGGCCGACAAGGTTGTGGCTTTCCAGCGCAGATTCTATCCATATCTTGCTATTGGATTTGGCTTCGTGCTCCCAACGCTCATTGCTGGCCTTTGGGGTGATTACAGGGTAAGATTATCTTGGAGACGCACACACATTTAGTCTGTGATAGATTACTCATATTTTACGATCTAAGGGCGGGTTCTTTTATGCATCTGTTATCCGAGTATGCTTTGTGCATCATGTCACTTTCTGTGTCAATAGTCTAGCACACTTTCTGGGAGAATGTACTTATGATGATCACCACACACCAAGAGACCATTGGATCACAGCTTTGGTAACCCTTGGAGAGGGATACCATAACTTCCACCATCAATTTCCACAAGATTACCGCAATGCAATTGTGTATTATCAATACGACCCTACCAAGTGGCTTATAAAGCTTCTTGAGTTTCTTGGGCTTGCCTATGACCTCAAGACTTTCCCGACAAATGAGATAAACAAGGGTCGTGTTCAGATGCAAGAAAAGCAGGTTGCAGACATGAAGAGAACTCTTAAATTTGGAATTCCTATTCACGACTTGCCTATCTATACATGGGATGAATATCAGAAAAAAGTCTTTAGTGAAGGCAAAAAGTGGATCTTGATAGAAGGTGTCTTATATGACTTGGAAGGGTTCTACCATCCCGGAGGGTCTGGATACATATCCAGATCATTAGGAAAGGATATGACATCGTCATTCAATGGAGGTGTGTATGACCACTCAAATGGAGCAAGAAACCTGTTGACCATGATGCGCGTGGGTGTACTATTGAACGGAATGCAAGTCATGTCAGAGTCCCAGATTGAAGACGAAGTTATTGAGCTGTCGTTGGATCCTAAGCTAAAATCACATTAAAATTATTATTAGTATTATTATTATTATTTCTTCAAGACATTATTTGCATGACAAAGTATTCTTTGTTTATTAAAAAAAACCCTTCCATGTTCTCTCTTAGTATATATTGTCTTTAAGCCGATACCTAAGCATATTTATTTTACTTAAACGGTTTGTTTACAATGCGATTTTGAAACACTGTGGTCAAGGAGTGGGGGGGTTGAGGGTGAAAAATAAAGAAAGAAAGAAAAAAGACAGGTGCTTAATACAGACCAAAAAAAATCAGACGATATTTGTGTAAGGAGTATAGGGAGGACCATATAAATATACATATTCAGTATGATCGATTGAATCAAAAGTGTTAGTCTGTTTTTTTTTCTTTCTTTCTTTCGCTTCCTTATACAAGGGGTAGAGTATCAATTAAAACTCTATACAAATTGGACTGTGGTTTAGATCCGAATATACAGTTATCTGGAAGTTATAAATTAACCTTTGAATTTATCATTGGTGATAAGACGCTTGCAAAAAGTGTAAACATCTATACGTATTATCTCGAGACGGAGAGGTTCGAATTTAAAACATAAGAAGATATCTAAATAATCAGGCCTGGTTATCATAATCAGTCATAATGTAGTCAGAATGTTCCGGCTTTATTTTTTCCAAGTCTAAAGACATTCATATTGACATCTTGGCTTTGAAAATAATAGCAGCATAGATGCTCAAACATTCAAATGCATACAATTACGCACGTAAAGTACTATTACGCATGTAAGAATTAAGGTTTAAGCTACTTTCCTTTTTACAAATCACATACTTCCAAATAAGAAACATATAGCCACTATCAATACCACAGTGCTTTTCTTGGTTTCTATAATAATCTTGTATGACTAATTTAATCCTATTCATAGCATATATCTGCAAAGACATGTTATCCTATTTTCAGCCAGTGTACGCTCGTGCTCAGAATAAAAGCACTTGTCTAGATCTTAAATAGCCCTGCCCTTCCAGAGACCCAATATCCGATTCTATAGCCCATATAGCCCATATAGCCCAGAACACACTTGACTGACCATTCGTGTGGTATATTAATGCCTTTACTCTAGACTATAGATCCAGAGCCCGGGAAGATATACCATATAGTCATACAAGCTATGTTTTATATCTGAAAGGCTTCTCATTGTAGATGTGTCTCCTGTAGGCATCTTGTTTACTTTCTATTGTCAGGAATGTAAACCAAAAAGTTAATTTGCAGAAGCCGATAAATATATATGTATATGTAGCTGTATAAATGCTTTTATTAAATAAAATATATGTACGTTGAATAAACACCGGTTTATGAAATCCGGTAGATATAGTGGCCAATGCAATATGCAGTTACTAAACATTTAATGTAATTCTTTTTAACATACACATATATATACAGATAGATACACATACACATACACATACACATACAGATAGATACACATACAATATACCCAACACGTGGAAGATATTCTATTGCTTTGACACATGCTCTAATCCTCAAGTAGAGTATCAAAAGTATAGTATTCTGTATATCATACTCCCAAACTTCCTTTTCAGTGTGTCAATAATGGAGGAAACATTGACAGTACCATAAGCGCCACTCTATGCAATTAAATGAACAAAGAGGTGTGACCTCGCGGTAGGTGTGGTTTTAAAAGTCTCTTGGTTATCCTAAACCGATCAATTAGTTACAGTTAACGATAGAGCGGTTCATACAACTTGAATTAGGGATAATCACTTCTTCCTTTGGCTCAAGAATAATAATAATAATAATAATAATAATAATAATAATAATAATGTATATATAAATATAACAAAAAAAAGAAAGAGTGGATAAGCATGATTCCGAGGGGTCTATCTTGGACCATAATAAGCAGGTGTTAGCCTCGAGGAAAGAAGAAGAAAAAAGGAAATATAGCGAATATAGACGCTTTTGTTCTCTTCGTATGAACCATTGCTCAAATATAATCTATTTCTATAATTCAAACACATTGTTTGTAGGTTTCCCTTCTTTTATATAAATATAACAATTGCCTTGTATGCCTAATATAAGTCTTGCACGTTTAAACAAGCTCACTATAATTTTGATACCTATTTAATTTATTTTCTCGTATAGAGTCTTTTTTTTTCTTGGTTGCTTTAAGAAACTACGCCTAATATTGACTTATTTTCCATTAACTTTCCCTGCATTTATTAAATACAGTGTGAATGGTACCAAATATTCTCTATTTTCAAATAAATATGCATTGCTAGTGGCCTTTTGCTTCCGAAATTATTCTATACAGCATTCGAAAAATAAAATAAAATAAAATGATCAGTCCCAGAGCTTGGATGTATTCTAAAAAAGAAACATACACACACAAATGTCTAACTGCGACAACTAGTGCCATGAGATGACTAGTCCAGGGCAGCCACCAAATCGGGTAGTAGTACCATTGGGACGTGAACACTTTACGAGCTAGACAAAATAGCTGGTCGATTTTCAAAAAAGTAAAATAAAATAAGAGAGATATAAAGGAGGGACTTACACTTAATAGCGTATTAGCTAGTCGTAGCTGTAAAGAAGAAGAAAGCAAGGCCACCTAGCATGTTATAACTCCTTATTGTAGGCAATATCCATTAGATTCCATATTCCCCTTGACAACAATAGAAATAAAGTAACTCCTAGTTTACGATACGAGCAAAGAAGCTATATTGATTTAGTGTTAATTGATGCGAAGTCAAGTATTTACAATTTATTGATTTTCTTGGGACGACATTGGATTATAAACTTTGAATGTGAAGCATTGGATGTTATATAAAGAATTCGCGGATTTAGAAAAAAAAATATATCAATAAAATTGCATGAACATAAGCATGTATCTCAGGCAAGGAATATACGCGTTCCGTAAGAAGCATTGTTGCCCTGCGTTCTATAATGATAACAATAAAAATTAAAAGAAAAAGAAGGGGAAGTACGGATATGCTACAAAGCAATATAAAAAAGCACAAGTTTATATAATACACCTAGTGAAATATTCTTATTGCCATCTTTCAACTCTAATATATTTTCTGATATTGCATTGCCAAGAAGGCTAACCATTAGAGCAAGATGCCACCCAATGATACCGATATATACAAGCGAACAGCTTCAGAGAGTATCAAACCTCCATTCGTCAAGCAAATAATACCGCCCATGTTCGACAGTCCAACAACATGGCAGAATTGGTACACACGTATTGCCTGGATCCAGGCTATCTTCCTCATCGCCACACCTCTCATTGCTCTCTATGGTATACTTACAACTGAGCTAAAGATCAAAACACTTGTATTCTACCTGTCGTATGGCAATATAAACGGCTTATGTATTACTGCGGGTAAGTTTAGATATCGATCTATTCATTACTTTATTCTAAAATAGAAAGCTTAATATATAAACAATAGGCTATCACCGTTTCTGGGCACATCGGTCGTATATGGCATCGGTTCCTCTCAAACTCTTGTATGCTATTGGAGGTGCTGGAGCAGCAGAAGGATCCGCTTACTGGTGGTCACGAGGCCATCGCGCACACCACAGGTAATTAGTAGTGATGTTTTAGGAGTAAACTTGGGAGCTATCTTGAGTGTCATAAGATATTAACAAGATGCTCGATAGATGGACAGATACCGACAAGGATCCTTATAGTGCCCAAAGAGGGTTCTTCTTCTCCCATTTTGGATGGATGCTTGTCAACCGCCCCCGCCATAGAATTGGCTATGCAGATGTCAGCGATCTAAAGGCTGATCCGATTGTGGCTTTCCAACACAAATACTATACCCAGCTTGCCTTGGTAATGGCTATTTTTGGACCAATTCTCGTGTGTGGATTAGGTTGGGGTGATTTCAGGGTAAGTTTATTTTTTAATTAATATATATGAATGATATGCGTTTAAATGAGTTTCAGAGCATAATTTATTTTAACATTAAAATTACACAACCATTAGGGAGGATTCTTTTATGCGTTTGCAGTACGTGTCACGACTATCCACCACAGTACCTTTTTTGTGAACAGTCTGGCACACTTCCTTGGAGAGGACACCTATGACAACCACCATTCGCCGCGAGACCATTGGCTCACGGCTTTCCTTACCCTAGGAGAGGGCTATCACAACTTCCACCATCAATTCCCTCAGGACTATCGCAATGCAATTCTATACACACAGTACGACCCAACCAAGTGGTTCATCAAATCCATGGAGTTTTTGGGACTCGCATATGAGCTCAAAACTTTCCCCACTAATGAAATCGAGAAGGGCAAGATACAGATGATTGAATTCAAGCTAGAAGTGGCCAAGCAAAAACTGAAATATGGTACCCCCATTGACGAATTACCGGTTTATACCTGGGAGGAATTCCAGGCTCTGGTGCATAAATATGACAGACAGTGGATCTTGATAGAGGGAATTCTGTATGACATGGAGTCTTTTGAACACCCAGGCGGAGAAAAATACATAACGACGGCATTTGGCAAGGATATGACGACTGCATTCAATGGCGGTATCTATAACCATTCGAATGGTGCAAGGAATCTACTCACCATGCTGCGCGTGGGTGTGTTGGTTAACGGTGTAGAGGTTATGGCGGAGTCCATTGAAAAAGAGGTTGAGGACTTGACGCTTTATCCTACCAAAAATATCCTTGCCTGAAGGAGCCTATACATTTTTCTTTTCTATTGTTTTCTTCTATTCTACTCTTGTTTATTTTCTCCTCACTTTCAAAGAGAATTCTTATAGTAATTCATCATACCCATACATTACACACACACTTACACTTACACTTACACACACACACATATATATATATATAAATATACATACATACACACATACACACATATACATACATACATACATACACACACACACATACATACATACATACATACATACATACATACATACATAGTAGTTATCTGTCATCATCTGTACACAGCAATACGCTTGAAAAGGAAAATATACATATAAAGTGATTGGGAAAGATAGGAGAAAAAAATCATAGAGATCGTCGGTGGGGAACATGAACACCGGAAATTTACCGGAGAAGTAATTCCAAGCATGAAATTAAACTCAAACCTACACCCGCTTATCGATTGATTTATCCGAATCCACCAAATACAGCATTTCCTTATTTCTCTGCCTAGTGTAATCTCAATTACGATTCATAGCTAGCGCTGATGATGACTTGAACTGTCGTCAATGCCAACATGAGTTTCAATACAAGAAAACGGAATTCATTTATAATCATGTCTATCCTATTTACAAGTATTTACATGCACCTTTTCTTACTTCTTTAAAACTAAAGAAAAAAGATAAATAGAAAGAAAGAAAGATAGATAGATAGATAGATAGATAGATAGCTTATCACAAATGAAAATGATAAAGGCTTTGATTTTTAATATTACTGGATATTTTCACTTCCACTTGGTGCTCACGGGGTGAGTGTCCTAGCAACTAATTTTGGAAGAGCCTCGAGCCTAAATATGGTAAGTAGTTTTTAACTTCCGCATAAAATGTCAGTGATAAAAAGCAGAGACATATTATTTGAAACAACCATATATGGTATCCACTAGTAATTACTATTCTCACTAAATAAAAAGCATTCTTTTATTTTATTTGTTTTTGTTTTTGTCTTGTTCTTTAACCTCATTTTTATTTTTATTTTTCTATAAACTCGTATATATATATTTCTACTCAAACCAATTTGTACAAATTTAAGTTATAGTTTATTGATATAAATATATATATATATATTTCATTTTATACTTTCATAGATATACCTGTCGTGCTTATAGGATTTATTGATACACCGCTAACTATATAGGATACTAAATGCCTATATTTGGATTCTATTACTATTGTCCAATGAATTGGTGGAGGATTTATTTCTTTTGGCTTATAGAACGTTCACTCCGTGAGCAAACTACTAAAACTCTGCAAGACTTCCGCATGTAGTTATCCATTGAGTCACATAATTCAAACTCGTTGCGACAGAAAATAAGATCCCAAATAAAGACACTCAACTTGTCAGACTTGACTTCATCCATTTGACAAAAACGCTGCTTGCTCTTCTCTCCAGTTCTTTAACAATGAATTCGGTTTCTCGCTCACTTATCAGAAGTAAAAAAAAAAAAAAACAAAAAACAAAAACAAAAGCCCCCTCTAGAGTCGACTACTTGCTCCACCCCCTCTACCTCCCTCCCCCTCGCGAACACATTAACTAAGCACATTCTATTTTATTTCCTTTTCTTTTTTTTTATTTTGTCTGTGTAATTTTCTATATAGGCGTGTCTCGTCAGACAGTCGTCACTCGCGGTCTTACTAGACAGACAGTCGCCATGGGAATGCAGCAGCGCTTCAATGGCACACTTGCTGATGCCCCCAAAGCCTCATTCCCAAAGCTCAACATGTTGTATCGTGCCTTGCAGTTTGGCTTGTTGGGTGGTGTTGTTTTTACCGGATACTGTGAGTAATCGAAATACTTTTTATTTTGTCAAAAAATAAAAAATAAAAATAAAATAAAATACATATAAATAAAAAAAAAAGTCAACAAAAATTCTTTGTTTGGAAGATGAAGCTGACGGAAGATGAATAGCAATGTGGGAGACCCGCCATCCCCCAACACAGGAATCCTTTGATCCTTCCAAGAAGACCATCGTCGTACTTGGTAGTGGTTGGGCCTCGACCTCCTTCCTCAAGGCGGTTAATACCGATGACTACAACGTGGTAAGTAGTTGGAATAAGCGCGAATAAATAAATACATATATATATATATGAATTTGAGGGAGGCTAGGGCGGAGGTGAAGGGGATGGGAGTTCATGTTGAATTGGGAGGGAAATTTGTAGATAAAAATTAAAAAGAAAAAAAAAGGAAAATGAAAATAAGAATGGACAAATTCAATGTGTAAAGATTAATTTCTGTTTTTAGGTTGTTGTATCTCCAAGAAACTACTTTTTGTTTACTCCTCTTCTGCCCAGCTGCACGGTTGGTACCATTGACGTCCGTTCGTTGGTTGAACCCATTCGTTTCATTACTCGCCACAAGTCCAGAGATGTAAAGGTTTATGAGGCAGAGTGTACCGATATTGATCCCGAGAAGAAGCTCTTGACAATTGTTGGTAAGTTTTGAGATAAGACGAAATGCAACAACCAGAAAATAAGAAAAAAAAGAGGCATAGAAAAACTTTGGCTGACTCATTCTTTTTCGCACAATCAGACAGCTCCGATGTCAAGGGAGAAAGTTCTGTTAGCACAATTCCTTATGATTACTTGGTAATCGGTGTCGGTGCTCAGAATCAGACATTTGGTATCAAGGGTGTAGAACAGTACGGTTGTTTCTTGAAGGAGGTCTGGGATGCCCAGAAGATCCGTACTAAGCTCATGGATTGTATCGAGACTGCCGCCTTCCCTGGACAGAGCCCCGAGGAGATTGACCGTCTTTTGCACATGGTGGTTGTAGGAGGTGGCCCTACCGGTATTGAATATGCTGCCGAACTCCACGATTTCTTGGTCGACGATCTTACCGTCTGGTATCCTGGTAAGCTCTTCTTGATTTCAAACAACAACAACAACAGCAGCAGCAACAGCAATAATAACAACAAAACTAGAATAAGATAAAATTAAATTAAATAATATATAAGTATAATATATTTAACGCGTACTTGATAGAACTTGCCGGAAAGATCAAGATTACCTTGGTTGAAGCTCTTCCCAATGTGTTGCCTGCCTTCTCCAAGCAGTTGATTGAGTACACCGAATCTACATTTAAGGAGCAGAATATCACTATCCACACCAAGACCATGGTTAAGGAGGTCCGCGAAAAGGAGATCGTGGTAAAGAAGAGCGATGGTACCGATGCTTCTATTCCCTATGGTCTTCTGGTTTGGGCTACTGGAAACACTATGCGCCCCATGGTCCGCAACTTGATGAACAAGCTTCCCGAGTCACAGACCGTGCGTCGTGGTCTTTCTGTCGACGATTGGCTGCGTCTCCAGGGCTCAGAGGATATTTTTGCCCTGGGTGATGCTACTGCTACAAAGTATGCTCCAACTGCCCAGGTAGCATCGCAGCAGGGTAAGTACCTTGCTCGTGTCTTTGCACAGCTTGCAACCACAGAAAAGCTCGAAGACGAGCTTGCTTCTGCACCTGCTGAAGAGAAGGCAAAGAAGCTCCGCAAGTATCAGAAGTCTCAGGATATTCAGCCCTTCAAATACTCCCATCAAGGATCATTGTGGTAAGTTAGAACATAAAATAAGATGTGTGCTTTGAGGATATTAAGGATATATATTTTTTTTCTTGGATGGTAGTTATGTTGGCTCTGACAAGGCTATTGCTGATGTGCCATTCGCTCAGGGTAACCTTTCTTCGGGTGGTGTTGCTACCTTTGCATTCTGGAGATCTGCATACGTTTCCAACATTTTCTCTGGTCGTAACAGATGGCTCGTCATTACTGACTGGACCAAAAAGACTCTTTTGGGTCGCGACATCTCCAGAGAATAAGCGTTCTTATATCCATCTTACATTCATCATATTTACAGCGCACTCCTTTATAGAATATTACATTAACATGAAAAGCTTGCTTTATTTTTCTACAAAAACATATATAAATAAAAAAGAAACCCCTAGAGAAACTATGATAAATGAGGATTGTGCTCTGTTATGATACATAATGCCTTTGAGTATACTGCCTATGTATAGTATTGAGCTTTAGTTTTTAAAGATTTTAAGTTTCTAACGTTCTATTATTTAAAATATCAAGCGTGTATATATTGGATGGCCACAGATGATGTGACCCTTGTACGTTTTTCTTGACCAAAAATGAACACCAACAACAACAAGACAGATCCAGATAGAAACAAGCTTTCCTTATTTGGACTGTGAGCCAATGTATCTGAAAACAATGCGAAGCAAACATCTAATAAACAAGTGGTTTCAGCTAAATAGATATCCAAAATCGGTTTCTTTTCTCTTCATTTCTCTTAACATCTCTATTTCAGTTACCATATCTCACACAAACTACCAGTCTAATAATAATAATAATAATAATACCAATAATGAAGTACGGTCTTCCCTCTGTCAACATACATGGATCTTCCTCAAACCCGGCTATGAGAAAAAAATCTGTTGTTCCACCAGCGACTTTTACAAACATCGCATCTGTCATCCAAATGAACGCTAAATTTGAAGAAGCCAGCGAAAGAGAACATAGTCTAAAGACAACCATTGATAAATTACAAAAATCATTGGATTACAAAGAGGTATATAAATGTAAAATATAAATTATTTAAATTAACCAAGATTAAATAATTATATTATTTACAAGACCGAAATAAGATCTTTAAAAGAGGCTGCCCTAGCATGGAAAAAGAAGGCCGAAGAGTACAAGAATTCATATGAAGATGCCTTGGAGAAGATTAAAGGTATTATTTAATACGGCTTTCGGATTTTTATGTTGTTGTTATTTGGGTACTCAAAAAATCCATTATAGAACAAGAACGGATATTGAAAAAGCAGCATAAAACAGAGATGGATATATTGACAAAAACACATGTTGAACAAATGGATGAAGCAATTGCGACAATTTTACAGCTCGAATCAAACATCAAGAATACAGAGTCAATAGATTCGAGTAAATAAACTTTTCAAGACATATTATAGCTAATATACCAGAGTAATAATCATTATTGGCGGTATTTAACTACTTACACTGGTAGCAGAATTCAATTTGCTTTCAATAGACTATATAACTGGCACAAATGTCAGAGATGTACATGAAAGCAATATGATATTAGAGGTAAGAAATACTATTATTTTTATTACTCTACTAGTCGCTAGTGTTAATCTATATTGACACACTCTTTTTTTTAGGAAGAAGCTATACTAGAGACGGAGCTTGTCCCTAATAGAATAGAAGGCACAGACGCACTTGTTCTTAGTTTCAATGCAAGTAAATATTACAACAATATATAAGTACAGCCTTTCCTGATAATCGTTATTCGTTTTAGGATATGATAAATGCAATTGAAGATGAGATAGAAAGGTGCAAGGCAGAAGAATCGTCTATATACTCTGACGGCTCTAGTGAATTTTATTTTCCTGATTCAGAAACAACATCCAAAAATATAGAGGTAGCCGAAAGTATTCAAAGTGTCGTATTTGAAACAGAAAGCAGTCTACCAAAAGAGGACATTATTATGAGTCCAGTCGAGGTCCAAATAGAGATGCTTCCAGAAAACATAATCGAGATTGCAGTAAATGATACATCAGATATCATTACATCCAAAGTAAAAGATACAGAACGACAGATCACTGACGCTGAATCAGCAAAAGTTGTATCAGATAGGGAAGCAAATGTTGCGTCTGCTATAACAGCAGCAAAAAATGCTATAGAATACACAGAAAAGGTCACAGCAAACATCGTACCAAAGAATGTAAAACTTAAGCAAATCGAAGAAAACACAGCAGCACAAAAACAAAAAGAAGAAACAGCCAAAAGTATTGACAGAGTACACATCCCCGCACTTACGGACAGAACTTTACCACCACTAGTGCCTTCGCTTGAATTAGCAACTGACGATTCTGACGATGCTCCTGAAGAAGTATCTCATGCACCTTTGTTTACCAAAACACGATATGATACACCTCCTCAAAAACAAACTCAGCGACCTCTTTTCCAAACTAGAGACCAGCTCTCAAAGGTCATCCCTAGTATATTTCGCCACAACAAGAAAAAGGACAAGGAGGATATCACAATACATGATAGAAATCCATCAAAATCAAAAGATTCGACAGACATGTCTCACACAAATTTTGTTCTAAGTATGATTCAAGAACAACAACGACATGCGAGTGAAGATATATCAGGGCAATCTACGCTTTCACTTTCACAAAACCAGCCCGTCTTCCACCCGATACCAATGGACTTCCGACGAATGGGGCAATCGTCAACTACAAATCCACAGCACTACAGATCATCCGAGCAAGCTTATAGACAAGAATATCCTATCAATCGCTTCCAAAGTGCACAGCCTTTATCGAACCAGTCAAAGACAAGGATGTACCCAGATATCAGTCAGACTGATTTGTTCATTTCTGGCTATGGCCCCGGTCTATCCCCTAAAAACTCATCGAACGGACTCTATCAACCCTCATTTTCAAAAGACCATTCAGCTCATCCTGACACATTGGTTCAGGAACCATTCAAGAAGGTGGCCTCAAATGATCACCTTTATTCCTCTTCCACCTTATACCATACCTCCAATTTACCGTCCTCAAAAGAGCAATGGAGAGTACATAAAGCATTGCAAAACAAATCTTCTTAAAATAGGTTAATAAGTTTCATAATTCATATCTATATCTATTCTACTCATTCAACAGAAATACACACATAAATCGCATCCAAATCTACACTACAATATGTACACACACACAATTTTTTTTCGTTTCATTTTCCTTTCTTTTTTTTAAGTGGCCGCTGATTTTTTTTTTGATTTTTTTTCTGATTTGAACGTCACAACCATTTTTTTTTTTTTTGCCTCGAAAGCAAATAAAAAATTTTCTTCACAGCTTTTTTTTGACCTCCTCTTTCCGTATAGGTGCTACCATGGTCGCTTAGTAAGTTTTCCATCCAACAAAAATAGACGTGAAGAACGAAGGCAAAGAACGAAAAGAAACATTATAAGATATCGGTATCCATACGGCGATCACCAAAAGTACATTGATTTTCATTGCCCTGATGAATGAGAATTTCTATTCATGATGGGTGGCTGAGATGCCATTTACTTTTGTGTGTTCTTGGACATTGTCAAATTGGATATCGAATTTTATTTTTTATTTCTGTATCTTAGCTTAGTGTGCTGTGATGGTTCAGGATTACTGTGCTGGCAAAACGCTATATTGTTTAATCAGAAGATTGACTCATACTAACTTTGGTGGTATTATAGCAACGTTCCTGCCGCCAACGACGTCCTCGTCCCCGAGACTCTCTTGAAGAAGAACCAGTCCAACGCCAAGGCTGCCGCTGCCCTCGTTGCCAAGAAGGCCGAGGCCAAGAAGGCTCGCATTGCCAAGAGACGTGATCTCTTCAAGCGTGCTGCTACCTACCACGCCGAGAACAAGGCTGCCGAGAGACGCGAGGTCTTCCTCCGCCGTCAGGCCAAGAAGAACGGTGACTTCTACGTTCCCGCCCAGCCCAAGCTTGTCTTCGTTGTCCGTATCCGCGGTATCAACAACATTGCCCCCAAGCCCCGCAAGGTTCTCCAGTTGCTCCGTCTTTTGCAGATCAACAACGGTGTCTTCGTCAAGTTGAACAAGGCCACCTCTGAGATGCTCCAGTTGGTCCAGCCCTACGTCGCTTACGGTTACCCCAACCAGAAGACCATCCGCGAGTTGATCTACAAGCGTGGATATGCCAAGTCCAACAAGCAGAGAATCCCCATCCACGATAACTCCGTTATCGAGAAGGGTCTCGGCAAGTTCAACATCGTCTGCGTCGAGGATCTCATCAACGAGATTGCCACCGTTGGTCCTCACTTCAAGGAGGCCTCCAACTTCTTGTGGCCCTTCAAGCTCTCCAACCCCAACAAGTTGTGGCACGCTCGCAAGTTCTTGCACTTCGTCGAGGGTGGTGATGCTGGTGACCGTGAGAACTTCATCAACAAGCTCGTCCAGTCCATGAACTAAGTTTTATAGCTAGCTAATCCATCTAGTATCTATCTGTTCGAACTTTTTTTTTTATTTCACTCACTAAAAAAACTTTAAGAACGGTGGCTTGGTTTTCGAACTTCTAAAATTTATAATATAAATATTTTTTGTTTGATGTACAGATGTTATATAATGATGCTAATATGAATAATGGATTCAAGAAGTTTAATTGTGTTTGGTTTTTAAGAGTCTATAGAATAAGAAGAGGGAATTTTTGGGATTCATTTACAAGAATATATGTGTATTGAAGAAAGGAATCTATCTGTGTTATTCATTCATTCATTCATTCATTCATTCATTGAGGTTCTTTTTTGGCAAAATGCTAAATGTATTTCACTATTTTTCTCCTTAGGTTTATGCTATTCTCTTTTACAAAATCCACAATCATAATTTCAACCATGTCTAATCTTCTCTTTTCTCCTATTTGTTTTCAGTTTTCTTTTACCTACTTCTCTTGCTTAACTTAACAACTTTTTTTTCTAAGGCAAATCAAAAACAAACCAAAAAAGACTTTTTGTCTTGTGAATGTAAAGCTTGTCAGTTGTCTGTGCTTACTTGGATTCTATCCAAATATATACAATAACAATTCTCAGAAACAAAACCAATGCTTCTTCTTTTATCGATAAGCATAAGAGGTTTAGCAAGACCATTACTTTAACAGATTGCTCCCTACAAACGAATACTTTTTTTTATAGTTTTGTTTTTAATTAACAAATATTCATCTATTCGAAAAGGGGGTTATCCTAAATATTTCTAGTAAAAAAAAAAAAAAAAAAAAACATATAAGCACACATGTTACCTTTCAAAACTTCAAATTTACAAAGCTGTCGAAATTAAGCAATATGTTAAAAACTTGGCAAACTTTTAAGGCCTCCTCTATGGAAGACTTGTTGTTATTTGCAAAAATGCTATTTGTAGTGGCTTGGACTTATTATATTTTAAGACTGGTAAAGATTAGACAACTTTTCTTCTTTACCATACACTTGGATTAGGGAGTGTAAAATCGCATATTTAACCCAGTTGCCTAAACAACAAAGGTTTACCTCAGTAACATTTCGTTGTCATACTCTCGTCTTAATATACAGATTGTTTATTATTATGAAAGAGACAGTGAAATCATTAGACATACATTATATTATTTGGGTCAATGCTAACTCTCTGTGATATTCAAAACTCCCATTAACCGGTTTTTTCTTTCTTTAATGAATCTTTGTAATTTCTGAGTGGCAACCTCTATAATAGTAATTAGCTTCACAACATGTCAGATTAATATAAAACCTATGTTGTAGCTACAATCAAGTGGTATGTTTAATACTATTAGACTTATGAGAAAGGGGTGTCTTTTTCTCTCTCTTTGACCAAGTATTTAGATTAATACTAATTGCTCTTTGGGGTGTTGCCCTGTGCTATGTTTTTTTTTTACTTCAATAGAGTGTCTCGTGTAGCTCTTTATACCAATGCTTACTCAAGATGGGAGGTTTTCTTTACAAAACTCTGGATATTATTACGGGAATGTTACCATCTCCCCATTGAAAAGAAATACTAAATCTTGAAAATTTACAAAAACTCGTTTATTTGTCTAATACAATAATCAGATATATAAGTAATAAGGATACATTTGAGCGTGAAAAGTGCCTAAATTAATCTGAAGTGGGTCAGTATTACCCAATACTCATGACACTTTGGCCAATCGCATTCTAGATTAAGAATAAGTGGCAAAGAAGGGAAGAAAAGAAAATTTGAAAAATTAAAAGGAGCGAAGCCTTATTTATACATAATCTTCGAGTGACTTACCTGTGACTGATATCCAGATAGTTCGCATAATGTTGGATGCATCAAGCAAATGTAAGAACTAATATCCTAAAGATGTAGCCAAAAGATCATTCAAACTTATATATCACATGGAAGACAGAGCAAAATTATAGTCTGGGTTTAAAATAAAGGAACCTGTAGGTTGTTTATGCATTTCCGTATGCCAGACAACTAAAAGCAAAAAGCAACAAATTCTGATAAACTCACGTCTGAGCACAACTTTAATATTGACAAATAGGTGTGTATATAAATAGATGTATAAAACCTACACAACCATCAGATAATTACATGATCTACTATAACTTAAGGCCACTTACCTCACAAATTAGAGCCCTTCTCAATAGTTTGGGTGCATTTGATTGAGTGAGTACTGTATGAGTTAAATAGAGTAAAAGTACACATGTATTAAAGACCTGATAGTATTTTGCAGTGCTCTAAAAGAAATTATTTTGATTAACAGTTGAAAATATGCTTTGATATGATTATGTAGTGAGTATTCATAAGAAGCATCTGAAGTGGTTACGTTTTAATCCAACTTTGCGTCCGATTAAATGTAGATAATGAGATATATACATATTTGAATAGATTTTGTTTTTATTTCTTATATCCTTTGTTAAAGTAAATAATAGTCTATAGCAAGAAGAAGAACATATCCCATAAATTATGCTCACTATATATATGTATATATAAAATACAACTTCCAAATTTATTATATACCTCTGTAGATTACAACTGTAATATATGCTCTTCATAAAGCGACTGTTTTTAATTCAAAAGTTTATATAGTAAGCATATGGTTGATATGTTTGAATGCTGTACTTACAAATGAGCGGTTAATTAAAATAATTGTGTTCCTTAATTTTTGTGTATTATTTTTTATGATTTGACTTGTTAACATAAAGATAATGCAAGTAGTTGTATAGCCTATATACCTCCCTTGCGAATTCTCTTTCTTTTGCTTTAATACCAAGACTTATTCGGGTGACCGATATAAAATAGATAAAATATGGTTTCTAATTCTTCTGTTTATGCAGTTTATTATATAAAGTCTATATATAAATGTGGTAAAGTGTCCTAATGAACACATGATCTTGTCAATGTGCACAGTCTTACGTAGTGTAAAAAAAAAGCGCACGCCAAGTCAACAGTTGTTTTTAAAAGAAAAGTTCAAGGTTCTGTCTATAGTTTTCTTTTGAAAAAGAAACTATCTGATCTAACAGAAATACATATAGCTTTGTAATTTAACCTGATTGCTTGAAACATTCTAGAAAATAAGCTTTAGGAATCCGAGGAAGAATACAATACAATTCGATTCTATCTGCTAATCGGAAGCCAGAAGAAAGATAATACGTATGTCTGATGTCAATAAAGAAAGAAAAGAAGAAACAAAGATATAGCAAAAAAAAACACTCTATTTCGAATCAACTTTACCAATGTTAGCTATTAGACTAACAAATGATAATAATAATAATAATTCATATTTGCTTGTTTGTTTATTTGTATAAATCGTTTGAAATATTTCCAGGGATTCTATGCAGCCCATTGGGATGACTGATAAGAATAGCAATTGTATTCAACTCGAATCTCCAAATTCAATGCTCTTTTTAATTTTTGGCTGGTTGGTACTGTTAATGCGCGAAGATTAAAGAAGTATAATAGTAAATTAAGACAACTGGGATCTTTGAGGTCTTTAAAAAATAAAGGCAAATGTAATGTGGCGCTTACATTATAGTAATAATAATAATATATATATATATATATATAAAAAGAGGCCACTTTAGTAGGAGATTTTTTTTTGCAATATTTTCCGGGTTTTAAGGGTTGTTTTAAGGTTGAACTTTGATTAAGCGCTATTGCTTCTCCTAATTTTTTTTATTATATATATGTTTCAATTTCAAATTTTCTTATTCCTTTGCTATTATTGTAATTCAAAAGACCAAAAAACAAATACATCCCTAGGCACGTATTTTTTGTTTTGTTTTTTTTTCCACAAGTTCTATTTACAAATATAGTATATAAATAATATCTTATCAAAATATTGAATGTTTTGAAAGAGAATAGGCTTCAAAATAACATCATAGGCTGTCCTATAAAGAGTAAAGTCAGAGGATTGATACATTAGTAACTTTTGCAATGCTTGATATGTATAAACCCTATTAATTTACCAGCAATTTTTTGTGATAATAAGAGGCTCAAATATATATAAACAGTGGTTGACGGGTTATTACTTATTGGTAAGATTTATATGACGAATGTATATTCAATTTTATAGACTAAGAGGCTGAAAACTAAGCAACAATAGTTTCAGAGTCTAAAATAATAAATAAATAAATAAAAAAGAATCGAGCCAAGACACTAACTTTTGGTCAGTAGGATCGGGAAGCACAAAAAAAATCTGTCTAAAATTAAACAAAAAAGAATTGTATAGATCTATATAAAACTTAATTGTATGACCCCACTCCGTCAGTTTAAATTCTGAGTCCTGTGCTTTCATTGATGGTAAAACAACTTGGAGGCTTTATTCGCTTTAATATACATGTTATTTTTTATTTATTTATTTTAGACTAATCACCATGGTAATCATTCTATCTTACAATAGCCAATAATAAAAAGGGATCTTCACCCGCGTTTCTTTATTCAACCGAATGGACCGATACGGTGGAAGATATGATGATCCGACTGTTATCATTATTCTATCGACGCGTCTGATAACGCAGACGTGCATAAGATGTTTACTTTAATAAAAAAAAATAATAGAATTCTAGCTTAATTACTATCGTCATCAATTATCTTTTAACATTATAGATCTAGAACTAGAGCTAGCATTTAGCATAGCCGAGCCGCAGCAATGTAAGCGCCTCTGAGATGACAGTAGCACTTCAAAATGTATAGTGGCTGAAAATACGGTAAAAGATAAAAAAGATCGCCTACGAGCTAAAGAGCCTATTTTTAGTATCAGTATTAGTTTATGTTGTGCAAAAGTACAACCAAAGAAATATGCCTTGTGCTAATTTCTTTCTTAGGGTGCAAAACTGTCACGATTAAGATGGGTACGATCCAAGAATTCGATATACAAAATTGCTGGTAACCAAATGAATTGAATGGCGGAGCTTCCTTTAATCCCTCACTATTCGTAAAATATACTCTAGTCAAAAGTATCATACTCATAGTTCTATTCAAAGTCAAAGGCAAGGTCAAGGCCAATGCCAATGCCAAGGCCAAGGCCAAGGACAAATCCTTTATTTATTTTTTTTAAAAAAAAAACGAGATATTTTAAATAAGCTACCAAAAACAGAAAGGAAAGGAAACAATTCTTTTTACTTTTATTAAAAATGATAGTTAAAATGATCAATAGAAAGTACATTACATTGTATGCCAGTTTGGATCTCAAGTCCAATGGAAGCATATTTTATTCAACAACTTCTATATATATATATAAACATAGAATTAATGGGTGTAACAGCAATATGTTCCAGATAAGACATTATATCCAATAGACAATACATAAAGATATTCAAAAATAAAGGCACATCGATAGGTGCATAGAGTTTGGCAAGTGCGACTTGGGTCCTTTTCTTTGCGGTTGCAAACCTTTTAGTATTTGACTGGCGCAACTTTTTATTTTGAACAAGAATGGTCCTGACATTTGAGGGTATAATACAGCAAATATAATAATAAATAGTTTGTTTGATAAAAAAAATGTATGTTTATTATAAGAAGGTTAAAAGTGCATAAATGGAGTTTTAGGAGCAAAAGATTATACTTGTACTTCATAGGATATATTCTATGTTTATTGACATACTCTAGATATAAATACTATATATCTTTAAAGCGAATAAAGAAACAAACAGAAAAAGGGTTGGGACTTGAGTTACTTGAAATCATCTTTCATAAATATAAATATATATATATATGTATATACACCCAAAAGGACAGATGGCTACTTAAATCCAAGAATAGTCTAATGAACACAAGAAATTTTAGGCAATCATGGGCCGTATATGTCTTTGTATGGATATTTAGACTATAGATCAAGGTACAAATCAGCCTTTTGAACACAAGAGAAACTGGATCTTTGGTGGAGGAAATATTTACAAGGCTTTTTTTTTTGATTTTTTGGTTTTTTGGTTTTTTGGTCCAGAACAAAGAATTTCTTTTTTTTTTGGTGTAAAAAAAATAATGTCAAAGGCCGAGCCACGCTATCGTTATTTGTTGAGATTAGATTCTTAGACTCTTGCTAGGTTGGCATAGTTGAAGAAGAATTCGATAGGGTGATCATCACTCGAGAGGGATCGTGATGCAAGTTGAAGGAGCTTAGAACTAAAGGTCTGAATATCTATGTTTGCGGTGTCTGCAATATTGGCGTGATTTGTGTGCTCGTTCCAAGGTATCACCCGAAGCGAAAGTTGTCTCTCGTCGTGTCTTAAAAATACCGCATTAAAATAATCGAGAACCTGTTTGAGGTCCCTGGCCGTGTGCTCGAGTAAGTCTGGCAAAACGGTCTGGTCGAGTGTCAAGAACGTCTCGGAAAGATTGTTGGCGATATAGTCGTCGATGCTACTAGAAAGACTGACGGCCTTTTCCATCAGACAGCCCGAGTCTGCTTGGTCTGCCTGGACTGGAAATCCAGCATTTATCCCGCACCGGGTTGAGATTAGCTGGGCCAAATATGCTTCCAGGGCAGGTCGACTGAGCTTGTCCGCAACCTTGTCCCACGCGAGAGGAAGATTTCCTTCTGTATGGGCCTGGATGGCGCCAGATATTTGTGCCTGAAGGATTTCTATATCCATGCCTTCAAGGGATTGAGACTGCTGAAAACTATGCTGACGGATGTTATCATAAGGCTGGGTATCTAGTGAGGTATCGTGGACGGTTATCTCGATGTGATGCTGAAGCTGTCCAGATATCTCGCGGTATGTGGTCGAAATGATAGGTTCGAGATGGTCAAAGTGCAAATGGGTGGAGACTAGTTGCGTAAACTGGTCTATCTGGACCACAAATGGCTCATTTGCTGGCTCTATATTTTCCACGGTCGAACTCTCTAAAATCGAATCATCAAGAGAGATGGGCAACCCGTGGCCTACAGCAAAAAGAGCAACAAAAACAAGGGAAAGCTTCATATCCTTTTTTTTGTATTTTGATTATTATTATTTTTAAAGTAGGAAAAGGGAAAGGGCAAAGATTGAAAGAATAGATTGAAAGCGAGTTTAAATAGTTCAATAATTTAATTTTTTTTTTTTTGGTACGCGGGAGGGGCTTGAAGCCCAAGATTATTATTTTTTTTATATATAAAATTTATTTGGATTGAAATCAGTCCAGACAAGCCGATGACGATGACGGGGATCTAATCCACTCATCAGAGGGTCACTCCAAAATGTTATAACATGCTATTTTTGTTACTGTCATGACGCTGCACCAAGGTCACTTTGCTTAGCTAGTGCTGGTCCAGCAGCCGCAGCGGTTCTTCAGCAAGATAGGGCCTTATCACTTTTTCCTCAAAATAGGCATCTGTGATTTTCATCTTGATTCAGGCATAAAACGATTGTCAACGATTATGCACCAAACCAAGGATAAAGAGCAACAAAATATACATAAATCCCTTATTTTCCCTCCCCCCATCCTACCCCTTCCCATTTTCCTTTCCTCACACTGGTGAACCTACATGTTGTCCTGGACACACAAGAAACACAAGTCGCCCTTCGTTGCCAAGCCTCTGAAGTCCTAGCCAATCCTGTCGGTAAAGCAACTGATCTTCCAACCGAACGAGGGCCCCTTTTGAGTCCTGTGTCCAAAACCACTGCCAAAATTTGGATCAATAACCTGTTTGTTTGTTTCTACATATATCAAAAACAACAACAACAACAACAACAAAAGCAGCAGTAATGATAATGATAACAGCATGTATTTACCGCAGTCTCTGCAGGTTTTATCATAGCATCTTCTTCAAAGCGAATCATGACAAACATGTCTAGACTGGACAGGTGGTCTCGGTAGGTCGAGTTCTGGGTACCAAGTTCATTGTTCAAATCAGGTAAAAAGATGTTTTTCTTCAGATAACCTGCGCACAATCAAATGTTAGCCCTTTAACCTCTCCTTCTTTTGTTTTTTAGTATCTTTTATTTTTGATTTTGCTTGATTTTTTACTATTATTATTAATTGTAAGCAACAGACTACCTTTAAGATCTTTTGGGTTTTTGTAATATTGTGCTTGGATAATTCGGTGTTGAACATAGTCAGTATAAACACCTCGGCGAACAATAGACCGCATCAACGCACAGGAAAAGTCGCGAGGATCTGTACAGTTTGGAATATCCGAGACACCTGCACGGTAGTGTAGGGGTTATTAATGGGAGCAGGAGAAATATCACTTGAGATCTTCACACAGGGTTTATAATTTATACTTATGTATAGATATAGTCTTTTTTTGTTTTTGCTTTTGTTTTTGTTACTGTTGCTATATCTAATTCAACTCACCTCCGTGTGGAGAGCCAAATGTGATCAATCGATGTACCGATGGTCTATTGCAGTGTTCTACATAGGCTCTAGATTCCAAAAAGTCGAAACGACACGCAAATATCAAGATTCGATTCAATCAGCTCTACTCGGTCAGATCACACTGTGCGATTCAACTCTTTATTCCATCAACTCTCCTTACCTTAAGAACAGGCCTCCCTAAATCCATCAATGAAGTTCATTTCAATCAAACCAAACAACTTTAGCCTGAAAGAAACAAGGTTCTCAAAAAAATGTATAGCTATTTATACCTGAGAGAAACCAATAGCGTTAAATCCATTAGACAGCTCTGGGATATCTTTCAATTGGCGGCATACATGATCCACCTGTCACATCCAAATAATGGTTAGCCGATCTGTATGAGTTGCATTGCATCGCCTAAAAGTGTATGTGCTCCACTTACTTGATCTTTTAAAACACCAAAAAATCCGGCGTTGTGGTCTTCTTTCGGAGTATCTCCCACTTGAACACTATGCACAAATACGCCTGGCAGAGAATTGCTGACAAGTGTTTTGACCCTACCCATAGACTCTTCGTTGCAGCAGTCATCTCCCATACCATGCCATAAAACAACTAGTGCGGATAACAAAAGAAATAAACTAAACTTCCTTTCTTAACTAGATCTACTAAAAAAAAAAAGAAAAAAAAAAGAATCCAATTTACTGGGAATGTAGGCTATTCAAATGAAAATGGTCGTTAAAACTTTTTTTTTGTTCTTGTTTTATTTGCGGGTTTATCATTCTTTAAAAATAGAGTACAGGAATAAACAATGCTGTACTGTTCTTACCATGGCTGAGACAAAATGAGCTTGCCAGGAGTAATGGCAATGCTAATTTTATAATCATTATATTGATCAACCAAAAGCCTGGAGCTTCACCCTGTAAACACGTTACTAAGCAAGCGTGGTTGGTGTCACATGATGCCTATTCATGCACCTCCCTTGTGGCTAATCAAACAGACTGGCCAAATAGAATGTTTGGGGCTTGTAAAGAATGTTGGCTTTTTTTTATGTATTATAATTGAATGGCGTATTTACAGTATTAGATGGTGGGTAAAGCTTTTTTTTTAAAAATAAATAAATAAATAATAATAATAATAATAGTATAATCTAATCTTACTATTAGCTATAAATACAAGATAATGCAAAATATCTTTCTTATTTTATAAAACATATTCTACCAATCACAATATACTGTTATTGCACTAATTATTGAATTCAACTTATATATATATATTTCTAGTCTTTATATGGGTTTTAGAGGCAAAAATGGATCAATGAATAAATTGATACATACATACATATATACATACATACATACATAAATTCATATATAAATACACATGTTTGCCACTCAAGAGGCAGGAGTGGCAATTGGTCCCTACGGTCAAACTCAGTGTAGGGCTATTGAAACATATAAACAGGTCATATGTAGGGAGAAAGACAGGTTTCTATTCTAAATTGACTTCCCTTGACCTTGCCCTTGACCTTCCTCTTCTAGATAGAGATCGACCTGACATTGTCGGCTAATCAATATTCGTCTTACCAACCAAGGGAAGAATAAAAAAATCAATGGAAGGAATATGACATTTAAAGCATTGATACTAATACATATATTTATTTATATTTAAATATATATTTGCTATATAAGCTTATGTAAGAAATCGCTCTTAAGTATAAGATACACTTCTATATCAATTTACAATGCTCAAGCATACAAATACAAACGATTTGTGTCAAGTTACCACCTTAAATTTTCCAAAGCAACAAAATTCTAACATCACCGGAGATTAAATATTGAGATACGTCACTTTCTATGCGCGGTGTTTTTGGGTGGTGCAGGTAGCCGCTCCGGACAGCCTCCCCACCTAAAACCGTCTTTAGTGGTTGAGCAAAAGTCCATCCTCTTTCTCTGACCCTCAATATATCAACGATGGTGGTATGTATTAACACCCACTCTATATGGATGACAATGGGATGGATTGAGATGGATACGGATGGATGCGCACCCGAAATCATCGCCAATCGATAGACCTCCACAGCAAGATTCTCTGTGAACCTTATCGACTCACATTTTCCTACTCGTTTTAGCAAGGTTCTTTCAAGCGTCAAGTCGAGGTTGGCCGTGTCGTCCTCATCAACTACGGTACCGACAGCGGCAAGCTCGCCGTCATTGTTGACATCGTCGACCACAACCGTGCTCTCATCGATGGCCCCACCACCGGTGTCACCCGCAAGGCTTTCCCCTTCCGCCGCATGACTTTGACCCGTTTCGTTGTCAAGGATCTTCCCCGTGGTGCCGGTCAGACCGTTCTCAAGAAGTACTTGGAGAAGAACCAGACCGTTGCTAACTGGGAGAAGTCCGCATGGGCCCAGAAGCTCGCTGTCCGCAAGGTCCGTGCTGGTCTCACCGACTTTGACCGTTTCAAGGTCCAGAAGTTCAAGAGCCAGGTAAGATTTTTAATTAATTTTGGTTTGTGCTCTTTACGCCAAGCTTGTAACATAAATTTTATCTTTAAAAAAACATTTTAATCTTACACTCTTTCTCTTTATTTTTAATAGCGTCGTTATGCCGTTGCTGGTGCTGTCGCCAAGGCCAAGAAGGCTTAAATTCTTTTCGTTTGTTCATTGTTGGAAAGAGCAGCTTCGTTTGCTTCAAAATAAAATCATAAGCAAGTCCAGTGCGTATAGTTGAAAAATCTTATTTTTATCAAATGAATGGCAGTTGCATTACGAAGTGTTGAGAAAGTGTATAATATAGTTAGGGACAGAGGGAAATAATGGTTAAAACGATAATATGAATTTGGGTAAAAGAAAAAAGTTTAGGGAATTTTAGGCCTATTTAATCTCACTGGTAATTATTGTGCCAGATGCTTTTTGAGTGGAATCTAAGTTGCTATTAGATAGATCCTCTAGATGTTCATTTTTCATATTTTGCTTCTCATCTTGATCCAATTGTACGCTTTCCTTTGGTACTTGGTTTTCTTTTACTGGGCTCAATGTTTTGTCCACTATTTCCGACTGAGCTCCTGACGGAGGAGTGGTTTGCTCTACAGTGTTCTTGTTGGCTATCTCTTTGTCTGCACTTTTAACCACTTCAATTGCAGCATCTTTTACTTTCTCGGATGTTGCGAGTTCAGGTGCTTCTTCAGGCTTGTTACGTCGTCGTTTGTAGAAGAGTAGATAAGCGGCACTGGTCTTGACTTGGCCAACCTGCACTTTACTAGCATGGGAATCATCAAAATTGTACCACAAGTGATCTTTTTCATTCTGCGCATAAGCTGTGTAATGGCCGCCACCCAAACCACCAAAATGATTGTCTACTGCGTATAAATCGTATAGTAATCGTTCGTTTGGCCCCACTTGGTTGGCATCAAGGTCAAGTACCCGGTCAGTCAGGTCCAGCCCTTCTGTAGGGAAATCAATAAGAGCATCAATTTTATCTCTTAAGGTCCGCGAATGGTTGAATCGCTTCAGATGCACCACCATAATATCGGGCATTCGCCAAAGATCAAACTTTTTGGTTGCACGCTGGTGCTTTTTGCAGTTTGGACAGTACCAAAGGTCTTCTTCACCCAAAAGTTCACGCTTTGTAAACTCATCCAAGCAGTCGCCAAGTGTCACTGTCTTGGTAGCTTTTTTCTCGTGTACTATATTTGGGTCCTCACGCTCCTCAATATCTTTCCATGCATCTGCATTCACACCACTCTCTCCAGTGCGAGTAGACCCAAATATCTGTTGAGCCTTGTTCAGTTTCCATTCAATCAAAATACCCTCGCCCTGACGGATTACTGGCAAAGTAGGTTTTGGTGGTGAATTTATGGTGGAGCACTTTGACATAGCATCCGTCACACTCTTCTGACTCGCTGGACTATCCGATACAGCTGCTTCTTTTAACAGATTCTTTTGATTTTCCAAAATCTCTAGACTGTGCACACTCTCTTGACCAGCAATACTCTTCAGACTCTCCAGGCCTTTTAGACCATCTACACTCTCTGTATTTGCGCCGTTTTCTAGACTTCGGATTGTGCCAAGACTCTCTGAACTCTTCACAGTATTCAAACTATCAACGCTCTTGACGCTGTCCTGGCTTTTCACAGTTTCCATGCTAGTTAGACTCTTCAGACTCTCTTTTCCTGCCATACTCTTCAAATTCTCTAGGCCTGTCAAGTTCTTGATATCATCTTTGAGATCCCGAGTGTTCATCTGTTGAACATCTTCCATCATTTCTGCACCATTTACGAGGTTGCTATCAGACTTGGTGACAACAGCTGGCTTGAACTTTGATTTGGGTTCAGGACTTGTTTTCTTGCCCTGAGCATTATCTGCGCGCTCCTTAAGGTCCGTTAGGGTTGAATAGTTCCATGTGGGTAAATTAACAGGGAATAAGTCACCCGTAGGGGGACCATAAGCTGGCTTTTCAGTAAATATTTTCATAGAAAACATATTTGACATGGGCTCCATGTGTCTGCCTCCTGCAGCGGTTACTGCAGCGGCAGTATGTATAGGTTTTTGTGGGATATCTATATCCATTGGTATAGTCTTCTCTTCATCCTCTAATGTTTTGGTATAATTTGCATCATACTCGGTCGTATTCATTTCGGTATCTTCGATGTTGTTTGTGTTGGTTTCTAGAGAAGTAGGGGATTTCGGATAATCCATTGGGACTTCCTCAAACAGTTTCATCATAGCATAACGCTCAATGTGCTCTGAAATTAGACGGTAAACGTTTTCAGGTTTCATGGCCTCCTTGCGAGTGATACCGAGAATTACAGGTCCACCGAATTGTGCAAGTCCCTGACGTTGATTGTTATCTCTGGGTTCGTGCAGAGCAGCGCAGTAGACTGGGAATACAATCAGATCATCATCGTTTCCTACTGGTTCTACTTCTGGCTTTTTATCGTTCAAGCCCAAACGCAGTTTGAAAGAGTTGATAGAGCTAGGCTTTAGTTTTGGTGGAGAAGGAATTGGGCCAGGGAGCTGATAAACATAGATCACATCACTGTGGCTAATACCAGTAACCGGTTCATAATGAGCAAATATCTTGTAGACCTTTTGGCTGAAGATTTCTACCACAAGAAACTATAGGAGATGTGCATGAAGACTTCTGATATATTCTTTTCTTTCAAATTCCAAAAAAATACTTACTGTTGATGGATCCTCAACATTGACTAACTTGGCCACCTCGACACGGAGATGGCTAATGCTGGCATCCTTATTGAGAGTAACGACCAAACGTTGGGGTCTTTCGGATGGATCATATGGTACGTACACCAATTTCATCTTGGTTTTCTTCTCGATTGGTAATGGCAAGGAAAGATACATGAATGGATCAAAGGTAACCGAAACCTTGTCACACTCATTGCACACCAATCGACTTTTAAACTGGCCTTGGAAGAGATCAACGATTATAGAGTCATTTCTGGCTTTGTGATATTTCCAGCTACATTCGGCAATCTCATTATCACTCATATTGTCAAAGTCAGGGAGCTCAACGTAAGGTTTCTTAAGAATTCGATTGAGATCTTCATGAAGACCATCAAGCAGAAACGCGAGTAACTCTTGGGAGTCATGTTGCATGTAACCCGTAAATGTGGGGTTAAAACGGCCAATTGTGTGCTAATGTAGGTAATATATATATGATAGGTGAACACAAAAAATTAATATTTCATTATATGTTTTTTTTAAAAAAAAAACTGAGATTAAAAGCAAACATACGTTGAATTGTCTGCTCGAAACTCACTTTAAATTCTCTGGGCATCACACTGGGAAACATGCCACTCCACAATTTATCTACAAGAGCACCATATGCTTCCGCTACCTCTCCTTTCATCCCCAAAGGATTATCACAGTTGAGGTCCTTTTTATATTTTCCAGCTAAATAAATTAGCAAAAAGTTATTAATACATTTTTTTGTAAAACAGTCGTAGCATTTACCCAAGAACCATTCGGTGAGCTGTGGTGTATTACTCAGGCATTGAATAGCAGAGTTCATAAAGCAAGTATTTCCCAAGTTTCCTAGTCCGCAAACGCCTTTTGTATAGTTTACAGCTGGTTTTTTGTTGTTCCACTGTCCAAATCCTGTTGTGCTGGGATTGTTTGAGCTCAAACTGGTTCCTGGTATGGAACCTTGATTTGGGCGGGACAGTAAATCATTACTGGCAATCGAAAATGGGGGGCCCATCGCAGAAAAAGGTTCGGTGGTATCCGTGGGTACATTGGTCTCAGAAGGGAACTTTCCTGACAGTCGATGTTTCACTTCAACAGCTAAACAAGTGCCTTGGATCGCTGCGGCAGACAGGGGAAGATCAAGCTTAGACATATCAACTTGTTCTGCATCGTTAAGTGCAGTCACAGTGATGTGAGGGGGTCTGGAAGTAACAGGAGAACTTTTGAGCTGCCAAATATTGGCCTCCGAGCCGGGTGAAAGATCCAATGCATTGAGGATAGTTTGACGCAGTTCTAACAAAGTTGATTGACGCGACATTCTAGCTTTGGGTACTCGATCTACCGAAGTCAAGGAAATTCCAGCTAGCGCAACAATATAGATATCAAATATAGGTGGGTATACTTCGACAGTCGATTGTTTAGTGAATTCTCCTTCGGTAATGACTTGTCGAGGAAAAACAGTTGTTGAACCGTACCTGTAAAAATAACAAACAAACAAAGAAAACAAAGTTTGAATAATGAGAAAACATAAATTAGTTGGTCCAATTCAATTAGCTTGATGAATAAAGCAGCAATAAAAAAAATACCAAGAAGATAAAGAATCCCATGCTTTCTCGCATAGAATAACATAATCTTCATCCAATTCCAATGAGGGTTTAAGTTCTCCATTAATTGTAATTCTTGCGTTGTCAATCTTTTCTGGTCGGGATTGTTCGCCCAAACTTCTGGTAGTCAAAGATGAACTACTCATCCGAGTACAATATTCCTTCCATTTTTTGTACCAATGATTGCTGACGATGTAGCATGTATCATTAGTCTCGAGCGGCTTTAATTGTAATTTGTTTATGTATTCCAGCTGTTCATGTGGGGGCAAAATTTCATCTCCCATAATACTGTCTTCGGGTTCACTGCAGACACTTGCTTCTCTAGCGCGCTTGAAAGAAGTCGGACTGCCGATTGGCGAGCAAGAAGAGTCCATGCTGTTGTCGACACTCATCTTTCAAGGCGAGACGAGCTTGGATCCACCTGAGGGGAGGTATGCTTACGCATCTACCCAGTCACGTCTCGTGAGGCGGTTGTTGAATACATCATTCAAAAGACAGACAACAGCTGAGTCAAAAGGTCTTTTTGGAAGGCGTTGATGCTGGTGGTGTATTCCTCTTTTAAACAGACATAAACGCCATCTTTTCATTTTATTGACTTTTATGGAGCAAAAGCTCAAATCCCCAAGACGACCGAGCAGCCAAGGACGATCTTCTTTAGCTAACAATCCCGAATCATCAACACAAGCTTTAAGATCTCCACTCTCCGTTCAAGTGGCAAGTGAATCTATCGGAAGCATTCCAGCCTCCAGCCGATATAGCCTAAGGCACCAACGACGTAAATTTTACTCCAACAACTCAAAAAACAACAACACCACCACCACCAAAAACAACAGTAAAAACACCAACAACAATAATAATCTCAATAGTAGCAACAATAACAATAATATCAACCAACAAGACAACAATAACATCTACCCCGAATCTGCTTACACATCTAGGTAAATTCCTCTGCACTGCGCCATCACAACATTCTTACCCCCTAGACTTTTTTTTTCCATCTTTCCCTTCTCTGTCTTTTTCCCTCCCTTTCCAAATACAGTAAACGGAAGTCACAGAAGCGTAAGCAGGTCGATTCTGAAGCATCCATCCCAAATACATCCAAACGTTCCAAAAAGAACAGAATCAGTACTCAACAAAAAGCAAAAGACAAGACTATGGCGGAGCAAGAGCAATCTGAGATTCTAAAGTCTAAGCAGAATGATAAGATTGGACGTACCAAGAAGACTCCCTCTGCATCACAATCCAAAAAGACCATTAGCGATCCTAATGACAAAGAGATGGACTCAAAAGCATCTAGCTTAATCAGCGATACCACTAAGAAAGGAAAATCAAAAGCTATTCGTCAACCAGTCGAAACCGAATCTAAAACAAGGTACATCCTTGTAACACTCCTTATTTATTTGTTTTTTTGCCCTATAATAGCTTGGCTTCATATTCTTACAAATCATATTTATTTTTATTTTTTAGAGAAGTGAAAGATAGAAGTCGCCAAAAACAAACAGATACAGAAACAGCACAGAACGATCCAATGGATGAAGGAGACCCAGGAAGTTCACCTTCATCGTATTACAAATACTTTGGTGAAGATGTCGATATTGAAGAAGCTGGAGACGACATTGAGCAAGCTTTGTTCGGCAACGACGGAATAGAAAATTATGAGGACGAAGACTGGGAAAATGAGAACGAGGAGTACGATGAAGATGAGGATGAGCAACAAGACGATATTGAAGGTACTGAAGAAGAGCTCGAGCGTGTAAGACGAAGCTTAGGCTTTCAAATGCAAGATATCTTTGACGACACTTCCTCAGACATTACCAGCCGCCTCCGCTCAATCCTCGCCAATCTGAGGAGCCAAGATGATCCCACTTTGCAACTTATTGCTCTTCAAACATTGTCTGAAATATTGTCTGTCAGCAGTGAGGAAACACTATCAAGCTTTTTTACCAGCGATAGTTTTGTCAAAGAATTAGTACGCATAATGAAGGGCCCGGACGATCTTATGAATGGAGATATGATGGATGATGATATGATGCTAGCATTAGCCATGAGTGAAGGCATGGGAGGAGGAAACCCGGAAATTATGCTACTTGCCTGCAGATGCATTGCTAATCTTCTTGACGCTATGCCAACTGCGGCTTCAAGTGTGCTGTATCATAAGGGTGTAAAGGTTCTTTGTGAAAAACTAAAGTCTATCGAGTACATTGATCTTGCTGAACAGGCCCTTTGTGTAAGGATAACTTTGTACACATTACTAATGTATAATTCGGACTCATCTCAATTGACCTTATTTTTTTGTACCTTCGTTTGAACAACAATTAGGCCCTTGAAAAAGTAGCAGCTCATTTTCCTCGTGCTGTGGTCAATGAAGGTGGCCTCAGTGCTACACTTATGTTTTTTGATTTTTTCAGTATACACTCCCAGCGTACTGCACTTCGAACCGCCTCTAACTGCATGCGTGGTGTTGATTCTGACACGTTTGATCAGGTTATGGAAGTTGTTCCCGCTTTTACAAATTTCATCACATACTCGGACCGCACCATTGTTGAGTTAGCTTGCCTTTGTTGGGTTAGATTGGCGGAGAGTTATCGGAATAGCCGCGAAAACCTCGAAAAGGCCATTTCACCAAACCTACTATCAACCATGGTGAGCCTTTTGCCTGTGTCTGGAAATCCCAATGCCGTTCGACCTTCGACCTTTAACGACCTCTTACGTTTCTTCCGTGCCGTTGCCAAGAGCTCGCCGACACTAGCCTGTGAATTACTTAAAGCAGATATCATTGGTGTATTTTATCAAATCCTTACTGGGGCTCCCTCGCCACCCGAAAATATTGATGTCAGCGTCACCATCACACAACTCGACAGCAAGTGGAGGGATTCAGTCCCTTCTATCACAAAGATTTTTGCTGATTTACTCCCTCACCTGCCTAAGGGTGAGCCAATTACATGGTGTATATTATATAATAGCGATGTTATTAATACATCAATTATCTTCTTTTTCCTGATATAGGCGATATGTTTAGTTCCAGGCGCTTCAAGGAAACTGAGCCAATTGCCACCCGTACTCGTTCTGCCAAACCCACCACAACAGAAACAAAAACGGATACTGATCCCCGTATTGGACTATTCAAAGAACAACCTAAGCTTCTTAAACGCATCAACTTTATTCTTGTGCCAATACTTCTCGAGATTTATACATCCACTGTGAACGTGCGTGTCCGTCAATATGTGACCCACATCTTGGTGAAACTTATTTACTTCTCCGAGGCCGAGACACTTAAGACAGCATTGAAGAATATTTCCTTCTCAAGTTTCCTTGCTAGTATACTGGCTCAACAAGAGCACCCAACTTTAGTCATGGACAGTCTATTTATGGCTGAGATTCTCATAAAAAAGCTTCCTGGGGTTTATCGGTCCCTGTTTGAAAGAGAGGGTGTGTTGCATGAGATCGAGACCCTTGGCACCAAACCATTTTCAGACACCGAACTTCAGCATGATACCAAGTCTATTGAGGAGAGCTTGAGTGATTCCACTAACGCTAAAGAAAATACTGTCTCGAATATTGCCGAGGCTTCTAGTACTTTGAAGGATGATACGCATACAAAGGAAAATGACACAATTTCTGAATCAGCAACAACAGAAGACGCGGCAGACTTTAGATCTGCTGGATCCCCTTCACCTGGTCCCAGAGATGAAGATCTAGGACAGGCAGAAACACTTTTCGGATCTAATTATGAGAAAGACCGAGCCAGTCTTCTGTCGGCCAGGCGACGTTTGTTTGACCGCGAAGACATACACGCTTTGTTGCGAAGCCGCCTTGGGCACGCTCATCAATCAGTAGCCGCTGCCGCCCTTGCCGCCGCCGCAGCAGCTGCTGCTAATGTTACTACTGCCAATAATGGTGATAACGAAAAGGGTATTGGCTGTGGATCAACCCGACGCCACATTATTCAACTCGCCAAAAACTTTGTTTCCGAATATTATGAACAGGCAACGAAAGGATCTGATGAGTCTAGTGGTAGAAGTCTTTGTGACATTCGAAAACTCGCACAGGATCTCGTTGGCCCTTCAACGGACAACTATGAGTCCGCCATAAAACACCTACTTTACTATCTCCAGGAGTCTAACATGGGTATAAGCAGCTTTGAGCTTACCAACTCAGGCTTACTAGACTCCCTTGTTTCTTATTTGAGCGATGACTCGGATACATTCTCTTGCCCTCGTTCTATGCGCTATGATACTTTCCACCGCGTATTTATAAAGGAGTACCAACAGAATGAAAAGCATGCTTCTAAACCAAGTGCTTTGAGAGTACTTATTCAGCGTCTTCAAGAGATCTTAAGCCGTGTCGAACCATTCGAGGTGATTTCTCCTTTGGAGTCTCCATCAAGCGACAGTGCCAGAAACCCGACCAGCATGTTGGCCAAGCAACTCCGTTTACGCTTAACTGGAAAAGGTTCTGATATTCCACGGGAGTATAACAATCTGATGGTATCAACACACGCTGTGGCCACTTTTAGAGTGTTGGAAGAATATCTATTGGCACGTTTAGGTAGCGCCAGTAATTCTGATGGAGTCGATAACGAAGACGGTATTGTAGAAGACGATATAGATACCGATAACGAAGAAGAACACGAAAATGAAATGGATATCGATGAAGAAAATTCATTGGATGAGGCAACCGATCTTCCTAGTGATAGTCTGTTGGGAGATTCTTCAAAGAATATCGCTTCTCCTATTGTCGATGATTCTTCCAGTCCCCTTTCGTCGACACAGGCATCGGCATCTACGGAACAAAAAGGACATGCATCTGACCCCGAATCTCCTCAAAAACCAGGAAAATGGCAAATCAAGTTTTCTCTTAAGGACACCCACATCCCCAGTGACACAACTGTATATGGTGCTGTTCATGAATATGAGTCGAGAACATCTAACGATGATGGATCGTCTCGTAGTATCTGGTCTACATCATATCCAATTACCTTTGAACGTGTGTGGGTTGCTGATAGTGAAGAAACGGCTATCAATAGCTCAAAACAGCCATTGCGACAACTAGCCACCAGCGAAAAGCCTGAAGTACTCTTATCCGATTCCGTCTGTACCAAGGTTCTGACTCTACTCAAGGCATTGTCTGGCTTGAGTGACTTTGATTCCCAACCACTGGGTGAAGCAGACGTAATTTCAGCTGAAGATTTTATTAACCGTAAACTTACGGCAAAGATGAACCGCCAGCTGGAAGAACCATTAATTGTTGCCAGTTCATGCCTTCCCAAGTGGGCATATTGGTTGATGCTGGAAGCTCCGTTCCTTTTTCCCTTTGAGACACGTTACTTGTTTATCCAGAGCACGTCATTTGGGTACTCACGCCTTATTTCACGCTGGCAGAGTCTTCAGATGCGCAACACAACCCAGAATGGGTCACGCGAGGACACTCACAATCAGCAGCAGCAACCGATTCTGGGTCGTATGGAACGTCAAAAGGTCCGCATCATCCGTTCTCAGATGCTAGAGTCCGCAATTAAGATTCTTGATTTATTTGGAAGCTCACAGTCTGTCCTCGAAGTCGAATATACTGGCGAAGAAGGAACTGGTCTAGGCCCTTCACTCGAGTTCTATGCCTCGACTTCAAAGGAATTCTGCAAAAAATCAATTAATCTCTGGCGCGATGGTGGAAATGATCCTAGTAGCTTGTATGTCGATGCCAGTAGAGGTCTTTTCCCCAAAACTTTACCCAAGAATGCAAATGGAAAGTCTGCCAAAAAGATTCTCAACCTATTCAAAACCCTTGGACAGTTTGTGGCCAAAGCTATGTTGGATTTCCGTATAATCGACATTCCATTTAGTGTCGCATTCTTCAAGCTCGCATTGGATGAAAGTGTCGACCAAGATAAGTTAATCAAAGAGATTGACCCTACGCTGAGCAAATCGTTGGATACGCTTCAAAGTTATATTAAGCAGAAAAACGCTCTTTATAAAGATACTACAAAGGTAAGAAAGTTGTAAATATATACTATTGTGTGTAGATAAGAATGGGCCAAGACTAGTTGATTATTAATATATTACTTAGGATATGATGCAGCAGATAAAAGAAGCTCAAAATATAACTGTCGACAATGCCCGTCTCGAGGATCTTTGCTTGGAGTTCACGCTTCCTGGAGATCCAACAATTGAATTAAAGCCAGGAGGCAGCGAAATTCCTGTTACAATCAATAATGTGGAAGAATACGTCAATCTCCTAAAAGACTCTCTTGTTGGTTCAGGAATTGCCCAACAGTTAGATGTCTTCCGCAAGGGATTCAATGGGTTGTTTGCTATTGATGATCTAAAGATCCTCAGTCATCAAGAACTGGTATCCTTGTTCGGGCAATCTTCGGAAGATTGGACTTATGGAAGTAAGTTACTTCTAGATAGTATAAGTTATATAATATAAAGGTATGTGTATGTGTATTTGTTGTTAATATTTTTTATGCAAATAGCTTTGGCAGATACTATCAAGGCAGACCATGGATTTACTATGGAAAGTCCTGCTTTTAAGAATCTTCTGGAAATTCTGTCCGAAATGGACGATGATAGCCGGCGTGATTTCCTTCAGTTCACAACCGGAAGCCCTCGTCTACCGATCGGTGGGTGGAAAGCTATCAGACCTGTGTTTACAGTAGTGCGTAAGGTGCCAGAAGCACCCTTGCACGCTGATGACTATCTTCCTTCCGTCATGACTTGTGCAAACTATCTTAAAATGCCCGACTATACCAATAAGATTGTGATGGAACAGCGTATATTCAAGTCCATGAAGGAAGGAAAGAATAGCTTCTTGCTTTCCTAAATATCATCTCCCCTCTATCCCTCTATCCATTTTCTTCCATTTCTCGCTTCTTCTACCTTTATTTTTATTTCTGTTCCCTTTACTTTTGCTTTACATAGTCTCTCACTGTCTTGTGACAGACAAGACTTTTCTTTCTCTTTTATATAGCCTTTCTTTCAAGAAGAAGAAAAGGGGTTTTCTCTTGCAACATCTATCCGCCGCAACCAATCATTACTTCTATGATTGGGAGCTTGTGCGTTTTTATATATATAAAGTGGATAGCTTAATTATTACTACTTATTACCCCCTTTTCAATTGATCATTTTACTGTATTTACGTTCAAACCCATAATTGGACATGGTATTCACTAAAAGAAATAAACCAACTTCGTTTAAAAAATGCTTTCCCTGATTCTAGTGTGACGGTGGATTTCGATATCCGAGTTTTAAAAAAATGTCAGACGCGTAAGGCGTAGAAGTAGCACAGGTATTTTTTTTTTGCAATGTCTGACACTATTCGATTTCCAATGTCTAATCAGCCTGAAAAGAAATACGATGACATGACTCCCGAGGAGCGTGCTGTCTTTGACAAGCAAGAGGCTGAGCGTGAAGAGGCTGAGCAATCCAAGCTTCCTTACACGTAAGCTCTTGTTTTAAAGATTGTTTGATAAATTACATTGGAATGCTCATTCCGAATTAGATGGAAGCAAACTCTTCAGGACGTAGATGTGATTATCCCCGTTCCCAAGGGAACTAGGGGCCGTGATCTTGAAGTTGTTCTGAAGAAGAAACAAATCAAGGTGGCCCTCAAGGGCCAACCCCCTATCATTGAAGTAAATATACAATTAAACTAGGGTATAATCTTTGTTTCATAGTACAGTTTATCTGACAGGATTGTATAGGGAGAATTGTGCAAGGAGATTGCTGTCGATGATTCTACATGGACATTAGGTAAAATAAATCCTATTCTAATAGCGTACTTAATCACTTTGAGTGTATTTTGCTCTACTGACAAATGTGGGGTAAATGTTTAGATAACCAGCAGGAGATCTTTCTGCATTTGGAAAAATCTAACCAGATGGCATGGTGGGAACATGTTGTCACCAGTGCACCCAAAATAAACACTAAGAGAATCCAGCCTGAGAATTCCAAGCTTGGTGATCTTGATGGCGAAACTCGCGCAATGGTTGAGAAAATGATGGTAATGCCAAAAAATCCATATGTGTATATGCTGTGAATATTTCAAATTATTTAATACATATGTAAATTATTTTATAGTTTGACCAGCGCCAAAAGGCTATGGGCAAGCCTGACAGTGATGAGTTAAAGAAACAGGAGATGTTTTCCAAGTTCAAGAACCAACATCCAGAGATGGATGTAAGTAATTCTTAAATATGCGGTGGGCACGAGCACAAAGCTAATCAAAGGTGTTTTTATATTTTTATATACTTTATAGTTTAGCAAGGCAAAGTTTAATTAAGTTTATTTTTTTCTTTAAATTTTGCTAATAAAAATAAATAAATCATATCATTGAATTGTTTACCTGGATCCGTAACTTGTAAAGAAGGCTTTTTACTATAGTGTAATTTTCTATAGAATCGATATCCTGCTTACTAATACAATCGAACCCCCTTTAAATATCATACCTTTGGCCAACCATGTTTTTCCAATTAAAGCAAATATGTATCTAAGCTTCAAGCCAAAGGAAAGAACTCAATTCCACACACGATATTCAAAGTGAAATTAGGCCATGTTCTCCAAGCATTTTGGATTGATAGATTCAGAATGATTTATAAAAATATTAGTAATATAATATATAATGTTACTATAAAATAAGCTAATGAGTATTAATTATACAGGCTAATATTATGATATGCTACTTGATATAAAAGCATTTTTATGGAAGTTGAAAGTAGTTTTATAAGGGTAAAACGTTACACCCACAAAAGAGCGTAGATACACTTATCTATAAAAGCAAAGGATCAAAATAAAGGTATATTAAAAATGTGTCTCTAAAATTATCTTTTTTCCTAATCTCTAGCTTAAGAAACTTCATAAAACATTTAAAAAGCTACATATGCTCTACGTGCCTAGCGCTTTGTATTTATACCAGTGCTTAGATTATTTCTATCCAAATAATTTTGTAAGAAGTGAAAGGGAATACAGAGAAGGTAATCACGAAAATTTGAATTTTTTAAATGTTTAAACGGAGATGTAATATCTTAAAGATATTGCTTGGTTGACTCCGCTTTGTGAAAATTCATAGTGAAAAGAAGGCATACCTTATTTTGTACTGGGGTTTAACTTTAAGGATTTTCTAAAAGTCCCGAATTTCTCACTGAATAAGACTAATTAAAAATTGTAAAAATATTAAAAATAAAGGTAAACGTTATTTAGAGCTATTACTAAACCTATTGTAATTACTAAAATTCAAAAGATATATGGCTCTGTCTGACTATAGACTGAATTTTTCCCTCAAGATTAAAATGATGATTATTATTGTTTATGAAAGGAATAAATAAAGACGTACTCAAATACATGTAATTAATAATTTGGGAATAATTTGAAAATACTTCTAGCTTGAACTATCAGGATACTATAAGAATAAATATGCTGCTTAATTAATATATAAATAAATACTCTGCTTTCCAAGAACTCTTGTTGAATATTTTTAAGAAAAAATACTACTAGACTTCCAAGAGATCATGAACGTTTCCTCACGGCTACTTTAAAAGGGAGGATGCTGTTCCACGCATGGCTGGTTCACGACTAAGAAGTTGTTGAATCATTTGGCGCGTAACAGCATCGGGAATATCTTGCTCAAACTGCGGGATCTCGAGCTCATTATCATTATTCCACCGTAATCCATTTTGTAGGGTGGGTGTAGAAGGTGATGGATGGGACATAAAGTGAAGAATCGTCTCGTCTTTGATACTATTGGAAAACAGTATATTCTTGGTTTCAAGTTCCTAAATAAGAAAAAGACAAAAACAAAAGAAGATGTCAAAAAGATAAGTTTTTTTTTTATAATAATTAATCAACTTACATAAATAATACAGCCAAGAGCCCAAAGATCAATGCTAATAGTGGCTACTACCCCATGAGTTCCCTCTATGCCATAGGTTGTTGCTTTTGCAACTTCAGGTGGACAATATCGAGGGGTGATTACGCCTACACACTCTTCGCCTATATTTCTGCTGGATTCAAAATCGATCAATTGCCATCTGCCATCAATATGCCGCATAATATTGCTCGGTTTTAGATCACAAAAAGCAATTCCTACCATAAGGAAGTGGTATTAATATTATTATGAAAATAAAACAGCTAACCACAAATATCAGTTACCTTTAGCATGACACTCAACAAGACATTCAGTAATTTCGCGTACAGTCGCTCTTGTCTTTTGGTTTGTCCAGGGCGTCGTAGACTTTCTGGCTTGTCTAATAACACTTGCCAGTGTTTCATCAAGCTCTTCCATCACAGTCACATAGTCTATCAACTCTTCTTGGTTATTGTTAAGCGGGTCTTTGGGATCGTGTTGGATTGTCATGACCTCAAGAAGTTTGACAACAAAAGGTGATTTGAGAAGAGTAAGTGTTCTGCATTCGCGTTCCCAGGCTTCACGTCGACCAAATGACTTTATGACAGCCGACTTTTTATCAGCCGCTGCATGAACAAAAACAATAGCATTTGTTGGTCCAATCAAGGGTGCCTGTCCACGGTCAACTTCATAGGTAGAAGGCAATCGAGTGATCAATTGAGCCACGGCGCTAAAAGGGTCCAGAGGTACACTACCATTACCCCCTGTTGATCGACTTACAGAAGACAATAGCGAATGTGATTCTGGCCAGGGTTGCTCAAACGCACTATCAGCCATTAAGCCTTTACCGTTATCTGTAGTACTAAGAGCTGTAGTGAGGTTGAGAGATGGCTGTATAGAACGAATGATAGTTGACTTGTCATGCGATAACTGGACAGGGCTCTGTGGCGTAGAGAGATCGGATTCTGTTTGGCCACCTTCTTGGATATCAAAAAATGACTGAGGACCATATCCAGGGCTATCCATAGTAGACAGTAAATCCACACTACCACTGCGAGGAGTATTAAGGCCACTCGGTATATTCTGATGATGAATTCTGATATTCTTCTGGTTATGGGCAGAGAAACGAAGAGCAGGCTGAGAGAATTCATTGGGCTTCTGTGTAACGTGTTCATTGGGGACCTGCCCAGGACCTTTCATCTCATAAGAGTCTGCAAGAAGTATTTTACTATTACGAAGAGAACTACGTGAACCACCAACATCCGCCACATTAGAGACGCTGTCAGAGAAAGAAGACACTGGCGGAATCATTTCGAGTACACCAGAGCGAACTCGGTCCGTATCGCCAATTTCTGAGTATCGTGTCGAGTGATGTGGGCTGGAGTTGCCCGTCCAAGGCTCAGATGCACGTTTGTTACTGTAATGCGACATGAGATTGGCGTCTGAGGCGGGATTTGGATGGCTGGCAAGATATGATTCTCCATCGGCAGACTGGCCTTGTCGCCAGTAGAATGGATTATCTATCATCGTACCTGTTGATCTCTCCTCTTGTTCCTTTCTTTCTTCTTCGGCTTCTTGTCTCCTCTTACGCTTGATAAAGCAGAAAACGAGACCTCCTATTATTGCTATTCCAGCCAATGCACCAACCACTGCTCCTGCAATTACACCTTTTGAGCTTGATGTGTGTTGGACTACGGGGTCAGTACTGCTAGTTCCCCCATTAACACCGGTGGTTGATTGAGGAGAGTCTGGATTTGTGCTTGACGGAAGGATGGCTGGAGCCATACGAGTCCAACTCCATGCAGTGGTATCAAGTACATATATATTTGAATCATTTGTTGCACCAGTTCCACCCCAACCACCAAATATGTATATTTTCTTGGTTTTTTCGTCTAGGACAGCAGAATGGCCTAAAAGAAATAAGTTTTGTATTAAAATTAATAAGCTTATCATTACTTTTGTAGTAAATTAAACTAAACATGTACAAGTTTATGCAAATTGGATGCTAATGATAGTAATGGTAGCAATAAAAATAAAAGACTGATATCATTATCATTATCATTTACCCATGCGTTGGCTGGGACTTTGGGAGGAATTGGCCATATTTACACGATTCCAGGTAAGAGTTGGGTAAGAGGCCAAATCAAGAAGCCAAACATCAGTATCATAGGGCTGTGTGGTTCCTCCGCCATAAACCACCATGCTATTCTGAAGGCAATTGGCTGTGTGAAGTCTACGTGCACCTGGTGCTGCTCCCCCAACAGTCCCGACCGTTATTTGAATATTCCAAGTCTTTTTGTCTAGGTCGTAGATATACACATTCTGAAAGGTACAAAGCAATTCATCGTTTGGTTTTAAAATAAGGACAAAAATAACAGAAAATAATAATACAGAAAACATGCTATATATATTTTTTATTAATGACCTTTATTTATCAAGTAAAAGAAGATAATTTAAACTTTTTTTATAGTAAAGGAGACCAAGAAGAATGAGAAGAAGAAAAAAAGGGCGGTCCCTCCTTACCTGGGTGGCGTCGGCGGGACTTCCGGTTGATGTTCCACCAAAAACTACGAGACAGTTACAAGACGGGACATAACACATTGAATGGTCTGCTACCGCAGGTCCATTGGACCCTGTTGTCCACTGAAAGGCATTAGCGTCTAGAAGGTGGAGACTGTTTTGTACACCATTTGTTTGGCCAAATCCATTGCTATCAACTGAAAGTCCTCCGTAGATATAGACAGTGTTGTTGACAATAGCGACCGCAAATGAAGAGAAGCGTAGAGGCGATTCGATAGCTAAGGGCAGTAATGATAATAGCGATAGCAATAATGATAATGATGATATAAAAAAAAACCGAATTTATACAAGATGAGAATGAGGAAGACTGTTTGTGTATGCGTGTGTATAAATATTAAGATGTATCGTTCTAAGCTACAGAGAATATCAATGGGCGTGCCTACGGTAGGGAAATTCCAGGTCCATGCGTTGACGTCTAATTTCTGTAGCATGCCTGCTGCTGCACCTTCGGTGGTGTTGCTTGCAACCGCCAGCATCTGGCCAGGGCTAGGAAGTACGACAGCTCCAAAATGTATCTGAGGCTTCATATCATTCCCTTGTTGTACCTGAGGTTGGGGATTATACCATGACCCATTTCGACCATCCCATGCCCAGAGATCATTTGATCCACTTTGTTGGGCATTAGAATCAATAGAAGGATTTTTGGTTCCTCCATAAAAAAGTACAAAAGGATCGATGTATACTGAACATTCCAAGGATTTTGTTGTTGTTACTGATGAGAAAAAAAAGGAATTTTAAAATTATTTATTTCTCTTTTTATCACCTGCGACATGGCCTGAACGCCATGGGACCTGTGTCTGCACAGGTCCTAGTGATGGGTTATATGGAAGGTTGTTATCGCTTGTTTGTGCGTATGTAGTAGATAGTAGACTAAGAATTTTTAGCCAGTAAAGTGCTGAACGATGGTTAACAGAATGTATCACCATCGGTAGGAAGAACTAATAATAATAATGAAGAGCAAATAAGACGAATAGGTTCAATTGGAGGGAAATGATCAAACTAGGGGAACCAAATCCGGAGGTTGAATTAAGAAATCCCAGGCCTGCTGATTGAAGAAACCTTCCAAGTTCACGAAAGGACACCAGTGAAGGTAGAAACCCTTTTTGTTGTCTACGCCAATCACGTGTATTTTTGAGTATTTACTTGCAGTAATTTGTACATATTACTGATTTATTGTTGTTTTTATTATTAGTCTTATTATTATTTTTGGGTTTAATTTAAGTTTCCATAGCAGCAATTATAGATATGTGCATAATAAACAATCGATCAATCGTCATCTTCTTCCTCTTCCTCTTCTTTTAAGCGTTTCAAGGCACTTTTCCGTTGTATTGTCTGCCTTCTGGCAGCAACCTTTTCTTCTTTCCACTTCTTTACATAATCTGGGTTTTTCTCGGCGAATTCTGTTTGCAGCTTCTTTGATAGCGCTTGGTATTTTAACTTTGTTTCCTAAAATAGAGTGTCAATATTTAGCTCATACTACCTTAAATGATTTTTCAGGAACGAGCTGGTTTCCTTACTTGATCGATTGTCTTCCACATTGCAGAGGTCACCTTTGTCACCTGGTGGAGGTCATACTCAGGATGCTGCTTACGGATTTCTTTTCCATAATCTTTTGCAAATAATACAAAACTATTTGGTGGAAATCGTTCGTTACGACCTCTTTTTCCTCGCACCTTCTTTAATTGTGCTCGCTTCTCAGCTGACTCGTCATTATAAATTTTCTTTTCTTCCTAGAAAAAAAAACATTAAATATACATATATTCAGGTTGTAGTTTTGCAAATAACTTGGAAGAAATTGCGAGGGTATGTGTAAATACACTTAATTTGCTTACTTCAGGTAGTTCTTTCCATTTACTAGCGATAAGTCTACTGATTTGTACATTAGAAAGTTCGGGGTTATCATTGGTGACATCTCTTCGGACAGTTTTGTTGTACAGAAAAAACGGATTGTATTGACAGGCCGGCTTGAGTGAATTTGCGTTTTGGGTCTTTCTTCCACGCTCCAATTCTTCCTTGAGTAACTGGTAATCTTCTTCAATTCGAGCACTACTGGAGGCGTTGTCTTCGGAATCTTCGTTGTCCGAAAATGGGTCGTCCGGATCATGTCTAGCCTTTTTGAGTGGCGCTGATGTCTGTGCGGCTTTGGCTTCGTTCTTAATTTTCCTGAGTAGCAAAACCTTCCTAATCTCCGCGTTCTTTGCATCAATCGGGCCAGATTTTCTCGGGCGACCTCTTCTTCTTTTAACAGGTGGTTCGATTGTCTCAATTAACCTTTTAAGTTTGGTCTTGAGAGGGTCTTCTTTCGGAGGAGGTGCAGAAGGCATCGACACCTTGTCACGCACACTTAGAGATTTGTCTGCATGTCGAGCCAGATAAAGATCGGGATTCTTCATCTTCTCTGCAAAGTCAATCATGTTCTCCAGAGGATCTCTTTCTTGGCGACTTGTATTTTTTTTGGAAGCATTATAATCTTCGGCATCTAGCCATGTATCATACTCATCAGAGGCATATTTGAGTTTAGGCTTCTTTTTTGGCTTGATTTCGTCGGGTTCATACTCAGATGCGGATGAACCGTCGTTATTGTCTTGATAAAAGTCATCAAACCCATCATCAAAGTTTTCCGCCTCTTTTAAACTAGGTTTTGGAGAAGTTCCCATGTTTTGTGCTCTAGTTCTTGTCCTTGTTCTGGGGATAAGAGAGATCTCAGCACTCGAATCTACATCGACATATTTTTTAACAGATCTCCTCTTTCGCAATCGACTATGAGGGATCATATCTTCAGAATGAACTGTTGATTCCGAATGTTTTTCTTTAATTGGGGGTGCATCTGTATCACTGTCTGAGCTTAATCCCTCAAGGATTTTATCCAAGTTTTTGGAGGCATAATCTGGTCGAGAAGATGTCGAAATAAAACTGGAATCAAGTATATTATGCTCTGGCCCCATGTCGTCAAAAAGACTACTACCTCGGATACTGCTATCCATAACACTGCTTCCTCTGATACTGCTATTATCCACAGTATTTCTGGACCGTCGTAAACCTTCTCGACCAATTTTCTTTGAAGATAGATTGGTTGTTTTGTCATATTTCTCAAAGCCTAATTCAGTATGGGTGTTACTTTTGAGAAAATCATGGGCAAGGTCTTTATTGGGACGATCGCTAGTGTGATCCATGTTTGAACTATTATGTAGGTCTGTAAATGAATCCGACACATCTCCTCGGGTATCGGTTTGATCGTCAGTTAGCACAGATGCGGGTGATTGATCTTCATCAGAGTAAGGATCAATGGATTCATGCATGTCATCGCTATTCAGATTAACCATTGATCCATTCGCGTCGACATCATTTTCATCGTAGCTCCATTTATTTTTACATGGAATACAATAGCTAATATAAAGAGAGTTCGCAAGTAGGCAAGTATTTTCCTTGTATTTATGTATACCCATGTGTTGTTTATCTGTTTGTTCGTCTGTTTATTTATTTTGCTTACGCTTGTCCGGCATAGCGTCCTCTTCCCCATACTTTGAGGTTATTGCTTCCGCATTTAGGACATGTCATGACCTTGGTAAACTTTCCTGGCTCATAACCCTGAAGTAACTTTGAATTCGAAATTTTCTTGTACCATGGTTCTACAGACATTATAAAGAGAGTGAATGACTTGTATACATTTATATGCGTCCTTTCTTCTTCTTGTTACCCTAAAATGGATTTTTGTATGTGTGACAGCTACCGGACAATTATTCTTCCACGGCATTCGGTGCCTTTGTACCAGACTATGATCACGTGAAGATCTCGATTCTGAAAAAACCAAAAAAAAAAAAGAGATAGACAGATAGCCGTTTTGATAGCCAGGATAAAATATAAAATTATCTGTAAACCTCAAGACATGGAATGTCTCAAAGAGGTGATGACGTGGGATTCAGTTTTGTGGTAATTTTTGATATGTTCCTGATCGCTTTCTGAGGTAGTGATGAGATTATCCACTATCTAAATATGTATCGCATTTGCATGACGGCATACAGAGCAAAATGAATGCCCTTTTTTGGACAGGCAAATGAAAGGTATTTAATCTCCATCCAAGGACTGACAGACAAGACTTCTTTGTACTCACTTTTTTTTTCTTTTTTTTTCTTTTCTTCTCACTCTCTCGCTATCTCCTTACTCTCTCGTTTTGTCATTTCTCGACTTGTTTATGTTCTTCGAAACCACATATGTTCCGTCTCCTCAGCTTTCGGCTGTCAGTGCAGGTAAGCTCAATGGTGAAATCTGGAATGACGAAGAAAACATCTCGGGAATGCCAAGTCTTATGTATGCCTTTATTTTCTGTAGACGATGAACCAACGCCATGTTCACTAACTCCAGAAATGCCACTTCCTCAACCTGAGACTGCCGAGGATACTCTCTCAGATTCACCAGTAAACCACTTGGTATTCGTTATCCATGTAAGTATTATCCCGCCTAAAATATATGCATATGCATATGCATATATATAAATATATATATATAGTCTGGAGAAATGACATATTAATATATTTATTTATTTTCTATTAGGGTATTGGACAGCAAACAGAACAATATGGACACTTTTATGAAAACAGTAAGTATATCACCTACTACCTCAAAGATACAGTTGATCGACTTTCAAAAAACAAAAAGAAAGCATCATCAAAAGAGATAGAATAAGGATAGAGGGATGTAGTAGGCCTTTTTTTTTTAATATATAAATATAAATATATTTGTGCATCAAACTAAGAGTTTACCAAACAGTTGAAAATCTTCAGGAGACAACTCGTCAGATCTTGCAGGCCAAGGTTCCGGACCACAATGTTCGCATAGAGCTGATTCCAATCGAATGGCACAAGCACATCCACGACCAGGTTGATCCGATCTTGAACCGTATCACCCTAAAATCGATTCCCACTGTACGACTGATTGAAAACGATTATCTTGCCGACGTTTTGTTTTATTTTTCAAAAGACCGTGGCCAAAAGATCATTGACAATGTTATACAGCTCTTCAATACCTCTTACCAGAACTTCCTTGAGAAACACCCAGACTTTAATGGCGAAATAGTAATCTTGGGCTATTCGTAAGTTGGTGTTTGAGACATAGATACATACGTATAATATTAGATGAGATGAGATGAGATAAGATGAGACGAGACGAGACGAGACGAGACGAAATGAGATTTACCAAGAAAGGTTTTATATTTATGCCGATACATATAAACACACTCGTCTTTTATTTATTTATTCATTCATTCATTCATTTACTAATTAATTAATTAATTAATTAATTATTTTAAATATAAATATATAGGTTAGGTGGTGTGATTGTGTATGATATCCTTTCCCATCAACGAACACCTGAACCTGAAGAAGAAGAGGCATACAGCAAACTAGATGTTGTGTTTTCAAAATTAGTTTTCAAGCCAACCTACTTTTTTGGACTAGGATCCCCCCTTGGTGCGGTCATGACATTTAGAGGCCAGTGTCCCAAGAAATATCACCCGGATCACGACATCATTTTTGAGAATGTCTTTCATCCTTTTGACCCACTCGTAAGATCTCATATTACGGACACACGCACACACACACATATATATATATATACATAATTGTATTAAATATATGTGTAATATATTTGTAGGCATACCGTTTTGAACCTCTTTTGAATGAATACTACACTGATCAACCTGCCGTCCTCGTCGACCGCTCTATCCCAATCGGACCCTCATTCTCATTCCCCTCAATGTCTTCTCTTCCCGGGATCAATTTTCTTTCCTTATTCTCGTGGCGTATGCCTTCCTCCGGTCCTAATTCTGACACAGATACCATTGTAACTGCTGCATCAGTAGTCGCTCAACAAGGAAAGAAAGCAGATGACGAGGCTATCAATGCATCCAGAAAGAAAGCGGATAATGAAGACGGAAGTAACGGCGAAACAAATGGTATCATGGCATCTGTCAATTCATTCCTCCAATACTTTGCCAAATCAAAAGACAATGGAGTCGGAGGAAAAGGCGCAGAAGAAGAAATGGCAGGGAGAGCAGGAGGAGAAAACAATAAGGGAGAAAACGATCCTAGTGTAGGAATCATCAAATGGGATCCATTACGCGAACAGACAAGAGAGCAACTGCTGGCTCTTCGAGATGACTTGGACAAGAAGCTCAATGACTGCACAAGCGAAGACAATGTTCACAAGAGTAAAGATGAAGAAACCAGCAGCATCAGCTCGACCACCAGCGAAGGCGGGCGGCCTTCTCTCAAGCTGCGATCCAAGACATTCGCTAGCCCATTAGATATCCCGACTTCGGTCCATTCACCCTCGTCTCTTTTGAGCCGATCGTTCATTTCACCTATCGGCAGTCCTGTGGAAGATCCGTTTAGTGGCTGTGAAATCAACTTTCCTACACATTCTACTAGCAAGCGACATCATTTGGTAGAAGTCCTTGGTATTGACGGCGTTCGTCTCGACACACTGGAACGAGCAAAAGCCAATTTCAATAAACATCCGAAGAATGAAGATAAGGTCTCTACATCAAAAGAATCAAAAAAAGAGAAGAAGAAGGAAGAAAAGGAGGAAAAAAAGAAAAAGAAGCAGGATGAAGAGGACGAGAAGAGAAAGAAGAAGGAAGAGGAGAAAGAAGAAAAGAAGAAGAAGAAGAGGAAGGAAAAGGAAGAAAAGAAGATGAAGGATGAGGAGGAAGCATGGGCAGTAGATAAGGCTGAAAATGATGAAGAAGAAGAAGATATCAAGATAAATGTCAGTGAATACAAGACCGAGACTCCTGCCAAAAAGACTGCTGAGGAGTGTAAGCCTGTCAACCAAGATCCTTCTGATTCAATGGCAGTCAAGCCAAAGAAGGATCCTAATCCAGAAGTAAATACCAGCAACAACAATAATGCCAATAATAATAATGATGATGATGATAAGAATTCCCACTCCGGTAATGTCTGGAATGATCTGAACAAGGAGATACACGAACCTGGGCCAGCCATCACTTCTCCAGGAGAAACCAAGGGCGAGGTTGCACTTGATGCCACGGTTCCTAAGGATGGCGATGCTTCGTCTACTAAGACTGGTAGTATCAAAGAAACTGCCAAGAAGTCAGAGGCTGAACAGGCGGAAGAAGAGTTGGAGGCCGAGCGACAATTTGAACTAAAGAAGCTGCCTGGCGCAAGGCGAATTGACCATGTATTACAGCCCGAGAGTTTTATGAGCATGATTGCGAATGAGTATCTTGTGGGTATGCGGGCGCACTTTTCGTACTGGACCAACAAGGATCTATTGTGGCACATTGTCCGTCGACTGGAGAACCTTGACGATACAGTGTTGGGTGAGAATAGTCCAAAGGTCGGTCCAGAGAAGCCAAAGAGTGAACAAGATATCCCAAATACCGAACAAGAGACCCCAAAGACTGAACAAGAGGTGCCAAAGGCCGAACAAGAGAAGTCAAAGTCTGGTCAAGAGACGCCAGAGTCTAAACAAAAGACGTCAAATTCTGAAGAAGAGACCACAAAGACTGGACAAGAGACCCCAAAGGCATAAACAAGAGTGTATATAAATATATATATATATGTGTGTGTATAATATATAAATGTTTGTGCTTGTGTGCGTATGTGTATATTTAGAAAACTAATATTAAGATGAAAAAAAAAAATTAAGCAATTAATAATAATTGATTTTTGCTGCTATTACTATTACTACTATTGATTATTACGGTGGGTTTTGATGGTGTTGGTTTATAGATTTAATTGGTACGAAAACAATATATAAAAGTACAATTTTGTATACAGCAAAATATAAGCTTTTTTTTTAAAGAAAAAAAAAAAAAAAAAGATAGAACAAGTGTATGAGTGTATAGAATTGATGGTGATTGAGAGATATATATTTTTACATAATATACCTATATCTATATACCTATATAAATGTGAATGAAAAAGAAATAAGACAGGTCAAATGCTAAAATAAAGAAGTATTATAGTAGTAGTAGTAGTAGTAGTAGTGATAATAATAATAAAATAATGATGATGATGATAATGATGATGAAGTGCTACAGAAATAATTTTTTTAAAGAAAAAAAAAAGTTGATTGATTCATGGTTACTTAGTTCCCCACACAAGCTGTCTTATTACGTTGGTTACTCTTGTGTCGTTTCAAAGCATCCAATCTATAAGCAAAAGAAAGAAAAAAGGCATTAGATCACTTATGCTTTACATAATACCTATATATATATATATAATAATAAAGTGCTTCTTTTGTTTTTAAAAAAAATACCTTGAAAATGTCTTGTTGCATCCTATACAATGGTAAGGTTTGTCTCCACCGTGAATCTTGACGTGACGCTTGAGATCATGGTTGCGACTAAAGGAAGCCTGGCATACCTGGCAACCAAACGGACGATCGTCGGTGTGTGTCCTTGAATGACTCTTGAGATTATAGAGTCTTGCGAATGTCTTTCCACAGGCTGGGAATAGACATGGATAGACTGTCTGGGTCTGGTTGTTAACAGTTGTGGTAATTGGTGCCGAAGAAGCATAGATCGACATGGCTGCTGACTGGGTGTCTGCCAATGCTGGATTAGATCGTCTTCGTTTGTTGCTGTTGTTATGATTCGGAGAGTTTGGAGAATTTGATCCCATAGTCTGGTGAGATACGGTGGAGGATGAAGATGAGGATTGAATACCCACACCAGAACCAGTACTGCTACTTATGGTATTATTTGGATTGGCAGTATTTCCAGACCCTGCTGTTACATTGTTATCGCATCTCTGTCCAAATGCACTAGACATAAAGTATGGATGGTTTGCCAACGCTGCCGCGGCTGAAAGAGAGGTCGATGATAAGAGATTATGATGATGCCCATTCGATGCTTGCTCGAGTTGCTGGGCATACAGTGCCAATGCTGCCGCATCAGCAAAGTTGAATGTTGGGTGAACACTAAGTACGCTCGGTATAGGTGCATGTACGGATCCAGGCACGGAAGCAGGCGTAGGAGCAGGAGCAGGCGCAGGAGCAGGAGCAGGAGAAAGAGAAGGAGTATGAGTATGTGTGGACGTGGGTGTAGATGTGGATGTAGGTGTAGATGGTATGGTTTGTGGACGACTTTGGTAAATGGCCTGCTTGGGACCTTGGCTGACAGTCCCAAGAAGTGCTTGGGATAACAGAGCCTCTATTGCGCCTTGATTACCCTGACGAGCCTTTTCTGTGATCTTTTGGGCAATCTCATTCCAATCAGCCGTATCAAAAAACTTTAGGGGTTTGCCATCAGCCGGTTTTGTCTGGGGTTCTTCCGAGACACTGCCAGAACCTGCCCCATTGGCATCAACTGAAGTTTGGTGCTGATTCTGATCTTGATTTTGATCTTGATAAGTCTTTTGTTGACTTTCCTGCGGTTGTGGCTCTTTCTGCTTTTTATTTTCTCCTTCTTCTTCATCATGGCTTTCGGATTTTCTGTCTTGTGCTTGGTGTACTTTATGTGGAGGTTGTTTAAAATCAGAGAACAGTTTGAGTTGTGGGAGCTCTTCTACTTGGTGAACCTGGCATTGATTGTACTCTATTTGTTCATTCTGGTCGAGCTGCTGCTCGAGTTCCTGTACGAGGTCCTGTCCTGGCTGATGTCCTGGCTGGTGTCTTGGTTGATGAAGCGGTTTTGGTGGTAGTTCTTGGGTCTGTATGTGTGCATTGAGCTGTTCGAAATGGTCAAGAGAGCCTAGTGGTTGTTGCTCTTGGAGTTGTTGAAGTTGCTGGAGTTGCTGCTGTTCTTGGTGCCACGTCTCGTCGACCTGAACCTTGTTTTTTAACCACTCGTGGTCGACAAACTTTGTAGCCAGTACATTATCCCACCTTTGCTTGATCTGTTTTCCTTTTCGGCCTTTGATTGTGTTTGCGATTTCTTTCCAGTTACCATATCCATAGCGTTTGATACCACTCAGCAACAGTTCATCTTCTTCTGTTGTCCAATTATCGTGCCTTGGGGTTTCTGATCCATCGACGTTTGATGTGGTTGGTTCGTTTGGCTTATTTTGTTCGAGTGTCTGATGAAGAGTAGATGTGGAGTTTAACTCGGATAGGCCAGGGTAGTTGGCTATCAATACGACATTACTTTCATCAAATATCGGGTGAGATTTTTTATCAGTTTCTGACTGTGATAACAATTGGAGAGCAGAGGCAGCTGATTTTTCTACTGTGTCTGTAGATATATCAACTGCGTTCAACCGAGTTTCTGGGTCTATATATATGTATATGTCAATATAAAGCATAAATATCACGTATAAAATATGTATGCACACATGTATGTATATATATATATATATATCAAAATACAAATTAAACTATCCAATTATATGGTATATATGTTAAGTTTATTTGTTTCCTACATACACATACATGCCTGTACGTATATGTATATGTATATCTGTATTCAGCATATGTTGCTTGTACCTTCTTACCGTATTCAATTTTCAATGGTTTATTAGACCTTTCATCGATTAGATGTGTTTGTGGCGTGACTGTCGTATTTCCAAGTAGAGCAGCTGTCAATGCAGCACTGGTGCTACTATTACTATTATTATTATTATTGTTGTTGTTATTGTTGTTGTTGTTTTGATTTGTATGGCCTGAAGACTGGGATGTGGTTCTGGTTTGGTCTATATGTGTTTCTTGAGGTTTTGAATCGAAAGAATGGGATTGTAGTGGTACTGCTGTGACGTCCAGAGTGTGGTTTTCGTCCAAGGAATGTGGAATTGGTGAATGATTGTCTTGACCCAATCGAGAAAAGTTTTCATCGTCTGATGTTAATGATGACCTGTGATGGTCGGTTGTATGGAGCAATGTTGAGGGAAATAGATGTACGCGTGCCATGATGACAATATCACTTTTGTTGTTTCAATTATTATATTTGTTTCTTTTTCTTTCTTTGATATATATAGATATAGATATGTAAACCCATTCATACACATACACACAAGCTCATATATCTATATATCTATATATCTATATAAATAAATAAATAAATAAATATATGCATATATTTATATCTTTATTCCGCCCGTACAAAAGGTTTGTTGTGCTTTTGGCTATTGGCTATTGATACTGATACTGATATTGTTTTTTTTTGTTTTTTTTTTACTGGTCTTTATATAAGGTATAGGTATATAAAGCAGAACAAGAGGTATGTATCGTATGCGTAGTGTGTATGCGTCTATATGTATTTGTCGCTTGTGTTTCTTTGGTCTTATATAAATATATATATATATATATATTCAAAAAAAAATTAAGAAAAAAAAAAAAAAGAGAAAGCAAGCAAGTAAGCAAATTTTTTTTTTCTTTAAAAAAAAATCAATTCAGTTCAGTTCAATTCAATTCAATAGTGGGTTTCAATTTCAGATATAGAGAATTTAAGGTTCAAACAACTTCTATTTTGGGCAGGCAAAAAGTATATATATATATATATATATTTTTTCTTTATCTCTCTCATATTTATTTATGTGACTGGTTTGTGACAAAGGCCAAAATACTTTTTTTTTTAAATTTTTGATTTTTTAATTTTAATTAGAATTGAAAACCCCCTTTTTTATAATTTTTAATTAATTAATTATGCCAATTTATCAATCACCTACCATGTATATCTATCTATATATATTTCAAGTTACATGTAATTTTCTCTTTCTTTCTTCAATATTCAGTATAATAAATAGAAGAAATTCTGTTGACATTAGTTTTATCCGGAGTTGTGGTTTTTATGAATTTATTAATATTAATATTAATATTAATATTATTATTATTATTAAGAAATAAATACAAATAGTAGTAGTAGTAGTAAAAAGGAAAAAAAAGGGAAGCCATACATGTAATTTAAACTAAAGCAAAAAAAATAAAAAATTATAAATTATAAATGTGTATTTGAGTGTAAATATAAATATGAGTGTCAATGTTTGAATGATTTGAATATGTTGGTAAATGGGGAGGATGTGTAAGTAAGTGGAGTAAGCAAGTGAGTAAGCAGGAGGGTATAATTTGTTGTGAGAAATAAAGAAAGAAAAAGAAGTATGAAATTGCATGCGTATAAATGTGTATGTGTAAATGTTTATATTTGTGAGACGATACATGAAAAAGAAATAATATATAAAAAAAAAGGCATAAAAACAGTTTTTTTTTTAAAAAAAAAAAAAAAAAAGTGGGGAAAACCTTGATCGAATGTTATTGAAACTGGTTCATCTTTCCACAGCTCAACCAACGATCTCGTTGGGCACTTTCTAGCCCAAAGTCTTCGTCAGCAGGAATCGAGAGACTGGGTACAGCAAGTGAAGAAGCACTGGATGATGCAGAAGAGGACGAGTGCCATTGGATAAACGAATTATCTTCTTTTGACATTGGTACTAGAATGGCTTGAGTATTATGAGCAGTAGTATGGACATGACTAGATGGTTGTTGTTGTTGTTGCTGTTGGGAGTGTGTGGCTGTGGATGAAAAGGTATTTACAAGATTGTGGTCATGATTGGATTGCATAATTGTAGGTGTAGGTGTAGGTGTAGGCAAGTTGTGTTGGGTGAGAAGTCTTTGTTGCTGCCTGATTTGATCTTCTAGAATACGGACTTGTTTGAGATGGTCTCGGTGAGGTAGAGGAACAAGTGGTGATGATTTGACTGGATGGTGCTTGATTTGGCCAGCCTTGAGTTTGGCTCTCCATTGTAAAGCCGAGAGTTTGTCGCGGAGATGTTTGTTCCGTCGTTCGAGATCTTTCATGTAGTCTGCTGCTTTGAATAGGATGATGCTCTTTGACTGGCTGATGTTCTTGAGGGTCGGTATGAGGTCCGTCATTTCCTTGAAGCCGGTGCGGATCATGTTCCGTCGGCGTTGTTCGGACAAGATGTGGTTGTCTCGTTTGGATCTAGCCAAGGTATGGTTCTTGGAGGTCTGGTTGGAGGACAGGGAAGATTGGGAAGATTGGGAGGATACGGATGAGACTGGGGAGTTGGGAATTGGGACAGAAAGAGGAGGATTTGTGGTGTGGGTGGTGTTGGTGAGCGTAGAAGAAAGTTGGGGCATAAAAAGAGATGATTTGCGAACGGCATTGGTTGAGATCTGATGAGGGACGACGATTGAATTGCTTTTGTAGAGATAGACTGGGATTGTTATATCATTGTGGTCAGGAATAGTATTAGGACTGTTCATATTTGTGGTATTGGTAGGGTTGAGATCATGACTGCGGGTGGTCTGTGGTGAGGGTGTGCGACACAGACCATGTCTTAAAGAGGAAATAGAGGTTACTCTTGTCTCGCGCATCGATAAGGGCTCGAACGAGGGCAACGAAAACTGGTCTAGATAGGCAACAAAAGGCCGGTCCTGGAGAGTTTTATCTATTTCACAATTAGGCCAGACATTCTGTGTGGTTTCTAATGAAAGTGAATAAAAACAAATTAGAGATATGAAATTGAAATCAAAGAGGTAAAAGGGCTGGTGAATGAATGGGTTCTTTATCTATCTAACCTTTTTGTTGGGTAATGGTTGCTTGTTGATGAGGATAGTAAAGAGGAACGTTATCCCAAGAATCGATCATAGTTTTGTTGGGAGGCATTGGTGATGATGATACTTTAAATCAAGAGTTGGTTCGTAGGTAGGCTATTTTGTATAGTATAGTATGGTGTAATCTAGTGAATTGTAATAGAAAGACAGGGGACAAGGAAGTTGAGAAAGAAGCCTTTTATACACATAATAATTATCTCTTCAGAAAAAAGAAAAAAAAAAGATATAAATAGTGAATTAAAAAAATTATTAATATTAAAACAAAAAAATAGTAATTACTATTATTGCTATTATTAAGTAGGGAAATGAGACGTGTCATTTAAGGTATCTAATTGACTTTACAAATGTCTAATTCTATTCAATAGAATCCAATCCAATCCAATCGATCTTTACTATCATCATTAGCATTATAATTACTTTACAAATTTTCCCGTCCTTTAATTGGCCCATTAATCCCAAATTATCCAAATTATTCTTTATATTCAAATAATAAAATAATGAAAGTAAAAAAGAAATTCACACAACATTTGCAATCATCACACATATCTTTTGCAAAAGGGAGTTTACGGAAACAGGGCAATCTCCGCGTGGTTTAGCTAACACTTTCTCCACAGTTGGCATATTTGTGAACTAGCATGTGGCTTCACGTGCAAAAAGAAACAGGCTCTTTACCACAAACAGACCACTTGTTGTGGATAGTTCGTGGTTTGGCCAACCAAAATAACCAAAAACCAAAAACACAAAAACACAAAAAAAAAGGCGGCATTTCTAATAGAGAAACCAAATGCATGTATTACACTATAAATATATATTCTGTATTGAATTTATTGAATTTATTGAAATATTAAAAGAAAGGTAGATAAAGATAAAGATAAAATATATATATATATATTTTAACAAAAAAAAAGAAAAAAGAAAAAGGCTTAGTATGAAGCAAAAGAAGTAGCTTCCTTTGTGCCAGTGACTGCCATAACGTTGTCAAGGTTCTGTAACATTGCGGTAGTACGGCTAAGGAGAGAAGTAAGATTGGACACCTCGCGACGCAGTTCATGACGATGTGCTTCAAGCATCTGATGAGTTTTGGTTGTAGGGTTCAAGAGCGCCGAGACTGTTGCAAAGGCAGCAGCAGCAGCTACGGCGGCATTTGGAGGTGATCCGGGTGCAGACGTAGATGATTTAGATGATGTAGATGATGTAGATGTAGACATAAGTGCAGGTGCAGGTGCAGATACAGATACAGGTGCAGGTGCAGGTGCAGGTGCAGGCATAGATTCATATGCATTCAGAGGTGGGGACGGCAGACTGGGCAGGGGCAGGGACAAGGTAGGCAGAGTGGGACGAGTGTGCTCAATGGGGTTCAAAAGATCAGCAATTGTGCTGGCCTTGAGAGGTGGCGAAGGGAGATAAGGGCGGTGAAAGACGTCTGGCTCGATGGGGCTACCAGGTGCCTGCCCATATTGAGGAGACAACGATGGAGAGGGCGACAACGATTGAACTCTCTTTTGTTGCTGCTGTTGCTGTTGCTGTTGCTGTTGCTGTTGCTGTTGCTGTTGCTGTTGCTGTTGCTGTTGCTGTTGCTGTTGCTGTTGCTGTTGCTGATACTGATGATGATGATGCATTTGTTGCTGCTGTTGCTGCTGTTGCTGCTGTTGCTGTTGTCGCTGCTGCTGATGTTGCTGATGTTGCTGATGTTGCTGATGTTGCTGATGCTGATGATGCTGAATATGCTGTTGAACATGAGATGGTTGATGAGGTAAAAGAGGTCTAAGTTCGGTTCTCTTGTGACAACGACCTTCTTCAATGTCATGATCAAATGATTTTCGCTTGTTATTGACAGGTAGAGCAATCAACTGATCGTCATTTTGAATCGCAGCGTGTCCGTGGTGACATCGGAGGGGTTGCTGAGCAGCCAGTCCGGATGCAGTGACTCTCTTTCTACGTTTGATTGTTGTGCGCTTCATTGTGATGGGACGGTGAACATTGTGGAGCTTGTAGTAAAGACCACAGGCATTACAGATCGTGCTGCCCTGAGCGTCGCGTCTCCAGAGTGGTGTGTTTGTTGTGTTGCAGTTTGCACACTGCTGAGCCGTCTCGCTATCAGAACCAGATTCACTCTGAGCAGATGAAGAAGGAGATGATGGTGAGGAAGACAGAGAAGGTTGTGCTAGAACTGAAGCTGAATGTGGTTGTGGTGGTGGTGGAGGAGCTGGGGAAATGCGGAGAGGGGCAGGTGCAAGGACAGGAGGTGATGCGAGGATGCGTTTTGTTGTGGGTGGGTTGGCGGTTGAGTTGCGTTTTAGCCAGGGAGGACGGGTTGTATTGCGAGCCTTGAGGTAGAGACCACAGGCGTTGCAGATCGTCTCTCCGACAGGTGAGCGTCGCCAGAGGGGGGTGGAAGTAGTGCCACAGTTCGAGCAGGAAGTGACGGCCTGGCTTCCAATGTCCGATATCGCAGCACTGGCGCTGCACGGCTCAACAACGGCAAGGTTGTTGCTGGAAGGGGCTGTGACCTGAAGTTCGATGCCAGCAGATGGTGTTTGTGGTTGGAGTAGGTGTTGAATGTTGTGGTGTTGGTTTTGCAAGTGTTGAATACTTTGAGTTTGATTTTTGGGTTGGGGTTGCTGCTGGACTTGTTGAGCTTGGGATGAGTCAACTTGGGTGGTAATCGGTACAAAGATGTCCTGGGTGGTGGTCTGGGGTGTTAGCGGGCACTTGTGGCAGGAATCCACACTAGTTGAGGTCGAGGGCTTATTGTAAAAAGGCGACTTGACCGTCATGGTGGATTAATCTTTTTTTTTTTTTAAATAATAATAATAAAAAAAAAAAAGCAAAAAAAAAATCGGAGTAAAGATTGGCCCTCTCTTTTTTTATATATAATATTAAACTAAACAATTCAATACAAAAAAAAAGTAATCAGTTATTATTTTTCTTGTTGTTGTTGTTGTTGTTGTTCTTCAAGGTACTATATATATATATAAATATATACATATATACATATATAGTATGTTAAAGAAGTATAAGAGTTGATTGTTACCTATGGTTAAAGAGGTTGGTTTTCCTATACAATAAGAAAAAGAAAAAGAAGAAGAAAGAGAAAGAAAGAGAAAAAAAAAAGAGAGAGAGAGAGAATAGGAGAGGAACAAGAAAAAGGGCGTTATTTGTTTCCTCTTTTATGTGTTGGATGAAACCAGTCCGATGTCTGTCAGTTGATTGGCTGATGATAGTGTTCGGAGAATACAATAAATAAATAAAGAAAGAGAGAAAGTTTTTTTAGATAAGATTGATCGCTCTTTTCTTATCATCTTTACTTTATTTGAATCGCCGAACTCAGATATAAAAATAGTTACATTGTTATTTTATTTATTTATTTTTTTCTCTCTCTCTCTCTCTTATTTTCTGCCACCCCCCCCCCTCTACTCCTTTTTTATTTATTTTTTTTCTTCTTCTTCTTTCCTTCTACCCCTCTTAAATTTATTTTACTTTTAGTGTTTGTCCTCCCTCCCCCCAAATAAATAGATAAAAAAGAAAAAGCTCCTTTCATTGATAGGCGCATTGAATCAGATTGGTCAAGATAACAAAATAAAATTTATTTATTTTTTGCTGCTGGTGGTGGTGCATCCAATTTTGATATGGAATTTATTTATTTTTATTTACTATGTGCCTGCTTCTATGTTTTTTTTTGTTGTTTGATAAATAACAATGAATGAGTGATCGATTGGTTGATTGATTGATTGATTGATTGATAGGCTGATTGATCGATAGGCTGATTGATTCTGATAAACAGCCAATAATAATGATAGGCAAGTTCTTGATGAGGGTGACATAATCAATTGTTTTTATTCCAAACTTATTTAAGCAAAAAAGAAAGAAAGAAAGCAAGAAAGAAAGAAAGAAAGAAAAGATAAGAAAGCCAAAAATAAAGAGAGATGATGATGTGGCGGAGTTGTTCAATACATCCCTTTGTTGGCAACATTTATTATTAATATTTTGTATTTGGTATTAGGACAATACTCAATACTTCTTCTCATTATAATAATTTTCTTTGCTGCTGTTGCTGTTGTTGGTGGTGGTGAGTCTATCGGGTCAAGTACTCCAGCCATGCCGTTACTAGATTTGTTACACTATATATCATACCGCGGAATTCTGATCCAATCAGATCACTCCAACTTTTATATTGTATTGTATTTTTAAAGATCCTCCTCCCAACCACTTTTGTCTAAGCTGATCCCACGTTGTTCCTACCATCTCTTTCTTATATAATCTTATTACACATACATTCGTAAGGCATTTTATTTTTATATGGCTTGTAAAACTAATTACAATCAAATCAAATCAAATCAAATCAAATCAAATCAAATAATATATATTGTATTATAAAAATATATATAATTAGTTTTATTGTGCAATGAAACACAAAAAAAAAATAGCATGCTGAGTAGTCACAGATAAAATAAGGCTAGACAAAATTTATTTTATTTTATCAATAATTATACATATACATTTTGTAAGATATTCATTCAGGGTTTCTTGGCTTGATAATTCTACATATCTGTCTAATTTACAGAAACTTTTTATTGAATTGGATTAAATTGATAGATTCTTGTTATTGACATCAATTGACTGAGGATAAAAAGTAATTGACGCTGATCAATTCAAGGTCATTCTTTGTGGCAAACTCATTGACATCAAAGTTGCGTCGTACACTCGTCTTCTCAGGCGACATGGCGGCAAACTCTTGGTTTGTTCTAGGCTGCTTGTACAAAAGAAACACATAGCGGTGGTCGCCAGTTCCCGCAGGTGGGGCTGGTCCCATGTATGGCGTATGCTCTGAACTAGCCTTTATATTCGATGGGTCCGATCCTATAAACAAAACTATCTGTATTACATACAAAACACAAAAGCCTCTCTCCTTTTACCCTTGATGTTCGTTACTACCCAATGACGCCAAGGACCGAGTGATGGGTCAACAGCAGATGGAGCATCTGGATCAGCCTAAAGTATCATATCATATTATAACCAACCCATACTTACTTAATTATTTTTTCTTTTCTTACCATCACAAGTGTGTATTGGGCATCTTCTTCGGGTGGAACAAAGTTCACCCTGGGTGGTTCGGCTGTGTCTTGGACTGAAAGCGTGTTCCCCAGTGCAACATCCTTACCATTTGGATAATTAATCTCCAACAATGTGCTAGGTACAAATTCCTCTCGAATCACTAATCTCACACCGTAGTTTTCATCAATTAGATCAATCGTATACCGCCCCCAACCCCACCTTTTTTTTTTATATATATTATTTACCATCTGGGATAATACGCGCCTTTTTCAAGGACAGATCGATATTCATAGACGTGGTGATGAGTGGCATAATTTATTTACAGGTAAAGAAGTTAAGAAGGAAGTAAAGAAAGAGTTTCATCTTTCTTTTCCACAAAAAATAAATAAATAAATAAATCCTACGACTAGAGTTTACAAAAGTGACGTAAGTAGCTCGCACATTCTCCCATTTGCTTTATTTATTTATATTATATATATTTCCTCTGTCATTACTATTACTATTACCATTACCATTACCATTACCATTACCTGGTCTTTCTATTTAAGAAATCACATATTAGATTTATACACAAGAATGACGATGGTTATTTAATAGAAACAGATCTAGATCTATATCTAGATCTAGATAATAATAAGATATATTGATTATCTTGATCAATTAGATTCCACTTTATATTATCTAAAGCCATTTGCATGATTTTTGTGAATGGGTGGGTATAGGATAAGATAAGCTGAAAAAAAAATAGACTCTGTTGTAACATACACGCATATCTATCTACGTGGGAGAGAAAGAGAGTGTCCGTAGAATCATAAGCCCCACCCAATACAGAATCAATAGAATGATATCTGGCTATCTAATCAGTTATCAACAGACTCTCTGTGTCTGTCTGTCTGGTTCTGATTTTCAAATTAAACTAATCAAAAGACATCATTATAAGGGCTTAAGGTCTATAATCAAGTCAAGATAAGGGGTTAAATAAGAGAAAGACAGGTACACAGATATATAATACAACATATACGCACATTTACACATGAAAATGGCTATATATCATTATCAGCTTTACTTTTTACTACTATTGATATCAATGCTAATGCTAATGCTAATACTACTTCTTTGCTTATCACTTGTACTATTTGTATTATAAAATCTTGTGTAGCTTGTCAATGAGAATCTCTCTCTATCTCTTTTATATATACTTATATATAATTGATATTCTAGATCTGACTAGATGCATTAGATCTCTTAACCAATCTGTGCCTTGATATTCTGCATGACTAAAACACTATGTATGTAGTTCTCGGTAGATTGCTTACTTGAGCTTGTTACACCAAGATGTCCAAATCCACACACACACACACACATATATATATATATATATATATATATTTCAGGTTTAGATTACAAACAAGAGATTTCAAGAACGTGCGTAGTCAAATAATGATAGTAGTTATTATTTTAGATACCAAAAGAACTGTTGCTTCTGTTACTCTTACCTTTTTATTTATATAATTTATATTTCTTAGTCTTGGTTTGAACCAATAAGCAATACAATATAAAGATATAAAACTCCATTAAAGAATCATAATCATAATTAGTATCATAAGAAATGTGCAAATGCGTTATATCAATAATATACAGTTGATAATAATAACAATTCCACATGTATTTCCCACAATATTTTTTGTGATTCTTGCTTGGTCCGTTCACATTGGATCTTAAAGAGCATTTCTTTCTTTATTTGAAGAATCATTATTGGTCTAAAATTCAAAGGTATGTCTATTCAGTTTGGTTTGGTTTGGTTCAATTAAAGACATGTGCTATTCACATGCTTTACATAAAACAAAAAAGATCTGATAATAATAGCAATGACAATTGATATATTGATATATTGATTTAATAAAAAGCAAATATTATTGGTGGTGTGGTAATTCAGAATATAGAAAAATAAAGAAAAAAGAATTTACTCAAAATACCTCATAGTAATCTATCCGATATTCAAGATCTCCAGAGACTTGTATGAGATAATAAAATAATTGGCTATTGGACAAGGGAATAATGCAAACCACAGAGATGTTTCAATTGTTATAATATATTTATTTAAAAAGGCCAGTCAAAATATCTTTCTTTCTTTTTTCTTTTTAAATTGATTGCGACATATCAACTGAAAAGCATATCACAAATCTTTTGTTTTATCGATTAGATTGCTTGTGTATTTGAACCAAGCCAAGCCAAGCCAAGCCAAGCCAAGCCAAGCCAAACCAAACCAATTAAGGGGTATAGAATCCTGCAATAAAAATAAGAATCTAAAATAATGATTATCTGCAGCAAATGAATCATATATGTTTATATGTATGTGTGTGTGTGTGTGTGTTCATAGATGATGATACGTTTTGAAAATCAAACAAGCACCAAGATCGATTATGAGAATACTAAACGAAGAAAAATCCTTACCTCTACCCCCCCCCCACCTTCCCCTAATAAGATTTATATACAAGGTGTATCAAATTTAAACTTTTTTTTTGTTCTTCTTTTTGTGTGTGTCCAAACCAGGTAAACTTGATAAAAAGTACAATTTCAATTTCAATCTTGTCCAAGTCTTGATGATATTTTACTAGCCATAAGCTATATATTTATTTAGAAGAGGTGATTTTGAAACGATATTCTGTTTTTAAAGATATAATAAAGAAAAAGGGACTTGGCATAGAGCATGAATCAATGCAATTATATCTTGTGGATCGAACCACTCAAGAAAGCGTTCTGATCAAATCATTATACTCCATTGTATACAGTATATGATCCAAAAATAAAAACAAAAATAAAAAATGATCGATTCATTTATTGATTTTGAAACATCCTAAATTATTTAAATATTATTAATAATATTAAAGTCAAGTATAAATTTCTTTCATGTATCTTTGTATTCCTATAAGCATACTATAATGTTCTATGGATCATAATAAATAACAACATCCGTAACAATAAAGTAGATGTACATCAATGTGCATTAAAATTAATATTCTAATATTACAAGACATCTTATATTAAATGTTGGGGAAAACTTGTTGTGGGTACGTGCGTGTATTATCGTGGTCTCGGTTTAGAACCCAATCCATAATATAAGTTTCAAACGAACAACATACATCAAATGTAATGTCATAAAGGGAGAGTAAGAGCACGAGCTGTATTATTTACTGACATTTGTCTAATGCATCAAATAGAAATACACCACAGTAGCAGTAGCAGTAATATGAACATGAGCATTAGCATTAGCATTAGAATTAGCATGGATAAATAACCAACCAAGACGTCATATGTAGCCAAGAACATTCCTTCTCAAGTCTATTTTGCTACAAAAAAGAAATTGAATCTTTTTTTTTTTGTATTATTATTAAAAGACAAGAACAATAAAAGCCACTTTATATTTATATGTCTTGTAATTGAATAATGCTTTTACAATGCAAATGCAAGTATAGATACAGATACAGATATATTTCAAGCCAATAGTTATATTCTCACTAGGTGTCTTTAAAATATAAAGTATAAAATTAAGAAATCTATGTGGATATAGCGAGTCTAATTAATTAATTAATTAATTAATCAATCTAGTTGTATATATATATATATACCTTGCATTGCGTCCAAGATTATACTTGCTTACATAATATAATAGCTCTACTTGGCTATACAATTTCGAATGGATTTATAGAATAACTGGTAGTCTAACATTGGGTTGGATTATTGTATTGTATTTTGTTGTATTTCAATCCACACCTTCACAATCAAGATACATCTCCCTCTTTACATATATACATAACTCTTTGTGGCTAATATCAGAATTATTGAAACAAGCATTGTACAAAATCATTGACATTAATCTAATGCTCTTTTTCTTTGCTTTTTTTTTTTCTTCTGGTCAATGGATTTTACAGTGGCTATTATGAAACAAACCATTAAGAAAAAAGAAACACCAATAGATTTTATATAGAATTACACTCATAAAGCAACACTTGCCAAGGTTGTGATCAAATACTTTGGAATACATTATTCTAGATCCAATACCCAATCTTACAAGGACTTGCTTACTCTTTTTCTTTAGTATTATTATTATTATTATTAGATAGGCTCAGATCTGGAAGCAGTATTTATTTATTTATTTATTTATTTATTTATGCGATTATGAATGGTCAACCCCCTGGATGATATTGTTGAAATCATGCTATTATTATTTATTATTTATTATATATATATGCTTTTGGAAATAATACAGCTTACTTGGCATAGTATTTGAGAAGAAAGAAAGACGAGACAGAAAGATAGTGAAAGATGAAGGGATCGGTTTTCAATTGAGCATTTTCTCTATCTATTCTTTATTGTTAAGAAAAAAAAAGAAATCCCCCCCTCCCCCTCCTATTCTCCCATACCAATTGGCTATAATAATATATCTAAATATCTAATCTTTACACTGCTTGTCAACTAACGGAATCAAGTATTGTTTCCAACTTATTTGAAATTTTTAAAAAAACATTTAATCATGTACAATAGTAATCTAGTTGCTGTTTTTTGAGTCTTTCAATTATATAAATATAAATATAAATATAAATAAAAATAATTATTCTATAATGGAATAGTCAAGACCTTTTTCAATTAGTTTCCCAGTAGCAGATGATTCCTTAATGTTCGGAACTTGGTAGATTCGAATCTTGACTATAGATTTTCAAAAAGCTTGCATAAACTTCAGAATATGACTTTCTTTACGATCTTTTTAAGATTTACTATCGGGTGGTCTATATTTTCATAGATCATTTACCCGCAATAAGAAAGAATAAGAAAGATCAAGTAAAAAGTGAATTGTAAGAATAAGAATGCAATTTTGTGAATACATCGTAGCAATCAAGTACAAATACAAGTACAAATACAAGTACAAGTACAAGTACAAGTACATGACCTGTGATTATCAAATGAGTGTAAAGATCTATATATGCTATATGCTGTATGTTGTATGTTGTACGTTATATGCTGTATGTGCCTGTTCCTGTGCTTGTGCTTGTGCTTGTATATATGTACTCTGCTGACGTTTCTTTTTCTTTTTATAAATATTTTATTATTAAAAATAGAGAATAGATAAAGGAGTCACCAAAAAGAAAGAGGACGATAGGTAAAGTAAATAAGTATAGGTGTATATATGTATGTACATTGTTTAGTATGCTATACACCTGACCCAAGGTAGAAAATATTAATAAAAATAAAATAAAGCTGTTTGATCTTGTCTTGTGTCCTTTGCTATAAAATACTACCAGCTTCAAACCAACCAACCAACCAACCAAAAAAAAACATTTAAACCCTTTCCCTTCTTTTTCCTTTTCCTTTTCCTTTTTCTTTTGTCTGCCGCTTTCTCTCTCTCTCTTTACTTCTTTCCTTCCTTTTCTTTTTCAATTTTCTCAATTCCTTCAAAAGAGAGAATCAAAAAGAATAAACAGAATACTAATAAGAAAGAAGACACAATGTCCAATCTACAAAAGAATCCTGAAGACATTGGAAGCCTTGGCCATCCACAGTCTCCTTTAAATGACTCTCGTACGATCACAAGAATGCACCCTTCACTCAAAAGGCCAAGAGCACCCATTGCATGCTATAGATGTCACCACAAAAAGGTATCACACACACACACATAATTATAATCATTAACAGCAATACTAATTACAATAATAAATAACTAGGTACGCTGCGATGGTGCTCATCCTAACTGCACTCGCTGCCTGTCAACAGGTGTGCTCTGTGCATATCCTAATTCTAGGCGGTCGAGAAATACCCAGCCAACCAATGTAGACCCATTTATAAACAACCTTTCTCATCTTGAAGCCCGGATCCGTCGAATCGAAACCGATCTAGAATCCCAACGAGCGATCATGCACTCTGTCTTCTCGCCAAAAAACGACGCCGAGTGCAGCATGGGGCGCCGATTCAAAGAAGCACTCTCTCTTGACAGCACAAACCAGATGAACCTCTCTCAGCAACACAATCTAGTCGCCGGCGAACTAAATGCCCAGATGCTAAAAACAGAGCAAGAAGTCCAGGAGTCTCGGTCAATCTTGGCTCAATTGCGTCTAAGAGGCGAACAAAAGATTGCCCGAGGTAAAAGAGCCGCCGCCGCCGCAGTCTCTACAACCACAAATAGCTTAGGCCGTTCTGCATTAGCATCAACAGATCAATCTTTACAGCAGCAATCATCATCATCAGCAGCAGCAGCAGGAACAATAATTGGTGGTAATAATAATAATAGTAGTAGTAGTAATAATAATAATAATGGAGGAGGAGCAACAACATTATCGTCAACGTCAACATCAACATCGGCAGGAGCAACAGGATCTTCTGGGCCTAGTTCTAAAGAAACAGGGAGAACAAGATCTGTGCATTCATCTGCAGCAAACCGACAAAAACTAAACAAATCTCAACAGGCCATTGAAAAGCAAAAGAAGAACGCAATTTTGACAGGATCAGTGTCACCATCGTACAATGTCACACCTTGTAATCTCAATAATCCAATGGATACTCATTACTCGCTCCACCCACTCCATCCATCCTCAGCACTTTCTCCTTCAAATGGATGTGCTTATGGCAATAATCCAATCATCACAAAGAACGAGTACATGGATGCCCACCAATTCTGTGTTGAGGCCTCAAATACAATGGTTGACTGGTCGCTATTGCAACGGACTTCATCCAACGATGGATCTGTGGCAGGAACATCTGGTATGTTTCTGATGCAACACAACGAGAGTGCTTTGATAGCTCAACAACAACAACAACAACAACAACAACAACAACAACACCACCACCACCAACAGCAACAGCAACAGCAACAGCAACAGCAACAGCAACAGCAACAGCAACAATCTGCTGCAGCACAGCTGGCAGATATTCATAAGCAGCACAATGGAATCCTGTCTCCCACGCCATCCAACACCTACCGAAGCCCCAATGGGAGCATGTCCGCAAATGATAGTAACGGTCGTACTTTCACAATGTCTAATTCGCCCTTTATCCAGCCCTTGAACATTTCTTTTAACCTTGCACCTTCTTCATCCTCTTCTTCAACAACAACCGATTCGACAGTTTCTTCCTCAGTGCAGACGTCGCACATATCTCAGCCTTTGGGTAATGATTCTTGCAACATGTTCAATCTTTCGACCTTTATGATTGATGATATGCTGACCGAAGAATCGCATGGTAAGATTTCAACTTAATGCATCAAAATAATAAAAAAGAAGAAGAAGAAATCACAATACTTATCTATCGGTTCTTCTTTTTCTTCTATATCGAACCAAACGACAAATAGGTATTCAGTCATCTATGCTGAGCAATAGTCCATCAGTCTGGTACTGTTAGATTTAAGGTGCCTTCTTTTTGTAAAAGAGTTGTACACAAACCCACACACACACACACACATATATATATATATATATATATATCTGTATATCTTTTACATACATTGTTCTTTATTCTTTACTCTTCTTATTTTACCTTGTTTAGTTTACTCTTTTGTAACTCTTCTTTCAATGCTTCTTTTCTTTTACTATTATGCTTTTGTTTTTTTTTTCATTACATATATTCTTTTTTTTCATTTATTCATTTATTCATTCTTTGCTGTTGATTTTGTACAAGAAGTATAAAATAAGAAGAAAAAGAAGAAGAAAAAGAAGAAGAAAAAGAAGGGGGCAACAAGAAAGCAAAAAAGCAAGCAACCAAGTTAATAATGTATATTTACTATTCTTATTCTACTTTAGCAAAACAATTGTATTATATCATATCATATTGTATTGTACTGTACTGTACTGTATTGTACTGTACTTTATTGCTCTTCTTCTTCCTTTCTTTGCTACAAGCTCCCTCTGTGTATTTATACTACAGACACAGACATATATAAATATAATATAAAAATTAAATGCACATCTTTTTAAAGTATATACATATATATATATAAAGAGAGAGAGAGAGAGAGAGAGAGAAACAAAGCAGCTTTTTTTGTATGTATTTAGTACTAGTATTTAAAGCGATAACAATAAGAATATCAATCAAAGAAATTAAACTCTTATTGGTCACACTACATACATAAAAGTGGATTACATATATAATTCCTTTTCTTTACCTAGAGAATCTCAAGAAGAAAAACCAAGGCACCGAGGGAACTTGGAATAGTCTATAGATATAAACTATTCTAATTGAACCATTTCGATTACTTTACCAATATGTAGGACAATCGATCTGCTTTATTTTTGAATCTTTAACAACAATACACACACACACACACACACACACACAGATAATCAACTGATAATAATATTAGCTAATCATCATTGATTCAGTAGATCTGTAAATATGTATGAATGAAAATAAGAACAAGACTAAAATACGATTAGGATCTAAAACAGAATGCTTGGTGATTTACAAACGACTGAGCATGTGCTTGTGTCAGGTAAATTCAAAGAGCAATAATGGGGGGGTCTTGAGGATCAAGTTAACCATGAGAGGTCTATTCTCGGGGCTAGATGTTTATGTTGAAACTGATTCTGCACAGTGCTCCATAATTATAACCTCCTCCTCCACAACCACTATAATCATCATAATTATCATCATTTTCATCATCTGGAAGAGCAGTGCATACAACAAAGGGGAGGGTCATATTACCATGACAAAATCTAGTAGAGACATTGTACAGAAAATATTGACAATCTACACAAACCATTAATATTAATATTATCAAGACGATTTCCTTTTTATTTTATTTATCTTTAGGAGTATTGTAAATTATTGGATTCTGGACATACAATTAAAATAGCTTGGTAGCTTTGTACACAGTTGAATCGATTATTGACACCCATTTGAAATGCTTGTCCACGCTCAGCTCATTAATTACATTTTATGTTTGTGACTTTAAGCTAGAATAGCCTCTATCATTTTAGAGATTGTTACTATTGTCATAAGGCTGTTGCTATCCAACTGTTTCTTTTCTTCTTCTTCTTCTTCTTCTTTTGTATGTATATGTGTGGTGATAAGATTTGTTATAATAGCTAAAAAGAAAAAGTAAATGCAACAAAGCTTGTCTACTCTTAATACTATCCTACCTTTTATTTTTTATTTTATTTTTGTGGTTTTTGAATATCTCCTTGGTTACTTACAAGTAATGACCAGGATTTCTTTAATCTTCTTCTTTTTTTATCATTTCTCAAGGAGATTTGTATTTAATCCACTAATGTCAGATCCACCCAATTTGCACACAAATATCTTTAATATTCAAGAATTAATTATTCTTAGCGTTATTAGCATTATTGCTGTTCCTTTTAATCTAGTACTTTCTAGTCTTGTTGATAAGAAATAGAAGTTTTCGTTTCAAAGATGTATAAGATCAGATTGACGGGTTAAAATCCCCCCCCCCCCCCCCCCAAAAAAAAAAAAAAGGGGATATTAATTTACTAATTTTTATAAAGCTTTGTATAATATATTATAAGAAAAAATATACCAATAAAGAATGATTTTTATTCAAAAAGATGCGTATTCAAATGGCTATATGAAATGTTTGTACATTCTCTGGTGCATTTAACCTTTGCCCTTCATTAACCCCCCCTCCTTTATAAATATCTCTCTCTTTTGTACCTTTCTATACGCAGAAGAAATCTCCAAATAAGTTATACATAGTTACATTTTTGATAGTCAGAGAATGCTGCTTGTCAAAGTCTATCTTGATTTAACTATTATTCCTTATCAATAGAAATCAAGGCAATCTACTATCTCTCTTTATCTATCTATCTCCTAAAGGTTCGCTTAGTATTTCATACAGCTCATTTAAAAACCTGCATGATAATTGTAAATTGATATGCCTGCTTTTAAAAGGAAAATATAAAAAACTAATATTAAACATGTTACATGCTTGATATTGAAAGCGTCTTTTCTTCTTTCTTTAATGCAAAGTATTCAATACAACACAAAAGAGAGTGTGATTGTGTGCGTTAGTATGAATGTGTTTTGTATATCTGAATTACGAGTATTAGTGAAATGTTATAAAGTAATCAACATTTGCCATTATCATGGTCAACATCGACATTCAAAGAAAAGACAAAGAAAGACAAATCCCCCTAAAAAAAAAGTAAAGCATAATATAAAGTTGATCTTATCAAAAGAGAATTTATTCAATTTAATAAATTAATATCGTTCAAAAGGTCCTATAATAGTAATATGTTACAAACTTGAAGTAATAGAAATAATTTATATATAATACAAATCAACTTTAGCATTACTATTGTTATTTTCGAAATCATTTTAATATTCAAATCCAAAACTCTGGCACTATTTAGTACCAAAACTCCAATAGATTGAAAGCAAAGTAAATGAAACAAGAACTACTTCACTTGTTCGTAGACTGTATCAGCAATGCAACCTTGACTGTTTACCAAAGTAAGATATCAGGTCACTGTTGCTAAAGGATCTGAATAACCTTTGCCAATTGATCAACTCTGTTAATAATAATAGAAAAAAAAATTCGATATCAGTCTTTAGTGATCTGGAGGTGTATCTGAACCTTGTGGTCTAGGGATATCCAGAAGTGTTATATTTCTTAAATCTTTCGCTGTAATAATCCTGTTCATATTTTACTCAAAAAAAAAACAAAAACAAAAGAGTAAGCCTAAAGGCCCTTTTCTTCACTTTCTGAGCACCGTTAGTGTACGTTTTATTCTTTTCTGGTAGATTTAGCTTATACTATATAGTCCGGACTAGCTGGCCTGTCAGTGCCAGTTACACCTCTTAAAACAAGGATAAAATTTGATTTCTTCAATACTATTCATTTGCTAATTACTTTAATTTTTATTCTTATATGTCTCCTATTAATATATATAGCTCGTACAAGGTAGAATATTGGAAAAGTCTGTTATGTTCTGTACCATAATCCCCAAACATTTGATATATATCACTCAATCTCTTGAAAAATCATCTTGACACTTTGAACCACTGGTATAACCTCATTTCAATAAAACCAAACCTGGAATTCAGAATCCCGCCACCTACTCTGTTGAGATCACAATAATATATATATACATATACTTATTTCTTTATTTTCTGCTTTTTTCTTGCTGCTTGATATTACTTTGAAATATACGTCGAATAATTTTATGGCGGCTGTTGGACACCTTTTGCGTCCACTTGTGTATGGGCAAAAGAAGAAAGCTTTTTCTTGCGTTCTCGTACAAGAAGCGCACAGACCAGCCTAGAGTAACCTACAAATCGCCGTTATAGAAACTTGTACTCCACTTTGAGAGTTATTGCTACACCGATCAATACCGAGCCTTTCCTTACTTCTTTGCTTTACTTTGCTTCACTTTGAAAGAGTCATATTCTCTAGTAATTTAATTGAATATTATTAACTGTCTATTATGCCTTAGAACAGTTACACAAACCCAAGAAAAAGAATATACAGCTATATCACGTTTGCTCTGACGTGGACATCTAAGACTGACAAAAAGCGCAGTCCTAATCTTTAATCGCAGATGAAAAAATTTTCTGTTACTTATAGACCTCCTCCAACGCGCGTCGTTTGTTTTCTCCTTGAGCAACAACAGTCCCGGTTTCATAGTGAGGCGTCTCTTGCGACCGTTGCAGGGAGATTCTTCCATGCTACAAGCATCGGAAAGTGAAAGTTGTTACTCGCCAGCTCAGTTAATTCTGAGAAGTCGTGGGGCATGGTCTCTTTTCATTTTTGGAAGGACTACTGTGTACATCGCATCGCCAATGTGGAATCATGATGCTGGGGGGAGGGAGGTCTAACCTGTGGTGAGATGTGCTGGCTCTTCACTGCAAACCTGACTGAACTCTTTAACGGCTGACGGTGAAGCTACTGGTAGTCGAATGAGCTGGACCTTATCACCTAGTGGTAAGTTCTCTGGCGAGTTCGCACCCACATTACTCGGTGACGAGATGTGGGGCTGGATGAACGGGTGCTTTCCGTTGGTTTGCCACCATTCCAGCACCTCCTTCGCTACCAAGTCAGGTTTACGTCCTGAAGGAGATTGAGCCGCGTAATGCGGGGACAAAGAACTTGGTGTCATGCTTTTTATTCTCTTACTCATGTAAAAGAACATTAAGTGAAATTAAATTAAATCAAATCAAATAGAATAGTTTCTTTGTGTATATCTTTAAATAAATAAGTAAAGTCTTTCTTAGCTATTGTCAACTTTAATAAAAAAAACACGCTTTTAAACTTTTTTTTTTCTACTTGATTGAAGATGTCAATGTTGTAATTAGGAGAGCCCATTTATACGAAGAAATTAGTTTAATTGAATAAATCTGAAAAGAAGCAAAGTACTATTTGTATATTTTAATGTAGTATTGATAACCGTGTTTAACTGTAGATGTTGTTTTTGTCTAAAAAGGTATATAAATTGCAGAATAATGGTTGATGATGCCGATGCCATAAAATGTATGTTATTGAATTTGGCTAATGAGGATGGTCAGTGTAAAGAGGATGAGTTGAAATCAGAGGAAGAGGAAGAGAAAGAGAAAGAGAAGGAAAAGTAAGATGAGGAATGAGAAGGAATGAAGAAATGCATGCTTCAAAGAGAGGCGGAAAAGACGTGTTGAATTGAATACACAAGTAATGTCCTCATTGTATTTGCACAGACTGTACACAAGAAGTTTAATATGGAAGTATTTATGAAACAATAAACATTATCCAAAAACCTTTTATATATATATATATTACAGACTTTAAAAATTAATTTGACAGACATAGAATGTATTGAGTAAGCTAGACATGAATATCATAAAAAAGACAATGTAATATTGTAATATTGAATTGTATGAAGTTGAATATTGGTGCATGCATGATTATTATTATTGCCAATTCATTTATATAGTTGATTTGTATCTTGGTTTTTTATTGTTTTGTTTAGGTAAAAGTGCTCAAAAGACACTATTGTTTTACTATTTCAATATCGTCAATTTTTCTTTAAACTACTGCCAAAATGTATTTATTTTTAACTAACTTTAAAGAGCTTGAAGAAAATATTTTCTATAAAGAAAGGGCAAAACATTAATGTAGATTGATAGAAGAAAGAACTTCTTGTGTATATTGGTATATTCGAATCATTTAATAAGAGTGATTTCCGAGAGTGTTTCAACTTGTTTAAATAGCATCTCATTTCGGTAATACTTAGTAAAAGTTGCACTATATAAATATGTATGCAAGTTCATTTTTTTTAGTGCTTAAATATATATCAATTTATTACTGGCTAAACCAAAGTCTATATTATTTCATTCCGTTTACTTTTTCTAACCACAGTACAAGATATTTCAACTATGTACCATTGTAAGCATAATAATGGCTTTGACAGGCTTTGTTAATTTATTACAAATCCAGTACTATCCTTTTTTTAAATACTTTGTTCATCACAACTTGATCTATCGCTAATGTCTTTTTCTTCCTTTTTTTTAGTAAGTTTTTCAGCCATGTGCAGTTAACATAATGTCTTTTACATAATAGCTATAGTATTCCAAGCTCATACAATAAGCCAAATAAAAAAGTCGATATATATATTTGTCTATAAAGAGTTTGTTTTTTTTATCATGTAATAGAAATAAATATATATTGTCTCATTTCAATAATGACAAAGCTAACCAATGACAATGAAAATGTCAATAGAAACTAATAATTATGAAAAAGTTTAATTGTATTTCTTTTGGATATATAGATTTCTTGGTAAATCAGACATTACATTTAATATGCGCACAGACTGAGAGTATCGGTGTAAGCTTTCAAATGATTCTAGTACATTTTATTGTGATCAGAGAGAACAGCTAAATTAGTACTATACTCCCATTTTAGACTATACTTCTTGTCAAGTATATATATTGCTTCCATAGTGAAAACACAGATCTTAAGAAGATATATGAACATTGTGTATTTATTTTGGAATTTCAAAATAGAAGAATCATAACTGTTTTTTTTTTGTTTTTTTTTTACTAGACACTACAGCTAATTCTTATTCCAGCCTTCAGATTAATTCTTAACAATGTATCTGAACAAATGCGAGAGAAACTAAGATACATTGGAAAAGAGAAAGGTAAAGGTAGTTTTCGATCTGTCTTTTTTTTTGTTATTCAGCTATTTGTATTTATAGCTGTCAAAATCCAATTCTTGGTAAACTAGATATTTCATCTTTTACCTTTTTTGTAATCTCTTCTATGGGAACAGGTACTCGACTAAATTTAGGTTATAGTAGTAGGAAAAGAAAAAAAAGGCTTTCTCCTTTACAGACGTTATTACTGGATTAACTAAACATGGCTGAAACTATCTCGAAAAATCCCGGCTTACTATTTATTTAAAAAATAGAAAGAACAAAGCAATGGAATGCAAGGGAAAATTAGTCATATATCAAGTTGTTGTAAGCAAATAATACACAAATAGAAGTATTCTGCTGGCAATATCCAGCATTGTAGTATATGTCTTAGCCCACTCTCCTACCAATCGTAGGTACTATATTTTTAGACACATGATATTAAAGTTCTCTTCTATATATATATATTATGTATAATATATAGAACATTTCTCTCTCTACAAAATAAAGCACCTATCTTACTATTTTTTTTGAATAATAACTAGTATACTACTTGGCACAAAAAGCAACAACACCACCAAAACTCGATACATTTTTTCTTTATCTCTCCTCACTAACAAAATCTTCCATATGAAGGTCAGTAAATGTTTTGGCCTACCTGTAGCGACGTTGGAATGGTAATAAACCATATATATATTCTGGAAAATTCTACTATCTGTAGGTACATATACTTTAAGTATGGAAGAAAATTGGTCTTTTTATTTGCATATACGGGAGTTCTGTCAATAGGATCTCATTCTGGCTCAGATAGATATAGTACGAATACAGATAATTTAACGTTTTGTTTTGTTTCCAAAAGATGGCTTAGCTAAATATATATCTTTTGATTGTTTTATGGAACATTTATGAACCATAAAGCCCAATCCATATATCTCAACAGCGAATACACTGTCACCACCTGCTTCACTAAAAGAAAGGTCAAAGATATTAGTTAAAAAAGTTTAATGTATGCTAATATTTTTAGCTGACTATTGGAGGCACTTGGGTAAGTAGCTTATTATTCTGCTTTCATTTATATGTAGACAGATTTCAGTCAACAGATAGAAAGAAAGAGAATTGTTTAAGGTTTGCAAAGTTTCTGTCTGATTTGACTGCAGCAACGATATAACTTCCTTGGAAACGGCAAATCGTAGCCGTATTTCTCTCTCTAGTTTCCCATTGTCGAACATCATAGGCTATCCGGTTGAATTGAAGGATTTTTGAATAAAATAGAATGAGATACTATAAATATAAGGTTACTGCTTTGATATATATCCATCGAGGTAGTTTGAAATTGATGCTATTAAAAACATACACTTTCTTTTTTATTGATTTATAGAATAATAATAAAAAAAAATAAGAAGAAAAAAGGATTTTCAAGCTTCAATGGGCTGAGTATTCAAAGGAAAATTAAATATGTACACACCAATACACACCTTTACATTCTTTTGACCACCTTGGAATATACCAACCTGCCATTTTCTAGAAAGAGGTCAAGCTCTCGTCGCAGCTTCCACTATACATACTCTCTATCAGGAGCAATGGGAATTTGCTTGGATGAGTAGTTTTCTTCTTCTTCTTCTTCTTCTTCTTAGTTTAATGACGCCCAAAACAATTGTTGTTTTTAGAATTATTTTAGAATGCGATATTTACTCTTTTCTCCATTTCTTTACTTATTTATTTGTGGAATACCAAAACAGTTTTTTTTTCACAGGAATAAAAAAAAACCCCCAATTGCTTGGTGTTTTGCATTAAAGTCAACCAATGAGTATCAGAATAGACAAATAAACATAAGCCTCCATAACTTGTGTTTGTATCCTAGAATATGAGCCTTATTAATTTAGCTCTCTGTATTTTTTTTTCTACAGCAAAAATTTGAAATCAAAGTAATGTTATTATTGCTGATGAGTAACTTTTTTTTTCACATAGTGAATAAACAGAAGAATAATTTGTGGTGAGCTATTTTTTTCGTTTGTTTGGTGAGGCCTTGGTAACTTCTTTCGTTTAAAGGACTTTTAGCCCTCTCTTCTTTTTCAAGTGCACCCGAGTTCCCTTCTTCAATCTTTATTCGCGCTAAGCATTACTTATAAGCTTCAGTCAAGAGCCTTTGCTTTTTTGGCATAAAAACCAAAAATGAAATTTAGTCATGATGTTTCTAAAATTTGAGAAGATTATTGTGACTAGAAAAATATAGCAAGCATTTGTTCGCACTTGGATAAGAATCTATTCAGAGCACAACTTTAGTTCTTAAATATTTAGCCTTTGGGCATATTATTTCCTCAATAAACAATACAACAAAAAAAAATGTTCTCGCTTGGCCCAAGAATGACGATAATTGTTTTATGTTCTTTGCACCAGAGTCTTCCTGCCTTTTTTTTTCTTTTTCTTGAATATTACCGCATCTTACCAACTCATCAATACTAAATGAATGACTCGGTGAATGGGAATGGCCAACAACATTTAACTGATGTGATAAAAGGAAATTATGGCGTAACCCTTGAGCATTCCACAACTTTCATGTTGGACACATTGGGACTTTCTACTTCCACATTAACCATTCGTCGAACAATTCATTAAATTGAAATGACTTGTTTCCAAGTTTTCGGCAAGTTATAGCTATCAGAGATACACAAGATAAACGATTAGCTCTTACTCATTGTTCCAAATAAGGTTAATCATCCATGTAATTTTGTCGTCTGGAGTAATGAGCCGAGATTTGAACTTTTCCCTAAAGGTAAAAAAAAAAAAATGCATGTGTAAGGACGGTAACCTGTGGGACAATACAAAGAATTCTGTATAATATTAACAGGAAAGAAAAGCGGTAGTGAATTTATCATAGCTGTAGCACGCATGGAGATAGAAAGTGTTTTCCCCTTTTTTTTTTAAAAAAAAAAAAAAAGCTATGAAACCCACATTCAATCAGTATTGATATGCACACTTGTTTGAAATAATGCTTTTTCAATTGCTTAATGCTCTCATTAACGACTATGTGAGAGTGTATGATTGTGTGCAAGGACAAATGATTGGATTATACATATATACTAAGAAGATTATGCTTTATGTCGCATGTCAAAGCATATGGAAAGATGGATGAAGCACCAAAAACGTACTGGACTGACTGGTCACGATGTGGTTCCCAAAATAGCCCACGTCTCAGCCCCGTTGGAAAAATAAATAATAAATAAATTGTAGCTTAATTTGTATTGTATGGTTGGGGTAGTAGAACCGGATCCAAAAAACCTCAAGAGACTAGATATTGCAATTTACCAAGAGCAAGATAAATAAATAAATAAATAGATTACTTGATAAAGTATGCGAGAGACATTCTTATACCAATGCCATATCCTACTACCAAAGATGAAGAAAATATTCTGTGGTACTACAGACTACCAGTATTTTTTTTTGCCTGTATGGTTTTCTATATTACATGATATTAAAGGATATAATTATGTGTATAATATTTCTATGCTTTCAGAGATGTGATAAGTAAATAGTAGGCAAACCATGGCTAAAGAAGCTAAAGAAGCTAAAGATATTTTACTCTCAATGTGATGGAATCTAAAATTAATATGTAGATAAATAAATCATGGTAATAATTAATATAGATCTGTAACTAAGATTTGCACATTACATTTCTGTCCTTTGAACCACAAAAAAACAGAAATAATCATAATAGTTGTAAATAAAGTGATAATTTCCGAATCCTGCATGAGAGAGACCCTTATTAGAATCTCGAGCTTACCATTGTGAATGTAAGCAGGCATAAATATGATTAATGCAGTACTAAAATAAACCACATACTTCTTTAAGAGTGTCATAATCATGCATAGAAGAAAGAAAGGCAGGCTGGCATATATATACTTTATAAAATGTGCACAGTCTTTAAGGTAGAATCTTATGTTGTAATATGTTTTACTTTAATATCAAGCAATATATTCAGTGTTAGCATACTACAAATGTACTAGTACTAAACTGAATTGAAATGAACCCAGCGGAAATTCATCGTATCCAATATATACTTTGATAAATGTCGAAACAGAGAAAGTGTACAAAGATCTCTAGGCTTAATTACACTTAGGTAATATAATGAATTCAGAGAAGGCCATATCATCCCAACTCATCTTATATATGTTATTCTTATAGAGTAAGAAATGTTCAGGTAGATGTGTGTAGCACAGCACATACGATCAAGGTGGATCTGTGATACATTTGATTCTAAGTGAGTTTTATCAAGCTAGTAGTGGTCTATTACTTAAATATATTGCAAGCATTCAAAGCATCACATCTTGAGAATACTATAATAGAAATATAAAAAGAAAAAATGTCTTTATTACTAGACTTTTTCTTCTGTAGTTCTGTTTTTGGTTGATATCTACTCACTAAAAGTATTGATTTATAAGCCTTTTAAAGGATCTAATGATTTTCAATTAACTTACCTTTCTTTTATCAAGAGCTACTTGAAGTAATTTGAAGGATTTATTTTGTAGAGTAAGAGGGGGGTTCATACAATGGTCATCTTTGGATTAATAATTGTGTACTTTATTTTAAGAAAAATCGGTTAAAAGCTACTACGCTGCGCCACCTGTAAACTGACGTATTACAATATATAAAAATGCAAACGCTAAAGAGAAATAAGAAATATTAGTGTGATTTTTCTTCTTCTTCAATCTTCTTCTTCGGATAATTTGTAACTCTTTCATGTAGAAAGCCGAGTAGTCTGAAAGGACGGTTTAGGTTTCTAATAGACTTTTCTCAGTTTTATACATGTATACATATCCCCCATTAGAATTGATAGATAAAATGCAATCAAATTTTGTCTTTTTTTTTTAGTTAAACATTTGTAGGTGATACAATCCATACTCTTAGGCTAATTTGTTATTTTCACTATTTAGTCTTCAGGGCTGCCAAATGAGTATTTTCCAAACACATGTATACTAAGTAAAACAAATAAATGCTGTCTAGTCTATATATATATATATAAATATTTGGATGGCCAGCCAGAATATATTTAGTAGTGAAGTACTCATCAGGAAAAATAAAGCAAAAACCAAATGAGACTTTGTTAATGAATTAGGCTAAATAAACCAAAAATAAATAATGGTATTTACTGTTGGATCAAGATATATTTTATAATTTTACGGGATATATGTAATATATATATATATATATATATATATATATATATATCTTTTTAACATAAATCTTCTTTTTCCACCCCTAGCTGTCACACAGTGGCTCTCAGGTAATACTATATATTTATTTACTTTTCAATTCCAACAAGTAGTACAATTATTCACTATTGCAGTAAACTGAATTTATTACTCATATTATCAAAAATTTCACTTCTTCCTTGTATTCTACACTTTATCCTTCTTCTTCTTCTTTTTGTCCAAAAATGCGTAGAATCCTAACAGTCATTCTTTTTATTGGACTAACAAATTTTGTCAAGGCAGCAGACCCTAGTTGGGGGCAAGGTGGTTTGCTGTTCTTTTATAATAATGAATTTTTGCAAGGATCATCAATCTTTTTTTCTGCTCATAAAGCTAACACTGATTTTTACTCATCTTCTATTGCTTTTAAATATCAAATATTTATATATATATATATTAAAAAAAATATAGGGTGCACCTACATTAGCCAGACTAGACAGATTTATTGTTTTGGTAAATTTCATTGTCACCTTTAAGAGAATAATATGTCCATACGCACTAACCTCAAAGACATTGGTATTGATATTGATATTGATATTGATCCATAGGCGGAGAACCATTTTCAGCCAACGATAAACAGATTCCAGTCTATGCTTTAAACGTAACCGACGACAGTATAATTGATCTCTCAAATCCAACATGGAATAATATTGCAGGCATACAAAACAACGCCAGACCAAGCGCTGCAAGTCGATTTATACTCACTGGAGTTACGGGAACCGACTTAGTATATTTCGCAGGTGGTGTTGTATGTTCTGCCTGCACATATAACCCAGGATATCTTTACAATGTGACAACCAATCAATGGACAGTAGTGAATTCTCATACACCAGTGTAAGCCTATACATGAAAAATATAAATACAAATACAATTACTATACTCTATACTTAACGTTTATTATCTAACCCTGATAGATTCGATGCTGCTTTTACTCTTGTGTCTAACAATCTCTACTACTTTGGTGGCCAAACGTAAAGACACTAAATCAAATATAAATACAATTCACAATATTTATATTCTTTACCTTTCTTTAGTACTAGCTTAACAGGTAGCGCTACAACGGGAAACCTATTATACAATACCATGACCTCTTTTGTTGCCAAGGTACGCTTTTTATTTTCTTTTAAGAAAGACAGAAATATGTGTGTGTGTGTGTGTCTATAAATATGTACTTAAAAGTGAAAGCGTAAAATAAAATAAAATAAAAAATCCATAATTCTGATCATATTTATTATAACTATTCTAGACAGGAGCTGACGGGCCCACTGTTTTTGCTCAGGGTGGATCATCTCTACCTCAAGCTACATGGGCTTCTTCTATGGTTTATGCTACTGCATATTCAACACTTCTTGTTATCGGTGGACAGCAACATTCAAACACAACAGTACCTGTTGCCATGGATGATGTTATTGCAGTTAACGTACAAACGGGCGTATACAGCAAGTGGAATGATACGAAATCTACAACCGGAAGCTTACCTCCTACTAGATGGGGACACTCTATGATAATGGGTAAATTTACAGAGCATATTAGCATATTGGCCAGTACTTTTATTGACAAAGATGTTACTATATTATATTATGCGTTTTTGTTTAGATTCTAGCAACACCAACGGAATTATGTTTGGCGGTTGTAATGGTAAGTAAGACTCGGTCAAGCTCATAAAAATCCATACAGGGCGCCAATTAACATATTCAACTATAGATAATGGAGAGGCAATGAACGATCTTTGGCTCTACAATGTGGCCAACCATACCTGGTCCCCACAGAAGACAACCGGAACACCACCTACCCCAAGATGCAGACATTCTGGTAAATATACATCCACTCAAATATATACTAACTTTTCACCTAATGTTCTCTAATGTTCTGATTAATTAATAGCTGTTGTCGTTGGAAAGTACATGTTTGTTTTGTTCGGTGGAAATAACGCTGTATTTGGCACGGATCTCAATGTTGCTCTTGACATTACTACCTGGAAATGGACCACTGCTCCTGTGTTTGGCAATCCTCCTGCTTCTTCAACCACATCCGGCTCTACATCAGAGCCAACTTCTTCTTCAGTGACTATCAGTGATGACGATGGATCGTCTGGAATTTCTGGGGGTGCTATTGCGGGTATCGTTGTTGGAGCCCTTGCTGGCGTAAGTCATAATTTAAAGATAATTAATATGCACCTGTGTTTTTCTCATTTTATTTTTGTTGTTTTAATTTTCTAGGTTGGAATCATTGGTGCACTTCTCTTTTTCTTTGTATTTAAGAAACGAAGCAGATATTCAAGTGCGGACAATCACGCAGACGATTTCAGCAAGGGCGAAACTGCTGCCAATAACCAGAATGATGCAATCCCCTCTCAGGCAAGAGAAGGACAGAAAAACGTCTCTCCAGAAAAAATGATCAAGCCGGATCAGTCAGTTCCTGGGTCTGCATTACCAACAGGTCGTATAATGCTTGAGTCAGTTAAACCTGACGGCGGTCATTAATCCGATTCCAGTTCATATACACCTTCACCTTTCACCTGTAATATCTTAGATATCCTTATATCAATAACATAAATCCGCTATGCATCATCGAAACATTCTACCTCTAAAGCGTGTCTAATATCTAAACAAATATTCCTTTTAATCCCCCTTTTTTTAAAGCATTCAAATTAACCAAACTCATAATAAAGTAGCATAATATTCATCTAGAATTGATAAGAAACATATGTCATACGTAAACCTTGAGATAAGTTTTAGACACAAAAAACATTATTTTTTAAAAACTATTCTTTTCTTTTCTTTTATTTTCTGAAGAATGTGTTTTTTTTTGCTGTTTTACAAAACATATTGTACTACGTTCTAGGCTCATCAATATCGTTGATCGGATTTTAGTTTTAGAAACCGATAAACTATGACACTGTTGCATTTCTGTGATCTTCTCCTTTTTTGGTAATGTAAAGAGCTGCTTTATACTGAACATTTTGGTCCATGTCTCTAATGGGGACAGGTCCTGTTGGGGCTAGATAAGCTATATGATTTTCGTTACCTTATACACTTAATGTAATTATATCCGAACTCTCTATAGCTATAGAGTATTCAATTGCTTCCGGTAATGTTTTTGAGCTGAAACAACAGACATTTTTATAGAAATTCTCCCGTGTGTACTTTTTCGTTTTAAAAAGACGAGTTTGGGTGTACCTGACCGGGAGCACGATGACTTCTGTCAAAATACCCTTTGGGCAATAGCCACAGAATGTCTTATTTGCTCACAAAGTTCATTATCCATATTAGGATTAGTAAATTTCCTTAACGCATTAATCTTGTCCTGGGGTTTGACATTTCTTTTGGGTGATACCTCTTTTCGAATCCTTCTCTGAAGTGCTTAGGGTCCGCATGGGCCAGTCCTTTCGTAAGAATATATTTCCAATCGTTAAACTTGAGTCCCTCTACACCCTGCTTTTGGCTGCTAGACTTGATAATTTAGAGCCGCAGATACAACAAAAGGCACTTTAGATAACATGGCTTCAACTTATCTTAGATTTGAATGTAGCAGAACCTTCTGTCTCATCTTGGATACGATAAACCATGTGACTTCAGCATAATGTCCAATATGACACTCTAGTGCTGCTACAACATTATACTATGTCTACTAATTTATATTTAAATGGAAAGTTTGGGTACAAACGTGCTCAAGATATTTTGAGCACCAACCAACTGATCCAAAAGTTTATAATGAGACCTTTCTGTTGGATATCCATGTCAGGCCTACACCTAAACTGAGATCCTGGTCGCCTAAAGTTGTAAGGATTGTACCTCTGGTAATATAGCTCACTCACTTGCGAATTGGTTTCTTGAAGTCATCCATTTTACTAGCTCATTAAACAATACCGAAGCTCAGATAATAAGAGAGCAGCAGATATGGGAAGGAGATCCTAGTTGGTTTTCTCTTAGCAAATAAATGATCTACTCATATGGTATAAAACAACAAAAGAATAATGTTTCTTACCATAGCACATAACAAATACTGGATCTATTCCATTCCCTCTACAAAAGAAACAGGTCTATAAAATTACTGCCTTTGCTCGTTGAGGTATTATAGTGATACGTGGTCCATAAGACTGCATTTATTTTCCTTATTTTAGGACAGTCGCTTCATCGACGACGATCTTGTCTGATCCAGCAGCTTCATAATGGTTTGTCTTTATATCTGTAGACAACAAATTTAATCAATGGACTTTATATATTTGTATTACTGCCATAAACTCTCTTGCCTTTGTCTCATTGTTCCAGTCATGGCAATACACTGTATTTTTTTAAAATCAATCAATGAAGTGAATGGCTCGCCTTGTTCATTTTATTTTGGCGAACTCGAACTTTGCTATTTCATTTCTGAGGTGCCTGTATTGCTCTGGGTACCAAGTGGTTCTTCCTAAAAAAATGCATTTTCTGATCTGTTTTCGAAACCTGTGGCGTAGTATGACACTGTATTGGTGTCTCTCGTATGGTGTTTTTTTTTCTTGTGTTTGTAGCGGTCTACTTTCGACCCCTCGACTTGACGCTTTAAGCTTGCTATCGTATATTACAGCTCCAAACCCTCGTCTCTTTTTTTATATTGATCCAGTCTTAATTTTCTGGTGACTGATATACCCTAGTTATCTCTTCATACATGCTGTATATGTTATTTTCCAGTTTAGCCATCCCTTGATTAGGTAACCTCTCATCAGAGAAATCACCGCCAGATTTTTGCTTTCTAGGAGTCCCGAATAAAACTACATGTCAGCTTACTTATACTATATCTTATAAAGAACTCAGCCGAATAAGATGAAACTTTGTATTCTAATAGACACCAGTATATAAATTAAGAGCTTTTATCACTTCTTAGACGCTATTTGACTTACTTGTTTGCAAGAATACGGAAAACTCCTGGGCCAAGTATCTCTCACTTGTGAAGAACCTAAGCCTTGAGATATTGATTATAATATAAAGACCATTTTTTATATTGTACTTTGGCTCTTATAGCATGTTAAATGTACTCGATTGAGCTGTAAAAAAAGATTCTGCAAAAAAAAAAAGAAGACAAGATAAGGTGTGGTCAAATGAAAGAAAGAAAGAAATATCTATTCTTGCGGAAGTGATGCTTTTTTAATTGTGACGGTTTTATACATATTAAAAGACAGTGCACATTTATATATAACTGAAAAAATAAGCTTTAATATATCAAAATTGACCAAGATTCCTATCTACTATACACTGCACTTAATTATTAATCTATATTCCCATAAACTGTATCTGTCAATAAGTAAAGCTAATGGGTTAAAATACGGCATGCTATTAGTTTAAAAAGTTACGAATTCGTAAGTGAGTTATAAGGTCGGTATTGTAAAACTGACTTATAAAAAAAAAGTTACGGACTCATAAGCTGTTACGAGGCCGGAGATTTACATTCTGCCACTTCCTACAGTGTTAGATGGTTGTGACTGTCACAAAAGCTCATTTCCAACTGTAACATCGCACCAAGAATCGTGTGCAATACAAGCACATGTACACTGAAGAAAGGTTCTGTGATCTAAAATATATATATACAAGAATTTACACAATACCTTTTCTTGAGTTACAGTCATATTGAAACCTAAACTAAATAATCCAGAACATCAAGTCTAAAAACTTGTAAGAGTTTGACATTGAATTTAATCAAAATTAAAAACTCATTGTGGGAATAAGAAATATTTCAGAAATGCTTACATGTATTTAAACTACATGTCTTGTTCTATCTTTTATTTTATTTTATTTCTTTTTAAAAAAAAGAAAAAGACTTCTTTGGTCTACTTGTTACACAGTGGCTTCTTGCTAATAATTTTGTACTTATTTCCAAGTCCAACAAGTAGTACAATTTCTGGATTTACTGTAAATAGTTGAATTTTCTGAAAATCCTCAAAATGGCATTTCTCTTTTTACTTTAACGTTTTTACTCTTCCCTAAGAAAAATGCGTAGCATTATAACTGCTATTCTTTGTATTGGGCTAACGGGCTTGGTCAAGGCAGTAGACCCTAGTTGGGGTCAAGGTAATTTGCTGTTCTTTTATAATAATGAATTGTTTAGAAGGATCAGTTTTTTTTTCTGTTCATAAAACTAACACTTTGATCTTGCTTATCTTTTATTGCTTTTAAATATCAATTTTTTTTTAAAAAAAAATAGAGTGCGCCTACATTTCCCTGACTAGGCAGATATATTGTTTTGGTAAATTCCATACTATTTTTTAAGAGAAGAATATAGCCATACACATTAACATAAAAAAAAAGATTATAATATTGACATTGATATTGATCACATCTTATTTCATTTTTCGATTCATTCATAGGTGGAGAGCCATATCTACCCAACGATAAACAGATGCCAGTCTATGCTTTGAACGTAACAGACAACAGCGTAGTTGATATCGCAAACCCAGCATGGAATACTATCCCAGGCTACCCAAACAACATCAGACCAAGCGCTGCAAGTCGATTTATATTCACTGGAATTCCAGGAACCGACCTAGTATACCTTAAGGGCGGTGTTGTATGCTCCTCCTGTACTTTTAACCCAGGATACCTATACAGTGTGACGACCAATCAATGGACACAAACGAGTACAGATACACCAGTGTAAGCCTACACATAAAAAATATAAATAAACATACTATACTTTATACTTACCGTTTACGACTTGACTTTAATAGATACGACGCTTCTTTCACTCTTGTGAATAACAATCTTTACTACTTTGGTGGCCAAACGTAACGACAATAAATCAACTATAAATACAATCTACAATACTTATCTTCTCTACCATTATTTAGTAATAGTGCAACTGGTAGCACCACAGCAGGAACTATATTATACAATACTGTGTACACTGTAGTTGCCAAGGTACGCTTTTTGTTTTTTCTTTAATTAAAATATACTAAGCGATATACATGTTTTTAAACATGTACTTAAAAACAAAAGTGAAAAATAAAGCAAAGTAAAAAAGTTATTAATTTTTATTCCATTAATTTTATGTATTCTAGACAGGAGTTGGCGCACCAGCTATCTCGGCTTTGGGTGGATCATCTCTACCTCAAGCTACATGGGCTTCTTCTATGGTTTATGCTGCTACATATTCAGAGCTTCTTATTATTGGTGGACAGGAATATGCCAATGGAACAGTACCTGTTGCCATGGACGATGTTATTGCAGTTAACGCACAAACGGGCGTATACAGCAAGTGGAATGATACAAAATCCACAACCGGAAGCTTACCTCCTACTAGATGGGGACACTCTATGATAATGGGTAAATTTACAGAGCATATTAGCATATTGGCCAGTACTTTTATTGACAAAGATGTTACTATATTATATTATGCGTTTCTGTTTAGATTCTAGCAACACCAACGGAATTATGTTTGGCGGTTGTAATGGTAAGTAAGACTCGGTCAAGCTCATAAAAATCCATACAGGGTGCCAATTAACATATTTCAATTATAGAAAATGGAGAAGCAATGAACGATCTTTGGCTCTACAATGTGGCCAATCATACCTGGTCCCCACAGAAGACAACCGGAACACCACCTACCCCAAGATGCAGACATTCTGGTAAATATACATTTACTCAAATATATACTGACTTTTCACCTAATATTCTCTAATGTTCTGATTAATTAATAGCTGTTGTCGTTGGAAATTACATGTTTGTTTTGTTCGGTGGAAATAACGCTGTATTTGGCACGGATCTCAATGTTGCTCTTGACATGACTACCTGGAAATGGACCACTGCTCCTGTGTTCGGAACTCCTCCTGTTTCCTCATCTGCACCTTCGAGCCCTTCTTCAACCCCATCAGGCTCTATACCAAAGGCAACCGCTACTGCAGCGCCTAAAAACGATGATGATAAGTCCTCTGGACTTTCTGGGGGCGCTATTGCGGGTATTGTTATTGGAGCTCTTGCAGGCGTAAGTAATGATTTAAAAGTAATTCATATTTATCTATGTTTTTCTCATTTTTTATTTTTGTTATTTTAATTTTCTAGGTTGCAATCATTGGTGCACTCCTCTTCTTCTTTGTTTTTAAGAAACGCGATAAGTATGCGAACGCAAATAATCATACAGACAATTTCAGCAAGGGAGAAGCTGTCTCAAATAAGCTGAATGATGAAATTCTCTCCCAGCCAAGAGAGGGACATAAAGACATCTCTCCAGAAAAAGGAATAAAGCCTGATCAGTCACTTCCTGGACCTGCATTACCACCAGGCCGTATAATGCTTGAGCCAGTTAAGCCAGACGGCGGCTTTTGATTCCATTCCAGTTCACATACACCTTAGCCGATAATATCTAATATATCTTTATATAAACAGCATACACCTGTTATGCATAATCAAAACTTTTACCTCTAGGCCTTGTGTAATATCCAAACAAGGTTTATTTTAATGCCTTTCTAAATCATTCAAATTAGCCAAGATCATAATAATAAATAATAATATAATAATTATCTAGAATTGATAAGAAATAGACAACATACATAATCCCTGCGATCGGTTTTAGACAACAAACCGTTACTTCTATACTTTTTCTTCTGGGGAATGTTTATTGAATGTTGTACTAGGTTTCTGACTCATTCATATCATTAATCTGATCTTAGTTCTAGAAGCCGATAAACCATTTTTTACCGTTGTATTTATGTGTGTGGTATACACACCACAATTGAGTGAAGAACAGACCCCACAACCAAACACTGGTTCCTTCTTGCTAATGAACCTGGCAAGTTAACAATCTCCGGAACTGTTACACACCAGGCACACGTACACTACACACTCATACAGTGTAAACCAACCATTACACAACAGGGATTTGAATTACAGGGATTTGAATAGTAGCAGATATAAACAATATTATTTTGTCTCTTTAATAAATAACACTCTCACAGTATCTACTTTTCCCATTATTGAGATACTAACCCATAAACAATCCCGAATACCTCAATGTGCATTTGTTTTTGGTAATACAAAGAGCTGTCGTATACTGGCCTTTTAAAGAAGATGCAGCGTTAAACTCGAATAGCACAGTACCTAAACTGCCTCCCAACGAGACTAAACACAATACAGTCAATATCTTTTCCTGGCACACAACTTTCTTTTTGCCCACATGACGCAATTAAAACAAATCATACCATCTTTTCACATACAGAAAGCTCATTACAAAGGCAATGTATCATTTGGAAGCTACAAAACCCAATACGTTAATACGAATGTTTGGACTTGTTTCTTTTAAAAAAAAGCAAGCCCTATAGTGCTTCATCAACATGTATTTCTTAATATTACTTTCTGTCAAACTAATATATTCTATTCAGCAATATCAAAAGAAGGGTTCTTTCGTTATTTCTGTGTCTTATAGTCTTGAAATAGATCCTTTTAATCATATATAAAGGCTCCAAATATTTTAAGTATAGAATTGGTAAAAAATCCAAATAAAGCAAAAGAAATCTATACAATATTTGTGTAAGCGTTTTACAGCTTAAAAGAACGTGTATTAGATATATGCTGTTATTGAAGACATTTCCGTACAGAATATAGTAGTAGTTGCCTTTTCAATACATAAATCTAGCACACAGTATTATATAAAGATGAAGTATAAACTATTTATGTAAATACCATTTAAGAGATGTCCTAGAATCAAAAGACTTCCCAACTTTACTACATTTTTTTTGGGTCTCTATTTTCTTCATATTATACTTTTGACTACCTTAAATATACCTTTACCTCATTCTGTTTTACCATATGCAGTGGGTACTCATAATGTACAAGAAAAATCACATTAATATCGACTCTTACAAAGGTTTGTAACTTCTTTACACAAAACATAAATTTGATAATATTATCCCATATGTTTTCCAAAAATGACTTTGTAAACTTTTTTTTGCTATTATAAACCAGCATTGGATATTCAATCTTTATTACTTATCCTACTATTGTTAATATTTTAATCTACTATTATTATTATTAGAATAAAAATCACCATGCATATGTACAAATGTATTTGAGAATAAAAGAAAGTAAATAAACTCTCTATTTGAATGATTGTAATAACATGTTGCAGCGAGTAATTGTGTAGAAGAAACCGATTTCAATGTTAGGCACCATTCCTGATGCAATTTAACCTTGATTGGGTGCATCCATCAAAAAGGATGTAGTACATAATCACATCAAGAAGATAATGTAAAGACTACCTTGACATCAATAAATCTCTACTGTGAAAGAATCAAATAAGAATCTGGTGAAAGTTTAAAAATGATGTTTTCTATTGCAATCAACAATGAAATCGAGTAATGTGTAATTATTTGTTTAGATCTGTGTTGCATCTTGGGGTTAGAAATGTGCGTTCCTAAAATACAAGTATACAAACTTTCTTAGGCGGGGTTGAATCTTTTCCTAGAGTATAATGTACAGGGAACTCAATAGTAATATGAAAAATATTTTGGCTAGAAACATGTAATAGTTTATAATTGTCGATGTATTAAATCAGCATAAAAACTAGTTCCTTAACCCAGCACCGAAGTTGTGGAAGACTTTTGTGCACTTGTAGATATTGGACTGAAGTGCATTTGTCAAAGCCTCATTCAAACTGCCGAGGGTATCTTCTTGAATCTCACTTTGATTGTAATGATTTTGTCATTTTTGGTACTCCTCTACTAGTGAATGATAGCTTTGGTATTTTTATCTTTTCTCAGGGAAAGGTTGATTTGTATTCCTTCAATTCATTTTGAGCGGTCTAGAAAGAAGGAAAAAAGAACTACAATTTTATTATTAAGAAATAAAAGGTTCAAAAAAGGAATGATAATGATAATGCTAAAATAATTATAGAAAATACACCCACCATAATACATATTTTCACTTCGATAGCTGCCTCGTCTACACCTTGAACGTCTTGTCTTCTCCACTATTTAGATACATTCTAAATATGAATGAATATTAGAAACGCTATCAGATTTTCGTTTTGGCTTAGTTATTTTTGGGTACAATACTTTGTCCCATCAGGATTAATTCTCACTATTTTGTAACCACTTCACTGCCAAATATGTATTATTCAAACACGTATACCCAGGGTAATGGATCTGGGCGAAGATTCATGTGAGAAATCAAACTGTACTTTTTCATAAATTATTGTTGAGTGGAATCTAACTAAATACTACGAAATTATAAAGTGTAAAGGCTAGTAGAGATATATACTATCGTATGTATTTAGATAAGAATACCTACTCTGGGATCAAGAGGTACTTCAAAGCTTTATATCTTTGTACAAATGTTTTTTTTTAAAGAAGCTCCTCTAATTGTCACACAGTGGCTTCTTGGTAATACTCTGTTCCTTCTTTTTACTTTTTCTTCCTTTTTTTTAAATTCCAACAAGTAGTACAATTATATTTAATCACAGTGTAGCCATATTCCAAATGGTTGATCCTTTCAAATCAGACTTTTTCTTTCTCGTATTGTCATCATCTACTAAGAGAAAAATGCGTATTGTCTTTGCTGCCATTCTTTTTAGTGGGCTAGCTTGCATTGTTCAGGCAATAGACCCTCGTTGGGGTCAAGGTATAATTTTATCTATTATAGTGAACCACTAGTCCTATTCCCCCATTTTTTGGTAACATAAAGCTAATACTTTATATTTTTTACTTAAATGTTTGTCTCGCATATTGAAAACATGTAAACAGGATGTTCCTATATCGATCAAACCAGACAGATATATTGTTTCGGTAAAACATACCTTTTATATAGAAACAAGATTTGATCCAGTTGCACCTACAAACTATCAATATAGTAATGCTTATTTCATTAACTGCTAATCTATCTTTAGGCGGAGAACCCTATTTAGACTATCACATTGATATTTATTCTTTCAATGTTACCAGCAACAGTGTACTTGATCTTACGAATCCAGAATGGACTCTTATTCCAGGTGTTGCAAAAACCATCATTCCAAGAGCTTCAAGTCGATTTATATTTTCCGGAATCCCCCGCACTGATTCAGTATTTCTTCAGGGCGGAAGTGTATGTCCTACTTGCACTTACAACGGAGGATACTCTTACAATGTATCGACAAATTTATGGAAGCAACTGACTTCTACTACACCAATGTAAATTCGCACATATCCACCAGCAATATAAATTATATATGTATCTTATATTATAATTTATGTGTGTATAGAATGGATACTTCTTCCGTAATTTTGAACGATATTATCTATTATTTTGGTGGTCAAACGTAAAAAAAAATTAAATCGAAAAATGATATACTTTATTATATTCATTTTTCAAGTTTTTTTTCTTAGTGCTGCTGTAACTGGTTATCCTACAACATCTACTATACTGTACAATATACTATATACTGTCAATACCAAGGTACATTATTACTGATTGGGAAATGTGTAATACTTAAAGATATATCTTGTTGTGTTAAAAAGTAAAAATAAAAAACTCGTTGTTTTTATTATAACGTTCTTAAAATATTTTAGACAGGGAATTCGTCATCAATTGCGGCCAGAGGTGGATCCCAGCTACCTCAAGCAACATGGTCATCATCTATGGTTTATTCTTCCGCTTATTCATCAATTATTATTTTTGGCGGTCAGCAATACTCTGATACAACAATACCTGTTAGTATGAAAGATATTTTCTCCATTAATCTCCAGACAGGCGTGTACAGCAAGTTGAGCCAAACAGTAGCTACCACGGGTGATTTACCTGCTACTAGATGGGGTCAATCCACAGTCATGGGTAATTTGCCACGCGCGCTTCAAAGAACGATTTCACCGATATGTTGACTAGAGCTCTTTTACTGTACTTTATTCTTTAGATCCTACCAATAACTATGCAGTTATGTTTGGTGGCTGTAATGGTGGGGGAATATCTACCATATTTATAGACCTACATATGACTATTTATTAATAGATCAATTATAGATGCCGGTGAAGCAATGAATGATGTTTGGCTGTATGAGATCGGTAAACGCGCTTGGTCAATACAGACAACAACCGGAATTCCGCCTACTCCAAGATGTAGACATTCTGGTAAATTACTTTTTCTCATATTTGATCTATAATTCTTACAGCTAATTAAGTTTCTCTTTCTTTGGTTTAATAGCTGTTGTTATTGGAAAATATATGTTGGTTTTGTTCGGTGGAAATAATGGTGTATTCAACTCTGATATTAATGTCGCTCTCGACATGACTACCTGGGCATGGACTACCACCCCTGCGATTGGCTCACCGTCTGATTTTGGCACACCAATTGTTTCTCCCCCTTCACCGTCTCCGAATGCTTCGGCAACACTATCAAGCTCTGGACCAAAGGCATCGTCTACACAAGCGAGCGAAGAAATTCTTGGAAACGGTGGTAGCTCATCTAGAATTTCTGGAGGCGCTATTGCAGGTATCGTCGTTGGATCTATTGTAGGCGTAAGTTATTATTTAAAAGTAACTTTTACATGGGGTATATTTTTCTCATTGCTCTTATATCTCAAATTTTTAGGGTGGAATTATTGGCGCACTTATCTTCTTTGTATTCAAAAGACGCAACAAGTATTCGAACGCAAATGAAGTTGAAGAGAAAGATAGCGATGTTGAATTTGCTATTAATGAAGGAAATATCACAAGCTCACCCCAATCTGGAGAGGGAAGTTCGACCAACTATGCTAATAGAATACTTAAGCCTGACCAGAAAATTGGTGGACCCGCATTACCAATAGGTCGTATTATGCTTGAGCCAGTTAAGCCAGATTTCAGATGATACCGTATCAAACTGTAAAATAGACAATTCAGAGTAATGTAATATGTCTATCTATCGTTATAAATAATATGGGTATTATACATTCAGCAGATATATTTGCCCATAGAGTTAGTAGAATTCCTAAATAAAGTGTTATTTTTTTACACTTTTCTGAAACAGACAAAGTATCCAAGTGCATAAAAGTAAATCTTGAAATGGTGTTTCTCTCTCTCTCTCTCTCTCTCTCTCTCTCTATTTAATCTACAGTAAAAAATAAACGAACAAAAGGCACTATTTAGTCAGAATATTACTCTAAGCACACCCTTAAACCGTTAAAAAAAGCTTGTATGAATTTCCCATTAAACTCGGCCGTTTTTACCATATGTCATTCTCTACAATTTCTATTAAAAACACATTTTTTTTTTGGAAAATGCTATACTAGAAACAGACAATTGAAGGCTGCAGAAAAGAGGAAGCAAAGGAAAGATTCGGAATCTTCAGTGTATTCAACCAATAAAACCAGAATAAAAATATCTCTGATTGCTGTTATCAAGTGTATCTGGAGTAGGTTTATTTTCTGAAATTCGGATAATTAGCATAATTAATCGAGAAAGTCACCCAATAGTGGTATGCATTTATAATCATCTTAACATATATCAGTAATTTAATTTGTGCTAAGCTAAAACAACAAAGAATTATCTCTTTGCTTTTTCAAAAACTCTATATATTCTCTTTGATTTAATATAGTTATAAAAAGTTTAAAGCATATGTTCATTAAGAATAACAACGTTTAAAATATTACTTAAAAGAATTTTGGAGCCTCAAGATATTAGTCACCAAGCTTGGAAGCTATAAAAAAAGATGTATTACTACCAGCATCACTTTTTTCAAACGCAAGGTTTTATAGAACTTTACTTAAACTTTGTGAGCAAATGAATGTATGCAGTTAGAATTTAAAGGAAAAGGATTTAGTCTCTATTGATTTCAAAAACAATTGGTGCGGACAGTCTAATACTTTCGAAGTTAGTTCGAATGTATATATTAAATAAAGCTCAGTACTCATAATACTATCTTTTCCATCAAAAACATGCTCTTCTCAATCCAAGTAACAATAAAATGATACTGGACTGTCAGAGTTTTTTGAAATTTTGTGGAACTTTTGGTCTGTCAACAACAGCTATCTTGTCATTGATAATATCTGTATTTATAACGTACTGTATATAGGAAAGTATATCAAATCTCGAGGATGTCTACTTATTTTGTATTGTTCTGAGCCGAGACCAATTGAATAGTTCTTGTCTGTTGTCGAGAGTAAATTTAAGCAAAATAAGTTCCTGGAAAAATAATCACTTATTACTAGAATTGGTGAGGCTTGTGATGTTTTATAGTTGATTGATTGCAAAGGGGTTTAGTCTCATTCAGCAAAATGTTCTGGTAAGTGCTTTAACAAAGAAAAACTGTAAGAAAAGTAAAATCTAAAAAAAATACCTACCAGTTAGTCTACACATACGTTTACTCATCATCCTACATATTTTGGCTCGTGAATCATTTATACTGGCTGTTGAATGGAATATGGTTTGTTTTATTTGCTTATTGACTAATTATGTTACTGTTTTAAAAGGCAGGGGCTTTTACAACTCTGATAGATGGGAAAGAATTGGTTGCACATGGAGTTTATTATTGTTGGGTGATATCTCTTGAGATGTGAAGAATCAACATATAGAATACAAATTCGGTCGAAAACATCAAGTACAAGCAAAAATCAGAAATAACGGTGACCAGGTTTGGAGAGTCATTTAAACAATTTGGAAATTTAATTCCAGAAAGTTTATACATGCCATATAGATCACTTGAAGGTAAGACGAAGATATAAAGACTCATTGTTCTGTCAATTATATGTAAGCCCATGACATTAGTAATATTTTGCGTATCCAGCGCGTCTTTACAGAAAATTAAGACGCGTAGAAGATCGCGACAAATTGTATAATGGTTAGAACCTTGATGTGCGGGGTTTGCCTCTCCAAAACAAATGTTCTATTTCCATTTGACATCTTGCACTATGATGATGCAAATGATGAGCTACCAACTTAGCAAACTCTGTTGTTGTTTTTTGTTTCCAAAATTGTTTTGTTTGTCCATCGCAAGAAAAACACCTGTATCTGGTTTATCAAATATACAACACAAGAAAGGATCGATATACCGATAGAGAAACTTCATTTAATTTGACTATTTTACAGTAAATACACGAAGTAGCTTTTTGACTAGTTCTGCTATTGCTTTGGTAAACTTGTACTCGTGAATAGTAACATCCAACTCTAATAGTTTTATCACAATCTCCTCTCTCATTATTGCAGTAAATAAAATGTTTTCGATTATCTCAATTATTTTCATAACTATGTTGATAAGAATTTGTGGTGGCTTGATATCCTAAATATCGTAAACACGGTCAACGGTAACCTTTAGATCGCGTTCGTCGAAAAATAACAGAAAATCTTCAGCATATTAATTTGGAGACAAAAATAGAGTTGATGTAAACCCCGGGGTATATTGGCTATGGTCTTCCAGAGAAAGTTTCAGTTTATGAGTCAAAAAAGATTTATGAAAGTCATAAAATTAATCCATAACATCGAAGCCGTCAATAATGAGCCGGTCATCATAGCAAGGAGGTACAGTCGATAGACCTGAAGGGTTCATTAATTTAAAATCAGCTTCTTCAATGTCTACAGTGTCTTCAGCACTTCGTTTGTTTGATGAACGTGGTGGAATCACATTGCTTTCTTGCTGGAATGCGTGTAGCATAGACCCGGGGTAGTCATTAATAAAATGGTCTTTTAAAGCATTCAAAAGATTTAAATGAGCAGGACAAGACGGACAGCCAAAATGTTTTTTTTTGATATCTGGATGTTTGCAATCAGCTTTTACAAATAAATAATCGGGCTTTTGTGGCGTCTGATGCCAACAGATCGATCTAAAAAATTTCTTCCATGTTTTTTTTTTTGGAATGATGGAGTAGTTTCTGTAGCGCATATGCTTTGGAGCATAAAAAGCATGTGTGAACTATTTTAACCAATTGATGTTTTAAAATTAACAGCTCAGTAGACATCCTCGAGATTGGATATACTTTCCTATATACAGTACGTTATAAATACAGATATTATCAATGACAAGATAGCTGTTGTTGACAGACCAAAAGTTCCACAAAATTTCAAAAAACTCTGACAGTCCAGTATCATTTTATTGTTACTTGGATTGAGAAGAGCATGCTTTTGATGGAAAAGATAGTATTATGAGTACTGAATTTTATTTAATATATATTCGAACTAACGTTGAAAGTATTAGTCTGTCCGCACCACGTATATCATTAACAATACCTTTATATACTTTAATTATTATTTTGGCTTTTAAAGTGTTTATTTATGTCTAAAATAAGGTCAGAAGCTATCATCTTACAGTGTTTCTTCTTGAGATTGAAACAAATTAGGAAATGTTTTAGACGAACCAAAATAACTGTAGACAACATGCTTACTCTTTGTGGACGAAACGAGAATGAAATTTAGACAGAGAAGTTAGTTTTCAGACAAAGTAGATATTTATTCAATTTTACCTGTAACTGTCTAAATGCCTCAAAGAGACAACCTATTTATATTACAGTGATCGGACTGTTGTTGTTAGTGTTATTGGTGCTGCCGACTACTGCTTGCTCGCTTGCCTTTATCAGATCTTTGGAAAGCGGTTGGTTCATAGGCTCCTCTCCAAGTTGACAAGGCAATTGTTATAATATTTTTTTCAGCAATGACATCTCGCTGCTAATTTTTATTTTTAGTTCATCTGGTGCATTCCGTTTTTGCACCAAATATGCTTTTATATCTGTAACAATAACTTTCGAAAAGAGTATGTGCATATTTGTAGTCTGACACAAGTAATGTTATGTTATCCTAACAAATGTACACAAAAAAGAAGGTTTTGTGATGGAGAACCAAGATGAGCATATAAACTATCTTTTTTAGTAAGTTACCAAGACCAGAAAAACCTAATCAAGCAACAAATACTTATTGACTGAAAAAAAGTAGACCTTTTCCATTGAATTAATAAAAATGCAAGCCAGCACTATAACATAAAACACTACATATGAATGGCCTTTATTTAAGCAATATACGTTTAGATCTTTTGGACACTAGTTTTTTTTTGCATACCTGTCGCACAATGGCTTACAAGTATCACTATACTCTTTTTTTTTCAACTCCAACAAGTAGTACAATTTATGTCTATTTACAATGTAAATGTGATTAACGTTGAACTTCTCAAATCAGCATCCTCTTTCTTGTTTACTTATCTTTTATTCCATGATGCGTAGTATATTTTCTGCTATTATTTTTCTTGTCTTAACGAGAGTCGTTTACGCAATAGATCCTCGTTGGGGCCAAGGTATATGCCTACTATCTATAATCATGAAACTCTTACCATTCGTCAACACATTTTTATATTGACTTCTTTTTCTTTTATAAAAAATATTAAACACATATATAGGATGCACCTACATTGATCGGACAGAGCAAATATACTGCTTTGGTAAAATATCTTTCTCTTTAAAGAATATGGCTTTGCATACAAATTACAGATATTAATATTGATATTGATTCTTTTACTTGACTTTTTGACTGTATTTAGGTGGAGAACCGTTCTCGGAGAACTCTCAGCAAATTTTAGTCTATGCTTTAAATATTACTGGCAATAGCGTACTCGATCTCTCAGAGCCACAATGGACTGATATTCCAGGCGACCCAAACGGCATCAGACCAAGCGCTGCGTCCCGTTTTACGTTCACTGGATTTCCTGGAACTGATACATTTTACATTCAAGGCGGTATTGTGTGTACTTCCTGTAACTATAACTCAGGATTCAAGTACAGTGTGTCAAGTAATCAATGGAACCAGACTAACAAAAACAAACCAGTGTAAGTCAATACATACATGTATATATAGTATAACTGAGTGTAGTGTACAATCCACTTATTGTTTATCATGGGATCTTTATAGAGTTGATGCTTCTTCTGCTCTTGTAAACGACATTCTTTATAGTTTTGGTGGTCAAACGTAAAAAAAAAAGAATCAAATATTGACATTGTCTACCATACTTATTTTTTACCTTTCTTAGATCTCCTTTAACTGGTTATGACCAATCAAATACTACATACCGTAATACAGTGTATTACATAAATGCTAAGGTATGGATCTATTAGAAGAACTATATATATTTAGAATTTTTTCTTTCATATTCAAAGTACAAATCATAAAAGTCTAGTATTATCCCGTTAACTTTATATCTTTTAGACAGGAGCTGATGGACCATCTGTTAAGCCTCAAAATGAAACACAGCTCCCACCGTTTACTTGGGCTTCTTCCATGGTTTACTCTTATGTTTATAGATCCCTTTTTATTTTTGGCGGCAAACAACTTTCTGCTACAGAAGTAACTGCTTCTATGAGTGATATTACTGTCGTTAGTCCACAAACAGGTGTATACAGCAAATGGAAAAACATAAGATCTACAAGTGGAAGTTTGCCTCCTGCAAGATGGGGACACTCTACAATCATAGGTACTTTACAAAAGGGCATTGAAATAGATTTCTCTGTACTTTCATTTATAAAACTGTTAATACATAACATTATACATCTACATATAGATTCTAGCAATCGTACAGTTGTCATGTTTGGTGGTTGTAATGGTAAGTCTATTAAATTTGGATTTGTAGCCTTTGCAAAAGATTAATTGATCAATTTACACTAGATTCTGGAAAAGCGATGAACGATCTTTGGCTATTTAATCTTGATGACGCGGTTTGGTCTCCACAGGAAACAACTGGAACTCCACCTACTCCAAGATGTAGACATTCTGGTGAATATATTATTTTTAGATTTAATCTATTGACTGTAAAACTAATTTTTTTTCTGGTTAATAGTCGTTGTTCTTGGAAAATATATGCTTGTTTTATTCGGTGGAAATGATGGGACCTTCAACTCTGATATTAACGTCGCTCTCGACATGACTACTTGGAAATGGACAAATGCACCTACGAATATTTTACCATCTGATTCTAGCCCACCGATTGATTTTCCTAATTCTTCGTCCCCACAAGGGAGCGAAGGAATTAATGAAGGTGGCGATAGTTCATCCAATATCTCTGGAGGTGCTATTGCAGGTATCGTTATTGGATCTATTGTAGGCGTAAGTTATAATTTCTGAGCGATCTTTTTTATATGTAATACTTTTCTTATCGGCTTTTTTTACAATCTTAAAACTTTAGATTGGTATTATAGGAGGACTCTTCTTCTTTGTGTCTAAGAAACGAAACAGATATTTAAGCGCCAATGCTCATGTAGAGGAGCTAGTTGGCAAAGATGAAATAACTGCTAATCAGATCCATAATGAAAACTTATCACAAGCAAGAGGGAGTGATTCAACTAAACCTCTAGAAAATACGATCAAGCCTGACCTGAAATTTGGAGGAATGGCGTTACCACAGGGGCCCATAATTCTTGAACCAGTTAAACCTCATGGCAAATAATACCATTCCGACTGATAATATACACCATTAGTCATAATACTTTCCCATTTTGCTTTTATATAAACAATATATATATATATATATATATATATATATATATTACATCTAGGTCCAGCGTAATACTTAATTACAGTTTTCTTGAATGACTTCATACTCCATTAAAATATGACAAGTTTATACCAATATAGTGATATTTTATTTATTTATTAATATCAACAATTATATATCACTAAGAGAATAAAACACAAAGCCGGCTCAAATTTAACAAAGTTTATTTCTATAACCTTTTTCTGAAAAGAAAAGGTTATTTTTGTGGCTATTATATAAGGTAAATTGTACTACGTTTTCAACTCTTCTCTATCTTCAATTTTATTACAGCCACAAGTATCTTTAAGCCATTCGATGTTACTGTATTTATGTTCACTTCTTTGTCAACAATACGACAAGCTACCTAATGTCGACATTTTTTTTTTAGAAAAAAAGATGATTAAACCCGGTTCGCACAATTTATAAGATACTTTCTAAAACATTGTACACAAAACAGCCTATTCTTTCTTTTTGGTCGGGTACTTGTTTGTGTGTCATGGCTAAAACAAAATATCATTCAATCTTTGCGTGTATAATTTATGCGTTATTGCAAAATGAGAGCACTAGTCTTGAGGGACAATGCTCTAAAATATAATGGTACCAATACTTGATAAATAGTATATATATTTAAAAAGAAGAAGTAATACAAAAAGAATATATTTTTGCTCTTTATGCATATTATTATCTCAATAGTAGATATTCTAGCTCACATGTAACAGTTAGTGTTGGTAGACCTTCGAAGACTTGCAAGCAGTGTTGTTGATTGTCTTTAGGTATTTAATGAAGAGAAAAGGCACAATATCAACAATTATACACGAAGAGATCAGAGCCAGAAGCAATTCATTAAAGTTAGCACTAACATACATCGACGAATATCGCACAAGCAAAGTAACTTAGAGCCTATTAGGTCTGCAAAAATTGTAGTACGAAGCAGCTCTGCCCAATAAGACCTTTGGATTAAAAGCATCTCTAAAATGTACTCAAATGCAACAAATTGAGTATATTGTGGAATAGAGATATCAATGCATCCAAAAATATGCTCGATATCTGACTTTCCATTTAGCAAGATCATGGTATACTAATAGTCTTAAAAAAGACAAATCGCCGTACAGAAGACTGTCCTACCTGGAATAGTAGCTAAGAGATGTATTACATGGTAGGCTGTCTACAAAGTAAATCTGATTTATTTATCCAAAAACTTAAAACTAAAAAAAAAAGTGATTTGTCTCAATTTGTTGTTCTCATTGGTCTAGAAAAGAATTTTAACTTGTCTCGATCTCAAGCCTAAACGCTGCAAACACTCTAAATCAACCCTTAAAACCCCGAAAAAAGCTCGCAATAAAGCCATTCTTTTCTACCATATAGGTATCCAAAATATTGAATTGCCAGCCTATAAAAATCATCCAATAAGATTAAATTATACTCAACATTTCTTTCACAGATTTTTTTTTGTTTCTTATTCTCTCCATCATTCCGCCATCTTGACATGAATCAAAATGAACCCACAATAGACCGATTTTCTACTAAGAGGAAGCGCGGTCGACCTTCTAAGAAAGATCTACTTACTCGCACCAATAATATAAGACTTCCACTTGCTCCTCGCATTTCTCACTCCAACACTAACTCTCACGCTCACGCTCACGCTCATGCTCATGCTCACGCTCAAGCTCACGCTCAAGCTCACGCTCAAGCTCAAGCTCACCCCCACGTTCGTCCTCGCCCATACTCATATACTCCTGCATATATGCCATTGTTGGCACCAATGCCTTTACCGATATCTAACCCTATATCCACTCCATTACCTGCTCCACCACCACCACCTCCACTACGTATTATTGAACATATTCCTCCTCGTCAAGTCGAAACTCCTAGAACTCATAGTGGTCAGCCTAATACAAATAAATGGACACATTATAAAGCTATTAACGCCAGGGAATCTTTGATTATATGAATACTTAATAGAACATACATTAGCACCTCCAGAAACGTCCTCTGAAGTCATGCAATGTAAGCTATAATATAGGAATGTATGTATGTATATGTATATACATATACCTTGAGTATTATTTTGGTACTATTATGTAATACATGTGTGTGTGTTATAGTACTCAGGGATTTGAATACAAAAATCGAGACGCTTGAATCAGAAGTAAAAAGATTAACAAAAAGCAACAAAAAGCTGACGGCAGAATTCAGAACTCTCAAGGAGGCATCAAAAGATGTGTCGGCTTTAACTTCTGTTCAGAAAGAACGTATCAGTGGTGAATTAAATGAGCTATTTTGCTCGGAAAGTTCTACGTTCTCAATTACATCTGCTATGCGCTTAGTATGTTTCCGTTATTCTCTAAGCAATATCTGTATCTAAAGTTTTCTTGTTAGGATGTCTTGGAGAAATTTGGGCTCCAGGACAATGGTCCTTTAAAACGTCTTGGTCTTTCATACATATCAGAAGAATGGTCCATGCTAAGAAGTTTAGCAAAAAGACGAGTAACAACACATACACAACGATAGGTCATATAAGACAACTAAGAGTACTTTATAGGTTCTTGGGGGAATATCTTACGAAAAATGGGCTGGGAGGTCTTGCAAAGAAGTTGCATCCCAGTGGTTTAAGGTGGAAAAAGGCTCAAAACCCATCCTTGATGCAAAAGTGGCCATTCTACGTAGTGTGTTTACAGGACTTCCAACGAGCAAGTCTAGTGGGTCTATAAGAGACAGGACTGCAGCCTGGGGTCTTGTTTCTGCTAAAATTCAAGAAGATCTCGTGGACGCTAATCCTTCCTTGCTGCTTGCAAATTGCAAATTGTGGATAGCAAAAGACAAGGAGTATTTATCTTCTATGGGTGTTAACCAAGGAGCAAAAGGAGAAAGTGATAGTGAGATATCTTCTAGCAGCTCTTCACCCGAAAGTGAAATCAGCTACAATAGCTAGCTTATTTGTAGTAAATAAATATATTTTTTGTTTTGCTCTTCTTGGCTTTCTATTATTCACAACTAAAAAAAAATTGTGCATAATTTTAGACAATTGAACCCGAGAGTAGAGATAAGAAAGAATAACAGGAAGAATGTGTTTATCAAATATAACTATAATATTAATTTATTCGATAATAATATCACAAACAGTGACATTTGGAATTAAATAATCATAGAAAGTTTGGAATTATACGCTTTAAAGCATTATTTTAACTTTAGAAATTACCTATAAATGAATAATATTGAACCTTTTTGTTACAATGGGTTTATAATCTTTTGGTATTGATGCCGCTGTTGTTGCTGATTTTATAAAGCAAGAGAGGAAACCATATTTATTTATGCAGAGTATCTTGGAGTTAATATATATATATACCTTATTCAATTCTTTTCTTTGTTTTTTCTTTATATCTAGTATTTTCATACTTTTAAATAACATTTCTCTTGTATATATATATTTTATTACAGCTAAAATATATGCATACGAACCTGAACTTGCACTTTTTGATCATTCAATAGCTTAATCTACAATGATTTATGTGACTGGCAATCTTTTGAGTGTATGCAATAAAACAATGATGAATAGATTTAGATTAGATTATACTAGTCGATTCCAATGTAATGTCAACATCATTAATATATTAATCAACAAAGTATTGATTTGTCTTCAGAATTGACATCTTTTATTAATATATTCTGTGTCAGGGCTGATTACTGGGTATCTCAACAGCGCCATTGGTGCAAGTACTGCAAAAAGTTTATTGCCAACAACAAGCCTGTAAGCTACGGATGAAACACGAAATTCAAATACTAAAACACTAAATTAAAAAAAAAAAGTCGATTCAAATCCACGAAACAGGTCTTGCGCATAAGAACCAAGTTGAGAATTTTCTTCGCGATGTTTATAAGCGTGGAAAGGAAGAGAAGAAACAAAGTGAGAGTGTCCGTAGAGAATTACAGCGCATTGAAAAGGTACTCTAGTATGATTGCTATAAATATGCAAACAATATCTGGAAATTAATAAAATTATCTTAATTAATTTGTTTATCTACTATCAACAAGGCAGCTCTATTATCATATAATGGAAAAGATACAGGAAATGTTCCCTTACAGGCTTCACCAGCACCAGCCGTACGTAGTGGAATAGAAGCTTACGGTATTGGTGAGTATGGCTCTGGATTATATGGTTCGGATGCCTTTGCTCGTTCAGAGGGGAAAATGCCTGTACCAGAGCACCCGAATGTGGATAAAGAGCCTGTGGATGAAGTAGTTTTACAGGGACGTGAAGAGTGGGCAGTCCGTAGTGCAATTGCATTGGCAGGAGAGTGGGAAACAGTCGTCCCTAAGCCTACGTCTGCTCCGCAAAATACTTCTGAAACATCTGCGTCGGCATTAAAGAAGGAAGATCCTACTCGGCCAGAAGAGGAAGAGGAAGAAGATGAAGAAGACTTGAGAAACTTCAAAATCAAGGAAAAAGAATATCCTGTCACTATCACTAGTCTCGATGAAACCGTTGAAGTAGAAGAGATGGTTTTCAAGAAACGCAAAAATACGGCTAGTACTGTCAAGAAAAGAAATATTCGTAGAAAGACTGACACACAAGATTATGATTAGAAGTGTCTTATTATTATAAGCAAAAATAGCACTAAAGAAATTTTGGCTTTCGAGTGTAGGCCATGGGCTAAAAATAAAAGGTTGATGTTGTACAACCAATGGGTTACAGTTTGTTTGCTTTGGTAAGAAATTTTTGATGTCTTAAATTATATAAATTTTTGGTCATGTTAAATGTGTGGCATCATGGGAACACAAATCTGCGCAGACCAGAATTAAGGTTAGCACAGCCCTATTTTATAGCCTTTTCATTGGGCCCAGATGAGTTGAAAACAAGTACCTCCTCAGTTACTCTTTCCTTTTTTCTCTTTTTACTTTCTCTTCTCTCAATGAACAAGATCCTTGACATGATCAAGCCTGATCTACTTGAAGGATGGCTCATGGTTATATTTTCATCGGTGGCATGTGTTGCTGGTGGTATGTTCCGTTTGTAAACCCATGTCATATCGATTGTATTTAACTCTGTGATGTTTTGATGAAGCTTCCGTGGTGTTTGTGGACAAACTATGGAAACCGCATAATGGGGAATCATTACTAGAGAGCAGATCCTTCTTGGCTGCGTCTATGGCTCTTGCATCTGGAGTTTTACTTTTTTCATCATTGTCTATCCTCTTGCCAGAAGCGAGTCTGCGTCTAGGGTCACCTGTCAAGACCTATATATGCTTCTTTGGTGGGGCCCTCTTTACCCTTTTGCTGACGCGTCTTATACACTGGACAACTCCAAATGCGATTCATGCTTGTGGTGCCCCACCAGTCGAGCATGCAGTATGCTGTGAAGATAATCACAGTCACTCGCACGTTGACACACCACCGCTTGAACATGCTCACAACAACGATGATTACCATAATCAATTGGACCAGGACCAGGACCAGGACCATGTCCACAATCATGACCATGACCAGGAACATACTCACAACCATGCTTATAGCAGCTCTTACACTAATAGCCATGAACATGAGCATGACAACAACCATGACTATAATAGCAATCACGATCATGGCCACGAGACTGATCTTCTTCGTCCCAAGTCTCACCACCACCATATGCACAAACATGATATTGAGTACGGTACTATCCGGTCAACTGAAGCACACTTCCGTTTTCACCCACCAGAGAATGCCACTAGTCACTCTCATAGTCCAGTGCAAGATGATCTTGGCGAGAATATCGGAGTGGATTACTATAGCATTGGGATCCAGACAGCAATTGCGATTACATTTCACAAATTACCCGAAGGACTCATCATGTTCATCTCCAGTCAGGCATCGACTAGTCTCGGACTGAGTGTGTGCATTGCCATGTCAATTCATAATTTTATAGAAGGGTTTATGATCTCCCTGCCGCTTTATTACGCCACTCGGTCCAGAATATCTGCTTTCAGCTATGCAACTATTCTTGGTGGATTATCTCAGCCCTTGGGTGCATTGATAGGATTATTTGCCATAAGAAATGTCTCTGAAACACAAGAAAACCTTTTATTTGGAATCACATTTGGCGTTGTGAGCGGAATGATGTCTTTGATCACTGTTCAGGTTTGTTCGTATTCTACTGACATCAAATTCAATAACACTGTAAATTATGTATATGTATGTGTATGTGTATGTGTATATTTTTGTAGAGTATGCTTCCTCAAGCTATCAAAGCAGACGTCCACCAGCATTATGTCTTGGCATTCTTTTTTCTTGGAGTATTCTTGGTGGCCTTGACCTCAATTCTAGAATAATCGGTGTTTACCTTTTAGTATCGTCTTTTTCTTATTTCTTTTTCTTTTTCTTTTTCTCCTTATTTCTTTTAGCATTTCTGTTTTATGCTATGTATGTGTGTGTGTATGTATAGAAAGTACAAATAATAAGTAGCTGTCGCATGCGCACATACATGTATATATATACATGTACATATATAAAAGCAAAACAAAAACAAACAAAAAAAACGAAATGGTTCATCTTAGACACGCTGCATCAAATTGTGTACAGGTGCGTACAGATGGGGGTCCTCTTTTCCACCGGTTACAAACAATTTGACTGCTCTGTAAGCAAACCCAACGGAAACGACAGATCCACCAATAATACCACACAAGCGCACCAGAAAATGAACAAATGACTGGCGAGATTCACTGATTTGGACTGAAATAGGTTCAATATCGTACTTGAAGAAGATGCCTGGAACAATGTTGGCTGCCTTTTCTTCACTGAATGCCTTGCGTGAATCAGTTACTGCATATTGGTTAGTAAGCAGCACATTGTGTTTGTAGTCAATATATGTTGTGGGTACAATAGATAGAATATACTGGAAGACCTCAAATGCTAAATTTGACAGTGTGAGTTAAATTAAATACACATCCAAGTAACATCAGCTTACGACTTTCGGAAATTTCCACGCTGTTGTCGAGCGGATTGACAAGATTTGGATAGAGCTTTCCAAAAGAAAACTCGTCAATTCGATGGGTAAAGTTCATGACTAAATATATGAATACGATTTAATGATAAATACTTTCCAAGAAAAAAAGGAAGCTTTTCAGTTGTTTCAAGTTACCTGAATGTTCTGTATGTGATGCGCCATCTATTGATATCCAAGAATAGAATATATGCTTAGTTTATTGTGGACAGTTAGTCGTTATGACAACTTACGGTATCCATGACCAGCAGCTGTAATATGAAGATTGGCAGCAATCTTATTGGCCTTGATCGATCCATACACACGGCATGCGCCCATATCCCCTTTGTAAAGTTAATATCAACCGCCGTTGCTTTATTTGTGAATCGATAGTCAAAAATCTATAGTTAAAGAAAAAAAACTCACTGGCTATATCTTCATCATAAGGTTTTCCGTTCGCAGCCTTAATGATCTCGTGAATATACTTTGGGTTGTCAATGGCTCTAATAATGTACATGTATATTTAATACACTAGAATAAGCCATAGTATGATCTTACCTGTATTTTTTGGCTGAGCCGATAGAAAACTCGGCCTGTCTCAATAGAATCAAGGTTACAATTTAAACAGCTTCACATACACTAAAGCTTATTTTGCTTACAGGAATCAATTTGAGACCGTCGGTAAGATGGATTCTTTGTCCAGAAGCATCATACACGTGTACCATAAGCGCTGATATTTTTCACAAACATATATATATATATTTTAAAAAAAATGACTCTTATAAAGTAAAAAGAGAAGCAGAAGAAGAAAGTATTTACATTACTTACCAGGGCAAGGCATTGCAATTGTCATGTCCATGTTGATCTGCATTGTCGACTCAATCGTTGGATCCACCAGAAAATGATAACGAGTCTGAATCTTGCGATATCTATGTTCGTTTAGTTTAAAGTTGATGCTAATTTTAATATTTATCTTTACAAACGAAGCATTTCAAAGAAACAATTCTTACTCTGAGAATTCACTCATGGTCAAAAGAAGTAGAAAACATGTTAAGAGGATAGTGAGGATTCCACCCTTTTCGCTGCGTGCCTGATTATCAATCTCCACTTTGGGAAACACATCGAGAACAGCCACCTTTTCGGCCAGCTTACGCATTGCCATATTTATAAGTAAAGACTGATAAACTGATGAGATGAGGTGAGATGAGATGAGATGTGCCTTTGTCTTTTTTTTTGCACTCTGGCTTCAAACTTCAAAGCCTTACAGCAACAGCATTGACGGGACTTCATTGGCTGTTTTTTTTTAATTCATTTATTATTATCTTTCTCTTTCCCCCCTTTATTTCAGAATAGAAAGAAGGAAACGTTGGGAAGCTTATCACATATATAAGCCGTATGCATTTGCGAAAAGTTCCTTCAGCCATTTTGATGTTCTCTTGCGTGTTGCCCTGGATACTTCTTATTTTATTTTTACAAGAATTAAAAGGTTATACCAATAAATAATTGATTTGTTATATATACACTAAATTTATATGCTTTTGGTCTATTCCTATTACTATTTTCACTTTTCATTCATTGATATTAAGTGAATATATGGAGATTGTACCAATAAAAGGTCGATTACAAGTTAGATCAAGCCTAAGAAGGGCTATATACATGCATACAAAGCTTGGCACAAGAATCACTGGACAACAATCGATGATTTTATCAAGGCACCCGCGGCCTATGATTGCCTTATTTTATTAGCGCACTTTGGATCTCATTTTAGTTTATTGAATTCCAACCCCACTATTCCCCTTTTTTTGCCTTCTTTAAACTACAAGTGTGTGCCAAGAAATCACTTGTACTATGGCGCCCAATATCAAATTCAATTAATTACTACCCAACCTAAGAAAGAGTAACTTTTTGTTTTTTTTAAAGACTATTTTCAGAGTTATATTTACAGCATCCATAGTATATGTATATATATAGTATCTTAAATATCCAGATCATCATCAGGATCCTCATCATCAAAGTCGTCAGCCGCGTCTGGTTCATAATAGATTGTCCCACTTGCTTGTCCATCTACCTGGACTTCATTTTGGGCTTTCATGTATGGAAGTACAAGGTTTTCTTTAGTCTTGCGCTGCTCATCGGTAAGCGAGAGATTGAATGACAGACTGGCCATAGGATCTGCTTTGACTTCAACAATTTCTTTTACTTGGATTTCACCTGTCAGCTGAAGAGCAGGCACAATCTCAAGACGTTGGTTATAGCAAAATCCATTGGTCTCGTACGAGATCTTGCCACTCTTTCGTCTCCATTCTATGTGGGCTAGTCCACCACGGCTCACCCAATTGGCCATCAAGCTCATATAAGAAAATGAATCTGCTGGCATAAATCCAGTCAAACGCGCCTGGTTTTCAAACTGTGTTCTTTCCTTGAGAGGCTCTAGTCGGACAAGTGAAGAAGCAAGACGATCTAAAGAATCACCCAACCCAGGACCGTGCGTTGCAGGTAATCTGATGTCTCGATGATATCCGACCACCAATCTGATGGCATCTAATAATATCTAATTTAGTAAATAAATTTCTAGTCTTGTGGACTTTAATCAATACAAATGTATTGTTGTTCGCACCTGTGGTAAGGGACTCAAGCCCTCTAATAAGCTGGTATGTTTTGTGCTGTGAGATCATGGCAAGTGTATTGACAGAGTCCACAACTATCAGGCAAGCCTCGGATTGTTTTGTTTGTTGTAGAACGGGTGCCAGAATAGAGCGTTCGATATCGTCAAGGCGTATGGGTACGACCGTAGCTCCCTTTATTTTGTAGGGTGCAATAGGCTGATCCCAGCCCATGGGATCTGTATAACAATCGATAATATGAATGGCTGAGGTTGGGTTGATCCACTCTAGCCATTGACGTGGCGATGTCTCGGTCAAGACGACAATTAGAGACTGCTGTGATTCGAGGGCTCGAGAGCTGAATTCCACCAAGAGGGGAAGAGCACTCATATTAACAGTGTCATTTATAAGAGTAAATGGCGAAGCCTTTCTGTTGTTTAGTAACTGATCAAGTGAGAGAGATGCCATGATGTTATAATTTTGGTTGATCAATCAACATGAAAAATAAATTAAAATTCAAGTAAAATAAAATAAAGTATGTGTCTAAAAAAAAGTCACCTATAATACATTTCAATTTGATGGCATTTTCACTCGTTATCTTTTTTTCTCTCTCTCTCTTTTGTGCTTTTTGCTTTTTTTGGACGCAATCTCCGCCATAGATTAATTAATTATCATTTCTACCCCTTTATTACCTTTCACATTACTCTACCTCTTTAACTCTTTTGATAGCTCGCCCTATTTTACTTATTCTATGGAAGCCATTCATCTGGATATACTACCTGATAAGAAGCGTCAGAGCGGTGATTATGGTGAAAGAGAGGATGCAATAGAAAGCTATGTGACGTCAGCTACACAAGCATTAAGACCTCAGTACAAGAAGCATGGCTTGTATCCACTCTCATCATCAACCAGTTCAAGTCATCCAGATCCCATTAAAGCACACCAACATCATAAGCGAACTCCTTCTTCACAACTGCCTAGCCCAATAAAGAAGACTCACGGACGCCAAGGCTCGCTGCCACATAACCTTTCTTTTTATAAGGACACTAATTCTATACGTTATGCAACGCCTTTGCTGTCAGAGAAGAATGTGTCGATTCAGATTGCAGATCCTAGTTCAAATGTGATTCAACATCATATTCTCAAACATGAAAACACGCTTCAGAATTTAATGTATATTCTTCTGTGGTATATGTTTTCTACCTCGCTATCGCTTTACAACAAGAATTTGATGGGACGAGATCGATTTAATTTTAATTTTCCACTTTTGGTGAGTGCGATGCACGCGTTACTGCATGCAATCATCACTGGTCTGATGATGACTTTTGGAGGTGATCGATGGCGGTCTCCGTCCAAAGTATCCATGACTATGTCTGATTACTTTCTCAAAGTGGTATGTCTGTTTTCCATTCTTTGTATATACACATATTTCATTTTGTATTTCTGTGTTTTTAATCATAATAATAATAATAAAAGAAGAAGAAAAAGCTGTGAACATCCTTGGGCGTGTGTGTGTGTGTGTGTTGAACAAGACATTAATATACCCATATATATATATATATTATTATTATTATTTGCATTATTATAATTGTTATATTTTTGTACAAATATATATATATATATAAAAGGTTCCGTGCGGAGTAGCTGCTGCTATTGAGATTTGTTGTTCGAATGCGTCGCTTGTGTTCATCACTCTGTCGTTTTACACGATGGTCAAGAGCAGTACACCAGTATGGGTGCTGTTATTCTCATTTATATTTGGATTTGAAAAACCTCGCCTGGTGCTGATTACGATTATTGTGGTGATGGTTGTTGGAGTGAGTCTGACGGTTGAGGGAGAAACCAAGTTTGACAGACTGGGATTTGGCCTTGTATTGGTGGCTGCTATTGTATCGGGTCTTCGATGGAACTTGACCCAGCTGCTGTTACAACAGGACCGGTTGGGGATGAATAATCCAATTGCTACGCTGTACTATCTTAGTCCTGTCATGTTTATCACAATGCTCAGCCTGAGTCTGTTGGTCGAGAATCCAATTGACCAATTTAAACACTCCAAGCATTTTGACAGTTTATCTCATGTCATTGAATCATTTGGTTTGATGTCCATTGGTGGTGTACTGGGTAAGTATTTGTATAAAGACTATAGCTATAAACGAACCAAGGGATCAAAATAATAAGAATAAGAATAAGGATAAGGATAAGGATAAGGATAAGGATAAGGATAATAACTCATAATAATAACTTTATCTATTTATATATATATATATATATAAACAGCGTTTTGCATGACACTGGCAGAACTTTATTTGATAAAAAGCACCAATACTGTCACTTTGAGCGTGGCTGGAATCAGTAAAGAAATTGTTATCATCACCTTGTCGGTTCTAATATATGGAGATGTCCTCTCACAGAAGACTCTAATAGGGTATTTATTGTACTACTCCCAAAATATTGACTCATATCCGTTTCTTGATTTAGGCTGTTTATATCGATTGTCGGAATCATTGCGTACAACTACAACATTCACTCTAGAAAAAAGGCTGCCATGAATTCCAAAAGCATAGCAAATTTTGACAAAAACTAGCAACTTTTGTTTTTCTTATCCCATACTGATATTACCACATATAGAATTTCCCAAGCTCATTTTGTAACCTTGAGACTGACATCTAAATAAACTTTTTATAAAGCGGTTGCTCCATGAGACAATATATAGCCAGGCTATCTTTTCTGCGTGCTCACACTGACAATATCTTTAACTGTGTCTGCTCAATAAATTTTCAGATGTTTTCTCTCGGTTAGCATCAAGAATCATAATTAGTCAAATGCATTATGCTCTATGTCTAACAAAGTTTGTACCAGAAAATTGTTTCGAATGTACTATGTGGCATATCGCCTAGACATCTGGAGAAGGCATATCTGTTCGCCAGATATGTTGTACATAGATCTTGAACGCCTTTTTTTTTTGTGTACGCGATGTTTTAGTACTACTTTCTTGGTTATGTTGGGTGTTCTACTGTAAGCTTTGAATAACCAGGAGATCAAGTGGATAAAAAATATTATGTACTTAGGATTAGGAAACGACTGAAAGATCTTTGAATACCTAACATTATAAGAAATGACAGGATCCAAAGCTCTGAACTCGCAACAGCTTACGAGTTTGTAACCTTCTATAAGCCAATAGAATGTCAGCCTTTAACCTATTAGTTTTACTTTTCGCCAGGTATGATTTACAGGATTTTAGATTATTAGCAGGTATGAGTGTTTTTTGGTATTAAAATAAAGCATAAGCTCAGACCGAAGGTTTATGGAGTTCATATGGTTTATCCGATCCTTTATTCGATGCTATTTTTAATCAACCAAGTAGTTCACTATTTATTTGGCACTCAAGAAGGTCTTCTGGATCGAAAACAAGTCCTTTATTTTCAAAACCAGTTCCATGATACCAAAATAGGCAGACTGTTTCAAATATTCATACAACTTTCCCTACGTTAATGATGATGATGGTATGATATTTTTTTGACATATTCCGTGTGAGAGTTTATCTAAACAAGACTTTAATGAGTACATTTTGTCCTAAAACTAGGAAGGGCTTTATCTGCCCCATTAAGGTCGATCTATTAACGTACAAAAGCTATTCTCATTGGCAAATCCTTTTTATAACTAAAATGATAAGTGGTTTATGCCTTTAGTATCGCAAAAATTTAGACTATATCGAGCTACTAGTGATTAATTCTCGAAAAAGCAACATCTTTTGTAGATCACGCGTAGTCTATCGCGAATGACGCATATAATCTCTTTGACTCATGAGAGTGTGGGTATAATCCTCTTTAATGTTACTATGGTCATTAGCTTTTCATATTCACGGTATTTCAAAGATTATTACCAACTGAATCAGTTTAGAAGCGTGTGTACCTGCGTGCGTGTGTTCCTGAGTAAATTTGACATAACTTTAGAAGCCTCTTTTGTTGCTTTCAGTGGCGGTTTTTTTATGACCAGGGGGGGGGGGGGGGAGACAGCTCCATTGCTTTCGCTCCAATGCTTTAGTATTTCATAAACTGTTGAACTAGGAATTAAATATGCTTTTGCTTACTTTATAGCAGAGTGGCCGTGTTCATGAACAATTTTAACAGACTGTTTACTAATCCCTTGAGCATAAACTTTGCATGGCAATAATTCTTTTGCTGTTATTATACTTGTTTATAAGAACTTTCTGTTCTCCAAAGACGTCATTGTCTTTGCCTGACCGTCAGCGAAAAGCAGTAATTTTCCGTACGTAATGGCAGGATATTTGCCAAGATCCCTCTATTCTATAATCTCTTTGGCTTGGGGTTTAGTCATTGGTATTTCATTTGTGATTCTACAGGGTTTTTTCTTTGTATCCTTTAAGATATATGTTAAAGTATCTGAAACGATGCTTTACATTTGTCTACAATGATTTTTTTTTCTATCACTGAAAATAAATTTTTTATTTGTCTTAAAATACTCTTCTCATCTGTCTGAATCTAAAGGTTTGTATCACCAACGCACCAAGACTCATTCGGTAGACAAATTTTAGCAATGATCCCGATGCATCACCAGTAAACTTGGAGACTAGTAAAAAAATAAATAATAAAGCATTGAAATATAAATTGTAGTAATTTTTTAGGTTTTTATTTTGTCCAATAGATTTGGAACAATGTATATTTTGTAAATAATGATAATAATATAAAAATACAAAATCCACTTGGATACTTATTGTATACAGTAGGTTTTCTTTAAAGAGAATATATATGTATGTATGTATGTATGTATGTGTATGTATGTATGTATGTATGTATAACATAAAGATAGAAAGATAGAGAGAAGGAGAAGAACAAGCGGATTTACATATACTATTTACAACAATTGTCTCATGTCAATACAAGTCTGTATCCATATGTTTTATGAGGTTGGAACCTCGGTCTTTTCACTGTTGGGTTGAATGACAGGATGAATCTTTTTAGTGGTTAGAGACGGCGCTGTCCATTTCATGGCCGGAGGTGACTTGTAAGCTGCCTCTGGGCAGGTGAGAGAGGATATTGAAGATGGCAAAGTGATCTATAGAATTAAACATTAAACATTAGAATTAATGTTATTTATTTGTCTTCAAATTATTATTTTTTCTTACCTTTTTTTCCATGTGGGTTTCTTTATCTTTTGATACATGAATCAAATGAGTACCTTGACCGGGACGTACTCGGTGAGCTACGCCATTTTCATCAAGGACAACTTCGTAGACGGTAGGCTAAAAGAAAGCATTGGTGATTAGAAAAGTTTGGTGATGTGTGAATCATTAATACCTTTTCAAGTGAATAACAGCAACCCATGATTTATGATTGATTTATGATTGAAGAATGATTTTTCTTTGTATAAAGAAACGCAAGTGAAAGAGAGAAGGAAAGAGACGTGAAATCGTAAAGGGGTTTATATATCTATAGATTCTATGTTTTTATCCGGATTTCTTTAAAAGGTGTTTCCTTTCTCTCTGGTACAGAAATAACTATATCTTTTAAAGTTTAGCATCCACAGCTGTACTTTATATATATATATATAAAAGGAATGACCTAAAGAGAACGATTGTCGACTGGGATCCTATTTGTTCATTCTGGCTTGGCAGGTCCATCCTTTTTTTTTGGGTTATTTTTATCTATATATTTTTTAGTTGAGATGCCGATTACACCAGCTTACTGTTTTGATAACCAAACCTTTTTTTTTTTTTTTTAAGCATCAAAGGGAAATATATGGGTGTGATTATGAACGGTTCTCCAATCATCTGACAAGACCAAGAGAATATATAAATTCTTATATATAAAAAGTACAATTGTATCGTTTAAATAGCCAATAATCAGATCTGTTCATTTTATACATGTACTTCAAAACAACTGTGCATTTCAGAACTAAATATATTTTATAGCAACAACAACAACAACAACAAAGGGCTCTATAGACTTGTTTTCTCAAATGGATGACGTCGCCCTTACCGTTTTTGAGATTCATGTAAAATGTGTGCACAACAGGTGAAAAATAAATAATTTCCAAAATAACAACTTTTATGCTTGTGACCCTTCGTCGACTGGCTATTAACCCCATTCCAAAGCGACATTTCACAATGACAACCGAGAGACAGTGGCAAGTAGTCGAGAACCTCAAGGAGGTTCAGGCACAAGTTGTCAAAGCAGTCGAAGGAAAAAGAGAAGCAAGTCAAAACAACCTAGTTTTCTTTTTTCTCTCTCTACAGTCAATTGACGATATCTATCTTTCTGGATTTTCTGTCTGTGTAAATAAATAAATAAATTATACTACAGGCACGTCTGGTTGCAGTTAGCAAATACAAACCTGCTGAAGACTTGATGTATTGCTACGAAGCTGGACAGAGACACTTTGGAGAAAATTACGTGAGTTTGGATCTATCTATAATGCACGTGATATTTAACAACCAAACTAGGTCCAAGAATTGGTTGATAAGAGTGAGAAGGTAAGCTATTCAACTTGTACCTCACAAACCATAACTATAACTATTGTCCTATTTAGCTCCCACGAGACATCCAATGGCATTTTATTGGCCATCTACAGAGTAACAAGTGCAAGGCTGTGGCAGGTAAAAAAAAACACGCACACAATAGGGGTTTTCTTTAGAAACAAATCTTTACACAAGAACACAAAGTAAGAAAGGTTATTTGTCTTTGGTAGGCATTCCCAATCTGTTTGCTGTTGAGACTGTCGATAGCTCAAAGAAAGCTGATGCGCTCAATAAGGCCTGTGTTTCTGTCGGTAGAAATGAACCATTGAGAGTGTTTGTACAGATCAATACTAGCAATGAAGAAGGCAAGTAAATACAGGCAATATCATCTCTTCTCCTTTCTTTCTTTTCTTTCTTTTTTCTTCTTTGTGTCCTGTCTAAATTTCTTATTGTTCCAGCTAAGAGTGGTACAAGCCCATCTGATGCCACAACCGTGTGCAAACACATTATCGAAAGCTGTCCCCAACTTAGTCTCCAGGGTCTAATGACGATTGGCATGTTTGGACGTGAACCAGCCGAGAAAAATCCTGACTTTGAAGTAAAGATGATTATTTTTTTCTTACAAGCATGTTTGACTTGGGGCTAATGAATTGGATCAAATAGTGTTTGGTGGAGTGTAAGAAAACAGTTGAGGCTGAAATCCCTGGCAAAAGCTTGGAACTGAGCATGGGCATGTCTGATGACTTTGTGCAAGCATTGGAAGCTGGATCTACGAATGTGAGAGTGGGCAGCAAGATCTTTGGCGCACGAAAGAAATAGATTGAAACCAGTATAAAAAAAAACGGAGCATGTTAGTCAGATGTAATAGTTACATATCTCTCTATAGCTGTTGTTTTAGTCTTCTGACTCTAGACGCATTATCGTAATCACCCTACTACAAATATCAAGTAGTCGAGCAAGAAAACGAATGACTTATTATAAATTGCTTATTAAGGCCATATATTCGAAATAACTTGGAATTTTCCATTTAGGTCTCTAAAACTTATGGTTTATAACTCCTTTAGCTACTAAAATCCAGTTCATTTGCTGGCTTATCTTGCTTTTCTTTGATGAAGCCAAAATCGAATGAAAATAAAAATAGTAATTGTTCCATATAATACTACTTTTTCCGCTTTGAATTTGCCTTTTAAAAAATATGTATATATATTAGGCTGCATAAGCCAGTGCCTTTTTATACAAAACCAAACTATTAAATCCAAAGCTATCAAAGATCATAGCCCGTAGCTTCATTCTTTACTTCTTACTGAAATTCAAATCTTACACTGATTGTCAAGCCAAAATTGTACTCACTAAAATAGCATTGTCATTTAGCATAATCAAATAAAAATTGTCAGCTTTTAATATTCAAGAAAAAAAATGGCTTTTGGTCTACGGTATTTATATGCAGGTATAAATTACTATAGCCTCTAATATCAGAAAATGCTCGGTAGGAGTTTACTGCTAGTACATCATAATATCCCTTGGTATCTGTTTCTTTTATAAACTATTCCCCATTTCCTCTCGTTGAGTTTAAAGGAGTACGCACTTTCCACGTTCTGCCCTGTTGTTTTAGGCTGCGGTGAAAGTTAGCCTTCAAGTCACGTGTATATGTATATATATATACTTTTTTTTAGATAGAAAAAAAGCAAAATAAATTAGAATAAAATAAAATTAAAATAAAAAAAAGACTTTGGAAATAACACCTCTCTGCATCGAGAAATAAAAAAAGAAGGAATCCTTTGCTCATCACATTACTTAGCCATGGCAGCAGAGTCTTCCCGGGATTTACCACCCGAGCTTCTTGAGAAACTAAGAGACCTTGAGTTAGAACTAGAAGATGGAGACATTACTCAAAAGGGCTTCGAAAAAAAACGAACCAACCTCCTAGAACAGTACAGTGCACCTGAACCATCAAAGACGAGCAGTAGTGGGTCGGTAATCAGTCAGCGGGAAGATGAAGACTATGACTATGGTCCTGAACCAAGTGCAGCAGATGTTGTCGATTTCTTGGACTATCTGCCTTCACCCACCCATTCTCCCACGCGGTCATCGCGGGGAGCTGGCTATATGGAAGAAAACTTTCAGCAGCAGCAACTTGAAAGAGCTGCTAGCGAGTCATCAGCATCTTACAACAACAGTAACAATAACAATTATCCCCGCACTCATCCCAGCCCTACTATCCCATATCGCCCTTACACACAAACATCACAGCCATTACAATCATTACAACAACAACCATTACAACAACAGCAGATTCATTATGGTCAGCCTATACGACAAGTAGAGGCTCCTATGGGTCACCCCGCACAAGGACCTTATTATCATCCATCAGCACCCGGCCGTCCTTATGACCCACGTATGGCACCACGACCTTCATTTCCTCAAAACGCTGGTCCTCCATCCCCTATGCGACATTCACCCAATCCTTATGGATATCAGCCTCAGCCTCAAACCCAGCAGCAACAGAGACCTCAGCCAAGCCCACCTTCAGGAGGTGGTTATCGTCCGGCACCGATAACACACGGAGGTGCCTATCCTCCACGTCCAATGTATAATACTCCTCGACCCACAACTGGTCAGCAGAGACCAATGTACAGACCAGTTCCAATGAATAGACCAAACGGGAACTACTATCGTCCGACGGGTCATCCCAATGGCGCAAACGGCGCTTATCAAGATAATCGTCAAGATCCAAACATGATGTACGCTAATCCTAGATCAAACTATCCGTATAATGGACGACCTCCTGTACACGGACGCCAGAATAGCGAATTTACTACTGATAGTTCAGATGCTTCAATGCGTCAGTCATATGGACGGAACGATCAGTCGGTTGAATGGGGTCAGTAAGATTATAATATGCATTCGCAGATATTCTCCTTTTTCTTTTATTATATTGTTATTGTTATTATTTTGATAAAGCCAATATTTGCTCCAAATCTTGTTCTCTCTCTATCTCTCTCTCTCTCTCTCTCTATATATATATATATATATATATATCTATATCTCTTTATCGATTCCTATCGATATCCTTCCTTTTTATTTTTCTTTATTTATGTTGTTCTGTTTTCGCTCACCAATACACACACACACACAAACGCACAAACATATATACATATACAACGCACAATAAAATAATTAGCGTGAAGAAGAAGAAGAAGAAAAGGGCCCTCTCTATATTTTATGCATTCTATTTATTATACGGAATGAAGTCTACAAGACAAGCCTATTAATTGCAGTTATTGAATCAATCTTTGTATCTCTATAATATCTAATTTTCTAGACAATTCTTACCCCAAAAGTGAATCTGGCCATATATCTTCGGGAAGAGCACCTTCCATCATCTCAGTATCCAACAGAAGTATACAGCCACGTTTTACGAATAATACAGTTGTTGATCCACGCCTCACTCTTCTTCAACGGTCCCATCAATTAAGCAAAGTTCGCAGTCGTTATGGAAACACAATGATGGCCACAACATTCAAAGCAATTGAATCAATTCCAGCACCCACTGTCAGTCTTGATGAACAGTTCCTGCTGGCTGATCTGGCAGGTCGCCAAGATCCACCGCTTGTCCCACGTGATGTTCCTCTGGACCCTGATAATATTGACTATGTAGAACTCACCCAGTGCGAGAATTTAGCACAGGTATTGCGGTATCGAGTTGCCAACAACAGTCTTTCTAGAGCAATGCCTGCATTCACGACAGTCGATTCAAAGGGTAAAGAAACCACGAGTCTCACTTGGGAGAAGCTGCTTGCTCGAGCAGAAAAGGTAGCAAAGGTCATTCGTGAAAAATCGGATCTTAAACTTGGTGATCGGGTGGCTCTCATCTACCGCAAATCAGAGGCAATTGAATTTACGATCGCATTGTTTGGTTGCTTTTTGTCTGGTCGGGTGGCTGTACCCATTAATGCTGCTGATGAATTGGCAGAATTGGCATTCGTATTGAATTTGTCTGCCACTCGTCTTGTATTGACAACCGAGCACAACCTCAAGGCATTCACAAAAGACATGCAGGCTCGCCAGGTAGATTTCCCAAAGAACATCGAATGGTGGAAGACCAATGATTTTGGATCGTGGTATCCTAGCCAGAAATCATCTGGTTATCCCGACCTCAAGGTGCCTGAATTGGCTTACATTGAATATGTAAAAGCAGCAAATGGCGAACTCAAGGGTGTCGCAATCACCCACAAGACTTTGATGGCCCAATGCAGAGTGTACAAGGCGGCTACCACAGAAACTTGCGCTGCTGTGAATGAGCAAGGTGAAATGGTTATCGAACGAATGGCAGGCCCTCAGCCTGTAGATGTAGTTGTCAGTTATCTTGAGCCACGCCAGCAGGTGGGTTTGGTATTGTCCATCTTGTGTTCTGTGTTTTCGGGAAACCACACGATCTTTGCCAGTGCCAGCATTATGGAAACACCTGCCATTTGGGTGTATGTTTTATCGAAATACAGTGGTAAATATCTTTGGTTCCTTGTTATCTGGACAGATCAACCTAAAACACACATACGCACACACAATTATCCTTTCTACAAATAATAGCTACCATTGCCTTGGCCGATTATCCTGGTCTCAAACTTGCGACCAAACTTTATCAGGCTCATCCAAAAGAGGTTCAATTTGTTAGCAAGAAAGTGGTCCCAAATCTATCAGAGCTACGTCTGTTGATGATTGACACCATCATAGTTCAGCCAGAAGTAAATGAATTCATTGCCGAGGAACTACTACGCCCTCTTGGAAATACAGAAGACCCACTGGAGGTTGTCTGTCCAGTAGCTTCCTTACCAGAACATGGTGGTATGCTGCTGAGTTTCAGAGATTACCTTGGACCTGCTGTTTTGGAAGAATGGTCTGAAGAACCTCTGGATTCAGAAAATAATCAAGACCAAGAACAAGACCAAGATTATCAGCCATCATCTACACGTAAAATGACTTCGACCTTGGCTTCTGGTCATTCTCGTGATGTATGGGAGTGCGTATTAGATGCTGATGCGTTGCGTCTGAACAAGGTGGTTGTGCTGGCAGCTGGAAGTCCAGACCAGATTTCTGAGCATTTTAATCAACCAGGCCAAGTTCGTATGGGATCGTTTGGGTTTGTAATACCCCAAGGTAAATAAGAGCTAAATATAAAGAAAGAAAGAAAAGGTATTAGTAAGGAAAATATGCGTCCGGGAATTTGAAAAATGCTGATATATACATATTGGACGCAATTTAATACCAAATGTTCAATAGCAACGGTTGCAATTGTGGATCCAGAGACAACTGCTATATGTGCAGCAGATACTATTGGTGAAGTGTGGATAGATGCTCCATCTGTTCCCGGAGGATTCTGGGGCTTACCAAAGCACAGTTCAGCTATATTTCATGCACGCCCAATCATAGTTCAACCTGACACTCTTCACCCAGAGATTTATGATCAAGAGTTTCTTCGTACTGGTCTTGTAGGAAAATTGATTGGTGGCCGCTTGGTAGTATTTGGTACATATGAAGAGCGTATACGCCAACAGCGCCTAGGTGAAGGACTTGGCTTGACCGAGGTTCATTTTGCCTCAAGTTTGGTAGAGACTATTACAAAGAACACTCGCTTGGATTCATGGTAAGGAACATTTTGGCTAAATGTTTTTTTAGAGTGAGAGTGAGAGTGAGAATGGTATTGGCTTACTTTTTCTTTTTTCTTTACTTCTTTCTTTCTTTCAATGGTGTCATTTTCGATGTGCAGCGTATTTTTCGATATTACCTTGAACTCTCAGAATTTACCTGTGCTGGCATTTGAATCAGCTGCTACGCGCGAGGAACTGCCTGGACTTATTAACAGTGTTGTTGACTTGGCTCTTGGATACCATGGTTTACGTTTATATGCAGCAGTTGTTGTGGGACCAAATAATCTTCCCCGAAGCATGAAAAACGGACGTAGATATTTGCATGCCATGATGACAAAACGTGCCTTCTTGGCAGGCCAGATGAACCTTAGATACCTGAAGATGGATGTGGACCGCACAGTCTTTGGTGTAGCTACAAGTGATGACCCTAATCTAGACATATGGCGCTCTTATGTAGCATATGAAAAGGGTGTTAGTATGGGTATCATATCTGCACGTCCTCAGCCGCAGCACACCGGCATGGAAATCATCCGTTCCGTTTTGGACGAACGTACAGATTTTGATCTCTCCAAGTTTACTAATATCATCGACCTCTTCATCTGGCGTACTTCTTTGCATCCCGAAGAAACCGCATTTACCGTCTTGACTCAATCAAATGGGTCTTTACCGACAAAGTCGTACACATGGCGCAAGATGAGCACAAAGATCGCAACTGTGGCTAATTTCCTTCAAAAGAAACTCGGTCTTAAGCGCAACCAAAAGGTGTTGTTGTTCATCCCATTCGGTATTGATTTCATTATATCCATATATGCCTGTCTGTCACTTGGAATCATAGTCGTCACTTGCCCACCTCCAGATCCAGACCAACACCCTCAACGTATTCAGGACGATGTTGGGTCAATGTTTGCTGCCTTACATGACCTGTCAATTTCGTACATCCTGACCAACACCAGGGCTGAGGACATTCTAAAGAACAAACAAGTTAGCCCGGTTGTCAAGCAAGTCTTGGCTCAATATCGAAAAGCTAATTTTAAAATGCCAGAACAAAGCTCGGTTAGTAAGGCACCCAAGTTTAACAAACTTTTGGGTAAAGAAAGCGGATTTATGGTCCAGCCAGAATGGCTTTCCGATAAATCTCCGGCCTTGATTTCAGTGCAATACTCGGCAGACATGCGCCGTGTGTATGCTACCTTGGGACATGATACGATCTTGGCACAGTGCAGAACCCAAAAGATGACATGTCAGATGAAGTTTCAACGAAGCTTGGTTGTTGCAAGTATTTATGGAACATTTGGCCTTGGTCTTTTACATTCTGCATTCTGTGGTGTCTATGTTGGTAAGATATCTGATATCCCATCTAAAAGAATTGTTTAATCGGATGAACTAATGCTTTTGTAACAGGCTGTCCTACTGTCACAATATCGGACGAAGATTTCTATACTAACCCACTTGCCTACTTTGAGTTGATTCAGCGGTACAAAGGTAAATAATAAAAAGAAAGAAAAACATTTGTATATATTTAGATTTTTTTTATCCTTTACAAAGAATCATAATAATAACAATAACAACGATGACTATTACCATTACTGTGTAGCCAAGGACGTGTGTGTTTCTCACCCATTACTACAGTATGCTATGAACCGAATTAGCCAGAGCGACCTTCGTAGGGTTGTTTTGCACAATGTACAAAACATGATGGTGACTACGGACGATAGACCAAAACCAGTGCTGTGTATGTAGAGTATCACAGTGTTTTCACTGCAACCATAAACAAAAAAAATAAGGGTCTAATGATGTTATTATTATTCAATTTTGGCTATCAATAGACCAACATATTACCCGTTATCTTGCAATAACTAGACTTGAAAAGGAAGCAATCAACACCGTATACAGCCATGCTTCAAACCCAATGGTCACTACGCGCTCTTACATGCTAGTTGAACCAATTTCACTGTTTGTTGATTTTGCCTGGTTACGCCAAGGAATTGTGCGTCCATTGAGTCCAGAAGAAGACACTTCAGGCGTACTTTTACATGATTCAGGAATTGTCCCAAGCAATACGATGATTGCAATTGTTAATCCAGAAACCCAAATGCTCTGCCCAAGTAATGTAATTGGAGAGATCTGGGTTGCTTCAGATTGCAATATCCAGACACTTTATGGACTCAATGAAGCCAGCCATGCAGCTCGGTTCGAAGCCACGATTTCTGGTGCGGATCCACGCGTCAAGTATATGCGTACAGGCGATCTAGGTTTCTTGTGGAATGTCCAGCGCCAAACAGGCACTCAACAAACTGTGGTGGAGGAAGGACAGTGTTTGTTTGTATTGGGCGCAATTAGTGAGACTATTGAGGTCAACAGACTGCTCCACTTCCCAATTGATATTGAAAATACTATTGAAAGATCTCATCCGGGTATTCCTGTTGGAGGATGGTAAGTTGAGAAATATTGTAAAGAAAAGAATCGATTCAATACAATTTGTTAACTATTTTGAATAGTCATGTCTTCCAGGCTGGGTCAGAAGTAGTAGTGGTTGCAGCTATCAAGGCAAAAGAACAAGCATTGGCAGCCATTCCTATGATTGTCAATACTGTACTTGAGGGACACTCTTTCTTGGTTGACACTGTAGTAATTGTCAACAGTAACCAATTACCTCGTTCACGCTACGGCGATAAATTGAGAGGAAAGACGCTGGCGTCTTTTGTGGAAAAGAAATTGTAAGTAGTAACGATGTTTACTTTGTACAATAGACAACTCACGTATGTATATGTATTTATTGTAGATCCGCAATGTGTATGAGTCGCATTACAAACCAACATCAACCTTTAACGCTGCCACAATGGTCTAACTCTCAAGCAAACCTTGACAATGATACTGGCTCTATCATGTCTGGGCGAATGTCTTACATGGGTGGCAACTCATTTATAGACAATCACGAACAAAGCGAAAGACGTAGCTTGGATCCATTGAGAAGAACAGGCACTGCAAGTAGCCACCATACTCAGAGTTCAGCGGGAGCAGACTCTATCCCTGCCACAGTTGCTTGATCTACTTTGCGTATAACTTTCCAAATAACCAATATTCTCCCTCATTCTCCCACTCCCAATTTCACTTTCACTTTCACTCTTTCACACCCATACCCTTTTCTTGTTATTTTTCACCGTAGTCCCTCTTATTATTCTGTTACAAAGAAGAGCAACATATTCCTTCTTTTTTTTTAACGAAAAAAATCATCCTTTTGCTTTCTCCACTTTCAATCTTACATATAAGTTAAATTCTCAATGAAATATTGAAACCATTTCTTTCTCTTTTCTTCTCTTTTTTTTTTTTTTAAAAAAAAAAGACTTCATTAACAAACGATTGGATAGATATATATGTATATATCATTTTATTATTATTCCTTGAAAGCAGTAACAAAAATTGCGTACTAACATGGATAGACGCCACCATTTGACATACCTTTTCTATACTTTTATATTTGATTTTATTTATTACCAGTACTCTGTTTTTCTCATATATTCCATTTGATTTATATATATATATATATGTATTATATTATTTATATATGATTCTTTTGAGTTGTAAGATTATAAACAGGCTAAATTATTTGCATTTCAAGGTGAATTAGCCGGGTATTTCTCAATATACATTTATATATCAATAATGCAAAACCTATTGTTCTTCTAGATATCCCACAATTTTATAACCTTGGTCTCCTGTCAATTGATGAAACACAGGTGAGGAGGTTATCTGAAACCCCCTTCTTTTTTGTTTAAAGAAAATATTAGTCTCCTCTTGATTTCTTATTCACTGTTTTCCCTCATCACCTTTATTGTGTTCCCATTCCAAAGAAGGATATAGACATACACACACACACAGATTATATATATATATTCATCTTGTAACAAGGCTTACAGTACACATATCACAAGTTTTTGTAAGTAACTTTGATATTTTCTCGGCTAAATTGTAAACCTCTTTCTTTTTAAGAAAAAAGAGAAGAGAAACTTGGATTTATACTTGTAAGCCTGTCGTAATGGTATGAGTTTTTATGTTTATATAGACAAATAGAACCTATGTACTCCTTTTGTGCTAAGCATAGAATTAGATACGCTTTCTAGTGTATAATATATATTTGGGTGATGTCCATATTATTTACAAGACAACCTTGTTTTTTTTTGCTTATGTAAAAAAAACAGTAACAGTAACACTAGCAACAAAGAGGGACTTGTACTGCTTGTCTTTGTACCTTTTCTTGTGTTTAAAAAGAATCGTTACTGTTACTATTATAGAGGGTCCCGGGTGTATTCTTGTTATTCTTATGTGAATTCTAAATACCAAGATAACGAGAAGAAGTCTTAAAAGTAACACTCTCAAGCTTGGTTTATGATTGGATTCATATTATATATATATATATATATATGCGTGTATGGATGTGGGATACACAATAGACCATACAAAGTATGTGATTGTGTGTCACAGTGTGGAGCAAGATGCATCAATACAGTGTCTGAAATACAGTGCACCTTGCTGGGCTGTAACTGAGGAACGGGAACGGACGGTTCCCGAGAAGTGATGAAAGCGAGTAACTTGAATTTGATTCCCAGTGATTTTTTTTCTTTCGTTCTTTGGAGGTTCCACAATTCCTCCTTCAAAACATCAAAAACATGGCTCTTTAGCACATATCTCACTTTGGTCAGGGAAGACAGTGTGAAGAGTTAGTCAATATGTAACGGTCCCCCTCTATGTCCCCACCCACCCTCTCGGTCAATCTCTACGCTATCTCTTCTCGTTTTCGCTGCACTCCAGCGCGTTCTCCAATTTATCTCCCCATTGTTTCCTGTTTGACGTTAGGTCACTTTCCTCCCTAGTAGAGCCAAGAAGTCTTCAAATCTGTCCTATCTCTTTCCGAAAACGTAGCTACGGAATGTGCTTTCTTGGGCTCTTCCCATCTCTCACTTTAGAAAAATTCAAAATTCTCAAAAAAAAAAAAACATCATATAACAAATAAAATTCAAAAGGGAAACCTTATGGAGAGCCTGACAGGACAGCCTGGGCAGCCTGAACGTATGCAACGTCACTCGTGATTAGTATTTTATGGTTACACGCATTCTTTTGGGTTGTGGATCAAACTTTGTAGCAATATTACGGGAACTACGTTTCTTGGTGGGGTACGCTATTTCTATACAACCAGACTAATCAATTGTGGCTACCTGTTTGGACTGGTGTCTTTTTCTAATCCTTCAGGGCAAAATGTTGTGTCCTGAAAAAACCACAATATATTCATTGTATGCATTAGCTTTATTACTTTATGTTTACGTATATATATATATCTCCAGGCACTTAACTCTCATTATTTTAAGAGCCACAGTCTGTATTTGGGCAACTTAATAATAAAATACTGCCAAAAAAATGGATGAGTGTATCACACGAGTATACCCTTACCTCCACAATTCAAGTTCTAGTAATGTAATGGGTAGTCTTTGAGTAACAGTACAGTACCCCTGTTATACAACCAAAGCTACTACTTGATATTTTTCTTGTGAATTGGTACCATTGATCCATCAATATACCTGAAAGAGAAAAGGATATATTTCGACGATTAAAGATACAGATTGCGTTTTCAAGTGTATAGTTCGCACCTTGACAAATCAACGTAAACCTATTACACAGATACTGGGATGGGAAGTATTTGGTTATAAAAAATATATAACTGGCCACAAATTTACCCTTCAACTTGAGTGTACGTTTCTGTGATATTATGTAATAAATATGCATATAAAATAAAATAAAATGACAATTGAAACATATATATATATATATTTCCTATTTTTCAAAATTCTTTTGTCAACTTATAAAGGAGCCCTTGTGTCTATTGAGAGTTCCTTTGGCGCATTAACGCTCACTATACATTCAGTAGAACACCTGTATAGCACTATTTTACTTTATTTTATTTTATTTTATAGATCGCTAGGTTTAAATATAATATATATGATTATTGTCCAAGCTCCCTGTCTATACCTCTTCTGTTTTTTCTTTCTTTCTTTCTTTCTTTCTTTATATTTCGATAATATGCTAGGAAGGCGAACGATCGTACAAAACCCACATTATTATTATGGTTGTTATTGTTTATTATGCCGCTGGGAAAATTGCTCGTAAAAAATATTCAGTAGATCTAGTTATTTCTTTGACGATTTCTTCAGAGCATCGATGTCTTTTTGGAGCTCTTCAGAATGCTCTTGTTGCTTTTTGAGAGCCTCACGCAACATCTTGATCTTTTCAGCGTCCTACATATTACATTCATATGTATATGTATATGTATGTGTATGTGTATGTATAAATATATTTACTTTATATTTATAAAGACATCATAAAATTAAAAGGCTGTGTGTACTTACATGTGCGCGTGCCCATTGGTTCTCCAACGCTTTTTCTTTTTCACCAAACGCACCTTTAGAAGAGGCCGTTGCACCATCAGCACCAGCAATGCTACTACTGTAGCGACCAGAGAGACAGATGACCGAGTGGGTGTTGGAACGAGTGGTGATACGAGAGACAAGCTTGAGCATGATTGAAAGTTGTATAAGCAAGTGGAAAAGCAAATGCAAAAGGTTGGATAGATTTATTTTTATTTATTGAGTAAAGAACTTGCGGCTTATAATAGAAATAGCTTCTCGAAATGTGTTAAGGATATTTAATCAAATTCCTATCAAACAGTCGCACTTCAAGTACCTACTTATTAATATGCACCTATATGTATATGTATGTACTCAAGCGTTTATTATGCTTATATTAATAGGCCATCGACCAAAAGGAGTTCAAGCATAAATCTTGGCTATATTCTTTTTAAAATACCTTCTTCTGTCAGACACAGTCTCTGTCGTTGGTCAAAGTAATATACATTTGTGGTCTATTACATCCCTCAAAGGAGACCTTAGAATGTCTAAGCTACGTACGAAGCCCTGATTATTATTATCATCATTTTTACATCACAGAAGCAATGATTTTTTCTGTCAATGTATCACCCCTTACTTTAAGAGACTGTCTTTAGTACCAAATTTCATATTGAACCAGAATTCTTCAATGATATTTAATAAAGGATAAATATCGTAATATATATATATGTATGTATATAAGCTTTGTTTATGTCTTGTATCAATAAAATCTACTTTGAAGACAAAAACATGGGTACGTTGTCTATGATCATATAGTACTTCATTTCTTTTGATCTTCATCATATATGACCATATAACTATAACCATACAATCTTTTTAAAGACATATACATGTACATATACAGAGTATAATTTACTCCAAGAGTTCATATGTTCTTTATTAAAGCAAAACAAAAAAACTAGCCTTTAAACGTATTCTTCTTTTGTCAAGAGCATATAAGCAATATTAAAATAATCTAAAGTTTAGCGACTGCGTAAGAAAGAACCACAGTAAATGGTTGGATAGAAAAGGAAGAGGTTGGTTTGTAATATATTTAATATTTTATTTATTTATTTATTTTTCTTATCCACCCAATTGGTTCCTGTAGATCTCCCTCACCATAAATGCCGCGACATCCAGATCCTACATATATTGAACACATCAACAGGGAATACAAATAAAGAAAGAACTTTAACTAATGATAATATACATATAATATTCTGAGGATTCTTACCTGCCAGTACTGTAAATGGGCACTAAATGCATTGATGTAAGGGTTTTCTAACAGGCCTTCCTGTAAACAGTAATCTACTCTCCCACTTGAATTTAACATCTTCAGCTTTCGGGCTCCCACAGAATATGGTGATGCAGAGCTCGGTAACGGACTTGGTGGAGGTTTACGTATTTTGCTCTTGAGAGCCATGGAAGTTGCGCAGGCCGGATCACTGTTGGAGCGTGTGCGGTAGAGTCCATTTGGAGGACTCTTGGTCGGATTTTCGCGCGTAGATAGCTCGTCTTCATTATCTGAAGATGGATGGCGATCTTGGTAGATTTGTTGTCGTGATAGACCAAGTCCACGCATAAACAGATTGGTTGTGATTCCCATCTTCAACGATTCGTACATTGCGCCCGCGCGATTAGCAATACCCGAGCCAACATTCAATCCAGCGTCGATCATGCTCCTTAGTCCTCCTTTGAGGTATGGGATAGGCTCTGGCTTGAGCTTTGAGCTATAGTGACGTGCTATAAGAGGTTCTAGTCGGTAAGCAACTGGATCACTCTAATATATAAGAAAAGAAAAAAAAGGCCGGTTATTGGTATGGTTAGTTTCTCCAGAATGTGTATGGTCAAGGTTCCAGCAGAGTAAGCATATTTCTCTATATTCTTACTTTGTGAAAGATGTTATAAAGGTTGTCTATGGCAGGGTAGCAATGCGATATATGAGAGGATGGTATGGATGAGATGTCGGCGTAGGAAGAGTAGTTTTGTGTGTTGCTGAGTGACTTGCGGGAACCAATTTTGAAGCCTCTCAGCAATAAAATGACAGCCAGAGGTGAACCAACAGCAAAGAAGTTTTGGACTGGGAATTTTAGTTGTACTTTTTTCTTGTCAACAACAGCTGCAGATTCTGTAGGCTTTAAGGAAGCTGAATTGGTCTCTTGTACAGACATTGGTTGCATAGTGAGCATATCAAATGCAAGCAGAGACTATGAAACATTCACAAACAATATATTATTAATTTATATATATATATATATATATATAATACCAAAACTTACTCCTAATGAATGCCCATATATTGACACTCTGCCACCGTCCAAAAAGTCTGGGTTGCGCTGTACAAATAACTTGTAAACTCTGTTGATTTCTTTGGCAATAGTTTGTGTCATTTGTTCTCTGTAACGAGGAGTCATGTAAAGAGGAACTAGAAATCAAGTTAAAGATTTATATACATATTTAGATTTAGATGAGAGCTAGAAGAAAACAATTTAAAAGAAAGACAATGATATGTGTGCAAGATCTTCTTACTATCCATAAGCACGTCCGAAACGATATTCCGAATATTAGGCACTCCATCCAATGTCAGTTCGTCCAAGGTAGGACAGCCGTCGTCGGGTTCAAGCATTCCAAGATCGGCTTCACCGCCTTCATTATCAGAAGCTATACCGAACCTGATGTCTTGTCTCCACAATACAGGTAATACTTGGATACCATTAGGATGGTTTGGTGTCTTTGTACTGGCCATAACTGTAGGGTAGACTGATCGCATTGTCTTTCGAAGCGTACTGACATCTAATGAATTCCTTTTCTTTTTAATTTTCAATTCCTTCCTAGTAACTTTCTTTATATTTTATTACCATTTACAAAACTATGGCCGGTTTTCTCTGACATTTTCTGACCAATGCTACAAAGCATTTATATTAGCCGCCTTTTTTTTAAAAAAATTTCTGTTATATTAACCGCTTTTGTAGTTTTTAAAAGCTACTGCTAATTACTATTGCGTTTTATTCAATTTTATACTCACTTACCCATGAATAACAAACACTATGTGATCAATCTTCCGTACTTCTTCTTCGCTCTCCATGCTCACATACTCTTCGGCTTCCTGACTAAGTCCCGTATCTTCCTCCGGGCCTTCTTTTGAGTCCCCGTCTTCTTTTTGCTTTGTATCGGAATTCTTCCTGTCGTTGTCTGCCTTTGGAGCGACAGGAGCGACAGGAGCTTTGTTCTTTTGCTGCTTTTCTATTTCAGGATAGCCGCGTAGAACACGGGTGCCACCAAGATTCTGCTTATTTGTGAGGCGAGTTATGATACTCTTGGCAAATTTGCTACTAGTGCTATTCCTACACACCCCTCATCATAATAATCACTGTTCAGCCGCCTCAACGCATAATAAAAAAAACACACTTTGGGAATTTATGCTTTTTCTTCTAATCATTACTACTATAATAATGCTATTACTGATATTGGATCACTTACGAAAGGAGCCATGCTGCGGAAGGACCAGTGTAAACGATATACTGGCCCAAATAAGGGCCTAAAAGATTCCATTGCCTTTCAGATAATTGCTTAGCCAACGTTGCCTCTAGCTTTCCCTCTTCTGTTGCGGAATTAGAAGCCTCGTCTATTTTTGGTGCCGAAAATGATGGCTTTTTGGTAAGGGTCTTGGGGGCTAGTGTGTTGCCTTGGTAATTCCCTTCATCCACTGGATCTACTACATACGGCTTGTGTTTGCTGTCCAATTGAAAAAGAAAGTGTCAAAAAAAAGCAACCTCTTTTACATATATATAATATATAATATACAATTCTTTGCGCGTGTTATACAATCTCCGCTCTTATCTCTTTCTTTCTTTCTTTTCTCTTTTCCTTCTTTCATTCATTCTTTCTTTCTTTTTTTGGAAATGGAATAATTCTGGAAAAAACAAGAGCAAAAGGAAGTGTATGGATAAAGGAAATATATATAAGTACTTACTAATAGCCAAGTTCAATTTGCTCGGCCAGAGTCTCTTCACAAGGCACCCACTTTGAACCGTCTGCTTGCATAAACCAAGTAGCCCGTCTTACTTCAAACGTTGGTCCTTCCCAGTATACGGGATAAATGGTTCTTTCGGACACATCCACTTCAAATAAATAGTCTTCATTGACAGGAACCTTTGCTCTCACATCATTGTTCTTTTTGTTTGTTTATTTGTTTGTTTAAGAAATAAGTAAATAAAAGGTTAAATACATTACAAAGGATTCTTTCTTTCTTCTGGTATTATTCATTTTTTTTATATAAATATGTTTGTGTACTTTTTCTTTTGTAATACCTGGAATGCTTTTTCGAGAGCAATGGAATCCCGTTTTGAAAATGGAACCCAAGCCGTTGATTTACTTTTGGGGGCCGAAGGACTTTTAGGTTGTCGTCTGCTCATTGCAGCTTCTTTGGCAGTACGCATTGAGACAGGATCAACAAGGGCATTGTCAATCGCATGGAACCTGTTGCAAAAAAAAATACAAAATGAAAGAGTTTGGTCAAACGGCAGCCAACATAAAACAAATAAAAATAAATTGAAGAATATATTCTACCAGTGTGGAATCAGCGGCGGGACGTCCAAGTCAGGTATCAAACTATGGGGTCGTAAGGTCCGTCGTTGTGGAGAGTGTCCACGGGGATATGGCTCGGGTTCGAGCATGAGAGAAAGAAAGAAAGAAAGTAAAAAAAGAAAGAAAGAAACAATGAAAAAAAGAAAGAAAAAAGAAAAAAGAAAAAAGAGCGTACGACAAGGAGAAAGTAGATAGGAAAGAGGGGGGTTGGTGGGAGGAAGTGGTAGGGGAGGGGAAAGGGAAGAAGAAATGTAGGCTATTAAAAAGAAACGTCACATAAGAAACCGTATCTCCGTTCGCATTATTACACTATATTTTAATTTTAATTTTAATTTTAATTTTTGTTGTTGTTCTTGCTGTTGTTCTTGCTGTCTGTATAATATACACATATAATTAGCCAAAGTACAGAATGGGAAAATGGACAGACAAACTTTACATCACTCACTCTGAATGGAGTGGAGAAGTTGGCCAACATTCTGCATCTTCTGGCACTCAGGGGCGAACCAAAGGAGCTGGCTTCAAACGCCTACCATTCTATTGCTGCTCATTATCCCTTCAACCATTTGAACATCCCGTTTGCACACCCGAAGGAATTGTATTTGATCTCGTCCACATCATACCGTACATCAAAAAGTTCGGCACAAATCCAGTTACGGGCGAAAAACTTTCCACAAAGAACCTTATTACCCTCAACTTTCACAAGAACGACAAGGACGAGTATTATTGCCCTGTCACCTTCAAGGTCTTTTCAGACCATACAGCAATTGCAGCCATAAAATCAACCGGAAACGTTTTTGCATACGACACAATCGAACGACTGAATATTAAGCCAAAGTATTGGCACGACCTCTTGGATGATACACCATTTACACGCAAAGATATCATTATGATCCAGGTAACATATATATATATTTCTTTTTTTTTTAAAAAAAAAAAAGATATAACTATATGGTATCTGATATTGCCCATAATTCCTTTGAAATATATTAAACAGTTCAAGAATATCTTGATGTTTCTTTTTTTTGTATTTGCCTATTAACTTGGATTTATTTTATTTTTATTTAAAAAATGATAACAATAGGATCCACATAATCTCGAGAATCGTAATATGGCTGAATTCGATTATGTCAAAAACGATCGCAAGATTGTTAATGCAGGTAATTATAAATTATACAATCATATAAAAAAAAAGTAACAAATCATTCTATCTATATATTCTGTAGCTGAGGAAAGAGAACGTCGAAACCCAATTAACAATATCAATGTCAAGGGTATTGGTGGTACAGCTGAACGTGTTCTTGCAGAATTGAAGAAAAAGGATACTGTGGTGGAAGACAAATCAGAAGACACACCTGCCAAGATCCCAACATCTTTTCACCAAAAGAAAGAAGAAAAGGCTTATAATGCTGCTCACTACACAACCGGACAAGTATCTTCCTCGTTTACCTCGACTGCCATGGGACGTGTTACGGTCAATGAACAAGCCTTGATAGACGAAGAAGAATTTATGTACAAACACATCAAGACCAAAGGGTTTGCACGCATTGTAACCAACTATGGAAACATCAATATTGAACTCAGCTGCGATCGTGTAAGTAATTCTTGAGCAAAGGTTTATTATATATATAGTATTATTATTTTCTTTTAAAAAAAGTGGAAGCTTACATTATTTATGTTTACTGTCATTATATTAGACACCACGTACATGTCACAATTTTGTCAAATTGGCAAAGTCTGGATATTACAAGGATGTAATCTTTCACAGAAATATCAAGAATTTTATGGTAATAATGGTTAATTTGAGCTCGGTTGTAGAACTTTTTTTTTATTTTGTTTTAACATTCTCTATGTTTAGATCCAAGGTGGTGACCCTACTGGTACTGGCCTTGGGGGTGAGTCATGCTGGAAGCAGGAATTCCCGGATGAGCTCAAGTTCAACATGACACACAATGATCGCGGTCTCTTGAGTATGGCAAACAAAGGAAAGGACTCGAATGGATCACAATTGTAAGTTAATAATCCACTCGAATACACAGACATATATTGGTTGGTGCTTTACAACTAATACATATACATACGTGTGTGTATATATAATCATAACTATTATAATGTAGCTTCATTACTTACCGTCCGTGCACTCACCTGGATAACAAACATACGATTTTTGGCAAGGTTGTGGGAGGATTGGACGTACTAGATAAACTCGAGGCAGTTCCGGTAGATGAAACTGACCGGCCACTGCGTGAGATCAAAATGAAGGATGTGGTTGTGTTTGTTGATCCTTATGAAGAATATGAGACCAAGCTAAAGAAGAAGCTCTATCGACAGGCCAATGGTGCTGCAATGGATGAAGCTGAGCGCAAGAAGAAAGAAAAGGAAGAAAACATGGGCTGGTTTGGACCGAATGTCACAAAAACCCAACAAAAAAAGGTGCCGTCTATCACAGGCACTCGTCATGCTGGGGTAGGAAAATACCTTCAATCGACATCCACAAAACGAGAATCAACTGAAAGTGAGGCGTCAGAAACCACAGAGCCTTTGACACCAAAACTGCCCGTGGCCAAAAAAGTCAAGGTCACAAGCAAAGGCTATGGGAACTTTGACAATTTTTAAATAACAATAATAACAATAAAAAAAAAGTATTAAACAACTATAATCTTGTAATAATCTTGAGGTAGTATTTAATACACTGTCTTGGATTTTCTAGTTAATTTATTAATTTTGTGTATTGAACTCTCTCTTTTAATATGGTACATGGATCATATATATATATATTAATCTTTCACACATAAACGTATAAGCTTTCTATTTCCTTTATATTTTCACGGAGTATGGGATAATGATTTGCAATAAAGAATATACCAAAAAACAATAATTAACATAATCAAGAATACTATGTTTATTTTCTGTCCTTTGTATAAAAGAATAACAAATAACGTTATGATCTATATTTCTTTCTTAAACTACCGTAGCATACAGTGTTCTTTATTTATGAAAGAGGATAAATTTGATGATCTAAAGCATAATTGATGTCCACATACTGTCTTTAATATTAATAACAATAATAAGCTTCATTTCATTTCAATTTTTTTTTATATAAAGTTTAAAAAATAAATAAAAATGCGCTATGACATTAAATGTATTACGTTATTGATTGCCCTTTTGTAGTAAGACAAAGTTAAATAGGTTTATTCAATTGGATGATAATGACGGAGTATTGTGTTGCATTTTGTAAAGTGTTACACCACGTGACGAAGAAGGAAACTAAATTTTACATTCTGACATTTACATAGTGCTATACTTTATTAATCTAATTTAATATATTATTATTATTATTATTATTTTCTAGTATGTAGTATATTTATGTATGTTTATATATGCGTATATGTAAGTATGGTAGCAAAAGTTATGTCTTCATTATGCTAAAGATTTGGTTGTTTTCTCAGGAGACTTGGTGGATTTCTCTTGTTCAGCAATCTCAGAGGCAGCTAGAACAGTACAAAATAAATAAATAAATATAAATATAAATATATACATATATATTACTATGGTTATTACTTACTCAAGAATCTTCCTCCAGGACCACGTGGTCGGCGCATAGCATGTCTGTGTCGACTTTCGTGTAGGTATGGTTTTCTGGCTCGGGCAATCTTATTGAGTTCTTCGAGACGTGCCCGGGCTATTCTACGCTTGAGAATGCGATGGTACTGCTTAGCATTCACATACAAGGGTTCATCGGCTGCCTGAATAGGAACAAATCCTTGGGGCTGTTGAATACTTTGCTGTTGGTTTTGCAATAATTGGTGTGCGTGTTGTTGGTCCTGTTGATGAGGATTGGGCTGCTGCTGTTGTGGCTGTGGTTGTTGTTGTTGTTGTTGTTGTTGTTGTTGTTGTTGTTGAAGGTGCGATATTGGATTGTGTTGTTGATGAGGTTGCTGTTGACGGGTTTGCTGTTGGTGAGGATGCTGTTGAATAGGATCATGGGTACGGTAGTCGGCTAGAGGGTGAACCAATGGTGGAGAAAGTAATTCTTGCTGTTGCTGTTGAGAAATGCGACGTGAATGATTACCTAGCCCATTTACATTGGGAATGTTGTTCATAGGGTAAAGTGAATAGGACATTGAACGGTCGATTTCATAGTTTGGATTTGTTTGCTGTGGGTGAGGATCCAAAGGATGATGTCCGTGCATTGGGCCACCAGAATTGTCGAATTGGGGGTGTTGCCCAATATCTGGACCGATTGATTGTGCGTAAAGAGACGCTTGGTGCGATAGGTCCTGTTGGTCTACGGGAGGATTCGTCATACTGTAGACTTAATAAAGAAAATTATACTCTGTAAGCTATGTACTCAAGTAGTACGAATAAGAGCAACTTAAAAGTTATTCTTGTCCAATTAAGTATAGAAAAATGAAAATAGGCTCGAAAGGTAAGGCTAATATTTTATTATCATTTACTTTTCATAAAAAAGAATAAATATTATAACGGTCCAAGCATGACATCAGCGCCTCAGTCAAACACACACACACACACGCTTATATACACGCAATGCTTATTTAATTACTTAAAGTAACATGTGTGAGTTTTAGAAAATAATAATGGACGTATAATAAGCAAGTCCTTCTGATACGCAGATTTAATATTAAAACTTGATCGACGCATGAGAAGTAAAAAAAAAAACTCCACCAAATAGGTCAATTTCAAATGACCAACCAACTCAGTAGGTTAAAGATGCGGACTATTAATTATTATTTTTTACTTTATGACAATACAAAACAAAATTTAAAGCTTGGGTTGACATGGCAACAATAACAAAAAAGGGAATTTAACAAGCTTGTTTAATGCAGATCTCTGTGTATGTATATTTATATAGTACTCCTTTGTTTTGTTTTATTTGCTGGGAATTCTACTCAAATCTTTATCCTGAATATCAACCAGTAAATATTAATGTTTAAAGGAATCGACAACAATGTATTAATTAATAAAGTACATTATATGATCTTTCCTTCTTTATATGACTTATTTGGATGGTGCTTAGGTATCATGGGTTTAGGGTGAGTTGGGTTGAATTATTCAGAGAACAGATTAATATTGTTCTAAAGAAATTTATTATGATGCCTGCTCACGTCATAATATTCTACAGTCAGTGCTTCTTTTTTCTTTTTTTTTTCTTTTTTTTTCACCGAGGAAAAGTCTAGAGAAAGAAATGTAACAAAAAATAATATTTCAAAAAGTAGCCTGGTGGGGTTCCTGTCATTTTCCACAAAATATCTTATAAACAGCGAACATTACCCCCAATTTGATATTAAATATTTTGACAAAGACTTGGGGAAGAATTATATATATTTAATATAATTAATTAAAGGAATAAAGAAAATGAAATATTATTATTTACAAGGTATCTGATATATTTAAAAACTTCTGGTCTTCTTTCTTCTTCTTTAATCAAGAGATGACCAGTGAGTAAGCTCTTGGCGGAAGGCGCCAAGTCGCTGCATAGAATAGAGAAAGTAATCGAAATCGATGTCACTTTGGTTTGCCTGCACAAGACCCCAGAGACCCCATGACAAGTGACTAGCCATGACCCAAATCAAGGCTTCTTTTTGAAGGGTATCAACAGAAGACTTGAGGTTGTTGGTGGCAATGTAGGCCTTTAAGAATCGTTTCTGTTCTTCCTGAGTGGGGAAAGCATCGACTTTCATAGATGCTGGAGACTCGGAGTGATAGTCATACATCCACTCACAAAAATGGTTTGCGATTTCATATCCGCGAGTGTTGTAGCCTGCATATTCAAAGTCGATTACAACCAACTCGCCTGTAGTGTCTAATTTGAGAATATTTCCATATTGTGTCTACAAAATCGAACAATAGTAATATTAATAAAGATGCCTAGATTTAAAATGTTGTTATGGCAACAAATTCACATTGTAAATCAAAGAAAAATAAAGTAAAATTATATATATATAAATAAAACTAATTACTATTACTATTACTTATTGTTAGTGTGTTTTTTTTATATATTTGTTGTCTTACATCATTGTGCCCAAATACGATTGGACTTTGGATTGTCTTGAGGAGGCGCTGACATATATCGATTTCTTCTTTTAATAGATCGATATCAAAAAGTTCCAATTCTGCTGCCCACTTTTCATTCTTTTTCATAAGATCAGGTAGGACGTCCTGAATGGCCGCGAGCCACTTGTGTACATTTTGCCAGACAGACAATTGGCGTGCCTCTTTGGCAGACGGTGGATAAATATCTACAATGGTGTGTAACTGACAAAGACGGCTAGCAATTTGTTCGGAGATAAAAGGTTGGCGCATATCGGAATACGACAGAGTGGTTGACTGAAGGTACTCTTCAAATCGTCCGTTTCCAAAGATCCCTAGCATGCGTGGTCCCAGCCCAAGGTGGGAGAGACGAGCAAGCCAGGCCAGTTCGTTTTCTCTGTCTAGGATTTGCTCGCAGCCATGGCCATAGACACGCATCAGGAAACGCTTCTTGTTGACTGTCACAAAGAAGACTGCGTTTGTCATGGCGCCACTCACGCGCTCAAGGATGGCGCGATGGGCAGAATCAATAAGACCTGGAAATAATTTCTGCATCACAGAAAGAACTAATTTCTCGAGTGGTTCATTTGGCAATCTGTTGTCAACAAATTTGAAGGGAGAAGAAGGAGAAGAAGAAGAAGAAGGAGAAGAAGAAAGGGGGAGGTGGGGAGAATAACAAGGGTAGAGTAAGATATAGTAATACGGATCAAAATATAACAAACAAAAAGAATAAAAAAAATGCTTAATACAAATAAGCTTTTATATTTTTTGGTTGCTAAGATACAAATTATGACTTACGTGAGGTCTATAGATTCTTTACAGGTAGGAATGGCATGATCGAATGTGATATCCTGGCTGTTTTTTGCGTGTTTTCCACGGTTGCCTTCCTCTATTGCTTCGGTTGGATGAGAGCGACGAGAGGGCAAGAGAGGGCTACTGCTTGAGCGTAATCCAAGTGCACGAAGAGCTGATGGACGGACAGTCTTTACGGACTCAGGGGTAATATCGTTTGTTGCAAGCATCGTGTATTTGTAATTTGTGTTTTGTTTTTGATTTTGGTTTAAATAATAGGAATAATTTTTTGAATTTTTTTTTTAAAAAAATAAACAATGAGAAAAGAAAGAAGAAAAAAAAAGGGAGAAAAGAGGATGAGAAAAGTTGCTGGTCTTTAAGCTTTTTTTCTCTCTCTCTCTCTTTCTATTTCTAGATTCATTTCTGCAGGGTCTCACGTGATACAGTGTGATAATCAAGGTAACCAATGATAAATGACTTTAATCATAAAGATGTATATATATATATTTATTAAACAAATAATACAATAAAAACTAATTGAACATGGTCTGCAAACAATCGTATATTCCGATTGTAGAAACCAAATATCAAATATCAGATAAATGACAAGAGTCACCACCCTTTTGGATTTTTGTTCCCAAGCGTTTCAAATGTAGAAACAAAAACAAAAACAAAAAAAAAGATAAGAGAAATGTCGTCTATAATGTTGTCTCTTGGCTCATCAAAACAAATAGCCTTTGTTGATTGTTAAATGTTATTTTACTCAGCAATATTGACAACCTTCATGCATGTTCTTGCATACCTCTTTATATATATTTATATATCTACTAAAGATGTATATAAAAATATAAAGTATAAAATATTGTTTGTTCGTCGTACCATCTCATCTTGGTTTGCCCAATATAGGGAGGATCTCGAAAAAAAAATATTATTATAGTATGTATGTATATATACTATATTTCTATTTCAAACAAAAGAAAAAGAGACTGACCAATTTGAGGTGTATGTGCTTGTGCATAGATATATAAATAACATACATGTATACAAATTCTATCTAATCTTTTCAAATATTTGTATCAAGAGATATGATTCTTAATATAGACTGCACAAACAATAATTTCTTCTTTTTAATTATAAATCAAGTATTAATCATGGTATTTTGTTTGGGGTTCATTTATGAAGAGTCTTTATTAGGATCCTTAAATTATGTATTTAACTTGAGAGCAACAAAAACCAAAACCAAAAAGCTTTCAAGTAAGCATTATATTGTATTATACAAATTACAGCTACAGCAAAATACAAACGGTTCTTTGATTTATTCAATGATTTACCAAAGGAGGGATATGTATGAGTTTATTGATAAAGATATATCGTAAACCCTCGAGGGGGAAGAAGAGCATGGTGTTACACGAAATAACAATGGCTAGTCCAGCAGATATATATATTGATTTGCCCAAGTCACTATACATTTCGTTGGTAGAGATAGAATAAAGAGAAAAAAAAACGTAAAAGAATAATTGAAGTATAAAATTTAAAGGCTTATGAGCAGAGGTTGACCACATATAAACTAACGAACCATAAGAAAAATAATATATTACGATCAAATATCGTCCTTTAATATGTTTCTAAAACTACAGCAGCAACTCCATTCAAAGCATAATAAGAGGCAATGCCTTTTTTTAAGGCCAAGTAAGGCCTATTGAGAATGAAAGTGTACCATGACGATCATTCAAACGGAGAACACCAACAAAACAAAGAAACAAAAGGCATTTGTAGTAAAGGATTGTAATCGCAAACTTTAGAAACTATTAAGATCTGAAAATCAGATATAAAAAAATGCCATGTAGTATTTAAGAGAGAGAGAGAGAGAGAGCGATAGAATTATATGTATCAAAAGGAAAAAAAAAATAAGGGGTATATCGAAGGATATCAGCTCACCAAGGTCATAAAGCCATAAAAGCATTAATGATGTGTTAGCATTAAAGCTGTGACACTTATATGGCAGGTATGGAATAAGAAGAAGAAGAAAAATGAAAATCGTAGGTTCAGGTGTCTCAAAACGAGAATTCATTGATGAGCATGTAGAAATATGGGCTTGAACCTAGTGTACATCGATTGAAATATTAGTTCGAACAAAATAAAGATGAGGAGGAATCAAACTCAATTACAAAGCATATTATTACGGGGCTGGATCGAGAAGTCTTGGTTTGCCATAAAACCAAAGAAGGTCACAGTATGACATATTTTATTTCTGAAAAAATATATAATGAATAGTAACAAGCTTTACCTATAAGTGAATGAGGAGACTAACCAAGACGTAAAGCATGTCATAAGTTGCAGATGATGAGTAAGTAGGTTTACGACTGCTGCGCGTCCAGGGACAGGAAGTTATTATTGGCTGTCGTCATTGATACAAGCGTATATAACTGAAAAGGTTGTTTTCTTTAAAAAAAACACACAAACACACACACACATTTCACTGTATGATGATATTAATAAGTGAATGTCTTAAATACATGACAGACAAGGAAGAAGAGCTATCATAATAGGAAGAGACTTTAACTGACTAAAGGAATGGGGAGGAGATCTTTATATTCTAAATAGCGTGGAATTAGACATGAACAAGGACACGAGACTCAATGCATGTCAACCTTAGCACTATGTTACTAGACCGTATATTAGTACAAAGTTGGATTTTAGCTACTAAAGATTATTAGGTTTCCGGAGAAAGACAAAAGAATTGACTTGAAGTAGTCTAGAACATTGGAGTTATATGGAGTGATATTAGAACACAAGATGGAATATGTAGGAAACAGTGTATTATCAAGGACGCAGAGACCACGAGATTGAATGATAGGAGAAGATATTTATGCACTGGTGCCAGAACTGATGAGGGTAGTAAAGAATAATGATGTAATAGAACACATAAAGAAATGTATAAAGTCATAGCTAAAAAGGTCTTGTTCTTTAAAAATCCATATGGTGGATAGATTCGATCATACGCTCTTTCTTAATTGAGAAGAACACCGATAACAGTGGGGATACTCTTGTTGGCCTGTCACATGATCAATTCGACCAAAAGGCCAATTGTTAAAAAGAAATCCAATCTGGTGTGAGGTTAAGGACGGTTTATCGCTATTAGGGACATGCGAGCACTGAGGAACCGAGTAAATATCTTGGCATGACCACAGTGTTAGAGTGATCGGGCGCTAGTTGTGACTACCTATATACTGTCCGGTACGAATGTATTTACTTTGTATGTGTATATTTTTTGTGTACGTGTAACACTTTCCTATATTAGTACAATCACTCTTTCTTTATTTATCAAAGAAAATCATGCAAATATGGAAGAATATTTGTCCATCATATTGCATTTTATTATGTAAAACATAGTGTTTTCAAGAATATTATATTTTATTATTTTTAATTCAAAATAAAAGCAATTGCTTTGAAATCTTCGGCATATTATTATTATTATTGTTATATATATATATATATATATATGTTACCAGTATTACTAGAAAATATCAAAACTTTAGCATCTAAAATAAGCTAGAAAATACCTTTTTATATATAATGCATATTGATTGTCTGTATGTCTTATTTAATCATATTATTTATTAATTAACATGTCAAATTTTGTACCTAAAATTAATAACAATAACAAAAACAAACAATAGCCTACAATAAAGACTTTCCAATTTATTGGTTACCAATCATATTGTTATGCGTGGCTTACATGTAACGCCAAAATTAAAGACAGACCTAGTATAACTATGGCTGTTAAGTACGTAAAGAAAGAAAGAAAGAAAGAAAGAAAGAAAGAAAGAAAGACAAAGAATGTAAATAAAGTATATTTAGAAGATATGTACATATATACGTGTGTATGTATATGTATAGGTTAAAGAGGTACAATAGCCAAAATATTGTATGAAGAGGAGTAAAGAGATATGAAGAGTGCTAAAAAAATAAACCATGCTCTTTTTCTTTGGGAGCTAGTCCCAAAACCCCCAACCTTTGAATGTAGTCTATTTTATTTTATTGTTTAAATTATTACCTCTACGAATGGCATTAAAGTAATACACACTTTAAGTCAGGGCTAATTCACATGAGGCTTACTTTGATTATTTTCCAATGAGACACAAGTATATGGCACAAGAATATCAGCAATTGTTTTCTCTTGGGAGGCTTTCGATATTGGAGAGGAAGAAATATTATTAGTAGAATGTTTTGATTGCACAGAAACACATACACACACACATACATATATATATATATATGCTGGGTTGGCTTAAGTACCTGTGATTTCCTGAGCACAAGAAATTATATGTAGATTTAGAATGATATAGTATCATCTCCAATGGACCGGTTTAATCCAAGAAGTAAAGATAATGTCTTTTCCCATTTCGAAAGTATTAATCCTAAAGTCCTGTCCAAAAAATTCATTGTGGTTCGGCACAGTTACCACCCTTATTTTCTTCCTCTTCATTGTGACCAAATTAAACTGGACTTATCCATTGCCTTTTAAATATACAGATATACAAAAAACCGCACCAGGCATTTACATTGGAAGCCAACTAGAAACAAATCAACAGCCTCATAAATCTGAGCTGACAGGACAAAGTCATGCAGACTGTACTTAAGTTTCATAAGATCGAGATAATCGTATGTATATCCATGCAATCATTGAAAAGATGACTATCTGGCTTAATACGATGTGTTTTGTTTTTGGCCAAATAATAATGAAAAATAATCGATATTAAATTTGACGTATTTCTTTTCGGTAAAACATATATATTGTATCTTCCATTCTTTTCTGTTTTTCTTTCATGACAGGTACAAATTGCCCAGTTCCTTTTCTTGCAGCCTTTTGGAATCATACCATGATGTTCTCACTCTCCTTCATAATGCCGAAAAGATTTTTTTTTTGGGTTGGTTTGATTTTCAGGGAACACCAAGTCAAGTGAATTCATTAACATTTTGTATTTTATCTATCACAGATATAGAGCTTTTTTTTAAAAAAAAATCATTTCCAACACAAGTGGCTCTCCAAGAGTTCACAAACCAAACACAGTTTCTCCCCTTTTTTGTCTTGTTAACAAAATGAGATGTGCGCCTGTCTGTGTTTTTAATAAGGTGTATTTTGCTTTGGTTTTTTTGCAAGAATTAAGAGTACTTTTTTTTTCTGTCTTAATAAAAAGGAGAGAAATGTGTTGGGGGTGGGGAGGAATAAGATATGTTGGCTGTAAATGATGGGGACAGGAGGATTTTCTTAGAGATAAGTTCAAGCCGGGCTTCGGATAATTAGTCGCATTGAAATGCGTGATCCGTGTTACCCTGTGTCTCCTTAAGATCACTGATATATGTAATTATGTATGTATGTGTATGTGTGTATGTATGTGTATGTGTGTGTATGTGCGTGAGTGAGTGTGTGTATGTGTATGTGTACGTGTGCGTGTATATATATATATATATATATATATAAAAGAAGAAGGGAAGAAGAGGAGGAGGCGATATAAGGAGAAAGGATAGGCAATACTAAGCCCATCAAGTACTTTTCCACTTCTTTCCTAACCGTTCATCGTACGAAGCCGAAAGATGAACACGCGAACCATCAGATTGAGTAAAGGGCGATACTCGAACTGTGGATTGACTGGCAGTAGGCTTTGGGGGCTGTTTTCTTGTCCAGGTTGGGAGAGACGCAGATGACTGGAGCACATGAGGCTCCACTTTTGACTTTTCCCGCCTCTTCCGTCGAGTACTTCGTCGCATGGCCTGGGTTGTATCAAAGGTGGCATACGACACAGAAGATGCACTCGAATGAATCTCTTCGTCCGAAAGAGGAAGTATCGGATGAACAAATGTGACCGGCTGTTGTGTGATGGCCCTCATTGTCTCCAGAGCCTTTTCGAGATTCTCGAGTTTTGCCTTTTCGTAACGTAAATGTAAGCGCACATTCTCTGCGATCGCATGCTTGATGTCACGTCTCTTTTGTGACTCGAATAGTCGCATCTCATTGGTGACCTTTTTCTGACAAGTATCAAACATTAGCCTATTCTTTTCTAAGATATCTGTTGCCTACAGAAAACAAGAAAAAAAAACGCACACAAAAACACACGTGCACAAATGCACATACACCAGCAAAGATGAAAAAAATAATAAGAAACAAACTTCTTTTCTATTGTTGTATTTACTAGACTCACCTCTTGTTCTTCTACAATCGCTGACTGAACTTCAGGAGAAGCAGAAGTAGGTCCAAGTCGTGACTTGACTTTTTCTGACCTTTCCTTTTTCTTATTTCGATGCTTGACACATTCTGCATACTCTATCAGATGTTGGGTTCTCACATTAAATACAATCTACTCAAAAAAGAAAGATATAGAGTATTAGAAGCAGTACCAACAGACAGGTTATGTTTTGTTTTTGTCTCGAGTATTCCGTATATATATATATATATATATATATATATAAGTTACCTTTAGAGAGTCCATGAAATTCTTGTATTCAATCATAACGTCTCCAAATTTCATTATTTCTTCTTTACCCTAATATCAATAATGGTGGTCAAAGTTTACTATACTGTATCCTTCAAATGACAACCTCATTTTCCTTTATATATACATATATTAATATTATTACCTGGCGAGTAAAGATGAAACCAAGTTCATCCATCAGCAGACCAAATACTTGCATCCCACGATCCAGCCCACGCTGAACCTCTCTACTCTTTTCTTGGTTACCCTCACCCAGTCTGTATTTGCTTTGAGTTGTCTCGATAACCTGGTCTCCCATTTGTGCCAGTCCATCTCCGAGACCTAAGCAGAGACACGCAGACATTATTAGTATATATATATATATATTTACTTGACTTACTTTCTCTGAGTTGAATGATCTGGTTCTGATATTCAGCAATCGATCCATAATATGATTCCTGGGTTAATATGTAGATCTGGTGCCTGTAATATGTTTCCTGATCATCTCCTTCGACTGGGGGAGATGCCTTGTAGGCTGTAAATCCACGTTCGGATGGTTTGATGCGATTGAATCTAAGAAATGACAGGACACCTCTGTGGGGTTTTCCGATTTCTGTTGGTGCCTAAGAGAAAAAAAATCATTGTTATATATCGTATTACTTGTTATTATTATTATTTGTATAAAAAAAAAGGGAATCTTATTTTGTACCATATCACTGGATAAAAAGTGGATAAAATCAGGATGATCTGCTAAAACTTTGCGCTTGATAATCTTTTCAAGCAGACGGCCGACCTGCAGCCTTTTTCGTTCAACGTAGTCTTGGTCATCCATGCTGGCAAGTAAAGGAGGTTCTGGTAATGGCGGGATTACGATGAGTGGAAAGTTGCGACCTAGTGCGTCATGCAGCCAACTAATCTGTTGAAATGAACGAAATGCGGTAGCCTTGAGTAGTTGATGTTTGGCCATATATTCTGCTTGACCCTTTAATAATAATATTATTGTTGTTGATTTTAATTATGTGCATGAGTGTGAATGAGTATATATATGTACATGTAAATGTAAAAGAAGACAGATGAGCTTTTGAATTTGATCATCATATTTGTTTAGTTGGTAGGAGAATCTAACCTCACCACCCAAGACCAGCTTGAACTGGATCGTGTCTGCAGATGCTGCTGCTTCAGGAACAGTTAAAAGAAGGGTCATAATACGTATGTATGTATATATATATATATATTTATTAAAATAAATTAATAGGTGTATAGTGTGTGTATCTGGATATTTGTGCTTGTGTGAATATATTCATAAACACATATAAGATATAATAAGATATAATAATTGCTGTAAAGGCTTTCTTCTTTTGGTCTGGAGATTTAATAGGATATAATATAATAAGAGCGGGAGAAGGAATAAGAGAAGGAAGAAGAGGGCTATAAATATATATATATATAAAAAAAGACCCGCCCTTTGAGTTTCTTTTTTTTTTTTTTGAAAAAAAAAAATCTGATTCAATTCAATTCAATTCAATTATACTCTTTAACTTGCTCGCATCCTGCCTTTCTCTTGCTTGGTTGGTTGATATATTACATTTTTACTGCGCCCTCTTTCATATTAGCTTTATTTGTTTCTTTTTACTGGCGCACTTTAATAATTACACAATTCAAATCTTATATACAAATATATACTATTTCCTTTATCTTTACACAAGCCCATTGGTTTGTTGGACAAGTCAAGTGTGGGGATTGGGTTTACAATAAGTAGAGTTTGGGGGAGGTGACTTGGTTTCTTAACCTCCATTTTATTATTTATATATATAATTATTTGATGAGTACTGATGATGAGTGTGAAACCCAATAGAAAATAATATATATATATATGTAATTATACATAATATTTTATTTATTTTTTTACATTGAAACATTTTTTGGTAGTATTGATATTAATTGATATTACATATATTAAATAAGTATATATTACTGCTACTGCTACTGTTACTGCTACTGCTATTAATCACTAATTATTAATTATTAATTATTGGAGGGTTGAAGATGGCCGGCCTTCTACAAGTGTATCCAACAAGATATGGTCAATTAGACCCGCCCAGACCATACACTCCCAGAGCTGACGGATGAGGGGTCTTGATTTCATGTGCTGGAGCGTGACAATAACGGCCTCAGGAATTCGCAGTACTCTCTCGCGTGACCTTTGTATTATTCCCTTGACCGGGCTAACCAAGGGTACCTCGAAAAAATGACCCAGTAAAGCCAATGAAGCCATGAGGGTCGATGCTGAACTATTTTCGTCGATTGGGCGGGGGGTCGAAAGACTACACAACAAATCGCCCGAGCACATTGATGCTGTGATTTCAAATGTCTGCTGCTGTTCATAATTCTCAATCTGATTTTGGGTTTGGGTTTGGGTCTTGGTTTGGTAGCTATCAGTAGTTGTGTCGGGATAGAGTAGATCAAGGGTGGTTGTGTACCCACTCGATGCTTGTTTTAGACCGGCACAAAGACGAGCAGCGTCATCGGTGTGCACAAGTCGCATAATGGGTGTGCCTATCATTACCATTATCATTCTTTTTCTTTTTCGTTTCGATCTTGTCGTCATTTTTGTGATTGTTGTTGATGTCAATTTATTTGATTCAAGAGGATGTCTGTAAAGGCATGAATCAATGGTCCCGTAGTTGGTTAGGCGAACAACGAGAGGTATAGATTGGTTTTGAGCGAGAAGATTGTCTAGAGTACTGACGTCCATGCATACCAGGGTAGTAGTTCCCGCATGATTATGTGGATGAGTATAAGTATGCTTATGATTATGCTTATGCTTATGGTTATTGTTATGGTTATGGTTATGAGTGTGTGGGTGTGGGCAGACTAAGAGGGAGATCGCACCATATAAAGTACGCACATGAAATGCTGGTTCGGCTGCAAACCGATCTCCGGCTTCCCACACCATAGATAATTGTTTTCCGGTTGGGTCGGTACCCACCATTTGGATCCACTCTTTCGATGAAGACAATACAATTTCGTCTTTGATCGTTAGCCAGGCCATTGATCTCAGGGGACAACTGGCAAGTGAATGGTGGTTATCCATGGGAGAATTTTAAAGAAAGAAAGAAAAGAAAGAAATATTTAAGGGTACTAAATACAATGAAATGAAAAGAAGAGAAGAGAAAAGAAATATAAAAACAAAGGGTTTGAGTTTAGTGAGATTTATAGTCTTTGAAGATCCTCTTACGTTGTATGTTGCAGACTTGTGCATCTCCTTTTTTGAACCAAGGACAGAGCCAAGGATGTATATTCGAGAAAATTATATGTATATAAGAGATATCAATTGAGAGATAAATAGGGAGGTCTTGTTTCTTTGTTTCTTTGTTTCCTTTTGATTCCTTTTGATTCTTTTGTCGATGTAGCTTTAATGTAGATCTATGCTTGTTTGCTTGATAGATAGATAGATAGATAGATAGATAGATAGGTCGATAGATTGTAGACCTTTAAATACCTTTTTTTTCTTTATTATTTCATTTGAGTTATCAAGATAAGAATTCTAATCTACACTGTTGTCCTGCAATTATTTATAGCCGTGTCAATTATCTTTCTTGTATCGTGATCTACCTAGGCATATTCCAAAAGAGAAATATATACATACATAAAATACACATGTACGTATATAATGTACAATGAATATTTTATATTAAACAAGTAAAGAGAGAAAAAGAAGCAGTTGAATAGATCACTAGATCACTAGATCACTAGATCAACAGATAGATAGAGGAGGAGGGGTTTATATTCTGCAATGCAACTAAAGAAGTATCAATACAAATTGACAGGGTAATGTTTACCATATATATATTACCCCTTGTACTATTTGTATACATAAAATGAATCAAGGAGAATACATGTATAGATGTTTATAAGTAAAAGTATATTGTACTATTCTGTACTCTATAAATCAACCAAAAAAGAAATTCCATTTTACAAAGATCAATATATGTATATATATATATATATATATATATATATATATATACATTTTCTCTCTCTCAAAATAAAATCCTATTAACGAATTATGACCAATACTGACCTCATCAAAGTTTATTATACCTTGATTCACAAACCACTAATTACATTTTGTTATCTATCTGTCTATATATATATTGTGTGTGTGTGTGTGTGTGTGTATTTCATGTATGTATCTACATATGCTAATTCATATATATACATATATGTGTTTATGTGTATTTATTTATTTTCTGCCTGTCAAGCCTATCTTTCACATGCAAAATAATAAACCAATAAATATATATATATATATCCATGGTAACCAATTTTGATGACATGAAGTATCTTTGTAAAGATTCTTGATATTCTTTATATATATATATATACGTAAAGGTTATTTCGATAGTTAGACAAAATCATCAAAAAGGATCAGAAAATAAAGAGTAATCAGGGTAATTGTAAGGTTTTATTATTATTATTATTATTATTATTTACAAGGTAAAATAAAATATAATAAAGATATTGAAAACTGAAGGTTGAAGATTAAATATTGGAAATTGGAAGGAATACACGTATTACTAAATATCATTATCATTATCATTATCATTATCGTTATCGTTATTATTTGTAGTATTTGTAGTATTTGTAGTGTTGATAGTGTTGGTAGTATTTACAGAATATTTAAAGAACAAGACAAAAGGCTTGTTGTGTAATGTAAGTATATCAATTACATTATCTACACATTGATCCCTTTTGTGTTTTTTTAGGACATTTATATATACATATATCTAGATCTCTATATCTCTAAAGTAATATACATATTGTGTGTGTGTGCGAATGCGTATGTGAATTATGTATGCTGTATGTTGTATGTTGTATGTTGTATGTATGTTGAGTGTGTAAGTGTGTGCGTGTAGTACATGTGGTTCGTGTAGTCTGTGTATATCGTGTAGTCCGAGTAGTCTGTGTATTTCGTGTGTTTCGTGTAGTATAGTTGTAATATATATATATATATATATATATATATCTCCTTTTTTGAACTTTCCGTGTGGAGAGGGGTTTTTCTTTTCTTTCGTTCTTTTTTTTGGCTTTTTGGCTTTTTGGCTTTTTTTTTGTATATATTTTATATTTATTTCTTGTGTACACGCTTGATTTATTTTAGGCTTGGTGGTCCAGAACATCTTCAATAAGATCCATTTCGAGCGATTTACCGTGCATGGCTAGATAATCACGAATTGCCTCGACATTTACAAACAAATCGTATTTGATGAGGCCGAGGAAGCTACGTTCCATGAGATTGACGTCTTTGGGGGAATATACACCGTCTATTATGTCGACAATTGCCTGGCTTGTGAGGCTGGAGCCGGTTTCCGAAAGAAACTTGGAGGCTGTGAGAATGGCAGCGAGAAATAGACGATAAGGGGTATCGATGTCGCCACGTGCGTGACGTGGCAGACTGTTTTTGAGTCTTTGGAGGTAGATCAGAGATACTAGGCAGACACAGGGTGGTAGCTGGGAACGTTTGAAGACTGTGGCGATGAATTCGCCAAGTGGGGGAAGGTGTTGTGGGTGGGTGATTGGAGTGAATCGAGTGGTTTTCTTTGTACAAGGAAGAAGCGAAGTTGCGGTGCTTGTTGTGAAAGCTAAAGAGAATGAAAATAAAATAAAAAGTAAAAATTGTTTAACATTTCAGTCAAATAAATAGTAATATATATTTCAATTATTTAATTGATTTAATTGATTTAATCGATTTACTGATTCATTGATTGTAGTTGTTGTTTAATCGATCTTTACGTACACAAGAGTGCTTCTGGACTGCGAGAACAGACGGTTGTAAATACAGGTGCCATTTTCTTTGTATTCTATGCGTTTGAGGTTTTGTAGTGCGTTTGGGCTTGCGTGTGGTTATAAAATGCGGTGTAGATTTGTTTTGGACTAGTTGATCCAAAATGGTACAAAAATAAAGGCGATATTTATACACACATGTAATAAAAATTGTATAATATGTAAAGATGAGAATAGCAATAAAAGAACAAGAAAAAGAAGAAGAAGAAGTGTGTAAGAAAGGGGAGGTTAAAGAGTAAATGTAAGAAGAAGTGTAAAAGAGAGAACAAAAAAAAGAGAAAAATATTTTATTTATTTATTTTTCATGTCTTGATGAAGAGGGCGGGGAAGAGGCGGATTTTAAACAAAAAATCAAAAAAAAAAGTTCTGTCAATGGATAACTTCCCGATCTTCACCAATCAAACCCACCCCGCTTATCTTGCCTGGTATATAACTCGGATGGCCCATTTTTGTGGCTATCATCAGGACCAACAATATACACACATACATGACATACATGGCATACATGACATATATACGTACATACATACATACCTACCTACCTACCTACCTACCTACCCACCTACCTACCTACTTACATACTTTTATACACACACATATATATATAATATACACTATATACACATTGTATATACTATGTTGTGTACCAATCGAACAATCGAACAATCAATCAAGCAATCAAGCAATCAAGCAATCGATCAATCGATTAAATAAATTTACCTCTATTTTTATCAGTTATTATTTGATTATAGCTACATACACTGTATTTGCAAGACCCCATTATTATATAACTAGTAATTAATTATCAAAGACTCCCTTGCAAATAATTCAATGTGAAACAATATCCAATATATATATATATATATTTATATTTTACTATCAAGTATACCCTCAATCTTATTCTTATTTGTGTATGTATATATATATATATATATATATACGTATTTCTTATAGGGTATTTCGCCGCCTCTTCCGGTACTTGGGGTATACATGTGTGTTTAGAGTGGTAGATTATTGAGTGCAACAGAAGATTCCATATTTGTCCAGACTGGCTTGGTCGTACCCAAAAAGGAATTTTTTGTTTTTTTTTCTTTCGTCGTTCTTCTTACAAACAAATCAGTCTGAAGTATCCTTTCAAAAATGTCCAGCCACAACAATACGGAGCTCTGCAATAGGGTCATTTTAGCACCTTTTTTTTTTTTTTTTAATTCGGGTACTTAATGTTTGCCACCTATCACTTCCCAGATTCCACACTTGGTAACTTTTTACCTTACTAATAGATCCTGACGCTTGGCCAACTCTATTTTGTCTACTTGGCTCTTCATATACTCCATCTCTTCTTTTAGACTTTGAATTTTTAAATTGTATTAAGATTAACGTTATTTTTATAGGTAATATATATATATATAACAATAAAGGTACTTCTTTTATCTCTTGGATCTTGTTTGTTTGTCTGTTTGTTTATGTAGTAATAGCAATTAGGATGATCATCCAAGAAAGTGAAATAGCAAATATGCCAGGGGTAGTGATCTATTGGCCAAGTTTATCACAATACTCCCCTCCGTGATTATCCATAAACAGTTCAAACTGGAGTACAGTCTACTCCATTCAAAAATAAAAATAAAAAAAAATAGAATAGAAATAAAATATATAGCCTTTTTTTCAACTAAAAATAGAAGTACGGGGATTACATATAATGTAGGCGACTTAAATTAAAGATACGCCGATACTTTCGTATTTGAATACCGACAGACTTGACAACCTTTATTTTAAATAATAAAATATATAAAAAAAATTGTGTATACATAAAAACCAGCTATTATTACTATTAAATTTTGATGAAAGATGGTAAAATTATAGCCTCAATTATAGACAATTTTGATCAATAGATAGCATGTATCTTAGAGATCTTGTGAAAGAAAAGTCTCGACTATGAATTAACAGCCAAAATCAGGAGAGCAACAAGAAAGAAAAAAAAAGAAAAAGAATAATATATCAAGATAATTTTTTTTTTGTTCTTGAATGAACACAAAAATATTTTATGCCATGAGCTTTTTTCCTTACTGAGAGGGTTGTCAAGTTTAATCATTTCAATCATCAAATTCATCAACCTGAATGAATAAACAAAAACGAGGCGTAACGCAACAAAATATCAATCAATAACTTCCCATTTATTTTATATATATATAATTGTTATATTTAAACATCAGGTCTAATTACCAATCCTTTGAAAATAACAAGGTGGATAGATCTTTCCAAGCAGTACAAATACTTATTCTTCTTATTTTTTTTATTATTATTATTATATTTATTGTATTTTATTTACTTTGACGAGTCTTAAACCTTGACAAAAAAAATATTCACTATAGAAAATAATGTGCAAGGATTTCCAAAAAAAAACTGCACATCTGCAAAATCTTTGCACATATTTAAAACTCCTGTTAGCCTTTCTAAATTTAGAGCAATTTAAACCCTTTTTAGAAGCTCTGTGCCGGTAATCATAATTTTTTTTGGTTGTTTAACTCAGGCAGCCGTTTTAAATGATAAAAGAAAGAGGACTGTTGTTTTTTGTTTTGTTTTTTTTCTTTCTTTAATGGACTAGAAGACTGCATACATGTTTAATGGTATAGTCAATTTCCGACTGAACGTACCTATTAATTTAAGCTATCTTCTCTACAAACCACTAATATTTAGTTATTATTTTTTATATATGGAGCGGCTGCGTACTGAGAGATAATTTAGTATGCTTTATATATGTTTCCTGTGTATCACTATCACTTTATTAAAGGTACTCTTTTTGCTACATTGGCATTGCGGTAAGAGATATCTTCTTTCTTTGATTATATGTGTATTGGATAATAAAGTAAATTGAATAAAGGTATCGCGCTGCAGATATTTCTACTATATATTTGACTGTTGTATCTACTAAAAATAAAGATGATAAAATAATAATATGAGAATCAAGTTTTAAATATCAATTCTTCAACAGAGGACTGTAATTACTCTACAAGAAATTACTACAGGTATCGATTGTTGTACAACAATAAACAATCAAGTTAAAGTACTTTATTTTTTATATATAAAAACCATACACTTGGCTACTTGCAGCTCATCTTTTTATGTAGTCAGTACAGTGCTTTAATCATAATCTATGTACTTAAAAAAAAAAGAACGCAGCTCAATGCAAATGATAGACTTACGGTATTTAAATATACAATCGGTACTTTATTGTTTAAATCACAGTATATAATCTCCGAAAAACGAAACAACTTGCATCAAATCACACACATCCTAATCTGCAGTCTGGTTTCGGTAATCAAGCTACAAATGACAAATAATACTTCTTGAATCTTATCTATATCAGAAACTTAAAGTCCACCTCTCTCCTTAAAAAATCTAGCATTGAAATGTCCCTTTATTTATTGATTGATGTAATTTCTTTTTCTGTATTTTTAGATACTTTATTAATGGTTCCTCAGGGTCCCTCGCTTTCAATAGATCCACATTATTGTTCTATATTATTGTCTGAACTATTTGTATATATGTATACTAGATTGTAGATTACTAAACCATTTTATTAATAGAAATTGATGTTATAGAGCTTGTTTTACAAAGAAAAAATCAAGAAGAAGCAAATTAATTCTTGGATTTGAAATTCTTACATATAAAGTTGAGGCACTGCTATTGTAATCAAGCCATATCTATGTATGATGTATTATGTATTATGCATTATGTATATATGTATGCGTATGTGTATGTGTATGTGTATGTGTATGTGTATATGTGTATTCATTTCTCAATTTGTAATAAAGCAATAATATTAACTTTTTTTTTTATGTATTAAAAATCAAGATTGAATTAAAAGAAGAAAAAATAAAGCAATCTTAGTCATGGATATGTGTAAATACTGGACCTCTTGCACACTATAGTAAAAAAAAAGCAAAAGCAAAATTAGTTTGGTGGGAGATTTCTGTAAATCTTTTTTAGAGCTTTAAGAGTGGTTTTAAGGGTAGTATTTTGAATAAACATGATTTATTTTTTATATGTTTCAATTTTCGTTTTATTTATATATTCGCGATTGTAATTAAAGAAAAAAAAATAGACACCTTTTCAATATCCCCTATCATTTATATATATATATATATTCATGTTCTTCTTGTCACAGTCGTGCTCTTTCTGGGACCTGTCCATTGTTTTTTTTTGGGACTTGTCAACCCTTGTCACACAATACTTCCAACCTTGAGGAATATGGGGAGAAGGGTAAGGGTAGGGGTAAGGGTAAGGAAGAAGGAGATGAATCTCTCCGAAATCAAGTCAACATATCAAAATTGGTAGAGATGTATCAAAAGGTCAAGGGCATCACCATCAAGAATATCAACTTTGAAAATAGTGTTTAAAATGAAAATCAAAAGTCATAGCATCCAAATAATTTTGGATTTTATAAATTAGAGTTGATCTATGAGAATAGTAGGAAGGAAAAAAAATGAAGATTTAATGATTGCAACATTATTTTTAAAGACCATTAGATGTTACATTTGTTGCTTGAGCGAGACAATATATGATGAGGGTGAGAGAAGTAGGGGGGGAGGACTTTCTTGAAAAAATTCAAGATAGTTGGGAACACGAAGAAAAGTGCTTAGGCGTACCAAATTCATCGGTTAACTAAACCTTAAATCCGCATTTACGAAGTACACATTCTCATTCCTGGAGACCCTTGGTTGACTCATAATATTTGCTATGAAACACAGACCAGTTTTCTATCACCAAGTCGCATTAAATACCAAAAGTGAGGTGTAGAATATTTGTTATATTTTTTTTAAAAAATTGAAACAAAAAGGTTAATATAGATCGAGAGACATTTTTTATTATTACAAATTTTGGTATCTTGACCGAATTTTTGATGTAGGGATTTTTTAATCTTACTAGAGTATAAAGATAAGAGTCGATGGTATTGTTGACTCGGTTTGAAACTATAATTATTGGAGGGGACTTTCCGGGCAGCAAGAAAGAAAGAAGAAAGAAAGAAGAGTGGTTATGAGGAGAAGTTTTTGAGATTATAGTAAATTGAGTTTCTTTTGGAGCCAATATTTTTCTGGAGGAAGAGGGGTTATGCTGTCAAGATAGATAGAACGGCTGTGAAAGTATCTTTCTTTATAATGCAGATGAAGACTACTATAATTTTATTATTAGTTCAATACAATACAATAGAGTAAAATGTTTGGTAAGAGAGCATAAGAGATTATAAATATTGGTAGTCAGTTAATGATGACAATGAATAAATGCTTATTATCTAATAAAGTTTCAAAATAAGTAAAATGTCTTTAAATAAGCACCAGTTGATAGAACCCTGATATAAGGAAGGCCAATGATTTTTTAAGAATACATCTACACAATGGAACTTTATGATATATTATCCAATATAAATATATACCAATAAAATCAATAGAAGAGAAGTTTATTATTATTAAATAAATAATACATTATATCACGCTACGTTAAATTACGTTAAATTACCTTACCTTACATTAAATATGCATGAGAGCAAGAGGTACATGATTATTCATAAAAATATAGGGTAAAAAAAACAAACAAAAAGTGAATTGTACGCAAAACATCTCCTAAATTTACATTTGAAAATTATCCTTTAAATTTATCCCCCTAAAAAATGTCCTTTTTTTCTTTCTTTCTCGTAGTATTAGTTAGCATTTATTATCCAATACGTCAGATTGCACTTTATTGACATTCAATAAGACCTTGATACATTTGTTCAGCACAATCCCTTCGTATCAAGCACAATACGACTTTAGGTTAGGTTTGTCTTATTTAGATTTAATTCTCTCCACATAATCCCAATTTAAGGCACAACCAAAAGAATTTCCAGTCCAACTGATACATCTATCTATATCTATATCTATATCTATATCTATATATAAAACTAAAAGACTTTGCTACGTCAATAAGAACACCTCTGCAAAATTTCATTATATAAAGGTTTACTTTTACTTTTATATGTAAAACGTGTGCATTCGAGCCATTTCCAATCTTACCAAAAAAAAATACCTTTTTTTTTGCATATTTTCCTATAAATAATAATTAGGGCAATCGATTCTTCTTACAAGTTTATTAAAAGAAAAGTATTCACAGATTATACTCCTTGTTTTTCATTCGATTATATAAAATATCAAAAACTTAAATATTCAATGCGATTTTATAATCATTACATTAAATGATACATTTATCAAAATAAAATAATGGGGTTTCACTTGATTAATTTCTTTATAGCACACATCAGTAAAGAGATTGTGTATTATTTTGACTGTCACAGCTACAAAGGATCTTTCGAGGTTACACAAGATGCTTTCTGATAAAGGAAGATGAAGTTTTTAGTGAGGAAGAAATATTTTCCAATAGATAGTGTTTTGTGCTTGATTTAAGAAAGAGAAAGTAAAAAAAAGAAAAAGAAAATCTTAAGGAACTATCCTAGATATATCTCTTTTTTTTTGTTTTCAAAAAGATGGAGGATCCCACACTACACGCCTCCATTCGTAAAACCTTTTTCTTCTTCTTCTTCTCTTATTCTTTCAACAGATACCCTATTCACACATTATGCTTTTCTTTTCTTTGTTTCTCTTTAATCTTTTATCCTTTGCTCTTCTATTGACAATCAAATCCACAATAACCCTTTCCCATGCAGTATAATATCTAGGTAGCTGATGTCAAAACAGGACAAGGGGAGTGTGGGGTATAGGGTGAGGTGTAGAGTGTGCGGGGATGGATGATCTAAAGAACCCAATAGAGCTCTAGAGTGAAAGGGAACATAAAGTTTAGAGAAAATAAATGGATAACCTGGCTGATTTTATTCAAAAATACTAAAAATTAAAAAAAGACTATGGATATTTATATTGAATGGTTAGAATGCTATGTTACAGAAAGGATGAGAATGCAATTTCAATGAACATTCCGAGGCAAGTCATGAACATATCGTTGCTGTTTGTTTGTTTGCTTGTTTGATGGTGAATACATTTTTGAATTGTGTGTCTGTGTGGATGTGGGTGTAGATGTGTTCATTTTTCTTTATGCGGTGGCCTGGGCAGGAGTAGGTTCAGCAGAAGGGATCTGAATAGCCTTGGCGTCACGCTTGCTCTTATAATCTTTGATAGCGGATTTGATAGCATCCTCAGCCAACACTACAAGCAGAAAGAGAAGAAAGTCGATTGATTGATTGATTGATTGATTAATATATAGTCATAATACATGCTATAGAAACAATATTAATAATGAAAGTATCTTTACTTGAGCAATGCAACTTGACAGGAGGCAGACAGAGCTCCTTAGCAATCTCAGTGTTCTTGACCTGACTAGCTTGCTCGAGGGTCATGCCTCTGACACGCTCAGTCATAAAGCTGCTGGAAGCAATAGCCGAGCCACAGCCAAATGTTTTGAACTTGACATCGACAATCTTTCCAGTGCTGTCGTCAACCTTGATTTGAAGCTTCATAACATCACCACAGGCTGGTGCACCAACAAGTCCAGTGCCGACATCAGGGTCGCTTTTGGGGAAAGAGCCGACATTACGGGGTCTTTCGTAATGATCAATAACCTGTTATTGCAATTTAAATTAGAATGAGGATCTTTTTTGGTGATTCCATCGCAGTGTATTTCATTTAAATTTAATTTATTTAATTTAATTTAAATTCAAATGCAATCTTATCGCTTACTTTTTCATGATAGAAGCGTACTCCGGTCGAGGCAATAGGTGTGCGTACAAGACGAGTTGAGTTTTGGAAGGTGTTCAAGGCTGTGCGCAACATTTGTGTGTGTATTGATTTAAAAGTAATAAGAAGAGGGAGGAGAAGATGGTAAAAAAAAAGAAAAAAAAAAGTCCGGTGGCAATTTATTCAGAATTTCCTGCCTTTATTTTTTTTATTTTTTGTTATGAAAAAATAATCTCTTTTTTTTTATCAGATTTACAGGCCCTGACTCAGGAACTCTGGTGGTTTAGGCAGCGTGTCTATTTGCACCTATCAAGCAAAACTTATCCATTTAGCTTATCTGATTGGATCCCTACGCCCTTGACTCTTTATTAAGCCGAATCTCCCCACTCTACGTCATCATTTTCATATCTTCCACCCCCTTCCCTTCTGGCTCGCTTCCCACGTTGTGAAACATTAAATGTCTTGTCGGTCTTCCTTATTTGTAATAAGATAATCTCCTTTTTGGTACTCTGTAGAATATAATATAAATAAAAGAAGATCTGATATGCAGTGATTCATTTTATTTTTTATTTTTTTGAAAAAAAATGAATGAGGGCAAGCAATTGATTGTACTGATGTAGACTACCATTATCATTATCATTATTAGGTAGGCACTTTGATACAAACACAAAGCTAAAGTCAAAGTCAAGTATAAATGTATATGGAGACATCGGTAAACCTATATATATATATTTGTCAAGAATCCTATCTATCATCAAATATCTTGAGATTCAAGTTTATTTGTAGAAGCAAAGTCTTGAATACTTTATTGAACCCATGATTGTGAGAGATGTGATATAATTCATACCCCAATACATATAAATAAATAAAATTAAAAATACAAGATTTCTGAAATAAGCTACTCTCACATTGAACGTGGTAAATGTAACCGAATATTCTCACCATGGTAGAGTTGACCGTATTAGGTTGGTGGCTCTTTGGGATTATCTGGTACATTTAACCGAGTAAAATACGGCTTGCTGTAAATACCTGCTTAAATCAAAGTGCATGGGGAGACAGACAAGCATACTTCTTTTGTATTATTGACAGACCAACATATTCACTTTCATAAAAAGTTAAAAACGTATATAGATATGCATATATATATGTGTTTATAATTTAGCAAAAATAACTCTTTACTGCAGGAATAATAAATAAAGCAAGAAATTATAGGTTTCAGTTAATAGTAATAGCAATAACAATAGTAAAAAAAGCGCTAATATCTATCTATCTCAGAGAGAGGAGAACTGTCAGAGTTGGAGTATTATAGAACCATTTTTGGCGTTCTATATGGAGTTTACGGAGTTAGAAAGCCTAAGAAAAAGGCAAAAATCTGTAACCATTTTCAAGCATGCGGAGTTTTGTAACAATTTTACACTATAACTTTGAAGAAATATATACATGGAATTTGTAAGAATTTTACTAGTAAAAATGTAAACAAGTTAGGCACGTGACTTTATTAGACTTTCTTTCTGTTATAATTTGCTATACATTTGCTATGAATGTCATGAAAGAATAAATCAGAGATATTGTAATATAGAACGCCTTTCTTGATATGGACGTGTCTAATCCGAGATGGTTTTAGCTTTCTATTTCTGGGGCGTGCCCCAACTGAGATTGTAAACTGCATGATTTTTTTTTGACAATCTACAGATCTTGGACTGGTAATATTAAACCAAATTGCAGTTAAATATGCATAATTGTTACTGTAAACCAAAGGCTTAGCATTATTGAAAAGCTTAAGTATCATAAAGAAAATTTCAATAGCATTTAATACTAATATCTATATAACAATCGTTCAACCTTTGAGTATTACATGTACATATATATTTGGTTATATTATATTCAAGATTCTTGGTCAAATTTAACAAAAAAATGATTTGTAAGCACTAAAAAAAAAAGAAAAAAAAGCCATTAATCACAATCTTCATACTTATTTTCTACTATAATTGCTGAAAGAGAATAGTGTCCAAAACAATATATATTTATAGATCTTTTTAATTTTTAATTTTTTTCTAATACAAAACAAGTGAGATCGGATGACTTTGACTAATCTGTGTAAAAGTTCATAATTCGCCAAGAATTTGATGTCTATTCAAGGCGCTTAAGGTTCACGTTTTGGTGATCTTAATAGTGGAGAACCCGTTGAGATGTGATTTTTTGCAAGATTTCTAAAAAATAATTATTAGTGAAACCCAGTCAAAATAATTAAAAAAAAACTCAACCACAGTTCATGAAAACATAAATACTGTGACAAACATAAGAGAAATACATCTTAATAAACTTGACTTTTCAAGTATTATTCTATTAAGTAGATATCAAGAAAAGCCTCTTGACTATATTATGCTCAGTTTTGAAGGGGGAGAAACAAGCTCAATTCTTACTAAAGATTTAGGGATGGAATGGAGTGAAAACTTGGGAATTCTCTATATTTTCACCAATTCATCACTAAATGACCTCCACAGTAAAATTCTAGAATATTTCATTGGAAATTGATTCGCCGCTGACGAATAATAAGCAAAAATTTAGAATTTTCAGTCGACAACGAGCTCTCTAATAGAAAAAAAGATTCAATCATAACAGTTAGGAGTTCTTAAATGCTCCTTGTATTATATAATCCCTTAATTCCCTCGGTTATTATCAACAATCTTTTCAAGAGAAAAGGTCAGCTAGCAATTATTTCATTTATTATTTATTTGCTGGTACAAGCAGCAGACATTGGTATAGCTTTTAGAAATAAAGGAGAAATTATGGGAATATACTAATACAAAGACTCCCTTTAATGCCTTTTGTAGGAGTAGCAGGAGGAAGGGTCTATTAGCAATTACTTACAATATATTTACTATAGAAAATAAAATAAAGCAAAACGTTGATTAGCGATAATATTTTACGTTAATATTGCGCAAAAATAAGAGGTCTCTTAATGTATAACGCGCCGCTCAAATTATTATCACATAAATGATATATTACCGAATAAGTTAATGCTTTACTCTCCGAACGTAACCTTTCAGAAAAATCCTGTACACACCTGTATAAAATATTTGTTAAAATAAAATAAAATAAAAAATAAAACGCGTTCTTGAGCAAAAAAAATAATAAAATATAAAGTAAAATAAAATCAACACCAGAAATAGTTCAACTGTCTCTTTGGCTTTGCAATCCAACCCCTCCTTCCTCCATTGTCACCAACCAAAAACATACACATTTAAAGAAAATTTAATCATGGTGCCATTGGCAACCCAACCTACCGTATTTGCACAAAACACGAACGTACAAAAAGTGCCTGAACGACCAACTACCACTACCACAACCACCACCACATTCTCATATGCCGATGCCTACTCCCAGATAGTTCATCGTCGTTGCATCAAAACCCTTGCCACGCTTTATGGCTTTTGTCTTTTGATTTCAGTTATTTTTCAATTACGATTCAGTTTAAACCGAGGTAAAAACAAATACACACAGACACATGCAGACATACGGACACATATACACAGAGAGAAACATGCACACATACATTGTGCATTATAATTAGCATCTTTTCTCATAATCATTAAACTGACGCGCAAATTGACTTTATGTATATTATAAAAAGACTTCATTACTAGTGTGCTTTCCATGAAAACAATTGGATTCTCTCAGATCTTCTTCATTGCTCTTCTCCCTTTATTTGCTTCTCGATTTATCACCAGCACTGGTAAGATATCTCTTGTACATAAACATGATGCATAAGCAAAAAAAAATACCTTTACATTAGATTGTCAATCAAACTCATTTTTCATTTACATCTAAAAACCAAAACAACAAAACAGTCCAACAATCCAATCTGCCCAATGTCGCATCCGAAGTGTTTGTCATGTTGTCAAATGTAGACAATTGGATCATTACTGCTCTCTATGCTACTTCTAGTTTTTTTATTATTCGCTATTACATGAGCTTACTCATGGGCGAAAGTTATATTGATTCCTTGTTTGTCAATCCCCATGAGTAAGTTATTTTTATATAGATTTATCAATCAGCTCCATGAGTAAAAAATATTGGCTGTGTTTTTTTATGAGACTGATTGTTTATTATTATTAGTCACCATATTGGAGCACGTCAATTGAATCAGGATAACATATTTGTTACTTTTTATGCTATCTTGCTTGGTATCAACTTTGCAGTCCGTACCATTTATGAACGACGATCGATTATTGAATTCCCCTCCGTTCAGGTAAAAAAAAAAGTTGCTATTATTATAACAACTATTCACATTAACTGTAAATGTATGTATGCGTGTACCTGTTTAATAATAGCAAGAAGGAATATATACTATCAAGACTAGCATCTCTTCCGTCTGCCGTGAAGCTACACATATTGCCACCCGTGTCTTTGTATTTTCTTACATAACTTACTTGTTCCTCAATGGCATGATTTATCACCAGGTTGCTGAATTCTTTGGAATGTACACACGGTAAGACCTCTAAATAATATCGCACTTGTGTGTGTGTGTATTTAGCAAAAAAAACAGAAACTTATAATTTATATATATACAATTAGTATGTTGGATTCACCTGTCCGAGGTTTCCAATGGTACAATCTTTATATGTTGACACGCACAGTTCTGGGTGGAATTATAGCTGTCAGCGGATGGGAGTTTTTAGACCGCCTTTTTATGGTCTTCTTCGAAGTTGTAGGTTATACATTGTAGTTGTACGAGCAAGAGGCTATGAAAGCTTTGACTTTCTTTCTTTTTAAAACAAAAAGAGTGTATATATTAATTATTACGATGCTTTAATTTGTCTTAGGTGGAGCCAGTATCTACTTTGTCACCTAAACCTTTTGAGTGTCTCTTGTCAGGCCTTCAGAATAACAAGGATCCTTTATTGCAGGTGAATATAAATCCACTAAATAAATAGATAATTAAATTAGAAAGCTTGACGTTAAAAATTGTATTGTAGACAACAGCTTATGCTGAACTTGCTCGCATGGCTAGCAGAGACCCTGCTAGACGTATAGAAATGTTCCGTACGTTTGGCTCAGATGTCAACGATTCTGAATGGAGTCGCATCTCTGGCGAGTGTCTCAAGACCATCGAGACGTTCCGTAACAATATTGCCAAGGAAACGAATACCAAGAGACAGGGTAAGAGACAACACGCTGGATGATTAATCAATGTGCAATTAAGATACAATACATCTTACACAAACTATTGGAATTAGGTACATCTAATGGTATTTTGCCCCGTTCTATCGAGGAACAACCCATAAAACAAATCAAATTGATCGAAAAGGACGTCTTTGCTGCTCCCAAAAGAGAAGTAGTCTATCTCGATGATCGTTTATCCTCATTATTTGTTAAGCCTGTTACTCTTGCAACTGGACCCAAAATGCCCCCTGCCGATGCTTCTGACCGTGCACAAAAGTTCATTTCTACTGTACCAGAGAATTTCTTGTTAAAGATTCTCAAATATCTGGAAAACAAGTTTGAACACCTGGACTGGGTGAAGAAATGGAATACTCTGACTATCAAGTCTCGGTACAAATCTGTATTTAACAACTATTCTACTTTATTATTCTCCGTTGAGTGTAAGTATCTTCTTCTTCTTTTTCATTTTGTTACAATCAAACTAATAAGTAAATCGCGATAAACTCACCTGTGCTCTGTTGATTCGTATTATTCAGCTCTTGCCAGCCTAGTGGCTGCTTCTTTGCATGAGGATCAATATGGCTATGTCCAGCGAGACATTGAAAAGATTTTAGATGTTCTGTTGGGTACCCTTGTAGAATTAGAAGAAGTAGAACGTGTGAATGAACTTGGATTCCTGATTACAGGTAAAGTATCTGCTTAGCTCACATCTTCATGTTGTGTACCATCTTATAATATTTTGCTTTTTTTAGATATTAAGCAGGCCATCTACACCATTCGTTCTACTTTCGGTACATATCTTGAAGATATTAAAATCCAGCAAAGATACCAATCCCACTGGAGACGGTTCCTTGAATATAAGCACTAAACCAAAAAAAAAACAAAAACAAAAACAAAACAAAGAGAATTCATCATCTTTCATTTTATCTCTTGTCCAATTGCTTATTTTCTGTAAATACATAATATTTTTTATTATAAAAAAAAAAGAAATGGAGATTATCAAGGTGACTTGAGAACCAAATTTTATTTTTGTAGAAAGAATTACGTTGAGATCAAATATATATGTTTTTATGTGAAGAAAAACTTTGTTGTTAGTGGGCGAGAGAAATCACTTTTCTCACCATTCACTGGGATTAAATTATCAAGTTTTACTTAAATACACGCTTTTTCCCCAGACCACTTTTGCTTACCTACTCATCATCATGCTCAATTGCCCTACATTCTCAGTATCTGTTGGGATTCCCATATTCGGTCTCGGATTTACTTCTACTAACCATCTTATCATCGGTGGAGGTGGAGGTGGAGGTCGCTCCGGTGTCAAGAACAAGCTGGTAAGCTTATATGTAGATATTTATGCAGCTTAAAAAGCTATTCTTGTAATCGTGGTCATTCAAAAGTTTCTTTCGTTAATGTTCCTTTGTCTCTTCTTTCGCATGCTCTAGTCTGCCTATCGCATTGACGGAAAGCGCAGGGATCTCGAAGAAGAAGCAGTGTACGAAGTACCCGAAGGAGAAGATGCACCCATGTGTCTTGCAGTTCATCCCACTGTAAGTATGCTTGTAGCTATACTCACTACGTTTTTTCTATAAAGTTAATCAAACTATTTCCGATTAAATAAACGAATTTATCTTCTTTATTGTAGGATCATTCTGTAGTAGCAGGTATCAATGCATCAAAAAAGGAAATCGAGGCTGGAGTTAATAAGCATTGTCGTGTCTTTCGCGTGACTGAAGAAAAGTGGGTATATGTAAAGTGAGATTGCATTGAGCTAGGTTTAACGTTGTATTATTACTGGTGTAGTTTTACGCTGCATAATGCGGTACAGATATCAACCAGTAAAAAAGAAGAAGAGTACCAGGTAAATAATGGCAATATATAAAAGCACATACATGTTTAGGAATATATGGGGAAAGGGGAAGTCTTAATGAATTGAGAAGTGAGCAAAAGAGAGGGAGAGAAAAGAGCTCATTTTGATATCTTAAATGTTTGTAGAAAGTTGTTCGGTTTAGTGAGGATGGTAGCCTGGTTGCAGTCGGAACCTCTGATGGACATGCAGAGGTTTTCAAGTATCCTTCGTTTGAATCAAATGGCCCCACAATTAAATTTGACGACGAGGTTCTGGATGTTGATATTGGGTTAGAAAACGACAAGTTGACATGCGTAACAAGAGACGCTATTAAGCTGGTTACAATTCGTGGTAAAAACTCGGGAAAGATTCTTCAGACACTTCCAGTATCAGCTATAAACAAGAAACGCAGGTTACAGTTCCGTTCATTTAGGTAATAACAATTAAAGGCTTAAATAAGAGAAAAAAAACTAACAAAGTAAGATAATTATATATAAAGATATGGGCGTGGTGCTGTCAAAGATGTTGGTTTTGCGGTAGTAAATGGCGTTGATAAACCAGCGGGATATGTTGTACGTCTGAATCCATACACCTTTGAGACAATAAAAGTCCATCAAGTGAGCAAGAAGCCTATTACCGCCATGTGCACAAGGTAGAGTATTCATATAGTGGCGACTTGTATCAAAATATAGATAATGAAATTTACCTTGTGATATTTTGTTCATACAGTTTTGATGGTGCTATTTTAGCCATTGCATCATCCGATTTAAGCATTACATTGTTTGATGCTTCATCTATGCAGGTAAGTTTGATCAAGTAATGTCTCTATAGAAACTAACATATGTGAATTACATAATTAGATCTTGACGCATATTAAGAATGCTCACAACTTCTCCATTACCAGTATGGCTATAAGTACTGACCGTCGTACACTCGCAAGTGGATCAGCAGACAACACATGTCGCATTATTTTCCTTCCTCTTCAATTCCCTCCTATCTCTGTTAACCCATTCCACACATTGTTTTTGGCTCTCGCAATAGCAGGTACCCTGCTCTGGCTGACGACCATGTTCAACGCTGGTGATTTGGATGAATCGTTTGCCCAGGAAAGGACTGTTTCGTCTCGGCCAGTTAAGGTCGTAGCAACAACCAAAATTCCTTTGTCCAACGTTATAGTACCTGTTTCTTCTCCCACCACCGAATTTGTTCCTATAGAAACCATCGAATCTTCTACCTTTGTTTCCCAATCCACTGAAGCAAGAGATGAACTTTAAAAAAATGATACACGACAATACATTGGAGCTTGAAGAGAGAGATAGTATACGTGCTCTGTTAAACTATCTATATATGAGACTTAGAAAATAAATCTCTATCTTAATTATATATACATATACAAAAATAAAGAATATTTTAACATAAATATAAACCTAGGCTGTCAAATTGAGCGCTCTTTACATTTATTAAACAGGCCGCACTTGTTTGAGGGCCGGTACGCACGAATTCGCCAATACAAGTATGATATGCACACACACACACACATTCATATATGTATACTTTTGTTATTGTTTAAAATTATTTTATAGAAAGCGATTTGAACATTGATCAATTATGGATCTTGATGACATTTTTGATCCCATAACAGTACGGCAACAGCAGGATACTCTTACTGCTCGTATATTTAAAGCCAAGGAGCGTGTAAATTTCTATTTGAAAGATGAGAAGAAAAGAATGACACAAGAAGAAAAGGCTGCAATTGAGATCAATCAGCAATTGAAAGGTGGGAGACGAGTTAGATTTTCGACAATCACATTAATGCTCTAATCAATCGCAATGTTCGCTATTTGTTTCCATGTTGATTGGCTTATATAGACGACCAAATTGCTATGAGAAATAAGATGCAAGAATGCAAAGAGAAGATAGACAGCTATAAACAAAGTAAGCTGGGTTGTAACCATAGTTTTACTTTTGAGAGCAAACATAAATAAATTTGTAAATACGCCTTATACACATATATATCATTGTAAGCTTTTTAATGAATATATATATATGTACATTTTATACATACATGCATACATACATACATGTATAAAATGTATACTTAAATATAGAATTACCACTTTCTGAGGAGAAACTAAGGTTCTTAACTCGCCAGGTGAACGAGTACCAAAACAAAGAAGAAGAAATAATGGCTCGTAAAGATAAATATCAAGTAGATTGTGATTTATTACGTAAAAAAATCCGAGCAAAAAAGAATGGTAAGAATATAAAGTTATTGAAATAATACAAAGGTTAACATTAAAGCTAAATCAATGTAACAGAGCAACAGTCAAAGCAAGGAGATCTAAACAACAAGAAGCGGCTAAACATGCTAGAACTTGATATTTGCAAGAAATATACACAGATGACTTGTACCAGCCCAAAAAGTAACAATAGCAACACAAAAAATGATGCTTAAAGAAAGGATGAATTGGTTACCAAGGCAACTAGAAAGTTTAAATGTGGAACTAATTGTGTACTGTATATGTTGATAGCAAACCACATCAAATTTTCATTTCAATTCATTGATCCTCACAACCTTGAGGCTGTATATTCTTTTACTTTGTATACTTCCCCTGATCAGCTGTACCAATGTAAGCTATGTGCACATATATTCCTGTATTAAATATATTTTAGTGGTAGAATGCAGTCCGGAAGTAACAAAAAGTGCGGATCTGGTGCAACAATTGAACAAAGATAGAGATCTATATGGTTTTATTAAGCGTATGAGAAAAGAATTTTGCAGTTTGGCAGATAATATATAAATGTTATAGACAATCCTCAATTACTACAATTCTAACTGAAACTTGTGCGTGACTGCTATACCGGCGAGGAAGGGGGGACGGGGGACAATGAAGCCAAGTGGAGAGAAAGAGGGACTGACAGAGGAGTGGGGGGAGGAGGCAGAGCGGGGGGGACTTAGGACATGGCTAGGCCCGCTCAAGAGGAATCCTTCTTCTGTCACCTGTCAACGTCTTGGTTGATTAACGTTATTTAGCATGGTAATGATAACACGCCCAATAAAATAGACAGAAAGCATATGCCCGAAAACAAAACAGATGGATGCGTAGACATATGGATGGATGGATGGAATTTTGCGAAGCTGCTAGAAAAAAATCATATCTCTATGACCAGAATGGCGAAATTGAATCATAATGGTTTGCTGATCGTGTATATTTGATTACCTTTTATTTTCTTCAGGGTATCGATCTTAAGAACCACCACGTTAAGAACTCCAACCGCACTGCCCCCAAGTCTGACAATGTCTACTTGGCTTTGTTGGTTAAGTTGTACCGCTTCCTTGCTCGTCGCACTGATGCCAACTTCAACAAGGTTGTCTTGAAGCGTCTCTTTATGTCCCGCGTCAACCGCCCCCCTGTCTCGGTCTCTCGCCTTGCCAAGTACGCTGCCACCAAGAGCGCCGCCAACAAGACCTTTGTCGTCGTTGGTACCATCACTGATGATGTCCGCATCTTGGACCTCCCCAAGCTCTCCATTGCTGCCCTCCACTTCACCAAGACCGCCAAGGCTCGTATCCTCAAGGCCGGTGGTGAGATCCTCACTCTTGATCAGCTTGCTCTCCGTGCCCCTACCGGTGCCAACACTGTCCTTATCCGTGGTTCCAAGAACTCCCGTGAGGCCGTTAAGCACTTCGGCATGGGTCCCCACAAGAACAAGAAGCCCTATGTTCGCTCTGAGGGTCGCAAGTTCGAGCGCGCTCGTGGTAAGCGTGCCTCGCGTGGTTTCAAGGTCTAAGGAAACATTATGTCTACTTTCTTTTGATTCTACAACCAATAAACTTCTAGCCAGCAATGGCATTGTGACATGTATAATATATATTTTAAGAGTTTTGTTATTTTGCTTTTTATCGATATTTCTTATTTGGGTCGTAAAATTGGGTGAATTGAGGGACTAATGGGGTTTGATTTGTGGGAAGTTTTTATGTGTTAAAGAAAACGTATGCAATTTTTCTACTCCATTTGTTTTTTGTTGTGTTTTTGGAACTTTGATCTTTGATTTATTTCTTGGCCTTCTTGTGCTGCTTGGCAGTATCTTTCTCCTCTTCCACCTCAGAGTCTGATTCACCAATGTCGTATTCGCCTTCATCTTCATCTTCATCATCATATTCTCCACCATCGCTAACATCATCGTTGAAGAAGCTATAATATTAACGTTAGACAATTGATTCATTGGTTATGATATGCTTCTGTGCGACTTACTCAATGGCATTAGGGAAGATATCCTCACTATTCGGGGTTTAAATTTACGTGTATTAGTTTTCTTTCTTTCCAAGTTTAACCTTTAACTTACGAGATGAAGAAGCCTGGGCGGTTCTCTTCGTCGGCAAACCATTCATGGAAGGACATCTGAGGCAATTCATCTTCCTCACCTTCAACTTCCTCAGCGTGCTTACGTTTCTTGGTAGGTTCCTGTCAAAGCGTACACAATAATAAGTCCGCCAGACATCGGTATAATCGGATCTTGTTTTTGTTTTGTTTTTCTTTATTTTATTTACCTTGCCAGAATGGTACTCAATGGTGGTTTTTGATAGGATCTCATCCTCATCGGGACCAATTACAAACTCTTTGACCATCTTTTCGTTCTTGAAGACATCGTTCTTCTTAAAGGTCTATTATGATAGCAGTAGAAACAATAAGGTGTAAATAGAATAACCAAGAGAAGTGATATTGTACTCTTAATACATACTGCGGTTACTTTGCGATAGTGGGGGTTCTTTTCATCATACTCAACGTTCAAGTCAGTCAAGTTCTTGACAGCCTAAATCGATCATTTTTTTTATCCCGTTAAAAACTGTTTTCTTCTTTTCTATTTTTCTGCAGTTTTATCTGCTCAAAATTACCGCCAAATCATCTTCGTTGGTGTTGTTGCTGAACAAAGGACAGTTTCCAACCTTTTTAAGACAGGAATAGAGTATAAGTACCCTTTCTTTTTGATACGCGCATACAATATTATTTATATTTATACAGAACTTACAGCAGTGGGCCAGAAGTCAGGAATGTTCTTAACAATTTCGCGACGCTTATCCCATGTGGGTCTCATAAGCTTGCGTGAATAGGCCTGGACCTTCTCGTTGACCTTCTCGGTTTCCTCGTTAAGCTTCATGAGAGCTTCTTCGGTCTTTTCGTCGAGTGCAGACATAGTGGGCGAGTATAGAAAGAATAGGTTCTAAGTGAATTAAGAGGAAAAAATCGAAAAATAAACGCGACTAAAGCGAGTCTTATGCTTTTTCTGTGACCGCGACCAATGACGTTTGCATAAAATTGTCTAAAGAAGCAGTCACTTTAGGCTGCATCCGGATCGACTCCTCTTTTCGGCTTATTTCCTATATGCTTGTGCGGATGGCACAATCCAATCGTAAGCTTTACACAAGAACGCGTAGCACATTTTTTTATTACGTGTAACCATGCCAACCCTGTTGTTTTGCTCATCTTAAAAATCTGTTGAATTCTGCACACATGCACATATGCACACAGAAGGATATAATTATTTTGTTTTGTAGACAGTAAAACAAAAAAATCAATTTTTTTATGAAATATTCATTCATTCAAATTAAATTTTCCAGGCAAGATTTTTTTATAGATAGTGCTTGTAAAACTAATATTTACGACATTTGATAAATACCCTCTTTAAGCTTATTTTTTTTTCTTGTGTAATGATTAGTTTGAAGCAAAAGATCCCTTTACTATCAGTACATCATACCTCAAATAATTTATTCGGGGCAGTTGTATCCATTCAGAACAACTAAAGTCTATATCTTAATTAGCAATGTTTGGAGCCTGTTAATTTTTTTTATTCATACTAGGACAGATTTGTATAAAGGCCGAATCAATCATTCCGAATCTAATCTGAGCCTTTAAGTTTACGTATATTACCGAGTTGATGGAACAAGCCATGCACATTTATTTGATGTTTATCTAAATGTTAGTATTAAAGCAGCAGGCATATTAATACGCACAAACACCATAGCCATAAAATATCTCTGCAATAAATTTATTCTCATCTATAAAGTAAAGTAAGATGGGTTATAGGATAAGCAATATATAGTTTTATATATACACCTTTGTGTGTGTGTTTGTACAGTTTATATCGCCTTTTTCCTGCTAATTGTTTAGCAAATTAGTGTAAAAAAAAATGAGTGTCTAGAACTGCGGGAATAAGTTTTGTAGGCTTTTTTTTTTTACTTTAAACAAAATTAAATAACTCTGGGCATGTTTCAAATAGTCCTTTTACCCCGAATATAACATACACGTATAATTATATATGAGGGTGTTATAAGAATACTAATTAATGTGATATAAAACCAATACTGATAATCCACATATATGTGGTATTTTTAATTTTGTTTATTCATTTCAACGCGGCAATTTATATGGTATTATTTATTGCAAATAATGGTCTATTTTATAAACAATAATCAATATTTTGAAAGAACAAGACACTAAAATAAATCACCTTCCTTAAATAAGAATAAGAATAATTTTTAATGCATAATTATGATTATGATTATGCTTATGATTATGCTTATGATTATGCTTTCAATTCTAATTCTTAAATAATTATTTTCATTACCAAAATAAACAATGAACCAAGAATTTAATTTTGATATAGTATATATATATATATCGATATACGCAAATGGCCTATACCTTAACAAAGTATTGCCATATACTTTTTTTATTTAATAAATGAATATCATATTACTTTCATCTCGAATAATCAGCATTATATTAAAACAATTTCTATATTTATTCTTTTAGCTGTATTTGCTTTACTCCACTTTCAAATATGATTTTTTTTTGCATATAAAACAATAACATACAGACAGGGTGTTAACTAATTTCTATCTTAATATAATGCTAATATGTTAAGAAACTTTATTGTAATTATTATTATTCTTTGTTGGAATCATAATGTGCAACTTATGAAAAACTCTGGGATACGCGCATTTTTATTATTTCTTTAATATTCCCGTTATTGGATAAGGATAGTTCCAAAATATGGAGTAGGCTAATATTATCAAACCTACAATGAGTTTTGTTAAAATGTACATGTAGTTTCATTACTATATGGTTTTAAGGTTTGTACTAGTCTTTTTTAGATGGTATAAACAATCACTTTGTTCAATAATGATCCTATAACTTCGTTTTAATTGCTTTTCATTTATAAGCTGCAAGAAATTCTTATGTAAACCTATATCTTTTAATCATTATATTATTTGGTTTAATTTCTTTTTTCTTTTTATTAAGAGCTATCAAGCACATTATTTTAATATAAACAGTGTCTATATATATCTACCCATTAAATATTAGATACTAGTATTCATGTAATTATAATCGTATAATACATTAGCTTTAAAAGACACGCTTTGATAGTGTAGGGAGTTTCTAGCAATGCATTTGTAATATCAAGCCCACACTCTATTTCTATCTTTCTCTTTATATGGATATTTAATCAACGATCTTACGAGGACGACGTTTCTATCTGACCGGATTAATTAATCAGGACTACCTGTCCAGGACCCGGTATCTTTCTCTAATCCTTTAGGGAAAAATGGTGTGTCCTGAAAAATACAATATATTCATTGTATGCATTAGCTTACTACTTTGTCCCCACACTTTGCGCGTTTCTCAATCTCTCTCTTGGTACCTAACTCTTATTCTTTCAAGAACTACAGCCTATCTTTGGGCAACTTATTAATGAAGTACTGTTTCATACGATTTTTTTTATATTCAATTAATAACCCTGAATATAAACTTGACAATAAAGAAATAATAATTAATCACCAATACTCTATATCGATAGACAGCTATGCAGAAGATCACTTGCCGGGTTAAGCACAGAGCCAAATGACATTCATGTATTCACCAGGTAAAGTAGACGTATGATGAGAATATCCGTGGATAAATTAACTTATTTCATACTGAAAAATAGGAATAAAACGTACCAAAGCAATTAGAAAAAGTAAGTTAATTATACACTGAGTGTTGAAAAATAACGCAAGAATTTATAGTCCGAAACTTCTCTAAACTTGCACGATGTTCTTCTTCTAAATTCACATTTTAATAAAGCAATCAAAAAACTAAAAGCACTAATATGACACCTACTCCCAGGGCTGAAGGAAGAAGAAAAACTGACAATGTAACTCGCGCTATTATTGTACACGAGAGCATTACAAATGGCACCAAGCAATGTGACATTGCTAAGATACTTAATGTTAGCCCTTATACTGTTTCAAGAGTGCTTAAGCACTACAAAGAAACTGGGTCGTATGAGAGAGTCAAGAACCCAGGGAGACCAAAGAAGTTAAATGCAAGAGATAAAAGAGAGATCCTGCGTGAGATTTCAAAGGATCCGACGCAACCAATGTCTTACATCAGAAAAGCCATTGCGAATCCCATATCAGCAAACACTCTAAGATATTTTCTTCGCAGTTATGGCATATATTCCCGTAGAATGATGAAGAAGCCCAAAATATCTATTGAGAATCAAAAGAAACGCGTTCCATGGGCCAATGCTCATCTTGATTGGAGCATTGAGGATTGGGAAAAGATCATTTGGACTGATGAGAAACGATCCCGACTTTTTGGTCATGATGGCCGCAAGAAAGTTCTCCGCAAGAACAACGCTGGTCTTCGTACTACATTTATCTCTCCAACCATGAAGTTTGGAGGTGGTTCTTTCATGGTTTGGGGATGCTTCTTCAGCAAGGGTGTCGGGGCTTTAAAAATCATAAACGGACAAGCCAATGGCAAGAAGCATGTTGAAGTATTAGAAGAGGCATATCTTCCTTCTCTCTCAGCCTTCCAGCAGCAAACTGGTTGAGATGACTTGGTACTCCAAGAAGACAACGCCAAGGCACACACAAGCAATGTTACTGTAAATTGGAAGAAGCAGCATAAGCTCAAAATTTTGGCTGACTGGCCTCCTCAAAGCCCGGATCTTAATCCCATTGAGCATCTATGGGATTATGTTAGCAAAAGAGTCCGGTCAAAAAGATACAGCTTGCACAGCCTGAAATATCTTTATGCTGCTCTTGAGAAGGAACGGAAGAAAATTCCTCAGAGATATTTGGATAGCTTGATTTCAAGTACGCATCGAAGATGCCAGGCAGTAATTGACGCAAAAGGCCGCCCAACAAACTATTAATAAATATCAAGTCTAATAACATATTCTGAAAGTATATGTAAACTACTGTATATCATTTTAATTTTAGATGTATACTTCTTTTTCTTGATACTTTTTTTAAAATCAAAGTGTATGTTAGACTGAAATTTAGTCAGCTGAGAGAAAATTGCGGTTTTTTTAACACTCAGTGTACTTTATTCTTGATTATAATTAGTAGTTGACATCAATTCTATTCAATAAAGCTATCATTAATTCGAACAATAAATCCCGAAAGTTCAAATATTTAAATTTGACCTCACAACAAAACAATTAAGGTTGGAAGACAAAGAAATTATTAGCAATGATTTACAAAGAAACATCTATCAAAATCCAGCAGTAGCTGAAAATATTTCACTGGACGAAGATGAAGGGATCAGACTTTCATTTGAAACAACAGTGGATGATGTAATTCATGGGGAAGAGGACGAGAAGCCACAACTTTGGTCATCTGAATACGTTAATGTCATTAACAAGCCTATTAATGAGACTACAAATACACTTACAATCGTCTGCATATTTGATATACATAAAAGGATTTATCTTTTGTACCGTTCTCGACACCAGGAACGGCAACAATGGATTGACGCCAGCAACATATTAAGTCATTAGAAAATCCTATTTTTATGTCGATCATATACATATAATTAAAAGTTAATTTGAAAAGAATTGAATTCAAACGATATTCTTAGCAATATTTCCAGAAATTAATGGTGCAAAAATTCCCGGGAAAAGTGTAATCGATTATCCGCTGGAACGGGAAAAGCAATTTATTGATACTTAAATACCAGAAATGTGACATTCGATAATACGCATATATCATCGTTGGTTTGGTATACTTTACTTATTCAATTTCTTTAGTATATATCTGTAGACGCTCAGATGACTAATATTGCACTACCAATATATAGTCAACAGATAAACCAGCCAGTTATTCTTGCCAAATTTGTATCATTTATATAGGATCTTAGTGATACATAGTGCGCTAATAAATTCAAGCCTTTGTGTGTAGTATTCAGAAATAGAGCACAGTAATAAATATAATACCAGAGTTGTCTTTATATATTATACACACCGTCTAGTTTTAATGGCTATTTATCGTTCGTTAGTCAAGTACACCTTTTGTGTGTTAAAAATAGTGTCTTATAAATCACTATCAGAAAATAATAATACAGCATTGAAATCAAATCGGAATCTCTTATTGTATTTATTAAAATAATTAATACAGGTGATAGTCATATACGCCAATGAAATCAAGCATCATTTTGATCGCCACCGTTGATCTGAGGAAGCCATGCAGACTCGGGTATCGATTTAGCCCAATCTACAAAGAAGTCAATACTCCAACAATAACAGAAACAGTAGGAGATTATTCTCTCACCTGGTGTTGCCTTCTCCGATAGTGCAATATTTCCCATAATAGATTTGATCAGTGCCAGGGTGTCTAGTATTACATGAGTTTATTTGTCGTCTATAAGCATATCTTACCCTTTGGTACTTGTTCTGATGCATCGAGCACAAGGGTCGGTGCTTTTACTTGCGCTAATTCATTTTCTATACTTTCAATTGTGTCCTCTTGGTCTCGATTGTGGTGTTGGTCATCGTCTTGGTCATCGTCTGATTCCAATTGACCATAACCTTCCTCATCTTGAGGAATCTGTTCATAGCCAAATTGTGCATCCATGTCGTCATCACTTTCATCCATAAACTGAATGTCCATTTTATCCAGTTTCTTATTCTCTTTCTGAGAATTCAGACATACTGATGTATATGTCGTGAATATTTATCTTGTCTCTTTAAACAGCATTACCTGCTTCAAGTTGTCGAGCAAAATCTTCTACAACATCTAGTAAAGCCAATAATGTCAATGACCATCAAAGATGGCAAGATTGATTAATGGCTTACCATCACCTTCCTCACTTAGTCCCCTATTCATATTTTTTCTCTTTCTTTTATAAACTTTTTCACTAGAAACCTAGCAGAGTTTGTATTGTTTTGAAAATAAATAACCAAAAAAATTGTAACAAACATTCAGCTCTAAAAGCTTAACAAGTGATGGATCGCCCAAAGAAGCGGAGAACAAAGAATAAAAATATGTGGCATAAAAAAAGAGCAAAAAAGGAACAAAAAAAAAAGCTAGAGTTGCCAAAGGAGGACGAGATACTTATCTTATTAATATTTACAAGGCAAAAGAAAATAAAGCAGTTATACTGGTATATACCCAAGCCGATTGAGCTAATTTTTACAAGAAGGTGTAGGGTTTATTGGTCCTTCTTCCTTTAATTTCTCAACATGGTTATGTGCTGATGTAAACGGACGTGGACGTCGGGCAACAGGTACACGTGGTGAAGCAGGCGTTCTTCGTACTGGAAACAACTTTCGTGGATTTTTAAGATCCAGGAGAAGGACACCGGTCTGAGACATACTGGCTAATTGATCAGAAGTTGCCTGTAATTCTAGTTCTTCCTGACTGGGAACTGATCGGCGAATTTTGGCTCGCAATGCCTCCATAACCGCACCATGGTCAAGTTGTTTTTCTTCGACTTCGACTTCTCTAGGTGGTTGTGGAAGAGGTTGTGGGAGAGGTTGAGCTGTTGCTGATCGATTCTTTTTCGATGTCTTGACACTCATTCCAGGTCGACGCTGAGAGCGTGTGCGAGAAAGCGTACGTTTACAGGATCTCTCTTTTGGTGGAGAAAGAGCAACCACAGGGGGTGGTTCTGTTGATTCAGCAGTTTCTGTATTTTTTTGTACAGTAACGACTTCTGTCGGTTCAGGCGACGATGAGGTCGAGATAGATAGACCGGCAAATGGAACTTCGAAGGCTGTACCAGGGGAATGGGGTTGTATGGTCAAGCATTGCGTGGGCGACGGTGATTTCTCATAGGGGTGTTCCATAAGTGAATTCACGACTGGGGACATCACCGACATTGTTTGCGATGATTGTATCGAAGGCCACTCAGGTAAGAACTCAGAAGATACACCAAGGGATCCTTTTAAACCAATAGACCGATAAGAACCTATCCATATCATGCAACATGTACTTACCAAACGACCCACTGATGAAGTCATCAATCAATGAAGGAGAATCACTTGCCCGTCTCATATGAACCAGCTCAAGATCAATGTACTTTGCACGTAGATTGGTCTCTTCTGCTCGGCGGACTTCTTCTGCCGTTCTTCTCTAGTGTACAGTTAGACTTCATGTTACAACGTTGTTTTGTTTCTACACACTTGCTTTGTCTTCTTCTGCTTTTGCTATCAGAATACATTTGAGTAGATCGGCGTCGTACTTATACTGCTCTAGTATATCTCCCACAGTCAGCTCTGCCAGACTGAGTCGAGTGCTGTCTGGAATGGTGGTGCCATTATGAAGTGTTGGTTGGCTCAATGGTGGAGACCACAAACTATTTTGGCCAGAGTTTAATGGTAGCATAAGAAATTTTTATTTTTATTATTATTTTTAGAATGAGAAAGAAAGACGGTAAATAGAAATAAAGTAATTGCAGGTTTATAAAAATACACATGGTGTACAAGTTTTGCCTTTAAACACCAACCCCGCAATAGGAAGCTTCATCCCCTCACCTCACCTCACCTCGCCTTACCTCGCATAGCCACATGCCGTGACAGCGTTTACTAAGGTCCTTCGGAGACACATTACTTCTTCTTCCTTGTAATTCATCCAATCACCTTAATATGTCCATCACCACAGACCAAGCAATTCAGTCACCATTGCTCCTGGTGTCAAGTCTCTTTGGTAATATTTTACAATCCGCAAAAATTATTGTTATTTATCTCTCATTGCATACAAAAAAAAACACAAACGTGCCAAACTAAAATGTCGATGAATAATAGAGACTTTTATCCAACAGCCGAATGCATCGCCAGCAGAATTTGATCCTTCAACAATATTCAGCAAACTATTCGAGACCACAGAACAAAGAAGACAGGTAGACGAGTTTGGAATCAACTACGAATATTATGGATGTGTCATTGATATGCCTTTTTGTCAGATTCCATCTATAAACGACGTTTCTGTACAACATGTGCCTAAAAATACTCTAGTTCGTTTTAGATGCATGGTTCAAGATACAGGACTTGGTCAGGAAATGTTCGTTACAGCTTACAACAAACATGACCACGAGACAGGAGCAGAAAAGATCCTGTGCTACAGATACACGGATGATAGCATGGACATAGAGGTAAAAAATAATTAGGAAATCAATAGGGTCTTTGGCAAGGGTCTAATGTTCTGTGGATGTTTTATTAGCAGAACGGCTGTAGCTTCGATAGCGTCCCAAATGAATATTTGAGTGAGAGAACCAATGTATATTGTGTATCCCCACCTGGTGAAACACCATGGGCCAAAACAACACATGGTAGTTTAGGTACATTTGGATTTCTATGAGATGAACATAATAATATCTATTACTAATTCTCGTGAACAGATCTTAGCCATGCCCTGAATCAACTCAACATTCAGGATGCTTTAAAGGAACCTGTGAATGGTACATCCAAAAAGTATCCTCTTCCTGGGCACGAGCATGTTTCAGCACTAGTAAAATTCTATGATTCAGGAGATTCTCTTCGAGTAGGCCAGCTGATCGAAGTCATTGGAGTCCTCGGACACCCAGTTTCTTCAGACGGATCCACAGAAGACTTTGAAACACACATGGCTACTCTCACAAATACTCCAGTTCTCCATGCTATCACTTACAGATCCCTTGAAAACGGATCTCATGGATTATTTAAACCCGAAAATCTGATCAATGCCTCTGTCCAGGCACGCGATATCAGAGCAAAGTTGGTGGATTATATTGCAACGGCATTCGGCGGTGATAAACTGGTGGCAGAGTATGTCGTACTGCAATTGCTTTCAAGAGTGTAAGTTATAGTTTAGAGAGTACGGCTAAATAACAATTGTACTCACGAAAATAATCTATTCATAGAACCGTCAAGAATAGAGGCGTAAAGCTTGGCCAATTCAGTCTCAACATTTCAAAGTTCCCAGCATCCGAGCTTGGTTTGCAAAATGAAAAGTCATTGGAAATGAAACTCGACAGCCCTGCAAGCAAGCATGTTGCTTTTATCCTTTCCAATCTTACTCAAAGATGCGTTGAGATGCCCTTGAGCCTGGAAATCCTTAATAAATCCTCTTTTAATCCCAGAAGTGTAGACGAGCAATTGAATGCTGGTGTTCTTCAGCTCCCAAATGATACACTACTGCTGGTGGACGAGACAGTACTCTCGGAAGGAACATTAGATGATACAGGTTAGATAATCACACGGACTCTAGATTAGGAAAGCTGATTTTTTTTGCGGTATTTGTGTGTAGGTGTTCGTAACATCCAAGCATTGATGAATGTTATTCACACCCAAAGTCTGAATTATATGTTCCCTTACAGTCAATTTGAACTCGATACCAATCTTGGTGTTATTAGCTTATCTTCTACAAAATCAATGCTGCCTGTAAGTTGGCCGCTATCGAATCCTAACTGTAACTGACGTGTTTTAATAGAACCACTGCACTGTACCCCTCCAAGCCAGATTTGCACTTACGGATGGAAATTTGAAGGATACTATGCAATATTCTAATGAGACATTAGATATGTTCAGGGCATATATTGAATCAGCAAAACATGGTGAATACGAGATTCCAGACGATGTTTCTGAAGTAAGATATATACATAATATGTGCGCCTGTTATTTTAGGCAAGCTTTTGACTGATACATTTATTTTTTATTTAGTATATTCAAGAGGAATTTGTCAATGAACGCAAGAGAGCTGCTGAAAATGGTACCACACTTCCGTCTCAGGAAGACTTGATGGCTCGTATGAGTATCTCTAGATTGGTGGCTCTGTCGTTTGGGGAGCGCTACCTGACCAAAGACACATTTAACTATGCTGTGAGCCTTGATGAGCAGCGTAAGGGTAGAGATGCTGGTCATGAGATGCCCGGGAAGTAAAAACAAGTCACTATATGACAATTCGATAATAATAAAAGCGAGTATCTCAAGTTAGCATGCGACGTCGTACCATTATATGTTATTATGTTTATTTTTGTATAATATATAAATATAGAAGCAAAAAACGATCAGGGCTAGCCTAGGATACAAATAGATGCTGTAACAACCACTGATCTGGGGAATTTGATTGGCGTGTTCAAAAATAGCTGGCATGGCTATCGGCCCACGTATTCCCTATTCGCTTATCGAGGTCATTTGTTTGAAGAAGGGTCAGAATTTGGGGTCAGAAAGGGAAAGTCTTGGTATACCAGGAACGCAAGGGTCCATAAAATGAATTCACACTTGAAACAAGTGACTTTGTGACACAACTTACTCTTGATATAAATATAGGATGGGAAAATAAATGAATAATATTTTTTTGACAACCCTCGTTATATTAAGAAGCTTGGCCTAAATTTTAAGGAAGATGACGGCCAATTGATATTTAATTCATTGATTCATTGATTCCGTACATTTTGCTTTTAATAATACTCAGGTTGAACAAATCTTCATCCAATTATATATTTTTTTCTTTTAGGAATCGAACCACAAAGCTATCGTTTGTAGCCATTTACAGAAAAAGTTTGAGTTTGTCAATTAAAATAATATTTTTCTTATAAAGAAAAATTATATAATCTATACAGCTCAAGAAAAAACGTAATATCTTATGCTCTTACCTCGAGATGTAGCCCAGAAAAGGAAGGTAAAGGAGTGTTGAAATACCTGCAGTATAATATAATTGACAGGTGGTTCTATGATGTATTCAAACGAGAGTTTTTCTTTTTCACTGTGGTTAGAAAGCACCAAGTTTTGTTGATTTTTTTAGGATTCAACACTTGTTATTCAACATGCTTACTAAGCCTTTGAGGATCAATCAATCAAAAGCAGAGAGTGGTTCAATGCTGTTTTTATTTATATAGACTCTTCTTCTTCCTTTTTTTCATATACATATAATTATATATACATATATATATATATACTCTCTGTTGCCTATCAATAGGTAACCCCTTTATTCAAATATATATTTCAAGGTAAAACTTCTCGAAATGTAAAATTGTTCAAAAATAAATACTTAGTGAATCATCTGTATGACCAACAAAACAATCATTCATTCTTTTTGAATTAATTGTGTCCAGCACCACAGGTTTTCTTTGTGTAATCATCTTCCCAAAAAGATTTCGGAGTAAAATGTACAAAGCTTGGACTTATATGGAAATACAAATTCTGGTGATAGATTCTCATAATTTTGTTTCAAATAATTGCTGTGCTGAAAAGGAGAAAAAAAGTGATAACCCAAGCTAGGTACCCTAATACACAGGCATAAGCCCACTAGAAAATCTGATCTAGACCACACGGTTTTACAAACAAATTAATGAGGTGTGGAAGGTTTAATTCAACATATTGCAAACTTTGGAGAAAACATCAATATAACCTAGCCTCCAAATCTCAAAAGCACAAAAACACTATTTAATCTACTAATGCCTCAAACTAATTTGGCAGGATAATTTGACATTTTGTCAAAACAGTTTTTTTTTTTAGATTTGGGAGGTGTGAGAGGCAGAGTGTGCTGGTGTACTAGCTGCCTCGATAAAGGTTTATATTTTAAGTACCGAGTAGTTTATGGGTTTTAAGTGAGGATCTCAGTTAGGGACAATGACTCTACTCAAAGTCACATCACTCTGGCGGGCATTTCATGTAGATCAAAAGTCACATTTTTGCCCTTTATCCTTCCTATACTCTTACAAGATCAACAGAACAATCCAAAGGGATTCAGAATGAACAATCAGAAAGTAGGCATTCTCGGAGGTAAGATACTTCAGAAAACTCTTACATATAAGAAAGCTTGTTGTATTTTATAGCGTAATATTCACCAACATACAACTTTTGATTTTTAAATGCTAGGTGGCCAGCTTGGCCGTATGATGGTGGAAGCTGCTTCCCGCCTGAATCTTGAGGTCATTATCCTTGACGCACCAGAAAATGCACCAGCAAAACAAATCGAAGCTACCCAGAGCCACATATCCGGAGCCTTCAACGACGCAGCCAAGATTCGTGAATTGGCTGGAAAAGTAGACGTCCTGACAGTTGAAATTGAGCATGTTGATGCCCAGGTTCTCGCAGACATTGAGAATGAAGGGAAGGTTAAGGTACACCCTTCTGCTTCCACAGTGAAGGTTATCCAGGATAAATTTGTCCAGAAGAATCACTTGAGAGCAAATGGTATTCCCGTAGCTGCATATGTCGAAACACCCAATTCCAACGCTGTCCTTGAAGCTGGAAAACAATTTGGATACCCGTTCATGCTCAAGTCAAAGACTTTGGCCTATGATGGTCGTGGAAACTACGTTGTAAAATCTGAAGCCGATATTAAGTGTGCAATGGAGACCCTCTCAAAAACACCCTTGTACGCTGAGAAGTGGGCTCCTTTTACAAAGGAATTAGCTGTAATGGTGGTTCGTCGCGCAAATGGCGAAGTTCGCTCATACCCAGTTGTTGAGACTATCCACAAGAACAGCGTCTGTCATTTGGTGATCGCTCCAGCTCAGGTCAGTGGCGAGGTTCTTAAGAAAGCCCAGGTTATCGCAGAGAACGCCATCAAAACATTCACTGGTGCGGGAATATTTGGTGTTGAGATGTTTGTTATGAAGGATGGTAAGCTATATATTTGTATGATAGAAGGCTGTTTTTTTTTGTTAATCCCCTGTTTTTAGGTGAAATCCTTTTGAATGAGATTGCTCCTCGTCCTCACAACTCTGGCCACTATACTATCGAAGCATGTGATACTTCTCAATATGAGAACCATATGCGCGCCATCCTTGACATGCCTCTTGGATCTACTGCCATGAAGGTACCTGCCTCTATTATGGTGAATATCCTCGGTACTTCTGACAGCATGGAGCTGTGCTACCGTCCATGCAAAGAAGCTCTTTTAACAGATGGAGCCACAATTCATCTTTATGGCAAGAAAGAATGCAGAGCTGGTCGTAAGATGGGCCACATCACTATCGTTGGTGAATCGATGATGCAAGTTCAGAAGCGCCTGAAGCCAATTCTCCACGCCATTGAACCTGAGATTGAACGTCCCTTGACTCTTCGTCCCTTGGTGGGTATCATCATGGGATCAGATTCTGATCTTCCTGTGATGAAGGTCGGTGCACAGATTCTTAAGAACTTTGGAATCCCCTTTGAACTTTCCATTGTGTCTGCCCACAGAACTCCCATGCGCATGGTTGAGTACGCTCAATCCGCTGCTGATCGTGGACTCATGGCTATCATTGCCGGTGCAGGAGGCGCAGCCCATCTTCCTGGAATGGTTGCTGCCATGACACCGCTGCCGGTCATCGGTGTCCCCGTTAAGGGCACTCATCTTGATGGCGTTGATTCTCTCCACAGCATTGTCCAAATGCCCGTAAGTGATTAAGTGCAACTTTAACGTAATTTCTCTTTTTCTTTTCTTTTCTCATATCATTCGCCATTCATAGCGTGGAATTCCTGTCGCAACTGTTGCAATTAACAACAGCACCAACGCAGCTTTACTCGCTATTCGTATACTTGGTGCCTCTATTCCCAGCGTGCAGAAGCAGATGTCAGAATATATGAAGCAAATGGAGGGCGAAGTTCTTCAAAAAGTCGACAAGCTCGATAACGTTGTAAGTAAATTTTGTTGATTTTGCTGATAAGACCGGTACATCCATATGAATTTCAGTCTACAATCAAACTAATGTACATATCCATATTTTCTCTTTTCTTTTCAAGGGTTGGGAGAACTACTGAACTCATAATAAAATCCGCCACTGAGAAATAATAATAATAAGCAGAGATCTAAAGTATTGAACCACAATTACAGTAGAAAACTCTGCCTCTTTTACATCAATAAACACCATCTTGCATACTCTTCAATTAACCAATACACACAAACAATCAATAATGATATATCCAAAGTTCATTATTTACAACAGTATAATCCAAATTTCTATTTCTTCATCTTGGTTTCGTTGAACAGGACGTGTTGCTTGACTATACCCATATGTTCAATAAAATATAAGCATACATAGATATATATGTACATATGTATATATATATACATAACACATATACACATGTATACATATTATTTAGTGGTTAAGTGAAAGTGAACATACCAACAGGATCGTATTTCATCATAGACATCTTTGGGCTGATTCTAGGGCGAGACTTGACATAGTTGAAGCCGGTTCCTGCAGTAGACAATAATTTGACGAGGATAACTCTAGCCTTTGCTTTCTTTGCCATGATTGTTGTGGAGGTGAAAGAAGTGTTAGGGGTGTTTACCTGGTCACTTCCTCACTTGCGGAGCTTCCCGTGTTTTTTTCTTTCATCCTCTCGGGCCAAAAAGAAACTCAGTCACAGTGCACCGAGCAAACCTGCCCCTTAGCAAACCCTTGCCATGGCACATCCATCAGCTCCCTCTTTTCATCCAACTCCACTATGGGTAACGTATCATCTTCGACAATACAACAATCCATCCATCAAAAGACAAATCCTGACAAAGGTCATGACTTTTAGGTATCAGCCGTGATTCGAGGCACAAGCGTTCCGAGACTGGTGCCAAGCGCGCTCAGTACAGAAAGAAGAGAAAGTTTGAGTTGGGCCGTCCCCCGGCCATGACCAAGCTCGGTGGCAGACGTATTCACGTCGTCCGCGTCCGCGGTGGTAATGTCAAGCACAGAGCTCTCCGCCTTGAGTCTGGCAACTTCTCTTGGGGTTCCGAGGGTATTGCCCGCAAGACCCGTGTCTTGACTGTCGTATACAACGCCTCCAACAACGAATTGGTCCGCACCAACACTCTCGTTAAGGGTGCCGTTGTTCAGATTGATGCCACCCCCTTCCGTCAGTGGCACGAGGCTCACTACGCTTCCTCCCTTGGCAAGAAGAAGGCCAACGCCGAGGAAGTTGCCGTTGAGAAGAAGTCTAACAGCGTCCAGAAGAAGATTGCTGCCCGCCAGGCTGATGCTGCCGTCGAGACCCTTCTCGATGACCAGTTCACCTCTGGCCGTCTTTACGCCGTCATTGCCTCCCGCCCCGGCCAATCTGGTCGTTGCGATGGTTACATTCTCGAGGGTAAGGAGCTTGAGTTCTACGTCAAGAAGATTAAGGTAAGAGCTATCACATTTTTAGTTTTCTTTTCTATTTTTCTCCTAACGCTTTTTTTAACAGAGCCGCAAGTAAATATTTTTACTACTTCTCACATCTTGAAGAATCCCATCGTTCGTATGACCACACCAATAAAACACAAATCCATGTCATCAATCAATAAGAAACTTATTCGGCTAGATAGAAAAAAATGTTGGCTTGTCTTTTATATATATATATATATATATATATATATATGTATATGTATTATGGTTTTTGAATCAGGTTCTCAGCAATTGACCCACAAACTTCTCTCTCTTCTCCCTTGCCAATGCTGGATTTCGTTCCTTAAAGTCAACAGGAGGGCGAATCATACCACTAAAAAGTTCCACTGAAAGAAAACAAATAAGGAAACAGCTGGTAGAAGTTTAAAAGGAAACTTACCTATACGCTGACGTCTATACTCTTTGCATGATTCGGGTGCATACTTCATAGCATCTCGAAGGAAGTCATTGATATAATGTAGGACGTTTAGATGTATTCTTGGTATAGTTGCTATAAGCTATTGTAACAAGCAAAGAACAGTTAGAGATAAATCATGAAAACTTAAAAGAGATATTTACTATAGCCATTGCTTCAGGGGAGTCGGCAGCTTCCAGTGCAAGTTTGTACATGTTGGTTGGTATAACAGGCTCAGGTAGACACTCGAGAAAGGCTACTAGGACATCGACCATCGAATTAGCTCCTAGGGCCTCCTTCTCCAATGACTCTTCATTTTCGGAAGAGTCTTCGCTAATAGATGAGGCCTCAGTATAGGTTTGATCGATAGAGGTCTCATTGATGGTTGATGATTCGCCGATTGAAGAGACTTCAGTATCATCGCCGAGGACAGTGACTTTGGGAGCAACTACTTCTTTACAAGCATCGTTATTGATATCAACAGGGGCTTCGCTGGTTACAGAAGTTGATTTGGAATCTTGGGTTATACCATTGGCTGGAGTTGCAGCGACAAGAGTAAGTTCACTGCAAGCAGGAGTTTCTTTAGAAACCTCCACCTCTTTACTGGTAGAGGTCTCAATTGCGGGGTTTGCATTAGAAGAAGGAGCCTTTTCGATATTAGAGATATCTTTGTCTGTGAAGTCATTGCTAGCGACTTCTGCTTGATTGGAGACAGGTACAGCAGATACGGGTTTTTCGTCTTTAATATCCTTGCCCAGCAATATGTCACTGTCAAAAGGAGAATCTGTATCCATACATTGACGAATGTAGTGGCAGATTACACGGTCTCCATGTTCCAAAAACAAAGATTCCTATAAATATATAAGATTGGGTGTACATCTTTTAAGCCAAAACAACACACTATAAACTTACAATTGAAAGCATGTTCTTGTTCCATAAGAAATTCAAAACCTTCCACAGTTCTTTGGGTAGGTTGACTTGTTGGGCTTGCCGATCACCAACGCTAGGCTCAACTGGGGTATGATTCTTGGAATCTTGCAAAGGGATATATCTTATTGGGTTTACAGGAACCGGCATAGAGGCCAAATCCTCCAACGGTACTCCAAAGCAGGTAGGCTGATACTTTCCTTCAACGATGACAAAGTAATCACCCCCTCCCTTTATTCTGAGAACAAGAACTTCGTCAATATCTTTTTCTCTTTTGTTAAACGGCGCAGAGATTGAAGGATCGATCATTAATTCGAATTGTATAACCACCTTCTCACCTGTTTTATTTCGGTTAGTATAAACATGTCTTATACGTAGATATTCAATATCAACATACCAGGGCCTAATACACCTGATGTAGGATGGACTGTCAGCCAAGACGGAATGATCTCTTCTGAAGTCTGGTCCGCATTCTTGTTCTGATCGAATTCAGAGTTATCGTATTCATCAATGTCGCTCAACTTCGACTTAAACCGGAAAGTGACCAGTACCAGACCAGTATTTTCCAGCACAATCGATCTTTCTTTGAACTCCATGAATTGGACATCTCCAAACTTGACAAAAGAATTTACAAGTGTTGCCTTGGGAGTCTGGTCCTTTGTAGCGACCAAACGTTTGATAAGCTTATCTTTAGTCAATGCCAGCTTTTGATGATTGATCTTCCGGACATTTGTCTCAAATAAGGCGCGCACTGGTTTGTGATCACTGGTCATCATCTTCATACAGCTGTCGTATGACAATAAGTTTTGTCGCTTTTTACTAGGTTTATCTTCATTTTCGCTCTTTTTCCATAAAATACGATCTGTCCAAGAAGGAGCTCGTCGTTTCTCGCTTTTTTTCCAATAAATAAATAAGGTTGTCATTACTACACATAATTGTTTCTTATTTTACCTGGTATCATACTGATTTGTACCAGCATCAAATTTATAAGTGGGGGTAAATTCAATTCGTCCTTCGTCGAACATGGAGAATGTTCTACCGGCTTGTCTCTCAATAGATAACTATACAAATCAGTACGTATAAGTACCTTTGAGATACTTTTTTTTGGGAGAAAACAGAAATCTCTTGGGTTCTTGCCTGATCATATTCCAATAAATAGTCTAGCTCGCCTTGCTGCAGTCTCATCTTGATTTCAGCCTCACTCAAATTTACTCGATAATTGAGATCACCCAACCATATCAAATGACTAGAGAATTTGTTAATACAAAAGTATGCTCAAATTAACAATACAACTTACTCTGCGTGGAAAATTGAAGCATCCTTGGTCCATTTACGAGAGACTCCATTGGACTCTAAAAATGACACACCTTCATCACCACCACTGTTCCAAGAGAAATTTAAATAGGCGAGTATATCGTCTGGATAATTGCGGAACACAAGGCGCTTTGCAATGCTCGTAAAGTCCTGATTTCTTTTTTCGACCTTATCAACAAAGGCAGCCAAATGACTGGTGATGAAGCAAAAATAACTGTCATGGTATCTAAGACGTACAGCCACACCTCCTTTGTTTCCCTACAAAAAGTATATCATGTAAGGACTAAGACATGCATAAGTAACTATCAGCATTCAGGAATTACCATCATGTTCATAAGCCCAACGCCTGTATAGTTAGTTTCTACTTCACAGATATCTTGGGAATGTTCTTTTTTGGCAATTACGATTAGTAGCATTGTAACCAATTGTTGGGAGGCCACCTATAAAAATTAAGTTAGTGAAACCAATCAAAGATAATCTATGCTGTCCCACTTACCTTATAATAGCTGCTTTTCTTTTCTCCAAAAGCAGCAAAGACAGCATTAACCCAAGCTGTTTCCTTGGTAGGATCATAGCGGATATATGCTTCAGTGTTAGTCTCCATTTCCTGAAGACTAAATATGCACGCAGAAATATATAAGAAATTGTGTGCCTGAAAAATGATCTTGTTACTGACCCAATCACATATAAATCAGGCTCAAAATGATCTCCGGCATCTGTTGTTAAAGTACCCAGAATCCATGTGGATAAAGATTCTGGTGGATTAGAGCCATGGACATTCCATGTTCCCACAAATACACTATTATTATTATTATTTTTTAAAAAAAAGTAACCCGGCAAAATATTAAGAATTCATTTCTCCACCATTTAAAGAATCTTACTTTGCTTTTTTCCATTTTACAAACTCATCTTCTTGGTCCATAAGTCGTGCGAAAATCCAATGTTCTTTTGCCTTTGATGTGCTGATGTTTCGCACTTTTTTGACCATTGTTGACGCCGTTCTTCTCAAATTTAAAAGTGCAACTGTATCTTGACGTTGAACAGGAAGCACATATGGAATTGAGCTTTCTCCCTTCAGTGGCAAGGTATTTGATCGCATAGGTGGTTTACGCATTGTTCTTGGGGAAGCTGCATGGAAGAAATGAATAATAAAGCTTTATTTATATATAACTTAAATATCATACCAAACTTTGTATAGGCATCTAGCCAAGCATGGCTGTTCTTCTCCGGAGAATATCCATGACTCACTATATCAAACACCTTGTCAGCACATTCCGCTTCTACTGACAACTACTGGTCTTGCCTGCAATATTTTTTCGATTCTTAATGTCGGCCAAGATATTTTTCGTATCATCTTTATCTTTGAATATCACAGAAATAGTCTGCCCTTGCCCTGAAAACTCAATGCAAAGATCTGAAGTTTTCTCTGTGATGAGATCATCATCTTTATTATCATCGAACCCTCTACCTGTCCCTTCTCTAAAAGGATTTGTCTTTGCCTGGGCTAAGTAGGAATATTAGTATCCGAGCTAGCATAATTCAGTCTATCCAACTTAAATTTATAAACACTTACATATTTCGTGCTTGAAGTCAGAAGCGATAGGAAGAACATTGACTACAGTCGGGAATCCTTGCTCGGGGGAATTTCTCACAAGAAGTAGGCTAAAGTAAACATAATGAGCGAGTAAGGAGTAATGAATAGAAAGTGCTACAAAGGGACTCGGTTTAGTCTTACCAGGCCTCATTGTCTTTGGATGGGTTGTGGGAATCTGAATGAACGACAATTGCCAGACAGTAATCTGCCTTGTTACTAGCAGTGTCATTGGATGGAGATGTCTTCAGAGGATAAAGTTCAACAGGACTAACGTACAGAGGAATTAAGGCTAATATAGTGTATTTATTCGCTTTTCTGGTCAATAGTACAAAAAGGATATATATTCTATATGGTCGGGATAGTGGACTAGACTTTCGAGAAGACTTTTTTGCTGGCGCGATTGAGACTTCATAACTCAACCTAGAAAGTAGTGGAAGAAGGATGGCAAAATGGTAGAGCTGGTTACACTGCCCATGTGTGGCAGCGATCGTTGGTACCATTCAATTTCCGCAATACAAAAGGTGGCTTGTTTACACCCGAGGACCCGAGGGGTTTATCAGTTTGCGACGGAGCGAGAGGACGCGTGCATTGAAGATGGCACTTGCATTAAAAGAAGAGAATTTTGTAGTTATTGATGTCGGCTCATCCACAACAAGGGCTGGCATGAGTGTCAATGACACTAACAAACCACCTCCGATTGTAAGTTTATATACAGTGAATTAATAGCCAATGACCTGGATTGCTATTAGATTATCAAAATGGAAGACTTCAACAACCCTATCAAAGATAATATGATTGTATCCTGGCCTGACCTTGAAGCTTGCTGGTAATAAATTCTTATGCAGTGGTACAAAACTTCTCACACAACTTAGGCATCATATCCTCTTCAAAGAGCTCGGTCTCAAGAAGTCACGCAACGAAAGCCCTGTTCTACTTACCGTACCCGTTTGCTGGACTAAAGAAGAACATGAACGTATCACTCAAATATTCTTTGAGAACTTTAATGTACCCGGTCTTTATATTGCACCCCAACCCCTCCTTGCTTTATATGGTTGTGGATCTGTCTCTGGTTCAATTATTGATATTGGACATGAGACAACAGGTAAAATATCTGACAGGGAAGATACAGAAGACTGATGTTAAAGTATAGATATCAATGTGGGTGTGGATAGTATTCTACAGATTCAGTCTAGTCTCAGTCTGCCAATTGGAGGAAAACATTTCGATCAATATCTGTTAGAGCTTCTTCAGCAAGACACAAATCTTGTACAGCAAGCCAAAAATGCCTCTGTTCCATTGGATATTAAGTTTGCACGGTTTATAAGGGAACAACCTGGTGCATGCCATGTATTATCTGGTCACGTAAAACCAGAAGACAAAACTACAGGGACACCTAGTGTGCTTGATATGGTAGCTACACCAGCTGTGGAGGAATTTACAGATGGCGAGGTCGCCGTTACAGAAGATGAAGTAGTCCCTGAAGTTACAGAGAACTTGACAGTCGAATACAAAGGTCACAAGGTAAATCCTTGACTCTTTTTGTGCTTTTATTATACAGATGGTCATGTTAAAAAAATCTAGTTCACTATTGGCGAGTACCGACATAAAGTATGCGACCCTTTGTTTTCTCCAGAATTGGTTGGATTGGACATTTTGCCTTTGTCAGAGGCCACTCGCTTGGCCATTATGAACTGCGAGACTCCTGAAATCAGACCCAAGTTGTGGGAGAACATTGTAGTGACAGGTGGCTGTAGTCTTTTGTACCAGCTGCAAAATCGGTTAAAAAAGGAAGTACAACTCTCGTTGCCCTATTCAGACAACGCTGGAGATTCACAACCGCGACTTGTCAGCTTTTTACGGATACCAGAATATTTTACTATCCTTAGAGAGAAGCAATATCAATGTTACGCGACATGGCTCGGAGGTGAAATTGTTGCAAAGGTAATTACACACGCACACACACACACAAAACAATTGGCTTCTTGAATTCTCTTCTAAGTACACTGTCTTTATTAGCTTGTTTTTATTGACGCGAAGAATTATGTCAGCAAAGTGGATTATAATGAATCAGGACCATCGATTGTGCACACCAAGAGTTATTAAATTCTCCCCCCTCCTCTCATCTATTTACAGGATTTCTTTTTTGGCAGGCAACATTTAGGACATTTTAAGACTCTCTCTCTAATCACCTTGGAAATTGAGATAAACAGGATATTGTTTGAGGCCTCTTATTTTTATTCCAAAAAAAAACACAGTTTATTCACTACAATTTTACAGAAAATTCTCTTTTATAATTTGATAACAGCACTGACGAAATTAATTATGATACTATAGCTGATAAACATGGTAGACTTGAAGTGCTTATTGCTTTCACCACAATCCTTAAAGCTCAACCAATAATAGCACAAAAAATAATTGTATTCAAAAAACATCTTGTTGGTCTCAAAATGCAATGTGATTTTGTCTAAAAAAAATTCCAAATTCGTCCCAATCTCAAAAACACTATTTTTCATTCATAAGAAACTCCGCTGTACCACCTAAAGAGCCATTTCATTTTGTTTGCCACGCCTTTGGCTATAAAGATCTTGTTTGTTCATCATGTCGTGTTTGAGCTTGGGGAAACCCATCACAACAAAAGGCCTCATTGGTCTTCTTATGATGACTTTTTTTATGCTGACAGCTCTTGTTCCACGCGTAAAAGCTTGGGATCAGGGTAAGATTTTGATTTTTTCAGAACTAAAGCCATCACTGACTCATCTCATCATTAGCCGATTTTGAGATATTTGATCTTGTCGATGAACTCGAAAAGTCAGAGGGCAAGGGTGTAACATTCTACAGCTGGTTAGATATTCCTGTAAGTAATTAAGATGTACCGAATTCACCATACTTAATATGCTTTTATGTGAAGGCTACTGCCACTGCCCCTGAGATTGGCAAAGCTTACCGCAAACTTTCTTTCCAACTCCAGTAAGTCTAAAAATCTCTGAAAGAAACTTATCTAACGCACACACACACACAGTCCCGATAAGAATAAGCAGGATGTCAAAGCAAAGGAACGTTTCGCCCGCCTTGGAAAAGTGGCAGCTATCTTGAGAAACTCGGCAAGTCGCGAACGTTACAACTTCTTTTACAAGAACGGCGTACCTCGCTGGAGAGGAACTGGTTACTACTATGCTCGTTTCCGTCCCGGACTGACTACTGTGATTGTGTTTTTGGCTTGCTTGGTGGGTGGTATGCAGTATCTTGCTAGCTGGATTAACTATTACCTTGAGAAGCGCAGAATCTTGCACTTTGTTGAGGATGCTCGTCTGGCTATGGCTCTCAGAGCACCAAAGGGACACGGAGCACCTACCGTTGGACGTAGTTTCCTTGAAATTCAACAGAACATGGTTCGATGTGAAGTCATATCTGACGAATATCTTATCGTTTATCCCGAACAAGCTGATCCTATTCACCTTAATGTCGAGTGGGTTGAGAAGCCCAACTTCAATAACGTTTATCTCGTCCGTTGGCCCAAGTCCCTGTATGAAAAGTTTACTCAACCAAAGGTGAAAGCTGAAAAAGAAGATACTGAAGAAGAAGAGGAAGAAGAAGTCCAGGTTGACCAGAAAGGGACTGAAGTAGCAACTGCTCTTCCCAAGAAAAAGGTGAAGAAGAGAGAAATTGGCACTGTCGAGGGTACGAAGGTTGGCGGAAGAAGACGTGCTGTACGCAAGTAAATCCATACAGATGAATATGGATAAGAAAAAGACACAAACACAAAAGAACTTTTAGACAGATTTTTTTTTAAAAATATAAAAGCAGCTTCATTTTTAATTGCATATCGGATTTATGGGTATATTTCTATTAAGAGAAACGAGGGTGAAATGGAGGCGAGGTAAAAAGAGATCCATCGCGTGTAGACCAATCCTGAACAGTGGGGGTAATTGGTTGAATAGATCCTATTGGATCGCTCGATAGAATATTATTATTTTGTGAGTTGGGCCATGGTTCTGACGGACTGACGGGACAAGAAGCGGGTACATGAAGAAGCGTGTCAGCACCCTGCCCATCCATAATTGGGGTATAAACAAAATCAGCAAAACGGAATAGATCGTTGAGTGTCATATCAGCTGCAGCTGATACATCGAATGCCGAGTTAATAGAGATTGTTGTAGGCGAAGGTGGCGGAATAGGGCCTTTGAGCCATTCCCATTCGTTTGTTGTGAGTGAGATACGCGATATATGCGCATTGGGCACAGTTTCAGGAACGTTGTCTTCAACAGGTGGAGGAGCTTCATCTTGTTCTTCTTCGGAGCGCTTCGGATTGTCTATTTGACTTTCAATACGTCTTATTAGTGTTTTGACATATTTATGATGGCGTACAGGAGAGTGCTGAAGAACTCTGGCAATCCGTCTCATCTGATATGATGCTGACTTTCTCAGCTCAGAACGGTTGCTCCGGATTTGGTTACTGTAAACTACGCACGCCATAACAAGTGTATCCAAGGTGAAATGACACCATGGTTGGCGTAGTTGGGCCCAGCACTCTAACAAATCTGTCATAGAGTCGGCTGCTGCCAAGCACACTCGTAGAGAGAGTAGAGAGATGGCAGATGTATTATCATCGGGGTTTGGCAAGAATATAGAATAAATCTGGCATATCTGGAAGTGATATTCAAAGTTTAGCTTCAAGCATGCTTGCTCTCTGAAAGAAGTACTGGCCCAATTTCGTCGGGTTCTGTCCTCTCGACTATAATGAAAATATGGGGGCAAATCGGCATACCAGCCCTCAAGTTGCTTTTCAAGAGTTGTGACGGTTGAAAGTAAAGGGTTTTTGGCTGATAGACTAGCATGAATACCACGGTATATTTGATTGATTTTATGGCGATGAACAGTGAATTCGGCTCGATAACGTTGTTCTCCAGACTCACTTTGAAGGATTTGAGGAGGTAACGTGTTGATAACTTCTTCTCCAGGAAACAACATTGGCTTGTCAGAATGTGCTGAGCGAAGAGTCTCAAGAAATTCTACAGCTGCAAACAGTCGGCGGCGTTTTTCTTTCTCAAGTTCGTCATGTTCTTTATCTTCTTCATGATGAAGGCCAAGATCAAGTGACATCCGAATAGCTAAACCCAAGAATGTATATGCCTCTGATTCTGCCTGCGCGCGTGTTGGACCTGTTTTACCAATACTATATATATACATCAACAGGAGGGCATGGACGGTGTCTATGCTCGGCACCAAGAACCTGTCTTTCAATAATGACTGTGCCATAGCAAAATATCGTTCTCCAACTGTGTTCGGATCTTGTCCAACAAACATGCCGTGATAAATAGCCGCATGTCGTGCTGCCCAAGATAGAATAGCATTCATTAATAGAGGACAGGCTGTCTTGGACTTGCATCTTTGTAGAAAATTATCTAAGTCTGGCAGAGGAAAGCATAGAAAACATTGTCCATAATGATCAAATAATCTATTGCTGTCATTATCTAACAGGGCTGGGAGTGCCTTAGTCTTGTCATAGCGACTAGGACCGTGGCACCCAGACTCCCAGGCGCTGTATAACGGGAACATCACATCTTTTGACTTATATCGTGGATTATGCTTAATGACAATAGCCTGCTCAGCTTTTGCGGGCGCAGCTGAAGCAAGACTTTTGGTTGAGAGGGGAGAAGCAGGTGGTGACTCAGATGGCTTGGGAGGAAGTTGTAGATGAGTGACACCAGAAAGTAATATATTATAGAGATCCTGGAGAGACACTATACCGGTGTCTATACGAAGTCCTTGGGGTGTTAAGGAGAGTGACCAATTGGCGTTCATCGTTGACAAAGCGCTATCTGGCTTATTTTGGGAGATTTGTGGTGGCGAAGGTGTTGATGGCGGTGGATGGGCATCTTCTTTAGCTTTTCGCATAGTATCTGCGATGAATTGAGTTTGGGTCTGGATCTGTTGCATTGCACGCTCAATAGATGACATGCGCTCTTGTAATTCCCCAATTGTATCATTTAACTGAGCTAGATTGAATAGATCGATCTGGGTGGACGATCCCGCATAGGAACATTGGGCTATGCAATGATTGAATCAGAGTCCATCTAATCAAATCTACTTAATATTACCTTTGGCAAGGTCACATCGGCGGCAAGTAGGATGACCGAAATCGCATTTGACTGAAATGAAGTAAAGAAAAAACCATTGTATGCGTCACTCTATTGTCGGAATACCTTTAAAGCATCTACCTTTCTTTGACCTATGTGTATTGGTTCAGTTGATAGAAGAAATGTAAACAGTGCTTACCTACAACGCTCACATGCCAGCGTCATACGTACTCGCTTGGATGTGGCATTTGGGTCTTGGAAGGGCGCCGGTTGAGACATATGAAGAATAAAAGATAAGTAAGAAGAAAAAGGTGGGAAAGTAAGATTTAAGGAATCATGAAAGTTTGAAAATAAACTGTGTATGCACAACAAGGCTTGTCAAATACATATGAAGTTTTCTAGCAATATCAGAGATTCCATGACCAAGCAATTGCTCCCTTGTGCGTATGTTTATTGGCTTGAATATAAAAAGCTTCTTGTTATGATTATTTATTATGATATTGACAATTAAGGTTATACGAAAGAGATACAATATCATAACCTGTCAAACCCATTGTTATTTCTTGCTGAAAAGGGTATCAGCACTATTTAGTGTAATGCTCCATGTTCTGTAAACAAAGACTTTTTTTTTCTGGAAAGGAACTATTTGCAGGTGTGGTTCTTTGCTGCCTTCCAAAGGCATACATACTGTAGATTGATACAAATGTTGTCCTTGTATCCTATAAATAGATTTGTTCAATTACTTGTACTCAAATATGCGACATGTGTTTAGTAATGAACCCACAGAGAAAGAATAGTCAAACCTGTCAAAAGCAAAACAAACATGCCAAATATGCTAGACAACATTGGATTTCTTGATTAAGATAGACCTTCATAACACGCCACTGGATCATTGTTGACCTTTCTACTTAAGAGCACTTGTTCTTTGGCCTTAATTATATTTCAATTACCTTCTTTCTTTCTTATAAATGAACCTTCAATGTCCACTATGCTTCAAGGAGTTTCCTATGTATGACCAGCGTGGATTCAGAAATGCCGGATTCACTGCCCACCACAACCGATGCGTTGAGAAGGAGGTCCAGAAAGTAGAATTAAGCTCAGGTGATACCCAGCGCACCATCCATCCGAGACGTCGTCTCTTACCAGCCCCGTCCTATTTTTCCCCCAGTATCAATAACATGGGGTCAGTTGTGCCCTCCCAAAGACTAAAACTAACTGTCTCAAAGCGGTATTTTCGAAAACCGCGTGCTTCCCCCAAATCCCAGATTCCTCTAAATAATCCACCAGCTCCTTCTGATCCAAACCCTTCTGATCCCCCAGTCGCTTTCTTATCACCTATTGCTCATAATTCTCCAAAATCAGAACCCCCTCCAGATAAGCCACTCCCTCAACCATGGGAGTTACAAGAACAATTTATCCAACAGCAGCTTTCATTTTTTGCTACAGCCATCGAAGAGCAGATACCAGTACACTACTGTGACTATTGCTTACCTCAACAAGGTCTCCATCACCCTTCATGCACTTTATTACATTTTGCTAGTAGGGCTAACAATGCCTTTGATTGATAATCATTTCCCAATATTCCTTTGTATATATATATAATATTGATTTATGCCAATTTTCTATGCATTTTCAACACCATATCTATGCCTTATTACTTAAATAAACAAACAATTATGATCGCTAAGACTGTTTATATTGTTCTCTCTTCACAATCTTGAGTAGAAGATTCACTGCTGGGTTTACTCCCAGACCAGGTAGACTGTACATGGCATTCTGAATGAGAGGAGGATGAGGAGATTCTAGAATGGATCGGCGTATGGGGTCCAGAAGAGACTGACCCCTCATCAGAGTCATCAGGGAGGGAGCCAGAAGGCTTCATCTTTTTATATAGAGCGTTTAATTCTTCCAACATCCATGGCAAGACACCTAAGCGAGCGTACCCCATTTGTAGTCTGAGCCTAATGCTCTCGGCGTACAAAGCATGAATAGATCTATTAGACGTAGCAGTTTGTTGAACACGGCGCACAAAGGAATAAAACTCACAAACGGCCACCAATCTATCTCGGCAAGAGCTATCTACTAACGACCATTCATCCGAAGCATCAAGTTTGAATCGATATGGGGTCGGATATCCCGTCGGTCTTCCACATACAGCACAGCTATGGGGGTCTGTAGGGGATGAAAATCGGTCCCAAAGAAATCGGTGAGGCCTAACTGACAATGAATCATTGCACGACCCCACATCTTCTGTATCCGGAGTGGGTTCAATGCAACACGCTTGTCCAGCTAGCGACTCCATTAATTTTTTAGCTGATATTTTTGATGGTGGTCCGAGGCGTAGGCATGGCTCAACATCTTCTACTTGGCATTGGCGCACATAAGCACTCTGGCGCAATTTCTTCATAGATGTTGATGGTTGAGAAACAAAAATCCGAAAAGCTTCGCTCATTGTGTGCCATGGTTTCTCTTGGGGTTGTTGATAAACCAAAGAGTTACACTGTATAGACAGAGGTTGATTCTGTGGTGCCTTGGCCAGTGTATCTTGCAGAATATGTTGAAGTGCATTGAGCTGGCTACGTTCAGCTTCCAAATTGGCTTGTGTTTGCTTCAACTGAGTTTCAAGAATCCACTTTGCTCTTTTTTCTGTTGCCACCATCCCGTTAGCCTCTTCGAACAGCTGGCTGCTTAATTCTTCCAATTCACGTTCAGCCAAGTCCTTCTCGTGCTGAATGTCAGCTACATGTTCAATCTCGGATACATATTTTGTATTCAGGGTTTCTAGATCTAGTCGTTGCCTCTCAAATGCCTCATCTTTCAAAATTAAGTCCCCCTTGAGTTTAGCAATTTCGGCTGCCTGGAGTTCAAGAGTACGGCGGATACTCAAAATCTGGTCTGTAACTGAGGCAAGTTCAGTTGACATAATAAAAAGCAATAAAGAAAAGAAGAGATAAGAGTTTGTGAACAAGACAAGGAAAAAGATCTAATCTCATACATTTCATCCTTGTTTTTATCGCAGGGGAAAGAGGGGAAAGTATGCAGACAATAGGATTTATCACACATCCCCTTGAATGACCTTTGCCTTTGGGTAATTGATAGTACGAGTGTAAAGTGCAGGTGCTTATTTATTTCTTGTATGTAAGCGTAAATGTTCAATGTACAAGTTTTTCAGAAAGCTCTTGTGTATTAAAAGTCCGTTCATTTTCTTGCTATATCACCATTTCGTTTTTCTTATACTCTTTAAGCTTATACACATGACCCCCTCAGATTCAAAGCACAGGGAGGAAAGCATTCGAAAAAGAACACAACAAATATTTGGCTTTTGAAGACTATATTCTACTTTGAACATGTAAAGCTAAATTCTCAAGTCCTGAAATCTCCTGACACAAGATTATACATGTGGAAATATTTACCAATATAATAAAGAAGTATAATAAAGCTGAATTTGTGGGAGTCAAAGCTCGCCCAAAAAGACATAAACCTCTTATTGCTAAAGCTTAACACTGTTTTAATAAGCTCATTAAAAGCAAACATCATCGGAATTTAACGGAGATTACATGAGTGTAAAGGAGTTCACAGGCAACCCCATTTTCGAAAATACTGTTTGCACAGCATTGTATAATTCGAGTATATAGTGTTAGGTTTAATTGGAAGGTCTATATTAACAAAGTGATATATTACTGTACATCGTAAATGGGCGCAAAAGATAATGTGGCTGGATGAAAAATAGAAGGCAGTGATTTCGAGTGACATTTTTTTTCTTTGCTTTTCACAGTATACAAGAAAGTTTAATTGTGAAAAAGCAGGTGAAAATTGCAACGCCAAATTCCTCTAGCCAAATATACATGTAGGTGAAATATTAGTAAATATAAGGAGTGAATTTCAGCTGGAGGGGTTGGACCTTTTGTTATATTCAAGTATAACACTACAAAAATGTATGCTGTCTTGAAGTTTTTTTAGCTATACTATGATAAGCTACTAGATAGTAACATCGTCAATTACTACTTTCAATAAAATAATGTACCATCACACATGGAAGTTCAAGAAAATCTAAATGGAGGTTTGGTATCAATGCTTTTGAGTGATTATCAAAAACCCAGATTTAAGTCCAATATGAAATATTCAGGATACTTTGAATTGTCCATGAGAGAGGTCGACAGTCTACGACTCTACAGCAATTGAAAAAGGCTTAACAGAAAAAGCAACAGACGATAGACCAAATTCGAGTGTCGAAATAAATTCTAAAAGAATTGGTTGAGACACTCAAATAAAGCATATAAAATACGATTGCTAATCCATAGAATAATTGAATATACGTGTATCTAAAACTATGAAGAATCCATGGGACTATCGACGGCATCGAATAAAACATCCTCCACATTCGAGTCATCTTCACTATCATCATCGCCACTTGTGATAAGCTTGTTAGTGAAATCAAAACGGGGCAGGTGTTCTCGAAGACAGTGTTTTTCGAATGTAGTTGACCAAGTCAAATGTCCCATAGTAACGATATCCGCCTTAGGAATGTCAGACTGAAGTGCTAATGAAGAAGCGATCGAGCGCAAAGAAACTCGAGGTTCCGAAGTAGACAAACGAATAAGTTTTGAGATCCAAATCTGTATAGTACGGGCGGTGAGTGGCTTATTGGTTTGTAAGGAATTAATGAACAGAGTGGAAGCCTGGAAATAAGGACGACGCTGCAACAAAATTTGAAATGTATGCACTGGGAAAAGCCGTTGGTCAAGATGTGCCCTCACCATAAAAGACTTGATAATCCGTAGTCCTTGTCGTTTTTATTTTGGACAGTGTATTTCAAAGGGCAGAGTATAATCGGTGGAGGTGGAGACCGAAGCAAGAGGGATACGGTTCAAGTCAGATGGTCGAAGAAAACAAGGGACACCATAAGAAAGGCGAGTTTGGTCTATAAGGTAGCGAGAGTACTGCTGTTATTGACTAGTGTGAGCAGGTACTCCATGGTGGGTTGTAGACTGATATTAGGTTGGTTTAGTTTAGCGGGCGAAGCTTGGTGCAGAAGAGTAGTGACTAAAGAGTTTAGGTGCCCATAGATGCGCAAGATTGTGGGGTTATGGTGCAGATGAGTAACTGCAGAGCGGAAGAGTTGGATGGTGAAAACGGCGAACGAGTGGGAAGTATGCATGTCGCTCAGAAAATTGATCAAATTAACCGGTAGGAAGGCATTCTGGGAAACGTGTCTAGTATGGATCTATTGTAGGAATAGTATCTGTCCCCGTTTGTAATGCGCATTGGTGGTGGTGTTTTGCAAGTGATGATGGACAAGGATCCCTCACGCATCCTCGTTCAGTCCTGAGTGGCCATATTTCGAGTGGATAAGCTCCAGGCGGCGAGCTTCCAAGTGCTGTGTTTCATAGGCCAAATTGCCGAAGGCGAGGGCATGGCGATTGAAGACTGGTTAAGTAGCAGAGGTGAGGTGAGACTGAGTGATTGGATGGTTGGGGAACAAAGAGCGCTGAGCCACCAGGGTGTTATCATTGTTACCTGCGATAGGTTCTCGTGTATGATTTTTTGCAAGCATCGACTGATTAGGTTCCACGGTGGGTTCAGGTACGGAGAGTATAATTGGTGTTAAGAAATCGTGAAGGCGTCGGTGTACAGGCTTCCCGGATCAGGAAGCCAAGACACATACTTTGACAGTTGATGGGTTAACCGATGGGCGAACAGATCGTCGTTTCGTACCAGAAGTTGTTGAATGGCTTGGAAGGTCGACGGGTGAATCATCCAGTTGTTCTTCTTGGATGGGCGGCAAAATTAATAATCGGCGGTAGTGTTGTCCATACCTGTGATATGAGTGGACTGAATGGTGATTCCATGTCACAGACACCATTTCAAAAGTTTGGTTTCCAGTTCCACCAGTGGAAGGGAATTTGTCCCGCCCTGTTTGTTCATGTATGTCATGGAAGCTGTATTGTCTGTGCGGATGAGTATTCTCATTCTGCGAAGGTCAGGAAAAGTCTGCAAAGCGAGGAATGTTGCCTTGAGCTCCCTCCAGTTGATGGAAATTTGTGATTCCTAGTGTGTCCAATGATCAAATGCAGTTTTCTGTCGATTGTGCTTGAGCTCCAAGCTGCAGCTCCACCAAGTGTTGGTGGCGTCGACATACACCATTCGCTGTAGTGTCTATGGCAGAATACTCTTGCCATTCCAATGCATGATGTTGTTCTTCCACCACACAAGCTCCCGAAGATACTCTGCTGTTAGTCGCCGAGGTTTGTCCCAATCGTCCGACGAGCGTACCGTCTGATTTCTCATGCATAGGATATGTTGTGTATAAATTCGCGCTGGTAAGAGGGCAAAGGTTGCGACTTGGATGGGCATGGTGAGGCTGTGTATCGTACGAAGTGATTGAGTCGGATTCTTCAGCGCCTGTTGAATGCTTCGACGCAAATCTCGCAGTTCCTTCTCAGGTAGTTGTGCTGTCATCGTTTTAGTATTCAATAAGAGGCCGAGGTGTTCGATTATCTGTCGCGGCGTCAAGATGGACTTGCTATGGTTAATAATCCAACCTAATGACTCTAGTTTCTGGACAGCGAGTTGAGTATGTTGAGGCCTGGACGGCATTGTCGGCGATTATGATCTGGTCGTCAATATAAGCACTCAACCGGATTTGTTGTGCTCGTACCCATTCGAAGATCGGGCGAGTGAGCTTGATGAACAACCAAGGAACTAGGGATAGGCCGAAGGACGTCGTGGAAAACTGGTAGGTGTGTCCTTTCTACTGCAGTCGAAGATACGGGCGTGACTGGAAATGAACCGGGATGTGGAGACATGCATCCGAAAGCTCTATAGAGGTGAGATGGTTCGAAAGCCTGATTTGTTTGGCAACCTCCTGCAAATTCTCCATTTTGAAGTGGGGAGATGGAATGTAATTGTTGAGTTTTTTGAGGTCGAAGACGGGGCGGGACCCTCCGTTTTTTTTGGGAATTATAAAATGCTGCTGTAGAAGCCTGGTGTTGTAGGTGGAACCTCTTCAATCGCCCCTTTGCGGAGCAGAAGAGAGACTTCGTGGTCCAGCAATTGGTCTTGTTGTTGATTGTACGGAATCTTGGGTTGAGGTTTTGTGCGGAGTAGAGGAGGGGAAGTAAACGTGAATTTGGATCCGTGGCGAATTGTGTTGAGTGGCCACTTGTCGATTGAAAGAGTAGTTCATTGTGAAAAATACTGACTGAGACGACTCCCGACAATTGGTGAAGAATTTGTTATTGTTGATTTTTGTGGAATGGGTTGTTGTGTCTGGCAGGATGAGCGTTGTCGTTCCAAAATTGTCGGCCGCTGTTGGTGGTGGTAGGAGGATAGCCGCTCTTCTGAGAGGACGTACCTGATCGTAAAAAAACTGATGGGATGCGGCCGTTGAAGTGTTGTTGGTAAATGTACGTCGTTTAGAGCGGAAAGTGTTTGCAGCTCTAATCGCCTGAGAAGCATTAGTTTGTTTTACTATGGCGGCCTGGAAATCCGTGGGAGACATAATGAAATTGTGGTAGTTCGATGAAGCATTAGAAGAGAAACTGAGATCAATGGCTTGAAGAGCAGTAGTATTGCGCAAATAGTTAATATGACCTGAGACATTGAGTAGAAGTGTGCTACAGTCCTTAAGCATAAATAGGTAACGTTGTACGTTCTCATTGCTTGTGTCCTGACTGATTTCAAGTCCCAATACATTCAAAGGGCGGAAGACCTCTGAGACCAGGTATTAAAGACGTTTGAGTGACATGTCCTGTTTTGCTTGGTACTCGTTCATCTTTTTCGATGTGCGTGGAATCGTATCCGGAGGTTGGTATTGGAGGTTTTCCATGCTGGGATACTTGCCAATCAACTTGTGACGTGTATCATCGCTGAGTACAGTAGCTGGGAACAAGGGGGAGTCCAAGCCAAGAGTTTCTGTCAAAGAATAATTGGTCGTAAGTGGCTCCTCTTCTTCCTCTATGCTGTCTTGTTCCGGTGCATTAAACTATGTGGAAGTTCGAGCGCTTATATGAATAATTTGTTACAATTACAGTATGCGTTGCTGCATAGCCGGGTATTGGTCATTGGGAGTAACTGAATTTGGGTCCATAATTGCGGTATTGACCGAGCGAAAAAGAAGATAAAGTAATCATATTTAATAATTTTTATTTGAGTGTCTCAACCAATCTTTTAGAATTCTTTTTGACACTTGAATTCTGATTAAGCGACATTTTTCTCGGCCCGGACGACAAAATTTATTGGATTAACTGTACACTGCGTCACAGCTTATGGCAGATTTGTAAGTTTAAAAAAAAGCGAAAGATGTATCATATTCTGAATAAAAACCCTTGCTGTTTTTCTTAGATAAAGTGTGTGGTATACACACCACAATTGAGTGAAGAACAGACCCCACAACCAAACACTGGTTCCTTCTTGCTAATGAACCTGGCAAGTTAACAATCTCCGGAACTGTTACACACCAGGCACACGTACACTACACACTCATACAGTGTAAACCAACCATTACACAACAGGGATTTGAATTACAGGGATTTGAATAGTAGCAGATATAAACAATATTATTTTGTCTCTTTAATAAATAACACTCTCACAGTATCTACTTTTCCCATTATTGAGATACTAACCCATAAACAATCCCGAATACCTCAAAGTGCATGTCCTGAACTTCATGATAGCTATTTACTGAGTCTATCAATTGCTATATAAATAAACAAATAAATAAAGAAGCAGATGCGAAAACAAACTTTTGTATTAGAGCTATATTTGAGTTCAAAATAGATTATTTACTATTATTTATAAACCTTATATATATAGATAAAGGAAAAGAATAGGAAATGTGGGGATTTCATGTTTTATTGATTTTATTTCTTAATTTGAAAATAGGCTAATTATTGACACCTTTTAATTTGTGGCGAGTGCAAAAAAAAGGGGGGTTTACATATATATATATATATATATATATACATCCAAGAAATGAATTTACACAATATGGTTTGGAACACTCACTTTAGTGGTCTTCTGTTTCTCTCTCTTTCTTTCTTCTATAGTACAGTGAAGCCTTTATGGTTGTATTGTTTGGATTCTTGTAGTTTCTTTTATATCGACATAGTACTCCACATGCGAAAAATCATCTTTTTTTCCTTCCTTCACAGCTATATTGTCAAATAATGCAAACCGATATAAAGATAGCGATATAATCATTTACTAAAAAAAAAGAGGTGGGATTTACTAATCCTTTCTTTTTTTACCAATCATAACTAAGTTGTCGTTCTATTGCTTGAACATCAGCTCCATAAGGACCAACAAGATGACGGCAACTATCGACACGTAGGCTATCATCACTGTCCATAAGTTTTATATCATCTTCATCCATGTCTTCAGGCTCGCCTACAAACTGATTTGAGCCAACCAACATTCCTTCGGCACAATTATCAGATTCTTGAATGGGAAAATCTTTTCCCTGTTGTACAGCTGCAATGGCATTCAAATGCGCCTCGGTGGCCGAAGCCGTGGTAGGAGTTGAAATAGAACTGCCTGTATATCGGCGTTGTGGCTGGAAGTGTGGCTCAGAAGGTGGCTGCAGGGAGTTAGTCCGGGACTCCGTGCGGTTACTGGGGGTGTTCTCAGGCTTTGTGCTCTTAACAGCATCGATTATACACTGTCTTAGAGTATCTTCATCTTGAATACGTTCGAAACTCTCAAAATCAAACATCAAATTGCACTCTACTTCTTCGGGTGGATCACGCACCAAAGCCACATATGGGTGTTCAAGCGCCTCATTGGCATTTATACGGCGCTTGGGATCCAGGTGAAGCAAACGCTGGAGGAGATCAATACCTTCCGGCGGACATTCCGGAAAATGAGCAGCAAAGTCTATGGGTTCTGTGGGTGGTGGTTCTCCATTGACGTCGCGAAGATTCTTGATATAGTCGACTACAGATTTTGAAGCATTCTGATCCCAGAAGGAAGTGTCTTCGGGAAGACCGAGAATACCAACAATCTTGTGGAGTTGGTCCACATAATCATTACCTTTGAACAGTACTTTGCGTCCTAAAAGTTCTGCAAAAATACAACCAACAGACCACATATCGACTAGACAATTCAAAATCAAGTGAATACACACACAGAGAAAGAAAAATATACAAACATAAGCCCTTATTTTCGAATTTTCTTTATTTGATTTTAAGTTTAATACTATGCAACTTACTGGCTTTATCGTAACTGTTACGGCTCATCATAATTTCAGGAGCACGGTACCAACGAGTGACAACGTAGTGGGTCATTGAAGGTGTTTCATGCAAAGAAGATGGCTGAACAATACCTCTTGCCATACCAAAATCACAAATCCGAATATCACAGTTCTGGTTCACAAGAATATTGGCTATGAAGAATAAATAAATGGCAAGAGACCTTTACTTATCAGAAATCATTTTCCCATTTTTTTTTCATTCATTCGCTTGAGAAAATATTCATATTTCTTTGTCTGGTATGCTAGGGTCTCACCAGGCTTAAGGTCTCGGTGAAGGACCTATTTAATAATATTGTTAAACGTTCAGTATTTGCCAATTGATATTTTTATCTTAGGTAGGGTGTGGTAACTAATCTTACATGAGCACTGTGAATATATTTCAGGGCCGATAAAATCTGGTAGATAAACCACTGGTAGTGGACAGGCTCGAGTCCGAGCTTCGAGTGAATGACGTCGGCCATTGTGGTATCGCAGCATTCCTGCAAAAGGTAAATCTCATTGAAATTCGAGTAGTCAACAATGTCGAGGGCTCGGAGTCCAATGATGCGAGGATGGCCATTCAAGTGCTGTAAAAGCTTAATCTCACGTAAACATCGCTTAGTGACAAGTTTTCGGTCAAAGATCCGAAGACACTTTTTGATAGCAACAACTACAGGAATTGGTTTTTATTAATCTCTACTTGGTGCAGATATAGTAATTAACCAATGATGATCTATTTTTCTTACCTTCATTTGTTTCCACATGAATTGCACTGCAGACAGTTCCGTATGAGCCAGACCCTACTTTTCTAATTATTCTGTACTTTTTGTCAATGGTAAATGTCTCTTGGCCTCCTTCAATTGCCACTGAATAATACTGGTCACTAATGACCATTATAAACTATGAATATTACTAAAAGTAAAATATTATGATAATATTACAAAATTTTTGACACCAAAATAAGAGTAAAGAATATGCGTAAGAAAAAGTAAAGGTAAAAGTAAAAGAAAAAGAAAAAGGAAGAAAGGAATAAAAATAAGAACGGACGCTCCCCGGAAACAGTAACCGCCCCCCTCCCCTTCCTCTCTCTCTCATCTCTTTCTCTCTCTTTCTCTCTCTCTCTCTCTCTTTCTCTCTCTCTCTCTCTCTCTCTCTCTCTCTCCATTCTCGTCACACGCTGTGTATGAATGTCATATTCTCTCGCTTTTAATACTAAAAGTTCCCTTATTAGCAGATTTATTGGTACCGATATCTTCTTAATATAATGTAATAGCCGGGAACTTGGTATACACGTCAAGAACCATTTTAGTTATTGGACAGCCAAGGCAGCGTATCACCTGATCTCCCCAAGTCATCCTGTTTTTTTAAGTAACCTACTTTTTTGTACGTGTTACAGTATTTTAAAGCCTAAGACAGAGATAACATTGCATTTTGTCGTATTTGAAATGTTGGGTAAAATATGTTATTTTGCGGTAAAGTTTCTTTATAAATGGAAGGAGCCTCCAGGGTGGGGTAAGGAATATATTATCAGAATTGTAAAAGTTATCCTAGAGGGTTTATGAGCGAGAAACATAAAGATATACAGGACATTGACTAGTTATTCTCCTAATTCAACACACTATAATAAATAATAATAAAAAACACATCTCCTTTTCGATATAGATAGGAAGTATGGAAAAAGAAGGTCGTCTTATTCAAAAAAAAATAGTGCTGTGGTAATATTGTAGGTGCATATATAGTTATACTATAGGGAAACACATTATACATTGCGCACAAGTGGGTTACCCTATAGAAAAAAAGGCGATTTTGGTGAATTGTTGCGAGTTTTCCGGGGTTTAAAGTGTCTTATAGTTGAATTTTAATTAAGCACCGATTTCTCTCTCTTTTATATATCCCACTTTCTACGCCACTATGTTTTTGCAGTCAATGCAAAACATCTTTTTCTCAACTTCTTCAACCCAGTACAAGAATTAAAGACGATACAATTATTAAAATCTAATAGCTTACTAACGGTATCTTGTGTGAATCCTAGGCGATAACTAGGATGGAAAGTTTTTATCTTCTTTGAATTTTTGTTAGACTTTGTCTCAAACGACGACCCTCCTGAAGACCTTCTTTGGCTTGTCTTCTAGCACTTACAATTTTAATGGCACGAGTAAATCTATTACGGACAATATCACGTTTAATTAGGTTAAGTATATGCCAGAAGTTCAGAACAGCAGTAAGATCTCTATTCCACAAATTATGCTCAAACTGCAACGAAGCCATGTCCTCGAAACAATTTTGATTTGGTAAATCTGTATGGATTTATAAAAAGTATTAATAATAGAAAAAATGATGACTAGTTGTAATATTCACCTTAGAATACTATGACAGGTTATAGTCGGCCATTGAGTGGGGCTATATTAGCGAGGGTTTTCGACTTGCTTGAAGGTTCGAAGGAAAATCTGGAAGCACGAAAAATAGTGCTTGGAAGTACTAAATGTATCAAACAAACAAAGGTCAAATTCATGCTTACGAAGTAGACATCTAAATACTATACCATTGGTTGGTTCACGACTATGGTTGTGAGATACAGACCAGTTTTTCACCATCAATACAGAAGGCCAACAAAATTCAGAGCTGATATTGCTTGCTAGACATTTTTTTAGCTTTCGATTGGTTAATGTAGAAAGAAAGGCGAAACTCGTGGAATAAATATTGATGGCTGGATTGAATTTTGGTATTTGCGTAAAATAAGCAGAGGATAGAGATAATTACAGTAATATAGGCATAGTCGTGACAATAAATAAGCTTACAATTTTACCTTGTTATTTCTGTTATATAGAAACCAGTGCTATGATCAAACAGTAACAAAGAGACATCAGCAAAAATATCTTGCGTAATATATTTGTCAAGATCGAAGAATGGATCGCGTGATAACTTGGTAAGAAATATGTATCTCATAAGTGCGAAGGTGTGGGTGACAATTGTGTGGACTTTAGCGACAAGGACTTGTAGAGGTCTAAGGAGGTCTGGGTTACATCCTGTTGCCTTCCCTGATGCCTTGAAAGTAAGGATCCGGAATGGGGTAGCTTCGTTCATTGTCTTCTAGTCCACAATGGACTAGAGATATGAGGTTTGCTTTCTCAGTGTTTTCAAAAGTGACAGTTAATAGGGATCATATACTAAGAAATTGTGTAAGATTATATATCGTAATTCAGTTAATTGAGTACATAGCGCAACTTTTATGGTGTAATCGGGGATAAGTATCGAAGTTAAATTTATTTCAATTTTCTCTTGAGAAAACTCCGATAGTAAAATGCACACATTTCTATATATGGTAAACTAAAAATTTTAAAGGCATAAAAGGAAAAAGAAGTCACATTAGCATACATTTCCATATTGGGAAACATATTTAAGTTCCGTTAGTAATAATCGTATATGTTTTTTTTCAATTTCGTAAAAAAAGTCAAACTCCGCTGTAGATCTACCATTATGTCCCAACTTTGAAGGTATATGACTTTTTTATCTAGGACAGCCAGAAAAAATCTGGACCGTGGAAACAATAGGTGATGATTATATCTATCATTTCCACGGTCTAGCTTTACGATAACTTGATTTTTGCAAAAGTCATATACGTTTGAAAAAGTGCCAAAAACTTAGATGGCTATCTCCGATTGCACCATAGTAAGTATTATCGAAATGATATGATATTTAAACAGGTTGCAACGCTCTCGGAAATTACTTTTATTAAATGATTCGAATATGACAAGATACACAAGAAGTTCTTTCTTCTATCAATCTACATTAATGTTTTGTCCTTTCTTTATAGAAAATATTTTCTTCAATCTCTTTAAAGTTAGTTAAAAATAAATACATTTTGGCAGTAGTTTAAAGAAAAATTGACGATATTGAAATAGTAAAACAATAGTATCTTTTGAGCACTTTTACCTAAACAAAACAATAAAAAACCAAGATACAAATCAACTATATAAATGAATTGGCAGTAATAATAATCATGCATGCACCAATATTCAACTTCATAAAATTCAATATTACAATATTACAATATGTCTTTTTTATGATATTCATGTCTAGCTTAATACCTTCTATGTCTGTCAAATTAATTTTTAAAGACTGTAATATATATATAGAAGGTTTTTGGATAATGGTTATTGTTTCATAAATACTTCCATATTAAACTTCTTGTGTACAGTCTGTGCAAATACAATGAGGACATTACTTGTGTATTCAATTCAACACGTCTTTTCCGCCTCTCTTTGAAGCATGCATTTCTTCATTCCTTCTCATCCATCATCTTACTTTTCCTTCTCTTTCTCTTTCTCTTTCTCTTCCTCTTCCTTTGATTTCAACTCATCCTCTTTACACTGACCATCCTCATTAGCCAAATTCAATAACATACATTTTATGGCATCGGCATCATCAACCATTATTCTGCAATTTATATACTTTTTTAGACAAAAACAGCATAAATAATTAAACACGGTTATCAATACTACATTAAAATATACAAATAGTACTTTGCTTCTTTTCAGATTTATTCAATTAAACTAATTTCTTCGTATAAATGGGCTCTCCTAATTACAACATTGATATCTTCAATCAAGTAAAAAAAATGTTTAAAAGCGTGTTTTTTTTTATTAAAGTTGACAATAGCTAAGAAAGACTTTATTTATTTATTTAAAGATACACATAAAGAAACTATTCTATTTGATTTTATTTAATTTCACTTAATGTTCTTTTACTTGAGTAAAAGAATAAAAAGCATGACACCAAGTTCTTTGTCCCCGCATTACGCGGCTCAATCTCCTTCAGGACGTAAACCTGACTTGGTAGCGAAGGAGGTGCTGGAATGGTGGCAAACCAACGGAAAGCACCCGTTCATCCAGCCCCACATCTCGTCACCGAGTAATGTGGGTGCGAACTCGCCAGAGAACTTACCACTAGGTGATAAGGTCCAGCTCATTCGACTACCAGTAGCTTCACCGTCAGCCGTTAAAGAGTTCAGTCAAGTTAGCAGTGAAGAGCCAGCACATCTCACCACAGGTTAGGCCTCCCTCCCCCCAGCATCATGATTCCACATTGGCGATGCGATGTACACAGTAGTCTTTCCAAAAGAAAAGAGACCATGCCCCACGACTTCTCAGAATTAACTGAGCTGGCGAGTAACAACTTTCACTTTCCGATGCTTGTAGCATGGAAGAATCTCCCTGCAACGGTCGCAAGAGACGCCTCACTATGAAACCGGGACTGTTGTTGCTCAAGGAGAAAACAAACGACGCGCGTTGGAGGAGGTCTATAAGTAACAGAAATTTTTTTCATCTGCGATTAAAGGTTAGGACTGCGCTTTTTGTCAGTCTTAGATGTCCACGTCAGAGCAAACGTGATATAGCTGTATATTCTTTTTCTTGGGTTTGTGTAACTGTTCTAAGGCATAATAGACAGTTAATAATATTCAATTAAATTACTAGAGAATATGACTCTTTCAAAGTGAAGCAAAGTAAACCAAAGCAAAGCAAAGAAGCAAGGAAAGGTTCGGTATTGATCGGTGTAGCAATAACTCTCAAAGTGGAGTACAAGTTTCTATAACGGCGATTTGTAGGTTACTCTAGGCTGGTCTGTGCGCTTGTACGAGAACGCAAGAAAAAGCTTTCTTCTTTTGCCCATACACAAGTGGACGCAAAAGGTACCCAACATCCGCCATAAAATTAGTCAACATATATTTCAAAGTAATATCAAGCAGCAAGTAAAAAACAGAAAATAAAGAAATAAGTATATATATATATATATATATATATATATATATGTATATTATCGTGATCTCAACAGAGTAGGTGGCGGGATTCTGAATTCCAGGTTAGGTTTTATTGAAATGAGGTTATACCAGTGGTTCAAAGTGTCAAGATAATTTTTCAAGAGAATGAGTGATATATATAAAATGTTTGGAGATTATGGTGCAGAAACCAATAGAAACGTATAGCAGAATTAAGGGTTAACTAGAGATAGAATGAGAGTTGATATCTTCAATAGGAAAAATATAAAATACTTGAGACTCTGTTAAGGATTAAACAAAAAAAAGAGCTTAACTTCACATTCAGCTTACACAATACCAATATTGACTTGTTTATCAGTATAGTTAACTGATTGAAAATCTTAATGTCTTTTCTGCAGAAAAAACAGCCTGGTGCTTCGCTGGGCTATACAGTAAATTTTGTATTGGTAATGCTGCCTACGAACAGGTGAAGCAGTTACTTCAGCAGAATTTATAAAGAGAAATACCCTAAGGTAATAATACACTACGGGAAAAAATGCATGTCTAGAAGTATCTCTAGGAGTTTATGTTTAAAAAAACACACACTAAATCTGCCAATAAAGAATATATGAATTTAGTAAAGTAAAAAGAGATGAACGAGAATATCGAAACTCCCGTAAAGTTTTTTTTTTTGTATTTAGGGGAAGTTCTAATACCCAATATTGTTTCTATATTAGCATATTATTTTTTTAAAGAATCAGTGATAAAAAATATAACAATGACTGAAAATTCAGACTTGAGTAATAAGTTGTCATTCTCAAACGAACTACCTGTTTCTTAAACTAAAGCCTTATTTTGCTACCAACGATCATAAGAATATACATTATATTATATACCAGAATCTTTTGATTTTTTCTTTCCTTTATGTTTCATTTAGTACAGTAATACACAGTAAAAAAAGTGGAGGGTTTTAGAGCGTGTCTTTATCGGATTTTGCAAGATTTTAGGGTGATGTTTTGGCTGAGCCTCTTTTTCCCCCTTTCAATATGTTAATTTCAATTTTTAAACTCATTTCTTATCATTTTTCTATCGTTCTATGCTCTTGGTTGCTTGCAAGCTCTGAATCAAGGTAAAGCATACCAAACCTGTGTACCAGACACTGATTTAGTATACATACTGATCTAGAAGCATAAAAAAATATATTAAATAAACAGGGGGTATCATGCCTTTAAAAAAGCCATTATAATTTTTTTAAATGATACTATGCGTAAAACCTGGTAACAAAAGAATTGAATTTTAGAACACCATAATAATTTTTTATATCATAAAGAAGCTTACTTTTTGTTGATAAGATGAATCAAAAGATTGACGTTCACCAATCCAGCACCATCGAGCACAGACGTTGTTTGCACACCATCATATTGAGCTTGTAACAGATCCTCATATCTCATATCCACCTGGACTGAATGAATACCCCATGCCGAGTAACTTCCCTCAATAACCACAATTCCTGCTCTGTCCATTGACAGAATAATAGGAACGCGCTCAAAATGCTTTTCCGGGATGTCACCCAATGAAACAATAATCCCTCTATCATACAGCTGCTTTGCAGTATACTTGTAAGACCCATACTTTGGAACAAGGCCCTGACGCTGAAGCCCTCGGATGTGAAAGTATTGGCGAGTAAAGGGAAATACAAAACGAGATTTTTTGCCTCGCTTCACAGCCATGGCAGTTAAACAACCATTCAAATAACCTTCGTACTGTGCACCTTGATCGCGGAGATACTGCTGCTTCTTCACCAGACAGTCTAATGTGCGCCGCATAGTTTGGATCTGTTCATCTCGTTTAGCTCGACGGGAGTTCTTATTTGTAATATCATTAGCAATCATATTTATCAATTCTTGACAGGTATCATTTGTTTCAAAGGCCCCAGACTTCTCTAAGAGGTCAATAAACCCTTTCGCAATGTTTTTTAGCTGGTTAAAAGTAAGACTGGTTTATTTGAAGCGTTAGTTTGATCGCTCTCTAGTATATCTCATCACATAATATACCTTTTGATGTCCATAATTAGGCCTGAATTATCAACCTTTAGATATCTCTTCTTGCTCACAGCTGAGCCATTATCTAAAAACTCAGGAAACTCGACCTCTCTATATTCAGTCCACATGTATTCATGCTCAACTTCGACAGGAGTATTGAGGATAGTATATAAGTCAGCACCAGACTGGATTCTCAATACATGTATAACAATACGCTTGGCATTATCCAACATCTGTTTAAGTTGTGAAGCAGGGTTCTTAGAAAGGGTGTCTAGACGGCTAGTGAGGCGAAGAGTCAGGGTAGCGCCTTCAGACACATTGCGATTTTGGCTATCCGGAGCTGGTCCGAGATCTTGAAGGATGTCATACAAGGTTCCCTGTTCCTCGGGTATGATATACTTTGTGTGATCCTGAAGAATTCGGTGTAGGTGGAATAACTCACTTGGAGTAATACACACAATTGGTTTGCTAACGCTAGTCTGGTCCCCAAGTTGATCGATGCCAAAGAAAGTTTCTGGATCCTTTACATCCATAACTGAGGAAGTCAAATAACACGCCATCAATAACTATAACTTATATAATATATATTTTAAACTTACTTCTCGAAAACCATTCAGAGAACATTTGTGAAGCATCTTGCACTAATCGGTTTAAAGGGGAAAGATGATCAGCTACGTCATACAGCTTTCCACTCGAAATATTGTGAAGAACTTTGGAAACCTGCAAAAAACAATTAGAGCCAAAGTCTCGTAGTGTATTATATTGTAGAGTTATATACCTCTGCAAGATTCTGTCGTTGCATAGGAGTAATTATTGATTCGGTTACATCGTATTGTTCAGGAGCACTGAAATAGCACAAATAAAACATGAACCATACAATATTTGTTTAGTATTATAATAGCTTAACACGGAGCCGGGTTTGTTTTATGAGTCTCACTTACACAATGGCTGGATTGAGGTATCTGTAATAAATAAAGTTACCGATGACTTTGGTGATATACTCTCTTGACTCTTTGGGGAATGAATTTTCTAGTCGCAAATTAAGTTCAAGAGCAATAACACGAATTCCATAAGGAACATCATCAACTGCCTCCGTGATTGCTTGCATAAAGCCTCTGGTGACTTCTTGTAGATTTTGAAGGTGGTTGAAGAATATTTCCCTAACTTCAGGATCTTCTAATGCTTTTGCAGCACTGTCAGCTGGTACGCGACTTGATTTACGACCAGTGCGTGTTTCTTCATTGTTAATAGATTTTTGGTAGATCTTTACCGGATTTGTCTCCAAATCAATAAATTGATTAGAAATAATACTTTCAACGAGCGGACTTAACAGATTGCGGAAAAAGTGTCTTTCCTTGGCACCTCTTTAATATGAAATATTAGAGTAATATTTACAAAAATAAGCGCAAAGAATAGTTACCTATTTGTCTGAACAATAAGTCGCATAAAGGTATAATTCCCACGCATAAACTCTTGCGGGCTTCTCACTTGCTTTATCTCTTCCTTAATGCAATACTAAATTCCAATAAAGATTAATCGATGCATACACTTATTAAACCAGAATTAAAGGGCCCGAGTTTTATAATACTTGCCTTGCAGAGATTCAGCAGCAAATATTCTTCTCGAGAAGTCGTTCCGTAACCAAACAGAGTCAAGACAGTATTTTCGATAATCTTATTATCACTAAAGCTTCCTAACATGCCGCGATTTGTCATTTGTAACAATCGTGCCAAGTATTTTGGTTCTGTTTGGAGACAGTATACAAACTGTTGGTACACAATGAGTCGATCTCTGCTAGGCTTATCATAAGTAGACAATGAATGAAGGTTGATAGAGTTGTTTTTTGCCACCATTTCACTTAATCTCTTCTTCTCTTTCTTTTTTTTGAATATTCCTGAGCATTTCATAGCGTCCTCGATTGTAATAACGTTCTTCAAAAACAGAGAAATATGAACGTCTACCATGTTAACGTGTTCATCTAATTTTTTGTTTTCCCGAATATGCTCAATGATTTGCTGCTGTAGATCCTCGATTTCTAAATAACCATAGTCAAGATGCAGGGTTAATTATGATTTCTTTTTGTTTTGCTCAACCCACCCACCTTGCTCGCTCTCAAAGTCAAGATCACCATCAACTAGCATGTGCACAAATCGCTTAACTGTGCCAACTGAAGGGTTCCTATCCACGTCTTTTAAGAAATACACAATTTTATAAACATTTTGTTCATACCCACATACACACAGACTATATTTTGCAGGTAACTTACTAAGCCGGTGATAGGCATTTCCTTTTTGTCTTTTTCTGATTATATTTTGGGCAGTGATTATACTAGAAATATTGGAGAGATAATATTCCATCAAACTCTTTTTCTTCTTGCGTATGATAGTGCCCCGACAAGCTGCCTGAACCTAAATACACGCGCGCGATAGTTAAGAATTATTTTTTCTGTAGGTTTCATTCCACGAAACTCTGTCGAATTAATCTTATGATAATTGTATACACACCAGAGTGATCCATTCTTTTGAAGATTCAAATGCTTTGCGCTTTTCGCTCATATCACGTCGACTCATGTTTCCTCGAACGCAAGCCTGGACATTAGTGATTTGAGTAATGAAGAAATTTGAGCGGTGTTCCTTCTGAGTGGTTTGAAATTTTCTGCGCTCTAACCAAGTACGCACGTAACTCTGACACTTCAATAAATCGCGCATTATATTAGGGCTGTTCCAGTACTTCTCGAACCCTAAAGTCAACGAATGTTAAAATAATGAATAAAATATAGAAAAAATGGTGTATTCTGGTATTAGATACGATTCAAAAGATATTCGATTGGGTTTCTTACGATCTTCACTGCTCATAGGGGTGGTGTCATCTGAATCATATTCTCCCTCTCCTTCGATTACAAGATCCGGTGTTGAGGGATCCGACATACTATCTTCCAAGTAGTATGTGATTATATCCATCTGTTGGAGATGGTAATTGCTATTTACATCATCAAAATCTTCTTCTAGTTCTTTACAAAGTGAAGATCCAATATTCATAAAGTTTGGCATCGCAACACCGGCTATATCAAGCCCGCGCTGTGTTGCAGTCAATTCTTCATCTACACATACACACAAAGGGTAATTAATATCTATGTACAATATACTCAAACTTAAGATTTATTACTTGTGAACTGGAGCTGGCCCAAAAGATTCTTGATGTTAGGAGCCATGTTGCGCCTAGCCAACAAATGGCTATTATAAAGCAAACAAGAGGTATTATTTTGGATAAGAATGTCGCCATTATTCAATCAGAACTGGATCAAGCTGCTTTTCTTACCTGAGTGCATGTATACAGTAGATCACTTTTGGAATGTTCTTCTTGTCATATAGGTCTGTCAGTTCAAACCAAAAGATTTGAGGGAGACGGACGACCCTCAGGGCAGCAAAAAAAAAGTTGATGTTGTCTGAATGCTTGAATTGAAGCTTGTCATCCTGTTACAGACAAGATTAGCCGTGCCTTGTAACTAATCTAGGTTTGGGCTCAACTTACAATAAAGATCTTTCGTACTACTCCAGGTGCAAAATAATCTGCTAGCTTGGCAAGTACTACACCGTTACGCATAGACTCTTCTAGTTTAGTAATAGGTTCGATTTCATATTCAAGACAATCTTCGATCCACCTAACAATAAGCTCGTAAATATCTTGTAACTTAAACGGTAGCAAACAAAAGACAAATAAATAAACATTTACTCTTTAGCTTCGCCAATGTGACAGAGATATTCATATGCCTGCAAATTGTTTCTCTGTTTATCCATCCACTGACTGTGAACTGCACGGTCATCTTTCTGGAGACGAATTCGGCCTAATAATGTATTAATGAAAATCATCACAAAATAAATGTAAAGATCATATTTCACCTTGCATTCCTATATAATACAAAGAAAGGTACTTAATACACATTATTTAAAGCCTTGACGAAAACTATAGTATTTTACCAATAACATCTTGGGCATCGTCTGTGATAGTGGGTATGTGGAGATCTGAAAGACCTTTCTTGCCAGCCATATTTGACAAGCGTATAAGTGGCGTAGGATGAGACATGATCCTGTTTCTTGTAATAAATACTTTACTGTGTGTTTTAGAATAAAATATATTATCGTACTTATGTTTTTAAAAATAAGATAAAAATAAAGGGGGGAAAGGAGGGAATATTTAATCAAACTATTGATATTTTCAAGGTTACTTGATATAGACAAGCAGTAAATATAACAGAAAAGAAAGAGAAGCAAAATGTAGCGGGAATCTTTAAAGGGCCTTCTAATGTTCTCTTTCAATACCATCTAGATTGATCAGCATTCCTTAATTTTGGTGTGACACTTGGTGTGACACTTGGTAATATAAACCAGCAGAATATGACTTTTACTGTTTTTGCTAATTCAAAAAGGCAAGTTAAAGGTATTTCAAAGGCGACGTATCATCTTTTTTTATTTATTTTTTATTTTAAAGGGGTTCCGTAGCAGGGAAGCGAAAGAAGGTAGAAAGAAAAATAAGACAAGGTTTGGGTTGTAAAAAAGAAAGAGAGAAAGAGAGACGACGACAGACTGATGAGGATGGAATAACACAAGTAAACTACAATATACAAGACAAAAGAGAGACGAAAGAGCAAAAGCAAAAGAAGAAAACAGAGATTAAAGAAAGTAACGAGAGCTCTGTACCCCCAAATAAACCTTCTCATACATCTTGTATTGCTCTATGAGAAGACCATTCTCTCGCATTTCCATTTTTCTCCTTGTCTTAACTCCGTTGTCTCTTGATCATTGCCCACATTTCATTTTATCTTTGGCACTAGTTCAGAGTGCTGTTGACACACACAATGAAGTTAGTATTTCGCACAATGCCATTTATCATATACTTGCCCACTCTCCAAAGCTCGTGTTGCGAAGAACTTGACATCTCCATCTCCATCAAGGCTTAGCTTTACAAGAGCCGGCTTTATTGTGCTTGGGATCAAACCAGCCTTGTCTCCGGTCTGCTTCAACAGAGGAACCAAGGCTTCAAGAGATTTTGCGACACTGAAGCGGATATTCGGGATAGGGTCATCAGCCAATTTCATAATCGTGGGCAATACGGAATCATTAATTATTTCGTAAGGCAGTGCCTCTGCCATAGTCTAAAGAAATTAATACATGAGTTTTGTGCAACGTATACACGAAATTTAAAAACTTACAGTCAATGCAGACACCATGATCATTCTGTAGAGGTATTTCAACTCGGTGGCCATCTTAAGGACCTGAGGAATAATAGCCTTTTTTGCCCATTCACCACCAAACACCTCTGTCAATCTCTTCAGATTCACTGTGGCAGCCTCACGAATAGAGTAGACAGAGTCGCGGAGCCATGACATACACAAACTAAGAAGCTTTTCTTCAAAGAACTTTGCTCCAAATTGCTTAGCCAACAATGGAATATATTCAATAATGGCCAATCTGATGCGCCACTGCTTGTCTTCAGAAAGTTCGACAATAGCAGGAAGGAGTGCCTGTGAGAGACGATCGATACCAATAGCTATTCACAAAATAAAATATTAAAGTAAATCAAAGCAAATCAAAGCAACATTAGATACATTGAATTAAAACGCCAGCAATATAAAATAGTGTTTTTTTTTCACAATACCTTGATTGATCACCTCCAAATTGGAGATGACATTAAGTCGAACATCGGGGAACTCATCTGTCAATTGCTGCAAGAATGTGGGGAGCAAGAACTCCATAGTCCTAATTATTGAATGCGTTATATTTCCTTGATTGTCTTTGTTTGGTGTATCTTTATGCTTAAAATGACTAATACCATTCTTACTATTGTATACTTACGCTTCTTGTCCAACAATAGGTGCAAGTCCACTGATCTCCTTTGCCAAAGCAGCACGTGCATGTTGGTTCTCATCAGTAACCAAATCACGTACACAAGGCAAAAGGTTTTCGAGAATAACAGATTTCTCCACCAATTTAGCATAGCCTTCACGTCACAGCAAAAAATAATTAAAAAAAGATATCACACATAAACAGATAGATATATAGACAGATAAAAGCTAGACAAAAACTATAATGCAATGTAATGTAATTCAAGCTTACCAGGAACTTGACCAGCAGCAGCAGTTCTGACTTCACCTTCAGGATCTCTAAGAAGGTTGATAAATGCAGCTGTAAAGTGTTCTCTAACAATGGTCTCCCCGAATGCTTGAGAAATCTATCAATAAAACAATGTGTATATATAATTTAGTTTTTTCTTTTTTTTGGCAACCTGTTGTTCATTGATACTATTTGTATATTTGCTTTTTTACCTCAACATATTTAGAGGCAACCATATATCTAACACGCCACGACTTGTCATCCGCCAAGGATTTGAAGCTAGGGAGCAAGTGCTCCAAGTTCTGCTCAGGTGTGAGGAGCTTGGCCAGGGCAGCCAAGCTCTCAACAGTCAAGAGACGAACGGAGTCTTGGTCATCTTGGGCAAGTTTGTGGAACCAGTTGACGCTGGTTTCGAAAATATCTTCAGGCGCCACCTGTCCAGCCAGTTGCTGTAATACACAATATAGACAACCATGAATTCTGACGTCTCGGGTCTGTCCTTTTTATGCTCCACTTACAGCCAGAGCCTTTGCAGCAGCTCTTCTGACCATCGGACTATCGTCCTGTACCAACTGAGAGAACATACTAAAAGCTTTCTGATAAATACCAGAACAAAGAAATACGGGTCGTTTACTTGTCAGGCTTTTACCTAGTCAATTCAGCCTGGAGCTCCTTCGAGCTCTTTCTGTAGACAGCAGCGTACAGACCAGTAGCCGAAGTCCGACTTGTGAACCATTCGCCCATGCTCAATCTCTTCAAAAGGGGTACAAAGTATTCATTAAGCTGTCTTTGAGGAAGAACATCAGCCAATGTGCAGAGCGACGCAACAGCCTATAAATGTAAATACATAAAAACATATACACGCACAAAAAGCATCAGACAGTCTAAACAAAACTTTCTTTTTTCTTTTCTTTTCTTTTTCTGTGTGTCTATGTGTGTGGGATCGGAAACCAAGTGTTTGTTTCAATTTGTTGTTTTTGTTTTTTTACCCTGTCTCTAACTGTTGATTCTTCTACAGCAGCAATACTTTCAAGGGGAACCAGCAGATAATGCGCGTATTCAGGACCACCCACAGCGTCTGTAAGTTTTCCAAGTTCCTCAGCCAAAGCCAAAAGCACCTCGTCATCATCGTCAATAGACTCTAACAACAAAGCAAAAAAAAAGGAGTAGAAGAAAAAAGATTTCGTGTTGAATATTTTGCTTTATAGATTTGTCTATCGAATCTGCACATCCGTACACGCACATCCCACACACGCACATAAGCACACACACACATATATATATACATATACACGTAAACCCAAGAGAGGTCGACATAATCTGTCCCCCATCCCTCCTCTTTCAGGTTTACGTCATATTACTTTCACTTCTACAAGTGCCATCTCGGTATATGTTCATTTATGATGAACTCAAGATAGATGGAATCTGAAGCAGAAGAAGAAAATGCTCACCTCGCAAGAAAGGAATAAGCTCTTCTCTTGTTCTTTCTTGACCAAGAGCATCTGCGATGATGGGTAACTTCTTCATAGCATTCAAGCGCAATTGAATATCTTCATGCTTTAACTCATCAATCAGAACAGCTACGGAGTAAAGTTCATCTTGAGCTGGCTGGGTCATGTTAACGGGGTCTTCATCCATATATTCTGTAGGCGTCACGGCGTGTGTGTCAACTTCCATCGTGTATTCTTCTTTTGTTGTTACGAAAAAGGAGTATCAAGAAATTTAAGAGCGTTCTCTATAAATAATGCCTTATTCTTTGTACGTAGAGTGATGAAGTAGTCTCGCTTGAGAATACGGTCGTGGTGCGGGTGGTCTGGATAGAAAAAATATATATAAAGAAAAAAAAAGGCGCCCAGTAGAGCCAAAGTTCAAGCTCACGTGAACAAGCTAAATGCACCGGTACGCGACAGATGTGACGTACTACTTTCATTGAATCACCACAATCCAATCATATCTCTTGAAACACATTTCAAAAAGGAAAAAGAAATAAGGAAGGGATGTATGTGTATGAATGGAAGCTATACAAAAAAAGATGATGATAGATTTTCCATTGTCTGGTATTACTACTACTGCTATAATGGCATATTATGTGCATTGTTGCCCTATTGACGACTTTCATGAAGCATGCGTTTCAAGTTGCTCTACAATTAAGCGTATAGAAAGACCGATATATTTTATAGTGATGTGATCCACAGCCAAATTTCCATATTTAACAGTTTTATATATGTATATAAAAATTTCCTTTTTGTTTGCAAGAAAAGCACAGGTTTCAAAATAAGCTTAGATTAGATATTTATTACGTAAATTTTCTATAAATATTGTGTGTTCATTCATTATGTACATGTCTTTAAGTAAACCCCAAGTTTACTTTGTTGCAGTGTGTTTAATATGAATATGTGGCAATTATTTTCATGAATCCGAATTACTTGATAATTATTTTTGACTATTAAGATTTATGTAATTATGAGATATTTTATATAACTTTCATTATTTCTATATTCTACTTTTCTTTTGTACGAGTCTTTATTCCCGGGCGGTTTTGGGTCCCTCAATGACAAGAGCCAATTGGTGTTATTTACTATAACATCATGTAGTATATAAACTACAACTAAACAAGACATTTGTTTTAAACTGTGGAATTTTTAGGAAAGAAAGGGCAGCAAGCAATAGCTAGAAGACAAAAAGACATGGATCCATATCAACCATGGTTTACTTGAGTCAATTGAGAGCTTTAGATGTTGCTCAGGTACCACAACCAAAAAAAAAAGCAATGTCAGTGATGTTACCATACCGCTTGGAGTATAGTTCTCAGTATGTTCAATGCTTTACAAGTGTGTGGATCCCAAGTTCAAATACAAGGTTATCTTTCTAAAAAATAAAAGGCTACATATCTAAAGGAGCTTTGTATGCAATACTTATTTCTTCTAAGCAAAATAAAACTATAACATATCGCCTTTGGCTCATTTAATACTCTTTTTTTTTATGTATACGTGTATGAATGTATATATCATAAAATATGTATATGTGGAATAATATATCGTAACGATTTACATGATCTACAAACACACACACACATACAGTTGCGTGCAATATTCATGTGGGAGTATTACCAAGGGACCAAGGAGTGCGGTGTTACCAAGTGACGTGCTAAGCTCTACTTGAGTGTCCGTTCTCTGTCTGTCTGTCTCTATTTCTTTGTATTCGATCCGAATTTGTTGTACATATATAGACTTCTCCTCTTTTTTTTTCTGCTTTATTTTGGACAAACAATCCCTGGGAAAATAAACAAGTACCATACAATAAACGTATTTATCATGTAGGTTCTAAGCCTTTGAACAAAAACAAAAACAAAAATTCACATATATAAAACCAACTTATATTTAATATACATAATATACATACATTTGTATGCATGTGTATGTATGTATCTGGTAACCCTATGTTATATAGACTACAACACTTGGTCGACTAAAACCAGATCCTGCTCATTCTCATATATATATATATATAATAAGCAAAGACACAATCAATTATTCTTTTAATCTAATGAGTGCCGTTTTCAAGTTTGACGATGAAGGAGATCTGTCTGCTCTCAACATCCAAGATCCAATTGACGATCTCGAATGTATTCCAGAAAGTGCCTATTCCTCAGACACCGACACAGTCGAACCAACCCCTATACCTACTGACGAGAGATTGTACGAAGTTGAGCTCACTCTGGACTTTGTGTCTTCTTCTGTAAAGGATACATCCAAAGGACGACGTAAGGTAACCAAGAGTGACTTTGAGGTTCTTAAACTTCTTGGTCGAGGAGCGTAAGTCTAATTTTGTGTATATTTTTGTATGAAATTATTATTATTATTTATTTCTTATTTTTTATAATTGATTTATTAAACAAACAGATATGGAAAGGTTATGCTCTGCCGCCACAAGGAAACACAGCGTTTGTACGCCATGAAAGTCCTTAAAAAGGCCTCTTTGCTGGTACATGCCAAGAATGCAGAACACACCAAAGCAGAGCGCCAGATCCTCGAAGACGTCAGACATCCTTTTATTGTCCAATTAATGTACGCATTCCAAACAAACGATCGATTGTATTTGATTCTCGAATATGCCACTGGCGGTGAATTGTTTACACACATGGCCACAGGTTAGCAAACACAAACACACACACACACACACAATCCAATTTTGAGAAAAATACCATCCTTACACACAGCTGCTATTAGAGAATATGTTTTTGGAAGACGTAGCTCGATTTTATTTGGCTGAACTTGTGCTAGCACTCGAGCATTTGCACGGTCTTGGGATTGTTTACCGTGATCTGAAGCCAGAAAATGTATTATTGGATGGTGAAGGACATGTACTCCTGACCGATTTTGGGCTCTCAAAGGTGTCTTTGGATGGCAGAACGAATACAATCTGTGGTACTGCCGAGTATATGGCACCAGGTAAACCGATATTCTGTCTACGGGGTGGTTTATTAAATCGTGGTTTTTTGGACCATAGAAATCTTGCTTGAGATGCATTATGATAATGGTGTTGACTGGTGGACATTTGGGATTCTGATGTTTGAGATGCTTACTGGCACTGTAAGTATTTTATCAAGTAACAATCTGTGACTTATTACAATTGCTTTTTTTTTACAAAAAAAAAACTAGACTCCTTTTCACTCTTCCAACAAGAAAAAGACTTTGGATGCCATCAAGAACAAGAAGCTGCTTATACCATATTATATATCATCAATTGCTAAAGACTTGTTGATAAAGGTAAGTTATCTTTTTGTATCATCAGTCTCTGTTTTGTTTGTAATATATATATATATATACTTATATCTTGTAAATTATTTAAAGCTGCTTCGAAAGAATCCCAATGTAAGATTGGGAAATGGCGAAAATGGGATACAACAGATCAAATCCCATCATTTCTTCCGCAAGATAGATTGGAAGAAGCTTAAGGAACGCAAGGTGACACCTCCGATCTTGCCTGTTGTGGTAAGTTTACCGATGAATGAAACACAAACAAACAAAAAAAGAGAGAGAGAGAGAGCACCAAATCAAAAGCAAAACCTGTACAACAGAAACAGCAACAGCAACAACAAAACTTAAATTTGTTATCGTTAGACTGATCCAATGTTGGCCGAGAACTTTGATGAGAAGTTCACCTCAGAGGTTATCAAAGACTCTCCTGCTGGTACTCCCTGTTCAGTAGATGCAAAGATGAAAGATTATTTCTTGAACTTTAGCTATGTTGCCCACTCGCATGTATTGGCCAATGCATTCTCAGAATGACTTTTCAATTTTGAACCTGCTTTGTGCCGTTTTATTTTTATTTTCACTAGATCTCTAGAGGACCCTAATGGTCCACACCAAAATTACCCTTCTACCACTACTATAGTTAACATTATTTATTTTGAACCAAAATACAATATCTTTTTGGAATTTACCACAATGTCTCGACACTTTAATGAATACGTTTACGAGGTGTAAGATTAAGTAATCAATCAAGAAAACATACGCACTCACACTCACATGTGCTGTGTGTTGTGTGTTGTGTGCTCTGTGCTCTGTGCTGTGTGTACACTACCACAAGATAAATATCGAAACTCGTTGTTTACAGCTGTCATATCAAGAGGATTTTTTCCCATGTGGTTCACAGTATATATATATATATATATATATATATTAGAGCTTTTATTATTATTATCAAGGGTATAGAAGATTACAAGCAAGAATGCACAAAGATCTACTTTTTATCATATTTTATTTGCATTATAAATTGTTTCTATAGGAAATGGGTCATCGTTCACCCACGAATGATGACGTTATCTTGCTACTTACAGAGTTAAAGCTGCGGCTTTTGGTCTTGGCACCATCTTTTCCTCACGTTTCAGCATGTCAAATCAAGCCAAAGCAAGAAGAATCGCGGTTCTCGGTTCAAGAGCCGTTGGTAAAAGAAATAAAATAACAAATAACAGAAGAATTCCCTAGATGGTATCGATAACACAAACTCATGTGAGTCGTAGGCAAATCATCACTTGTGATTCAATTCTGTGAGAATCATTTTGTCGACAGCTACTATCCAACTATCGAAAATACCTTTACCAAGACTATTAAATACAGAGGACATGGCATGTATTCTTCAGAATAATCTTGGCTTGATTTTCTTTTTAATAAAGAAAAAAAAGAATAAGACGTTGTCATCTCGAGCCAAATTCTCTAAACTATTATTATTATATATATATATATTAAATAGAATATGTTGTTGAAATTATGGACACAGCTGGTCAGGTAAAATTAAACTTGCTGCATAAAGGTATTTTTTTTAGATTATTATTGTATTAATAAGAGGGTTGATTTAGGATGAATACTCTATTCTGTCATCTCATCATGCCTCAAGTGTAAACGGCTATGTTCTTGTGTACTCTATCGCCTCCCGCTCTAGCTTTGATATGATTAAGATTATTCGAGACAAGATTCTCGATTTCACTGGCCTGGAAACTGTTCCCTGTATTATTGTCGGTAACAAATCTGATCTGAATATCCAAAGGTAACCAGAAATCACATGATATTCAGCAGACGACTAAAACCACCACTACGCACACACAAAACCTCTTCTTAGACAAGTAACACTGGAAGAAGGAAAGGAACTTGCTCAGCAGTGGGCATGTCCTCATATTGAAACCTCTGCCAAGCACAATGAGAATGTTGGTTAGTTGAAACAAATACAAAAAAATAGGGTTTTAAAGTGCAGAGTGTACAAGAGAAAAGAATATCAAGACTAATTTCGTATACATTACATGATCTTTATAGCCAAGATTTTTGATATGCTTATTGCTTCTATCGAAAAAGCAAACAACCCTCCTTCTGAAGAGAAGAATGCTTGTTCAGTCATGTAAAAGCTCTTAATTTTGGTAATTAAATCTCTTCTCTTTTTTCTTGAAGAAAAAAAAGGGCACATTCTATTGTTATTATTAGTTGCTGTTCTTTTTTGTTGTTGTTACTACTCATGTTAAGTATAGTCAATCTTCCTTTTTTACATTTGAATATTTTGTACATTTTTTCTTGAGGATTTTACTCGTCACCATAATAAAGATCTCTTAAAAACAAGGAAAGCAGAGCAAAGCAAAGCAAAGCAAAGCAAAGCAAAAAAAAACACATAGAAAACAGAATATAAAATATAGTAAAAGAAAAAATAGGTCAAAATGTCAAATCTAGCTTTTTCTTTCTTTTTGATTTTAAAAATAATCGGCTACAAGTAAAGTTATAGGTAGGTGAATAATGCTTTTATATGCACTGGAAACAAACCGGACTCTCTTCTTCTTTTTGTCTCTCGATCTCTCTCTTTTTTTGTTACATCTCTCGATCACTCCCTTCTTCTTATTGTTTTTATTTTTGTGTGTCTGTGTTTTTAAGCCTTGGTGAGCGATGCAAGCTGATGGTCAACGACCTTGCGAATGGTGGGATCCAATGTGGCAGATGCAACTACAAATCGAAATGTTTGTTAATTAACTAATAAAGAAGTGCTATTTTAGTTTTTCTTTGTTTAAAACCTACCAGCCTTCTGGAAACGCTCAAGGTTGACCTTAAAGCTGGGGTGAGACTTGTTGATCTGAGCAGTCTTGACAAGACATCTCAAGGCCAAAAGCCATTTGTTTTGGCGAATATAGATTTCGAATCCGAGTGTGTGAGTATCAATTAAGTTGGGTGCCAACTGTTGAAGTGGCTTAACGAAATGAAGAGCGTCCTCGAGAGGTGTGGTGGTATTAAGATACTTTTCACCAAAGGGATCCTGGTCAACAGGCTTTTTGGGGTCTTGCTTCTGCTTCACAGCCTCTTCCTTTAATTGGGCAGCCTTCTTGGCTTCCTTGTCCTGCTGTGCCTTGAGCTCAGCCTTGCGTGCCTTGTTGCGTGCCTTCTTCTTCTCTGCCTCAGACATGCCAGTCTCGTCAATTCCGTTGTCCGATTGGCTAGGTTTGTCAGCAAGAGCAAGGTAAACCTGAACAGCCCCCTTTGCAGCCTTGACATAATAGGGATGGCTGCGGAGGGTGTCTTCACAACGCAACATATTGACGTATGCGCGAAGAGTGGCCTTTCGGAGACAATAGGTGTGGAAATCGAACTGGTCGTCAAAGATATCAGAGTAGAATTTATCGACAGTATGGAATCGCTTCAATGCCTTGCCGTATTCTTTCTTGGCAGCATAGGCATTACCTTCCTCTGTAGAGAACCACTGGCACTGCATATCAATCAAGTCCTGAAGAGGAGCAATATCGCGTCTGGTGAAAAGACCAACTGTCTTCTCAGCTTCAGCAATGTGTCCAGCTCTCAACATGTATTTAGCACACTTTGAGTTGATGAAACGATCTTGGAGATCCAACTTCCGAGCTTCATCCATAACCTTGGATGCCTCTTCAGCTCTTCCGGCGTGTTTCAGGATTTTTCCCTTGGTCATGTAGAGCTCGACAACAGTAGGTGTGTGTTGAATAGCTTTCTCGATGGTCTCGAGTGCCTTGTCGGTTTGACGATGATAATCGTAGTGCTGGGCAAGGTAATAGAGAGTCCAGAGATAAGCAGTAGGGGGCTCACGAGTAGCATCATTGCTCGAGTTAAAAGTGCCATTCTTGGCAAGAGACTCGGCGTATTCCAACACAAGGGCTTCAATAGTACGTAATTTTTCGGCATCATTGTAGTACTTCTTCATGCTGTTGAAGATTGAAGGAACGCCCTTTCTCAAAGATCCCTGCAAGACAGCATCGACCTTAACCTTGAAAGAATCACCCACAGCATACTTCAATGCGAGATCTTCGATGGCCTTTGAGCGAGGGTACTGGCTTCTCAACTCAGAGAGGATTTGGTTGGCTTCAGCCTTCTTGTCCTCTCCATCCAAACCGGTGGCAACCAATAGTCCCTTGACATATTGACCGTTGTAAGGGTTCTCACTGATCAACAAGCGGTAAGCAGCATCCGCCTCTTCGACCTTACCCAACTTTGCCAAAAATAAAGCGCGCTTCTCCTTCCATCCACTCTTGTCGGTAACCTTTGGTTCGATCTCGACCAAGTGATCAAGAGCAGCCTGATAGTTTCCACTCTCTTCGAGAAGAGTGTTGTGGTACATCAACAGCTCGGACATCTCAAAGGTCACAGGTCCGTCCATCTATGTTCTCTCACTTAATACATGAAACCTGTACGCAATAGTCCGCCTCTTTTGGCCCAAATAATATATGTATATGTAATTACCTTCAAATTATCCTCATGGGCCTGAAGAGTGGTTACGGCAGTGTCATATTCACCCACAAGCTGGTATGCAATTGCCAAACCGATCCAGAAAGGGGGATTGTTGGACTTTTGTTGGACGAGCTCAGAGCGAGTTTCCTAATACAATATTTGTTTCCATATATATATTATACCCCTTTTTTTATCAGATACATAAATCCTTGGGTATTTGGAATCTTATCCCAGGTCAAAAATCCAAAAAAAAAGAAATAAAAAAATTCTTACCACCAAAGCATCGTAGTGACGCATCTGTGTTTGCAACAAGGCAAAGTCGCGAAGGATGTTTATGTCGTTCTTGTTGTATTTAAGAGCATGAGTGTAGCACTTGGCTGCTTCTTCATAGTTCTTGTCGGCACGATGAAGAAGACCGTAAACGTGCCAACCTTGAAGAGAATATCGTGTCAGCTTAGGGACCTGTCGACTCGTTTTATTTTTCATGACATCCTATTGAACCTACAGATGTGGGACGTCAGGTCGTACCGAAGACCCTTTTTGACATACTCATAGCCCTCTTCCTTCTTTTCAAGATTGTTCAAAAACAGACCCTTCATGGCCAAGGTTTCTGGGATTCCGACATTGATTTACAAAATAGAAAGAAAAAAAATTAGGACCCAAAAAAAAGAGAGAGAGAGAGAAAATAAAAAAGCAAATATACATTATACGTATATCTTTTGCCAAATATTTAATGCTTCATTATATGTATGCATATATATCTTTTTAGCTTTTGTTATTTTTATTTTTATTTTTTTTTTTGCTTTTTTGCTTTTTTTACCTCCATGTTCGGGAAAACGTTTGAGGATAGAGTCAGCCAACTTGAGACCCTTTTTATATTGCTTGTGCTCATAGTTTCTCTAGAAGAATAAAAAAAAACATGTGCAGGTGAAATTTTAGAATTCCAACAATTCACGATTATGCTTTAAATTCGTACCAAGATGTTCTTGAAAACAGCGCTCTCTTTGGATGGAAGCTCTCTCTTTGCGTTCATCCTGAGCTTCTAAATTAAAAAAGTAAAATAATATATGCAGGCAGAAAAAATAACAGCAGTTCTCGACCTAAAGTGCGCCACCCTATTAACCCAAAAAATACGTGACGTGTCGATTTGCTTAGTGGAAGGAAAAGCTATTTGCACAGATTTGAGTTTTCCCTTTCGTTTTGGGAGGAGGATTTTATTTTTATTATAAATATATATATAAATAAATAAATAAATAAATAAATAAATAAATAAATAAATAACAGAGAACAATATTGTCTTTTTATTTTATCATTATTATTATTAAGTGAGATAAGCTTGTATTTTTGTTCTAGATTCTTCTTTAATGTACAATATTGAGTTTATATATATATTTTTGTTTATATTTACAGTGTAGGCGCCCTAGATCAGCGACATGCTATTAAAGGCAAATTTACCTACCGATTCTAGGGAACCGACCTTTTTGTCTGTTTTTTTTTGTCGAGCACGACGTTTCAATTTTTCATTGCCTTCCTGATTTCCCCTTTTCCTTTGGTTTTTTTTTGTAAACCTCTTTCTATCTGTATATCACCACAAGAACGTTTGACCTGAGCTAGGTAAAGATGAATAAAAAACGGTTTATCTTGTATAAAGACTCTTAATTCATTTAGTCTGCACAGAATACTTAAATAGCAATGCAATAATCAACTAAAACATTGGAGAGTTTAAGCATAAAGTGATAAATTCACAAAGGAAAAATAAATAAATACATTTGACAACTTCTTGTAGTTATTAAAGCTCATTAATTAATTGATTTATTTTTTATTTTTTTCTTTCTATAAAAAAAAATATGTTTGTATCTATCTATTTATATATATATATATAAAAGAGAAGGGAAGATGTGTAAATTCACAAAAGATTTAGGACCTTTTTTTTTTTACTCTTTCCCTTTCTTTTGGTTTGGTTTGGTTTGGTTTTTGTTTGCCCTAGTTGCGAACGGTACCCATCACCAAAGCCAAAAGAGCCATGCGGATATAAAGACCATGACGCATCTGGCGGAAGTATGCTGCTCTCTGATCAAAATCGATCTCGGGTTCAATCTCGTTCAAGCGAGGCAAGGGGTGCAAGACGATCATGTGTGCCTGTGCCTTGCTGAGGACGTTGTTGTTGATAATGAACGAATCCTTGACGCTGTTGTACTCGGCCTCAGTTGCAAACTCCTCCTTCTGGACCATTGTGACATACAAGACATCGGTGGTGCCGATAACCTCGTCAAGGCTGCGGTACACATTCTGGGTCACACCGGCCTCCTTGATTTCTTCCATCAAATCAGCGGGCATAGACAGAGATTCGGGTGAGACGTAGTTGATTGTGACATCGTAGTAAGCAAGGAGCTTAACCAGACTGTGGACAGTGCGGCCATTCTTGAGATCGCCAACGATAGTGATGGTCAAGCCATTGACAGTGCCGAGCTCCTCACGGATGGTGAACACATCCAAGAATGCCTGGGTAGGGTGCTCTCCGATACCGTCACCAGCGTTGATGATGGGAACCTTGGAGTACTTGGCAGCAATCTGGGCACTACCAGCCTGGGGGTGGCGGAGGATGATGGCATCGGCGTAGCAGCCAAGAGTGCGGACAGTATCGGCAAGAGACTCGCCCATCTGGACAGCTGAAGCGGCAGCGCTGACAGAAATTACCTTACCACCAAGGCGGTACATGGCAGCCTCGAATGAAGAAGAGGTGCGGGTAGAGGGCTCGAAGAACATGGTGGTCATGACACGACCCTGCAACAAGTCGATACATCCGTAACGCTCCACCAATGTGCGCATCTCCTGGGCAACATCGAACAACAAGTGCAAGTCATTGCGGTCAAACTGCTTGGCACGCAGGATGTGCTTGTTGTAGAAAGGCGAACGGCTGACGATGTGAGAGAGGAGTGCGGACAACTCATAGGTCTGGGGTTCTCTGGACACCAAGTTCTGGCTCTCACCACTGGCCAACTTGGTCAAATCCTCAACTGCACCAGAGGTTTCCTGGGACTTCTTGTAGGCAGACAAGGCGTTCTCGACCTTCTTGTTCTTGGTATCCTTGGCAGTCGAGTTGACGTCCTGGACCTGAACAGAGATGTTGCGGCCGTGAGTACCGTCAGAAGAACAGATTCCGTCCATAAAGACAGTCTTCTCGTTCATCACAACTCTAGAGATCGATCCACAGAGAGTACGGCCAGCAATAGGAGACCAGACAGAGGAATCGGTAGTCCAGACGTGCTTGCGGTCAACCTCGACTTCAATGAAAGTCTCGGGCTGAGCAACCAAGCCAAAGATGCGGCGAGGGTTCTCGTAAAGGCGGTCAGAGATGTCCTTGAGCTGGAGACGACCCTTGGAGACAGCATCCAAAAGGAGAGGAAGGGCCTCGTTGATACCTTCGGTGTTTGTGATGGACTTACCCATCTCCTGGGCCAACTTGCTGGGGGTCGATCCGATAGAGAAGCAGTCGATTACTTCGAGGCTCTTCCACAAAGCCTCCTGGTCCTTCTTGGTTGGCAAGAGCTTGGTGCTCTTGAAATCCTCAGAAGCGAAGAAGAGCGAGTAGACAGAGACATCACAAGATACATCAAGGCCCTTCTTCTTGCTCATAGCAATCAAGTCCAAATCGCTGCGGCTGGTCACATTGGAAATGTGGAGCACGCTATTGTGGAGCGAGGCAAGCAAAAGGATGGTCGCAAGATCGGTACCCTTTGCTTCGGTAATGATCAAGTGAGAGTTGGGCCATGAAGAAAACACAGAGTCAAACACAGACACTTCTCCTCCACCAATCTTGTCAGTGTTGAGGTAGACAAAACCAGCGTCTTCGGCAAGATCTCCAAGCTTGGAGGCATTGTCGGTTGTCGAGATCACGTTGAGAATATAGTCGGTGTGAGCAGCCTTGCGAGCAATGGCACCAGCAGCCTCAAGAGAAGCACTGTCGCGAATGTCAGAAGCATTGGCAGAGATGGTGGTGAATCCGGCAGTCAAGGAAGTCTTGGAAACAGCACCAAAGTTCTTAATATCTGACATATAAGCGTTGATGTTGAAAAGACCAGGAAGAGTAGCAGAGGTGTTTCCGGTCTTGTAGTCAATGGGTTCAATTTCGTAGATACCATTGGCGTTGCGAGCAAGAGCCTCAACAAAGACCTTGGCGCACTTGACGTTGGTCAGGAGAGGAATGTCGTAGTCAACAGCCATTCTGCGGGAACGGTAACCCTTGGACATGTAAGAAGCAGGGCGGCGGTAACGGTTGCGGGAAGGCAAGTTGATGTACATATCAATCAGGTTGTTAGCCAAGTGCTGCTGGAGAGAGTATTCAGCCTTGAGGATGTCATCTCCACCGTCCAACACTTCAAGGTACTTGACAGGAATGTTGTGCTCCTGGATGAAATCAGCGGTACCAGCGGTAGCAAAGAGAGTATAGCCAAGCTCGTGGAGCTTCTTTACGGAATCAATCATCTCCAATTTCTCCTTGTAAGAACCGATGGACAAAAGAATGTTCTTCTTGGGTACAGTGAAACCGGTGGCGATGAGTGCCTTGAGGTAAGCAGAGTACTTGTCCTTTCCAAAACAAGCGACTTCACCAGTGGAGGCCATCTCGACACCCAAAACTGGATCAGCACCAGACAGACGGCTGAAAGAGAACTGAGGAACCTTGACACCGACATAGTCCTTGGGAATTGTGACCTGAGGGTAAGGGGTGACAGGGAGACCAAGCATGGCATTGGTGGCCATCTCAATCAAATCAACGCCCAAAACCTTGGAAACGAAGGGGAATGAACGAGAAGCACGGACGTTGCACTCGATAATCTTGATCTCGTTGTCCTTGGCAATGAACTGGATGTTGTAAGGGCCGGTGATGTTAAGGGCACGGCCGATCTTGGCTGTTGCAATCTCAATCTTGCGAACAGTTTCGGGATCCAAGTCCTGGGGAGGCAAAACAAGGGTGGCATCACCAGAGTGAACACCAGCATTCTCAATATGCTCCGAAACAACGTGCATGATCATCTTTCCGTCCAAGGCAACAGCATCCATCTCGATTTCCTTGGCATCCTCAATGTACTTTGAGATGACAACGGGGTGGTCGCGAGATACAGCGGCGGCCTCCTTGAGGTAAGACTCGAGATCGTCCTTGGAGAAGACGACGTTCATGGCAGCACCGGACAGAACATAGGATGGGCGGACAAGGACAGGGTAGCCAACCTTGTTACAGAAGCTGTCGGCCTCATCGTAGCTGGTCAATTCCTTCCACAAGGGCTGGTCGACGCCAATTTGATCGCACATGCGAGAGAACTTGTAACGGTTCTCAGCATTATCAATCATCTCGGGCGAGGTACCGAGAACCTTGACGTTCTGACGGTACAAAGGAAGGGCGATGTTATTGGGGGTCTGACCACCCATAGCCATCAATACACCGGCAGAGTGCTCGATCTCGTAGATATCAAGTACACGTTCCATGTTAATGTTCTCAAAGTAGAGACGATCGGCTTCATCGTAATCAGTAGACACAGTCTCGGGGTTGTAGTTAACCATGACAGTCTTGATACCCTTTTCGCGAAGAGTACGGATAGCACGGACAGCACACCAATCGAACTCAACGGAAGAACCAATACGGTACACACCCGAACCAAGAACCATGACACCCTTGTCTTCAAAGGCGATATCATGCTCAACAGCATTGTAGGTCATGTAAAGGTAGTTGGTGAAAGCAGGGAACTCGGCAGCGACTATATATGTATTCGATAAGTATCATATTGCTATTGTTATTAGTGATAAAATATTAACACCTTACCAGTATCGATCTGCTTGACAAATGGAGTTACACCATATTCCTGACGAAGCTTTCTGACAGACATCTCATTGCTGTTGATCTTGTTGGCGATCTGGCGATCAGAGAAACCGAGCTGCTTAGCAGAGCGGACCATGTTTCCGGGAATATTGGCCTTTGTGAAGTCGCTGAGACGCTTCTCAAAGTTGACAATGCGCATCAACTTGTTCAAGAACCATTTGTCAATGCAAGTCAACTCCCAGATACGGTCGACAGTGTATCCATTGTTCATAGCGTTAGCAATAGCGAACAAACGCTGGTCTGATGGGTTGCTGAGTTCACTGTCAAGGTTATCCATATCTACTACATTCTCAATCTGTGTATCAAATGAAAAGAAGAAGATTAGTATTATTGTTTTTGTTGTTGTTGTTGTGAAAAATAATGTATTCATTATTATTAAGTTTAGCTTTAGTGAAAAGTCTAATATACTTACGGCTGAGAAACCAACCAAGTTGTAATCAATGGCACGGATAGCCTTTTGGATAGTTTCTTCAAAGGTTCTGCCGACGGCCATAACCTCACCGACAGACTTCATGGAAGAGCTGAGGGCAGTGCTGACACGGTTGAACTTCTTGAGATCCCATCTGGGGATCTTGACAACGATGTAATCGAGCGAAGGTTCGAAGCAAGCACAGGTAACCTTGGTTACACTGTTTGAGATCTCGTTAAGAGGAATACCGAGACCCAACTTAGCAGCGACGAAAGCAAGAGGATAACCAGTAGCCTTGGAAGCAAGAGCAGAAGAACGCGAGAGACGGGCATTGACTTCGATAATGCAGTACTCCTTCGAGAAGGGGTTGAGGGCATACTGGATGTTGCACTCACCAACGACACCCAAGTGACGAATGACATTGACGGCAGTGGTACGGAGCATGTTGTAATCCTCGTCAGACAATGTCTGGGAAGGAGCGACGACAATGGAATCACCAGTGTGGATACCAAGAGGATCAAAGTTCTCCATGTTACAGACAGTGATACAGTTGTCTTGGCAATCACGAACGACCTCGTACTCGATTTCCTTCCAGCCCTTCATGGACTTCTCTACCAAGACCTGTGGAGATGTAGCAAAGGCCTTGTTACAAAGAGCGATCAATTCGGCTTCGTTGTTTGCGAATCCGGAACCAAGACCACCGAGAGCATAGGCAGCACGGCAAATGACAGGATATCCGATGTTCTTGGCAGCAGCGAGAGCTTCATCGATCGAGACGGCAGATGCGGAGGGGGCACACTTTTCGTTAATCTCGAACAAAGCCTGGGCAAACAGATCACGATCTTCGGTGGTGATGACGGTGTCAATCTGGGTACCGAGGACCTTGACGCCCAAACCCTCGAATTCATCCTTGAGCTTGATACCAACATTGAGTGCAGTCTGGCCACCAAAGGTGACATAGATACCGTCTGGCTTCTCAAACTGGATAACCTTGCGTACAAAGTCGGGAGTGACAGGAAGGAAGTAGACCTTGTCGGCAAGACCCTTGGAGGTTTGGATGGTGGCGATGTTGGGGTTAATCAAGATGGTGTAGATACCTTCTTCCTTCAAGGCCTTGATGGCCTGGGAACCAGAGTAATCGAATTCACCTGCTTGGCCGATAGACAAGCCACCGGAACCGAGAACGAGAACCTTCTTGACTGAAACTCGGGGGTTCATTGCAATGTTGTCAGCCTTGAGTCCACCTGGCATTACGATGGGGGAAAGGGCTCCGGTTTCAGCACATTCCTTTACGCTGTCAAGGAAGACGTCGAACAAGAACTCGGTATCGCGGGGACCGGCAGCTGATTCAGGATGGAATTGAACAGAGAAGACGGGAAGTGTCTTGTGAATGATACCCTCATTTGAACCATCGTTAGCATTGACAAACAGTTCCTTAAAGTCAGCAGGAAGAGTTGCGGCGTCGACTGCGTAACCGTGGTTCTGGGTTGTGATGTAGCATCGGCCAGAGATTTGATCGGTGCAAGGGATGTTCTGACCACGGTTACCGTACTTCATCTTGGCGGTCTTTGCATTGGCGGCAAGGGCGAGGATCTGGTGACCAAGACAGATACCAAAGATGGGTTTCTTGATGTTTGTGAGGACCTTGCGGAGGTTGTTGATGGTTGTCTGGACCATGGTGGGGTCACCAGGACCGTTTGAGACAAAAAGACCATCGTAGGAGTCGACGGGCTCGGCTGTGAAGTCGTAGTCCCAGGGGACGACCTTGAGCTCTACACCGCGGTAAACAAAGCAACGGATCTGGTTGTACTTCATACCCACATCGACAGCAATGATTCTGAGAGTGCGACCGGTTGATGTCTTGAGAGCCTTTGAAGGCTCGGGTTTGTAGAGCTTGGGTTGTTTGATTGACACATCTGCGACAAGGTTGCGCTCGTTAGGATCGACCCACTCGACATCGTTGTAATCTTGCAGCCATCTGTCGGGGTTGTGTTCTTGCTTGGAGAGACCGAGTGCAGATGCAGCCGATTCAATTAAGGAGCTAGAAGAAGTAGACTTGCGGAAGAGAATCTTTCCCAAGAGAACACCTTGGTTTCTAATCTTCTTTGTCATTGCGCGGGTATCGATTCCATAAAGGGCAGGCACATTGTTTTCCTTGAGCCAGTCTGAGAGAGAAGACTTGGCCAAGTAGTGAGAGTAATCCTGTGCGTAGCTGCCGACAATCAAACCAGCAACATGGATTCTGGATGATTCAAAGTATTTGGGAATTCCTTCCAAGTACTCTTCCATAGCCTCACGTGAGGGTACACCATAATTACCCACCAAAGGATAAGTGATTACCAAGATCTGCCCACGATAAGATGGATCTGTCAATGATTCTGGGTAACCAACCATACCTACAGAATTTTTTATAGATACAAGCAAATAATGTAAATATACCACATACATAATATATAATTATATAATTATAATTTATATAAAAACACACACAGAGACACACAAATATTATCATTATTATTATATATGTGAATGACAATTGAGGGAAAGGATTTTTGTTCTATGTGCTTAAGAAGAATAATCTTAAAGAAAGCTTACCGGTCTGGAATACACATTCGCCCGAGATACTCTTTCCCTCGGCACCAAAGGACACGCCCTCGAAACTGGTGCCGTCCTTAAGGACAAAAGCAGCTGTGGTTACATCTTTAGGGTCTTCGACGGCAGCGGCAATACGCTGAGGGCCTGAAGGAGAGCGGGGAGAGGTAGAAAGAGGGGTTGCACTTGTGGCAGGTACAGGGATTCTAGTGGCAGACCCAGTGTAAGGGGCAGTGCCACCGTTAGTAACAGGGGGGATTGGAAACTCTGAAGGCATATCTGACAAGTTAATGTTTCAGGCTAGGCAAAGAAAAGAAGAAAAGATAAAGAAGCTCTTCTGGATCTACCTATATTTTTTTAACAGTCACTCCGATTACAAGGCTATATCAGTCAGAAAAAAAAAAGAAAGAAAAAAGAGTGTCACATTGAAACAATCCAAGCAAAAAAAAAAAAAAAAAAAAAAAAGTAAAAGTAAAAGTAGAAAAAAATTAAAAAGTTAGAATTTGGTATTCAATTTTTCGAATTTTTTTTTGTTACAATCATGTTGGATTTGATCCCGATCTAAGTGTGATATAAGAAGAAAAAGATAAAAGATAAAAGATAAAGACAATTAAGGTATATCTTCTTGTAAATCAATGGATTTAAACCCCAGAACTTTTTTTTTGGGTAATGATCTTGACAATAGTGAAACCTTATATCGAAACACACAAAGAAGTCCCTCACATACACTATGCACACGTGTATAGAGTTACAGATAAAGATAGAGTGGTATACAGACAAACTAACAATGATACACCGAAAAGCAGAAAAGAATAATTAATATCTGATAGATACTTTATGATCTTTGACACCTGATAGGGGGCAGATAATAGATAATAGATAGTAGATCGTAAATCATCGATCATCGATCACAGTAACAATATAGTGTCAGTTGCTGTTTCAAATTCAGGTACAAAAGGATTCTTACAACACTCACACACAAATGTTAGTAAAAATGAAAATCCTTTATTTTATCTCTGTCTTTTAAATTCCAATGGTTTATTTTGTTTTTATTTATCTATTTTTGACACTCAGAATCTTATCTGCACCGACCGGTTTCAAAGTGACACTTGATATTGGTTTTCTTTCTTTCTCTTTTATGTATTCTTATTATTTTACGCCTTAGATCTAGATGTGTCTATCTATTGATTGATTGATCGATTGAACTTGTGTTCCTGTGAATTGGTCTTTGATATCACACAATAAGAGAAAGATGAAGTTTGATGACGAAAGACAAAATCCTAAAGAAAGAGGAGTAAGAATAGACAAGCTAAATATAAAAGACAACCAGACCGTCTTGTCACCACCACAGCCATATGGCCGCTATTGCACCAGGTAAAAGAAGAAGTAGAATAAGTAGAAGGCTGCACATCCAGAACAACAACAAAGGATTTTGTGGGGTATGCTGAATTGTGTGTGTTTGGTAGGCGGGTAAGTTGGGACAGATTACAAGACGATCGAGAAGAGAGTTTATCTTGGATCTTTACTAGCAATACATGCATCCATGCATATATGCATCTATGCACACAGACAAATATAGAAGCAATTATGTCGACAGTTAAGTATAAAGTGGTCAGAGGTGTCGTCATTGACAGAAAACTTGTTTGTTTCTTGAAGGGCAATGGTTGGGGTATGCAGATTGCTTCTTGGACCTTGCTTTCCCCACACTGTATGACTTATGCAAAGTCTGATATTATTGATAATAAAGCTGCTTGTTTAATGATCATTATTCCTTTCATTTTTTTTTATATGAGATTATATATTTGAATACTGCTTATACCATGCCGGTCTAACAGTGGGTAGATTAAGAGATCTAATCTCCTAATGTCAAAAAAAAAGACAGCAATTGATCTACTACAGATCCTCATCAAACTGCAGATTAGCGTAGATCAAGCGGTTTATGACGAGACTTGTAGAATATAATGTTTTTATTGTGCTGTACTGTGAGGGATGCTGTACTGTGAGGGATGCTGTACAAGATACCTGCGTGTTTGAACATTATAATACATATGTATGGTATAGTCATTACCTGTATAATACTTGTGTTTGTACTACAAACGTCAAATCCCCATATATTTTATATTATAAACTCAGTATGAATATATTTTTTGGGGACACAATAAAAAGATGAAAAAAATAAAAAAAAAATATAATACATGTATATTTTTTATTTTATAGCTCTATACAACTTTATAGCCTATATTTTATGTATATAAAAAACAAAGAAGAGGTACAGAAATCGGAAAATATACAAGCAAAATTCTCTTGTTCTAGAAGTGTTTCACAATTTGAGGAAGAATTACACATCATTACGCATTGAACAGCTGAACAATAGCAATAACAATGGTAATATCAAAAGCAGAAGCAGAAGCAGAAGCAGGAGCAGGAGCAGAAGCAGGAGCAGGAGCAGCAACCAGGCATTGGCAGCAGTAGCAGTAACAGTATATAGATACCCTTTTTTTTTAGAGGAAAGTTCCAGTTACTCTATAGTTTCTTTTTAATGGTGCCTTGTTGAATAGCCGAAAATAAATATAAAAAAACTGTGCGTAAAGACAAGCCACACACTGAGATTGTTTTTCTTTTCTTCTTTTTTTTTTTTTTTTCTTGGAAATTTTTATTTATTTAAAAACCGATCACTAGAATGAATGAAAATGACTCTTAATTTGTAACCACATGTCACATGTTCAAATTATAATTGTAATTATTTTTTATTTTCCTTACTTCTGGGATTTTGAATCCCCACTTTTATCTTTTTTTTTTTAATTGTTACACTTATTACTGCTTTTACATATTAGGTAATATATATCTTGTTACAATCACATTTATCACTTCACTTCACTGGACTAAATCACACAGTACATATAATGTATATTATATATATATATATTTTTACATTTTTAATATCTGACTAGCAAATATTCTAATAATAATGCTGTTATCTATAAAGTAAAATTAAATTAAATTAAAAAAAAAATAAAGATAAAGAGTTTAAACATCGATTAGAATCCAATCTTTTTTTATTTATTTTTTAATTTAATTTAACTCGATGGAATGGAATGAAATGGAATAGAATTGAATAAGCTGGTATAATATAAATAAATAAAGTTCGTAAAGTTACTTTGAAAGGTAGTAAAATGAAGTTTTAAAGAAGGTCAAAGAAGATTAATAATTTTTGGACAATTGTAAAATTGACAGACTTTTTTTTTTTAGAATTTTTTTTAAATTTTTTTTTAAAAGAGGTCGAATGTAATTTATCACCTATCAATGATAATAGTAGTAGTAGTGTTGTATAAATTCCCTGCAGTGCTATATATATATTTATATATCTCTCCATCTATTTCTATGGCAACGCTTATGTTGTCTTATTTAATCTTTCAAATGGTTATCATTTGTGTTTGAACACTTCTTTCTTTAAAAAAAAACTATTCAGACTTATTATTTGATGCTGCTTTGACCGAGTTCAATTCAACCTTTTACATATATCTTAAAAGATTATTTTTCTTTGACTGAACCTGTATGTGTAGCTGATCAAGATATATTGTTTCAGTCATAATATTGCATATATCGCATGTGTCTTTATCAAGCCCTCATATAACAATAATATATAAGCTAAAAAAAAGGTGGGGGGGATCAAGAAACTTGCTGAGAATCCTTATGAATAATAATATTAATAAAGAGAGAGAGAGAGAGATATCAAAAATAATAGTAATAAGAAAATCAAACAGATTAATATATATATATTTGAGAGACAAGATGATATTGGTGGTACCAATAAAGTAACTGGTAAATTTTGCGAATCTTTAAAAAGACACTCCTAGTTTGCTTTTTCTTGGATAAAACATGAGGTGAAAGAAAACTATATCTGCAGGTGCTTCACTGTTTATGCAACTCTATCTGGTCAGATATTGAAGAAGGATATAAGCGACTCACATACACACACACACAAAATGTTTATTCTTCTTCTTCCAGGTATGATAATTACCAGAAAATGATAGAATACTTTGAGAAACGACTAAGCACTTGTATTTTCCCTGAATCAAAACAAAAAGAAATTTTGGGCAATAAAATCGTATCTGTTTGAAAAAAAAAAAGACAAAAAGAAAATTAGAAATAATTTATATATCTTTACGGGGGGGAAGGTGAGGGAAAAACCAAGTTAAAAAACGACTGTTTCAAAATTGCTTCTATTTTCTTAAGCATGGTTTTTTTGTGATTTTTGTAAAAAAAAAAAAAAAGGGGGGGGGGGGGGGATATGATCCTTCAGAACATAATCTTCTGTTACTGTTTTACTTTGTTTTTTGTTTGATTTTGGTTATTACTATTTTTTAACACAAGACATTTAGAAATTAAGTGCAGGCAGAAAGATAGAAATATGGAGACTTTACAAAGCCCTTTTTTTTAGCATTATCCGTTTAGATACTAGGGACCAATTGCTTACTAAAATACAAATAGGTACAATTACGAATCTGTATTGGTTAATGATGAGCAATATATATATATCTTGTGAGAATATGAGAATATGATGGTTTCGCTAGTTTGTCTATTATATAATCATAAAATCAACCAGGACATTTTATTATATTATATCCACCCAAACTATTGCACCCCAGAAGTCTATACTCAAATGCTTAAAATCTGTACTACAATACAATACACTATGATATAAAAAAATAAAAATAAAGAAAGTGTAACTGAAATAAGGAGAACAATTTATTGAAGAAGAATAGTAAGAAGGGCTGTGTTGTCTAAATATCATCTTGATCTCCGAGATCTAAACAATTACTGACCGTATCTTTATTTATTTATTTTTTTTTAAAAAAAGGCAAAAATTAAGCTTAAACGTTACCAGCTTGTTACAGATAGCTTTAATTACCAAATATACAATAAATATTTATATTCTTATTTTGTTTGAAATCAACTCAAACCAAATACAAATTGGATTTTGAATTATGGGATTGTTAAATGAGATTTAATAAGTGAATATTTATGTATTCGTGAAAGGGTTGTTCTTGTACAGATAATAGGTTCCAGGAGATCATGCAAAAAAGAAAAAGAAAATGAGATATATTTATTTAATAGTACATGTGAGTTGAATCTCCTTGAAAATGATAGCAATGGTAATAATAAAGAGCTTAGTAATTTTTATAAAAGCTGATCAATAAATGGATAGATAAAAAGACAACCAACAATGTAATTGAACTGCGTTTCTGCGTAGGCAGAAACCTATTGTTATCATTAATATCATCATTGTGATTATTATGGAAATTTTGCTTGAAATTAATCGATTAAATCAAGATTATATACGAGTGTGTGTGCGTGTGTTTTATATATAAAAAAAGAATTAAAAGAAAGAAATCTTGCTGCTGTCCTACGTTGCTCAGACCTCTTTAATTCTTTGGTTCAAACCACTTTGCCTCAAAAGATTGCCTGTTTAATCGACAAATATGATTGGGCCAGTCAAGTTCAGTAAATTCATAATTATATTTATATATCTATAAAAGAAAAAGAACAAAAAAAAAGGCACTGAAAGAAAGTTTCATAATTTTAATACAACTCAGTTCAATAACTAAATAAAAAATAAGGGTACTTGTTTTTCCCCTTTATCCCCTACCCATCTTCTTTATCTATTTAGCGTATGTGCGTGTGTGCGTGTGTGCGTATGTGCGTATACATATGTGTGCTTGTTTGTTTGTATTAATGACTCAAAAACCTACAAAAGAAACCTTTACTTTATATCCAATTAGCTTAAACAAGGCTGCAAGCTAAAGCAAGCTATTATGTTTGAATATCTCAGGATAATCACTCTTTCTCTCTCTCTCTCTCTCTCTCTTTAGAAATGCTTATTATCATTATCATCATCATTAGTTTATAAGATATATATATATATATATACAATTTAATATGCTACTCACCCAAAAATAGTAAAAGGGTGGTGATTGGAAGATCTAATAATGAACCACACAAAAAGTGTTCTTGTAATTAGAAAAAGAATCAATGCTAATATTAATATATACAGAGAGAAATAGAAAGGTATAGATGGTAGGGTAGAAGTAAGAGTATGATCCAACTATATGCAAGGGGAAAGAGAGAAAGAGAGAAGAAAAATAAAGACTGAGATGACATTAAGGTACTTGAAAACACCCTAAGCAGAAATCAATCATTATTAGCTAAAGTCAATAGTTTAATCTAATGTTGTTGTTTTTCAGTCATTAGTAGAATATCAGCCCTAATTGACCTGCTGTTAACTTGTAATCACCAAATCCAATTCGGTCCAATTCAACCCAATCTAATACAGTTCGATCCAGTCAATTCAATTCACTTTAATTCAATTCAATTGAAAGAAGCTATATTAGTCCAATTAGAGTACAATGAATTCCTATAAGTCTGTGCTGTATTTAATGCTCATCTATCGCACAAATCATCCAATTCCAACCCACATTAGCATTAAAGCAAAAAAAAGCAAAACGTTTAATTATTTAATTATTCAATTATTTAATGACTTGCGTTTTCCCGCTCCATCCATTACCTTTCATGTTAAACTGGGAAAGGAAGGTTGGTAATATCATGAGTTTACAGCTCAGTTCACTATGGAACCGCCTATATGGTCGCTTGGCACTCCGAAATCTTTACAAGATCGTTATGACAGCACACATATGAACACATTAGACACACAACATATACTTGTTATTTCTATACAGAGCAAAACCAAATCTACCAAAATCCCTTATTCAAAGACACCTAATTCTTGTCATCTAAAGAGAGAAAATAAAATAAAATAAAATAAAATAAAATAAAATAATATATAAATATATATTAACTCGTATATAACCTTTCTTTTCTCTAATTTCTTTTATCGATTTGTTTCACTTTCATCTTTACCCAAATAACAACAAAAACAAAATTCAATAATAACAATAATAGCAGTAGTAAATCAATCCAATGCATTCCTTTATTCTGTGGTCATTTTCTGTCTTTATTCTACTACAAGCCATGTTGAGCACAGTCGTAGCCGATGACTCTCAAGAGTGGGAATTCGAAAATTGGGACGATTACGCGCATGATTCCTTAGCTCCAAAGTCCAGATGGTTGCGTGCCTGGGGTGTGCCCGAAAAACACGGCTGGAGCTGGCCTCAGCATATCACATCAAAGACAAGCAACTATGCTGTTGTCTCGGATCCCGCAGATTCTGATGGCTCAAAAGTCCTTCGAGTAACATACCCAAAGGGCTCAAGAAACCCTCAGTATTTTCCTCAGGGCGGTATTGGATTCTATGCTCAACCGATTGAGATTGACGACACTGTACAGACAGTTATACTGGAATACCAGGTCTATTTCTCAAAAAAGTTTAACTTTATGAAAGGTAAATTTAATACAAATTCCAACTGAATAAAGAGCACAGCACAGCACAGCACAGCACAGCACTAAAACAATATAAAATCAAATTAATAATCTTACTATATCTGTTTGTGACAGGCGGAAAGCTTCCTGGCATATTTGGTGGAAGTGGACAATGCTCTGGTGGAACCAATTCAAGAACATGCTTTTCTACAAGGTAAAGAAATTGAAATTTGACTTTTTCTTTTTTTTTTACATATATGATCTTATTGACATAATATACATATTGTAGATTTATGTGGCGTAGAGGTGGTGCTGGAGAAGTGTACTCTTACATTCCCGAATCAAAGCAAAGACCCGGTCTTTGTGAAGAAGAGGGCAATATCTGTGACCCTCACTATGGGTATAGTCTTGGACGTGGCAACTGGAGATTCAAGACTGGAGTCTGGACTACCGTACGCCAAAGTATTACACTCAATACACCAGGAGAATTGGATGGCCACATCAATGTCGATGTCAACGGAGAAAGAGTCTACAGTGAAGAAAGAATGGCCTTTCGTGAGAGTCGTACTGGCCAGAATATGGGAATTGGTAAGAAGAGAAGAAAGGAAGAAGGAAAAGAAGAAAGGATAAAAAGATGAAAGAGATAAAGGAATAAAGGGTAAAAATAGGGGAAAGTCTTTTTATTATTATTATTATTATTGATACTATCATTCAGTTACTACATTCACTAACATTTCCTCACAGTATTTCAATCATTCTTTGGTGGATCAGATGAATCTTGGGAATCTCCAAAGAAACAACACACATACTACAAGGGGTTCATTTTCGAAACCTCAACATAGACTTTTTTTTTTATATTATTATTATTATTTCATTTCATTTTTCTAGACACCTTACACTTATTCTTATTATTACATATATTTAATTGTCAGCTTGTCCTGACATTTCAATACCTCATTTTTTGCATCATAAAAACAAATCATGTTCCTTAATCATTACCATTATTATCATTATATACATCTGGGTGCTGTTTTTCTTGAAGATCAAGAGTTTGGACCTCGACAATCTTGTGGATTTGACTAGTAGTATTTTATAAGCATCAACATCGTATGTTTAAATAAATCAAGAGAGAAAATAATAATAACTTGGGTACATTTTTCCCAAACGAGTGCTCTAAATGACAATCGCATTTTTGTAAAGGTAGTAAATTGAGCAGTGTAGCATTATACTGCATCGCATTGCATCGTACAATACCACAAACACGCTTATATATACAATGATTGTTTAATACTCTTTTTTTTTGTAAATAGCTAGGACTCGAACATAATCGATGTTTCAAATATAGATTGTAGGTGAGGGACACAAAGCATGTACTCTTTTGTGCCACTCTTTAATAGCCAAAGGCATGTTATGTTATGTCATTTTATTTTCTACACTTTATTCTCACCAGACTCTTCATTGTTCACTATAGTATTCTTTATTTCTATATCTAGTTATCAGTCTTTCCATAACTTGTTGATTACAAGACAAACGCACTTTCTAATATTTCAAGGTCTAATGAGGATTGTTGGGTTGGACAAACAAGGAAGAAAAAGAAAAAGAAAAGATATATAGATAGAGAAGAAATCAAAATGGGCGTATATTTTAATGTCCAATACGTAACTGTGGACTCCTTAATATTGTTTGTGACACCAAGATATGTGGTTGTAGTAAAGAGAGAGAGAGAAAAAAAACAAAAGAAATAAAGCCTATAAATTTATTTGTTGTCATGGAGACGGTTGATGACAAAAGATGTGAAATTCACTTTGTATTGAACAATTGATGTTGTCTTGGCAATAAAATGGCTTAGTATACCGTTGATTTGTTACAATAATTATAGTACTAATGGCAATGTATTTAATTGGAAAATTTTATCATTGGTACAAGAAGTACATAGAAACCAAGAAGGAAAAGAAGAAGACAAAAAAAATGCCCTATTATTTCTTATTTAGACATTTGGATCAAATTGTTTTTGATTGGACGTACATATACATACACATATAGCAAAAGGAATTTACACACAAATACACTTGAGCATACTCAAATACTCAAATACTACACTTTTATTTTTATTTATTTTTTATTTTTTAAAATAAAACTATTATATATATATTATATGTATGCTATTTGTAAAATATAGCCAATCAAATAAATAGGATTTTTTTTTAAAAAAAAAAAAAGAAAAAAGAAATAACCTATTTTAGATTTATTAAAAAAAAATGCATAATAAATAAATAAATAAATAAATAAATATTTTTCTTTTTCTTTTTATTTCTTTTTTATTTCAAGTTTTCTTTTTCAAATATCAAACAATCATCATGCCTGTTACCCTCAAGCGCTCTACAATTTTGCCTATTCTTGAGGATTACCTCACTGACAAGAAGTTTATTGAATTGTACAGTTTCTATCCAATATAATATATAGATGATACACGTTAAAGTGTATTTGATTAAAATACTTTTTTACTTTTATTTTCATTACTGTTACTGTTACTAATCAAATATATACATATATGCCTTGGTGTACATTACTTGCCTTTTTTCTTTGTTGCTGTTGTTGTTGTTGTTGTTTTCGTGGGTGTTTATAGTGATAAATTCACTGGAGCTGATGGTCTTGTCGCAGAAGCTTTGGGCTCAGCTCCTCCCCCAGAGTATCCACATATAGTAGCATGGTACAAAGAATCTGTAAAGTAGGTATCTTGTGATATTATTATTATTATTATCTTTCCGATTCACTAACACGTAAAATGAAAACTCAACTGACTAAACAACCAAACAAACTGTTATTGTTATTATTATGATTGTTTAGAGATGAAAAAGAAGCCGAGGCTTTGATTGAGGAAGAAGATGACATTGACTTGTTTGGCTCTGATGATGAAGAGGTCGATGAAGAGGCTGAAAAGGTCAAGGCTCAACGACTTGCTGAATATCAGGCCAAGAAAGCCAATAAGCCAAAGACAATTGCCAAGACTACCATCACACTTGATGTCAAGCCATGGGATGACGAGACCGACATGGAGGCCCTCACCAAGGCTGTCAAGAATATTTCTATGGATGGTCTGTTGTGGGGTGGATCTCAATTGGTTCCGATTGGATTTGGAATCAAAAAGCTTCAAATCAACTGTGTTGTTGAAGATGACAAGGTAACGTCAAATTTGACTTAATAGATAGCAATAATGGGAACAAAAAAAAAGCGCGCCTGTAATTATGTTTACTTATATCTAAATGCAGGTCTCTATGGATGATCTTTCTGACAAGATCACTGAACTAGAGGATTTTGTCCAATCTGTTGATGTTGCTGCAATGCAAAAAATCTAAAGAACAAGACATTTTCTTTATATTATATATATATTATATATAAATCTTTTATTAAATTATATTAAATAATATAATTGTATATGTGGATATTCCATCAATTTGGGCTTCCAAAATATTTTAGAATTTTTCTTTTTATATTTTGAAAAGGGGGGGTTTGAATGAATCAGTAATGACTTTTTTTCCTTAAATATTTATTTATATATATTTATATATAAAAACAGAACAGAATGAGAAAGAAAATGTACAGGTGTAATTGAAACACTATTTCTTTTTTGTGTTAAAAAAAATAATATTAAAAAAGTAGGGGAGAAAGGTAAAAGCAAAGGAAAGGAGGGAAAAATTGAAACCATTATAAGCTTTTTTGAATGAAATGTACATATATATATAATTCAAATTTTGTGTGTATATATGTGTATGTGCATATTGTTGCAGTTATGTAGTATAGTATAGTGTAGCGTGGTGTTGTTTGGTGTTGTTTAGTGTCGTATGGTGCTGGGTGGTGTTGTGTTGTGTAGGTTGTGTTTGGGTTAAAGAATCCCTTTATATTTCTTTCCTTTTCTTTCATCTTTTTTTTTATGCATAGTCTTTCTCCCTTGAAGCCTTTTTAGCCTTGGATTGACCCATCATCTTTGGATCCTTTTCTGCTTTTCTCTTTTTTGGATCAGGAGACCCATCCCTTCTCACAGGTCGACTTCCTTTCCGTTCAGGCGATGGATCACCACCGCCGCCGCCACCGCCACCCTTTCGCTTTTTTGCCCTTTCGAGTTCAAGCTTTTCTTCACGTAAATCTTCCTTTCGCCCAATTCTTGCACTACAATATCATCAAAGAAGTATAAGAATCAATATCTCAAATATCTCACCTATTTATCCTTCTCTTCTCTCTTCTTACCTTCTTTTTTCTTCACGCAATACTTCACTTGCATCTGCCTCCATGTCATCATCAGAATAAAAGTCATTATCATACCTAAGAAAACAAAAACAAAATCAGAATCCATTCCACTCCACTCCTCATTGTACAAAAAAAATCAATTTACTTTGACTTGTCATATCTAAAAATACGACTGATTTCAGAGGACACATCGGCACCATAATAATCCCGGTTGTCCTCTTCATCATCATCAACAATAAACGAATCAAGGTCATCGTCCTGCTCTTCATCTATCGGTCTAGGGCGGCGCACAGGTCGACGCTCCATGGGACGGAACGGCATACGTCTAATGCCAGGTTCCTGACTCGGCCGTGGTCTGCCAGGCATAGGAGGAAGATCGCGGCGATTCATCATCGGTCTATCTTGCATAGATTGTCGCGGTCGTCTGTCATCGTCTGGACTACGTACTCTAGGTCTACCTGAAGATTGGATCGATGATCTGGGTCCATTAGCAGCTAAAGAACTAGAGGCAGGATGAGGCCGGGCACGTCTAGGGTCAGGGGGGCTAGTGTCTCTTGAACGCTGAATTCCACGTGGCAGTGGAACTCCTGCACGCTTCCCGGCTTGTAGAGAACGAGCACCAGTAAACGAGGAAGAAGAGGCAGAAGAGGGAGGAACAGGGCGCTTATTTACACGTATTTCTTCATCAGAATAATGCCCGCGTGCATGCCGTCTCTCCCGCTGAACCTCACTAATAGTACGTCTGTCCCGTTGTTGACGCTCTACCTTTTGAGGCACACATCCAGCCACAGCTTTCTCACGAGCAGACACCGGGCGGCCCTCTGTTGCAAGCTTGGGGCGGACTGTAGATGATTTTTGTGGGCCAGCCTTGTGAACATATATCGAGCTAGCTACAAGTTAACACACACACACACAAATATATATATATATATATATATATATATATGTAAAGAGAGAGAAACAAACAGAAAAATATATCAATCAGAAACATAATCAAAAGCCATAAAAAAAAACAGGCAAGATGATCCTTTTTATATATATCCCCCCCTTTTTTTTGGGTTTCTTCCTTTCTCCCCAACCTTTTAATCACCAACCTCCCTCCCCTTACATCACCAAACATAACCCAGCCCCTCCTCTCCACTTCCGTTTCTACTTTCTCTCACACCATCCTTTCCCACCCTCTCCCCTCTTACCCGTGTTTTCATCTCGAGAACGAGAACGAGGTCTGGATGCCGGAGGACGGTTTGTTCCTGTTGTCTGTCCGATACTTCTCCCACTACCGATATCTTTCTGGCGAGGCACGCGACTACCTTCTCCTCCTCCTCCTCCTCCAAGTGGCCCGGATAAATCAACTGACGATTTGGGACCCTTTGTAGTACCTAATGACATTTTCGAAGGAAGCCGTTTTGAAGCAACTGCCGGTCCTTCAGAAGATGTCATTTGTTGCCTAAAATTATCCTTTGGTTTTGAAGTCATCTCCTTGGCTTTTTCCATCAATTGTTCAAATGAAATTTCGGCATGTTTCTTTTGTTATTGTTAAATAATAATAATAATAATATACATAAAAGAAGAAGAATAACATGGAATCATGTTTGATCAATGGCGATGCGATTAAATGAGCTGTTGTTTTTTTTTGTCGATGATGAGTACATCTATTCTATTCTAATCTACTATATTCTTTCATACTTACTTTTTTTTCTGGTGCTATAATCTTTGAAGGATTTGATTTAGTCTTTCCACGACTCATCGTTTCTCGTTCAGACGTTGATGATGATGGCGGTATACGGTCTGCTGGGCGGCGTGGTTTGGCTTGCCGCAGTTCTTCGCGTCGTTGTTGTTTTTCGTCTAGCATGCGTTGTTGGCGCCTGGCTTGTTCGTTTCTTTGCTGAGCCAGTACTGCCAAAGTCTCTTTACGAGCTCTTTCTGCTTCTTCCTCACGTCGGGCCTGCAACTCTTTTTCTCGTTTCTTTTCGAGAGCCTTTTCAGCCAAAACTGCATTTTGTTCCTTGGCTACTTGAGTAGCTTGAAGCATCAGTTGCTCAAATGAGATCTCACGAGCATCAACCTTTTTTTTTTTTTAATTTATTTGTTTTAAAATAAATAGACAGATAGATAATTTGTGAATTAGGATGTGGAATGTTGCTTGTGTGCAAAAGTCAGGAGATCTAGTTCATCGGAATGATGATTGTTGTTCAACATTATTGATTTTAAACATGTACCTTGGGCTCTTTCATTTAATCTTCTTGTTTTATATGTGATGTATTTGTGTGAGAAAGAGAGAGATATATATATAAAAGAAAGAAAAAATACAGAGAATAAAGAACAAAGAAGGTATCTATGCGTTTTTTTTTTTTTAAAAAAAAAAAAAGAAAAAAAGGGGGGTTGAAAGGAAGTTTCTGTTTGGTTTTATAAATAAAATAATAAAAAAAGAGTGACAAAGCAAGACGAAGAGTAAGAAGAAGAGCAAGTTAATTGGTGACGTCAAATTAGCAACCTACACCAGGATAAACCAGTTTTTTCTTTAAATTATATTTATATACTGCTTATCCCCTTTTCCTTCTTTTACTACTTCCTCATATCTTTTGACTATTTTATTCTTTTATATCAATATTTATGTATTTACATTAAATTGCTGCTGTAGCTGTGGTTAGTTAACCACAAATTGGCCACACATATACTTTACTGCTTTGTACTGGCTTTAGAATAAATTAGTTGACTCGCCATGTTCTGTTTCTCAATTAACAATAAATTCCTTATGTTTTCTCCTACCATTAAATTACTATTATTATTATTATTATTTTAAGAAAAAGAGGTTGACCAAACTAGTAAGTTGTATCAATGATAAATTGGTGTGCATGTTACATTATTTATGCTCTTAATAACTAAGAGTGATACACATATTAAACTATACACATATAGTGATCTGTGTAGCATAACAATAAAATAAAGAAAAATGGATCAAAATAATAAACCAAAGCAACTAAATTAAGCTTGACCTTGTCACTGCTCTAACAAACAAACAAAGTCAAGAAGCATTTCAAGGATCGTCTCAGATATTGTATATAAGTGTATATATACTCTATTTTTCTTTATCAAGGTTTAACAATTGACTAAGATTAAGCCAGTTTACATTATATTAAGAGGGCCTTTCTTTCTTTACAAAGTGATTAGAAGTTATGTCTGATATGTCAAAGATGTAATTGGATAAAATCAAAATACTTTCTCAAGATTATATATATATATATATATGTGTGTGCGTGTGTATGTGAATGTATTTTTATAAAGAGAATTGGCAGCAAAGAAAAATAAGCTAGACATTATATGGATTGATGCATGTATGCGTGTATGTAAGTATGTGTGTGTGTGGATATGTGGATATGTATATATGCTTGTACGTATGTATTTATGTGTTTGTATTTATCTATATTTTGCTTGATCATTGCATGTCCAATCGAATGTCAGTAAGCTACATGGATCGATTATCAACCAAGCCATGGCGTACTCTCGGATTAAACCGAGCTTCTTTTTCCTCTATAAAAAAACAGAAAAATAAATAAATAAATTCATCATTCTTAAGTTTATATATTTTGAATATCTTGGTTGCTTATTTTATTTTTATTTTTACCTCTGGCAATTCGTAAAAGAGTGTGATCCCTTTCACGTTCTTCTTTGGTTCTAACAGGTGCCCTAAGTCCAAGTGCGCCATGTATTAACCTTCTAGCTACACTATTGGTCGTGAGAGGACGGTGCAGTTGGGAAGGATAAACAGCTAATGTAATGAGCAACAAATTAGTATTTCGTTTCATTTTATTTTTAAGCATAATAACTACAACAAAAGCAAGAATATCACAACTTACGGTCTTTGATATCAAATGTGCCTGAATAACGCCGAATCTTAAATAACCCAGCAGAGCCGAGTGCTTCCTTGGCTTGTATTGCTATTGCCAACAATTAACGATCAACCTTTTAATTGTATTTCATTTACACAGCAATCTCTCCCGTGATTTACCTGTACGTTCATTCCCAAACTTGGCGATCGCTCTGGATTTGTCTACCCATCTAACTTCGCAGTTGTCGCGAGGGATTCTACACTGGTTCAAGACCCCGTAAAGAGTCTCCTTGCAGTCTGGCCGGATAAACTCATAAAACTCCAATAGTACTTTGTCTTCTACTTCATTAACAGCAGTCGCCGAGTCAGATCGACCATTTTCCATAACTGGAGACTTGGCATCTTGCGAGTTTGATGATACTATTGTTGTTGACGATTCTGTATGACTCTCGGTATGATACACCTCTTCATCTTTTTCAGGCGTCAATACAGTTTTTTGGTGTGGTTCCTTGAGTGTCAAGTCCGGTGCCGAAACTTCAACTTTTGTAGAGTGAGTAATGCTTTCGGATGTCTTGCTCTCTGGATCGACATGTGAGCTGTTAGCTATTGTCGTAGTAGTAGTAGTCGTCGTCGTCGTTATAGTTGTTGCAGTTGTAGTTGTAGTTTCTGCCGTGGGGGTAGGAGTATCCTTGGGTCTTTCATTGGTCGAGAGATCAGTCATTGATGAAACCAAATTCTTTATATCTTCAACAATCTATAAGACCAAATTATTATTATATATTATTAGTGCCTCATGATTTTGTTTTGATCAAGCACAATAGATACCTTTTCTTGCGTGTTATCTAGTTCCCGGCAAATTTTGTCGGTAGCCATATTTGTATATTGCACAGCTGGTGTGGGAGTAGAATCCGCGTGAGCTGTTGATTTGGAAGTTGTATAGGCTAGAGATGCTGTGTCTTGTGGATTCCAATTCTGCCATCCTGAAGATGCACCTCCATCTTGGGGATTAGCCAAACGTTGTCGGGAGGGAGGACTAATTGGACCTTTGTAATTGATCTTTGTTGGAACTGCAGATGAAAAGGTCGTATGGTTGGGCCTGTGGGTTTGTTGATTGGCAAGATTGTTTGCATGGATAGAAGACCATGAAAACCCTGACTTTGAAGGTGATGACATGAGAAGTTTATGAGTTTTTCTTTTTTCTATTTTATTTTCTTAAAGAGATAAGAGGAAGTTTGAAGGAATGAATTAAAGAAGATAAATAAATAAATAAAATGACTTTTTCACTTGCTCACTCCACTTTTACTCTCACTCTCATTTTTAGTCTTAGCCTCACATTCTATTCTCTCACTCAAAATTATCACAGTAATTACACTGTCAATTGGATGATTTTTGGCTGGGTTCTAAAAATAATCTCATGCTTTTTTCAAACTTAATTTAGTGGATCGCAAGAAATAAAATCAAGCAATTAAAAAGTGTTTTCTTCCTTTGATTATCTCCTCTTTGATTCGAGGCATGAATTGGTGCATTTTCCGTAATGTCTAAAGCTTCTTTTAAAAAGCTTAAAGAATTATCAGTGGGTGTTTCCCCTAGACTCCTCTTTTCTTACTACCCTGAATTCTTTTTACTTTTGACGGTGCTTTAGAAACTCGTTTATTTAAATTGATTGCACCATTTGATAAAATAACTCCACTCTGCCGCCCAGTCAAAGAGATATATAGAAGTTTTCTCTTTACTTCTTGCTTCTGGCAAAAAGGCAGCCTTTTTAATTGAGATGTTAGTCCCATTTGCTATAAATCGGTATACTTATTGCCATTATCCAGAAATTATTCAATCCGAAACCGAGCATTTTATTTAAGCATAGGAACAGCAATTATTTACATCAATTTAAAGGTTTATCAAGTTAATTATTATATCCTGGCGAGGATATACTAATATTCGCTTTGTCGGAAACCTGGAGAGCACTTTGGCGTTTTATATTTGATGGTCTTCTTTTCTTCCTTCCTTCAGTTTTCTCAACTACTATTTTTTCTTACTAAAAATACAGAAAGCTAGGGACAATGTCCACTGTACTTATGTCTTTATCTTTTACCACATTTTAGTATTAACATTTTTTAGTATGATTTTATTAGTTTTATCCTTAACATTATTATCAACCTTTCTTTCTATATATCTTATCTGATCAATTGATGAGTACCGCATTTTAAGAGATTTTGCACTATAAATGCTAAAAATGAAAATACCACATATCTTTTCCAGATTGTACAGTATAATTCTTTATCAGGTATAAGCTTCGCCAATGTTAGGGGTGCATTTCCTAGTAGAAGACTACATTTGTATTCTACCAAACCATAAATAGCGACCTTTTTTGCCAGTATGGAATAACTCTATCTGGTCCCTAAGGATCTATTCTTATTATAATAATTGATATCAGCCAGGATACAGAACATTCCTAAAGATTTTCTTTTGTGCTTTTTAAAAAAGAGTGGATGAAGATTACTTAACCGTTGGTACTGTCAAAATCTGGGAATATAAGTAGGTGAAATAAAGAGAAAGACACTGGGCCCTGGACAGGTAGACACAATTAATTGGTCTGGTTAGATAGAAGTGCAGTACATCATCAGAAAACGTCGGCCCCATACGATCACTGATGAATAAGTAGTAAGAAATTAAACCTATCAAAACTCTAAAGTCATTATGCAGAATCCAGCCTATCTAGAACAGTAATACATCTTTATTCTATCATTTCAAATAAAAAATAATAATGAAAAGGAAAAGAAGCACATTAGATTTTCTATATCTGTAAGAACGTACTCGTCCTATAGAGTCTCAATTTTTTTACTGGCTAATTAAATTCAATTCACAGTACTGGCATCTCACAACTTTGACACGCCATGAACACTGTCAATTTCAAATGGCATGGATCATTCTTTTGCCATCTACTGTTTGCTGTTTAAGGAATCTTTATAATTACCTTTATCACACATCTCATCATTCTATATATACTTAAAAAAGACAGATGGAATTATAAGCACATGTCTTAAACTTATTTACTTCCTCCTGAAAACCGATACAGGTACAATTTATATGATACTCGCATAAGCTTCTAATTCCCTCTTCATAAAAAAAAGAGAAAAAAAAATTAACAAACGGATTAATATCAGTAATGAGTATATTATGTACAAGTTGTTTAGTCTATAGTCGTATCCACTCAGTCAAGTTGAGCAGTAATGATCATTAAATATCATAGCCGCGCCCGAATTTCCGCTGGTAAGTTTCTAATGGTGTTCATTATGACTCAACGAGTAAACTTTTGGCTGTCAAGGCAGCAACTGAATCCCGCGCAAATCGTACAAGTAGACGGCTGTGATCCCCACTTTAGCTCATTAGTATAGAAATAAACGGCTTTTAGGGGTTAATTCTTGAAATATGTATCTCTTTTGTGATATTTGAATTTAATGTGTTTCTGTGGGCGTATATAAAATTATCCCAATGTACGAGTAACATAAACCTTAACTAATTCATTATTCTTATCAATATGATACCATCAAAGAGAGAGAGGGAGAGTAGAGCTCGCATATATATATATATATATGTATGTATGTATAGAGTCTCAAAGAACGGGCACTTTTTTTTTGGGGCGACCATAAAACTTATATAATTCACTTGGGATTTTAGAGCTGGTTTTCTATTTTTTTTGTAGGTGGGAACCTCAGCTTTTTAATAATATTGTGTATATATATTGTTTAAGACGTGGTCGAATACTATAACTTTGAAATTGAAAAATAAGGAACCGGCCATTCCAAAAAGCAACCAATCTTTTATACCACATGTGCACCGCACGCACACGATTTAAAGGCAGAGTTTCTACTCGAGAGCGAGAAGATTTAGGCTATTTTAAAACGGGTATTTTAAGACTCTTTCACAAATGAGCAGGGTGTCTCAAAATACTTGTCTGAAAAAATCCAAATCGTTTCAGTCTCAAGTAGAAATACATACTTACCTTTGTCTGCTTCTGTTATTACTCTGGATAGTTTAATTCCAAAATCAATGCCTTCTGCTTCTATCACCTCTTTAGACACCATTGCTGCTGTATCGTCGTCCTCCACTTTTTTGGATTTCGATATATTTTACTGTTCTGACCGTCAAAGTGTTGTTTCTGAAGCACTCGGTTATCATAGTTGACGTGATTTCTCTCTAGCCTTCATTTATGCTACTACAGCTTTTTATATCGTCTCCTCTCTGGCAGTTGTTTATTCTTGTCAAGACCTTCAATATGCTCCTTCATTTTCTACTGTTTATATCGTCTTGTCCGATGTACTTTTCTTTGAGCTCAACCTAATATTATCATAGTCATTACAGAAAGAAATCCTTCAACTCTTCCATGTCAAACTCAATACTAGGTCATGTCGGTGTTGGTCGCACTATTCGAAGATTCTCTAGAATTTTCTATGGTCCAGGTTTATACAAGCATCCCAATTCTGCTGTTCATCACTTTGATTCCGTAGCAATCGCTACTTGCCAGCCCATGCATAGTTCAACCAATCACTCTCTACTTTTTTCCGGCTAGCCTTTAGTCGTAAAGCTCACGTTCTTAGCACAGCATGATCTTTTGGTGTCAAGCCTGTTACTCTCGATGGTTACCATTTTTCAATCTAAAGAGATTCATTTCTCGCGCTCACAGCTTAATTCAACTGGAGAATCCTTTCGCTGCCAGGCTGGAAATTTCATGTCATTAGCTATAACTAATATCGTGTAGCACCTAACTTTGCTATTAGAGATCGAGTCCTCGTCAAGTTTCCGGTGTTATCAAGCGTTGTTTCTTCTGGTTGCTTAATAGGGCTGTCTCATTTTGCTCGTAGTCCGTTCCTTGTTGTCAAGTCCATTGGTGCGAATCGTTTTGCTCTCTTAGACCATGTCTTCTAACAAGATTCATGCAAACGTAAAATCTGAGTGCTAGAAGAAATACTCAGTTTGAAATGAGGACAATTTTTCTTCTTAACCTCTAAGGATGTCATGAGATTTTTGGTAGCAAAATGGGGTAAAAAATTGGCACCAAGGCAATTAATTTAATTAATTTATAGATAAAAGCCCAGTTATAAAAAATATGGAGGGTGGGGGGGGGGGGGTTAATATTTATTTAATTTTAATTTTTTAATTTTTTATTTATTAAAAAAAATTAAAAAAAAATTAAAAAAACAAAAAGAAAAATTGAAAAAACAAAAAAAAAATCAAAATCTATATAAAATGATTTAAGAAAATCAATATATATAGATTTTGATTGGTTCATTTTCATTTATTTTATTGAATTTATTTACCATTGGTGGCCAGCCAATGATGAAAGTGGGATCTCCCTGTTGGACGAGAAAATTTTCAAAAAACTCGCAGTGGGCAACAGATAGGTTATCAGCATTCTACACCTGCATAGACATCGCGTGGTTTATATAGTTTGGTTTATAGGTCTTCAACTGTGAAAGTCTTTCGACCGGTTTACTAAGGCCACATCTATGAGCAGACTACGTAGATAACCGCCACAATAAAGATCTGAAAAATTTGCAAACTTTTGGCCCCTTTTTATAGACAAAATGGTTCAATTCTTGTACGACCTTTTGCAATTGAAAGAAAGTCACGGAACGTGAAAATTAAAATGATTGGTGTTTGAAAAATGAGTCAATGACTTTTAAATCATTTTGATTGGCTTTTAAAATTGTGACGCCATATGAAAAAAAGAGTCCTTGGGGTTGAAATAAAAAAGTCACATCAGAGAGAGAAAACCGAGGCGGCTAANAAGAAAAGTCACCGCAAAAATGGCTCATAGTGTTAGGAAGGATATTGGATACGTGACTTATTATTTCTAGGTGACGTCTATTGT